ACAATAAATTTTGCCCAGCCTAAATCTTTTTAAGAAAAGATTCGTTTTGAGACCGAATATGTTTTTAAATGCATCCTTATTTTTTCGAATCCGATATGGTTTCAGGAAAAAATCGCTTGCTCTTGAATACACACATTTGGGAAAAGCGGAAAATGTCAGCATTGCGTTTCTCTGTTGCGAATAAAGCAACTGCTGAAAATGTGCCCTCTACGCCAAAGGTAATGTTTTCTTTCTTTCCACAACGTCTGTCACTAGAGTTTCAGCATGACTCTTCCCCTCCCCAATTTCTCCCAGAAACAATAATCTGTATTTTTCTGAGTAACTTCGATTTGTCTATCCTGAAGGGTGTAGTATTTTGTTAAACTTGGTCTGGGAGATGCTTTTACAGCTTTTCTAGAAGGTATGATTTTAAAAATTTTCTTTCGCATCGGACCCAACCATGGTTGGTCTTTCTACGTCACTAAACTTGATTCTCAGTCCCCCAGATTCAATATCTTCCTGTTGTCTCTGAAAAATGTTATCAGTTCTATTATAAAAAAATTAGCATTCTAAGAAATATCTGTAAATTCCTTCTATAGAGCTGAAAAATTCTTACTAAACCTACAATAACACATACAATAAATTGCTTGTTGGTGCCATGAGCATTACTAAACCTGAAAATCTTGATTTTTGTTTTTTACGTCGTTGTCTCCATAACACATACAATAAATTGCTTGTTGGTGCCATGACCTTAATTCACACGCTCTGCTGACCTTCCATTCCTCCCCCCCCCCCCTCCCAAATTGACACGACAGATTTACGGCCCTGGCAGCTGCCTGCAGAATATGTCTCTTTTAGAAAATGCAATATAAACATCAAAATGCAATTGAAGAAGGTAGCATTCAAAGTACCTAGTAGAAGTAGGTAGTACATAGCACGCTGTTATGTTGAATTTGCAATTGAGAAGCGTCTTTATAATTTGTTAAAGAGTTTTTTGTCACACTACCTCTTTACTCACCGCATACGATAAAGTCCTCAACCATCCTCCGGTCAAATTTTTTCCTTCCAAAACCTTCCTCCAAATTTTCAAGCAATCACCTTACAGCTCAAGAATAATATTTCTTTTTATTGTCAAACAATAAAATCGATGGAAACATGATATAATATACATTGAAAAATTTCAAAACCACGGGCCACGAACAGCATTATTTTTCAGATGTATTTTTTTGGCATTTAAAGGGCGTGGCTTAGAAATTTTGCGTCTTTTCGTGCCACCAATCACCATTCGACTCTGCGACAGATTCAAAGCGCAGCAAATAAACAAGTTCAAAATAAGTTGTCTTTTTTAGATTCTATTTTACCAATATCTTCTTCAAACTTTCTATTGTTTCTCAAACCTTCTTCCGGTCGATGACCGTGCGACAGTAATGTTTTCTGGACACTGTTTTTGTGCTTGACTGTGCAACATTACTTTGTCAATAAAAATGACATGTCATGTCAATTAGGAATTGATACAAAATGATGACTGACTGTGGTGCGCATGATTTGTTGGTCAAAGGATCACAGGTTCCATATCCTTGTGCCTCTGTGTTCAACTTCTTCCAACAAGAATCATTGGCGACATTTGTTGCTGTAATAGAAAAAACAAGCTTAAAAAAGGAGTTTCAATAGAAAACAATACAGGGACAAACTATAGACAAAGATTTTATCCTCTTACTCAAATCTTGGTAATAATTTCCAGAGTTTTCTTATTGGTTTAGTATCTAACAAAGGTTATCCAGAAGCATAATTATTAACAGCTCAAAATGACAACATTGGCTATGGCTAGTATCCTGTTTTCACCTAATCTAGCTTCATATCTAGTCCCAGAGATTTTTACACTGTGTGCTCTTTGATTCCATACAATTGCCTTTGTAGCAATAGGACATTGTTTTCTAAAAAGAAAGAAGTCTTAGGCCCTTTACAAAACAATGGAAAACCTGAATTGAATACAGCTCCCTGCCACATTTTCTGTTAATTTTTTTTTACTTCTTGAGATATGAGTTTAAAGTAGAAAAATTAGTACAATTTTAAACTTTACAAGGTTTACATCCTCATAGGGACTAACTATTGAGCTAAAACAGCTGGAAAGAACGTTATTGAGGATCTGAGAAATATGTCCTTTACAAGTATCATCAAGAAAACTTCAAAGTATAATTGTAACGATCCATCCCTAATAAGAAAGAGAAAAACTAGATGCAATTATAAATTCTATTGAAACTCGTTGTGACCAGTCCAGTTTGAATTTTTTCAAATATAGTGTCTTTTTTGTTAAGAGGGTTCTTTTTCCAAAAAATTTGAGATCAGATGTTACAAGATAATATCCTAACTATAAAAATTGCCAAATCTTTTGTTTTTAGTTGATAGTTCTTCTGTTGGTATTTCAATGTTAATACTTTCTAGTAAACCATGCTTTATTTATTTTTCCCTTCCACCTTATTTCGACTACTTTTAAAATCTAAAACAAAGTTTTATTAAGAGCTATATCATCTCGTTAACTAAGCCTAATTTTGGACGGGGATGTGCCATTTTGGTTAAAAAATTTAGACCCATAATTCCGCAAAAATGATGAAAACTATACCAATAATCCCGCAAAAGCAAGTAATATTTCTAAAGCACAACGAAATCTTCAAACAAATTTGGCATGTTCTTTGCGAAAAATCTCGTACCCACAATTCTGCATATTTCTTCAAATTGGACCCTTGGTTCCGCACATATTTCAAAAACGAAAATAATGTTTTGGCATTTTTCAAAAAAAAGGCACCCCTAAATAATGGCACATCCCCGTAACTTCAAACATGTTAAGGTACCCTCCCCCCCGAATAAATCATAAATGTCATTTGCAATAAAGACCTTTTCTATTTAATGTAAACATCGAAATCGTGTTCCATTAGACGGAACTATGGGACAGATTGACGAAACAAACGTAAATATATTGCTTCGGATTTTCCTTCAGTCAAAATCCATTTTAGATACTGTTTTGGCCATCCCAAGTCACCATAATTTTAAAAATTCTTGCCATCAACCATGGTGGCGATCTTTCCTATGCCCTTTCAAGACTTTAATATTTTGCCTCATCCACTTTTAAATACACTTCGCCCTCCCCCCTGAACCTAGCCTACTAGCTGTTAGGATCTAGAAATCAAATTGAAAATTATAGCTGGATAAATGTTCTAGTTATTTATCTAAGAATCTTTTCTGCTTAGTAATAGAGTTGTCAAATGATGACGTTACAAAATTTATTTTTAAAATTTTTGAAATTTTTTCTTACTACCTGAGAGAGCATCATAAAATACCTCTAAATCTGCAAAATCAGATATTACGAATTGGCTGAGATATGACCAGATGAGCACAAGCTCTGGCCCCATCAAACCTTTGTAATTTGGTCTCAGTTCATAACTTTATGAACTGAGCCAAGATCGAGGGGCAAATCACTCTAAGAAAATCTCGTACACCTTTTGTGAAAATCCTATTGTTTTACCCGAAGATCCCCATAAATCCTTTTCTATTAGGCAAAATCTCGTACGCTATTTTCAAGAGTGAATCGCCCCTCGGCCAAAATAACAGTAATCCGTTAGAAAACTTCAAATCTTCTATTAGCCATAGCTCACCCGTTTTTTAATAAATTTAACTGATTTTGCATATGTGGGAGTATTTGTGGTCAAAATTCGAAAATTCTAAACATATTTTTTTGTGACATTACACTTGAGAACTCTATTTTTTTGTATCATAGTGCTTCGGTGACAAAATTTGTTTCTGTTCTTTTTCTGTAAGTGAAAACGAATTGAATTGAATTAACAATTTGGTAATCTCCAAGACCCGAGGTAAATAACGTAAGAGTTGAATTGTGACAACAAGCCTCCGCGAGGTGCAGTAAAAATGGTTAGAGTTGCAGTAATTGGAGCTGGTGTTATCGGCCTTTCTACAGCTTTTTATTTGAAATTTTCAGAGCCATCCATCGATGTTAAAATTATCACCAAGGACTTGTCGCCGCGAACATGTAGTGATGTTGCAGCGGGGTTTTGGGAGCCACATATCTTGAGGGATACTCCAATTGAATTGCAAGAGTTAGCTTCTATCCTTTTCTTTTTCATTGATTGAGGCAGCTGTTGATGTTTCGAATGACTGAACGATACAACAACATAGTCGTCGGAACGATACAACAATACAACAACAATACATGAACGATACAACAACATAGTCCTTTACAGTGTCGTCGGAACGAAATTCATATTGGGGGGGGGGGGGGGGGGTAGGGGGGCTGCCCATTGTTTTCCTTCTCATTCAGTACACTGTTATAAAGGAAACATACTACAGTTCGACAATTATTGGGGGGGGGGCTCCAGCCCCCAGCCCCCCGGTTCCGACGGGCCTGCTTTAAAAGAACGAGCCTGGTGGATGTAGTAAATACTTATGGGGAGCCGGTTGCAGAGACGGCGCCACGAAAAGGAACCTGGGGGGGGGGGGGATGAGAATCAAGTTTACTGACATAGAAGGACCGAACAACATGGTCCAACGGGGAAGAAAATTTTTGAAATTCAGCCTTCTAGAATGACTAAAAATGCATTTCCCAGACTAAAATTTAACAAATTGATATACTGCTCAGAACAGACAATTCAACGATTCTCAGAAAATCACTGATTATTGATTTTCAAGGCCCTCAAAAAAAGGGACCCCCAAATTATTTCTACATCTATGTTTTGAAGAATCTGCTCAAGTTCACCTAATTTAAAAACTTTTGACAGTTCTTAAATTAAAGCTTCTATAGATCAACTCCTCCTTATTAACAAAAATTATCTTTCTTATCTTGTTATTTTGTTTGACATGTTCTACAGTGTTGGATAGCACTTTCTTGCAGTCCATAAATAGGGGCCCCATCTCAGTTTTTTCCCTAGGGCCCCAGATGCACCTATTTGCCACTGTATTAATGTCAAACCATTCAAGTTGCTCTTAGCCAAATTCTATTCTGTTCCTAAATCAAGATGGTTGTTGTAGAGGAATGGTTTGACACTTCAAGGTGACTAAACATAGATTTGTAAGCTTTGAATATAAACAAAGCTTAAAATGTCACAAATCAGCCAACCATGGCACCCTTGAAACAAAAAATTTGTCTGTTTCATCATTTTTGGTACCAAAGATTTTCAAAGATTAAAGCAAAGTTTGCAGAACTATTGGGTTTTCTGCTTGATTTTGAATTTTAAGCCACAATATTTTGACAATGTATTGATTTTTAGGTAGATTTTCGTTACCATAAGCAGCCTTATCTACTTGATTAAAAATGTTTTGTTACGATTTATTCTTGATTGGAATTTTAAAAAGGTCTGTTTATTTGTGTTTTTCTTTGTACTAGGAGATGGAGTGGAGCAACATTGGACCTTGCAGAAGAGTTGATATTAAGACCTGATGCAAAAGAAATAGGGGTTGTGTTGTGGCCTGGATATCAACTTTTTGATTATGAAATAAGCAAGGTAATAATGACAAGGGCCAAGATAAAATAATGACTGATATTTTTTTCATACTTTATAAAAAGCCACCCTCCAAAAAATATCTTCATTAAAAATTGATTTGCAGTGCAGGATAAGGAATGCAGAAGAAATATGGCTATTATTTGAAACTCTTTGAAATTCAGTATTTCTAGCAAAATATCATAATGAAACCAGAAAATTCAGGTAACATGGTCTCAACAATTTTAGGTTTTATGACATATTATTAACCGTTTTATGAAAAGGAAAGTGTGCTCTTATTGTTTTGCTGACATTCAACAAGTCTTTCTCCAATTCAATTTTTGTTCTGCTCACAGTTTCCTGATCTCTTTGAAAGATGCCACACTAAGCGGTTCTTGACAAAAGAGGAGATGAAGAAATTTCCTTCAAAGTATAAGTATGTTTCATCTTAATTAGCTACAGTACAAAGTCTCAAAGTTAATTTATTGAAGCATGATGTTGGTGGTGCAACACTACTGCTAATTTCATTTAGCCTCCGGTTCTGCAGCTAGGTGCTGTAAAATATTTTTGTTGAGAGTTTGACATGTCTGTTCTAGAGGTACTTTCTTAATGAAGGCCTACCAGCAAAAAAGGATCCCTTTATACTTATAGTTACTGTTATCCATCAGCACAAAGAAGAATTTCAGACAACCCTGTTTAGGCTGAAAACAATGGCCACCTTTACGTATATGCGATTTAAGCATATTCTTCCCTCATCTGGGTTAAAAAAGCCTATTTCCCCCTTTTGGAACTGAGTCACATAGTCATATATTGATCTTCATCACTTCATTGGCCACTATGGTGTTAGCAAATAGTTGCAGTTAATCCAAAATGAAAATTTGGATAATGAAGTACCTGTTTAAACTTCTCTCTCAACATCAACAATTTTTTGTAATTTACATTTTTGCTACCTCATTTAGGTCAGGATTCTACTATGAGATGTACACAATTGAGGGAGGCAGATACATGGCATGGCTAATGAAAAGGTATTTATATTTCCTGCTTAAAAAGAGGCGTTTTGTCTTACTGGTAAGCAATTGGTGTTGGAGACATAGAGGCTTTAAGGGATGCAGCCGTCTCTAACCATGCAATATTTCAATATTTATTGCATTTCAGTCTCCATTCAGACAGCTTTATCTCAATAAAGCAATTATATCAGGGCAAGGTTCACACTAAGTCCCCCTCCTAAATGTTTTGCATCTGCTATGCCCATGAAAATATTTAAATTATCCTCCAAAGATGTAAAGTGCAGGTGGAATTACTGATTGAGATCCAATATATGTTATGGTTCTTAAGAATCATTGAAGAATTAAATATTGTGTATGCAGATAATTTTTTTGCTCATGAAAAATCAAAGAGTATTTATTACTTGTTACATGCATCCATGCCTCTAGCTTCTTTATCAGATCATATTTTTCTTTTTTTATAATTTTCCCAGTCACTTAGTGTGTTGAATGATACTCTTATAATTTGTAGTGTTCGTGAAACGACTTCCAGCGGCATCAAGTAGAAAGGATGACTTGTGTTTATGATGTAAAGACATCCTTTAAATATCATTTGCACTATGCATTTGCGCAAACATTAGTGTTGAATGTTCTACAATCTTTACAAAGAGCATTAACACAAACCCACGTGAAGTGAACCACAAGAGCACTTATCCAAGATACCAAATTAAAAATGTTATTTCAAGGTGAATCTACAATCTTGAAAGACAGATAATACCGACTGTGTTTGATCTCACTGCTTTTTTGTCTGTTGTGTTTTGATGCAAACTAACCAATTTTGACAAGTGAAGAAAATTAGTATAACCAGTGGCACTGGCTGCACTGTGTACTTGGAGAAGGGCACTACTTGGTTACCAAGAAGTACTATGTACCTGGAAAACTTTGTTTACTCTGTATAATACAGTTTTATCTGAGGGTTGGACAGCTTTCAAGTTGGAACACTGAGTCTTGTGCATAATAAAATCATCAGGAAACCATGTGCATTATCTTGTAGAAGATTATTTTTCTTCCTTTGCACCTAGCTGGCTTACAGTGTTAATGTCTTTAACTTATAATTTTTTTTTCAAAATACAATATTTATTTTCAGATTTCGTGAAATAGGAGGAACTGTCCAAATAAAACAAGTCAAATCATTTGATGAGGTGAGAGCTAAGTATCACTTTTTTAAATACAGGTGTTGAAAATATTTTTTCTTGCTACAGGTTTATTTTTTGGTTACATTAAAATTATGCCATGACGTATCAAGGGTAGATCTGGGTAAATTTAGGTCTATTATCGGTAACAAACCCTTTCAAATTTGCTAATAAATGATTTAGACACCTGTGATAGATGAGTGATGGATGTTCAATGACATGCTGCACCCCAAGAAAGAGAAAAAAATCATTTCAAAGGCACTGCAAATACCTTTTAACTAATTACTTTCTTTTACTAGTTACATGGAAATGAAACTGGTTTCAATTTTTGCTAAAAAGCGACTCATTGGTGCACTTTTTACAGACTTGTTACATTTTTCATCATCATAATTCATGACTACGTGCATTTTCTTAAGCACGAAACGGACCTGAGGACCAAGTTCTCAGTTTGTAGTTTTTCTCAGTATTAAAGTATTGTAGCAGTCTTCTGTAATTACTAATAGATAAATAAGATGTCCCAGTAGAAGATAGCACAAAATCAGACCCAACAGGCGTGGCTACAAAATCCTTTGCTCATTTCATTAAGCAGTTTTGCTCGCTAGAATTGTTGTTGGTTTTTGGTGCTGCAACCTAGACTTCGATCGTGATCAGGGTCAGTATTTAATACTAGGCAGAACCCTAATTGAATAAGTATGATTTAACACCTCTTGTGATTTGAGCAGATGGGTATATGGATATATACCCCGCATTTAACATCGCCACTAAGTCCGCCAAGGAACAACTATCACATATCTATAAAATGACACGTTGGAATGAAATGAATATGCAGAAAGACGCCAGATTAAAGAGAAACTATGCTAAATGTTTTCGTAAAAAGCAAGCTACGAATTTGCAGAGATAACAATTTTCTGCTCGTTGTTTAAATTCTTTTATAAAGTTTTTATAAAGTATAGTACATTCGCTGCGAAGGTTCCTAGAAAACTTACTTTTTCTAGGGCAATTTCAGCCACCCCTTCTTGCTCTTGGAAATGTTTTTATTTACTATAGAATGATAACGGTTCAATTTAGTATGATACCAGGCCCTTGTTTTTTCCCTAGACCTTCATCAGCTAGTTTATGTTATTCCCTTTTATTTCGACATGTTAATTTTCAAACCATTTACACATTTACTCTGCTGTGTAACGACCCCAAAACATAGCACAACACTATGAAGGAAAGTCCAAATTGTTTTCAATCTTTATTGTTTTCCTTGAATCTATGAGTTTGACCACTACATTCCTTCCCCCTGCCCATAGGATGTGGTTGCATTTTTGTGTCCAGAATTGCGACCGTTGAGAACGCTATTTTCAAATCCGAACTACGTAATAGAAACGGGACCTCGTGGTGCAAAACATTTTCGTATCAACCGCCCACCTGTGTTGGTTGTGCTCCATTTTTTATCGCGGAAGGAAATCAAGCTTTACTGACCAAAATTGATGACGAAACAATAAATACTACATGTCTTGGTTCTATTGGCTTCATTGTTCTTAGTTTAACATGCGTGTTTGTGTCAGTTCTTTACAGTCATATCACAAACGTCACAAACGTAACGTCATAAGCAATTAAACTAACATAGTATGTGATCTAACTTTGCTTTTCCTACGCAAACATAGCGAATTAAGTGTAGCTGTTTAGTTGGATCATCCTTGTCCACAAAAATGTTTAAGGACCCTGTGGTACCACCTTTCAGGACTTTTTCACTGTAACTTCCCGCAATGCAGATTCTTACGGTGCTGTGTTAAAAATGCTTGATATATACACCCAGCACCAGCAGCGTATTGGCATCTTGCGTATAACATCACTTTATTGATGGGGGACTAAGTATGAAATTTCTCAAATATTTTCAAAATATTTGAGAAATGTTTGAGATGTAGAAAAATATAAAAAGATGGATAAATCATAAGATATTCATAGTTATATCTATGTAGCTCTTCCGCTAGACTTTTTGGTGACTTTCAATTTCCTCATTGATTCCCTAAACATAATTTTTTGTGACCTTAAAATTCAATAAGCTTTTTAAAAAAGACCTTCCGCTAACCGCAAGCTCTCTTTCTTTGTAACTCGACAGCCCTCTCACCTCAGTGCCACTAGCCTGAAGGGAGAGGAATCTAACGGCAATTTTAGGCCATGGCTACATGCCTATTTTACAGAAAACACCCTTCATAAACGGAGAATGCCAATTTTAACCAAAAGGAAACGCCCACATTCAGGCTACGTTAGGGCAGCTTCATCGTCCTTGAAATTTCATCTTAAAGAATACCTAGCTGAATTCCTCTCTCCAAAATTTTTCTCATCTACTTCAGACGAAATGCAAAATCATAGATACTCTCCTACTTGATGGTGATGGTCTGTGACCAAGGCTAGAAAAGTTGCCTTATTCTTCACTTTTAAACCAATCGATGTTTGTAGCTGACAGATTGTCCTTTTGAAGGAGCTGTGTAAATTGTTACTTTAGGTTATTCTAGAGATCAGATACTAGAAAGTAATATGCAGAAGCTAAAACAGGGTTGGAGTGAGAGAATAGTTATTGGGGAAGGGGGTGTGAAGTGGTACCCAATACTACCTTACAATATACGCAATTGTTAAAATATGTCATTGTGGTTCCTTTCTTGACAATGTTACACTTTCAGATGTTTGATTTGATATATAAAATTCTTTAGCTTGCAGACTCACATGATGTCGTGGTAAACTGTACTGGCTTTGGAGCCAGGGAACTTTGTGGTGACAGCTCAGTCGAGCCAGTTCGAGGCCAGGTTATAAGGGTGAGCAACAAGCATGGAAACTTTTTCTTGTGTTCAATCCTCCTCAATAAATGTTAATGAATGTATCTGAAGAGGCCAATAGGCGATGATGTTGAAACATCTATCATGTGAAATCCAAACTTGATTTGAAATCTATCATACGAAAAAGACTTTATATCTGTCATAAGAATATAAACCGTAATTTTTTAGCCGTCGATATCACTAAAAATTACTAATTAGCTGGTATTTTTGTAAATGCTCTAGAACCACCACAAAGTTTTATCTCTAGTTAAATACTCAAATTTCTTTGTAAAATTTTCCATGGTAGTTGGCAATTCTTTGTTATGTCAAAGCACCATGATTCGTCTGACTGCTTTTTACCATCCAAAAATATGTTGCGAACAAAGTCGTCATTCTAATTTCTATTTTGTAAAAGTTGTTCTGCGCAGTACAGACAAATGATTAAAGACACGAAACCCTTTTTATTTTTCAGATGAAAGCGCCTTGGATAAAGACTTTTTATATTAGTACGTTGGCTAACCAAGGAAAAGGGGACGTGGCGTATATCATTCCAAAGTAAATCAATATTCAGTCTCTCTAAGCTTGTCTCTCTAAGCTTGTCTCTCTTAGTATATGTTTCTTCGAATTTTCACGTTTTAACTGAATTTAGCTGGGCGTCAAGTAATTTGTTCAGCGAAGAAGGGCAGTGTCCTATTTTAAAGTAAAGAAGCATATGAGGAACTGCTCACCGGATTACTCATGAGCCACATAATAGAAATCAGTTCCTTTTTCAAATTTATGCACGAGTAGTCGCATTAAAAGACACGACATTAAAAGACAAGTTTGTAATTGAACTATTGTAAAATGGGGCAGTGTGTGAATGGCAGGGCTTTAGGCTTGAATAAGAAAATGTGACAGAGGAGATCAGCTGGTAGAATAATGCCGTACTAGTTGAAAAGACAAACGAGCGAAGATCTTCAAATGTGTGAGGTAACCCTCCGTCCTGTCGTCAAAGTGCATGCAATTATGATCTCGTTCTATGCGCATGCTCTTTGATTCCAGGATGGAGGGTTGCCTCACTCACCAAAGGTCTTTCACCTGTTCGTCTCCCCAACATTTACAGAGATGCTTGATTGCAGATTCAAGATAATTTAGTGTGAGATCATTGATGCCTTCTGTTGTGCAGTTGCATAAGTTGGCATAAGTAAATATATCAATTCGTACCGTAGAGAAAGTAAGTAAAAGTTTCCTCAGGCACTTGAAAGTTCTAGTAAAATCAGAAGGGCAGAGAGAAAGGACTCGGGGGAGCGGAAATGGAAAAATAATATAGAGACGGAAAGTTTGAAGGGAAGGAAAGAAAATGAAAATATTACAGCATGTTTCTTGCACATATCATCCTTAAGTATGATTCCGTAAGTATGGTTTGGCAGAAGTATGATTTCTGGACCTGTTTTTCGGAGAAATTCCGAGTGGAAGAGAATGGATGGTATTGATGGGAAAAGAAAAAAGTTGGAATTTATTGTAGCAGTTGCTGCTATTTCGCTCAATTTTCATAATGATATAAAAAATAGTTTAATTGTTTGTCTCGAATGCGGAATTGTCTCAAAATGCGAACTGATCTTACGTTATACATAGTTGGAAATGATGTTAACGTTGAGTATTTGAGATACGTTTAAGAAAGAATTATTGCCTCAGCCAAATGTTATCATTTTTTGACTTTAAGCTTGGACGCAATAATTCTTGGTGGTACCGGACAAGTTGGAGATTTCAATGAAGAAGTGGACAAAAACGACAAGGAATATATAATGCGAGAAACCTTGCTTCTAGAGCCTAGTTTAGCCGTAAGTAATAATTGTTTGTTTTGTTTTTTAAATCGATTTTTACTGCTAAGATTTTCACAAACCAAGTTGATGGAACGTCGCATATCCTGTTTTTAGGTATGGGAATTTGGAATTTACCCTAGATTCTCTTGTACAACTTTTTATGCTCAGATTAGGACTTATATGAACACATTCTTATTCTCACAAAACCAGAAAAAACAAGGAGGAACTAAATATATTTTATGCACGTTAATTTTAGCAACTCTACAAAGTTTCAATCGGTTCGGAACATTTTACAAAGGTATTTAGGCGAGGGGCGATTCACTCTTGCAAATAGCGTACGAGATTTTGCCTAAAACAAAAGGATTTTTGGGGATTTTCAGATAAAACAAAAGGATTTTCACGAAAGGTGTACGAGATTTTCTTAGAGTGATTTGCCCCTCGTATTTAGGGGCTTTCTATATGCTTGTGTCTACAGACAGGGGTTTCTTCGGAGCTCGTTATTGTACACAGAAAGATCTCCCCCCAAAAATTGTATGACTCAAACCCCCCCAAAACGAACTTATGGCCCTTATTTTTAACAAATATTTGCAGATATAGAATCCGTGATGTTTAATGCCTCAGAAAGAGCCTTTTGCTAAATTTTGATTTTTATGTCAGTAGCACTTTAATTGACTGCAAAAACTTTCATGGGTCGTCATAAATTTATTTATGTCGTCATAATTTTTATGAAACATGCAATAAAATCATGGAAGCTTACATTTCTGACTTTCTAGTCCTTTATCCGAACCTGAATCGAAAAAGTTAGCAGAAAGAGGCTTGAAGTATGTTCAAAACGGGCCGATATCGAATGCAATCTGATATAGAAGACTGTAAAGCCCCGTTAAAACGCTCTCAACATTTCACTGAACATCGCTCAACATTTGTACAGTGATGTTTAGTGATGTTTAGTGATTTTGAATTGGGGTGTTAAAACGCTCTCAACAATTCGACGCAACATTCGTTGAGCGGTGAACTTCGGACTCTCAGAGATCGAAGACAAGTTTGAAAGATGAACTTTGGATACTCTTTCACTTTAACAGTAGCTGCCTGATGATTTCCTAAGGTCAGGATATTGGTCTTGCAACATGCTTTGAATTGCTATCTCATCCGATTTGCTTTCACTGCCAACTGTTTCCAAGCGTTTGTCATGGTGTGCCATTACGATTTATAAAATTCAACTTCTCTCAACCTCTTGGTCTGATCTGAAATCTTGACACGCTGAAGCCTTTCTTGGCGCGCAAAATCCAAATCTAGTGCGCTTGCGCCGACTGAACATTGTTGTATGGGGTGTTAAAACGCTCTCAACATCTCTCAACAACACCTTTAACAATAGAAATGTTGAGTCGACCCGCTGAACATTTTTGAATCTGTTCAAACTCCACACAACATCGCTGAACACCGCTCAACACCACTCAACATCACTGAACAGGGTGTTAAAACGCTCCCAACATTTGCACTCTACAAATGTTGAGCGATGTTCAGTGAAATGTTGAGAGCGTTTTAACGAGGCTTAACGCAGGCTATTGTATGTTTTTATTGTATGCAATTTTGTAACATTGTAACAGATTGTAAAACAGTCTATTGTATTTAATTTTGACTTTTATCTCCCCGCTTTCCAGAATGCCGAGTTCATTTGCGACAATGTGGGTCTACGGCCTAGCCGTCCTACTGTTCGTCTGGAAATTGAGGATGTGGCGGTTTCAGGATTGAAATCAAAGAAAAGGACACTAAAGGTAAGTTTCCTGTATTCAGGGAGAAAAAGAGATTTCTGTTTCAGCGAAATAACGGCTCTTCGGTAAAACGAATCAATAGCGCTTCAGTGTTTTGTTTGGTACAGCAGCTTTTGCTTTATTTCTTATAGTTAACTTGACCCTATAAGTATTTTTTGCATATTTTTGCGACACCTTTCTTTTAAATGTTCAAAACGGCAAAAATTTCAGCTGCCAGTGGTTTTATAAAAACATAGCATGACAATATATCAAACAACTGTCTTTGGTCCTCAGGGCCATCGCTAGCCATTATCTTAAAGGGTGTACTCAGCTCCCATTTGCCGACAAATGGGTGAGCAAACCATTTATTTGCCTACAAGTCTGAAAACTTGCTGACGAAGCACCCGTACATGGCAAAAAATCCTTGTTTTTGCAATGAAATTTTTTTGCAATGAAAGGCGGGTGTCACACCGGCTTATGCTTTCCCGCGTAGCAGTGTGCCATTTTTATTAAAGTGCTATATTTTTCTTGCCCATGCAATTAGGCTTACATAGATGTTTAATTCTCAAAGGTTGTTCATAATTACGGACATGGAGGAGCAGGCATCACTCTTCACTGGGGCTGCGCAGCGGATGCTGTACAGTTGGTCTTGCAGTGTATTGACCAAAGCAAAAAATTAAAGCCAATCTCAAAGCTGTAATTCTTAATTGGTAGAAAATTATGTTAATTATCATAATCGATATTTAGAGAGATATATACAGATTTAATATTGATGATATCTTTAGGGGAAGTCATTTGATTGCTTAATTAAACCAGAATTTTTTAGATTTTTTTCTGTAGAATAAGAAATTGCTTTTGTTCTCATACATCTGAAAGGTTTGTGAATTCATTTAGTTTGGTAAATTATTTTAGAAAATATTGTTGCGAGTTGTGTGACTAGCTTTTTAAAGGTTCTTGAATGGTATTTTGTGGCTATCTTACTCTGTCTGTAGACTGTCTTTTTGAATATCCATTTTTTTCTTTTCAGTAATATTAAACAAAATTTTGTTCCTTTTCGCAATAATGCATTGAACCTACTGAGTACACTAACATTGAAGGATTGTAGGTAGTATTATATCTTATGTTTGCCCGCAGTGTAAGAGTGTAAAAGTCAGGAAAGAAACTCTTGGATATCTGAACATAACATGAACCTTCACTTCGGCTAGTCCGGTATAAAGTAATGAATAATAGAACAATAGTGTCCATAGAGAGTCCATAACAAGTAGAAATTTAAAACAGGGGTCGGACTCTGTGGAGATGGGATACAAGGTGGTAAAAGCCCCTTTAGTATCTGTCGATCGCCTTTGAGAAACGGTATTCTACGCATGGCGTCAAACATCCTCTAGGTTTTGATGGGCAACACTTTTCACCATAAGAAATGAATAAATGAAATTATCAGAAAATTTTAAAAAGGCCATCATCGCCGATAATAACTTGTTGTAAAATAGATTTTATTCCAGGCTTGTCATCTGGAATGGCAATACAATATGCTGTTTTTATATTATTATGACAGCAGACATTTGGTTTAGTGCCAATCTAATATCAGGGGGAAATTCATTTCATTTTACATGGCTGGGTTGGAAATTCCCTGCTTGCAGTTTGCAGTTGGCGGAATGCAGTTTTAGACGCCTTGGCTCGATAACAAAGGGCCCCCGACCTAAAGGACGCCCAAATAATTTTTTATATCCATGTTTATATCCAAAGTTTTGCTCAGGTTTGACTCATTTGCAAACTCCGTTACTCCACTGCCTGTGTGACGTTTTGCACTGTCTTTACATAACATAGCAAATTTAAACGTTGTCCGTATACATAAATGGTATATAATGATATATCCGTATGTATTTTATTACACGAAAGATATATTAAAGTATGCTATTTTATATGGAAGTATATTTTTTTGTTTTCGTTATCATTTTAGTTGTTTAAGTTTAACCATTATAATTATTTCCAAAATCTTTGCGTCATATCAAAATTATTTCACGTTTTGTCACCTTGTCAGGTAAAAAAAATCAAGGTCTTAGGGTGTAGAAGACTTTTTATGCGACTCAGAACACAGTTTGGTTTCCTGCTCGGTAAACCCAGTTCTTTCAAATTATAAGAATATTGCATGCCTTGAAAATGAAATTTTTTTCAACCTTACAAAACTTGATTGCTTTAATGTTGACAAAACAGCACACACACGTTTGGAATATTTCACCGTCAGTTTTGGGTTAGGGATCTGTTTGTTTTCTAAACTACAAACATACCTAACTGCACATTGCCCCTGTGCATAGAAACTAGCTTTCAGCTCATAGGAGACAAGGCGGTATCAGTCAGCAATTTTCAATATTTCAAATGCCTTTGAATTCCACCTCAGAGTTATATTATTCTCTTACCTTAAAAATTCAAATATATTGAACATGTTTACAGCTGAGAGAAACTAAAATCTTAATAATCGATTTGCTCAAATTACCAAATATTTTGCTTCTTAGCAGGTTGGTCTCGTTCACTGACGTAAAATGTAGCAAACAGAAACATCTGTAATCGTCACACCTCAAATGCAAGTAAGTCTCTGCAAGATAAAATAAGATAATTATTGTTTAATCAATTTCTTGGTACCAAAAAGGTTCAATTTTAGGCCCCGTTCACACGAGCTCAGCACGGAGCTGCGCAAAATGGAACAGATCTTCGTCATAAGTGCGCACACAACAATGCATCGATTTTGATTACATCTGTGCTTTTTCACATAATCTTGCTTTTTTGATACTATCAATTGTGCCGTGTTCTAAATTTCTCGTTAAAATTCCTAGTCATAAAGAGAAGGGGATGCCCGTGGAAAAGAGCAGGATTTTAATTTATAATTTCAAAGATCGAAGAGCATTGAATTCAATACTCCTTACACAACAGCGAGCTTCTACTACATTCATTTTGATATTGGTGAAAAGAAACTTACCAACTAAATAATTGCTTTCAAGCCATTTTATTTTGCTACTGTGGTCATTTTTGTTTGAAAATTAACCTCATGTATTAAGCTCACGAAAAATTCAGCAAACGGAAATGAAAAGATTCTAGAATTGATCAAACTCCAGTTTGATATTTTCAATTTTCTGCTAATTTTGACAGAGCCGTCCAGTTTATGAACGGAAAGAACACATCTCTCTGATCTCATGTGAAAACTTGAGAGGATTCTACTGTTTTTAGGTAAGTTCTTCCATATCACTTCTATTATCCTGTTTATCTGCTGTGGTTCACTTTATCATACTACAAAGAGTTCAACACAAGCCACAAACTTAACATTCGTCAAGGGTTCCAACATTACAGTTCGTTTAAACTCAAGTATATTTGCCCAAATTGCTTCGTTTTGTTAGAATAAAGAACTGCAGATATGATCTTGCAAAAAGCGGGGAAAGGCAACATTTTTGAATAAATGATCATGTACAAAGTCATTTTTGAAAAAATTTACACAAAACTTTAAGCTGTGATTTTCAATTTACTTTCTAGTTCCAAACAGCGAGCAGGCTGGGTTGCAGAATTTGTAGACCACGAAAAGCCACATGCCACATCATTTCAATGTACTTTTGCTTGCATTGTTTTCGATGTAACAAGCAAAAGTTCAACTGAAACAACAGATTTGTTTGCTTTCAATAGGAGGACACGGTCTGCTAGATTATTGTTTGTTTTCAAGTTTGTTTAAACTCCCTGAGTTAGTGCATGGCTGCATTAGAACACTGCAGGATGGCGATGCTACATGCAACTGTGCTTTGCCTCTGTGAGTATTCAAATCCATTTAATTTTCTATTCCAGATTTCTTGGGCATGAAAGCATAGTAATGCGACAAATCGATAAGTTGATGTCTCTGGGAAAGCAGTTTCTGGACGAAATTCCTTATTCAGATTATGTTTGAACTTTTTCAGCTCTTTTGACACAAATCAACTGATTTACGCATCCATATATATGTTTTTGTCACTTTCGCAAGTAGAAGTTTTCTCTCAATAGTTGTTACCGCAATAGACCTCGCAAGCATCCATATATATGTTTCTGTCTCTTTCGCAAGTAGAAGTTTTCTCTTAATAGTTTTTACCGCAATAGACCTCGCAAGCATCCATATATATGTTTTTATCTCTTTCGCAAGCAGAAGTTTTCTCTCAATAGTTGTTACCGCAATAGACCTCGCAAGCATCCATATATATGTTTTTGTCTCTTTCGCAAGTAGAAGTTTTCTCTTAATAGTTGTTACCGCAATAGACCTCGCAAGCATGCATATATATGTTTTTGTCTCTTTCGCAAGTAGAAGTTTTCTCTTAATAGTTTTTACCGCAATAGACCTCGCAAGCATGCATATATATGTTTTTGTCTCTTTCGCAAGTAGAAGTTTTCTCTTTATAGTTGTTACCGCAATAGACCTCGCAAGCATCCATATATATGTTTTTGTCTTTTTCGCACAGTTGAAGTTTTCTCTTAATAGTTGTTACCGCACTAGACATCGCAAGCATCCATATATATGTTTTTGTCTCTTTCGGAAGTAGAAGTTTTCTCTTAATGGTTGTTACCGCACTAGACCTGGCAAGCATCCATATATATGTTTTTGTCTTTTTCGCAAGTAGAAGTTTTCTCTTAATAGTTGTTACCGCACTAGACATCGCAAGCATCCATATATATGTTTTTGTCTCTTTCGGAAGTAGAAGTTTTCTCTTAATGGTTGTTACCGCACTAGACCTCGCAAGCATCCATATATATGTTTTTGTCTTTTTCGCAAGTAGAAGTTTTCTCTTAATAGTTGTTAACGCACTCGACCTCGCAAGCGATCCGTAATCAGTGCGTGGAAACAGATTTCGTTTTTTGAGGATTCTAGTGTGCTATTTTCAATGAGAACTATTTGCTGTCATTATATATAAACAAATGTTGTTTAATTTAGTTTTCAAGGTAAGAGCACCAAAAGAAACGGTATTTCAAGCGATGACAGACAACTTCTTTTTGTAAAAGATGTTTTTGTCTGACCGTTTTTCAACGTTCCTTGCATTGCAAGTATCACAGTCAATTGTATTGCCACTTCCAGTTCGCTACACCATTTATTCTGTTCTTTTCAATATTTAACACCTCTTGGAGAGGGCTAAGTTGGGCTCGCACCCTTCAAACTTCAAACAGTTTGGGAAAGCTTCACCTCTTCAAATTTGCATTAAGATTCGATTATATAAATATCTCTTTAGAATGTCTCTGGAATCAATACAGTTCGGTTTTAAACTTCTTTAGACCAAAGTCTCGTCAGGGACGTAGTTGCTATAGAGGCTAAGGGGTGCCCTCCCGAATAATTTGTGGAGTAAGGTGTATAGTCAGCATATCCTGTGCTTTTTTGAGACGATATTGGATAAATGTATTTCGTTTTGCATAGAAAGAATAGTGTTAGTTGGTGTCAGAACATTGGCCTGATGCAGAAATCCAGTTATTTATCAAACCTGTTGTTTTATATAAAAAAGATCTTATCGCATGAAATACAAGTTTTTACTAAATTATTACTTTTTTAAATTTTAAGACTACATTTTTTGAAACAAGGTCCAAGAAATGTTTACTGCTATAAGTCTTCCACTGCACAGTATTTTCACTACCCTGGGTACTAGTAGAAGAGTCGGCGGAACTTACAAGCCTCTACTGTTTGACCCCCTTTTCTGCTGAAGCTATGGTACCCGGGTAAATTTACCCTTGGACAGTCCTTGGAAATTGTGTATGAAAGTTAATTGTTAATTTCTCTTTAACTATTGTGCATTGGACAAAACTATTCTCTCTCGCTTCAGTGGGCACTGGAGAGACACGTACCCACTGGAGCCCACCGCTCAAACCTTGCAGCAATGAAAAAACTTAACTTGGAATCTGTTTAAAGGGAAGGATGGCTTAGACCCCTCGAAACGAAAAGCTTTATTGTTATTTTTTACGTATTCATGGTTCAAAGGTGGCCTTGATTTAATTCTCTTTGTTTTTTATGTGCTCTTGGCAAAATGTTTCATTGACAAAAAGATTTTTTGAATAAAAGCTTGCAAGACCCCAAAATTTCCCACCCAGAAGATCAACGCTTGCCAGCAGCTTTTTGGATTGGAACCACTCCAACTAAGATTTTTTTCTACAAGTTGATTTCAAAAAGAAAAGGAGGATGCGTAATTCCTTCTACTGCTATGCCAAGAAAACGACGAATGCCAGTAAATATTGATTGGAAAATACCTCGACAAAAGACAGTTTCACCTAAAAAGCACCAACGTGGAGTCTATGATTTTGTCATTGATCCAATAAAACAAAGTTTTAATCAACTAGATTTTAAGATTTACCTTCAATGTCAAGAGCTTTTGCTAAAGGCATTACGTGATGAACATTTTTTGGTCGCAGAATCTGAATTTATTGTCTCATTCAATGCTGATGATCTTTTCAATGTTGTTTCTTCGGAACCTCAGCTCAAAGTTTTGTCAATGATAGACTAATCCATTTTTCACAAATATTCATATAAAGACAATAGATAGTCTGCTTATATGAATTATATACAGAATTTTACCAGATTTTTAAGATATCTAATAGAATGTCTACTTAATTACCTCAATCTTAGAAGTATTAGTAACGAAGGAAGGTTTTTATCCTTTGCTTGAGAGGTTGATTTTAGCTACAAATGCTACCTTAGTATCCCTAATCTGAACAGAATTCGATAGCCTTTTAGGTAAATTTAGACTGTACTTGGACAATGAATGTTTTACACTGCCCCATGGACCCAAGAAACTCTACTTTTACTTGTTAACTTTTATTTTTACTGTTAACTTATTTCTCATTTTCCTCCAGTTGCTCCGCTTATTTCAAAAGCTTCTTCCCGCATCTGGAATCTGATAAATGAAAAAATGTCTTAGGGCAGCCTATTTTTTTTTTTTAGTTCTTGTCAATAAAGACTTAGGTTTTGCCTCATGCTAAGACTAAGGTTTTAGCATGGTCATGTACCATGCTATCTAAATAACGATTTGCTAAACTTTTCCAGATTAAAGCGCTCTTGACTCAATATCGAAAGAGTCTTTCGCATTTCCCTATGACATCTCTTAACATTGACATTCTTTCGTCCTTCTTAGGCACAACCTTGGTGCTTGGGAACGAAATTGTTTATCCATTTGCTATTAACAATGGAGAACAGAAAAGAGAATTATTCACTGGCAAGAGTGGTAGGTTTATTGTTTAAAGTGCTCACGAAATATGCCACATTGAAAATTGTTTTTAGAAATCTAGAGTATGACTAAGAAAGTAGTAAAAGCGTTAATGTCGACAATGTAAACATTAAATGCCATTTAAGACACTGGCGTTGCTGTTCGGGGTGTGATTAAGAGAAGCATCCCGCTTATTTTGCCTAGGAATTTTCCCCAAACGATACGCGAGCTGGCTGGCTAAGTTTATTGACTTAAATGTATTTTCTGAAACGCTTGCCTTAAATTAAAGATAAAAAATTTTTCCATGCAAACTTTGCAAATTCAGCCTCAGTGTTTTGGCACCAAGCTGGACTCTCCCCAATTACATGAGAAGTTGTCGTTGATCAAGAAGCAAGTGGAAGTCATTTAACAGTAATCTTTGGCCTGGTGTGTCACAAGACTCTTTTTTAGCTCTGCTTTCATTCTTTTGTAAATATAGAATTTCTATAAGTAGAGAGCCCATCTGGTCATTGATGGCAAAGGTTAAGTACTTGGCGATAACTTCATAAGATGTTTTCAAAGCTTAGGAATAGATCTCAGAATTTAAAAGCGAATTTTCATGTTGGAAAAATTCTTGGTACTTTGAAAGCGAAGTCCTTGAAAAGTTTTATTAGCGGCTGAATACCCTCTCCTTGCATTGTTGAATGTTTCTTAACAAAATGACTTAAAACCTCACGAAAGAGCCACAGAGATTATCTTTCATTTTAATATTTTTAAGAATCACTCTTCGCGTTGAGGGCAGTCGTTGCTGAAAATCTGACAAAATAGATGCAATCAAAAACAGATCAAGCATTAAGCTTTGTTGCCACTAAGAGTTAACGTGTTATTGTTCAGAGTTACCGTGAAAATTAGCTCATGATATAATTTCAAGTTAGGCCGACATAGCGTGAAAGAGCACGAGATACCGTTAGCTAACTGCAAATTTAACCTAAGCACTGATCCGGTTTCCACTTGAGAAAACATTAATGGAGGAAATACCAAACATTACTGTGATTTGAGTCCTGCAAATTTTGCTGGTGCTCTAGAAGAGCAACGTCGTTTACTTATTCTTCTGAGAAGAATTAGAAGAAAATATTAACGATCTGTGCAAATATTTTGGGTACAATGATTCGAACCAAAAAATTTCGTCGTACTGCTTGTAAACTTTTTGACTTTTTTAACATTCTAACCTTTACCATAAAAACTGAGGTACTCTGACTTCTTCTATAAATAATTCTCTATTCTGTATTGAAAGTGATGTCATTTTGTTTTCTAATTCTGTTATTTATTTTATGGGAAATACATGGAGAAGACATTTTAAATGTCCAACTTACCCAGTAGCGTAGTTTGACCTTCAAGACAAGGGAGATGGAGATTCATGAGAAGTAAAATTCACCTACCGATAGACGATTTCACGGACAAATCACGGAATTCTTGCACCAACTAGAAATTTACCGACAAACTCATGAAGATTTAGAAGGGGGGGGTAGGGTGGATTGTTCACCACCTACACCCCTCACCAGCTACGCCCCTGAACTTTTCGCTCAGTGTAAATTGGTTGCTCATAAAGAAAAAATCCCACTCCTATGTTCGGCTTCTTTTGATAGCATGTTTGATAACATGTTATTAACTCATGAATTGGAAATTTTTGTTTCCAAGCTCATGAGATAACCTAAATTAAACTAATCTCGACTCCTAGTGAAAACCAAGCTTAATAGGGGCAAAGGTTTCGTGAATCTTTAATTAAAAATCTCTTTATGGTTTCTCAATTGTTATTGCCCGCCGTAACCAAACCTTTATTGAGTTCGTTTCCCTCTTCATTGTATTTTCGGCAAGGAAGGACAACCTATATACCATGGCTAATTGGTGCGCAGGCCGCAAACTGTAAACGCAGGTTATAAACATAATCTTGTTCTACTGCCTGACTTGGTCTGGCCAGCTGCAAATTCGAAACTTTTGCGCTGCAAGACAAACTGTTTTCTAATACTATTCCACAGGCCCCTTTTCTAATTCCAACTCTAATCCAATTTCTAAAATTTGAAAAACCTCCGTTTAACTAGTTGTAAAAACTTTGTTACAGGTTAAGTTGCACGGCCAATACGTCAAATGTTAATGATAGTTATATAAGAGATTTACTTCTTGAATATGCAAGTCTTATCTGAACACTTGCATCTAATGGGCTTATAATCCCGCTAAGACACCGTTGTTTTTGAAAATAGCTGCCTAGAACTTGCTTACACCGTTGTGGTAATTAGTAATGCCTATGCGGTTTGGGGTCTTGATAACGGAGTATTGCCCACGTGCAGTCTGCGAGGTTCGAAACACTGCGCCTAATCCGCTGGAGTAGGCAGAGAGTAGATAATGCTTGTTTTCTGTGGCAAATGCTGTTTACGTGCTTATTGTGGGCAACCAATATTCTTCGTATGAATGATTCCTGGATGTTTTTAAGCTAACTATTGTTGATATCTGTGAATAAGAAAGAAAATTTATGTGTTATTAAACCTCCCGAAATGCCTCAATTTATAGTTAAGATGCCTGATTATTCTTTACTGTTAGAATATTTTTATAATTAAAATTTCGGACACGATTTATAAACCAAGCTTTGGGGTATGCAATTTAGAATAAAGAACTAATTTTTACTTGTTCAGTTGATGTCAAAGGCAACACAATGGAATCTCAGAACAACGAAAAGTGAAGCGCCCCAGAATAAGAGCTTCTTACAGCGGGAGCTCGTTAACCCTAAAGTTCACTTAATCATCGAGAATTGAAATGTTACTTATGTCTCCTTTAATTTTTTCCTTTTTGCTTGCCCTCTCTTTTTGAGATATACAGTGTCTTGGACACTGATTTTTGTTTCCAATTCTAAATTATATGTGAAAATTAGGGACGTCACAATGCATCAATGCAATGATGGCTGTTTTCTTTTCGTTACTACAAAAATTCTAGCTATACTTTGAACTTTCTTTGCATGCATTAACGTTAATCAATGAAAAATCTGAATCTTTTTTTACAGGTGTACCTCACGCCGATGAAGTGATGTTCCAGCTGGACAGAAAAGGCGGCCCGATGATTCTAGAGATGAAAAGAAATGCGTTAGTTACTCATCACGCAGACTTTGCTTTGAATTTTCATTCATTGTTTGCAATCTGGTTACTTATAAACGATCATATGAATTTTATTTTGACTTAATGAGAACAATGAAAATCTATAGGTTTTAATAGAATAGAAAGAAGTAATGGGTATCATTTCTCAGGGTATGAATCAAAAATGACATATACCTGTTTAATGCTTTGTATTCTTTGGTAAAAAGCCTGATAAATTATGGTAGTGGTTTTTCATCTCTTAGTTTGTTATGAATAATATTATGTAAGAACAATAGAGTTCTAAAGTGTGACGTCATCAAAAACCTATCTTTAGAATTTTTGAATTTTAACCACATAGCGTAAAAGATCATCATGAAATACTTCCAGATATGCAAAATTGGCCAGATATGTCTAAAATCGGTTGAGATATGGCTAATGAAAGATTTGAAGTTTGCTAACGAATCACTGTTATTTTGGCTCTGTTCAGAGACCAAATTACAGAGGTTTGATGGGGAGAGAACCAGTAAACATGTGGCCATATCTCTGTCATTTCGTAATACACTTGCCTGATTTTTCACATTTAGAGGTATTTCTTGATGATCTTTCAGGTTATGGAGTCAAAATTCAAAAATTCCAAAAATAGATTTTTGTGACGTCATCACTTTAGAACTCTATTCCAAAGATTCATTAAAGTTTTAGATGGCAATTACAGTTTTTCTTATGAGCAAGCAAAAGATCCTTAATTTGGTAACTTTGATTGACCATTCAACAGCTAAGTCAGATTTGAATTAAAATCCAGTTTTGTTTTCTATTTTTCTCAGTGGATTTCATGCAAAGAGAATCGTGATGAGAACGTTTGAAGATGATGGAACACCAAAGATTGAGCAGGTATTTGTATCCCAAACTGAAAATCATTCCTATCTCATTAAAATTCTCAAGTATTTGTTCTTTTAATTAAAGTAACATTTTTGAAGAGGCCTCAGTGCTTGAAACGACTCTTTATCAGACAGCAATTGATTTCAGATATACTTTTTGATAATACAAAGTTGTAGAAATAGTTAAAAAAGATTTTTAGAACGTAGCAAGTCAATAATTACTTAAAAGCCAATGACTGTCTCCTATCAGATTCTATTAGTTCCTTTGAGGAAAAATAAGTTAAGCAGCCAGCCTTCTTTGTTTGCTGAGAAGATTTGATGTTCTTTTGCCACTCGGCAGCATAAAGGTGTAGTGACTTTGACGTCTTTATTCTTTGTAGCATTCACCTGATGGTTGCTATTACAGTGGAAAAGTAGCTTACAAAGAGGATTCAAATGTTCTGCTAGATACCTGTGATGGATTAAGGTAAACACCTTGTCGAGAAACTATTTTGTTGTGTTATGCGTTTATACACTACGTCTAATTTGAATTGAAAGGAATAAAATGAGAACCTTAATAAATGGATCAACTGATTGTTCCATGATCTAAGTTCACATGGAATTCTTTGCTGGCATATTTTATGTTAATGGTCGTTCAATTTTGAAGTTTAATGACAAAACCTGTTCAGAATATTGTATAACCACTCCTTTGATACTTATCTAGGATTATTAACTTAAGAAGCATCTAAAAAGTAGAAAAGCAAAATTACAGTAAAAGCATACAAGTTTTGACAATCTTCTACATAATTTTCTTGGTATAATTGAATTTGACTCAGGATTATTTGGGAGCATTGATTGCGGGATGCTTTCACATTAAATTTTGTAGTCTAAAGAGATAGTTTGTAGTTTGCACTTCGCAGACTATAGATTTGTTGATACATACGAGTATAAAAGTACATTTTTACGGTTTCAACAGAGGAACAATTGAAGATGAAGGCAAGGTTTTTAGCATTGAACCTCTTGAAAATGTAAAGGTTTGTATTAACATAGTTAATTGATAAAATTAGCATTGCATTGACAAATATTAATAAAGTTGTCTAAATGCTCTAATAGTACGTAGCGTCTTTATAAAACCTATTTCATTTGAATAAAAAGTTCATTTGTTTATAAATTTTCAGTTCTAATTGCCATTGTAGGTAGAATCGATAAAGGCCTAAAAGTCTCTAGCAATTGTTTATATTCGACAGGTCACTGGTGCTCATGTTATTCGTGAAGTTGTGCCTGATAAGGATGATCTTAACAAACGGATGCTTGGTAACTATCCAATCTATTGAAATATTTATTGTGTTGTTAAAAGTATATACATTATTGAAATAGCTAATGCTCTTTGATCTTTAATCGCGTTCTATTACATTGAAAATCCCTTTCCCCTTTTTCTATAAGATCTACCGGTGAATTTCCTAATTCTCTTTAGCAATACAGAAAGGTCCGAACCTTAGAGCTAAGATCATAAAATACAAAACTTTTATTCCTAAAGCCTTTGAGAAAACAGCCAACCGCTGCACCTCCGAGGCATATTCAAAGCAATAATAAGATGCAGTGGGCCATTTTTTGACAAGAATTTTCCTGACTTTTGCCAAGTCTGTTTCTGCTGCTTTTCAAAGCCTGTCTGTCTTGTTAATCGATTTTTATGATAATTTCAGAATCAAATTTGCCTTCAACGAATATAAGAATTTATCATTATATGCCATTCTTTAGTCGAAATTTTCTGTCTCTCTGATTTATTTGCATCAATTTGCATTTATTTATTATTTCCAAGGAATCCATCCTTTCAATAATGATTTTGTGGAAGTGGAGAATGATGAGAGTTATGACACTGTTTCGGCGACGATGGATGAAGCGAATGATGAGGTTTTACTGAAAGAGGTACGAGAAAATCTGTTTGCTATTCATAACGACAAGCTTACAGGCTACACTTTCTTAAACCAGGGTGGTACCGTATTTTCTTGAATTTATGCCGCATGTTCTATTTATTCTGGAATGATGTTTTTGCGGTTTTTACCTGCACTAAGCAAAGTAAAAGGACTTTGGCAAAAAGGCTCATTATTCTTTACGCAAAATTCCAATGTCGTAATATGTTCATCCTATTCTACATCGCGTAACACTCATGCAATATCCTTTATTATTCTCCTTGCCCATCAAACTTTTAATACCCCAAACTCAAGATCTCTTGAGCAAATGCTGGTAATATGAGTAATCAAATAATTAGAATAATTAAAACTATACCTTGTATAAACTACGTCAAGTCTTGTAGATGTAGTGAAAATATTTTCCTTTGCAGCAAATAGTTCCAGATATTGATCCTGTTTATGCCAAGTATCCTGCTACGAACAAGACACGCTATTGCGAGATGCTATTGGTCATTGATAATGCCATTGTGAGTCGCTAAATTTGTGCTTATTACAAATATCTTTTCAAGGCTTTTTAAAGTCATGTTAATGATTCTGTCTGCATTCAACATTGTAGCAATGAATTAAAGAAATGTTTGCATTTTTCAGTATGTTAGGAACAACAGAAGCAAAGAAATGGTGCTTTTAAGAATGCTAAAGATGATGCAAACAGCTGATAGTGTGCGTATTATTATTCTCTTCATGATTTGTATGCATGTGGTAACTATCTAAAGTTTTACTCAATGAAGACAATGCCTGTTAGAAGGGGCTTCTGCATTCTTTTTGGTCTGGCAGCATTGTGAGTATCTCATTGAGAATCTCTTGACATCAACTTAGCAATACTATCTTATTTGAGAGTGCAAAAGATCTCAAGTCTATTATAAATCTAGAAAACAGCATCTGGGCTAGTAAGTCTCATTTTTTAAATTCACGCAAGAAAAATTAATTGAGCCAGCTGAAAATGTATTAAGCGTCGTTTGAAGGTGAAATATTGCTGGAAAAGATAGGAGAGAAACTCAATTAATTCTTTGATTAAACATCTCGCCTTGCTGTCAAGATCAATTGGTTTAAAGATAAAGTTCTCTCAGCTTTGCAAACAATCTGTTCTCATGTAGAGCATTAGTGATTTGAAATTTGAGAATCTCTTTCTAATGGTGCTTTGATAGGAGCATCTGATGTAACCTGAATATACTTCAATTCTTGAGGATGGCTCATCAAATCGCCCATGCATTTATTCAGCCCTACTGAATAGTTTCTACTGAATCAATTTTAAAGGAGTTGTCATAATGACGCTGTTTTATTTAAAATCTATTTATTTGTGTTTCGGCCGGCTGTTTTCTATCTAAAACTTAAGCTAGCTGCCATATTTCACACAGGCGCTTTCAATTGCGCACATTGATATGAATTACTGTTTACATGAGAAACGCTTTTTAAATAACGAGGAATTTAAGCATGGTTCTTTAAGAAGATGTGAAGTTATAAACAACGAATTTGTTTATTTTGGTTTAAAAACTTTTTTAACTTAAAATGTCGTTTGAAAATTGAAATGAAAATTCATAAATTTATAATCGTACAGTGCAAATCAAGTTTCGTTTAGGTAACTTCATACCTTTATACTATACCGTAAACATGAATATAATTTGTCATATAAAGCTGGTATGTGTTGTAATATCATCAAATCGTTGGTTCAAACATAGGTAAACGAAAACAGAATAAATTTGGAAACCCCAACTTTACCAAACATTGCAAACAAAACTTTATTCATGCGAGGAGGGAAGTTTTCCTCAAAGCCTTGTAGATTGAAATGAAACCATGATAAATATGTAGCCTCGTTAAACTTTTTTTGATGTCCACTAGTCACCATTTTGGAGTTTGATATCATCGTAATTTGTTTAATAGTCACCAGAAAAAGACGAAATCTGTTGCGAAATTTGTTGTGGAACTTTTGAATTGGGGATAACTGATTAAAATGGCTTCTGAAACTATCGTGTTTTACAGCTTACAGTCCTCGTCAAGACTTCTTGACGACGTCACAAGGTTTTTGATGGCAGTCCCACTCCATTTTAGGCGTGGATTTTAGGCCAAAAACGAGCAAAAGGCGAATGTTTGTTACTGCAAAGTTTCTCAAGTACGTGGTGATCAAAGGCCTATTGCAAAAAGATATACAGTCTTTGCCCATTTGAAACTGATAGAGATTAAATTTCATTAGGTGCTGTTACAAGAAACTACTGCTATTTTAATGATGCTACCATTTTAGGTGTTTGCAGCTATCAATGTTCGCCTTGTTTTGGTAGGCATAGAAATATGGACTGACAAAAATAAGATCCCCTACGTTGAAACCGGTGGTGGGCAGTTAAGTGTATTTACGAAGTATATCAACACGAACCTGACTGACCTGGTCAGGTATGATGCTGCACATTATATGAGGTAGGTGATGGATCTTTCCAATTTATCATTCCTTGTAATTGTCACTTTTCACCAGAAACATCTAAACCGGGCGCACTAAGGACACAATGGATACCAGGATCACCAAAGGCTCCAAAGCCACTTACCCTCCTAACGTTTCGAATAAAAATCCTTTTTTCTATGAAGTGCTTACTTGAGAATATTTGGAAATGTGGCTATTATTCTTCGAGTTTTTTAATTTGCCGGCCAAACTTTCTGAATTCTGAATATTCTGATTCCCCTGATTCTCGCGAAGGTTATAAAATGTATCAAGATTTCAAGACACATCTAATCGAGCTGATTTGTTTATGCATAAATTCAATCAATCAAATAACCCGTGACAAAGTTGTTCTCTTTAACTGAGGTTTTGCTTATCCACACTAAAGTTGAACCAAGTCTTTTGGAGCTTCGTTTTCTGATACTGTTTATTTATCAATGTGCTAATATATGCAGACATTGCAAGGAATAATTTATAGCACCTTGGAGATAATGCAAAATAGGACAATGTGTAAATCAGAATAGAGCTAGGCAATACGAATGATGATGTACGAATGATATTTATAACTTATAAGTTCGAATTTTAGTTTTTCGCTCAATTAGCTTTTATGATATATTTTAGTTAGGTAAACTCAGCGCCACGTTTTTTCTCAGGGCAGCTTTAAGCACACCTAAAAATGTAAACTGCCAGGAGAAGAGCCTTAAATTCCCCCCCCCCCCCCTCAAATTTCTTAGCTAATCGTTCAGCGATGGTTATATGACACCGATTAGCATTTCATTTATCATGCTTATTCGACAAGAATGCAGCAGGCTAGTGCCTGCTTTTCCATTAAATTTCCTTTGCGTTTTCTTTACAGTTCAAGAAGCTGGGTTAAGGGCGTGATAGGGTACGCTGGTGTTGGAAACATGTGTGGAAGGAATCCTGCTACGGCTATCAACGTGGTAATTTTCATTTTAGATTTGCAATCCAAAGACTTAATTAACAATAAAGCTGTTCAGATTAAGATTTAAATTATTTTTCAATCGAATTCAAATCAAGGTATGTGTTAAAAGTAAGAAGTAAGCTGTGAAGTGTTTCCTTTGCACGTTGTTACTTATTTGGTATGCACAACTCGCTTTTTTAACAAGGAACCTACAATCCTTGCCTAAAATAGGTGGAACAGCTTCCCCCTGACGGCATTCGAACAGGCATAGCAAGTCTAAAGCTACCCTATCAGTATATCACTGTTGCTTCCAAAATTTTGACCCCCTGCCCCTGTACAATGTTGCTTTATTTTTCCAATTCCTTCGTACAGCTTTCCTTCAAAAATTTTTTACCTTCAGCATCAAAACAGCGAAATTGAGCAACATTTTAATGAATTTCCAAAAAAAGCTTTAGCTTTGCGCAAGTGTTCCAACAATTTTGGCAAGGATTGTAGCTCAAAGCCTTTAAGATTCTTTTTGACCTCTTTGATTACATTGTGATACCAAAAGTTCCTTAATAGTTACCCAATTTTGATTGCACGTCAGTGCCTTGAAAGTAGCACAGACGCTAGAAAACATTGAAGTTGGGGACATTGCTAGGAGAGGTTTCTTGAAAACAAGGCCAAAAACACAAAGAAATGTACTTTGTCATTTTTTAAATCATGTGAATGTACTTTGTCAATCAAGAAGAAATATGTCTTCACCATTGATATCTTCTGATACAATGCAGTTTTCACCGATAAAGACCTTACAAGTATCACTGTTCTTTTATAGTGGTCATTCAGAAGCTTGACCGGAACCCATGATGTACTCTCGCATGAACTTGGTCATAATTTTGGATTTGGGCACGGTAAAATGCCTTTTTGTGCCATTTTTCGCGGATAGTTTATTGTTGCCTTGTCATAAATGAGGCAATGTCTCTCTAATTTTGAAATATCAAAAGCTTGTGCTTGGAATTTATTGGGCCTTCAGTTCAATAGAAATTCCTTCAGGTAATGGCGAGTTGAAGATGGCTTTTAGAATCTTTGCCTGGTGATCATTACTGCTAACAAGAAATTGATTTTTATCGTAAAAACTGTATTTGCATTCCAAGATGCTTCCAGTTGCCTAAGTGACAATCTGCTCATTTTATCACTTTCCAGATGCTCCATCTTGCAAATGTTTAACATCACGAGGATGTATGATGGGTGGACCAAAGTAAGCAATTATTTTTATTTCAACTACCGCTGTTTTATAATCGAAATATATATCCAAAGCAAAGACGTCACAGAAATGGATTTTTATGATTTTGTATTTGGAACATATGGCCTGAAAGAACATTATACTTTAAATATGGCAATTGCAACATGCAAAAATCAGCTAAACATGAAAAAATTTTGAAATGTAGACTTACCAGCCATATTATGTAAATATCATCCTGTTACATATTGGTTGAGATATGGCTATACAAATACGAGCTCGTTCTCTATTTGAACCTTAAAGTTCCTCTATTTTAGCGTAATTTCAGAAGCTTTGTTCAGGTTATGCGGTCAAAAGTCTAAAATTCTCAAAGTATATTTTTACAGCTGCGCTTTGTTGAAGGCGAAAATTGTAGCCTGAATTTGCATTCAGATTTTTTCAAGCTGATTTCATGTCAGAGTAGCAGTGATAATAATGAATTGAAAAACGCATCTAGGGAATAAAAACTTGCATTTTAAGTATCCTTTCTCAAAAGATGCTTTCAGTAATTGATAGTTTACAAATTTTTTATTTGAATTTCAGATCCCGTAGAATTGGATTTTCTGACTGTAACATGAGGGAATTTTCAAGAAGATCATATCATTGCTTAAATAATTATCCATTCGGTGTATGTACTAATTTCAAAAAACACCCAAGCTCTGGTTTTTACAACCGCATATCTTTTAAGCCTTTTTTGGATATAAACATGTATTTTATATATGGAAGAGATATGAAAGACGCATAAGTTTTAAAGCCGGTAGTATATATTCTTAATTTGAAAAAAATTGTTGATAGATCAAACTTTTCTTTTTTGACACTAATTTTTGTTAGTATTAGCCTATTATGCACCTGATGATACTAACTGTGTGTTTTATCCTTAATAATTCCAGCAAGGGGATAGTTTCTCTGAAATTTGGAAGCACTAACTATCATTCAGGCTTTTGAAAGTTGTACCGCTTAAGCAATGTGTTATGTGTATTTAGTTTAACATTAGCCGCCATTAGCAAAAAAGCCATGTTATTGTCTTTCATGCCTTGTTCTTGCCTGTTTGTAGGCATAAAAGTCTACCTATATTCAGCACGACGAAGATCTATGAAAACTGCCAGATCTATTGTGAAATTTTTTATTGCTTATTGTGTATTATTGCATTTATGATGATTTATTGTTTTATTATTACAGTCATTGGATAACGTGTGTGGCAATGGCATTATTGAGGGCTCTGAAGAGTGTGACTGTGGATCTCCAGAGGTGTGCCCTGCCTTTAAATTTGGAAGTGATCCTGCTTTAAGGCCATAATTTCTGTAAAGTAAAGTGATTCAAATGATCCTGCCTTGAATAAATGCCAGTCTCTAATAGACTCCAGGCTAACTTCTCTAGTTGTGTAATAAGAGCTGGGGGCGTTTATTTAAGGTCTATCGTAAAAGACTCGACTTTAAGTAGGGCATTGTAAGTCATATTCTGATGTGGGAAACAATCAACATTGTTGTCTAAAAATTGAAAAAAACATCTAAATGAATTTAGTAGAAACATTACAAAGAATCAAAATTTTCATAAAACAGCTCAAGTACTATTTCAAAATGTTTTCTTAAAGGAATTAAACAAAATATAGCCTCCATAACACTTGATTTTGTGCAGTCGTTTTATAAACAGCGGGTCTCCGAAATCATCGCTGATCTCGAATAAACGCAGGATAGAAAATTTTGAAAAAGACACTGGAAGCTTTTTCACTTTTTTACCTCATCCAGTAGCTTGCGAGTTTTAATTACATGCTAATTTTAATGCCAAAATTGTCTTTAGATGTGTAAGAAACATGATAAGTGTTGTGAACCGAATGGATGCAAACTGAAACGGTCAGCTCAGTGCAGTGATTTTAGCACCCCTGACTGCTGTGATAATTGCCTGGTATGTAAATGTTTTCTATTTGATCAAATTCCAAACTTTTTTATTTTCCTCATTTGAACCGATTATCTTACATTTTAAAGCTAAAATGTGCAGTTCGTGAGTTCGAGTCCTGCCCTGATCGTGTCACTCCCACATACTCCTCTATAAAAAACTGTCCTTTATTTCTTTATCTAAAATATTCAATTGGAAATATTAGATAAATGTTTTCAAGACTATGTAAGCCCCCTAAAGAATATTGTTTCGAGATAGGATTGTATTTAGCCGTATTAACCAGTCAAATATTCGAAACCCTTCCTCTTGCGCTCTGGTTTCTCGATTCTAAACTTGCCAGGGTCGTTGTGCCCCAAAGAGAGGAAACATTGCTAATCAGGAAGATTTCCTAAAGTTGACTCGGGCGCTTAAAGAAATCTATTTATCTTCCTTCTTATTGATAAAAATGAATGCAAAATTGTATTTGAAGAGAAGTGTTAGTCTAATGAATTGTTTTTTCTGTCATCCCACGACAACGACGACGACGACCACGACAACGATGACGACGAGGATGAGGACGACAACGATGACGAAGAGGACGACGAAGACGACGACGAAGACGTCGGCGAAAACGACAGCGAAGACGACGGCGAAGACGACAGCGAAGACGACGGCAAAGACGATGGCTAAGACGACGGCGAAGACGACGGCAAAGACGACGGCGAAGACGACAGTGGAGACGACAGTGGAGACGACAACGGAGACGACGACGACGACGTAGTTTTTACCCATTAAAGTAGACAAATTAGCAATCTTCTGCTTGTTGTTATCTACCTATTTAATTCAAAACTGACATGCACCTGTTTTAGCATTTAAACGGTTTTTCAATTTCATTTATTTCCATTTAGTTTAAATTGCAAGGAACATTGTGTCGCCAGTCGCAAAATGGCTGTGACCTGCCCGAGTATTGTCCTGGAAATGCTGCTACGGTTAGTCACTCCATTTTGTAATAAGGGATAATATTTTTTCTGATTAGATTCATTTTTCGTTTATCTGCTTCTTTAATTTGTATGCTGCTTATTTTAGTGAAGGAGAAAATATATTTCCTTTATTTCTTGCAATCCTGGATTGATAGTCGTGAGATTTGACACCTCATCTCTTATTTCAATGTTGAAATCTCTCCTATGAAATACACACGTTTAGATTTTAATGGCTGAAATAGAATAACAATTGATCAATGCTATCTTTCTCAGCACATTGTTGACAGCACAAAAGTTTCCCTTTCTTGCAGAAATTTGCTATATGCTTTTTGTTTCACAGCAAATGTTTGTAGGATTGTTTGTAGGTAGAACAGAACTTTTTGTTTCTTGTACGCAATGATAGGTTAAATAACGAGTAAATAAATGCCTTGTCATTTGCATCGTTGCTAATGTTGCCAGCACAACTTCAGTTGTATAGCCCTTATTTTTTAACTTTGGTTTTCACTGTTTTTTGCTATTTCGATCTGAATTCAGTGTCCAGGTGATCTGTATATGGCAGATGGATCTCAGTGCAGCAATGGAGTTTCGGTGACTAATGTTTTTATCCTATTAACTTATCTGCTTGCGCCATGGATTTATGGACTTCATAAAAAGACTTCCATTAACCTGTCTGCTTTTCTTGCTTTCTAGTAAACTCATTCCTTTGTTGTGTCCTTGTCTCATACTGACGTTGTAGACCTGCTGTAAAAAACTGTGTTGACTGGCTTTTTGGAACGTCTTTATTTTGAATCAGAACGAGACTCACTTCACTGTTTTTAACAAAACAGTTTATGCATTTGTATTTTTTCCATCATCGTCAGATATGTTACCACTAGCTTTAGTAGAAATCTTTGCAATTTCAAGAGTTATTTATTTCAGCTTTTACCAGGCAGCCGTGATCATTGGAGATCGTATTATGTAAACCTCAAACCTCCAATCCAAGCACGATATTTGCGAATTAATCCAGTTTATTGGAAACCAGAGAGTTACGCTTGCATTAGAACAGAAGTTCTCACGTGCTCTGCTGATGAAGGTGGGCCTACCAACGATTTGAATTTCTCTTTGATATCTGCTATATTTGTTTATTATATGCTACATTTCTGTCTGTTATTTTCTGTTTACTGTACAGAATTTAAAGTATAATTTTTGTGCCATTGATAAGCCCTGGCAGAAAAATATGGGTAGAGATTTTAGCTTTTGAGAAATTTTTTCAGGAAAAGTTTAGAATTGTGATTTGATGATTGTTGTAATTGCAGTATTGCTTCAATGTTTTTTTTACACCCTGAAAGTTTTTTTTAGACATTAAAGCTCAGATATATTCTTCATAAAGAGAGCACTGTTGTAGACTGAATCCCTGTCGCAAAAAAGCCTATATGAATATACATTCATTACCATAACGGAAGAAAGGAAAGCACTGCTTCCTCCTTAAAAATTACATTTTTGCTTTCAGAAACTCTTAGCAAGCCGCAGCCAATTTCAACCAGGAATCTTTACTATTCGCGCTATTTTTGTGTGGCACCGGAAAGCACCTCTTGTTCAGAGAGCGCAGCCAAAGATGTCAGGCTTATATTCAAAACTGAACGTAACGGAGATTGCAACCAACCCAATCTTCTGTTTTCACTTGAGAAAGACGGAACTCTTCGTCACAACTGCAGTGGAAAAGTTGTATGCCCTATATCGTCAGGAAATCTAGTTTTGAAGAAGGATTGCCCTGGAGGAAATGGTCAATACGAGAGACTACCTGTAAGCTATCTTTGATAATTACCCAGTTCTGTGTCATCATTTTATGTACATGCAAAATTGAATCTAGTGTTGGCAAGCAGCTACCTCATTGGGGAGATTGGTTTGGGCAGAGACAGATACTCATCTTTCAGGTGCTGAGGAAGTGGTGTAAAGCCCTCAAAAGCAAACGAAATTGCCGACAAATGACAAAATTTAGCGCTTGAAACTGTGTTAAAATTGACCATTAAGCAAAAGCTTGGGGCTCTTGCCACGTCCCCCACACCCCTGCAATTTCTGTCCCTGGGTTTGCTGTTTGGAAGTTCAATTTTAGGGTTGGTTTAGGAGAAGGACAATTTACTTCTTTCCCTGAACAACTCGAATTCTTCATTTAAATATACTTCTGATAACAATACTAGTAGAAGTCTCATAATTCTTTGAGATTCCGGCCAAAGATAAGACATTTGAGGTAACAGATCTTCACCTTCTACGTTTGCAGAACTTTGGATTGAGACACAGAACAACTGGATCCTGCGCAGAAGCACATGACGCCTTGCCGCGAGACGGTAGCCAGCTGATATTGAGAGACACAAAGGATTGCAATGGTTATGATGATAGAACCAAACTGCATTTTCTTGAAGCAGGTAAACACGATTCTTGTTGTATTTGTCCACATTACGCTGCTATCACTCCGAGCAAGAGCAAGAAACAATGTATCACTGCCCTTTCTTCAATAATTCATTGGTTCATGATGCCAAATAAGTCCATTTGACCAGTTACAGTACCTTGAGTAAAACATGACAATGTGCAACAATAAGCTCCTATAGTTAGAGAAATATTGTTATTGAATGTTCTTTAGTAAAAGAGTGGATCGAGAGCTCCGTCTCATGAACCCTAGAGCTCCACACCCATGGCCCTAACAGCTCTTACCTTTTTACCTTTCAATGCTTTCTTTTCAATGGGTTTCGCGTTTTTTTGGTATGACCCTGGTTTTACTTTTTACCATCGTATCTTTCAAACGTAGAGCTTTCGGAAACTTAACGGGGAATGGTTTTTCTGCATTCTGAAGCAGAATCGCTAGCTTGAAAAACTGACTAATAGTCTAGTGAGGATTGTCCACCGTGCTATTAACGTAAATATCCCATTCATCCATTACATCATTTGTCAGAATGATAGGTAATAATTATAAGGCCAAGTCTATCATATCTTTGTAAAGAAATTGTCGACATTGGGAAAAATACAGGGCCAATTATCTAAATTGCGACAGCGTTTTTGAGATATTTAATGCGTACAAAACAATTTCTTTTCGCAATATTGCATTAGTTAATTTGTGCTTAGAAAAACGTTTTTGAATATGATATATTACAAGTCCTTCTTTTCAGACTGTATCTTGCCGGTTGGCTTTGAAAATCGAAAATTACCTGATTCTGCGCTGTCTGCATCATCACACCACCAATTACACCCTGCTCAAGAGGCGAGGCTTTGGACTGGCCGTGGTTGGTGCCTTCCTTCCAAAACATCAGGCAAGAAAGAGTATCTTCAGATTGACCTAGGAGCTGTAAGTCTCTTGTTTTTACAGATTTCTTCTTTGATGATGTGGCTATTTTGAAGTTGTAGGGTCTTGAAATACAGAGATATTCGAAAGCTCTGAAGTATTGTACCAAGTCACGAAATTGTTTATCTTGGTGATCCATGCTTTATTTTCGAATTAATCTGAAGTTCAGTGACTCAATATTGGCCAAAAGTTTTTTAAGATCTTCACTTGTGAATAAGCCTGTGTCCTCAGAAAATATTCTAAATTTCATAAAATAGTCATACAATCTGTAACTTTTTACAATATACAGAATGACTGAAATTGCAGTTTTGTCTAATTTTAGCTTATTTTGCAGGACTTCACTATTATATCCCTGAAAAAAGACCTGCCTTTTAAATATGAAACCCGTTCTAAGTATTCTAAAAAATGTCCTTTAATAAAACATATGTAATGGTTATTCAGGTTAAAACCATTGCTAACCTTAAAGTACAAGGAGCAGCAAGAACTTGGATAACACGTCTACGACTGTACTACTCTAACAATGCTCAAGATTGGACAGGGTATGCATCAAATGATGATCAAGACAACGTATGTTGTTCCCTTTCAGTAGTTATTGATTATTTCTGACTTCCTTTACTTGTAAAGAAGTTCTTTCCTTTCACGGAATTTCATTTTCAGTCAGGGAATGTTCTTTGATTTCATGGATTGTTCTTTTTTACAATGTATGTCGAATTCTCACTGAAGATTTTTCTTCTATCAGGGATTTTCTTTGGTTTTCAGTAAATATCGTTTTCTTCCCTGGAATAACCATAATTGGCTTTGTTTTCAATGTATGTCGTTTCTTCTCTGTGGTATCCTTGCTGTCAGGTGATTTCCTTCTTTTCAGGGGATTTTGTTTGCTTTCAGAGGATGGCATTTCATGGGATGTCTTTTTTCAGGAGATGTCCTTTGCTTTTAAAGGAAGTCTTATGTTTTTGGGGATGTCCCTAGGCTACGAGGAATTTTTTTGGACTTTGATAGATGGAGAACGCTACTTTTTAACCAAAATTATGCTGTCTTTATAGTAGCCATGATAGACTTTGTGAAAAGCGCTTTAGACAGTGAGAATCAATTGGAAATCATTATTTAACAGCATTGAATGTCAGTCAACTTGCTAAAACATTAGGTCGATGATAAAAGGATTTGCATGAATCTTATTGCCTATTGGTGTCTCAAACAATGTTGATCTGCATCTGTTTCATTAGTCATATATCAATAGTTATTCTTGAAGTAAATATAATTTTATTTCCATGTTTTCACTAACACGATTCTTATGGCAACCAAATTTTTTCCTTATCCTTAATAGATTCAAGTTATAGATTATAGCATTATCCATATGTCCATAGTCGATATGAGATTGTAAAACTTGTAAAGCTTAAATTTATACTGATTTTTCTACTTGGTACCTTTATTATAAGTAGTTTAAAAGCATTCGGCAGAAAAGGTAGCGATGAGCTGCATTCAATTCAGGTTTCCATTATTGTGTAAAGGACTTGAGACTTGTATCTTTGTAGAAAACAATGTCCTATTGCTACAAAGGCGATTGTATGGAATCAAGGAGCACACAGTGTAAAAATCTCTGGGACCCAGGTATACCGTGATTTATTGATGACTCTAGTCTTAGATCTTGATTTTATATGTGTCCTTGGGCTGGATAAATTCTCATCGACTTTGAAAACTCTCATACAAGCTGTTCAGTAACCGGGAGTATAAAAAAAACCCAACAATAGAGTTCTCAAGTAATGGCATCTTGAAAATCTTTATTATGTATAAGATAACATAGCCTGAAAGAGCATTATGAATTACCTGCGGATATGTAAAGCCAATTAAAGGTGTTACAAAGTACCTGAAGTAAAACCACATGAGCACAACCTCACTTCGATTTTGTTGCTAATTTATACAAACGAGGCCAATGAAAAAATAATACATTGTATTGCAAAGGGTTCTTTCAGACTATGCTGTAAAAAAGATACTAGCTATAGCCAATATTGTCATTTTGAGTTGTTAAAAATTATGCTATTTGATATCATTCTTTGTTAGATACTAAACCAATAAGAGAACTCTGGAAATTATTACCAAGATTTGAGTAAGAGGATAAAATCTTTGTCTATAGTTTGTCCCTGTATTGTTTTCTATTGAAATTCCTTTTTTAAGCTTGTTTTTTCTATTTCAGCAACGAATGTCGCCAATGATTCTTGTTGGAAGAAGTTGAACACAGAGGCACAAGGATATGGAACCTGTGATCCTTTGACTAACAAATCATGCGCACCACAGTCAGTCATCATTTTGTACCAATTCCTAAATGACATGAAACGTCATTTTTATTGACAAAGTAATGTTGCACAGTCAAGCACACAAAGGAAATATCACCGATGATCGTGTTGAAGGCGAAACTGGGATTTGCATCTTAGAACCGCCTTGCTCTACCTAACAATGAATAAACAGCTAGTTTGACAAAAAACTCTTTAACAAAAAACCCTACAGAACTTTAAATTCAACATAACAGCGTACTATGTACTACCTGCTTCTACCAGGTTCTTTAGATGCTACCTTCCTCAATGTCATTTACTCCAACCGTATAGCATTTTGATAAATTCATTGCATTTTCTAAAGGGACATATTCTGTGGACAGTTGCAATGCTCTTCACCGGAATCATCACCTTCACATCAAAAGTATGGCACTGTTTACAAACAATTCATTCTAAATGGAACAAAATGCAGGTAAATTTTAAGGTCTTCTAATTATATGTGAAATAATAAACATGATAAAGTGGTCTATTTTTGTTGACAATTTTTGAAAAGGCAATAGAGTTTCAGAAAGTATTTTTACCTAAATACGCTTTTGAATTTCAAACTTTTTTCTGTTTAGTATTTACTCATGACTTTGATGTTTTAGACTGCGGTTGCTACGGGCAGGTGGTTTTGTAAAAAGAGTAAAATTTAAACACAGAAATAATTAAAAAAAAACATTGTTTTATGACGTACATAGACATTGGAAGAACAAATTCTTTAAAACAGTATTTTCCATTCCAAATACCCCACATCCTGCATTAAGCCACCTGGGCGAATTTTCTTACGTCATTGAGAGGGATGGGCTTGACAGAGAGTGGGCTTACTCTAAACATTGTTTTATGACGTATATAGACATTGAAAGAACAAATTCTTTAAAAAAATATTTTCCATTCCAAACACCCTACATCCTGCATTGAGCCACCTGGGCGAATTTTTTTACGTCATTGAAGGAGATGGGCTTGAAAGAGAGTGGGCTTACTCTAAATATATACTGCCCTTAGTTTACGCCTACTGGTCCAATGTATCTAAAAGACGGACTTGTGGTCCCAGGACGCGTCAATCTATGTCAAAAGATTATTTTGTAATTTTGTAATACTGATTGTTAGAGGGGGTGTAAAACGAGAAGGGGGATTGTTTTTGATCGAAATGGAAGAAGGGCTTGTTAGAGATAGGGGGCCTAAACAAGAAGGGGGCGTAATAAATAATTTACAGTATACAAGTTGATTTGAATAAATTTTCTTTTTTGGAAGAAAAGTAATGAAAGGTAGTGAAAAACTAAAACTATTAGTGTAAATTTTACCAGGAAGAACTGTTGATGTCAGTAAACTTACTTTAAATATAAATATTCCTCAAGCCCAAACTATAACTCATAGGTTTAGACTTGCTTATCGATCGGATAGATACTCGCCTAAGCAACATCGTCCTTGCTGCCCACACATCATAATACTTATCTATTAACAATGAAAATTTGAATATGCTTGTTGATAATTATGTTACATTTCCACAGTGCCGCCAGTATAACAATACCAGGCTCTGCAAGCAACGATGAAGTAGGCCAAGGAATGGTTGCTGAAGGAACAAAATGCGGAGACAATAAGGTGACGTCACCGAGCTATTGAATCATTCCAAGTAAAAACTAAGAAAGCTAAAGAACCCTGACTCTTTTTTGATAGCAATATGGCAAGCTGAACCATCGTCTTGCTAACGTGTTGTTTTTAGTAAAAAGCCGAGCCAAAATTTTAGATTTATTCCTTAGCCTATTCTCTTGTTTGAATAGCATTACAAATTTCACGCACATTTGGACTTAATGATCAAAAGGCATTTTCGGCATGATGTGCCCTATCTTTGAAACACCTAGAAGCTGTGCTCATATTGTATAGCTTAGGTTTTGTTATTATCGAAATAGTGTAAGATAAGTTAAGGCGTTTAGCCAAAGTCTAAATATCGTACTTCAGTCTCTACGAAAAAAGTGCTGCATTTTCTAACCTTCTCATTTCTCTTGGTTCAAAGTTTGTTTTAGATGAATTTTTTTCTCAGCAAAATTTGGTTTCTGAAAGTTTATCAGCTCCATCGAGTTTGCTCGCATACTGCTTTAAATTTAGATAAATTTCAGAAATATTGCAGGCAGGAACCGGAGCAGTTTTTAAGCCAGGTGGAAATTATTTCTATGATGAATACCTTCTCATTCTTTGCAGGTGTGTTCTAATTACAAGTGTAAATCATTTTCGGAGCTCAATATCACTTCATGTGGTCTAGTCAACGGAGTTAGCTGTGCTGGTAGAGGAGTGAGTATGCTTTCTTTCACTGCTGCATCCTCTTCTATAATATTGATATCTAGGAGAATTCCTATCTCTACAAAGACTTAACTTTTAGTAAAAAATCATACCCCTGGCCATTTATCATTCTAAAAGACTTAATTGCAGAGTTGCAAAATTAAACATCATTTTTTAGATTTGCAACAACAAAGGTAGATGCCACTGCAATGGAGGATTTGATCCAAAGACAAACTGTGAGAAAGGTAGGTTGAACTTTTTCAAAAGATACGCATTTGCTAACGTAGCTCTTTTTGAGGGAGTTTGTCATATGCTGACTTTGTATTCGAAGTGGTTTGTCGTTTGCTATTTTACTATATATTGATGATTTTAGAGACATTGATAGGTTTTCATGTCAGCAATTTCCAAACGTTTGTGCAACAAATGGCAGAATATTCAGTAAAAATGGCAGAAATCCAAAACTATTCTCATTAACAGTTTTTACCTTATATTTTTTCACTTATATCAAATATTGAATTTCGCCTTTTGTAAAATTGTGAAGCATTTATTTTAAGTTTTGACACCTGATGATGGCAACTGGGGTCAGTGGAATCAATGGTCCTCGTGTTCTGCGGCTTGCGCAGGTGGAAGGAGAAGTAGATCAAGGTTTTGCGATAGCCCTTTTCTGGCACACGGAGGCAAAACGTGCCCGGGTGTAGGAAACGAAGAAGCAATTTGCAACTCAGAAAAGTGTCCTAGTAAGTTAAGTTCTAAATGTAGTGGATTCTATTCAATTAATTCAGTTATGTAATGACTGATCCGACAAGACGTTGTCTTTACTGAAGTTATAAACAGAAAAGTAGTATATTTCATGCTTGTCTTTCGACACTCATCAAGGTACAAACGTCAAATTATGGCTTAAGTTAAGCTGGGATATATCTTTAAATGTGGATCGAAATCAATCTGAGAGGAGGAATGACGCGTTTGATTGGCTCCTTTTCTGACCAATCAGCGACCGATAGACTCGCAATTGGTGACCTTCGACAAAGCGACGTCTTTTTGTATTTCCAAGATCATGTATCCCCATTTGGGGCAAAACCCATTGAAGGGATAAGGTAACTTAAAATAAGCTTGGCTTTAATGTCCTCAAATATATCCTTTGTTTTTAATTGATTTTAAACGTGCAGGAAAGCAAGCAAGCAGGTAAAGAAGAAAACGAAAAACAATTAAATGTCATTGTAATAATGATTCCAGACATTCTTTTGTAATTTTTGCCATAAACATTTAGTCTAAAGGTAGTTATCATCAGATGCCCCTTTTCTTACACTAAATTGAATGATATTATTTAAAGGTGGATGTTATTGAAATGTATGTGAGTCAAGTAACGAGAACTTTTTTCATGTAAAGCAAATCATGCAGCTATAAATCTTATTAAGTTTATGAATCTTTCATGCAGCATATAATTTATTTGTTTCCTCGATCTCTTTAAAGAGAATCATCGTCTGCTAATTCTTAAAACCACAGCTGTATAAAGGTATCGATGAGGGTTTATCTTTTGAAAAGTTCTATGGCATTGTCATTCTGCTATTTTTCAAAAGGTAGTTGGAAGTGATTTTAGCTTGTTTTATTAAGAAGAGGATTGTAATTATTTATTGGGAGGAAGCTCGATAAATATTGATCCCCCAAAATCATTGCTTCCATCAATAGATTCACGGGCATTCTCAGTTCTTCAATTTTTCCCTTTCATTCGTATCTAGAGGCAGAATCATGCAAAATTTTGATGGGAAAACTCCAAGCAAGTGGTAAACCAATGGTCGATGGAGTCTATGATATAACACTGCCTGATGGTTCACTGATGAAAATGTATTGTGACATGACACGTGATGGTGGTGGATGGACATTGGTCGTATCCAGCCATATAAATGACTGGACAACATCAGAGATGGTGAGAGAAAGAAATAAAGATCACCCAAGCATGTACAAAGACTATTCGATTCTAAAATATGTCGATCAAATCAAGGACAACTACAAAATTGACGATAAAAACTTCGAGTATAGATTAGAGGCACATAGAAGAGGTAAGATAAATCTGTTCTTTTCGCATCATTTGTCTTATTTATTGTTAGCTTTGTGACATCTAATGTTTATCTGAACGATGTAAAATCCTAGGCCTTTATCCTTTTGTAAATGTTTTTCACTACTCGGGATTGTTGCCAGTGATGTTTTCTTCAAATCTCGGTTTTTTGCACAAGATATAAAACTTTTATTGTCAGTAGCAACATCTTATCTTGTTTTTCCAACCTTGATAACTTTTGTTAAGCATCTCGTAAAACTAAAGTATCTTAAATGAAAAATTTTCTTTGACAATCACATAGATTGGTTTCTTCTTTTTCAATTGTTTGAAAAGTTGAGCTCGGTCGACTTGAATGTTTCCTCTTTAAAAAGTGCATAATATTTGATTTAATAGTTTTTGCCTTGCTTTTTTTACAGGGCAGTGGGGTGGCATTTGGTCAGCTCCTACATCCTACAGAGTTAACGGCATGTCTCCTTCACAGACAAATGTCATTCTGCTGAAGAGATTTAACAATTGGTCATACAGTGGGATAGGAATAGCCCAGAGAATGCCATACATTATTGGAAACAGGTTAACAATGCAGACAAATCATTGGGGGTCTATTACAGGTGTGTACAAAATAGAAAATTAGCATTTTGGGCGTTATGGATATCAAATGTAATCAAAGACTCCGTTTTTGCGACTCCTTGTTATCTGTGATGAATTGCATTTTGCTTGCATGTGATGGCAAAAAGTTTTATTTCACAGTAACTCGAGTTAAAGAAATTTGTAATGCAATTTATATGGTGCAGACAACTCTGTAGCTGTGCCAGTAAAAAAATGCGTATTTTACATCTAGGAATTTATTCTTGCAGGGAATATCTCGTCAGCTCACCCAGCGCCGTGGATTAATGGTCATTTGACAGAAAGGGAGCCTGAACACATTTGGTATGATCACCGCTATAATGTAATCAATCTGATTTAATTTTATGTCAAGCTAATTTTTTGGTACAAGCAAAAGACTTCATTTGTTCAAGCAAAAATTATAGCTTTATGATGTATCAAAGGGAATGCAGCATTTATTTGATTTTTCTTGTTGCTTTTCAGGTATTGGGTTCGTGAGGGAAAGCACAGTGTCCCATCTTCATGCATGGAAATAAAGTTACGCTCTATAACACATGGAAAGAAAGCAAAATCTGGACTTTACGAGATACAGAATTTGGAAGGAAAGAAAGCTTTGAGTACTTTCTGTGATATGGAAAGTTTTGGCGGTGGATGGACGATGGTTTTGAGCAAAGTTTCAAACAATGGATGGACTAAAGAGACAACTCTTTCAAGAAACACCCTCAATGCATCAAAAGATAATGATTACTCGATTCTGTTTCACTCTCAAGAAATTTTAGGCCTTCGAAAAGAAGAGGTATGTGTGTCTTGATGTTGATTGCTTTTTTTAGCTTAGTTTTTCCTAAAGTTGAAGTACGATGTAAATACTTTTTGTATTTTTGTTGTTCTTTTGTTAGTTAAATTTTCTAAATTGGTCGAATGAAATTAAAAGCTTTCATCTTTAGTACTGATGTAATTTTCCTCATTTAGACCAAATTCCAATACATGATTGAGGCTGAAGGAGTGAAAAAATGGGGCGGTGTTTTTGAAGGACACAACAGCGATGGACTGATAGCATGCACCCCGAGTAAATATAAGCCACGACTGGTTGAGAAATTTGACAGCTGGGACGAGCAGAAAAGCAATTTGATGTCAAGCAATCCATATGTAGTTGACAACCCTGCTTCGTATTTGACAACATCTCGAAAAGTAAGTGGATTGTATTCATTTTTTGGAGTAAGGAAGAAATACAACACCCGTTGAAGTTACTCGTTACTCTCGGGGAGGGGGGGTGGAGTTAGGAGGTGGGTTAGGAGGGGCAAAAATTTCCTCGGCCCGTGCTTCAATGGGGCCCGTAATAAAGTAATAAGATCGATTTACAATGCAAAAAGCTACTATTTCAGCTATTTATATTGAGTTTTTCACAGAGGGAAGCTATGTCCACATGTCCTTGATTCATATAAAATGTTTTTGCACATTCTTGAAAATCCTTAAAAAATTCAGCAATTGTTACTAGAAGGGGCGTTTTCCTAGTTCTCTGGAAAACTGAAGGGCGTTGCTATTCTCTTAAGGGGGTGCAGTTTTATGAATCACCCCGGGGCCCAAGCTGAATCTCGACTGTCCTGCTCACACGACTTAATCAGCTATCGTCTTGAAGGTATTCAAAATAAAATTTAATGGAAAATGTGTATCTCCAGGTTTATTTAAGATTCCATATTTTTGTAAAGAGCAAATGTATCCTTCGTAGATACTTCCTGGAACTGATGGTGTGCTTGTCTCTGAAACAGACTCTAACTTTATAAAAGGATCTATGGAGAAGCCGAGATTTGTCAGATTGTGGATCCGTGAAGGCTCAAGGTTTGCTTTTCATATCTTTATAGCCAAGATTAAAATTTCCAAATTTAGTGGTTTAATTCTTGCGTAAGAAAGCGCCATCGATTAAACCCTTTTAAACTTGAAAAATCTCTTGTTCCCAGAGCATTTTTTCATGTTAGTCTAGCATTTCTAGCATTGTGCAGTTAAACCTATTTTTAGGCCACGTGACTATTTTCTTCTTACAGCCAAGGTTCATGCAATCAAATAAAACTGGGAGGTGAGAGAAACGGTGCAGTGTACAAGACTGGTTATTATACTATTGAGGCAACTGGTGCTAATATTCTGACAGTATACTGTGACATGGAGTCGGGCCCTGGAGCGTGGACTCTTCTGGTCACAAGCACAAGCAACAAATGGACCGCGTCACAGGTTGGCAAGACACATTCATTACAATACATTGACCTTCAACGTATAGCTCACAGATAAACTATTAATTTCTGACCAGTGATAAAGTGATGTTGAGAAGAATTAAGGAAACTACAGGACACTTTCTGAAGATACCTTTCTAATTTTATTGTAAAATATGTGTTTTCATTTTGAATGAGGTAAATCCGATTAAATTTACATGAAATGAAAGCCAGTTGTGAAATCTCATATTCTTCCTTTAGTCTTCCCTTTACTTTCCGTAGATGCTTTCCCAAATGACATGATGTAATTCTTTGCTTTATGTAAATCTGTTGTGTATTCTTAAAAACCTATTTCCACCTTTGCAGAATTGTATCTAATGGTGGTATCCACATTTATCTAGGTTCTTTCCCGCAATGAAGATTTTCCTTCCATTTCGAATGATTACTCTATTTTGCACGTTGCCGACAGTATTAAGAATTTATCAAACAACGCCACATTCAAGTACAAATTGGAAGCACGCACGTTTAATCATTGGGGTGGTATTTGGGCTGCACCAAGAGAATACACGTAAATTTATTTTGCTGAATACATCAAAAATGGTTATCTACACATGTTATGTTGACAGGCTCTATGTTTTATTGGATTTGTTGTGAATAATGGCGAGAAATTGAAGAATCTCTAAAATGGAATGATACTGTAAGCGAACCCTCGAGAATAGCAATAACCTCACAAGACCGAAAGCCACTGTTCGATTTGTTTCTTTTGTTTGTAGTCATCTGCTAAGTTGACCTGTTTTATATAAGCGACTTTTCATACCAGTCAACAATTACTGTTTTACTATTCAATATTTGTAAACTCACTCCTAGGCGATCTTATTAATTCTTTAGTCTGGACGGATTTAACATGATACCTTATTACACGAAAATCACACGGTACACTAATTAACGCGAATTGAAAAATTCCGCTAATTTCGTTAATTTTTTACGTAACTTTTCAAATTATTGAAAATAGCCAAATTTTACCATTAAATTTTAAATAAATTACTATATCAGAAAATGAGGATAATAGAAAGTGTCCAACACGTGTGAACCGGAAAGTGCTCTTTTCACAAGTTTTTTTAAAAATAAATCATCTTTTCCTAGTTTTAAGTGAGCTACAATAGAAACTTAAAATACTTTTTATAACATTTGAATGTCCTCATTATCAACTGTTGTCCTCTGAAATCCCTCATCCTCGTCACCATCTTCACCTTGCTCAATCAATAGTTCTTTTCGAGTCATCAAAATACTTTCTGGTCTGGGGATTCACTTGCACTTTATGCCCAATATTGACAATTTTTCAGGCCCACCCAATGTGACTGATACCTTTATTAGAATCACCGCTTATTTTTGTGTACAAGGTACTTTGCAAAAAAAGTCAGTGAAAATTTCAGTTAATCTCATTTTGCTTTTAGCTTCCTGAGTAAATCAAACAAGCAAAGTCAGGTTACGTTGTTAACTCAGTTTGACGACTTGCGAAGCAGTGTGAAAAACCGAATGCCTTGGTTGGGTAATGGAAACGGGTTGCTGACGACTGCAGATTCTTCATCCAGCTCGTGGTGGGGAACGATCGTAGCCAGAAACGATGAATACAGACCAGCTCCATGGATATATCCAGTCATGATTAATCCTGGTACAATCTGGTATTGGGTTAATGAAGACGATTGCGATCCGGATCGCATGCCAGGTTCTGATTCATTAGCAGTTGATTTTTTTCATATGAAAAATAATTTACACAAATAAACATTTAGTTCATTTTTTTAATGAAATCTGCTGATCTGCATGGTCTGTCTTTGCTGATGTTCAGAGTGTATCTTTGACTAGCTTTAGGTATGAAAATGGCTTAACGGTTGGTGTCATGGGCTACAGATCTAAGGATCTGACGACTTTTGTTCCAGCCGTAAGGAAACTTTCAGGCTGAGTGAGAATAAAAGCCAACTCGGTATTTCCTGGGGTAGAAGTCACAAGATCGGGTCACATTGAGAGAAAGGGAAAATTACTGCTCGATACTACCTTTGTGTCCCTTGAAAAATACTACCTTTGGATCCTGGGTAAAGACGAACGCAAATTTTATCAATCTGTTTCTAAACTACTGTTGCATTGTATTAATCATATCAAACTGTTATTACTATTTAGTTGATGGTGGCCTGACAAAATGGAGTAGTTGGACACAGTGCACATCATTCTGCTCACAGGGAACACAGGAGAGATTAAGGTCATGTTCTGCACCAAAACCAAGATGTGGTGGAGCCGTGTGCGATCCGAACAAAGCAAGAAGGGAAATTAGAAACTGCACCGGAAAGTGCCTGTGTAAATATCCTTTTTGGTTTGATTTTGCTTGGCACTAACTTTCAAATCTTTCGAAGGGGTTTTTAAAGCTATTCTTGCTGATTGTAACTGGATTTAATTTGCAATATTTGGTAAACGCCTATATTTATCAAACAAAATGTCCGGAAAGCGTAACATTGAGCCGGATAAAAAAGGCTTTTTTCCGGGCTACTTGACTGAGTGAGTTTGGGAAGTATTATCACAAAATAATCTTAATTGCAATAATTTTGAGTTGATCTTTCCATGGCCTTCTTTCAGTTTATTCGTATTTGACTGAATCAAGCATCCAATCTAAAAATCTTTTCTCATTTGAATCTTGTAGCGAGTCCAATTCGTAGCTTCGATGAAAAACACTGTGTTCTGCCGGAGACTGGAGGCTGCAGCCCGGATGACTCTACTGAATTGATTTGGAAAAGTGGCAGTGAGAAATGCGATCTTCCGGAGGCTCAGTTTATTTTTGATCCAAATTATGGAAGCTTTGTTCACAAATGCAGCGGAAAGCCTGTTTGTCCAAAGGGAAACATTCAGCACCTCACCCGTTTGCAAATAAACTCAAATTGTCCGAAAATGGCCTTGAAGAAACGATTTACAAGAACACCGTGTACGGATTTTGACCGATTCTTCTCAATAATACATCTCAATAAATTTGATTTTTTATTCACTGTTATTCACTGATAACAATATTATCGTTATTCTTAATAAAGTACCACACGCAACGTACATATTATAATTTTATGATTTCCTTACTATAAATCCCCGAATTAGAGTTAAAAAGTAATTTTGGACATTTATTCGGCCTTTCTGGATGGGGCTAACTTGAGGGGGGATAAAATTGGAGTGAGGGCTAATAAAAATTTCCTGAAATTCACTATACAAAAGCTCGTATTCAAGGCTTTATTATTTCTTTTAGTTTACTTTAAATAACGAAACAAGTCAATAATGAAAGCAAAACCATTGGAAAAGTGCTTTGATTTTTTAGTTTTCAACATTTCGTTGAATATGGAACCTCATATTTAACTAAAATCATATAACATGTTAGTATCAGGATTAATATATCATTTTACCAAGGGGAAAATTTCGAGGATTTATGGTAACAAGGAATTCTTTAAGGGGGTAGGGGGAGGGGTGAGAAAAAGCGAGAAAAAGAGAAAGAGAAGCTTAAAATTCCGGAACGATTATAACAGAATTCATACATCTTTTCTTAGTTAATTAGATATAGAAAACTTTTTAGGTCAATTCACTCAGTAAAGTATCTGGACAAAAAAAGGAAAGTGCAGTTGCCATTTCAGAAATATATTTACATAAGAAGATTGTGATCAGGCAAACAGAGGTTAACGCACTTCTTAAAATTCGTCTCGTTTTGCTAATTGATAATTCGGATAAACTCCATGGCAATAGAGACAGAAAGCCCGCAGCCAGCTTAGCTTGCAGTATTTCAAATTATGGTTGAAGATAATCGTTTTTTATGTATTCATTTGCAATTTCTTTTGCAGTTGGAACAATCCATTTCAGTCACATTTGTATTCACCCGGACGGAGCATGGCCTAGGGATAACATGAAACTGGTTTTCTGGAGCGGCTGTCGCGGTGATAGGCTGAAGCTGAGTCTATACAAAATCGGTAATATTGAGATATGAGATTCCGTGTTGATTTTGAGATTATGAGATTTTGTTGCCTAACTACAAAAGTTATAGAAAAAATGTTGCGTGGCGTCATCAATCTTTTTTATCCTTATTTTTATAAGGTTCGTGTTAACAGTTAACCGTAACTAGATTTGCCGCATTATTTATGCTTCAGGTCGCTTGCAGCATCATTTGGTGCCATCTCCTTATTTATTATTCCAAAATGTATGCATCAATATTCCAAATATATGCATCATTATTCCAAAATATATGCAAAGAGCCTGAGTGAAGCAAAGGGGTTATAGTTCTCACCATTAAAATCATGAATTCAAGTATACAGTCGTCTTAATTGCAGCTCTTCTTGATCCCGGTTTGCTAATACTCACGAGAGTATAACTCTGCCCCGAAAGAGCAATGGGAGAGGCTAGCAAACATAGTCATCCGCTCCTAACCTCTATACCTTTTATACCTCTATAGCTTGCGGCTTTTCAAATGTCCCAACATCGTCTTGTTCTTTGATCGCGATCTTGTCCCATCTTCTTGTAGAACATGGTCCAGTTCATGTAGACGTTTGGTTCAATATAAATATTGTAAATAGGCGTATGGCCGACTTGACTAGCGACACAAGATTTCCAAGCAACCCAACAACATCTGGATACTTGGACAATTTCGACTCTCCTTATTCTCTTGGCAGTAATTACGGGTTGCGCCTATGGAGCTACTTTGCAGCACCAGAAAGTGGAATGTATACATTCTATGCAGCATGCGACGACTTTTGTCAGATATTCCTCAGTCCTACTGTTTACGAGAAAGATAAGAAAAAAATCATCGATGTACAAGGCTCGACATTACTCTACCAGTATGACAGGTGAGTCACAGATTTTTCACTGCCTTAAGATTTGGATATTTTTCATCAAAACATAAAAGCAATTTCTCAAGATGTATGTGAGACACATATAACGTTGTGTTTCAGCTGGAAGTATAATGTTTAGGAACCAGTTAAAAATTTTGCATCCAGTTCATTCATTATTGCACACGTCTCTTTAAAATAATCACTTTTGTAATGATTCTTTTGAAGTTTATATATAGCTTTTTGCTTTTGCTTTGCCCAATTTTTGTACCCTGATACTGAACCTTTTTTAAAAGACAAACGAGTCAGAAATCTAAGAAGATTCAGCTAGAGGCAGGAAAGCTATACTATTTGGAAGGACTTCTCTTGGAAATGGGTGGTGGTGATTTTTTGAGCGTTGCTGTCGATCTTCCAAGTGGAAAGAAATTGATCCCGCTTTCGTATTATTATCTGAGAGCCAAGGCTGAGTCTTGAGGTAAGAAAATCAAGATATTCCTGCCCTTTTAAAAAAGATTAGAGCTTAAGGACTAAGATGTGGGGAACAAAGATATATGTATTGAATGTTTCTTTAACTTGACCTTTGATGTATAGATTGAGTCAAGAACCGCGCAGCATATTACAGATTGAAGGGGCAAAAACGTCTTGGGGGAATACAATTGCCAAAAATCAAGAGTAAGGCGATTTTTTGTATGGAATTAAGTACACTTTGGAAATGATTGTGGTTAAAGCCCCAGTGGCCTCTCCCCCATATATTGTCAAATAATAATAGTTGAAGCCGGTTGTCATTTCATTGGGAAAATCCTAACACTTGCAAACCTCACTATTACAAGGTAGTTTGTTTGCGGCAAACTTACATTGAAAAACTATTACAAGTGCAAAAAACAGTTGTTCACAGCATAAATATAAGCATGATGATGTAATGATGGTGACGATGTTGATAATGCTGATGAGGATGACAGAATTAGCGATGATGTTGATAATGAGAATAAAGATTGTAGTGGTGGTGGTGGTTGTTTAGGTGAAGATAGAATACTAGATGAAAATAGGCTCTGGGTTAGGCCAAGGTTTGTTTCTACGGCAGAATATAAAGAAATGATAATAGTAGTATTAATAATAATAATATAGGCATTTTTAAAGCGCCGTATATCCCCAGGGCTCATAGGTTATATATATATATATACATACAATTTTTAGTTAATGTAATACTGAAATGATTAAGATTACGATTGTATGACTGACTTAAGCTACTATTCTTACTCTTTGAAGTAAAAGAGAGGTGATGATTTTTTTTATTTTTTAAAAGCAGCTTATGATCAACGTAATTATATATTCTCTCAAAGTATCAGGACTTGAGGTCTATGACATGAAGAAGCCCTGCCAAATAAAGGCAGGGTGTTATTGTAGACCATGAAAATAGAGCTAGTTCATGGAAATTTCATAAAGAGTAAAACATAATTAAGTAATTCCTAAAGAATATAAGAATAGTGGTACTCGATTGAAGTGATGAGCTTGTACTGATATCGTCTATGCAATAGTTTTTTTTAAGTTTTTTTAACGTGTTTGTTACTTTTATTGCATAACTCGACAGGATATAGAAAATTTTTGCTGGGTCAATCTCCATCTTCTCAACTAAAATTTGAATAAACTTTAAGGAGTTATCTCTAGATAACGCTATATTGTAACATGCATTTAATTGTTCTTTTTTAGATGGTTAACTAAATTTGGCCAAGAAATCATCCAAGGACTTTTCATTAGTTCCTTTTTATTGATCATTTTGACTTTTATTTAAATTCTTATTTGGGGGTGTTAATTTTTTGGCAAAGTTTAATGGCAACGAGCCTTGGCTGAAAAATGCAATTTAATCATAGAATAGAATTAGGTTAGTGTTTGGTATTATCTCAACAGTAATTAATGCGGTAACTTCACGAAACAGGCTTTTGGTAGTCACTGTAAAACCGACAATTATAGATCAAATAAAAGTCACATTTGTAGATGTCACATTTGTTACAAAATGAGTGAAACATCCTTTTTTTGCCGAAACGTTTGAAAATTCACCGAGAAACCACCCTCGATGGCAAAAAATCTTGTTTTAAAGTTTTCAGTTGCAATTTTCAACTGTATATCTGGAGGTTTAATATCTATTAAATTCATACTAACTGCATGGCTCTGATGTGTGTTCTCGTCTTGGTAATGGTATATTTACGAAAAGGTCTTTCGTAAAAGTATAAAACTTCCCTAATATTCCCCAATTCCCATACTATATATTCTCCGATTCCCCACTATTCTCCGTCTCTTTTTGCCGATTCCCCATTTTCCTAAAAACTGGGAAAAAATATCTAGGTGAAAACGATTTACCTCATATGACAATATGACTTAAACGTTGAGAGAAGCAATTATGCTCCGTACACAGCCTCGTAATAGATTTTTTTTTTTAACAAATAAATTCTCATCAATGATTCAACATTTGGCGCTGTTTATATACCGAAAGGCCGCCGGTTCACAAATGTTTAGAACAAAACTTGAAAAACTTGAATCTTTTTATTTTTCCCAACAATTTTAACTAATCAATCCGGGATACTGTTTGTACAATTTCTATGCCTCGTAATAGATTGAGTAAACAAAGAACCTGTGAAAATTTAAAAGCTTACAAAATACAACAAAGCAAGTTCGTTAGAGTCGCACTCTCATTATGGAATTCTTGATATTAACTTTGTCATCAACACTAACAAGTTTTCAAGAACGGTAGAGCCATTGTTTACTGACAAGTTTCAAACCTTCTCAAGTATCATACTTGTTAAGAACTAAGGACTAATAAAAAATCACAGTCGCTGTGAATTTTCTACATTTTTGAGAAATATCACAATGACAATTTATGCTGCCCCGTGGATGCATACTTGCTCAGACAGACCACTTTTTACACCCTGTTGAGGTTGCTATTGAAAAGTATATACATCATCCAAGCATACAAAATATCAAGGAAAGGGTAAAATATCTCTCTCTCTCTCTCTCTCTCTCTCTCTCTCTCTCTCTCTCTCTCTCTCTCTCTCTCTCTCTCTCTCTCTCTCTCTCTCTCTCTCTATCTATCTATTTAACTTGCAACCAGTCATCTTGAAAGCAAGATTTGCCCGCATGAGGTTGTGAAAGACTAGAAGCTGACGTCAGTTGATGGAACTGCAAAGTGCAAAACAAGTCCTGTGTTCTGCATCTCGTTAGTGTTAAGGCACTATGTCGTGTTAGTTAACCGTTCTGCGATACATTGAGACTCTTGCTTTTTGATCAGGTACGTATCAAGAAGTCTATTGAATGCTCCAAACGAGAGAGATTTTGATGTGGTCATCGGGAGACGATTTATTGTGGGAAGACGATTCTAGATTTTTTAAAGGGCTGTGATTTTTTTCAATTTGCATGAACCAATGATAAAATGCATCAACCTTATGGACAAAGTTTCAATCTCAGTAGTTATATATCATAATTGTAGCATATAAACAAGTTTCATTTTCCTTCTCCTCGCGACACTCTTTCTAGATTTTATTCGCCTATTGATTCGAGACTTGCTTATTCCAACATGTGCCCTGATGTTCCTACCACAGAATCTATTATGCGAAGTGAAATCAACGTCATCAATTTTAACTGCGTTTGTGCAAATAATGTAAAATTTTGAAAGCCAATGGAACTTCAAACAAATGCTGGCCCGTCTCCCCGGCCATTCAAAAACATTTCATTGTTTTCGATCTATCAAACATAAATTCCATGGAGAACACAGCTTTTGTTTGCTGTCAATAGGAAAACCAGGTCTATTAGAATATTATTTGTTTGCCATTTTTGTTAAATACCCTGAGTCATAGCACTGCTGCATTGGACCATTGCAGAATGAAGATGCTGCATCTTGCTGTATTTTGCCTCTGTGAGTATTTCAATCCATTTAATTTTGAATTCCAGGCATCATCACTAATTCATTATAAGTATGATAACTTGAAATGTGTGCTAAGACTACTGGACATCACCTAAGAAAGACTTCCTCATTTGTTATCACTCCAGCTCCTATTTAAAAGAGAAAATAAAAAAAGATTGAAAACGAACTTCTTATATGAGATTTCGCAAAAAATGAGATCTCTTTTCAACTTATTCATGCATCAAGATATACGTTTTTTATTCTTCCGCGACTAGCACAAAAGCAGCTGTTTTTACAGTCTTGCGTAAAATTAAGTATTTGAGAGTATCGAAAGAGGTAGTATTTTGGCAACTATTCTGAATAAGGTTCTTTGACTTTGCCTTTTCGTCAGATACTCTTCAGAGTAAGAACGTCAGATAATGACCGAAAGTAAGCTGAAAATTTATGCCAATGTTTCCATCGAACGTAGCGTGAGATAAAGAAAGACGAGTAAGATCGGTTCTTTTGATTTTTATCAATTAGTGGCCGTCCACCTCTGACCTAGTTGAAGAGTCCAAGAAAGGAAACGAACTCTTTCTGTCTACACAGGTCAGGATCATTTGTTTCTTTCGATCTACATCTGGATGTAAATAAAATTTTCAGGTTACTTTCGATTATTATCCGACGTTTTTATCCTGAAGAGTGTCAGACCAAAAGTACTTCAGTATGCTATGTTTCTCTATTAAAAACCCAGTCCTAAATTTGATTAAAAGCAAATAATTTTTGCATGTGCCAACATGGCGTGAAAACACAAGGACGTCTTGTTCCCCACTACGGATGACACTGACAAAGTTCACAATGATTTTATAACAAATAAATTGGAAAACAACGGAAGCAAGAAAACCACTCAGAAGAAAGATGAGAGATAAACAAAAAGGGTGCGACACTGGGCAATTCTTGAAGCTGCTTAGTTTTCTCCAAGTTTCCTTGCTACCGCTATGCCATCATAGACGAATTATTCTGAAGGATTTGATATCAAAATGAGAAGAATATGCCGACTTTTAAAATAAGTCATTTTAATAGTTGATTATGATCCTGCCTTATTATCCTAACCCCCAATCAAACATATTGTATACTGTAGGCCCATAACATTGGCAGGAAACATCTTAGCGATAGATTTCTGGATTTCAGATGCAATTGTTCTTTTGGAATACCTTAGTATTCTCTTAAAGTTAAATCGAGACTGTATTTAGACAAGTAAATGGTGTGTTATAATGTTCCACGGAACCAATAACTCTGGTAACTCATTTTTTTGCTGCTATCGGATCTCTTATTCCTCTCCAGTTACTCCAGTTATTCAACAAAGATTTTTCCTTTATCTGCATTATGAAAAGAAAAGGTAGAAAGCAATATATGTTTTTTGTTAGTTAACATAAATGAAAACCAAGATTTTGTTTCATGATTTGTTGCTGGATCCTTTCACTGGTATAAGACCAGGCTGCCTGAATAATGTCTTGATTGGTCGTACTTTCTCAAGATAAAAAAGCGTTGAAATTCTTTCGTACATCTTTAGGCACGACGCTGGTGCTTGGAAACGAGATTGTTTACCCATTTGCTGTAAACAATGGAGCAGAAAGAAGAGAATTGTTCACTGGCAAGAGTCAGAGTGGTAGGTATATTGATTCAAGGGCTCACGAATATGCCACGTTCAAAGTTATCATTACAGATTCACAGCAGGACTACAAATATAGAAAGCATCAAGAAGGACTCCTAGCAAAACAGATCAAATATTCCTTAATTAAGAACAGCATTCGCTGAGGGCTTCAATTTGGGTTCAAGAAAGACATTCAACTACCCTTGTTATAAACGTTATAAAGAATGCCTATTTTTACGAAGGCACCTAGCTTGAGTCTGCCTGAGAAAGTCATCTTACTGTAATCTTTAGCTGGGTGTGTCACAAGACTCCTTTATAGCCCCTCTGAATTCCTTTTTCAAGATGAAAAGTTTATTCAGTTCAGGTTGAGAGTTACTCTTGTAATTGATTTTCATTAGGGGTTAAGAAATTGCTTTCAACTTGTTTTCAAGGGGTACAAATAGATCTTCTAATTGAATTTGGATTGGAAAAACCTTTGTCCATAGAAAGTGGATTACCGTACTGATTCGATTACAGCCTGCAGCTTGTTATTATTGCTGACACGTTTTCTGCAGTTTGAAAATGCTGCACGCAGCTTACTTTTATTACTTCCAAATACTGCCAAGCTTTCCTGCTACCTCGAAGCTGAATGTGATAATGTAGTGGATGATAAGACGATATTGTTTTTGGTTAAACTTCTAATTTCCAATTTTTAGGTTCAAGTTCACAGTAATGTTTTGTCAGTTTTGGCTGCCGTAATTTCAAAACAAGTATCCTTGCTTGGTTTTTTGGGCGCGGCTAACATTTTTTTGAACCTAATTTGCTGCGGCTTTTGAACATAGGTAGCTTGCATAAACGAAAAAATACGGTCAACATCTATTCTGTGATACGTTGGTTGCAGACAGGTTATAATGGCATTCATTTTTCAAAGGCTCAGTACCTCACAAAAGATGCACAGAGGTCCTTTCTGTAAAGAACAACTTATTGGATCAAATCGAAAACAGATAAAAAACAATCAGGGAAAAATCTTTATGAATCCTTTATATAAGTCTATTTATGATTTGTTGGGCGAAATCAAATCTGTATCAAATTCGTGGTATTCTTTAAAATAACTTGATGTAATTTAAAAAGCCAGCACAACCGTTTAAAGCATTATTTTTCGCGCGCAGGCTGTGCTTTTTAAAAATCTGCCTAGAACTTGCTTACTCTGTTGTGGTGACTAGTACTGCCTATGCATTTGGCGTCTTGATAACTGACTCTTGCCAACGCGAAATGAGTCAACGCGAAGGTTCAAAACACTGCGCATAATCTGCTTGAAGCTGCATTAAGGATGCATCACAAAACTGCTTCAATTTACCGTTAGGTTGTCTGATAAGAACTTGGCAGTTAAAGTATTCTGGTGATAGCTTCTTTCCATAAACACCTGACCAAGGTTTGGGATATGCAATTACGATTAAAGAACTTATCTTAGTTGATTTTGATTCAGTTGATGTCAAACGCTAGACAAGGGCCAAAATGAACACTAGCATTACCATCATAGAAGGGTACCAAAAGAGAAGCTTGCTATAGCGGGAGTTGCTTAAATCAAGGGTACAAAATAGCTTTTGAAGGCGGTATACTCATTTAAGCAATAAATTTGTCTTGAAAATATAATTTTACAACATGTTCCAATGAATTTGATATGGTTGGAATTATCACGTTCTTGTTAATCGAATGATACAGTTTAATCCGATTTTGTTAGTAGTTTGCCTGTTAAGGAGAGTATACCAATTATCATTTCAAAAAGTTTACCCTAACTTTAAATTTGGATGTTATTGTAACATATTACCATTAAGAAAACGCTTATATTTAAGCCTGATTTTCATTTTCGAATCCAAAGCTGGCTGTGTAAATCAGTGACATCAAACTATTTTCTATCATCAATAACTCTAATGTTTACTTTTTACTAAATTAGCAGTACCAAAAGATACAGAAGATACTAGCAATACCAAAAATATTTTCTTGCTTAGCATTAGATTTTCAATGAAGAATCTGAATCTTTTTTTACAGGTGCACCTCACGCCGATGAAGTGGTGTTTCAGTTGGACAGAAAAGACGGCCCGATGATTCTAGAGATGAAAAGAAATGCGTTAGTTTCTCATCACGAAGACTTTACTTTGCTTTGAAATTTCATTCATTGTTTGCAATCTGGTTACTTATAAACGATCATATAAAACGATTTTGGCCTAAAGAGTTCAATGCAAATTGGTTTCATTTCAGAAAGAAGAAAGAGGTTTCATTTCTTAGGGCGTAGATTAGAAAAATCTATCGTTTAATACCTTATTTCCTTTGGTAAAAATGCTTTTCGGTATCACTTTCCGGCTGTTTCTCCGGACTTTTTCTTGATACAGTTTCTTTTTATTTCCTCTTCTGGCTTCAAAGCAACGAAAGTTTCAATAATTTTTAGCTTTTAGCTTGCTCTAAACACCTAGTTAAAATTATTTGCCATTTTTCAAGTTTCTTATCTTTAAAAAGCATGGAACAAGTACTGTGTGGGAATAATTCTCGAAACAGGTCTTTTTTAGTAAATTTAACAAATTTTACTGTTTGAGATGAGAAATGTGTTTTAAATTTTGAGCCCGAGAAAGATCCTTGAATTGCTAAATTTGATTGGAAAACATGAATAGCTTTGTAGGTCTTCAATTTAGTTACCCAATGTCTATTATTCCAGTGGATTTCATGCAAAGAAAATTGTAATGAGAACATTTGAAGACGATGGAACGCCAAAGATTGAAAAGGTATTTGTATCTCAAACTGAAAATAATTCCTATTGCATGAAAAGGCTAAACATTGTTTTTTTCTAGCAAAGTAACCTTTTTGTAAAGGCTCTAGTACTTGCAAGGACATTTTGAAGTTCTATTTTTATAGTTTAATTATTGATTTTAGATTCAAAGTACAATACTTAAAATCTGTGGAAATAATTGAAAATATTTTTAGAACGCAGCAAGTCAATAATTGCTTGAAATCACTGTCGCATTATTGGGTTCTGTCAGTTACTCTAAGGAAAATTGAGTTTCGTAAAAGATTGGAAATTGTCAGCAAGACTTCTTTTATTGCTGAGAATTTGAAACTCTGTCAATGCAAAAGCTTTCTGATCCTACAGCACAATTATAAAGTCGCTTTTGTTTGTTTCTTTTTCACAGCATTCACCTGATGGTTGCTATTACAACGGAAAAGTAGCTTACAAAGATGACTCAAATGTTCTATTGGATACATGTGATGGATTAAGGTAGGCAGAATCTTTCTTTGTTTGTTTCTACGTCTTTGTTATATCTAGCTTTAATGAAAAATTAAATTTTGCTTGTTATGTGTTCACGTGAGATTTGAGATTTTTTGCCAATGATTTTTTCTATAAGTATAAACAGAACTGTTTACCAGATTTTTAGTCGAAAATTATGTGCAATCATCATAACATAATATTTTGAATTTTCAATGTTGTCTAGGCGCAGTGATAGTTAAGAAAACGGAGTCATGAAAGATAGCAACTTGTTTTTCATTCTAACTTGCAATTTACAGTGCAGGCTTTTCAAATATTTCTTCATTTTCAGCCTGAGCAAGGTCCACTTTATATACGAATATATCAATATTCGATAAATTTGAAGGTACAAGTACAGTAAAATGAAAGTAAACTTCAGTGCTAATTGTAAACTTATAAATTAGATATTCAAGATAATTAAATAAATTAGAAAATCAAGAAAAAAACTAATCATTTGAAATAAGATTTTGCGATGAGTAAATTATTTATATATTTCAATTATGTTGAAAAATATTGTGTTATCGAATTAAAAATTATATAGATAATAGATATTCTATATTTTAATAAAAGAGTTTAGTTATTCAACCATATTATACTTGATAATTTTCATGTAAATTTGTTTGACTCGAGATTATTCGAGTGTGTTTTTCATAATTTGCTTTTCCATTAATGTTTGTATTCTTAAGAGACATTTTGCAGCTTGCAGACTATAGATACGTTGTTAAACAAAAGTTTCATTATAATCGTTTTTATGGTTTCAACAGAGGAACAATTGAAGATGAAGGCAAAGTCTTTAGCATCGAGCCTCTCGAGAATGTAAAGGTTTGTACTTGCCAAAATTCAAGGTTTCTAAAAGTATGCTTTAATTACAGTTTTCTAAATTTTCATTGATATGTTGTAAAAATAATTGTCTTTTTGTGATAGCATGAGTGAGCAGAAGAATTATGAAAAGAAGGCTCATCCGCTTGATGAAAAATTTTCAATTTTAATCCTAGATGTTCATGGATGTCCAAACAGCTGGAGTTGATATAGGCCTAAAAAGTTTCTAGCATTTATTTATTTATATTCGACAGGTCACTGGTGCTCATGTTATTCGTGAAGTTGTGCCTGAAAAAGATGATCTCAGCAAACGGATGCTTGGTAACTACCCAACCTATTGAAACATTTGTTGTGTTATCAGAAGTCTTTGCATAATGGCAACAGCCATGAGTGTTACGACTGACATAAAAATAATTTTATTATTAAGGTTTTTTACTATAAAATAGGGGCTGATCTCTAAAAGTTGAGTAATCATTATTTTTTTGTTAATAACTGCTCTCTTCTTTTCTATTCTCTCAACGGGAGAATTCTGGACTTTTTGGCAATATAATAAACATTTTAACTGAGCGTAAAAGTAAAATTTATAAGAAAGCCAAAACAGGAAAATATTTCCCTTCCTAAATAAATATGAAGAATTTTTGAAACTTTCTATTCAAATAATGAAAAATCTTAATTCTAAGAAAATCTTAACTGACAGAAAAAGTTACATGGTAAAGCTAAGATTACAAAATATAATACTTTTTTGATTTCTAAAAGCTACGAGATCATCAGCTGCAAATCCACGGATGTTATCAGTGTTATAATGCAGTGTAGCCTTCGTTCATTTTTCCCAAAACTTTTCTTGACCTTTTAGAAAGTCATTTTTGCTGCCTTTCACATCAAATCTGTGTTGTTGAACTAATTTGTGATAATTTAATAAAAAACTATTTTATACTTAGTCTTTAACAACAAATTGGATATATCATTATTTAGCATTCCTTTACAAAAAAGTCTTGTTTTATCTCATTTTTGCATCAATTTCTTTAATTTGCATTTTTTTATTTTTTTCCAAGGAATCAACCCTTTCAATAATGATTTTGTGGAAGTGGAGAATGATGAGAGTTATGACACTGTTTCGGCGACGATGGATAAAGCGAGTGATGAGGTTTTACTGAAAATCTGTTTGTTATTCATAACAAGCGAGTTTAAGACCATAAACTTACAGACCTCACTATCTTAATCAAAGGCGGTATCGTATTTTCTTCAACAGGAGCTGCAGCTCCTATTTTTGAAGGGTCGCTTCTATTGAGGGTCAACTTCTATTAAAATCTATCGTTGTGTTCAAGTCGTTATCTAGAGCAGTCCTGCACCAAACAATGCAATAGGACTTAAGCAGGATCCTCCTTATTCTTTATTTAGAACCCTAATGTCATGATAGGTTTAACCCATGATAGGTTCATGCAGAACCCTAATGTTTTGATAACTTTAACTCAGTTCCTTCTTTTATTACGCCTTGCCAATAAAGCCATTGGTGCTTCAAAAGTAACGACTCTTAAGCAAAGACTGATAAAATTTGCAATAAGGTATTTTTAATGATACTATATTTCCCCTTGCAGCAAATAGTTTCAAAGCTCGTTCCAGATGTTGATCCTGTTTATGCCAAGTATCCTGCTACCAACAAGACACGCTATTGTGAGATGGTCCTGGTCATTGATAATGCCATTGTGAGTCGCTAAATTTGTGCTTATTACAAGTATCTTTTCAAGGCTTTTTTAAAGTCATGTTGATAATTCTGTTTGCATTTAACAATGTAGCAATGAATTAAAGAAATGTTTGCATTTTTCAGTATGTTAAGTACAACAGAAGCAAAGAAATGGTTCTTTCAAGAATGTTGAGGATGATGCAAGCAGCAGACAGAGTGCGTATCTTAATTTTTTTCATTGTATATTTTCATTTGGTAATTTTTGTAGGTTTCATGTAATTAAAGAAAACCAAATAAACAACATTTTTCGGCTTCACAGCACTCTATATCTTGCCAGGCTTAGATCAAAGAGAAGCTTTTGATATCAGTTTAGCAATGCTATCTAATTCGAAAGAGCAAAAATTTCAAGTTTTAACTTGGATATGGGTCTAGCAAACTGTAAGTAAGTCACATTTTTCTATAGCCAATGCCTACAAAATTGATTGACTATGCTGGGAAGACAGACCCAAGGGTCCCTGGGTAGAGTCCCTGACATGACCAATCTTTCTCTCAGAGTGAGGAGTGTTGCCACCTCTTTGTACTTCTAGGCGTAGGAATCATGAGGTGTTGTCAAATCTAAATGAAGGACCAGGACACTGTTCGATAAGAATAGCTCTTTCGTGTCCTAAAAATACCTTCAGAAGCTAGATAGCAAACAATACAAAAGTTCTCAGGTAGAGAAAGGCTGGTCAATGACGGTACTACTTCTTTGATTAGATATCACGTCTTGCTGTCACAAAACAGTCCGTTTGAACAGCCCTACTCAGCTTGGCGTTAACATTGAGAATCTTTTCCAATCGTGCTTTGACAACAGCAGCTGATATAACATTTTCGGCTTTAGAAATAGTTCTGCGTTACCTTTTTACTAAATTTACTGAAATGCTAATAGTATGCTTGACAAGCTGCAGTTGTTTGTGCATATTTTAAGCGCTACTGGATTGTTTTTTCCATATTCTTTGTCTGTTTCCGAAATGTTTCCCATTTTTTCATTGTCTTTCCATATTTGGCTAAGATCCGTTACTTCAAATTTCAAACCTTTGCTTGAAAAACCCCATATTTTCACAAGTTTTTGTTCAATTGCCCAATATATATACAAATGCGTGCTAATAAGTATTCACATTACATAAGCTTTTAAACTGGTAAAAGCTAGGCTCGTAAAAACGTTTGCAAATAGATATAGGGAGATTTAAAAAACGAAATTATTTCTTTTTGTTGACAAACACGTTTTTGCATAGCTTTTCATTTGATAGTTAATATGAACTTTATACATTAATAAACGTGCAGTGCAAGTAGCATTTGGAAACATGCAAAGCTTTTAATGGAACTGTAGAGGATTTGACGCTGCTAAACATCACGAACAAATTCTAAAACTAAAATTTGTTCAAAAGATAGATGGAAGGCAGGATGAGAAAGCAAAAGTTATGTCAGAGAGAAACGAGGCTTGAATGTTATGTTTATGTTCTCATATTGCCGTTCCTTACGGCCTTATGGAATGAAGTGAAACCGTGATAAATTTGTGGTTTCGTTTGACTGTCTCTGATATCAACCAATCACCATCCTGGAGAAGAGAAGAAGAATAATTAATGTCAGAGACACTTAATATCAATATTGCGAAAGTGAAATTTTGAAATAAAGACAACTGATCCAATCTTTGAAATTCTTTCAATTAGTTGAAAACTTTTAGGGTAATCATGAAGTCTAATTCGTAAATCTATTGCTTCCTAACGTCAGAAATTAACATTACGTAACGCCAATGCCGATAATTGTCTCAAATCAGAAAGGAAATAACAGAACAGTACTATTAACAGAACAGTACAGAACAGTATTCTGAATTACAACTGACGTATTGTCAGTCGTAAATTTTGTACCCTTCACCCTGTCAGAAATATACGTCACTGATCAAAGGACGTTTGTAAAAGTATATAACAACCGTTGCCCGTTAGGAACTGATTGAGATTATACCCATTTAATGGATAGGTTATTGTTATATGTAATAGATTGAGGATTACTCTAAGCAAATTTGTTATTTTGATGATGCTTTCATTGCAGGTATTTGCAGCTATCAATGTTCGCCTCGTTTTGGTAGGCATAGAAATATGGACCGACAAAAATAAGATCCCTTACCACGTTTCTGGTGGTGGGCAGTTGACTTTATTTAGAGAGTATGTAAAAACGAACATGGCTAGCCTTGTTAGGTGTGATGCTGTACATTTTATGAGGTAGGCGATTCATGATTTCAAATTCTTCTTTTTTTGATTGCACTGCTTTTTAAGGACGTCTTTGGAAGCACCAAGGGGATCAAAGGTACCAGTAGCACCATGGGCACTAGTAGCACGTGACTTCATAACTCTTGCCTTTTTCCTAGAAGTGCTTCTTTAAGAACAATTACAAAATTTGCTCTTTCTCTGCCCCAAAACCTTTGAAATACTGTGACTTGTCCACTTCTCACAAAGGTTATAAATTGTATCAAAACATCTCGATACATCTAAGCGAACTACTTTGTAGATGCCGCAATTCATCATTGACAAATCAAATTGATTGGTAACAAAGTCCCTTTTCTGATGTTGTTTCCCTGTCATTGTGCTAATATGATAGACAAACGTACAGTCGTGATAAAGAATATGTTCTTTTTCCGGATTTAGAACTTTTGCTAGGACTGTATTCCGAATGCCGACCATTTCCGTGCTACTCATATGGCCATGGTATTTCTTAAAGTGAACTCTCACAATATCAGATTACACTGATTAGAATTTCATTTATCATGCTTTTTCATCCAGAAGCCAGCAGGCTAGTGCCCACTCCTCAGGGAAGGATTTTAGTAATAATGATTGGGGGAGGTGTTAAACACTAATTGGATTTTGGTGCCACACCCTTAAGATCATTGGAAAATGATGGAAACGCCCATTTCAAAAATTTGGCTTTTGACCTCAAGATAAAGGGGATGTGAAGAAAAATAAGATCTTGGCGTTGTTTTGCCACCCACTGACTCCCAAAAATGTTTATTACCTAATTGAAGTAAAATTTATCGAAGCGCACAGAAAAATTTTCGGGGGTCATCGCACCTCTACAACCCCCCATTAATTCCGTCCCTACCACTTTTTTATGTAAAAATTCTGACTTTTTTCTATATAGTGTTAAAGGATGGGAAGGATATGTGGTGGGGACGGCTTATGTTGGAGACATTTGCGGCAGCCTTCCCGCTACTGCCGTAAACAAGGTAATGTTTTACGACTTGCAAACTATTGGATTTATTAAAAATAAACTTTCCAGATTAAGATTTGATTTTAAAATTACTTTACAAAGATGCAAAGCACTTAATGCTTTACAAACATGTGGTTAGCTGAAAATTTGTCCTCTTGCTTTATGTTGCTCGTTAATTCTCAGGAGCTACGCTAAAGGGGTGGGGAAGGGGATGAGTGTTTTGTTGCCTTCAAAGAAAACTCTATAAATCTTTTTTAAGAATTTTTAGATTTGGATGAAATAACCTCAAAAAAGCATAAAAATAATCCTAAATGAGTGAAATTTTATACATTTATTTCCCAATTATATCACTGTTACTTTGTCTCTGTCGCAAGGACACCAAGAATAAACTTGAAAATTGCAAAATCAAATATGATAGAAATGGGCGAGATTTGGTCTTTGAAATATTTTAAGATTTCCGACAGGTTACTGATATTTTGCTTGGCTCATAAAGTATTAAGATTGCAAATTTTCAGTGATTCAAATATATTCAAAGGTGTACTTCCTTCTTTTCTCTGGAAGCATAGTATACCCACCCAGGTATCCACAATATAATCATGGATCACCCCCTCCCCTTACCCATCCGGGCATTTTAAGAGCCGGGAACCCCACTTCAAAAATTCCTATTTCAAGCAATAAACAAAGATTCTGTGTGGTTTGTTATCAGCACTCAATACATTGATTCTGCATGACACTTAAAAATCCTCGCTTAGAATTACTGATCATTATATTTCTATTCATTATTGTCGCCATCTTGGAGGCTGAAGGCACGGACAATAGTCCAGTGTCCTATGAAAATAGTAGAAAGTTTATTGATAAAATTTCATGAATAAATTGAGTTTATTCTGCGTCAGAGCGATTTTTATTAAGTGTTGCAAACTAGCATAAGTGAGTTAATGTTATTTCTATCTTTTGTAGTGGGTATTCCACACTTTGACTGGGACCCATGATGTAGTTACGCATGAACTTGGTCATAATTTTGGTTTTGGACATGGTAAAAGCCTTTTGGTGCCATTTTTCACGTAAAGTTTATTCTTGAATGCTCATGTGATGTCTTTTACTTTGAAATTTACTCTTAAAAATCTCAAAATTCTGAGACATAAAGATGTCTAGTGATGTAGGTACCCATGAAATTTACATCAATCAATTTCTGTCACTTTCACAGACCTCGCATTTCAGGATAGTCCAAATAACCATCTAGCTGCTCATATTTTTCCCTTTCAGATGCTCCAGCTTGTAAATGTTTGACATCACGAGGATGTATGATGGGTGGACCAGAGTATGGATTTGTTTTCATTTCGAATAAATCTACTCCATTATCAACAGAGATCCAAAATGATTACCTTAAAAGATCAGTTATTAGAATTTTCCATTCAGAGCACATAACCTGAAAATGTTATGATATTGTTCAAACTTTCCAAAAAAGATGTTTAGAATTTGCTAAGAGATGGACACAAGTCCATGCTTTTCCAGTTTAACCATTTAAATCAAGTGCTCGGTCTAAAATCTATGAAATATATCAAAACAAAGCAAGTCATGTTGTGACATTTTTTTCACATGTCTCATTTTGCTCCTTTAGCGATGTGTCAGAGTCTTCAATCAGGTTATGTGGATAAAAGTCAAAAGTTCTAAAAATATGCTTTTAAGGAGATTACCCTTTTGGTAGTTAATGATGATCTTTGTTGATTCTGTGACTCTTAGCCTGAATCTACATATAAATATTTTCAAGGTGACTTTATTTTAGAGTATCGTCAGATTTTGTGAATTCAAAATGACAGCTAGAGCTGAACTTGAAAATGATATGCTGCATATATTCAACCACACAACTTGATCACATTTTACATCTTTTTTATCAATTTGAGCTTTTTATCGTAATTTGTTGTGCTTCTAGAGGTATTTATTATAATTATGGTTATATCTTTATCTTTATGTTTTAATGGTTCAAATTCTCAAAAAAATTAAAAAGCAGCTCCTGAAAATTGTAATTTTCACTGCTCTTTCAAATTCAAACCACGCTCTCTAGAAGTTAACGTCAATTCAAAGTTAACATTTTAAGGATTCTTGGTCAACAATGTTTTTCACAGAATAAGAATTTTTGATTTACGTTTTATTTCAGAACCCGAAGAGTTGGATTTTCTGACTGCAACATGAAGATTTTCTCGTCAAGATCATATCATTGCTTAAACAACTACCCATTCGGAGTATTTATTAATTCTAAAAAATACTTTAACTCTGGTTTTCTTCATTTATTTACTTCATTTAACTCTTTTTTCAGATAGTTTTATATATCTTATCATGTACATTGACATACTGCGGAGATCTAGAGTTTATTTTGTAGCTTTTTTCATTTGAAAACAGATCTGCTAAAAGATCAAGCATCTCTTGTTGATAACAGCTTATATCAATATCAGCCAATTTATGTAGAGTGTGAAAATAGCTCTAAGTTTTATGTTTGAAATTCAAGCAAGGTGATAGCGTCTGAAAGATTTTGTTTGGCAGATTTTTATTCTTTTTTACGGCTATAAAATGTTCATTTGGGTTAACCAAACATTCCATTATTTAATTATTCAAACAATCTTTTGGTGGTACAAAACTTGTAAATAGCTTTGAAAAAAGCAAACATTTAGTAAACTAATACAGTCATGTGCTCGTGTTTCTGATTGGCCTATTTCGATCCACAACTGGGTATATCTATTTCTTAGCGTAGAGTTTTCGATCTATGTTCTGACGTTTTAAACTCTGAAGAGTGTCAGACGAAAAGCTTTAGTTTACTAAATGTTTGCCTTTTTCAAAGCTATTTAATTATTCTTCATTCATTATGCATTCCTATTTTGATACACGAAAGAATACAACCAGATATACCTGCTTTATCATTGATTGTGTATTATTGCATTTATGATGATTTTTGTTTCATTACTACAGTCATTGGATAACGTGTGTGGCAATGGCATTATCGAGGGCTCTGAAGAGTGCGACTGTGGATCTCCAGAGGTGTGTCTGCTTTGTCTTTTAGACGTCAAAGTGATCCTGCATTAAAGAAATATTTCTTGTAAAATTAAATGTTTGAAAGTTACAATATCTACTCGAACTAACGCTGGACCTTGAATAAACACAGGGTAGAAAATTTTTAAAAAAGTACTGGAGGATTTTTCACTTTTTACCTCATTCAGTAGCTCGCAATTTCCCACTACATGTTAATTACTGCCAAAATTGTCTATAGATGTGTAAAAAACACGACAAGTGTTGTGAACCGAATGGATGCAAACTGAAACGGTCAGCTCAGTGCAGTGATTTTAGCACTCCTGACTGCTGTGATAATTGCCTGGTATGTAAATGTTTTCTATTTGATTTATACTTCGATTTTTTAGCTTTCTTACGTCGGCCAATTTTCTTACATTTTTAAAGTTGAAATATGCTTATTGGAGGTTCGAGTCCTGCCCTGTTCGTGTGTCACTCCCACCTATTTCTCCAAGCACCATTTTTATGTTTTTAAATCTAAACACATGGATGGTTTGAAGACTATTAAAACCCTCTAGCAGCAGTTTGTCCGGGTGGATTTGGCTGATTACCCACATTTTTATAGGGCCGATTAACAATAATAATTGGCGTCCTGTTGTAAACATTACTGCAGTTTTCGCTAACTTATTGAAAGGAACTAAGAAGTATCTTAATGCAGGGGTGTATTTGCCCTATTAACCAATCGACTTTTGCTCTCGCATTCCCGTTTCTCAAATCTAAACATACGGGGGTCTTTGTTCCAAAAGGCAGAATATTGTTTATAAAGAAGACATCCAAAACGTGACTTTGGTGCTTTGGTGCTATGTTTATCAAGGTTTTGAATAAGACAAAGGAAGACATGGTTGTATTTCGAGAGAATCTTCAGTAACTCATTTTTCATCATCCTATGACGTTTTCAGCACATGTTTTTGAAGCATAGTTTTAATGGTATACTGATTATTGATATCCACTCATTTCAGTTCATACTGACATGCCGTTGTTCTAGCAGATAAATATTTTTCCAATTTTGTTTGTTTCTATTTAGTTTAAATTGCAAGGAACACTCTGTCGCAGATCGCAAAAGGACTGTGATCTGCCGGAATATTGTCCTGGAAATGCTGCTACGGTAAGCCATTTCAATTCGTAATAACCCTTCTTGCCTGATTAGATTCAATTCTCATTTGTGTCTCTGCTTCTTTCAACTGCATGTTCTATTTTCTAATGAAAAAGACAAAGAGTATATTTTTATTTCCAACCATCCTACGCGGCCAATTATGAGATTCACTGCTTTGGCTTGGCCTCTAAATTCAATGTTGACATATTTGTCGTTAAAATCCATGACTTTAGTGTTTGAAAAGCTAGCGGAGAAATAACAACTGTCTACATGCTATCTATTTCGACACATGTTCAGGATTGTAGGTAGCACAGAAGTTTTCCTTGATTAGGTAAAATGATAGGTTAGATCCTTTATCTTTTGATATTTAGCTTTTTCTACATATTAAACTACAGTTATAATACGCAAACTTTTTTACTTTCATTTCCATTGTATTTTGCTATTTTTATCACAATACAGTGCCCAAATGACCTTTATAAGACTGATGGATTTCAGTGCATCGATGGAGTTTCGGTGAATAGTATTTTTTATTTTTGCTTTACATCATGAAATTTGTCATATCTCTAGGACAAATAAGGCTCTTTTCCTGTCCCGGTATCAACTACCTCCATGCTACAAGCTGTGCACCTTTAAAAACTCTGTTTCCTTTTCTAGACTTGTGAAAGGCATTTTAAACAGTACGAATAAAATACGTCATAGATTAACAGCACTTAAAGCCACTCCAATTGCAAAAGTATAAGAATAACCATAAGAAAGTACGTTTGAACCCAACTGCCTATTCGCATCTCAAACAAGATTGATATGCAACTTTTCTATTTGTCATTTATCAATCGCTTTCCTTTAAGCAAATATAATTTTAATTCATTTTTTTAAAAACATAATCCTCGATAAAATGAAGATATTGATTATCACATTATAAAAGTCAGCATAAGAAAGTTGGCTTTAAGTTTAAAATTGTACTGATCTTTCTACTTCGAACTGATATTTCAAAAAGGATAAAAGTATTTTGCAGAAAAGATGGCGGGGACCTGTATTCAATTCAGGTTTTTACAATGTTATGTAAAGGGCTTAAGACTTTTTCTTTTTAGAAAACAATGTCCTATTGCTACAAAGGCAATTGTATGGAATCAAGAAGCACACAGTGTAAAAATCTCTGGGACCCAGGTATACCTTGTTTTTTGTGACTCTAGCCTTAAATCTTGATTTTTTTGTGTCTTTTGGCTCGATAAATTGTCATCGACTTTGGGAACTCTCACAAAAGACATCCAATAACGGAACAATAGAGTTCTTAATTGCCGGCATTTTGAAAATCAACTATTAGCAGCTCTCGGTTAAATCATTTATTTTATCTCAGTCTGTTGGTTAACAACCTTTCTTGATTAGCAACGGGCTCTTTCAAATAATGTGGCGAAAATTCAAATTTCTATAATAGATATTTCATATTACGCCACTTTATTTCATACAGGTTTTGTTGCTATTTAGGAGACAAGATGCTAGCCATAGCCAATGCAATCGATATCCGTAGCCATTTCAAGCTGTTATAAGTTTATGCTAATTGATATCCATTCTTCATGTATACCGATAACAATTTATAGAAAATTTGAACAAGAGCATAATTCCCTTTATTAGCTTAAATTTACATAATTTCTACATATTTTGTTTTTCAAAAGAACATGTTATCGTGTTTTCTATTTCAGCCACAAATTCTGCCCATGACTCCTGTTGGCAGAAGCTGAACACAGAGGCACAAGGATTTGGAACCTGTGATCCTTCGACTAACAAATCTTGTGCAGCGCAGTTAGTCATTATAATTATTTTAGTGTTTATTCCTGCTGAAATGCATTAATCTTGTAGTATCGTGCACACACAAAATTATATGTATAGGATAAATGAATCTTGTTGCCGCTTTGAGCGCGAATCTCGAACTGTATTTCAAAACTATTTTCGTCTACACATGATTGCCTAAACAGCTGTTATCTTATCACCACGGCTTGCTATGTACTAGCTACAACTACTATGTACATTGAATGCTACCTTGCCTAAATCATTTTCCCAAATAACATACAATTTTGATGATTTCATTGTATTTTCTATAGGGACATATTCTGCGGGCAGTTGCAATGCTCTTCACCGAATTTATTGCCTTCAAATGAAAAGTATGGCACTGTTTACAAACAATTCAATCTTAATGGAAGCGTATGCAGGTAAAGGTCAAGAATTTTAACATAAATAGTAACTTTTAAAAAGCTAATGTCTGTGAGTAAAATCGAGTGAGTGAAAGGTTATAGAGGATCAATTGTGTCTAGATAAAATTTCATTTGAAGACATCCAAACAGTTTAGTCGATTTGTTTTGAATAAGCTTTTGTCTGTTTTGAATTCCAATTGTTTTAAAGTTTCAATTTGTTCCTTAACAAATGGGCATGCCTTTAGTTACAAAGACTTGCCACAAGGAGGTAGTTAATAAATCACGTTACAATTTATATCAACATTGGAAGACAAGTTTTTTTTTCTCGAATTTGTTTTTTTTTCAATATAATATCTATGCCGAACGTACCAGAGTTAATGTAGCTAAATTCTCGTTTGTTCCTAAGCCCGGGGGTTATCACTGAGTAAGCAGAGATAAATAATTCATTATTATCATGTTACATTTCCACAGTGCTGCGAGTATAACAATACCAGGCTCTGCAAGCAACGATGAAGTAGGCGAAGGAATGGTTGCTGAAGGAACAAAGTGCGGAGATAATAAGGTGACGTAACTGTGCTATTTGAATCATTCCAAATTAAAAGCAGGAAAACTAATGGACTCTGTTTCTATGTTTTTCTATCATTATACAAAGCCGAACCACCGAGTTGCTATCATGTTGCTGTGAGTATATCTTTGAAATCCAAAAGTTGGTGGAGCTGTGAAATTTGCAGTTCCGAAATCTTTTTTGTGTCTTTCAAGTGTCTAGCCACTAATCTAGATAGATTTTCTGGATTTGAATAACGTAACAAAATCATGCAGATTTGTACTTGATCATATTCAACATGGTGTGCCCCGTTTTTAAGCATCAAGAAACTGAGCTAATAGTGTATCGTAAAGATGTTTTGTTTGCTGCATTTTCTAACTCTCCCATTTCTTTTTTCCTATATTTGTGCTAGACGAAGTTTGTTCTCAGCAATTTCCTGTTATCAAAGCTTTTCGATGTTATGATTTTTTTTGCTTTACCAAAAGTTTAAAAGCATGGCTGGCATCCATTGAGTTTGGTTGCATTCTTCTTTAAATGTAGAAAGGCCAGGTGGAAATTAAGCCAGGTGGAAATTATTTCTATGATGAATACCTTCTCATTCTTTGCAGATGTGTTCTAATTACAAGTGTAAATCATTTTCGGAGCTGAATATCACTTCATGTGGTCTAGTCAACGGAGTTAGCTGTGCTGGTAGAGGAGTGAGTATGCTTTCTTTCACTGCTGCATCCTCTTCTATTATATTGATATCTAGGAGAATCCCTTATCTCATTTAAGATTTAAATTTCGATAAAAAATTATACCCCTGGCCATTTGATTATCATTCTAAAAGACTTAATCGCAGAGTTGCAAAATTAAACATCATTTTTTAGATTTGCAACAACAAAGGTAGATGCCACTGCAATGGAGGATATGATCCAAAGACAAACTGTGAGAAAGGTACATTGAATTTAATTAATATGCAATGACTGAGCTGGGTTGTACCTGTGTTTAGACCTAACTTGAAACAAGCATCGGGTAATTCCCTAAAGCTTCTCTTGGTCCCCATTCATTCTTTTCACTTTGTTAATGACATTTTTTTTCAAGTATATCTCCCTTGTCTCCTTTTCAAGACGGTTTCCCTTTGTCAAAGATAACATTTATCAAAATTTACCCTGGCTACCAGAGTCACCATTATTTTCTCTCAGAAATATAGTTAGAAACTAGTCACTGAAAATATTATTGCAGCTGTCTACTATACTCTATCCCTTGATTTGTGAGGCTCTGTTACCCAGGGTTATCAAATACATTTGTTGTCAACTATTTACAGTTTGATGTGAAAAGCAATGACTCACAGAGTTGCAGGAAAGGTGTTTTTATAGTTTAAATATATAATTTAGATTATTGACCAAGAGGGGCAATGTAAATGTTACTTGTGGTTGTGATTCAATGGGGTAAGTTAGTTACAAATAAGAGGCAAACCTGCTCTTCTAGCTTGGCAGTTCATTATCAAAGCAGTCAATTTGATGAATCTCCTTGAGTGAATCTCCTGAACAGTACCTTGTTCATTGCTTCGAGACTGCTGTAATTCTTACAAATCTTAGAATACAATGCTGGCTACGCTATCACTTTATGCACCTTTCAATATTGAATTGCTATTTGAAAATGCTGATAGGAGATTATCTTTGCGAACGAAATTTCTTCATCTTCTTTCTGTAAACCAACAAGCCAAATGCTCTTACGATTTGATAGGTAGTCTGCATGCAGACTTCACTTTCCATTAAGAGGAAGTGTCAGGGCGGAACTTGTACCTATACGAAAGGTTGATCTGATGTGTTGTTTCTATAAAAGATATGTATTTGTTAACACAGCTCTTTCTTTAGAATATTTATCCTTTGCTGATTTTGTATCCAAGGTGGTTTGTGGTTTGCCATTATCCTATATTTTTATGATTTAAGACATTGATAGATTTTTATTTCAGAAGTTTTTATTTCAGAAACGTTTCTGCAACAAAATATTCGCAAAAAATGGCAGAAATCCAAAGATGATCCTCATTAAAGATTTTTACTTTATGTTTTTATTTATATCAAATATTACACTTTTCCTTATATAAAGTTGTGAAGCATTTATTTTAAGTTTTGACACCTGATGACGGCAACTGGGGTCAGTGGAATCAATGGTCCTTGTGTTCTGCGGCTTGCGCTGGTGGAAGGAGAAGTAGATCAAGGTTTTGCGACAGCCCTTTTCCGGCACACGGTGGCAAAACTTGTCCGGGCGTAGGATACGAAGAAGCAGTTTGCAACTCAGAACAATGCCCAAGTAAGTTGAGTTTTATGTGTACTGGATTCTCCTTATTTAATTCTGTTGTGTTGCGGGTGCTACGACAAGGATTTAACTTTAGAGAAGATAAACTGGTACAGCAAATGACAGAAAAGAAATAAAGGAACATAGCATACGTATGTTTTTTTCGTCCGAAATACCTCCGAGTATAAAAAACAGACAATTAATGAAGGAAAGCCAAAATTTACATCGAGATACGTATTTAAAACAGCGCACAAAGACAATTTGAGTCGGTAGATAAGATCTGATCTATTTCAACAGGGGTGCCTCAAGGATAATTTTTAGGCCCTATTGTTTTCAATTATCATCTAATTGGCCTATTTTATTTTATCAAAGAGGTTTCTCACGAAGATGAAACGCTTTGAAACATTGTGCTAAAAGCCTGCTTATCTGATCAATGTATGGCGATCAGAATTAAATGATTTTAGCCCAGGATATTTGAGAAATCAAAGGTATTACATTAAACCATTGAATCAGGCTGTAGTAAACATCGAATGTCCCTTTTCCTACACTGATTGAATGATACTAATTAGGTTGGATGCTACTCAGCTCACCACCCAAACATCATTTTTTTAATCTTGCATGTCAGGTAGCAAGAACTTATTGCTTCGTTATATACAAATAATAAAATGGAACTTTTATCAAACCCCTCACATGCTGGAAACATGCAATCTTACATGCAACATATACTTCATACTATTTCTTCAACGACTTTTAAACCATTTGTCGTCTGCTTTTTTAAAACCACAGTTGTATATATCTGCCAATCTAGATATATTTATTTCACAAAAAATTATATCATTGTCGTTATCATTTTCCCAAAGGCGTACGAAAAATTTTTTTATCTAGAGATGGGATATCAAACTTTTTTTAGGGGGGGGGGGGATTCACTTTATAACCATTCCCTATCAATCACATCTAGAGGCAGGATCATGCAAACTTTTAATGGGAAAGTTCAAAGCAAGTGGTAAACAAATGGTCGATGGAGTCTATGATATAACACTGCCTGATGGTTCACTGATGAAAATGTATTGTGATATGACACGTGATGGCGGTGGATGGACATTGGTTGTATCCAGCCATACAAACGACTGGACAACATCAGAGATGGTGAGAGAAAGAAATAAAGATCAGCCAAACATGTACAAAGATTATTCCATACTGAAATATGTCGATCAAATCAAGGACAACTACAAAATTGACGATAAAAATTTCGAGTATAGATTAGAGGCACATAGAAGAGGTACGATGGATCTGTTCTTGTCGCATCATTTGTCTTATTTATTGTTAGCTTTGTGACATCTAATGTTCATCTGAACGATGTACAATGCAAGGCCTTTACCCTTTTGTGAATGTTTTTCACCACTCGAGAATGTTACCAGTGATGTCTGCAGTTTTTTACATAAGATTGGCCTCTTTTCAACAAATCTTAATTTTCTGAACCAGGTAAAAAGCTTTTACTGCCAATATCAACATCTAATATCTTTTTGTAAGCCTTGGTCATTTTTGATAAGCATCTTGTTAATCAAAAAAGTATATTCACTGAAACAAATTTTTTATAATCTTATAGTATGCTTTCTTCTTTTTCAATACTTGGAAAACTTCAGTCAAGTCAAAGGTTTCTTCATTAAATGGAGCACAATATTTGATTTAATAGTTTTTGTCTTGCTTTTTTACAGGGCAGTGGGGTGGCATTTGGTCAGCTCCTACATCCTACAGATTAAACGGCATGTCCCCTTCACAAACAAATGTCATTCTGCTGAAGAGATTTAACAATTGGTCATACAGTGGGATAGGAATAGCCCAGAGAATGCCGTACATTATTGGAAACAGGTTAACAATGCAGACAAACCAATGGGGGTCAATTACAGGTCTGTACAAAATAGAAAATCAGCACTTTGGGCATTGTGGTAATCAATTGTGATTAATGACTCAGTCTTTGGTGCTCTATGAACCCATTGATTGTAACTTTTTGCCTGTATAAAATGGCATAGACTTTTTTTACAGCTTTTTATATTGAAAAAAAAATTCGATACAGCTTTCAAAATCAGCAGCTTAGCAAGTAGGAAAATGTGTATTGTATATTTTCTATTGCAGGGAATATGACGTGGTATCACCCAGCACCTTGGATTGATGGTCATTTAATGGAAAGGAAACCAGAACACATTTGGTATGATGTCTACTATGATTTAGTTACTTAATTAAGCTAAATCATGGCAGATCAATACTTGAAGAACAATTGATGATGTTTGCTGCATGTTATTTTTTGTCTTTGTCCTATTTCTTACGTTACGGTTATGTTTAGATCGTTGAGGTTACGGTTATGAAGGATTCAGTTCACACAATGATTTCATTGTTTCCTCAAAAGAAACGGGGAAAAGAAGCTCAGAAATCCTCCAAAGTTAAAGAATCTGATAAGAAATCTGATAAAAAAAACTGGATGGACGGCATGGTCTCAAATATATAGCTTGTGTTATTTTAAATTATGCTGATTACAATATAGTGAATTCAGGTGATATTTTTGGTGGATTATTTTGGTTTGTTGCCTTGAGATGCCATATTGGAATATGTATATCGATCATCTCAAAGAGCACCGATTTTGTTCAAACTTAACCAGCATGATTTATAAAAAAGATTACAGCGTTCATCTACAATTTTCCTAATCCCTTTCTATCGCATTTATTTGATTTTTCTTTTTGCCTTCTAGGTATTGGATTCGTGAAGGGAAGCACAGCATCCCAACTTCATGCATGAAAATAAAGTTACGCTCTCTAACACATGGAAACAAAGCAAAATCTGGACTTTACGAGATACAGAATTTGGAAGGAAAGAAAGTTTTGAGTACTTTCTGTGATATGGAAAGTTTTGGCGGTGGATGGACACTGGTTTTAAACAAAGTTTCAACAGCTGGTTGGACCAAAGAGTCGACTCTATCAAGAAACACCGACAAAGCCTCGAAAGATAATGATTATTCGATTTTATTTCATTCTCATGAAGTTATCAATCTTCGAAAAGAAGAGGTATGGGATCTTTCAAAGTTGAAAGCGCAATTGAAAAATATTTTTCTAGAAGATATGGGTCAATGTGATTTTGCAATAATAATATTACTTAGTTCTGTTTTTGTAATCCTAAGAAAATTATTTTGTTAATTGATGTGATAAGAAGGTATACCTTTATTTCCTTTTTTCTCATAAATTATCACAAACAACATACTACAAGACAATACTACAAGGAATACATAGAATTCCAATGAAAATACAATTAAATTAAACAAATTTACTTCAAATCATAAATTACAAATAACAAATAACTCATGCAGATTACTGATTACAAATCGCACCTTTTATCAAGTAAAAATTTTATATTTACAAAAGAATAGAAATTACATAAGAGGTAATATTTCAAACAACTACTTATCCTACATGTCTTCTTTTAGACTAAATTTCAGTATATGATTGAGGCTGACGGAGTGAAAAAATGGGGCGGTGTTTTTGAAGGACACAACAGCGATGGACTGATAGCATGCACCCCGAGTAAATTTAAGCCACGACTCATTGAGAAATTTGACAACTGGGACGAGCAGAAAAGCAATTTGATGTCAAGCAATCCATATGTGGTTGACAACCCTGCTTCGTATTTGACGACATCTCGAAAAGTAAGTATTGTATGTATCTTCCGAGAAAGGGACAAATACATACTCATATGACGTAATCAGCCATTGTCTGTCTCCAGCATCATCAATTTGTTTTTGGTAGCTGATACTGACAGTATTCTAAAAGCCTGGTTTATTTAAGATTCCATTACTTTGTAGTGATAAAATGTATCCTTTGTAGATATATCCTGGAACTGATGGTGTGCTTGTCTCTGAAACAGACTCTAACTTTATAAAAGGATCTATGGAGAAGCCGAGATTTGTCAGATTGTGGATCCGTGAAGGCTCAAGGTTTGCTTTTCATATCTTTATAGCCAAAATTAAGATGTCCAAACTAAATGGTTTAAGTCTCGCGTAAGAAAGCGCCATCGATTAAACCCTTTTAAACTTGAAAAGTCTCTTGTTCCCAGAGCATTTTTTCATGTTAGTCTAGCATTTCTAGCTTTCTGCAGTTAAACCTATTTTTAGGTCACGTGACACTTTCTTTCTTACAGCCAAGGTTCATGCAATCAGATAAAACTGGGAGGTGAGAGAAACGGTGCAGTGTACAAGTCTGGTTATTATACTATTGAGGCAACTGGTGCTAATATTCTGACAGTATATTGTGACATGGAGTCGGGCCCTGGAGCGTGGACTCTTCTGGTCACAAGCACAAGCAACAAATGGACCGCGTCACAGGTTGGCAAGACACATTCATTACAATGCATGAACATATAACGTACAGCTGATAGATTAACTTTTAGTTTTGGCCCAGTGATGAAGTGATATTGAGAAGTCCTAAGGCAACTGAGAGAATTTTACGCAATGTTTCATAAATATAAGAATTATGACTTTTGTAAAAGACAATTCTTTCTAATAAATGTGTTTCAATGATTATTTTTTAAAAATATCGAAGCCCTTATTGAATGAAATAAGAAACAAATTCAAAAAGAATAAAAGCAGTCTTGAAAAGTGTTTAGCGGATATTCAGATATTTCCTTTGTTTCTGCCTTCAAGTTTCTTAGATTTGATTAGGTTTTTTTATAATATATCTAGATACTTCTTTGTGTATTCTAAAAAAATCTAGACAAACTTTGCAGAAATATATCTAATGGTGATTAATGGTGATATCTACATTTATCCAGGTTCTTTCCCGCAATGAAGATTTTCCTTCCACCTCGAATGATTATTCAATCTTACACGTTGCAGACAGTATTAAGGATTTATCAAACAACGCCACATTCAAGTACAAATTGGAAGCACACACGTTTAATCATTGGGGTGGTATTTGGGCTGCACCAAAAGAATACACGTAAATTTATTTTGTTGAATCATCAATTATTGTTAAATGCACATTTAGAGTAATTAATAACTATTTATATATCGATACCTTGTTTTGTTGACGCGCTTTAATATTCGCTTAATTAAGGGAGGAAAAATATACATTTTTTATATTCCTTTCTGTAATTTACGGCAAGAAGTTGCTCATAATCTCTGTAATAGGATGATGTTTTAAGTGATCCAAGGAACGCAAATTATTCTTCAAATGCTTCTCTTGTTTAACATAAATCCTCTTTTCATTTTGTTTCGTTTTTTGCAATCCTCTGCCACGTTGATTTGCTTTGTGGTGCCAGTTAGCGAAAAATGTTTTATTATTTGGTATTTCGTAACCTCACACCGTCTAATAAATTACTTAGACTGGTCGGATTATTTTCTGTGTTCCCTTTTTTCTTATATAAGATTCTAAAACCATTTGATTACAATAGCTTGATATTAAGATGTATTTATGGAAAGATATATTTTAATGAATTTCTTTTGAACCCAAGTCAATGAAAATTGCAGTTGACCTCATTTTCTTTCAGATTCGTGAGTAAATCAAACAATCAGAACAAAGTTACGTTGTTGACTCAGTTTGACGACTTGCAGAGCAGTGTGAAAAACCGAATGCCTTGGTTGGGAAATGGAAACGGGTTGCTGACGACAGCAGAATATTCATCCAGCTACTGGTGGGGAACAATCGTAGCCAGTAACGATGAATACAGACCAGCTCCATGGATATATCCAATCATGAGAAACCCTGGTACAATCTGGTATTGGGTTAATGAAGACGATTGCGATCCGGATCGCATGCCAGGTTCTGATTCTTCAATTTCATATGAACATAATTTATATAAAAAATATTCAATTATTCATTAAAGGCCTGCTGATATTGATATTCTGTCTTTCCTTTTGTTGAGGATCTAGCTTCTACTTGCATTTGGTGTAGAATGGCTCAGTGATCTAGCTTCTACTTGCATTTGGTGTAGAATGGCTCAGTGATCTAGCTTCTACTTGCATTTGGTGTAGAATGGCTCAGTGATCTAGCTTCTACTTGCATTGGTGTATGAATGGCTCAGTGATCTTAGCTTCTACTTGCATTTGGTGTAGAATCATGGCTCAGTGATCATAAGCTTCTACTTGCATTTGGTGTAGAATGGCTGCAGTGATCTACTTCTACTTGCATTTGGTGTAGAATGGCTCAGTGATCTAGCTTCTACTTGCATTGGTGTAGAATGCTCAGTGATCTAGCTTCTACCTTGCATTTGTGTAAGAATGGCAGTGATCTAGCTTCTACTGCTTTGGTGAGAATGGCTCAGTGATCTGCTTCTACTTGCATTTGGTGTAGAATGGCTCAGTGAATCTAGCTTCTACTTGCATTTGGTGAGAATGGCTAGTGATGCTAGCTTCTATTGCAATTTGGTGTAGAATTGGCTTCAGTGTCTAGTCTTCTACTTGCATTTGGTGTATGAATGGCTCAGTGATCTAGCTTCTACAGCATTTGGTGTAGAATTGGCTCAGTGATCTAGCCTCTGATGCATTTGGTGTGAAATGGCCAGTGATGCCTAGCTTCTACTTGCATTTGGTGTAGAATTGGCTTCAGTGATCTAAGCTTCTACTGCATTTGGTTGTAGAATGGCTCAGTGATTAGCTTCTACTTTGCATATTTGGGTGGTACGAATGGCTCAGTGATCCTAGCTTCCTACTTGATTTGGTGTAGAATGGCTCAGTGGATCTAAGCTTCTACTGCCATTTGTGTAGAATGGCTCAGTGACTAAGCTTCTACTTGCAATTTGGTGTAGAATGGCCAGCTGATCTAGCTTCTACTTGCTATTTGGTGTAGAATGGCTCAGTGATCTAGCCTTCTACTTGCATTTGGTGTAGAAGGCTGCAGTGGATCTAGCTTCTACTTGCATATTGGTGTGAAATGGCTAGTGATTCTAGCTTCTGACTTGGTATTTGGTTAGAATGGCTCATTGGACTGCTTTCTACGTTGCATTTGGTGTGAATGGCTCAGTGATCTAGCTTCTACTTGCATTTGGTGTAGAATGGCTCAGTGATCTAGCTTCTACTTGCATTTGGTGTAGAATGGCTCAGTGGTTAGGGTTAAGGGCTAATTATAAAAAAGGTTAGGGATCTGGGTTCCTGCTCGATACCCATAGCTTCAAACTAAAAAGAGCCTTCGGATGCTGCGAGAAACAAAAAAAAATTATACAAATAATCAACATCCCTGATACCTTCATTTCAGAAAGGATATATGACATATTTAACATTAGAAACGTTTAAAAGGCTTATAAACTACTGTTAAATTGTATTCATTATATCAATCTGTTATTCTTTTTCAGTTGATGGTAGCCTGACAAAATGGAGTAGTTGGACACAGTGCACGTCATTTTGCTCACAAGGAACACAGGAGAGATCAAGATCATGTACTGCATTGAAACCAAGATGTGGTGGAGCCGTGTGCGATCCGAACAAAGCAAGAAGGGAAATTAGAAATTGCACCGGAAAGTGCCTGTGTAAATATCCTTTTTGGTTTGGTTTTGCTTGGCACTAAATTTCAAATCTTTCGAATGACTTTTTCACAGCTATTCTTGCTTATTTTAATTGTATTTAATTTGCAATTTTTGGTAAACGCCTATATTTATCAAACAAACCGTCCGGAGAGCATAACATTGAGCCGGATAAAAAGGCTTTTTTCCGGGCTACTTGACTGAGTGAGTCCGGGAAGTATTATCACAAAATAATCTTTATTGCAATAATTTTGAGTTGATCTTTCCAACCATATATGGAAAAAGGTATAAAAGGTATTGTATGACCTTCTTTCAGTTCATTCGTATTTGACTCAATCAAGCATCCAATCTAAAAATCTTTTCTCATTTGAATCTTGTAGCGAGTCCAATTCGTAGCTTCGATGAAAATCACTGTGTTCTGCCGGAGACTGGAGGCTGCAGCCCGGATGACTCTACTGAATTGATTTGGAAAAGTGGCAGTGAGAAATGCGATCTTCCGGAGGCTCAGTTTATTTTTGATCCAAGTCATGGAAGCTTTGTTCACAAATGCAGCGGAAAATCTGTTTGTCCAAAGGGAGACGTTCTGCATGCAACCCGTTTGCAAATAAACTCAAATTGTCCGAAAATGGCCTTGAAGAAACGATTTACAAGAACACAGTGTACGGATATTTAACCGTTTCTTCTCAATAGTTTATTCTTTTCAAATACAGAAATCTAAAATGCCTTTGAAAAGGGCAAACATTTTGAAACGTACTAAAGATTTTTATCTTAGACTCTTGAGAGCATAAAATGTCAGAATATAGATTGAAAACTCTGCATACCTAATTGTGGATTGAACTGGGCCAAACAAAAACGCGGGAAATTGCCCAGTCATCCCCCTTGCCTGAATTACTGCTGTTTTGTAGACAGAAGGACTTCGTTTCCTCTCTTTGGCCTCCATTTGTTTCGACTTCTTCGTTTCAACTCACAAATATTTTTTTAAATATAAGGACTTGTTCTATGTCAGCATAGCGGTCAAATCTTTGATCGGCTGAGAGCTCTTTTCGCTACCATGTTCTAAGCCAATCAGCCGAATCTAAGGCTTAACAGCGAGTGCATCTTTGACGGGATTATGAACTATTCCTAGATTTAAGGTAAGTATATAATTGATTTTGTCCAAATGTGAAATGTCTAAAGCGCTTTGGGTGGGGAGAGGTAAAAACGTAATTTACCTGAATCTCGACATGAAATTTAGCGATCATTTGCGAGGTGTTTTTTATATTATTCTTTGCGATCGAACAGTGGCGCCAATATAGGTTGAATAGCAACGCATGGTGATGAACTGGACAAAAAATAAAGTGGAAATTCGCTTTGTAGAGACGTACAATGTTTTTTGTAGACAATGTGGTAAAAACACGCTGAAATGGCGAAAATGGGCCTAATTCTAGCTGCGAAGCGATTTTGTTGTGAGAATCCTGTGTGCTGATTGGCTTAGAACATGGTAGCGAACAGAGTTCTTAGCTAATCAAAGATTTGACCGCTATGCTTTCTATGTCAATTCATTCTGTAATATCTTAAGAACTGATCTGCATAAAAAACGGAAAAGCATACACCACTTCAGAAATTAATAAAGGAACATCTTGATCAGGTTGTAATGTTTTTCTTTATTTTTGTCTCGGTTTTTAGATTTATAGTTAGGAAATATATCCTTTGGCGAAGAAAGTGCGACGCCAGATTATCAATAGCAAAAGGATACTGTCGTTATTTATGTATTCACTTGGATTTTTTGCAGTTGGATCAATTCATTTCGATCACGCCTGTATTCACCCGATGAAAGCAATGCCTGAAGACAATATGAAGCTGCATTTCTGGAGCGGCTGTCATGGAGATAGGCTGAAACTGAGTCTATACAAGATCGGTAATGTTAATTATGATTAACGCTCTGAATCCAAGATATCTTCTTTGCCCGTCTGTCACAGATGTAACTGGCTTCGTATGTTTTGCAGACTACTTTTATTCGAGTACATGTGGTTGGAATTTTAAATATAAGAAGAGTTTTTGCTGATCTCATCAATCAGGCAACTTTTATAACCTTGCATTTTTAAATTTCATATGAACAATAAATCGAAGGAAATTATATTGGACGCAAAATGCATCCATATCTATGTTTCAAGTTAGTTGCAGCATCAATTCGGGTGATTTCTCCTCATTACCTCGTTGCAATAATGTTATATGTATATATTCCAAAAGCCTTCAGTAAAGCAAAGGAATTATAGTTCTTGCTATTAGAATCAGTTTCAAATTCTCATTAATGGGTTATTGAAAATTTTCAACAAATCTTCGTCTTAATTGCAGCTCTTTAATCCCAATTTAATGATATTAAGATGCGTAATAATACTAAGATGCACAGAACACTGACCCGAGAGGGCTGTGGCAAAGGCTTGGAAACAAAGCCCTCCGCTGCGACCCTACACACCTTGTAGGGCTGCACCTTGCCTGAACTTTTTTGTGTACCATTCGTCTTGCTTTCTTAGTTTTCCCAAAACTAATCCTTGCAAACGCTTATCTGATTCCCCTGATTTAAAACGTAAATTTAAATGATCGACCAAGGGGCCTTATTTAGGCACTATTTGTAAGCCATAACATCTTCTTTCCCTCTTTGGCTCCCCTTTCTTGCTATTGCATAAGTATAACTTGATTATTTTTTCTGATTTTTTAAAACCATAAGTTTCTTCTCCTACAACATAGCCCATTCTTGCCTCTCCTGAAGCTGATCAAACCTATCTACATAGGAAGCAGGGCGAGCTCACTGATTGGCTTGTATTGTACTGAAATTCGAACCGAGTCGTTAAAGGCAATATTAAAATCACAAAGAAACTCTTTTTTCTTGTTTTTATCGCAATCTTGTCCCATTCTTTTGTAGAACATGGTCCAGTTCATGCAGACGTTTGGTTCAATCTAAATTTTGTAAATTTGCGTATGACCGACTTTACAAGCGACACAAGATTTCCAAGCAACCCAACAACATCTGGATACTTGGACAATTTCGACTCTCCTTATTCTCTTGGCAGTAATTACGGGTTGCGCCTATGGAGCTACTTTGCAGCACCAGAGAGTGGAATGTATACATTCTATGCAGCATGCGACGACTTTTGTCAGATATTCCTCAGTCCTACTGTTTACGAGAAAGATAAGAAAAAAATCATCGATGTACAAGGCTGGACATCACCCTATCAGTATGACAAGTGAGTCAAAAACTTTTTTTACTGCCTTACAAACATTTCGTAAGAGAAGAGTTGCATACTTTTCAACAAGACAATTAGGGTACAACGTATACAACATTCAACAAGACAACATATTTACGTAAGTTACATAAGTTTTTATATAGAAAACGTTTGGACTCAGAGTTTTGATTACAGAATCAAATTTGAGATAATAGGATCCAGTTAACAATTCAGGATAAGGTTAACTATTGCTCATTTATTTCTCATCGAAACCATCACTCCTATAGAGACTGTTCAAAACATTTTCAAAACTTCTCGCTTTTGCTTTGCAAATTTTTGTATCCTGATGCCGTATATTCTTTTCAAGACGATCGAGTCAGAAATCTATAAAGATCCAGCTTGAGGCAGGAAAGCTGTATTACTTGGAAGGACTTCTCTTGGAAATGAGTGGTGGTGATCATTTGAGCGTTGCTGTCGATCTTCCAAGTGGAAAGAAATTGATCCCGCTTTCGTATTATTATCTGAGAGCCAAGGCTGAGTCTTGAGGTAAGAAAATCAAGATATTCCTGCTCCTTTAAAAAAGATTAGAGCTCACGGACTAAGATGTGGGAACAAAGAATATTTTAGAAACGTAAGGCGATCCTCGGCATCATATTCTAAGGAGTAGGTAACCAAGATAAATATACAATTTCTCAGTTGGACAAGCAGGGTCCTGAGATAGAATAATTACACCAATTTAGGAAAAAATTTGACTGGAAACTACGAATTTTCGGCCGTGATAATGCTATATTTTAACATTTAAATAATTGTTTTTTTTAGATGGTTTACTAAATTTGGCCAAGAAATCATCAAATGACATTTCAGAAGTTTCTTTTCATTTATCGTTTTCATTTCTATTTTAATTCTTATTTGGGAGTGTTGATTGAAAAAGCAATGTAATCATAGAATAGAAATGGGTAACTGTTTGATATTATCTCAACAGTAATTAATGCTGTAACTTTCAAAACAAGTTTTGATTGTCACTGTAAAGCCGATTGGTAAAGATTATAATCAAGAGTTCTAATATTGACATGATAAAAGTATTTTTTTCCTCTTACAAATTCTTTGTGATCTTTCAATGAATCCTATCCAATATGCCATTTCCCTCACTTTCTACACTCTTGTATATAGAAATCTTTTCTAAATTGAAGTTCAAACTGGCTGTTTCAAAAATTTGGTCTTAAATTAATAGGGTGTAAGCGTGCTCTTAGAGGTTTTCAAGCCTCATTTGCCAACAAAGAGAGTGAGGCAACCTTCATTTGCCGACAAGTTTGAAATTTCACCAAAAAACAGTCCTAGATGGCAAACATCCTTGTTTTGAAGATTTCAGTTGCCAGTTTTTAGCCTTACAGATAGAGTTTGGAATTTCCTAAATTTTCACTAACTGCATGGCTTTGGTACGTGTTCTTGTCTTAGAAATGGAGCATTTATACAAATGCCTTTCGTTAAAATTGCAAATTGGCCGACATCTTACATTCTCCGACTCATATATATTCTCAAATTCTCTACTATTTTACGATTTTATTCACCCTTATCTCCATTTCCTAATTTAGTAATAACTTTGAATTTCTATTTTTTAAGACGTGATTTCTTTGGAAACAAATAGGTGACGAGGCTCACCTGTGATCAATTTGAAAATTTCGGTGTATTTATATCATTTGGTCAGCAAAAAAGGTGGCGCGAGCCCTGCACAAGAAACAATGTAGCATGCTTGACATTGGAAATACTGTGTTCGAAGAAGTGCTAAGCAACTTGAAACACAAATATCTAGGTGCAGATGATGTGCTTTTATGACTTTATGACTTTTTTGAGAGAGGCAATTACGCTCCAAACACCGCCTCGTAATAGGTTGAGTAAACAGAGTACCTGTGAAAATTGAAAAGCTTGCAAAGTTCAACGAAGCAAGCTGAAATCTTTAAATTTGGAGCCGTCCTTTTCTATATTTCAGAAGCGTGCACAACTCTGTACAGCATTGAGCACTTTATCACAGAGCAACTTAGTGCCGTGATATTCTATAAAACAACGCATGTACAGCTGTCTATTCGGCATTGAGTACTTTATGAAAGAGCAACTTAAAACCTTCCTGTTCTATTACAAAAAGCGTGTAAAGCTTTGCATATACGGCATCAGGCACTTTATGACAGACCTATAAACTGTAATTCTCATTAGAATTCCATTTAAGTGATCGTACAACTCCTTTTCTATTTTACTGAAAAAATGAGTATTGTTATGATCAAGAGATGCTTCTCAATTTTTGTGGCTTTTTTCAAGACCTCATATCATAACTGATAGAATGAATCTAAATGTGATATACTTAACGCTGAAATTGGATAAATGAAAATGTCTACTAACAGAGGCATCTGGTTGAAACGGTTCTTGTCCATCCTCTCCTTAACTCATTCATTCCCTATATCTCGAATTGACAGTCAGTTAGACAAGAAATGTCTTAACACTCCCAAAAAATTTTATCGGCATTGCAGAAATTTAAAGACAGAGAAACATAGAAAGTTGGAACTTATCATATCGATGGCATAATAATAAATGGAGCTTGAGATGGACCCCATGAACGAATTAGTAATCAATGCAATATTTTTAAAGACAGCATTTCGTTTTAAATAAGCAAACAAACATGAAGCGTGCATGTTTTTGAAAGTTATAATAGATAAAAATAGTCAGCATTCTTCAAGCAGCAAAAAAATGTGCCTTATTCCTTGCAAAAATATATTGGCCTTTGCATCCTGGGTACCAGAGCCGCAAATAGTAACGACAGCAGAAACAATGAAGCTGCGGAGGCCAAGGAGAGAGAGGAGGGGATAAAAGCTTCTTTACTCCTAGAGTTCTAGTAGAAAAATTAAAAAATTTTAAGTTGTCATTTGAAAAATTTTCTTGTGCATTAATCAGTAATGAAACAGCCAGCTTAGAGCCATTGAAAGACATTTATTACATTTATTCGAGTTCAAGGCCTACAATCCCGGACAAAGATAGTTGAGACATTTAAAAGAAAGCTTATATTTTCATTTTTCTTTCAAAAATAACTTCCCCCTCCCCCAATTCACTGTTGAATGCATGATTTTGAAGCAAAAATGATAGAACTACAAATCCAACATTGCTTCTGGGGGGAAAGGAGGGATTCGAATTTACAGGGGGAAGATAAAATAGAAAAATACAAAAGTTGCATTTTGTCTCAACATTTTTGTCCAGGATTGTAGGCTGGGGTCTTTCAAATAATGAGATTGTTTACAATCGTACCTAAGATAACTTTATTATTTTTGTTTATGCATCTTGATACCATAGAGGGGGGGGGGGACTATCCGATAATTAAATCTAGATCTTAGATTACTTTCTAACTTTTTGACAAAAAAATGCCTCTGGAATATTTTGCACCCTTCCCCTTTCAACAGCCTTTTGTTTGCCTTGGATGCGACAGCTAAATTTTTCCCTTCTGTTTTCTTGTTTTGTTTGCAATTTGCTGTTTTCCCTCTATACACACCGAAAAATTCATCAAAATATGGTGTTCCGTCTGAGCAATGGGCCCTTCTGCCATAAATAGCTGCAATTTAAAACAAAGGTAATGAATGCTTCTGGAAAATTAACGATCTTTCCTGGTTTTATCTCAAACGCTTGCTGCGATTGTCGCTAATGTAAGAAATCTGAAGTCGCCATTTCGAATTCAGAAACAATAGTCAGTCAACCAGCTAAGAGCTATTGTGCAGCTATCTTACAAATATGGTATCATTTTCGAGTTCCAGATGACGAAAACGTTCCATTGTTTCATTTCACTCACTTTCGAGGCAAAACGTCACTAACATTTGCCTTCAAACAAAATATTGATAAAATGCATATGGTTAAAGTTTCCCAGGCACTTTCCCGATAAAACAGGAAACTTGGCTATCTATAAAAATATTAATTATAGTCCGGCCTCTGGCGTCCAAGATTTCAACAGTCGGAGGCCAAAAGGTCTGAATAGAAATTTTGATACAACTCGACATGCTGACAACAGAAACCAAAATCTTATTGCGAATTTTTCAAATCTGATGATACCATCAGAAAGAGGTTACAAAACTGAGCAAAAGATATGAAAAGAGCAATGTGATCTGACCTGTAAGAAAAAAGTTATGGCCGTTTTGTCAAACAACTTGCTTTTTCAAGTTTTATGATAGCACAGACGAATAGCAGTGGAATTGTGCATGTTATGATAATAGCATGAGGTTTGGTGCAAGTACGCAATCCGATGTGCTGAATAAGATAAGATACATATCAAGCTTAAAAGATTCCCCCAAACACTATTTTTTCAATTGGGTACTGGTACCCAGTCCTCTTTTAGGTATACCACTAAAACGTTTTAACTTCGCAAGTTATAAAACTGAAATTTTTTTCTGGCCTTAACTGACGTGCTAAATAAAATGAGATGCAAAAAAAGCTTTGAGATTTCCATAAAAGCATATTTTAGACTATGGTACCATTCCTATATTGGGCCTTTCACACTCTGGATATCTCAGGCCAAAGCACTATACAAAGTGCATTGAAACAACAGCAAAAAAGATAATCTATAGTATGAAGCTTAAAAGAGAAGATTCGGATGAGTAACGCAGCAAACACCTGAGAAAAGGGTCGTTGGCTAGTAAAGTGAACTGAAGTTCGATTCCCGGAATAATTTAGGCGCGAAAGGCGCAGCTCCTATTTCCCCTGCACATGAGTCAAATACAGTGATTTGACTGGCTTATAGCGCAAGCAATGCAATTCAATGCTGAACGCTACTTTCCATGCGCAGTATCGACAACTTTTTTGGTCGACGGTGACGGGCCAAGATTCTTTTGTTTCCAGACAAGGGTTTTTAGAGTTCGTCTCCCCGACAAAGAATCACTTATTATGTCTTTAATTCATCTGTAGAAGATGAAATACCCCGGGGTTGACTTTTTGCTTTTTGCAACGCAACATATAAGTTTTGCAAAAATCAGGGGGAACATTAGCCTGCGTCGCAGACCATTTCAGAATATGGTCTGCGACGCATGCTAGGGGACATCACCTCTCAGCTGTTGGTCTCTTCCACACCGTCTCTTATATGTGTTTGTTCAAGGTTCTTCCGTTGAATTTCTCTTGGTAATAGAAAACAACTGAACGTTCGTCCAATCCAGCATTCTAAAACATTTTGTAACCCTGCCAATGTTGAAATTTCATCTGTTCGCCGGCAAGACTACCCTGGGTACCAAATTTAAAGCGTGAAAATAGAAGATAGGAATGGAGAAGCGGAGAAACACCCTTCGAATCAGATAGGCAGTCCTTCGTTTCTCCGCTTCTACCTTCTTATACAGTGCTTGAATTTATGTTGCCCTGGTACCCAGACTTGCAAAGTATTTTTCTTATATACTATTGTTTGTGCAAACCGGATATGACGTGTATACAATGCCTATGGAAAGTTTTGTTAGTTCAGCTTGTTTAATCAAGTTTTTATTGTCTGGAGACAACTACTTAATGCGAGCTCAATGCCACTTTGACTGGTTCAGAGCTTGGGCTGCAAGATGTCTGTGCTACTAGCTGCAGCGCTATGTCTCTGTAAGTCTTCTTTTAAACTCTTTTATATAATCGTTATGTAAACTTTGCAATAAATGCTTTTGCAGCTGTTATTTTAATAATGCTTCAAGTAGTCTATGATTTTAATTTTGAAATAAAAATTTGTATAGATTATGGAAAATGTGTAGATTATGGGAATATTGCTTGTTTATAATTCACATGTGTCTTTCTTGTAAGAGGTTTACCATGTAGCAACTACGTACAGCTGAATCTTACTAAGAAAACAAAACAATTTTGTATACCATAGCATTTTTCTTATCAAAAAGATTTGGTTTATGCTTAGACGCAAGAAAAGCGTTAAAATTACTGGAAAAATTAGAGTTGAATCTTGCTTAGAGGGATTTGGTCAATAAAAAAAGTTACTCCGTGACGATGTCTTATTTAATATACGCGCTTCTAAACACGGTCACATTGCCACTACATGCAAGAGCAATTGAAAACATATTTCACAAACTTACGCTGTTAATTCAATTTTCTCTATTGTTTTTTTGCTGATTCTATGGTGGTTGCCCCTATGGAAATAAAAAACTATGGTGGTTGCCCCTATGGAAAAATGCAATTTATTGTTTAATTGTTCTGCATTATCTCTTCGAACAGTAAAATATCTTTTGGTAACAAAGTCTAATCTCCATTAAGGAGAAAACTCGACGAAAGCAAGCGACCAGAGAACATGCGCACATGATTATTTTATACCTACGCGCTGGTCGATGCGTTTCGCTTTCATGGAAAATAAAACGATCTACAATCCCAACCCAAAAGTCTTGGAAAATAACGCCAGTTTTCAAGGCAAATTAAACCATCCTCCTCCTCTTGCATCAATGTTGTTTTTGTATAAAAAAGAAGCAGATTATGGAGTATATATTTTTCTTGAAAATGGTATGCCCACCAACGTTTTGTTTTGACTACCAGCATTGTTCTGGGGGTGGGGGAAAGAGGTTGGAAGTATTATTTTTTGGGTTAAAAATAGAGTTAAAAAGTAGAATAACACAATACATGTTGCTGGACGTTCGAAGAAACTTTAGCAGGCTTCCTAGCCGAAAACTCACAGTGCGTTTGAAGTAAACTTCGCAAAAATAATGGTGATGCCAAAAGTGCTTTCTTTTCAATTTGTGACAATTAGTGTTTTAAAAGTAATGTTGAAATGTTGGTCTGTTTGCCTTAGACCAGGTATTATGGGCAGCAGCGAAAAAACTCTCTAAGCATATAGCTGATTAATGAAAAATGAATAACTTTACAAACTTTGAAATTCTGATAAAGAATACGTATCCTCTCTGTTTGTTTAACAATGGTTATCAAACAACGTTTCTTTGAAGAATTAATCTACTATCTTGCCTTTTGAAAAGTAGGAATATTAAGTCCGATTTGATCAAAACGATTTGTAAATGTTTTGATTATGAAGGTATCTAACCTCTAATAAAAGCTATCAGGTCTCTTCTTTTTTAATATCTGAATTTTCCATTTGTTTTTCATTTCAGTTACAAATTTTGCGGCTTATTTTGTTAAAAGGACTTTTTTGTCATTAGAAATATTTGTAATTCTAACAAAGTGTTTTGAATGTAAATTAAATAAGTTCCCAGCGATAATTTATTTCCCATAAACACTTTTATAAAGTTTAATTGATAAGTCTTGAGCCGACAATGACTGTTATGAGATGAGCTCGAACAAGAAATAATGTGACAATGATGGGAACAGCACTGCTTTTTGGTGATTAAATTCAGTGTAGTGGTTCAGTGTACTAGTATATATAATCACCTCTCAATTGCACAATCGCAAGAGCAACGATCATGATATTTTATGACGTCTAAGATTAATCTCTGTTATTTTGTATACTCATCATATTCTGAATGATGAAAATGAAGACCAAGGGTAACACATTCTGTATGTAAACCGGGAAGCATGAGAGATTCTGAGCTCTGCATCGCTCAACATAGTAACTCTTCGCAGGGGCGATTCGCTCCTACTGTGCTATAACGAGTTTTAGAAAACGGGTATTTTTAGAGTTCATACTGTATAGAAACCATAGTTACCAAAAACACTATCGAAGCCTTCAGTTTTGCCATACTCCTTTCATATTGAAAATTCAAAGATACAATAGATTCTCCATGATTTTATTTAGTTCATCTTTTTCCTTTTTCTCCAATCAATCAGATCCTTTGATTCTCGCCATTTGTGTGAATCTCGTGCAAAATCAAATTGGGTCAATTGGAGTAGCGTGATGAAAGGCACGAAAAAGGAACGTGGTTTTTTATGAAACGATAATTGCATTCAAGTTTTTATCAAGAGCGCAAATTTTTCTCAGTCCCACAATTTTCGACTTTCGATTATAATCTCTTTATTTCTGTGCCCAAAAATGCAATAAAAGATTTATCATAAAGTATAGTCTTGAAAAATGAAGTTCTATCAAAAAAAATTAAAGAATTATCAAAAATGGGATATGACGGATTTCATTCGTTCTGAATCGACTTTTTAGCGTGAAACTGAACCTTTTTATCCTTCCTGAAGGTCTTTCCATAAAAATAATAAGTTCCTCTTAGACATGGCTTACATGAGTTATTAGAGGGACTTTATATGGAAATCACCCTGCCATTTTTGCAAATATCACTATTTTTCTCCCTCCTTTAGGTAAACTTCTACTCCTTTTGGTTTTATTTAAGGCCTGGAGATTATAGCCATGCAATTGCCGCCTTTCAAATCAAACTGAGTCTTCCACTTGTCGACTTTCAAACAACTTTTGTCTTTCCCTTCCAATTGAGAATAACCCTTAATAGGAACCGTCATTTTCAGGTAAAAGCTGTGCTCACTAGTTTACCGACAAAGATATTGCTATTGTTAACAGAAAAAGGGTTCACAGCGACCAACTGATTCAACAAATAATCTGCATTTACAACCAACTTTTCCCCACTGAGCTCCACCTCTATTTCCAATCAAACCATTTGTCATAACGAATACAGTCACAAAATATTAGCTTTATTAGTTTTTGTATTTACACTTTATCAATTGTTGATATCCTCATTGGAAATTGAAAATTTATATATTATTTTTGTGGTTTTTTGCTTTCAGCCTTTGTATCTGTATGTGTATTTTTTAGCATTTGTATCTGTGCAATGCTACGAAATCGTTTACCCCAAGGCTATTTACAATGGAGTTGAGAAAAGGGAGTTGTCGACCCGCCTAGATGGTAAGAGCTTAAATCTGAGTTATCTTGCATATTTGCTACCTAAGATGGGTTAAATTATTTGCCACTAACTGAAAGCCATTGAGTCAATTCAATCAATAGTTAACCTACACAACAACAAATGCCAGATTTTAGACTTCGCTGTGCCATTTGATACCAGAGTTGATGGAAATGAAAAGGAAAAGATAATCAAGTACCAAGACTTAGCAAGGGAACTGACAAAAAAGGGAACAAAAAAGTAATTCTAATCATAATTGGGGCGCTAGGAACAATACTGAAAGCATTGCCAAAAATTCTGAAGGAGATTGAGATAGCTACCAGGATAGTAGGGTTTAGCTAGCCTGCCATTCTATAATACTTCCTTACAGAAGCTTACCGTAACAAACCTCCTTAATTTTATAAGGCATTTTCAGTGTCTGATTCAAAACATTAGATAAATTTGATATTTTAATCTAAAGTTGATTAAAAAACTGATAACAGTAATGCTGGCAGGATATGGAAATTTTTTTGTAACATCCATCAAATTATCTTCTTGAAAAGAATTTTGCTAGAAGCGCATGCAAATTGATTAATGTCTTCATGTATCTCGTTCTCAGAGACAACACATGCTGATGAGGTGGTTTTTCAGCTGAATAAAAAAGATGGACCCATCCTCTTGGAAATGAAAAGAAATGTGTACGAAGAATCTTGCTTTTTCTGTTAGATTTTTCCGTATGCTACGTAAAATGAATATCATTGCAGTTTGACTTGCACCGTTAATATCTTAATTATCCTCAAAACATCAGGTTATTTGCTAGTTTTCATTGTATTGATTTGTTTATTCTTTTCCAACCTTTGAAACAGATACAAGCTTATTAATTTTTTACAGGGGATTTCACCCAAGCAAAGTTCTACTAAGAACATTTGATGACAAAGATTCTGCAATAACTGAAAAGGTAATTACTTGTTTATTTTAATTTGACAATATTCTTCCATGTTGCACTAAGCTAATAAATTATTTGCGTAATTTGTGGTAAAAAATCGGAAAGATAACATCCTGATTAATATGAACGTTTTAGGTTGCTCCTGATAGTTGTTATTACAGTGGAAGAATTGCATACAAGCAAGATTCACACGTGCTTCTGGATACGTGTAATGGTCTAAGGTGAGGTTCAGCTATTTTCATGGATGTAGCTATTGGGGCATAACATCCCTCAAAATCATCATGATCGGTTAATCTTCAACTGGTTACCAAACAATTGGCACAAAATCCTTAGTTTGAAAAAATCACTTATCAGTAGGAAAAACGTAAATAATTCTTCATCTATGCCTTCGTCCGTAAATTCTAGAATTTGTGATCCTCCACCACCCCCATCCCCCTTTCTCACAGTCTTAAAGACCAAGCTACACCAATGATAATTTTCGCTGATAATTGTATAGTTGCAGTAATTCAATTATATGATTTAAACAAACTTGTTTGGTTCAAGCCTTGTTCTGTAATATATAAAAGCCTCATTCTATACTAAATGATCTGAATCTACATAAGTAAGAAACAATCCTTGCGACAATTGTTAGCTATTTGTATTGTCATAGTCTCATGAAAACAAAGTCAATACACGTTGTCCTATGTAAATTTCCTTTTATACAGGACCTAACTCTTTTTTAAATAAAGTCAAGACTTAAATTGAATCACACTTATTAATGTTACGCATAAAATGATAATAGTTTTGCATCATTAGAATGTCTTTATGCATGCTCCTGTTTTATTTTATTTTTATTTATTTATCACAAAATATATTTTTTGGTCTAAACAAGTTGTCAAGTACCCTTGTAATTGTAAATCATTCCAATATCAAAAGGCCAATATCTTTTCTAATATCAAAGTGTTTCGTTTTTCTTTGGCAGAGGGACCATTGAAGATGAAGGAAAGATCTATAATTTAGAGCCAGTTGAGGGGAAAGAGGTCGGTATTCTCTCAGTTATTTTATTTCAACGGGTCAGATTTTGTTGATTTGTAGTCTGGTAAGAGCAAACTCGATTGTTTATTTCTTATACTGGAACATTGACCCACATACTTAATCAAAATATTTAAGAATGTTTTGAAATATCTGGTTTAAAGATGACTATTCAACATTAATTCGTATACTTTTACTTCTTAGGACACTGGTGCCCATAAACTGTACGAAGCAGAAGATGAAGACCAAAATCTTGGCAAAAGAACAATTGGTAACTCCCTAACCAAATATCAATCAAATTTCGAATAGCTTTGAGTACACTGTACTTCATGGAGTTTGCAATCTGATTCAATATTTGGTATATATATAACAACGAGGTGTAGGACTTGTCTTGACAGCAGCTATTATATTTTAGCTGACTGAATCAACCTGTATAAAGAATTTATAATTATCAATGAATTATATTTGTTTATATATATGATTACTGATTCTGATTCAAAATTAAAATATTAAATTTTCCTTAAACCGTCTTTTGAAGGTCTTAATCCGTTTAATAATGACTTCTTGGAACCTGATGAAAAGATGGACGATGAGGGCGAAGAAGGCCAAACGCCTGCTGTAGTAACAGTAAAAGCACAAAATGATGAGGTGGGGATTGTAAAATTGTCTAATAGGCTCAATCGTAGAAACAGACTATGGCCACTTTTAAAATACATATGAAGGTCATATCGAATCTGGTGCTTAATTTATATTTCTCTGCCTACAAGTAGATTATTCAACAACCTCGAATAATGTTCTCATTCGTATTCATAACTATATTCATTGGTTGGTTTTAGGCTTCCTTGTTGATAGATAACATTTCGAGCATTGCCTCTTAGTTGAACACTCTAGGTGATACCTCAGACTCTTTACAAGGTTCTTCTATCAGTTCAAATTCGCATTCTCTCATTTATCAAAGTTTGAATTGCCTCTGAATAATGCTCAAAACTTGTGATGCCGAAGAGAAAAGTCGTAATCTTAAAATTGATTGTCGCAAAACGCAAACAAAGATTTTCCAGCCTTTATTGCATATATTTTAATCAAATATTCGATAGAATATTTGTTTATATTAGATAATTTCACTTGGTCTTGATCTCAGTATCAATTTTTCATTGCAGCAAAACAGTTTCAGCTTAATTCCAGAAGTCGATCCTGTGTATGCCAAATATCCCATTACAAATAAAACCAGATACTGCGAAATGTTCTTTGTTGTTGACTATGAAGTTGTAAGTAATTAATGAATATTGAAATACTTTTCAAAGCCAAATGTGAAGAATGTTTATTACATCCCTGTTACTGCATATAACTTTCAACTTTAAGTCTAAAAACCTTATAAATCTTGGTACAAATACAGTCAATTCCACTTCTAGTCACTCTGCCTAAAATGACAGAACCGTTTACAGTCACATGAAATAGATACCCAGTTACGCAAACTATTCAATTAAGCTCCAGCTTTTTGAGCAACATTTGGTGTGATGATAGCCCCGGAGTCTGCTGTACCGAGACTCGAGAAGTCAGGAGCCTTTGATTCAGCCATTGCTATTCTGTTTGAAATTATAACTATTGACAATAATGTTTTGTTTTTCTCAAGGTTTATATTGTAGCAAAATGCATTTGTGCATGCTTATGAGATCGAAGTTACTGTATTGAGTATTTTGTTACAGTATCTGAGGTACAATAGCAACAAGTCGTTGGTTTTATCACGAATGCTGAATGCTCTCCACTCAGTTGACAGAGTAAGTAAAAGCAAATAAAAGTTTACCTCTTTGATACACTGTTGCTGCCAGTTTGTTTTATTATATAGATAGTATAGTAAATATCTTTCAATTTATTATTTGTATTGTTGTTGCTTTAAAATAGTTTTAATTATTATAATCATGTTATCTTAGCATCCTTTGCCTGAAAATAGTTCTATATCCCATGGCAGACCTTACTTGCCGGATTTTTACACATCCAGACTAAGACAAACTTGCACTTGTGTTGCATTTAGCGAAGATTAAAGACGTTTTGTGTACAGAAACAAACTCATTAGAATTATTTTTATAAAATAAGCTATTGCTATCCGAAACTTTCTCCTGTTTAAGTTTTAATGCCTTTTTCAGTCATATGCGGCTGTAAATGTTCGTGTGGTGCTTGTGGCATTAGAAATTTGGACCAACGGAAACAGAGTACCTTACAATGAAAGTGGTGGTAGACAAATCTCAACTTTTAACAGTTATAGAAAGAAGCATTTGCTTGGAGTGGTGCGTCATGATATTGCACACTACATAAGGTAAGAGTTCTATTGAAAACCTCTCATTGTACTACTTCAGATTAAACAGCACTGCCTCTGTGAATAAATATACCGCCTTATTTGCACAGCCTGCAGTTAGTCAAAAACGTTAAAGAAACAAGCTGTGAGAAAGAACAGCCTGGCTTAATCTTGTCGGCTTAATCCTGGCATAATTTGAGTTATTCAGTAGTTTTAGCTGCTGCAATGCTAACTAAAAGCCACTTCAAAATTTAAGGATCTTTCCTTTTCTGTATCTTAACCTTTCATTTTTGCTTTTACAAAATCCTAACACATTAAGCATTTGAGAAAGGCACAACTGTATGACTTAGAATATTAACCTATTTTTAACAAAACAGTTTACAAAACAGTTACAAAACATTTACAAGTATTAAATAACACAGAAAGTTCTGCATAGAGTACTATGAGTGCAGCTTTTAACATGATTATATGTAGATCCATAAGCTTCGAAGATAAGGAATGTATTATAAGCAAAGTGGTTTTAAAATTTTTTCTTTCATTTTTGCTTTTACAAAATCCTAACACATTAAGCATTTGAGAAAGGCACAACTGTATGACTTAGAATATTAACCTATTTTTAACAAAACAGTTTACAAAACAGTTACAAAACATTTACAAGTATTAAATAACACAGAAAGTTCTGCATAGAGTACTATGAGTGCAGCTTTTAACATGATTATATGTAGATCCATAAGCTTCGAAGATAAGGAATGTATTATAAGCAAAGTGGTTTTAAAATTTTTTCTTTCATTTTTGCTTTTACAAAATCCTAACACATTAAGCATTTGAGAAAGGCACAACTGTATGACTTAGAATATTAACCTATTTTTAACAAAACAGTTTACAAAACAGTTACAAAACATTTACAAGTATTAAATAACACAGAAAGTTCTGCATAGAGTACTATGAGTGCAGCTTTTAACATGATTATATGTAGATCCATAAGCTTCGAAGATAAGGAATGTATTATAAGCAAAGTGGTTTTAAAATTTTTTCTTTCATTTTTGCTTTTACAAAATCCTAACACATTAAGCATTTGAGAAAGGCACAACTGTATGACTTAGAATATTAACCTATTTTTAACAAAACAGTTTACAAAACAGTTACAAAACATTTACAAGTATTAAATAACACAGAAAGTTCTGCATAGAGTACTATGAGTGCAGCTTTTAACATGATTATATGTAGATCCATAAGCTTCGAAGATAAGGAATGTATTATAAGCAAAGTGGTTTTAAAATTTTCCGCACTGGCGTCTTGGCAAATAAGGAGATAAGCAATTGACAATAGTTGTAGGACCTGAGGCTGATTGAACATCGTATCAGAGGCCCAGTTTGATAAAATATGGAATATAATAAATTAACAATAACTAACAATCGATTGAAAATATCTTGTAAACAAAGCAAATTTACTGCGAGAAAGTGATTTTAACAGAATTCATCTTGCTAACCATGTTACAAAAAATATGTGAAAATTATTTGCTAGGCTTCATGGTAATAATGCAACGAAATTAATTTACTCATAAACATCATAAACTGAAGAGGTAATCCCACCTCCCCAAAACTATAGCTGCTTTTTAATTTAAGATCTCATCGTAGAAACAGTATGTGAATACTTTGATCCACAGTATTTTTCAGAGCTCCTTTTTCAATGTGACAGTCAATGAGACTGCTTATATCTCCTTAGATGAAATATAAGAAACCTTAATCTAATTTTATTGAACTACGTTACTTGGAAATGTATTAGTGATAAACATATGAAACTTTATGTGAAAATTGTATCTAATTTATACTTCTTTACATCTGAAAACTTACCTTTTTATTCTATTTTACATTTCATTTATTTATATTTTTAGAGAAAACTGTAAAGTAAAAACATGAAAAAGATAAGACTTGCGTAAATTTCAAAAGCAAGATGAACAAGTTAATGAATAAATGAAAGTATGGAAGAACTTTTAAACTAAAAGAAGAACCATTAGATTACTTGATCTAACATTTACAAAGATTGAAAAACTCTGGAAAAGTGTCATGAATATTGCTTCATGAAGTATTTTTACCAAACGAAAAATTTCTTTTACAGCATAAAGGGCTGGAGTGGAGGTGTTATCGGGATGGCATATGTAGGTGGAATTTGCAAAACTGGTTACGGTACAGGAATCGATAAGGTAATTATGATGAATAATGTAATAAGATTATATTTTCATTAGGAAAGCAGCACTGAGAAAATAACGTACTTGAATTATAATGATATGTGCAATAACTTGGGCACGATACGACATTAACTTTTTCTATTGTCATCATCATCATCATGATTCATTGACGTCCATGAGAAGATGGTTTTTTAAAGTCCTTAAAAATGTTTTATAGAAGCGGTTCAAATTTAATGAAATTTTTTCTAACACCTTATTATTTGGAAATGCAACGTTTCCTCAAGTATGTTGTTTACAAAGCTGAGGCAATATCTTTCAATACCTCAATTTCGATAGTGTTGGCTGCCACAGATAATCAAATTTTTCTTACGACGTTCAATTGCCTAGAGATGAATTTTCAAGAAAAATTAATTAAATAGTTTGCTTAAGAATTTATTAATTACTTTGAGGGATGCTTGCTGCTGGTAAAATCAATAAATGCTAGATTTGCGAAGAAAATTGTTGTCAAAATTCTCTTAGATAATAACAATTATATGATTGTGTTGCTCATAAAATTTTATCAGATTAAAGTCCTAATTTGAAAAGCCACCTTAAATTCCAATTTAATTTTTTTCAACTCGGTTACATAGCACAATAATTCCAAAATCATGCACACATTTAAATTAAAAAATGCCAGCTTTTGAAAACGAGCTGTTTAAAAAAGGTTGTAGACTGAAATTGGTCTATAGCAATAAATTTAAAAAAACTTCTGAAGCTAAGATACTTTGAAAAATTAAATCCGTTTTCTTATTCAACAATCTCATAAGAATAGCTGCCCTTGCATTCATCAACCTTTTTTGCAAGCTCTGTGCCTTTTGACAGAAGATCATTTGCCTAAGTTCATGAATCTTCTTCATTTGACGTAATTAATGCTTTTCAAACGGTAGCTTGTAAGAAATTCTTTTTGCCTTGATATCACCTTCCGTATAGACAGGACACATCCTTTGAATTTTAAAAATTTGAAGCAAAATTGTCTTTATAAATTCATATAGCAGAAAACCCTGGCAATTAAGTACTCTTAAAAGTGAAAATTACCTTGCTTGCAATGTTATAAACCCTACAGCTCAATTCAGTACAATGTTGTGTAGAAATAGAATCAATTTTACTTCTGAAAACGTTTTGAACATAAAAAGTGTTGATAATCCAAAAATGTCCTGTGCGGTTTTGTACGGCAGGGAAATCATATGGCGAAATCAGGTCTGGATTTTTTACAACAATTTTCAAAATGAGCCTCTCAAGCCAAACTTAAAAACACCTTCCATTTCAACTTGATAATCACGGATTTTTTTATTTCAACATTTTGCGTAGCTTTCAATTACAAGCGCGTTGAGAACTTAAAATAGATAGAATGAAAGGAATTTTTCAAATTTGCAAGCTGCGGCGTTTCGCACAGCCTTTGGTGATTCACCAGATCGAAAAAATTCGAATGACTTTAGTTGCTATGACATTAAAGTATTTGTTTAGGCATTTCATGATGAAAACGTGCGCCTTTGCTGTATACAAAGTTGCTTCCCAGTGCTGAATACAACTGAATAAGTTTATTTCAAAGGTAAAGGTTCATTGGCTGCTTTCGGCAGTACCTTTAGGACCTTTCTAACACCTAATAAATTTCTAGCAAGCTAGCAATTTTCTGAAGTAGCAGTGTCACCAAAACAGAGGGAGCAACTTTCCAAGCTTATCACGTTAAACAGCTAGAATCTTTGAAATCGTTAGGAATAAGGATACAGCTTTGACTTTATCATTTGTTATATCAATCTAAAGTAACCCAATTTACTTTCTTAAATGCAATTCCCACACTCATACTAATGTAACTTTTCTGATACTGTAGTGGTCTTTCACATCTGCGACTGGTCCAACTGTTGTCTTGGCCCATGAACTTGGACATAATTTTGGTTTTCCCCATGGTAAGGAGCTATTTACTCATAATTTTCTAACTCTTCAGCTTTAGAATGTTTTCTTTCAATATGCTCTTCACCCATATCTCGCTCAGTTCAATATTGGTAATCTCTTCACAATAACCCATGCATGTATTCTGCAGATTTTTCCTAGCTTCTTTTCTAATCCACTAAACATTTCAAATTAACATACAAAAAGTTGATTTAAGTCATAAATTTCTCCCATTTCATTAAGGGACAATAAAAATCATCATTCTTTTAAATCATGACAGAAAAAACTTTGCATCAAATTCTGATAATAAGAATTAAGTTAAAAATTAGCTTTTCTTGAACAACTTGTTTTCTTTCCTTAGATTCGTCACCGTGTGTCTGTTTGACTTCAAGAGGGTGCTTCATGGGAGGCCCAAAGTAAGTAGAGGTCTTTCTTGCGGATAAAAATCCGAATGTTTTCTCGGGACACCCAGAGCTTTTCAAGCAAACTGTTCTTTAGTGTTCAAGCAGCATATAAAACACCCCCCAAGCCACTTTCAGTATTGGTTTCTTAATATACTTGCCATTTCTTACCTCACAGCTCAAGGCACACTTAAGGTTACTCATTTCATGTTTTTTGGCAACTGAACTTTCACGAGACGACTCTTTGCATGAAGTCTATGTTGTTTAACTTTGCCATAAACTCTTGATTTGTAGTCTGTTAATATTATGGCTAGGAATCTACGATAACATAGGACTTATATTTCTAGTTATGAGAGCCAAGGCTGATTTAGTTAATACTGTGCTAGAAGCATTTTCAATCAAAATTTCCACGTAAAAGACAAGCTCAAATGCCACAATCTCCTTGTAATCATTCGTCTTCTTTTGTCAAGGACTCGAAGACCAGGATTTTCCGATTGCAACATGAAAGTGTTATCAGATCCGAGGAGGTCATTTGAATGCTTGAACAACTATCCAACAGAGGTATGTATTTATGTTTTAAAATACCGCTGACTTTCTACCCGGCACCATCATACACATTTATTCTATACTAATGATAAAATGATTTTACGCAAAAGCTTATAAAATTTGCCTGCCTGTAGAAGGTACACCTCGCACTCTAGAACGCCATTACTATCTGAATTCTATTGAAAGATTCAATATTTCGATTGGCTAATTTTGATTAAATGTTATATGCTAACTTGGTGCGGGAACAGAGTCTCGGTAACAGAAAAATGCTGGAAACTCAAATCGCGTTTTCTTATTTTTGAAATTTCTGACTGCTTTGACTTCTTTAAAATCGGAAGGGAAGAAATATGGTTTTTGCAAACAATATCCACAGGTTATTATCTTCAAAACTTCTTGTATCCTTCCCTTAAAAAACACGCGTTACAAGAAAGCGTGTATCTAGAGTTATTATTATTACATTCCTGTAAACAATATTATTGCGTGCTTTTACCCATTCTTCTGTTAATTGTACAGTACATTTTCATCATACAACGGATTATTACCTGAAATGCCGATTTCTAAATATTGTTTATTTAAAAGCATTTTGGCTTTGTGTTGAAATTCAAAAATTTGAGCCTAATTAAGACTTAACCAAAGTAAATGAAAAATGCAAAGCAAATGAAAAATCTAAACACACCATATGGTAACCAAAACATGTTTATTTTCTAATGGTTTCAAAAGAAGATGCTTTTTAAAGCATACAGATACTTTTGACTTAATTCGATTGCCATGCACACCATGTTCTTGTCAAAAAGAAAACTGCAACAAATTGAATCAAGGACAATGAATTCAAACACACCATTAGAATTTAAACAAATTCAATTATAGAGAGTCACAATTCGATAATATTACTATCTCTCCTGCAATGACTGCCCTGCAATAAACTTAGTGGGAAAATGAGCGTGGCATGCCATTGATAGACTGATGTCCTGCTAATTATTCACAGAATGCTTTCCCAAGAACACAGTTTTGCTACAATGAATAGTAAACAAACTTTTTATGGAGAATGGATCTGGATAAGTCATAGATAATCATTGTAAACACAGGATATATTCACAAAAGCAATATTCAAAACTTGCAATTTAAACACTATTACTGTCAGATAATAATGATCTTCCCTGAAGCTAGTAAACCCAAAAATATAACTATCAAACTATAGCATATTTCAATTTTACTTCAAAATGATCTTCAATATTTCATACAAGGAAAACCAATGTTTGCAACTTCTTTTATTTATGCAATGACTTTGCTATCAATTTTTATGATTTACCTTTGCTACAATAATTGGCAAAGTCTTCGAATGCTGACACTAGTTTCTGTCTACTATTCCTTTCTCACCGTTGTAAATTTTGTCGCTTTACCACAAAGTGATGCCCAAAACTGGAAAGTATGAAATTTATATGGCTTGTTTGATATTGACATACGATACCTGTAAAATTTCTTGCAACACTAACAGCATTTTTCATTCATATTCAGCCACCTCGAAGAAGGGAGGGAATGGAGGCTAGAGTCCCCCCACCCACATTTTGCCAAAAATGCAAAAATGTTACTATTGAATCATTAGTCGAGCCACTTTTTATTCGGTGTTAGCCCCCCAATTTTTTTATACCTCCCGCTATTCTCAACGCTCCGCAGTATCTGATATCAGCTATTTCTCCTACCCGCTCTCAAACATGCTGGATTATTCTCTACAAAAATGCACCATTCCGAGGTGGCCTGTATTTTTGAAACTAGGATGGCTTTGATGCATTTCAAGCATGGCTTTGGGGAAAGAGGGAAAGTGACCTATTTCTATAGGAGTTAATTGAAATTGGATTGACAATTGACTGAACAGAAACTACTTCTGTGTTCAAAGAACGTTTGGCAAGCACGGTAGTTTTCGAGAGAAAGAGAGCTGAAGCAGTTGTATTTGGAGAAAAAACCAATACTATATAATTAAGACTTTTTTTAATTTGTGTTTTAAGTAATGTTGACAGGCAAAGTAGCCTCCTCAAGTCGTGGGTATCTTTCAATGTTAATACTTTTATAAGATGCTGACTTTTGATAACATTGCCAGTTAGTTTTCTAATGGATATATGTATGTTTTGCATGTTATAACGAAGTAATGTTTTGTTGCAGACGCTAGACAATGTTTGTGGCAATGGGATCGTTGAAGGATCAGAAGAATGCGATTGTGGATCTCCAGAGGTACAAGTTTCTGGTTTTCTATAACTACACAGTTAAATTCCATCTCTTCTTTTCTGCTAGTTTTACCTTGACATCCATAAACACTCTAATATTGTCATGTTTTAGATGTGTGAGAAAAAGGACAAGTGCTGTGAACCAAATGGATGCAAATTGAAGCGTTCCGCTCAGTGCAGTGATTTTAATACACCTGACTGCTGTAAAGATTGCTTTGTGAGGAATAATCTTTTTCTTTCTCTGTTTAAACAACTAATAGCTATGATGGTCAAAATATGCCAGGAGTTAGATGACACAGAGTTGTTATAGATAGAAATTCATAAAGATTGAGACCTACAGTGGACAGCTTTTATCAAGAATAAGTAATAATGATTATTTTATTTCGTAAGAAATTTAAATCGAAAATTGAAGAATTCGTGTTTGTGTTTATCTGTATTTGTTACTACCTAGCTACAAAGGTAGTTTTGAAGACATTGAAAAGCAGCCCTTATTGAATAGTGTCTTTGGGCTCCCTGAAATTACAGAGAGCTGACGACTCTCCTCACTCTAATGTGAAATTAGTTCATATCATTGATTCGCGCCACAGTCATACTTCATTGTTTTACATTTTACAGTTCAAAGGACAAGGAGCATTATGCCGTGAAGCGATAAACAACTGCGATTTGCCTGAATACTGCCCTGGAAATTCTGGAATGGTGAATATTTTAATTTGCAAAGTCAAATATAGTAAAATAGCAAAGAGTAGATAGCTTCTGCAGATAATATCAGCAGTGATTTGTTTTCGTTATCATCAATAAAGGAACATTGCTGATTTGAACAATCTTTAGGCCCATAGCCTTTAAGTAACTCTATTAGGGTTTTTTCTTGTATTTCAGTGCCCAAATGATGACTACATGCAAGATGGGTCTCCATGCAGTAACCGAATAACGGTAATTATAAATGTTGTTTGTCTCTTTTATTGCATACTAATTGTTTCTTTAGGATATGCTTTGTTAGACATAATTAAGGATACACGTATCAAAAAAGGTTATTTCATTTCTTTATGTAGCAAGGCAGTTGCCTTAAACGCATGTATTTGCTTCATAATTCTCCTTCGGATTGGGACGAACCTATCTTGTTGATAAACAAAATAGAGTATCAGCTTTTAGCATATACTTGAGTTATTACTTGTGATATTCGTTTGTTGATGATAGCTTGATTGATAAGGGCTGCCTGACTTGCGAATAAATGTATATATAGGTTGTCAGTCTTTCGAAATTTTTTAAAATTTTGAAATTTAGAATAGGTTGTATATTTGAATGTTAAATGTTAGAATTTGTACTGTATGTGAAGGAATATGTACTGTGTACAAGAGAAAATGAAGAAATATGTACTGTTTGTTTTTTCTGTTGGTGTAACACAATATTTTGCACTGTAGATTATCCCTGCAAATATAAACAGGAACGAAAAATTGCTAACATTGAACCCACCGATCAAAACAAGATATCTGCGCATAAATCCAGTTTATTGGAAGCCAAATGGATACGCTTGTTTAAGGATGGAAGCACTAACGTGTTCAGCTGATGAAGGTACTTGCAGTCTCATAGTTTTGCAATATATACTACTTGCTACTTTAAGTTGAGATCTCAAACTGCTTGCAAAAGACTTTATGACGACCACTTAAAACTTACAATCAACTTAAAATGCATTTTAAACAATCAATATCGCGTTTTAAGCTTCAAATGGGGAAGTGCATATTTTAGAAAAAGGTGTTTATAACTTGTTAAGATTTGCTCTACTGAAGAATGCAGGGCTCTATCTCAACGGCCCAAATCAGATATCTTTCCTGATACTTAAAAGAAAATTCATACTTTTTTGAGACTTGTAGAACAAAATTTTTTCACTCTTCTTTGCATCGATCATTGCCTGAGACAGATATAGATGAGATCTTTACTTAAATCAGCTCAATCTAAAAACATTAAAGACACAATCAGTCCAATTGGCTCGATTAACGATTTTTTTGAGAGTACGGAACACTTTTTGTTGCTCTGTCACAGCTTTGATATGCAAAGACAATTCTTTTCAATGCTGTCTAAAAAATATTTCAATTACATCGCTTGCTAAATCTTTTTTGTGAAGTGCTTCTCAAATATTTAATGTATGGCGATGAATTTGGCACTTTCCAGTAATCTCAACCGTCATGATGATCCTTCTGGCCACAATCAAGTATATATACAAACCAGCTTTGACTAAACCAATGCCATCCTTTCCTTATTTAAAATGCATATGAACCCCCTGATTATTGAGCACTTGTTTATACAAACTTTTGGCTGAACAAACACCATGTACGATGAGATCTGGCTTCTTCGTGGTTAATTTGAGAGGTCGTTGTATAGGAAAGTCCTTTCTTATTTTGTGTATTCTTCTGTTAGTTTTATTTTTGTCGTCATCTTAATTGTATGTAAATGGTAATAGCTGCAGGGTTACAATGTCCTTTCTTGCTATCTCTACTAACGTCTTGCATTGTTAGGGTTTAATAATAACAGCATATTTTAAGAGCAAGAGCAAAAAACCCAATGCATTGCAATACTTTCTAAATAGTAGAATATCAATTTCACCGAAAATTACAATTCTACTTGAATTTCCAATCCCCCAATTCCCTTTTACAGATTCCTCTGACATGCCTCAACCAATTTCAACAAGAGACCTTTACTACACAAATGCAGTCTGTGTGGCCCCAGATAGTGCTAGCTGCGCAGAAAGCCGTGTCAACGACTCGAAGCTTGTATTCAAGCGTGAAACTTACAGAGACTGCAACAAACCAAATTTTTTGTTTGTGCTTGAGAGTGATGGCACACTTCGGCATAATTGCAGTGGAAAAATTGTTTGTCCCGCGTCATCAGGAAATCTGGTATTAAAGAAGGAATGTCCAAATGACGAGGGAAAATATGAAAGATTGGCAGTATGTAATTCATGATTACGGTTCTTGAAATTGCAAATTTTGAAAGTGGCACAAAAAAATTAATCAAAGATCTACATTTTGATAGAAATATAGCTCCTTTGTGGCTGTATTGTCCTTAAATTTGCTTAGTAAAAACAGAGTAAAAGCATAAGTTTTTGCCAAATTTTTTTCCAAAATTTTTGCCGTATCAAAATTCATCTAGATTTTACTCTCTATCTCATTAATATTCTTATTTCATCAAATAGAACTTCGGATTGAAGAATAAGGTAACAGACAGCTGCGTTGAATCCTACGATGGCTGGCCATTGAACGGAAATGCTATAAAATTGAGGGGAACCAAAGACTGTGACGGAAGCCGTGATAGGACAAAGCTGCATTTTCTTGAAACTGGCACGTCATTTAAATTGTCACTTTTTAAAGAACATTGCTCGTCCAATTTGACAGAGCATCTACTTGATCTATTTTTCAGAGCATTGCTCGTTCAAATATTGCTACCATTTATTATAAAAAACGAGCCCAAAATTATTGATTATTTTTGCTTGCTGTTGATTAAATATAAATTTATTTCTCTACTGGATGATTTTCTTCTTTCTCTTAATTTTAACTTCAAACTTAAAAAGACATCTAATTTTGCATATCAATTTTTCATATTTGAAAACAAAAAGGAAAACCTTATCTGTGTAGATCTCAAACTTTTTGAAGTAAATTAAGCATAAGTGACTTTTGATTTGCCATTTAAAATATTTGTTCAAGGGCTTAGTCTGTTAAATGTTTTTTCATAATTTATAATTTCTTTAGATATTTAAACTAGAATTTTTTAGATTTGTAATTCATATCGGTATATCCAATTGTGTCCAAATGATGAATGATGTTAGGAAGTTGTCACTTTGGAAGTCTATGAAGCTTAGAATCTTGACGCGGAAATTTTTTGCATTGCTTGGGAAAATAATTAGAGTCACACTTCCTTCCTGTCATGAAAACCTTTTTCACCAATAAAGAAAATCCTTTTGCACCTCATGCTATTAATAACAAATCTTTCTTAAAACCCATTTTCAGTAATAATTTTTTGTTGATTCAAGTTGTTTATATTTGATTATATTTCCATAGACTGTCTTTTGCCCGCTGGTTTTGAAAATGGAAAACTTCCAGACTCAGCTTTTACAGCGAGTGCTTCACATCGTTACTGGCCACCTGAAAAAGCAAGGCGTTCAGGCAGTAAGGGTTGGTGTCTTCCCTCAAAAACATCAGGCAAGAACGAGTATTTACAAATCGATCTTGGAAAGGTAAAGGAAACTCTATTTTCTATTTATGTCTCCACGTTAAAATATTTCCATGTTGAACTACTCTCTCAAGGTAGAAATCATCATAGATAACATTAAATTGCATTTAATGAGGTGAAAGTGAAACTTCTTGCCAAACAGTTCTCGTTGAACCTATGTACCATTGTTTAAATAGTGGATTCTCATGTTTAAGTAGCAAAGAAGAATCTAAGTTCAAATTTCAATTTTAACTTAAACCTTTTCGATAAACATTGAAAAATATTTGTTTACGCAAATTGATTGCAAACAGCATGTTTTAAGACACTGTGATTTTTTTAGTCGATGGTATTTTATTAGACGCACTTTGCACTTTTTATTTCTTATTTCAGATCAAAACAGTTGGCAAGCTAAAAATGCAAGGTGCATCGAGCGATTACGTATCTGCATTCAGATTGTTCTACTCTGATGACGGCAAAAACTGGAAAGGCTATTCATCAGATGACGACGTAGATAAGGTAATTTTTTACCATAGTGTATCACATAATTATAATATGCAATGCATTTGCATAATTAGTGCTTTCGTTACTGCACTGAATCGTTCTGATTTTGGGTGTTAGCAAACCTATTAACACTCTACCAAATCCATGATGTAATAATCAATGTGATCTGCACAAAACAATCTACTATTTTTTTCATGTTCTGGTTTAATCCTTTGCAGAGTTACATGTCATACTGTTACTCTGGAAGCTGCAGTACCTCAAGAAACTATCAGTGCAAACATCTTTGGGATGCAAGTAAATACAATCCTCTAACTTGAATTAGCTTTTACTCCGTTTCTTTTAAGGCTAGAAATATTTTTATTCTGAATATGTAGAAGTCATTTCTTTTTGGTATGAAACAACTGCTGGAAACTATAAAAGCAGGTTGCCATTTTCATTTATCAGCAAAATAATGATTCTGCACGATGGCAGATTAAGATACCGTTTAAGAATGGGTTGATGTATTGGTTCATCTACAGCCTAATAAGTCACATTTTGTAAGTGAAAGGTTGCAAATATGATAGTTAGGATGCTGGATGACAGAGCCGAGGATGTGTAAAAACTTTTAAATCTAAATTAGGGACAAAGAGGTCATTGATGCATACATTTTACGCATTTTGCAATCCCTACAAACATTTTGCAAACTGACGTTGTCTTCCCAGGAGCAACTTCGGCTAACGAATCGTGCTGGAGAAAGCTGAATACCGAAGCTGCTGGATACGGAACATGCGATCCTTTATCGAATAAAACCTGTGCTGCTGAGTAGGTGTCTTCTGCCATAAAATTACAAAAAACCAATGACGGGAAAATTTAATAGATTCTGTCCAGTTTGTTTACTTGTAACTTTTGTTAAGTTTGATTATATTGTGTTTCTTAAGATGCGATCTAGTTTTGGTCTCTGATGTAATCTCGTTTCATCAATTATAATTTTTTTCTCTTTTTTGTAATCTAGCAACTATAAGCAAAAGAAATATGACCAAAATTGTGCTGAAATAGAAATGGCGATTTTTGGTTGAATACAACTGAATGAGCTACAAATATAGAGCCATGACTACTATTGTACTTGCTCCTCAAAAATTTACAATAATCCCCCTTGTTTCTTATCAATTTTCTTATCAACAACCCCCTTTGTTCTTTCTATTCTCCAATAATAGTGTCCCTGAACTGTTAAATAAAGTACTTGTTCTGCAATGTTACATCCAAAAAGTCAATTTTCATTCAATTCAAGGACTTTTTCTTTAAAGGGATATTTTCTGCGGGCAATTGCAATGCTCATCATCACAATCTCAACCTACAAGAGAAAAATACGGCTCAGTGTACAAGTCATTTGATTTGAACGGCAAAAAGTGCAGGTGGTGTAGCATTTTAGTGATATTACTCTTTGTCTAGTCTTGTAGATCAGCTCTAGGCCGCTGAAGACATTCTTTTTGCTATATTTTTGGCTGAATACTCTTTTCTGTCATCAGGCATTGCTTCTCCAATTGGATTGCGCCCCTTACACGAGGCAGACAAAATTCTTTTATTTGTTTAATAGTTTATAAGAGACCTTGATGCGTTCTCTATTAACAGTTATTGCCATATTGCCACCCCTTACACGAGTAATTTTTGCCTTAAATAAAAACCTTGTTGAGCCACATTCCAATTTGACTCCCTTTGGGTTGGAGTTTCAACTATGTCCACCCTTGCCAAGGTAATGCCATGAAATCCTTAGACATAGGTTTCCAGGAACACGAAAGATAGAAATGGCCGTTTTTTACATAATATCGTTTTCTTGACCAGTAGGTAGGAATGGCAATTTTAGTTTTTTGCTTTTGTGCTTATTCACAACTCTTACCTGCACTGGCTTCTCTTCTTACTATTTAATCTTGTTTACGATATTAAAAGTTAGAATGTTTGATACAGAAATATTGATAGTTGCTATTTTGATTAGTGGTGCTAGCATAACGATTCCTGGCACAAACAGCAATGATGAAATGAGCATTGGCATGGTTGCAGAGGGAACAAAATGTGGAGAAGGAAAGGTAACTTCTTTTCTAAATCAAAGCTCTGAAGAAAATTAATAAAAGTCTATTAATAAAAGATTTAATGCAGACAATGTTTTCCTAATTTTACTGAAGAAAGTAAAATTTTATAAAATTAAGCGAATTAAGAAAAATTTGCAGTCCCATCCATTTCTCGTCAGCGGACGTTTCTCGTCTCGTCATCACCGTAACCAAGATCAGTTATTAATACTAAGCAAGGCATCGAATCAATGATTAAATCTAAAAAGCTTGGTTCCATTTTAGTTGGTAAACATTTTCGATACTAACTTTAATGAATTTTTTTTCAGATGTGTATGAACTATAAATGCAAATCATTTGCTGATCTCAACATTACATCATGTGGAAAAGTCAACGGTCTTCAATGTGCAGGGCGTGGTGTGAGTATCTTTCTAAATACATTTTGATATAAAAAGTTTTTTGTCCTTAAATCTTAATTCATTTGGCAAATTCTTTGAAAGATCCATAAATAAAAGTTGAGAAATCTCATATCTAAGAAACAGGCAAAAGTTCATTAAACTTTTGATGTCTGATAGCTTTATCAGGCAAAGAAACTTATGTGTTTATAAAATCTGTAAGATAAATAAGTTTCTTTGCTAATTTTTGATAACGGCGACAATCGATTCACTTAAAAGTGGTTATCTAGGAATTGATGAGCAAAGCAATGCCAGGCATTATTTTTTAGATAACATCTGAAGATTTAGAAAGTTATACCTGAATTGTTAGGAGCTACAAACTGTTTTCTTCTTTTTGTAAATTTTTTGCAAAAATTTTTATCAAGTTTCATTACTTTTTTCCCTGTTTAGTATAAATTGACAGCAAAGCGTATATACGCCAAAAATTTTAGAACATTCCTCAGATAAGATAATTTTGCATCAGCTGAGTCAGAGGATACTTGCAATACGGGGTAAAATATTGTAATGCATTGGCGTGATCTTTATATTAACCCAAGCGTATATTAATTGTCATTGTTTTCCGCTAATAGCTCATGCTTATAACCACATGCTAATGGTCCCTAATAGCTTTCGATTAACAGAGTTCGCTGAAACACGTTGTCTATCTCTTGCTTCCAACTCTCTCTCTCTCTCTCTCTCTCTCTCTCTCTCTCTCTCTCTCTCTCTCTCTCTCTCTCTCTCTCTCTCTCTCTCTCTCTCACTCTCTCTCTCTCAGTTGAACCCAAACTCGCAACATCATGATACAAATAGTATATTGAATTGGTGCAAATATAAAGTACAGAAAGCCTGGTAAGGATCCGGAAGAAATCGAGTTCTTTCTTCTACTTTCCCATCAAGCCACTTCGACGTGAGTGAGATTCTCTGTATTATTATCACGTCATTCTACGATTTCCAAATAATCTTAAAACAGTTGAATTGAAATCTTTAGAAAATTATTTTTGCAGAAATGTGATGACAAAGGAGTGTGCCATTGCGATGGGGCCTACGATCCACAAACAAACTGCGAGAAAGGTTAGTCAATTTCTAAGTGCCGATCAAAATCTATTCAGAAATATTTATAATATTTAGAAAGCTAAACATCAGCTTAAAGATATTTCAGAAATCATTTTTAGGTCTAAATCTGGTCTTGTCCGACTTAATTTCATTTTCTTTTTTTACATAAATTTAGGCATTTTAAACTATTTTCTGGAAGCCTTTTTAAGCGCGCTTCAAATACAGCTGAAGAGAGGTGACCACGAAAAATCTGCAACGAATGCTGCATGTGAAAAAGATCCTTGCTTTAGATTATTGCTTTTCTAAAAATATAGACTATTGCTTCTCTTTTAACTTCAATACAGTTTTGATACCTATCAATGGTAATTGGAGTCCATGGCATCATTGGTCGAAGTGCAGTGCAGCTTGCGATGGCGGGAAAAGGACAAGATCTAGACTGTGTGACAGTCCGTTTCCAGCACATGGAGGCATGCCTTGTGAGGGGGTTGCATTTGAAGAAGAACTGTGCAACAATGAAGAATGCCCCAGTAAGTTTTTGCCTTCCGATTCACTCAGAATTTCGGCTCTAGATGCATGACTTTTCTTGCAACGAAATTAGCTTCCTTGAAGACTCTATTTTTCTGTCTTCAACCAATATCAATTAAAAAAAGGCCTTTAATCATTCATCCAGTTTTTTTAATAATGTTAACTTCTTGCACAAATAAATATTAATTTATGCTAACAAGGGAAAGGTAATTTTTTTATGTTTTAGAAATTTATTTTGATGGAACCATTGGATATGTTACAGGATAAAAATTTGTTCTTTTATTGCTGCCAAGTTTAAGTTTAATGGTGGCTGCTTGGTTTTGTAGAAATATTATCACTATCAATATTCATTCCTGAAATGATTGCATCTCGAATTCTTCCGATTTCATTTTATTTATACGTAATTAAGACACTTCATTTACAACTAGAGGCAGGATCGTGCAAGCTTTTAATGGGAAAGTTCAAAGCAAGTGGTAAACCAATGGTCGACGGAGTCTATAATATAACACTGCCTGATGGTTCACTGATGAAAATGTATTGTGATATGACACGTAATGGAGGTGGATGGACATTGGTTGTATCCAGCCATACAAACGACTGGACAACATCAGAGCTGGTGAGAGAAAGAAATAAAGATCACCCAAACATGTACAAAGACTATTCAATTCTGAAATATGTCGATCAAATCAAGGACAACTACAAAATTGACGATAAAAAGTTCGAGTATAGATTAGAGGCACATAGAAGAGGTAATAATTTCACGTCATTTTTCATGCTAGTAATGCAAGAAAACTTTTAACGAACTGACTATAGCTTTTCTAAAAAATTCCGTACAAAGAATGGCAGGATTTCTTTTCCTTATGTGCTCCAGAATCCCATCCTTGCTGTTTTCCTACCCATCTTTTCATATTATTTTTCTCGTTACTCTTTCGATCTTTCTTTTTGTTTAAAATGCCGTGAATGCTCAAAGTATTATACTTCATCTTGAAGGACGCTGGGGTGGCATATGGTCCGCGCCAATCCAATACAAGTTCGACACATCTTCCGGTTCACAAACTGGCGTCACTTTGATAAAGAAATTCAACAACTGGTCATACAGCTCTAAGGGAATTGCTCAAAGAATGCCTCATTATATCAATAACTGGTTGACTTTGCAAACGAAAACGAATGCCTGGGGAACCATCACAGGTAAATACTTGAAGCACAGTCCTACATACTTGTATTTTATTTTTGGGAATAAACTTGATTTTATTGGAGATAAATATCAAAGACCTTTTACATTAAGGGAAAATTATTGCTGGATTGGTCCTCGCAAAGAAACTTTTGAAACGCTGGTCAAACGATCCAACATTTCACCCAGCATTTTACCCAGCATTTTTCTTTGGTGTTAGAAAGTGACCCAACGTTGGTGCTCGAACGATACAACATTTCACCCAGCATTTCACCCAGCATTTCACCCAGCATTTTTCTTTGGTGTTAGAAAGTGACCCAACGTTGGTGCTCGAACGATCTAACATTTCACTCAACATTTCACCCAGCATTTTTCTTTGGTGTTAGAAAGTGACCCAACGTTGGTGCTTGAACGATCCAACATTTCACCCAGCATTTCACCCAGCATTTTTCTTTGGTGTTAGAAAGTGACCCAACGTTGGTGCTTGAACGATCCAACATTTCACCCAGCATTTCACCCAGCATTTTTCTTTGGTGTTAGAAAGTGACCCAACGTTGGTGCTTGAACGATCCAACATTTCACCCAGCATTTCACCCAGCATTTTTCTTTGGTGTTAGAAAGTGACCCAACGTTGGTGCTCGAACGATACAACATTTCACCTAACATTTCCTCGCATAGATTGAAAAAAATACTGAGTTGAAGGTCGCACTGAAGGTTTCACAGAAAGGTTCGCGATATTTAAATCCAAAAAAAACAAAAGGCAATCACCGCCTTCTTTCTATATTTTCTCTTCAAGGAAAGCGAAGGCAGATATTTTCACTGTCATTGCGGATTTTCAGGACGAGCGTCGTATGCCAACAAAGCCGTTGCCTAAATGCGCTCAATTGACGCTTTATGCCTCTTCTTCCGTACAGAATTTCGTTTTTTTTCGTTATATTGACCATAATTTAAGCGTAATTTGTTGTAAGCAAACGCAAACGCGAATTGCTCTTTAGCCAACTGCGCTTGCGCAGAGCTAACAATGTTGGCTGAGGTAGCCAAACGACCCAAATGTCCCCCAACATTTCAAAACAAAGGAATTGTTGGATGCTGGCAGCCATCATTTTTTACCACAGTCAAATTTTATTCAATATCTAAAATGGCGATGTTAGATGACCCAACATAGTGGTCAAACGATCCAACATTGGGTGAAATATTTGGTGAAATGTTGCAAATGAGATTTACAAAGCCCTGTTCTTCTTTGGTGTAGTATTTTTTACCTTTACCAATACGAGCTGCTTTAATAAGCAAATGGTTCTTTAAAGGTACGAATAAAGGCTATCACCCCGCTGCTTGGATTGGTGAAAGCCACATGGAAGCAAAACCAGAACATATATGGTAAGGTAGTTCATCCTTAGTGTGTATTTAGTCTACAGTCGAGAGAATAAAGCAAAAATGTTTCAAACATCTTTTATCAAATATTGTACCAAAATCTCTATATTTCACTACAGTATGCATTTCATATACAGCGGATGAAATTTCTTCAAACTTGTCAGCACACAGGCTTGAAGGTGGGATGATTTTCTCCATATACAGCTGGGGGGTGGGATAGAATCTGCATGTAAACATTCGATGAATTAATCCCACCTGCCAGATTATGAGCTTAGAGGTGGGATAAACGAAGCTCTATTAAGCCCCCTCTCTTCTAAGGCCCCTTTCTATTAAGCCCTCCTTATCAAACAAAAATTTGAAATACACCCCCCCCCCATGAAATATGCTAACTAAAAGAGGTTGAATGGTTGTCAAATGGTAACAAATTGTCTTTGAAGGAAGAAATGCTGCCTGCATTAAGTTTTGTTTTATACACCAAAGATTAAAAAAATATTATGAAAAATTTAGTGCCTGCAAAGCAACATACTTTTGGAACTTCTCTTCACATCTTCTGTAGGTAATATATGACGAGAAGGTAAATGCACGTAATAAGCATCAATACACTCTGGTTTTTGAAAGCGTTCTTAATAAAAATTGTATCATTGTTTGAAAGTTTATCTGAACATAGCAACCTTTTACGAAAACATAACAATCCTGTCGTAAGTTTTTAAAAATTAAAGATACTGCTATCTTAGTGTCACTCTTGGCTGACAGCTTTGATCTTTAATAGGATTTAATGATTAGAGTAATCAAAATGGATGAATTTTTTAAAAGGATCGATATTTGCTTTAAAAGTATTAACTCTTTTTTACAATAGGTACTGGATGAGAGAGGGGGATTACAAGATCCCGTCATCTTGCCTCGAAGTAAAAATGCGTTTCTTTGAACGTGGAAAGAAAGCAAAATCTGGACTGTACGATATACAGAATTTGAAAGGAAAGAAAACTTTGAATGTTTTCTGTGATATGGAATCCTTTGGCGGTGGATGGACGCTGGTTTTGAACAAAGTTTCAAGCGCTGGATGGACAAAAGAGACGACCCTATCAAGAAACACCGACAAAGCCTCAACAGATCATGATTATTCGATTTTGTTTCACTCTCAAGAAATATTGGGCCTTCGAAAAGAAGAGGTATGGGTATCCTGAAGTTCTTGCCTTTTTCAAAATTGACTTTCTCAAAATCAACTGATGTAATTTTTTGTCTAATGTGATCTTTAGTCAGCTAATTTCTTCAAATATGTCAAGAAATTGTACGCTTTCATAATTAGTTTTAAAGTTTTGATATATCGTACTTTTTAGACCAAATTTCAGTACATGATTGAGGCTGAAGGACCAAAGAAATGGGGAGGTATTTTTGAAGGACACAACAGCGATGGACTGATAGCATGCACCCCAAGTCAATTCAAGCCCCGACTGCTTGAGAAATTTGACAATTGGGACGAGCAGAAAAGCAGTTTGATTGCGTCAAATCCACATATCGTGGATAACCCAGCATCTTATTACACAACTGCCCCTAAGGTATTTATACCTTTTTAGCTAATCAATTATAAAACAGGTAATAAGTTCAGAAAATACTTACTTTTCTAGTTGTTGATTTATATGCTAAAAGTATTTAAAGAGATTGCTTTTAAAACAGACCTCGTCATACCATGATGGTGTCTTGGTATCTGAGACAAACTCAATTTACATGGAAGGGAGGATGGAGAAGCCAAGATTTGTAAGAGTCTGGGTTCGTGAAGGAGCAAGGTATGCTGACATTTTGAATGTTTCAATATGTTTCACGTTTTCACAAATATATTTGAATCTAAATATGATATGATATTAATGGAGCAATTTCTACCTGGGTTGCTTTAAATATTTGTTAGATTAGTCTCGGAGAAACAAGAAAGGTCACATACCAAAAAAGCAGCTAAGACACTCACTTACGACGGTGACAATTACTAGCAAGGGACAGCATTGATTCTGTCTTCACCATAAGGGGTTTTCCACAAGCTTACACACCAGGCTCCCTCTCAAGCTTCCCCCTGCCACTCGGGAGCTTTAAATAGAATGATAGATATTCGAATTCTAATTGACGTTTTTGTCTATCAGCTACAAATCTTGCAATCAGATAAAAGTAAATGGAATAAGAAACGGTGGAAGTTACAAAAATGGTTTCTACAACCTTAAAGAATCTGGGGCGAACTACCGCACTGTTTATTGCGATATGACGTCAGATGTTGGAGCTTGGACTCTTTTGGTAACAAGTGCTCATGGAAATTGGACAAAACCAGAGGTAAGGGGGCAAGCGTTTCTTAGCATACGCTGACAGTGATCTACATGGAAATCTGAGTTTAAACATATAAATATGTATTTATCTTCGTTAGAAAACTCAAGCAAGGAAACAAGCGGAAACAAACTTATGTGTTACGAAACGTGGAGGAAGCATTCTTTTGCATACTAAAAGCAATTTTTTTCCATTGTTCATTAAAAGCGTTGAGCGTTTGATGTCCTTTGCTGCTCAGTGCTATCGGAAAAATATTTTGATTTTTACATGAATTTCAGATTCTATGCTCAGTCGTAATATGCATTCGAATAATTTTTTTTGTAGGTACTTTCCCGTAACGAAGATTTCCCATCGATCGCAAATGACTACTCGATACTCCATCTTGCAGACAGCATTAAGAGTATATCGAACAACGCCACATTCAAGTATAAATTAGATGCACACAAATTCAATCACTGGGGTGGTATTTGGGAGGCACCTATACAGTACACGTAAGCTATCATCACGTCCATATCGTGATAAATTAATGGTTTTGTAGCAGTTCTATGTTTGGTGAACTAAATCGATGAATTTAACTTATAAATACTTTGCACTCAGTGTTGTATTAATGTCGTGAGAAGTTCTTTGTAGACTTATATTCTCCAAAATAATGTCTTCAGTCTTACTTAGTAGGTTCTCAAGACCACATCTACCATACTTAAGATGTAAATAAAAGTTGAAATTTGCATTTCTCATCGCAGCCAACTCTTATGCTTCTATACAGCCTTCAAATATATGTCTTAGATCTTAATTTCAAGTCAAGTTGCTTAATTGTTTAAATTGACGTCAAAACTGGTTTATGGCTTTTGCTAATCATGATGCAGACATACGTAAAATAGATGTGACTTGGCTGTATTTTGTTCTCAAAGATTTACCTTCACGACACACAAGCAAGAAAAAGTGAAGTTGTTGAAGCAGTTTGACGTCTGGGATTACAATGTTTACTATAAAAGCGTCAACAATCGAATGCCTTGGTTGGGCGCCAGAAAAGGAATTCTGACGACTTCAGGATCAGCAGACTGGTACTGGTGGGGCACTATCATTTCCGACAATCTCGAGTACAAGCCAGCACCTTGGATTAGTAGTCAGATGAAAAATCCAGGAGTAATCTGGTATTGGGTTAACGAGGATGACTGCGATCCAGACAGGATGCCAGGTTTCAAATTATATTACAAATTCTCGAGATGGCTTTGAAAAAAACAAACATTTGAGTTTAAAATGTCAGAACATAGAGCGAAAACTCTACGTTGGGGAATTTATATACCCAGTTGAAGATCGAAATAGGCCAATCAGAAACGCGAGCAGATGACTGTTGAGGTTGCCCAGTCAGTGCCGCTTGCCCATAAAGAATGTTACCAATAGGGTCCTAAGGTGAGAACGAGTTCCTTGTTTATGAGAGTTTCTGATTGGCCTACTTCGATCCACAACAATGGCTTTGAAATTGTACCAACTTTGAATAAAGAAAGAAAAAAACTGGGTATATATATTTCCTACGTAGAGTTTTCGATCTATGTGCTAACGTTTTAAACTCTGATAAGTGTCAGACGAAGAGCTCTAGTTTACTCAAATGTTTGTTTTTTCAAAGCCATTTTCAAGTTTTATACCACCAAAAGATTGATTACAAATTCTAAAATTTCCTGGATAAAGGGGAAAGTTATTTTGCGCAACTTTCTTTTGAGACACTGTGACAGGAATCTTTTTCAATGATACTACAAAATTTTTCAATGTTACTAGCATGATTACAAGCGGCGAGAACATTTAAAAAACAGTCAAAACATGTACTAAAATATGATAAAGAAAAGGAATGAAAACGAAGATAAGACGTAAGTAGAGCTGAAACGAAGTAATAGAAGTTTGTCGTCAAACTGTTTTGGAAAGATCGGATTAACTAGAAGTCTGTGATGACAGTAAGTGATTTTGCACACGACGGACACTCCCGTAGATTACCAAAGATGAGGAATCAAGAAAAAGTCCTGAAACAACCATAAATTTTGTTCTTATTTCTTATAAAGTTTTATTTCAATTCATGATTTAGTTGATGGTGGTTTAACAGCTTGGAGTAGCTGGACGCAATGCTCGACTAACTGTGGACAGGGTACACAAGAGCGATCAAGGTCGTGCACCATGCCAAAACCAAGATGCGGAGGAGCTTTGTGTGATCCATTGGAGTCATTGAAGAGAACTAGAAATTGCAGCGGAGAATGTCTTGGTAAGCATTTTTTTATACATAAACGCTGAGACGGTAGTTATTATGCTGTTGTTTAATGCCTCTAAATGCCATTGGTAGTAATATGATGTCATGCTCATTCAAAAACTGCCGGAACTGTTGTTTAATGTCTTTAAATGCTAATGGTAGTTGGTGTCTGGCATGCTTATCAAAAATCTTCGGGAACAAATGTTTTTGTCAAATTAGACATTGGCCGGCGTATGAACAAAATCACGTGACAATACAGCATTTATGCTCGAGTTGAAACGATGTGCTGTGATGCGATACGAAGTTATGCGAAATTTCCTCTCTTTACCTTGGCTCTTGGTAGGAACTCGAACTCAAGAAATTAACGCGAGTGTTTTCATTCACTGTGCCAGTCACTACGGCTCTTTCTAGAGCTCTGCACGCAAGATGTGGTCGCATTTTTTTGCGAGCAGTAACCTGGTGGCAATTTTGCGACACCGGTGCCAAAGTCAGAAATTAACGAGAAAAGTGGACGAAGTTGATGAATACCAACATTTGATCATTTTTCAAAAGGTTATCAGCAGAAACAATGTTCATAACATGGTTTAATAGCGGAATGCTGATTGCTATTTTGTTGGAGAAAATGAATGAAAGAGAATGTGGCGTAAAGTTTAAATCGAGTGGCATATTTAAATTGCTGATGCGCATGGAAATTGTTTGAAAAAGACCCAGCTACTCTTTTTTGAGCCAGAACAAACTCTTTACGAGGTGACCAGAGAAATAAAGTCGCAGAAGCGAGCCACAAAGGGACAAAAGCCTTTTATGCTTATCCTGGTTGAAAGCTTGGAAGACTCATCTTGAGAGTATGATTAACTCCACCTATCTATCAAAACTTTTCCCATGGTCCTTCCTTTTTGAAATTCTGGTACATCCCTAAACCACAGGGTAAGACACATTACATACATGGGAACTGTGAAATCATTATACATCAACTAGATCGTGAGCATTTAATGTTATTATTTTTCCAGTTAACATTTTTTCCTACAAACACTTTTTCATAGTTATAACGTTATCAACACATGAACTTATTACAAAAGGTGTTTGTTTCCTTTTCGTGAAAAAAGGTTACAGTTGAACGCTTCCTTTCTGAAGGGAAGTGAATTTGCCAGGTCTGTGCAGTCAATTAAACTTTATTTCTAAGTTATATTAAAATGCAAAATGCTCTTAGTTACATCTAACTTATCTAAATACAAAGAGCAGTGGTACAGCAACAAAAGTTAACAAGGACAATGGGACTGGGCTTAAAGCCCACTATGAACAGGGAGTGTGCTCTGGGTATCGTTAAATTTCGAGTGTATGACTCTGCTTATCATAAACTTACTGGACAGCTGTGTTGCATCATCAAGTTTTAAGTAAGCTTCATGTCCTGTAATTGGCTGTCAGGAATAAAGTTGTGATTAAAATTTAATCATTTTTGGGAACGTTTGCTTTTCTTTCTTTTTAAATATCAATTTCTGCAGTAATTGCTGTTGATAGTAGCGAATTCGGAAAATTCTATAGGAACAAGTAAAATTGGTGAAAAGGAGCAAGCTTAGCTGCTGTGCAATGTGATTTTGAAAAGTGGTGGTAACCCCCCATAAAAGAGTTTATCTAAAAAAACAAGCTTTTGTCAGTTTTTGTCACAGGGATGTTTTTTGGTTTATTTACAAACTTGTCGACAAATAAAGGATGTATCGCTCACTTTGTCAGCAAATGAGACCTGAACAACACCCTTTGCTAGCAACTGCACTGCCTACACCCTAATAATTCAAAAATTAATTAAAAACAATATAGCCTCAAATATTTGTAAAATTAAGAACATCCAGCCTGGAATTAAATTTACTGGTTCTTATAAAATAGAGTGCATTTCCTTTATTTCGATATAAATGCACTCAAGGAGTTCATACAAGATGAAAGTAACATCCTGTTGTAATTTCCTCCTGTTTCGGAGAAAGTAAATGAAAACAGGTCTGAGGACCTACGTGTCGTTTGGATTCTCGCTTTTCGAACGAACAGCTCTATACTTACTCTTTCTTCTGTGATGATTTGACTGTAGGAGGCTCTGCTGTCAACTGGACAATAGGTGATGGTACCGGTGGCAGCGAAGAAGGCATTGGAAAGGTAACCAGCAAATATGAATGCATCGCAAAATGTTTTTCAAGAAAGAAGGATGGCAAGCTAGCAAACGGTGCAACTATTGATACTGCTACGCATAGTAGATGTTATTGCGAGTATGGCCAAACTGGAAGAAAATCTGCGACCAAATGGCAAAACACATTCATCAGACCACGTAAATAATTTCATTATCTCCAAAGGCAAAACTAACAGCTTTTCAATGATATTTTTACTAAATGTCTTTAGCTATAAATTTTAAAAAAAGACTGTAAGAAAAACTCTTTGATTACAATCAAAGATGCGGAACAAATAACTACCTTTCATCAATTCAGAAAATCTTGTGCTTGTTTGCATTCCCAAATATAAGCACCTGACTTTATAGCTAGATTCAGAAAAAGTGCGAATATGCAAAATCTTGAAATAATTCATTCTACGAAGATTGAACAGCAAAGAATTGCAATAATTTTAGTTGATGGTGGGTATGGATCGTGGTCAAACTTTGGAGCATGTAGCAAAACATGTGGTGGAGGAAACAAGACAAGAAGTCGTCCATGTAATAGCCCTGCACCAGCAGCTGGAGGGAGGAACTGCACATACCTAGGTCCAGTCACTGAAAGTGTTCCTTGCAATACCTTTGCCTGCCCAAGTAAGGATTGGTCTTAATTTAATTGCTTACATACTTTGAGAAAATAGCTAATCTTCTGTAAACATGATCTTTTAAAAAATTCAAAATATTGCTTGCTGTCCTTGCTACATTCAAAAGATCCATTGTTCTAAAACCAGAAGTTGGACAATACCGGTAGCTCATATTCTGCCATTTGACGATCTTGAATTCTTTTTTTGTTATAAATCTGGTCAGCGTCAGTTCCTTGATGATATTTAGAAATTTTTATTAAAAGCAATGGCTGTATTTTCTCGCCGCAGCTTTTATGGTTCATTTAGACAATTTTTACTTGAACTTTCATCGATTTCATATTCTGTAGGCTCCAACAAGCATGCTCCCTAGCATATGTCCTGCATAAAACCTTCAACGCTCTCATGTTTTTAGGCTCTAATATCAAATGGGAAACAGGCGATGGTACCGGTGGCAGTGAAGTAAATATTGGAAAAGTAACCAATGCAGCTGAATGCGTGGCGAAATGTTCTTCAAGGAAGAAGAATGGCAAGTTAGCCAATGGGGCAACTGTTGATGCTGCTACGCAGAAGAGGTGTTATTGCGAGTTTGGCCAAACTGGAAGAAACTCAGCAGCTAGCTGGCGAAATACATTCATCAGAACAAATAATATATAGAATTAATAAATATACATATCAATATTAATATATTCTATTACATTTGATAGATTATCTGGGGTATCTAAGTGCATCAAATTGATTTTTTCTTTTTAATATACGTATTAAGCCATGTATCTGTGGAATTCTAAAGTTTGTTTCGCTGAAGGCTAGCTAATCGAAATTGTCACGCTGTAATGTTTGATCATTATTCACAATTATTCACAGAATTTGGTTTACTTTTTATGGTATCAGTCTTCATGAAAAGAGACCCTGCCGTATTATTTTTATCATTTTATAGGTTGACTATATATTTTTTTCATAAATTGGAAAATAAGGCACTAGACCAAATCCAAGCAGTACTTTTTATAAGACCTGAAGAAGACCTTTTCTGGTGAACTTTTGATTACTCTAATCATTTGTATCTGAAAATTTAGCCAGCCGATCAAACCATTGTTGGACTGTCGGATAAAAAGTACATTAGTAAAGGGACGCCGTAGAGGGTTGCGCAGGCGTCTCTGCATTAGTATGAAATGCAATATCTGGTCCTTTCTTGCTATCAAGAAATTTTGTAGCACATGAAACGTAAATATCTCATGATGACGATTTACTTACTTACTTTAAACCCATCGGCTCCTTGTATTTCATTATTCAGCAGATTGTATTTCTGGAAAATCATCAACCTTAAATGGCAATTGGATAATGTCCTAACAGGTAGAAGTAAGTGGTATAAAACATAACAACGCGAAAGAGCCTTTCAGAGTCGGCGATTTCGCTCTTTTTCCTCTACCCCTATGGTTACCGTTCGAAACAACTGCGTACGTTCGAAAAAGAGTCTGTGTTTAATTAATCGCTCTTGCAGTCCAATCGTGCATCAAGAAATTTTAAAGCATCGCTTCGTATCGCACTTCAACCTGAGCAAAAATACTTTACTTCCACTTTCATTTCCCCCGAATTTGCGCATCAAGTTATTGGTCATCGATAATGTAACGTGCAGTTATGAGAGATGGAAGGTCAGAGTTAAAAGAGGAACTTGCCAGCGTGCAGACTTTTCTTTCCGTTACGAAGGAGAACCAAGACGGACTAAAGTCTGCACGCAGGCTAAAAAGCAACTAGCTCATCAACTATTCTAGATCTTGCAATCAGAATCAAGTTGAACGATGGTATAATATGTGGCCAACAGGCTCTGGATCTGTTGGCCCTTTGGGATGCTCTTTGTTAACTGTAGACCACCAACAGCACCATCATGAAAGCGAAGAAAATCTTCCGGACGAGGTGAATGAGGAAAGATAGTTAAGCCGACGAGTCGTAATTGCAGAAGATGTCGAACATTGTTGAATCTTTGCGGCATTGCTGCTTCAAGAGAGTTAAATAGTGGTTTAGGTCAGCACCAGAGCTCTCCAAAACATGGGTAAATTGCTCTAAGAAACGGTGGAGATCTTCGAAGCCCGGGAACGTGAGATTTGGTAGACAAAGTGAACCAGAATGAGTTCGAGAAGAATTGCCAACAATATCTGATAGTTCACGGACTGCAGAAGACAGTTGGGCCAATTCATTGGCTCGAGATCTATTCGCGGGATTCTGGTTCTTTCCGACCTCAGCCAATCCCTGTAATAAACCGAGTGTCGCTTTGTAAGACATTGAGAGCGAGTTCGCCATCAGATGTAAAAGGCGTTACATCGTAAAGAGCAAGAGGCACAGACAACGCATTCAATACATTTTATGTGCTCTTTAAAGCTGCCTCTTTAATTAATTACAAACAGTTGCTTATTTATACGTTAACACGTGCAAATAACAATATAGGTAACACGTGATGTGAGATGTGGTTATACACACGTGTCCTATTACATTTGTTTCCTTTACTTGAGTTCTTTTCTGTGCTACACAACCATAGGTTATTGGTTTGTGTGTAATCAGTGCCCTGTAGACAGTTTTTCTGTATTTGCTTCAACGGACCTGTATTATACAGAGCAGTGTAAAGAAGTCATAAAGAAGTCCTAGAGCAGCTCTGCGTTATTCAAAAAAGTCTAGTAATACATTTTCTTTCCTCTCTCTACTGTCGCAGAGAGCATCAAACGAATTCCCTCACCCCTTAAAGATTTTGTAATAGGACCCATTTCTGAGCCATTTTTTGCTGCTAAGGTACCAGGCTGCTGTAGTGCAGTAATAGAGGAATCCCCACTGCCAGACATCTGCTGTATTGCTGATTTAAAATGCGTACTATTTTACCTTCCAGAAACCCCAATTCGCACCCATGATAGTAGATTCTGTGTTTTACCCAAAACTGGAGGCTGCAGCCCGAATGATTCTACTACGCTGGTATGGAAAAGTGGCAGTGACAAATGTGATCTCCCAGAAGCCCAGTTTATTTTTGATCCAAGCCGTGGAAGCTTGGTCCACAAATGCAGCGGAAAGCCAGTTTGTCCAGTCAGGTCAGTCACTTACGGGGTCGGTGTAATGATTAGCACTGCATGTCCAAAGATGGTCTTAGGAAACAGATTCACCAGAACACAATGTAAGTATATCTTCCTATTTTGAATGCTTAATGTCTCTTAATCATTCTTATTTTTTAGATGATTTTGGAAATTATCAAGCGACTGCTGGTTCTATTTTTGCGTGTGTTATTTTTAAATAGGGATAATAGACTTACTCAATGAAATCTGTTTCGCAATTGCCTCACTTTATGGTCTCTACAACATTTTAGTAAGTAGCGATGGAAATGAAGCCATTTTAATTGGTTGATCAATGCAGTGATTATGATCATTATTATGTTTGTGAAGCTTTTTCTCTACCATTTCCGATGAAGAAAATATCAAATTTTCAAGGTATACTTTCCGTGTCTTATCAAACTGGCGAAGAAACTTTCCTTCCCCTTTTTCTTTAATTTCTGCTACTGCGCCTTGGCATGGCATATGAGGATTACGACAGCAAAAATTTCTCTAGAAAAATAGGTTTACTGCCTTCTTATTTCTTTTTCTTAAAAATATTGTGAAGTTCTGCTCTTGTTTCATTTAAAAGCAAAAATATTTTATTTTTTAGTTGATACATTACACTTCAAGTCAATGTGTCTGCACCCAAGTGGAGGCTGGGCTGGCACCAATGTCCCATTGGTTTTCTGGACAGGTTGCAATGCAAAACGAATACAGACTGTGCTCTCTAAAATTGGTATCATCCTTTTTTCTTTGTTATCATATTAAAATCATAGCAATCATTAAATCAAAGATTATCAATTTTAATTAAAAACGGCCATTATTTTGTTTCTTTATTTTAAAACTGATTTTACAATTTGATCTCAAAGACACCAAAAAATAGAAATTTATTTTGAAAGTTTTCGTTTGCAGTGAGTTTTAGAAAATACAGAAGATATACTTGAAAGCCATTTCTGCGTTTAATTCAGTTTGCCACCTTAATAAAGTTCACAGCTATTTTTTAGAAAGATGGGAATCAAGCCAATGATCAAGGCAATGGCCACAAAACATTCAGCTTTTAGTATAACCTGTTTCGGTGATCTTGCTGCACGGGGTCTTATCACACAATTTATTATAAGGGGCCGTTTTAAGTGTGTGGTACTTTGAAAAGCTCACAGAAAGATCTCATCATAGAAATTTCTTGAAAACCTTCAATCTTTTGGTATTTTACTATAAAATAAAGTTCGATAATGTGAGTTTCTAGTTTTAAGCATCTAAGTCCCCTTTTTTGACAATTTCTGTTAAAATTTGCAATTCTTTATCTACTTTTCATTTAACTTGAAACTTACATTATTACTTAATACTTATCACGAAAAATTACTATTACTACTGACAAGGCTTTGAAAGCTGGAATCAAAACATGTTTGGTAATATGTATGGTAGCACTCTGTTTCTTCGGGTGCTTTCTGGCACGGCGTTTTCCACTTTTTTTCTACTTTTAGCTCATGGACCCGTGCATTCAAAATATTGGTCCGGTATTGCCAAGGTGAACAACAGCATAGCCGATCTCACCAATGATGACCGTTTCCCTAGCAACCCAACGTACACAGGATATCTGCATAACTTTGACTCTCCCTATGGCATTGGAAACAGTTACGGCCTACAGCTTTGGAGCTACTTCGTAGCGCCTGAAACTGGAATGTATACTTTCTACGCAGCATGCGACAACTACTGCCAGGTTTTCTTGAGTCCAAACACGTTGGAAAAAGATAAGAGGAAAATTATTGACATGAAAGCTGTGACAAGCGTGTATCAATATGACAAGTAAGTTTCATAGCAAAATGTTTTGCATCTTAAAACTATCGATCAATAAACGTTCGATACTCAGTTGCACTGTCTTTGAACGTGCTTTTTCGTGTGTGACTGTTGCAAGTGACCAAGCAATGGAGACTAATTCCGTACCCAAGAAAGGTATTGAAACTTCTGAAAATCCGAAGAAATAGCGTCGTTGGGAAGCGTCGGGAAGGGGAGGTGTGTTTATATTTTTCTGTGCTTCTTCGTTGAAAGATATATACATTCAAGTCCTTTTTTTCTTTAAGTCCGTAGCATTTTAGGCATCTGCATTAGCAAATGGGATGCAGCCATTGGTTATATCTGCTATATGAATTCCCCAGAAGATATTAGCTGAGAAAAAAGATACTTTTAAGAATCGTTCACATCAATTTAGAAACGATAGGAACTTTTAAAGAAATGTTTCATTTACCAGCCAACTCGCTGCTCTTTGTTATGAAGTCTATTTGGCAATTTTTAGGTACCCAGAACAGAAGTCCAGCAAAATTAAACTTGAAGAAGGAAAGCTATATTATCTAGAAGGGATCGTCTATGAAATAACAGGCGGTGATCATTTGAGTGTTGCTGTCGACTTTCCAAGTGGTTTGAAGTCAGTTCCTATCACCTCATATTACCTAAGAGAGAAGGTTGAATCCTAAGGTAAACTTCATGAGATAACTTCTTATTTTACATTTTGATGACAAATCTTAACACAGAGGCAATATTTTATAGTTTAAGAGGGAAATAAAAACAAAAGAGGGTAAGCCATTATCTGTGATAATGTATTTGCACTTGATAATTTAGAAAACATGGTGATCCATTTTCATCTTAAACATCATGATAAAAAGTCTAAATGACTTCCCCAGGGCCAGCTTTCTTTTCTCATTCAGTCTAGCAGTACTGATAAGCCCTGATATGGGTCCTAACTGCTACTGCCGACTGTTCGAGGATTCAACGATAGACTTCCTCTCGATCTAAAACTTGAATGACAACCCTAACTCAATCCACCCACCCACCACTCTCACATTAATATTACGCTTATTCATTTCTACCTATTAACTTGTTTTTGCAATTATCGATGTTGTTTACTTTTTAGGGAGAAGAGAGATGCTTATTACTGAGATAAACAAACCAACATTATGTTGTAAACAATATATCGTGGTAGCATGCACATTTGGATTTTCTTTGCGCACTTAGAAAGAATTATTATAATCATTCAAAAATATTTCACTTATTATTTTCGCAATGGAAGCTATTTGAGTTCTTTCCAACCTCACTCCTTCTGCTAAATATATATTTAACTGAATTTTGCGGTGATATGGATGTCCTGTTACAATTTACTCGATCACAATCGGTTTCCAACATTTTGACCGATTTTCTAACACTATAACTATATTGAAATATATAATTGATCCAGCTAAAAGGTCGTTATTTTTTCGAAAAATACAATCTTTATCTTGAAACCGAATCAAGCGCTGGTTTATTCTGATAAGTTAAAGTCAAAAATAAATCTGTTTTAGGAAAGCAAAATTTCAAAAAACATTTACCAGTTTTTGAAGCTTACTGTCTTACTCTTTAATCAAATATTGACGTATAGAAAACAATCTTAACATTTTCAAAAGTACCACTTTAATTCCAGAACAAAATTAACTTCTCATTTTTTCAGATCATGTAATGGCAAATTAGCATTTTATACGGAAAAAAACTTTGGAACTTCTTGACAAATTTTCTTAGCCTTTGACCTTGCTAAGAAATTTAAAATTTACCCATCTAAAATGTCGTTATTTCTCAAAAATACAACTTTAATCTTAAATCCAAAACAAGCCCTGGTATATTCCGACAATGCCAATTAAAGAAGAATGTAAAACAATTTGAAAAAATTGACCAGTTTTCTAAACCTGGTGCATTATTTTGAAAAATACCATTTTAATTCCAGAACTAAGTTAAATTCTCGTTCTACGAAAAAAAAAATTTGGAACATTTTGACGAATTTTCTGAGCCTTACTTAATACTTGAAACCTTACTTAATACTTATAATCGATCAATCTAAAAAATACGTTATTTCACAAAAAAATATAAGTGTCATTCTAGAACTAAGTTGAACTCTGGTTTATTCTGACAATGTGAAATCAAATTAACCTTTTTTCTTAACCATGAAACTTTAAACAACAACAAATGTTTAACAAATAAAACAGATCTACACATTTTAGTCCGTTTTTGCCAAGCAACATTAATTCGATTAATTATGAATGTTGCATGCAGTACTTCGCCCAAAAAAGCGATAATACAGTTGCGGAATAGATTGAGTACCATAATGAAATAAATTAGTTTGATAGCAAAAAACACGAAGTTTCGAGCATGCACTCGTTATCAAGTCAAGTTAACACTATTTTGACACCATCTATTTCTTCCACACCTATGTATTTTTCGGATGAATCGGAAAACCCAACTCTGTATTTGTCTATGCTATTTTTGTTTGGGAGATGAATCATGCCTGTCTTCCGACTATGCACTAGCCCTCGTTTCAATGTCATTGCACATTATCACTTGAAGACTAGCGGGAAATTCAAGAGTTATTAACGCGCATCTGCCATGACCCTGCAACAATTATTTGTTTAAGACGGTAGTGTTTCGAAACAAAGGACTAAAGGTTCCGTTGCCCGAACAAACTTCTATAGTTTTCTATCTTCTCTATGAACCAGCCATTACTGTACAAGGTTTTCAGCGATCCCAAAAGTGTTCGGATAGCGGATCCAAAAGTATACAGATCCACCAGTTCCCGTGTAAACGCAAGGCATATCCGTACTCTTTTTGATCCGATTCGGATCGGATCCACTCTCGTGTAAACGGGGTCTTGAGGTTCCCGTAATCCCCGCATCGACCACTTGCCACAAGTCTGTAACATTCTTCAAACCGCACCGCATCACCCCTTTTCAAATCTGAAACAGAGTTCTTGAATTGATCTGTTTGTTGAGCAGTCAAATTGTTTACAAAAAAAACAGAAATCATTCCAGAACCATCACTGACACTTCGAGTGTGGAGTTGACCCATTTGACGGAGTACTCAATGTCAGCCCAAGCATTATCTGGCCAGTATACATCCATATCAGGATGACACGCTGCTATTTTGTCTTGCCGTCCTCAGTTGCATTTTTCCTGGAAGATGATGGAAATTTTAGGTTGCATGCCATCTCTAGGAGCACAAATCTGCAGTGTAGATTTCTATTTATCCAGGCCAGATGCTGGCTGGCCTATCCATGTCTTTTGACAGCTGGCTACGGGCTCGACTCCTAGCCGAGCTCCTCAAGTAGTCTGTCCGTGCCAGCGCCCTTCCACGCCCCACTAACGACCAATGCCGCCTTATATTGTGTTGATTCAAATTTACGTGAATAGGATATGTTTTGATCATGGTAAATTACATCAACGTAGTAAAGGTGTGGCCTAACATATAGCTTATACATTTAGTCAAGTACATTTCTCGGAACATATCTTGATAAGAAGCGAATGATTCCGATTTCCCTATTGGCTTGTATGATTGTTTCGTGTACATGCTCAGTGAAGGTTAGTCTTTCATCCAAAAATAGACCAAGATGCTTGTGTTTGTTGTCAGCAATTATTTCATGTTTATTGAAAATAAGAGGGGGATGCCGTTGGTTTTGTCTTTTTGTCGAGAATAAAATTCATTTTGCTTGCTTAGTGGCATCGGGATTGAAAATCATTTTCCATTGAAAGGCCAAATTTTGTATAATTGCCAAATCACGATAAAATTGTCGATAATTTTGTATAAATGTGTCATCGGCAAAGAATTTAACTTTAGATGTTACACCTTAAGCAAGGTCATTTATATAAACTAGGAAGAACAGAGGCCCCAGAACAGATCCCTGAGGAACCCCAGCCGACACATGTTTCCAAGAAGATAATTTTCCGTTTAAGACTGCTCTTTGGTATCTATTAAAGAGAAAATGTTCAATCAGGGAATAAAGGTGTCAATCAATCCCATTTGATCTGAGTTTTGAATAAAAGACCTTAATGGCAAACTTTGTCAAATGCTTTTGATATATAAAGAAAAACGGCGCGGGTCTCCTGGTGATTTTCAAAAGCCTGCTTCATCACCTGTCAATCTCCTTGAATCATTTTGGGCTTGTCCCATAGCAAGTTGAAGTTCACTTTTCTCCCTTCAGCAAGAACAGCTTTCAACCGATCAAAAACATAAGAGCTTTTTGTGTTTGTCGGCAGCAGCAGCAATTATCTTTTTTTGGTTTATCGGTTATTTAGAGATCAGAGATTGGTTGACGCCATATTATTTGGCTATATTTTTGTGTGGTGCAGGGGTGCCTCTGGTGACTTCGGCTTGGAACTCAGTCGAGGAACTTTTTCGTGCATGCGATCCTTCTGTTACCTTCGTCTTTGCTGGAATGGGCTCAGCAAGCGTCGGCTCAGTGACAGCAGCAGAATTGACAAGCTGCACGATGGATAGCACACAAACTGCTACTTTCGTAGTATGATAAGCCACGTCTGTAGTTATTATATTTAAAGAAGATGATGTTGATGATGCAAAAATCCTTTTCACGTCGCCAAGATTGTGTTGACCCAGACCAAAAGAACCTTTGAATAATCTGCTACTTCAGAGGGAAATTCTTTTTTTTCCTCCGCTCCTCGGTGACTAACAGCCTTGGTAAAATTAAAGAAACCAAATGTTTTCTGATGCTAAACTTTCGACATTATGTTTACTTTAAATTGGTTCCACATTCTGCAACTTGATGCTCAGGCTACTCTAGCTACTCATTACAAATGCCTTACATAAATTGACATTCGTTTTTTTATTACTTTATCATTCAATTAGCATTTCATTCCATTTATATTGACAAAGTTGATTCGATTTAATTTCAACTTGCTATAAGTATTGAAGGAAAACAGATTTCGCTGGACATTTTGTGGCATTCGCAGGTATTCTCTAAGAGGCATTCAGAGACACCGTAAAATGATTGAAAACATGACATCTTAGGTTTAAACTAAGTACCTATTTTCTATCGAAAACTTACTGATCAGATGGTAATTGACATAAAGAAGACTTTTTTCAAATTATACGCATTTTTATATTATGATATCTGCATTGCTTCATTTACAATAGCAGATGTTATTGTCACCATCTAATGTACAAAATTTTGATGCATCGAAGGAAATATATTGACAAGATTGACAAAACAAGATTGACAAGACGGACAAAACAAGATGTCTTTGATTGTCAGCTATAGAAATAAGCCAGGAACCTATTCATATTAAGACACAGAGTGAATCAGCATTTCCTCAACTCTCTTCATATTCAGCTTCCTTACAATAACTACATTGCTCTCCCCTTTCTGGCGGCCTCTGTGTGCCAAGTGTCTTCTTTCCACGACCATCATGCCATGTGTTTCTGCCCCAAACGGCTCTACTGTTGCAAAAGTATCGAACTGGTCTGCAATGACACCTTCCTTGTCAAGTGCAACGCAAATAGCCAATGTATCAGCACTATCTGTTAAGTCAACCTTGTGCCTACTGCAGTGAGCATCAATAATTTTCTTAAAAAATCTTGACCTATCATTGTCTTTCCCACAATAGATGCTGGCAAAATTACTTGAATAAGGATTATCCAGCACTGCTTCCCATGGAACAATATACTTAGGGCATGTGTACTCCTCCAAAACGATATGAGCAGCAAGGGGATCAGCTACAAAATTAAATTCCCCGGCTTTTGTCTGATTGCCTAGGCCAGTGTAGTTACCTCCAAGAATAACGACTTCTTTCAATAGCTTTGGCAAATCTGGCCTTATCTTAACAGCTAGGGCAAGATTTGTAAGTGGTCCAATCGCTAACAACGTTACTTCCCCTTTATGCTTTGTTGCTATGTCAATTATGCTACTCACAGCGTCTTTCTCTTCTAGCTCATTCTTATCAACTTTTATATAGTCTGTTACATCTAACAGGCCGTCAGTCCCATGCCAATGTGATGCTTCATGTTTGTACTGAGCTATAAGCATATGGGGAACAAATTTAACATTAGGATGCATCTTTCATACAGACACATTTAAGAAGAACAAGCAAATGTTGCCAATGTATGCCACAGTCTGGCAAGTGGTTGCCCTAATTTTCCCTTATAACTTGGCATCAAAAAAAGTATTACCCGTCTTGTTACCTGTGTATCTTTAAGCTCCTTATGCCAACTGTGAAATTTTTAGATTTTTAGAGTCTTTTCTGGATGTCCCATGCAAATTGCTGTGTCCATAACATTTATGTTTTTTGAACTGCAAAAATGCTATTTGAAAACAAATAACTAAATATCTCACAGTGAAGAGAATGTCAGTAAAAAAAATGAAATGAATGAATGAATGAATGGAGGTTAAGGAAAAAAATGTGAAACACCAATCTCAAAACTTGATATGATACAGAATCTCTCTGTGATACTGTGATACTATGAAAACATATCTTTCTTTGAATTAATATGAGTTAGAAAGCAATTAATAAGAGTGCAAAAGGCTTACTGAATAGTGGAGATTCTGCTCCTTTGAAAACAGGAACATCCTTCCTTTCAAACAACTGCCTGATTTTCAAAGCATTCAAGGAGGTTTGCCAACAGGGAACATTGCCATTAACACATGTTAAAGCTAGCAGCTCTACATTAGGCCATCTCATTGCCACTCCTATGGCCATTGCATCATCAAAGCCTGGATCTGTATCAATGATCAGTTTAACTTTCTGACTGTTCATTTTTGGTTTACACTGCTGGGACCTGAATGTAAAACAGAAAAGTAAAGAGGCTATGTTACGGTTTTGTAAAAAAACCAGAAACAACTGACATAGTATGTCTTTCATATAATTTCCAGTGCTTACAAAAATTTGATAACATGAGCCTATGTACTGAAAATTAAATGGGCAATTACTATGATTTGGCTTTGGTACCAAGTTGAAATTAGAAATTGTACAGCAATATGCCCAGGGTAAGAAAATGAAACTACTTCCAAACAGGCCTTGTGGGAAACAAAAAGCAGACACTTGACAAACTGAGCACCTTCAACTTTCTAGGCACTTGACTGAGCATCATCAAATACCATCAATAGCAAAAGTTTGTTTTTTCGCATTTAGTTTTAAGACAGCATAAGAATGCTAGGTGCTCAACCAATCAAGCTAGTACTCTCTAGGTGCATGTGGGGGATGCTTTATCAAGCTCAATGCCTCTCCTTGCAAGGCCTGCTTCTTCCAAAAGGAATAATATTTCACGTCTCTTTCCATGAAATTATAAATCTTAACTCTAATAAATGCTTCTGCTAATAATCTTCATTGCAGGCCTTTCCAGGAGACATGTGCTATAGCCCCCGCCCACGCAAACCCCACGAAAAAGTTTTGCGAGGGCTTTTTTCCGACCACACAGTTGTTTATAACAAAGCTCTTATTGAATCTGCTTTGTCTCACTCTCTAATGTTTTAACTACCTACCGCTATATATCAGGGTATTCATAAATAATGTCGTGTCAAAGAGATCGGTATATAAAGGAAATTTCTGTTTCTTTTAACATCAAATGTTAACAAACTAGTATTACCTGTTACAACTAGCAATGAAATAGGAAATGGTTGTGTCGGAAAGGAACAACAGATAGCGTAAAATAGCAAGAATGAGAATTGTTACACAACATTGTCAAGTACAAAATTTGTGTCACTAATGCACTTATTTTTAAATAACTGGGCAATCGGAAAAAAATCAAAAAAGGTTTTAGAAATAAATTGTTTTAATTTTGCTATTTGACTCTTCAACAAGGTAAGAGATAAGCGGTTGGGATTTGTCAAAAACATAGAGCCAATCATACACCCTTTCTGAACTCTTTGTTACTTTCGATCTGCATTTCTGCTTCCCTGTATGCTTTGAGGTTTATGCATATGTTACTTGCCGATTTTCATCAAGTTATTTTTCGCTCTTCCATGCTTTTTTCAGATTAAGAAACTCTTAAGAAAGAATGAGTATTGGAATTTCCTATACCATTAAGAAACTGGAGTACTCCATGTCGGCCTTCATTTCTAATAGAAGAGAAGTGTATTTCAGTTATTCTTTCTTGAATTTTCAATGAGAATCAACTTAATCTTCTATTACCCTTTAAATAACATTGTCCTGCTCTTTTTCTTTTTGAATAAAGATGGGTTTCGTTGGATACTATGTAACATATCTGTGTTTCTACACAAAACGTTCAAATCTTGCAAAAACCAGATATATATCTCTTTTGTCATTTTGAGGAGTAGTAATGCAAGCAAAACAACTGTCTTCTTAAGATAAATCATGCTTACAATTAGACAAGGTAATATATTTTTTGGCTTGTATTTGCTCAAATATAAATAGATAAACAACAAATTCTGCAAGGGCTAAATTATAGCCCACACAGCCAAACCAGCCTAGGGGTCTTTTTAGCCTGCGTGCTATCTATTCCCGGAGAGGCCTGCATTGGTAAGGTTGGCTGTTTCCTGCAGACAGAGATACCATGGAGGAGTGCTTGGTTGAGGGTTCAGCTCACTTATAAAAATCTTTAGAGGTTTTGCAGGGTCTTGGCCCCCATAAACAAGCCAGTTATATATATATATTTAGCTGGGCAAATTCCTTACTTGTGCCTTAACATGCTACTGATTTCCCATGAATTAGCTTTTAGGAAACTAAATAAACAAATTTCAACAAACGATATAAACAAGCTGTATTGGTTGAAATTCTACTTCCTCAACAATTTTCAGGGTGCAGGGCTAGCCCTAAAGCATCCATAGTGTTGTGGTGAATTTCTGAACAGTTGAATTCAGGGACAAAACAAAAGGTTGCTTAATTATTAGCTGAGATTTCAATTGTTATATTTTAACCTTCCCAGTAATTGTTCCATGTTTATCACAATGCCAGTTAGGTTTGCAAGGATGGAGGAAGACCCAAGCAACAAGAATGCAAAGTGCATTGGCCTGGAGTATATAAATGCTAGATTTGAATTTTTGCCTTGAATTTTAGTAAATGAATTGGGGATAAATCTTTAAGCCGCACAATAGAACATATCTCTATTTGCTAGGCAACAAACTTTGCTTACCCTGAACTCATATCTTTCAGTGAAAATTGTTAATCAAAATATTAACTGCTACACATTTGAATACAAATTGCTGACGGACTCATGGAAGAAACTGCCGTCAAAACCTGTTGTGTGCCCGACCTGGCCCCCTAGCATCTACTTTCCCGGACAAAAATGGTTGAGACTTTTCAAGGAAAGCTTATATTTTCACTTTCTTTTAAAAAATAACTTTCCCCCTCACCCAATTCAATGTTGAACGCATAATTTTGAAGGAGAAATGATTGAACTACAAATCCAACATTGCTTCGGGGGGGGGGGGATTCAAATTTACAGGGGCAAGGTAAAGTAGAAAATTGTAAAAACTGCATTTTGTCTCAACATCTTTACAAGCACAACCTTTGTCTAAACTTACAGAGTTATTTAGTAAAGATACATCCTTACCAGTTGCAAAAAATGTGTATCCCTGCTCTCTGTGGTAGCCAGAATTTCAACAAGAAACGCTTGCCCCTGTTCATTTGCCAATACTAACTTGTATTGTCCAACATGAGGTGGGCAGTACCAATTACGCCTCTCTTCCAAGCAGAGGCCGATAAGGGAGGGACATGTTGTCCTTTATTCACACATTCACATTCACAGATTTGCTGAAAGCTCGACTTTTTAAGGGATATTTTAAAGACAATATGATTCGAATTATAACTATAGTAAGGGTTTGAAAATCATGTTGAAGAACAGAAGCTCGATGAACGGGAAACACCCTTTTGGGCGAAATTATAGTTACGTATACGAAGCTCCTAGATTTACACCTAAAAAGACCATTGCGTTGTTTCTATTGTAAATTTGTTGTTCAATCTGGCAGCTCTGCAGATTATACTTTACTTTCAGCATTTGAACAGCCGTAGAGAATCTATGAAAATTGATACAAAATACTGAACGCTAATTCTCAACACTAAATTTGAAGGCTAGTTTGCAATTTTTCAAAGTCATTCCTTTTTCTATTACCAAGTTTTGGTAAAATTTTCTTATTTGTGAAAATATTGTTTTTAGATATGTTGCTAATCTATGAAGTGCATAATCTTGTTCAGCTTGCATCAGTCTCTTAAAAATAATCACTCTTAGTACAGCCGTAACGTTGGTATCAATAAACCTATGCTTCTGACCTTGTATATGAGGATGGGGGTGGTGCATGGCAAATAAAAATGCAATGTAATTCATCTCTAACAAACCTAGTTTCTACAGCAGTATTTAATCGCTTGTTTCTTTTATAACCCTAAGAGAAGAAGCTTTGCTTCACGTGTTCGAGTCCTGCCCTGGCAACTTACTCAAATTTTCTTTATTATTTTTTGTTGTTTTTATGTTTCCTACTTTCTTCAGGAAACTTATACTTCTTATACTTCAACTTCTTTACGTTATAAAAAACATTAAGACTTATTTAGGTATAAAGATCTTTGCATAATTAATAAATGTTTCAACTTGTTACAAAAGAAATCATTATTGCAACAAAGTCATGCAGTTGTGACTGCGCCTCTGATTAATGCTTTCCAAATGACTATTTTATTTACGAAGGTTGCATGAAAAATCGTATCAATGATATCATTTGAACGAACTGCAGAACAACACACAAAAAGCTAACTGAATCTGAGTAATGGATTCATTTCGTCAATTTTTCAGACCTATTTGTTAAACTACCAGCAGTAGAAAAGAAAAACCAGAAAAATTTCTTCACAAACTTCAACCAGCATATCAAAAGGCACTGCTTTGCCTGTCTCTTGAGTTGATATTACAATAAGAATTGGGAGATCGACAGTTTGAAATTACTAAGATAACTAACAATTACAACTACTTGTATATTAAATTCTAAGCGTTAAAAGATAATGGTCAGATTCTAAGTAAACAATAAAAACTTAAGGTTCCAAGAAAACATTTTGTAAGCTTGCGACTGTTTTCCTTTCCATTAAAACATTAACCTATTTTACCTTAAGAACCATTTGAATTTTGACGTTCCGCTTTCGTGTTGAACCCAATGTGATATTAAGACACTGAGTGGATGAGCATTTCTTCAACCCTTTCCATATTAAGTTTTGTAACAATCCGGATATTGCTTTCATTTCCTACTCCATGTCTGTGCTCTGTGCGTCTTCTTTCCACGACCATCATGCCATGTGTTTGTTCTCCAAAAAACTCAACTGTTGCAAAGGTGTCGAATTTTTCAGCAATAACCCCTTCCTTGTCAAGTGCTACGCACACTGCCAGAGAGTCAGCACTCTCTATCGAAGTCAATTCATGCATACCACAGAGGATTTGGCCTAGTTTCTTAAAAAATCTCGATCTTTCATTGTCTTTCCCACAATAGATTTTCTCAAACGTACTTGAAAAAGGATGATCCAGCACTGCTTCCCACGGAACAACATACTTAGGGCATGTGTACTCCTCTAACACGATTCGTGCAGCAAGGGGATCAGCTACAAAATTAAATTCCCCAGTTCTTGTCTGATTGCCTAGGCCAGTGTAGTTACCACCAAGAATAACGACTTCTTTCAATAGCTTTGGCAAATCGGGCCTAATCCTAACAGCTAGGGCAAGATTTGTAAGTGGTCCAATCGCTAACAATGTCACTTCGCCTTTATGCTTTGTTGCTATGTCAATTATGCTACTCACAGCGTCTTTCTCTTCTAGCTCATTCTTATCAACTTTTATATAGTCTGTTACATCTAACAGGCCGTCAGTACCATGCCAATATGATGCTTCATGTTTGTACTGAGCTGTAAATATTTAGCGAACAAATTTAACATTAGGATACATCTTTTATACTGATACAATTTACTAGAACAAGTCAATGTCGCTAATGTATGCTACAGTCTGACAAATGGTTACCCTAATTTCTCTAATAGCTAGGTATTTTATGTTAACTGTGTAACTGTGAAGGGGAACGGAGCATAGGCCAAAGTTAAAGTTCTTGACATGAGGGAGGGAGGGGGTTATGTCAAAAAATTTTCTAGATGTCCCATGCAAATTGACATATTCATAAAATATATCATTATTTTGAACTGGTGTCTGAAAATGAATCAGAGTCAAAATTTGAGTTTTAAATGATAGTCAAATAGTGGGGGAAAGAGTGGGGGGGGGCTAGAAAACACTTTGTTTCAAATCAATGATGTATGGACCCTTTTGGTAAAACGTTGTAAAACTTGATAAAACTTTCAAGTTTCAGGGTTGGCAGATATACAGGGTAGCAACCTGCAATATAACAAAAACAAATCTTTTTGTGCATGAATATTGGTTAGAAAGCAATAATAAGAGTGCAAAAGGCTTACTGAATATTGGAAATTCTGCTCCTTTGAAAACAGGAACATCCTTCCTTTCAAACAACTGCCTAATTTTCAAAGCATTCAAGGAGGTTTGCCAACAGGGAACATTGCCATTAACACATGTTAAAGCTAGCAGCTCTACATTAGGCCATCTCATTGCCACTCCTATGGCCATTGCATCATCAAAGCCTGGATCTGTATCAATGATCAGTTTAACTTTTTGACTGTTCATTTTTGGTTTACACTGCTTTGACCTGAATGTAAAACAGAAAAGTAAAGAGACTATGTTACTAAGTATTAAATTGTATTGTAGTTAATTTAATTGAAGATGATGATGATGATGATGATGATGATGTACGGTTTGGATTTTATATTTATTCAAATTAGTAATGTTCCCGTTGCGTGTTAAAATCGCATGTTCTGTTAACTCCTGTTGTGTAGTTAACGCCTTTTTATGGCAATATGTTTGTCTTTCAATATGTAGTGTGACGCTCGTATTGTCCTGTTAATTAGCTTCCGTTTATGTTATTAGTATGTGTTGATCACGAATCACGATATAAGTTAGGCCCTGTTCACACGATACCGGTCGGATTCATTTCGTATCGGATCGCTTTTAATATCGGATAGGCCTTCTGTTCACACGATATTCCAAATGGGTCAGATCGATTCAATCCAAATGGATCAGTGTCTGAATTTCTCATGTAACGACGTGAAGTCATTGCAATGGCTTATTTTTTCAACATTTGATTGACTTACTTTTTGAGTATTTCTTTTAATAACTAGGACTCCGACGAATGGGGGGCCGAATGGGGGGCCGAATGGCCATGCCCCCCACTTTCCTCCAAAACAATAGAGCCTTTACAAAATCTCCTGTCATTGTAACGTTTTATGGTTTGTAAACTTCAGTTACTGTTATTATCATGTTAAGCTAGATTCCTTGATTCTGTTGCGTGTTAATGTCACATGTTTGTTTGTCGCGCGCTGTTCTATTAGTAACTCCCTTTCCAGGAAATGTGTGTCACCGTGATGTTTCACAGTGTTCCTTTATTTGGTTCAATATAATGTAATCCAAGTTAGAATAAAGTAGTCTTACTGTTTTGACCATAGAGATCACATCAAAGAACGAGTATCTCTTGTGTGCTATCTATTTAGGGCTTAGGCCCGTTGGCCTAGCCCATCGCTCCACTAACGAGCTTGGTTATTAACTGGCTCTTCACCGTCATCACAAGAACCCTGAACAATACATAATGGCTGTTAAAGTTTCTCTTAGCTCCCCCTCCTCCCCATGGATAATTTATTTAAATAGAATTCGCAAGCAATCTTATGGTGGTACAAAACTTTAAACGTTTTCGATCTACGTTTTCGGTGGTAAAAACTTTAAACTTTAAACGTGTTCTAACGTTTTATACTCTGAAGAGTGCTTGACTAGAAGCTTTACTGGAATGACTCAAATGTTTGTTTTTTTCAAACCCATTTTGAAATAGAATTAGCATTTTTTTCAGTAATCAATAACACGCATAATCGCAGAGATTGATCTACCAATTTGTAAAAAGTTACAACAAATAGTGAATGATCCTTTATTTTCTCGAGTTTCTAATCTATGTTGACCAAGTGGTAAGGTAGATATTACAGTGGAAGGAAGTACAAGAAGTCTTAGGAAGCGCAATATGTTTGGCTTACTGGGTCTGCTGATGGAAAGGGCAACGGATATACTGCAAACTAAGCTTGTTTTTTACTGCGCGCTGCGCATTATGACGTCATTTCGGACTATTTTGACGTGATTTGGCCTACTTTCATAAACGGTTTGGGTACTTAGTACCCATACCACCTGGCAACCCTGGCCCAAAGAAGCAGAGACATTTTTGCGGAACCCAATCGTTAAATTCTGTCCTTTAGAAGGAATGCAGATGGAGAAAAAAAGTTTACTGAATTTCGTCACGGATAGTTTACTGATAGACCAAAAATTTGCAATTAAAATAGAGAAAAACGTTACTTTGCTTGGTGTTCAGATCGATGAAAATTTAAAGCAGCTAGACAGTTAAAGATCTGTAAAAAAGCAGCTAAACAGTTAAATTCTTTGAAATATTTGCAAGATTTATGGGTGACAGAGAAAAAAAGATAATTATGAATCATTATGAATTCATATATTTACTATGTCACTTCAATTATTGTCCATTGATATGGATTCTATGTGGTAAAGGAAGTCAGGATAAGCTAGAGAAAATTAACGAGAGGGCTTTAAGACTAGCCTATTCGGACTATTCATCTTCGTACAAAGATTTACTTGCTAACGATTTACTCAAAAGAAACTACCATACATGTCCACTAAAGTTCACTATTGTAAAAACTAACGTTAAATAATCTACAATACAATACAATACAATACAATAGCTAAATTGGCATGTGAATCATTTAAACAAACATAACATTTGAGTTCGTTATGAAGATATATGTCGGCATAATATTATTATTATTATTATTATTATTATATGTTTGCATGACATACCCGATTCAACTTGTTGTAAAACAGTTTCCAGTACACATCTAGGTGAGAACGAGCAACTGATCGTCAATTTGCTAAATGCAAATAAGCTTAATTTTACGATTGTTTTACTCAACAAACTGATTAACAGCAATTAAAGGTAATGTGTTAAGATTAAGCAAGCGACTCTGCGGGGGGTTTCAGAAACATGTGATTTTTCATGTCATCGTCCCAGCCATTACGGTCGTTCCATTTATCTATCCTGCTGCGAAGTTAGCTTTTCATGTGAGCAGTCTTGCATTGCAAGAATACTGACCAATCGCAAACTGTTATTTTGATGGGTGGCTTGACAAGTTGGGTATACGCAGTCCTTTTATATGGACACATTACCTTTAATGACACAAAACAGAACAACATGTCAGAACTGAAAACAGGAGGAAATTGCCTACACAAAATTTCACATGAGCTGATCCAGTTGGCTTCCTAGGGCTCGAGGCCTAAAAACTCAAGACGAACAAAATACATTCAAGTGTTAAATGATATCGCTTATTGTTTCAAGTGTCGCTGGTCGTTCTAAATTCTCAAATATACGTCTGACTTCAATATAAGAGCCAGATTCAGGCTCGTCGGAAGAAAAGCTTTCTAATGATATATACACATGATATAGTCTAATGATATGTATTTATTTCATTTTAATCTTCAACTGCCTATTCTTATCTACTTTTCTGATAGTAACATCTGTATTATTATAAAAAGCCACAGTTTCCATAAAGTATCATATTGCTTATTGCTTATTTTCTTTCTCTGTTTTTCTTGGTCTTTTTACCCGCTATCTTTGGATGATCAACAAAAAGTACTTGTCTTGGAATTGGCATTTTTAATAATTTTTTTCATTTACTGCTTTGTCACTTTATTTCTATATGCTTATTCATCTATAATTTTTTAATCCATTACTTATTTATCATACATTTATTTATTTTCTTCTAACTTTCCTCTTTTACTTTCGCTTATATTATGTCAGTTTTTCCTTGGAATTGATGCTTGTGCTACGCACTGATTGGAGTAGACATGAAACGTGTTTGTTTAATTTTGATATCCACTCTAATTTTATCCATGGAAAACAATAGCACAGATGACAATAGCTTTCTGATGATTTGTTTAGCACACGTGACAAGATTGGCTCATATCACGCGGGTCAAGGAAATTTCAAAATTATCTATCGCAGGACGTTCTTGGGTTTCTAAGAGAAGTAGCTGAAATTATGGTAACCTATCAGCTTATTTGTGTTATCTATCAAAACCTTTTGAAGCTATGCTGTACAACTTTCATCAGAACGCATTTGTTATGTGTCAGTATTATAGTTCTATAATTAGAAACGTCAATAAAAGCATTAAAACAAATGGGTTTTCAAGAGAAAGAAAACAATTAAGAAATTCAGAAAAGTTACAAGATTAGATTAAAGCAATATCTTGAAATATAAAGGACTTCTTGGAAAGTTGCATAAACGAGCAGCCAAAAAGAATCGTCCATTTAAGGTGGCATTGTATTTTTATACTCAGGATTGATACGAAAATAGAAAATGAAGTTGCAGTTGTCGCTATATAATAATTTTCAATCGAAAAGGTAGAAGGTTGATATTAAAAAAAAAGTTTGTTACAACTTGGAAAAGTGTCAAGCTTAATTGTTAATAGTATGCAGGCCCAAAGATGAGGCAGATGAGGCTCGTGCCTTCCACAAATGCAGCACTTTTCTTGACGCCATCTGAACTTCGAACGTCGAGCAAGATGAGGCAGATCGCTGTTTTGCAAACAAATCTCTTCTTGATCCTTCATCACAGCAATCTGTTAATGAAAAGTGCCTTTTCAAAATACCAAGTCCAACTCTCCAATCTGTAGGAAGACCCTCCCGATCTATTTTTTCATCAGTATTTCGAGTCTGGGGCATTTGCTTTGGTAAAGTACGCATTTCTGCTTGGCATTTTTTCCTCTCGTCTTCTTTCAACATGTGCTCTTTAGGCTCGATTTTATTCTCTTCAGAAGTTCGACCAGCCATTAAGTGTTGCTTTAAGTTCCGCTATGGATAACTATATGTGGCTAATGCTAAGCACTGTACTAGCGGGTTAGATGAAACGTACCGATTCTTACGAATCAAGCACGTACCCTTTGCTTTTTGCGATGTGTCTACAAGATAATTAGTATGTGATCCTTGGCTCTTTTCCGCAAAGCACTCAGCCTCTTGAAAGGAGTGAAATTCAGTTAATTATCATGAAGTGGCTCTATCCACCTGCTGTAAATACTGGACTGAAGACATACACAGCTGTCCCTACAAAGATCTTGAAGCTAATAAATATTTCAATTGCATTTTCGATAGATTTTTTGTTTGTTCCTAGCTTGTGCATACGATTATTCTCATTCCCTTAGACTACCAGATTCTTTGCCAATCAACAGGCAAAGATATAATTTTTTTTAGCAATTTGTAGATAATTGAATGCAGGATGTGACAAGATATTCTCGTTAGCTATTTTTAAAAGGATATAACAGTAACAAAAAAACGCTTTAAAAGTTAATCTTAAACTTAAGTTTTGGCACAGATGTGGATTGGCAGGGGTACAAATTTGCGATCAGAGCATCAATATACGGACATCAATAAAGGAATATTTCCACTTCGTAATCTTCATCTTCTTAAACGTTGTATAAGGCTCTTGTAGCCGGGGTAGAATAACTAAAGAGACTGTTCACAAATATATTAAGTCTATTAATGTTAGAATATTTTTTAAATCAATTAAAAAGTTAAATACATAAACGTAGAACTAGGTTGCAGTTTTGTGAATTTCAACCCACTGGCGCTGAGGTTGCCGAAAATCTCAGAGATGTTCTCATGGAAAAGTTTAAGAAAAATTTTCTTGTAAAAAGAGACGGCGTTTATGAAGGCATTTACAACAAACCGTAACATATCTTAATCCAAGGAAAAGTATCAGATCTTCTATGTTGCTGCAGCAAACGTATGGTCTGAATAGTTTTTTTTCTTTCATATCTCTTTAATTTGGTCTTGGTTTCTAGAATGCATGAGCCAGGAATAGATAACGGTAATTTATTGGCAAAAGTCCACTGGTCGTATTTTAGCTGATGTGTATGTAATAGGTTTAAAGGCAATCTGTCACGACGTTGATTGGTTATAAGAACAAAGGGATTTCTATTGTTTCCAGTCCCCCTTCAATTTATCGCATTGTAAAAAATATGGCGGAGCGCTGGAACCGTGTTTAGGCTATTGTTCCAGCTATTGTTCTCGTTAACCAATCCACAACGAGACCGATTGTCTTTAACTTATTTTACACATTTAGAGGTATTCCATCATGTTTTTCAATTTCATATGGTCCAAGTGCAAAATTCTATTTATACGACGCCTTTTCAGGAAATTCTGTGAAACCACCTGTGACATTTACAATTTTTACTGCATCGTCAGTTGTCTCTGCATTTGATTATCCTTAACTGTCGGTATCTGTTTGAGAGATACATATAAAACAGTTTGAGTTTCAAATTATAAATGTTATTTGTCTGATGGGCCAAACTTCCGATGGGAAAATAACAGATTGTGTTCAGACATATCGGCAAATTTTGTTCTTCAGCGACATAATCATAGAGCTACTTAAAACAAAAAATTAATTACAGCTGACAAAAATACTTTTAGGCTAGATTAAAATGATCAGGTTTTGCGTTTGATGGTTATGAACCTTTTGTTTTGAAAAGTTTCCTATCTAATAATGAAAGTAAGGAAATAAAACGTTCATAATTAGAACTCAGAGTGTTGTGCAAGGATAACCATGCATTTGCAACAAGCAAAATATTCAAAAACAGATCAAACAACTTGTCAGAAGAACAAATAGGTGGTCGGGAAAATTTTGAGATAATTTGACTGACAACTAGTGTGTGAAAATTTCATAGAAATTCTTTTAAATGCTGTATAGCACGACCATTTAACGGTTGGTTATTCTAAGATCATTTGTCTCGCCATTATTACATGAACTATTTAGAACTGGCTCAAATGCTTGCACGTGAGGCCTAAGGTTATCTGTTTAATCATATTTCTAAAAATTAATGTTGATCCACAAGGAAGCCGAGGCAAATACCTCCTTCATTGAATCAATTCTAAACTTGATTTGTGCCCAGAATTCGTGGTGCACATTGCCTAAAATCAAAGGTGCGCATTTAAATTTTAATTCAAAATGGAATTTAGCACGCTTCTATCCCAAAACATCTTTACAGCATGTTAAATTTCCAACACATATAATCTAGAATATGTAAACTTAACATATTATGCATTATGTTTTGAAGTGTTTGCAAAGCTCTACATCAGGAATCTGCATGTTTTCTATTCATTATGCAAATTGCATTAATTTCTTCAGTAATTATTATTATTATGTCGTCATCGTGTTGTGTGATGTTTCACAGTGTTCCCTTATTTGGTTCAATATAATGTAATCCAAGTTAGAATAATTTGGTCTTACTGTTTTGACGATAAAGATAGCACCAAAGAAGGATCTTTTGTGTGCTATCTATTCGGGGCTTAGGCCCGTTTGCCTAGCCCATCGCTCAACCAACGACCTGATAATTCACCGTCATAAGAAGAACCCTTGTCGTTACATTTGGTGACAGAGGTGATGGCGGTGAAATGCGTTGTGTCTTTACATTATTAAATGGAATTTTTTATCGAGAATAATATGGATTCACTGAGAGTTGCTGATTCACAGCTTTAATTTGATTTTCAAAGCAGAAACATTTTGCGATGGATTTGGGTTTAAATTGCCGCTTATTTCGCTTGGTTATTGTTGTTTAGAAGAAGACATTCCAATTACGGAAAAGGCATCCGTTTTCCAGATATATTGCAAGATACAGTCGAGACTTTGGGAGCTGGCCGGAGAGAGGTTGCAGCTGAGAAGAGCTATAGAGAGCCTTCGTATGTAATAGGACTTTTTAAAACTTTCTTTTTGAAGATGTCGTCACGAGATTGGGCAAATAAAGTGATGTTGTAGGCACTACCTTCGCTTGCCAGTTTATGCCTCCAGGCCGTAATGACACTTCAAACACTTTTATTTATGACGTAGTGGAACTCAGTGACTTTTCAAGGTTTTATCGTGTATTTTGAAAGGGAGGGGATGGTGTAACGTTTTAGGACTTGTATTCTTCAGTAATTATTATTATTATGTGAAAGGCATTGAGTCATGGTAAATAGGCTTTCTCTATAGGGGGTCATTTGGTTTCGGCGTGATCGCTGCTGTTTCATGTGATATTGGCATCAGTTGTTGACAACTTGCTATTGATGGAAACTGTTATGTTAATCAGTATGAGGTGAGTTCATGTGACCAGTTCAAGGTCAACCAATAGCATCGCAGTCATGGAAATCATGACTCCGCGGATTTGGCACTTAGGGTATACCCAGTCTATTTATCTTGACTCAATGCATTCTTTCTTTGATTACATTCTTTGATTATGTTGCGTGTTAATGTCACAAGTTTGTTTGTCGCGCTGTTGTGTTAGAAACTCCCTTTCCGGGAAATGTGCGTCACTGTCATCGTGTTGTGTGATGTTTCACAGTGTTCCTTTGTTGTGCTTTAATATAATGTAATCCAACTTAGAATAATTTAGTCTTACTGTTTTGACGATAAAGATAATACCAAAGAAGGAGTACCTTTTGTGTGCTATCTATTTGGAGCTTAGGCCCGTTGGCCTAGCCCATTGGTTCGCTTACAAAGACACCGTCTTAAGAAGAACCCATATCGTTACACATCGAAGTCTCTGACAACACACTTAAAAATGAAATATTTCTTTATCTCTTAGCTTAGTTTCTTTAATCCAACATCCATTCGTTTCTATTCAACCAATACACCTAGCTGAGAGTGAAGGAACTTTGCCTATCGCTTACTCCACTTCCAATACCCTTTTCTAATGATATAATGCAGTGAATGTTGGTAACTACGCATCAATCACAATCTAAGGAATTTCTACTGACAGCAGAACATTCAAGTCTGAAAGTTTAGAAAGTTCATTAAAAATAGCAAATGACTGAGGATTTAGGCTAAAAACGAGTCTTAAAAATGCGTTTAATCAAACCATTCTTCTCTTTTTCTGTAAAAATCTCTAGTATACTTTAAATACGTTTGCTTGTATAAAATCTGGGAAACGAAAAGCGAGAAATCCAGTAAGCAGGTATAAAGAATCATCTACAAATTACGATATGTTACAACAATATAAATATATCTATCATAAAACTCATATTAAAACTTTTAAAATGGCCTATTACAAAGAATTTTTACATACTCATCACACCATCAAGTTTTTTATACAAATCATAGGCACATTATAAATAATTTTTGATGAAATAATCAAACAAAGTATAAATAAGCAACCCAGTGTACAGTCTAATTGCAATGCCAGATTTCTTTTAACTTTGTTAATTGAATCAATTCTCTCTTCATAAAGCAAAAACATGCTTCTACAAGCTCAGATTACAAGAATAAGAATATATACAATTTTGTGATTCCCACAGCATCGATTGAAACAAAAGAGTGAAAACTACAATGGCTACAGTCTTTTGCCCTTTCGAAAAGTAAATGCTTTTTTTATCGACGTCCTCCCTATTTCTTGTGCCGGAAGAGCATTAATAAAAATATATACTGGCGGTAAAACTTCTTTTTCTTAAAGAGGCCAGATATTGATCGCTCTGTAAATAAAGTGTCTGCTTCTATTATACAGTTACCCTGTATTTAAGCTGCTCGGGCGTTGCATTTTAAGCCTAGAGGACATTTCCGGGTGGAGTCTTTGCCTAAAGATAAATTGATGAGGTCCTAGGAATATTTGTATACCTCCTTTTATTAACAATTCATTCTCTTGGAAACCTTGCTAATAAAAAGCAGGGTCTTACTGCCCTCTATACATGCTGCCAGGATAAAAAAGTACGCTACACCCAAGTTAAACTCGCATCCAACTGTGAATGCATAAAAGATCTTGAAAGATTAATGGAAAAGAGTTATTCCCATAGACATTTATAATTAACCATCAGCAAAAGCATAATAGTGTTTTCAACATTAAAGTTTGAGTTGAGTGAATGATCCTAATTCTTTACCATCATCCATTGTTTGATAAAAGCGAGCCTGGCAAAAGTTGTGGAAGGTGGGGCAAGTCCCCACTGAGGGAGTGTATTTTGCTTAGCTCCATTTTATCAGGGTCATTAGAATAAGTCACATTATCAAGGAGGGTAGTCTTACATAGACCCAGATGGAATAGCTGCAAAAACTAAAGCGCAAAGTATTTGAGGGCCTTTAGACTCTCTTATGCTCTTTCAAAATTAAAACAGAGAGCCGTGATAATCTACTGTGACATGCTGAGTGGACTAAAAGGGACAGAAGTTGTAGAAATACATGTAAATTTTGTTGCCGTATTCGAGATGCTGTTATACTTATAGCAAACTGTACATTCCTGAACCGAAAAGCAATTACATAGCTCTTGCTGTCAGCGCTCTTCAGACCTCTTTGCACATTAACTCAAACCTAATCAGCCTGCCTTGAATCTCCAGTACAATGAATCTTTCATCTTCAGTCATTGCTATCGAACTTATCTTTACATCAGGTGTGTATTCTGTAATCAGCTTGCCGCTCTCTGCATTCCATAGACGCAAAGAACGATCACGTGAGTTAAAAGCACCAGCAACTGTTAAAATCATTTTATTCTTCCTTGAAAGCAATATAAACTGAAGTGCTCCAGTGTGTGCTTTAGCCAAACGCTTCAGCTTCAGACTGTCAATATCGTAAAGCAGTAAGTCACCATTCCATGTTCCTATAATGATTTTGTTTGATTGCGGTTCTAAGGCAAAGACAGTGACTGGTGCATCACAGGGCAATGTTTCTGGGGTTGAAGAGCCGCTCTTCCATACGACTAGACAATACTCCGACTTGTTAGGATCAAATACAAGATCAACCAAAACAGATCCGTCATTTGAAACAATTGTATCTGAAGAGGCCAAAAAGAAATTAAAAATCAAAACAGAATTACCAACACTTTTATAAACTCTCGAACACAAAAGGCGACATCAACGAAAACTAGAGTACAGTGTTTTAGCGGGAAATATTCCAAATTTTCATCGCTATGTAAAAACAAGCAATGCCCACGAGGCATCTTTTTCACCGGAAAACATATAGCCATAAAATTTGATGCGTAGCAGAAGTCTTTAGCTCTAGCAGCAACAGGTTTTTACTGTTTTAAAACTGTTTTCCACTGGTAGACACAGTGTTGTCCTGAAGTAAGATGTTCATGTAAATAGGTGCAGAAACCTTTGCAGGAGTACCTAAATTGCTATCGAACATTATTACTTTCAATATGATTTTTGGAACTTTAAAAAAGAGAAGTCAAGAAATATTAATGTTAAATACTCACCATTAAACTCAGTAGAAAGGATACCATAATCAAGGGAGGCAGTATTTTTAACTGTCTCTGAATTCCAGATCTCTACACTTTGTTGGAAGCCCTTTCCCTCTCCAGGTTTCGGTTTCCATTTACAAACAATAAACCTCTTCATGTTTTTGCTACTGAATACCCTGAAAAAGAGAATCGCGCTTAGATAAACATTAATAAAAGATGATCGACAAACTTAAAAGACTGTGAAACAAAAACATCTCATTTAACAGCAGCAAGTAACAAATTACAAGAAATAATAAGTGAGAAATGGATAAAGTGACAGATCAGATAGGAGTAATATTTTACCTAGCAATCACTTCTGTTTCTCCGACTGAAACTGATTTTACCAACTTCAGACTTGGCAGCGAAAACACTTTCATGCTTCTTCTTCCTTTCTCAACAAGCACAACAATATCGTTGGATATTGAAGCAAGTCTTTCTGAGCCCTTGTCATCAACATCAACCGCTATGGACTTTACGAATTCACCACTGTTGGCATTGTACAACGTTAAAACACTAGATGACAGGACAACAACATAGTAAGTATCACATTTACATATAACAGCTTCAGGATTCTGGAGACCAGATACCCTTACTTTTACGTCTGTTTTTAGATTCCAAACGATGGCAGAAAAAACCGAATCAATGATTCTTCTTGCAAAGTAAACCAGAATTTTGTCATGGCAAGTAGCGATTTGCAAATCCTCGAGACTTGAACCACTTTCAACAACAAGGGAATGAACGGCCGAGCTCAAGTTACTGTATCGCAGTTTAAGGAACTTCTTCCCTACAGGGAAACTATTAACATGTTCCCATCCAACATTTCTGGAAATCCTACGTTCTTTTGTATCGTTTTGAACTCCGTAACTCTGACTTGTATCCATTTGTACGGGGATACTTTTCTCATGTTGCTGCTGCTGCTGCTGCTGTGCATGTACTTGTTGTTGTTGTTCATTTTGTTGTTGTTTTTCATGTTGTTGCTGTTTTTGCTTTTGTTCGTGCTTTTCCTGCTGTTTTTCTTGATGTTGCTTTGCCCTGTTTTCGTCGGTATTAACATTCTCTTGCTTATCACCATCTTTGTCATTACTATCAAACTTGGTTACTTCCGTTTTCCAATGCATCGCAGAAGATGTTTCGTTGGCACTCAGATATTGCTCAGCTTCCTCGTTACGCTCTTCAGCTTTCCCTTCACCTACAGCATTACCAACCCAACAAACAGTGTGAGCTGCACTCTGACTGCTTATTTTGCGGGCATCTGTATTCTTATCGAGGCTTCTCTCTAGATCCCATACACGTATAATCTTGTCTAAGGATGCAGTAACTATGCATCTAAATCCAGTGCCACAAACCGAAGTGATTGAGCTTGGATAACTAAGAGGCATTTTTACAGAGCTTCCGTCAACCACTGAATGTATTTTGATAAAACCCATAAACTCACAAGCAGTTTCAATAAAATTCGTATTGCACAACAATATAACCTCGTTTCTGTCCGGCGTGATACACGAGCACCTTACAAACTCATTCTCCGATGCTAGGGTCGTTTTCATTTTCATCGTTCGTATATCCCATAATTCAAGAGACATCTTTTGCCAATTAGAAGCAACAGACGGTCTTGCAGATGGCCTACGACTGGTATTTAGGCCATCTTCTAAAACAGCGCTGGTGACGAGTATTTGGTTACAGCTCACAATTTCTAATGACATGATATCATGATCTACTTTTATTCTGAATAAGTCGTGCTTCAGTTCTGGGCTTATATCAAACAATTCTAAAAGCATGGAAAATTGTTCTTCTTTAATCAAATCCTTATGAACGACAAGACATTTTTCATTCCAAGAGCTGAGCATAATTTTTGTAGGTTTCTCTGAACAGTCTTGTAATTTTGTGGTATATTCTTTTAGGATTTCCCCGTTCTCTAAATTGATAATAGTCAAAGTCTCTGAGTAAAATGCAGCAAGGGCTTCCTGACCATTAAAAAGGCAAGTTGAAATCGGGCTTGTTTCGTCGTGGCCTTTTATATCTAAGAGCGTTTGTCCAGTGGAAAGAAGCCAGGCCTTGATGATACCGAACCGGGATATTATGAGTATTTCTCCTTTAGCGGTTAGGCATGAATACGTCACACCTCCATCTGGAAAGCAGATCAACAATGTTACAGTGAGACTTCTTTTTTAAAATCCAATTTACTATTTGCATTCATTTTATGACTTTAATAAAAAGGTTGTAGGCTTACAAAATTACGCATTATTAAGGAACTGCACGAAATTATATCTACAGGTTGATATGGTGAAAAGCCTTTGATCGACAGATATCCAGAGATGGATCCTAATTGTATCAGCCACGGCAAGTGCGAAACAACACATTAATAGCGATTTCATATGGATATTATGACAGTTACACAGATTTTTTTAAATGTAAAACCAGGAGAAATACGCAATAAGCCCAACCGGCTCTTCTTAAAACTTGATCTTGATTGGCTGCTACCAATCTGTTTTCCAAATCACATTGTCTTGGCACAATAAGTGAGATTATTCTAAAATAAGACACTTGAGATCGAGCCTTGGTCCTTATTTATTTAAAATCTCTTGGACATTTTTTATTTATCCTTATAGCAATTTTAGGCACATTGTACAAAGCGGTACCACAAGGAACATGCAATCGCATAACTACTCTGTGGCTATTACCACATAATTACGATTTATTCTAAGTCTGTCTCAAAAGATGCAAAACGCTACAGTTTGAGGATTCAATTTATGTGATGAAGCAAAATATTGGAACTTTCCCTACATTTTAAAATTACTACAATACCTAGGTACATTTCAAAGATCGAAAAGTTGATCTTATTATAATCCTTGAGGCCAGGTCATTGACCACGCTAGAAACAAACTTGCGGGCCATTTTACATCACTTATGCTACTGAAAGTGAGCTTCAGTCACATAGAATATGTTAAAGTAAAATAACAACACTTTGCTTTGCATGGCAGCACTCACCGGGGAAGGGAAGATTTCTGAAAACACGTCCAGCTGCGACATCCCAAACCAGAAGCTCGTTTGATTCACCTATGCTGGCAAGGGTTTTTCCATCTCTACTTAAGCGCAATCCAACATGAAGCTCAGATGAACCAGAGAGGGACTGCAGCAAAGGTCCTCCGGGAGATGTAAGGCATGCCTGACAAAACAGGAACGGTTAAAACAAGACATTTTTCACTAAAATCAATAGCTCAAGAAAATTAAACATTGTTCAATCTATAAAATGTATCAGTATTGAAGAGGTTTACTTACCATATTTGGAACAAGAGCTGGGAGTGAAGGCTCTCTTGCTTGTTTCTCTAACAGTTCCAAGAACTCCGATCTATTGATAGTTTCTTTGGGCATTCGCGAAATGAGTTGAGAGGCAAGTTGGCCAGGCCATAGGCTAAGAGCATTCATTGACAATTTTAAAGTCTCGTGAACGGTTGTAAGATCTTTATCATCAGGCCAAGTACTAATTGCAAGGTCAAAGCCATCTAATACATCGCTTAGGCCACGAGCTCGTAAATGAGTCAAAAGAAACTCGTAATTACAAAGGCATTCCTTCTTAAGCAAATCAAGCTCTCCAGCTCTAACAAGATGAAAGGGCAGCTCACTTAACTTACGAAAATTGAAGGACACGGAGCCGAGGCGGCAATAGTCTTCGGGGGAAAATATCAATGTCTGAGCTGCCACAAGTCGATCCATAAATTCTGTATCGCCATCTTTATTTTCAAAGGGCTTTTGGTTGCCGTTGGCCCAGCGTCCTAAGAAATATTCGCTGATTGCCTTGTGTATACGACGCTAGAAAAGATGAAATTTCAAAAATAAATGACAAGAGCAAAAGTACTTTCACAGTTGATTAAACACCTGCAGATTAATGTATCTTATTTCATAGACCGTTTAATGTAGTAGAAAGATACCAATTCAGACAGATTACTTTACAGCGTAAATAATTTGTTTGAAAACCATTGGTAAAAGAATGATGTGTCCTACAAAGTTGATCATTCGAAGAATGCAGCAAAGATATAAATATTGCTGGTAGACAAAAGTCGCAGAATCATACTATTCTAAGCGAATACCTCGATATACAACAAATATGATAATATCTAAAAGTAATTTTTCATTGATTCTAGGCATCAAAACGAGGTGGATTTTGTTTATTTAGTACCTACCGTTTCTTCCTTATCTGACAGGTATCTTTCTACTGCAGCTTCTTTGAATTGCCGATGGTACCAAGTCACTACCCGTGATTCATCAGCTCCCCGGTCAACCAGATACGATGAGAGATCGTGCTTCATTCGCAACCACAGAAGTGGGGGTATGCGACGCACGGGCGGGACCTAAAAGAACCGAGTGATGTAAAAACGGCTACTTTCTTGCCACAATAAAAAAAACAATAAAAATTAACGTTTATCAATGAATGCAAAAAACGTGGATATACCGGCAACTGAATTCCAAATACATAGCAATATTATAAGATATTAGAATATTATAAGAATAATGTTCAGCCTCAGCTCGCATATTTGTGTGTCATTTCGGTCGTAGACTGACACATCTCGTTTTTTCAAAAAAGTTGATTTTTAATCAAGAGCAGCGATATTCCCTTAAAGCCATATCAGATTTGAAAAACTAAGAACCATTTAAGAATATATTCAGAATATATTCAGGCTCAAAACGAAAAATTCTTAAGAATATGAAGGCTGGAATAAACTTAAAGTATTCCTGTAAAAAAGAATGTAACTAACGTAAATTAGAGGCAATCAAAGCCTAAACAATTTCCTTAAAGGTGTCCATACCTTCCAGCTTATTCAGTTTAACAAAATAATTGGATGAATATCAAAAAGTCCTAGTTTTTGAAAAGGGAAACGAGGAATTCCTTTAACCCCTTAAAGATGTGTGCCTTACAACAGTAGTTTCCAGATACTTAATCTGAAACTGCGTATATTTTTTGTATCAAGATAGCTGAACAGAAAATAACTTTTGGAAGGGATAGACATTAAGAGAAAGGATGTTCTGAGTAGAACAAATCAATTCTTACCCAATACTGATAAACGTCTTCCAAAACTTCATCGTCACACGAAAGGATATCCTCAAGTTCGGACTCCGTCAAACCGCTTTTTGCAGCAGTTATATATGCTAGTGTCCTCTTTGCAAATAAGTCACCATGCTGTCTTTCAGTTCTCTCAAATAGTGCTTTAATTGCCCCTATATTAGAGAAATACAAATGCATAGATAAGTCACCACACGTAATGTTAAAAATTCAACCAAATCAATAGTAAATAAAGACAACACAGAATTCGAAAATAATTAAATAATTGAGCTTTAGCAATAATGTTTCCAAACGTAGCAAAGCAGATAAAATGATTAAAATCTTTGGAAACAAATAGAAATATTGGCAAATTTGGAACCACATTTAAAAAACTCAAAATAAGCTATTTCTCAAGTTTATTGACTTAGAATGCAAAAGCAGAAGTCTTATATAATGATTATTAGTCTTTTAAGTAGCCATTGGATACTGTTGTCCTGGATCATTCTTCAACTTGATTGCCAATAAAATGACATATAGATACGCTTACCTCTAACGGTAGTTTCGAGTCTGACTTCGTCAACTGGTGTATACGATTTCCACCTTAGTGCCTCCTCAAACGAAACCTTGAGGAAAATCGGTAGCGAGCATTTCTCGAACGAGTGAAGCAAAGTTTTTTTCTGGTCCTCTGTAAGAGTCTTTTTGTTGGCTCCCAACCAGTCGTCGATGATCTGTACTGCGTCATCAATGGGCAAAAGAGGTATGGAAAGGAAGCATTGCTCGGTTATAAGCGCCTGTAGGTAGAAGGAAACATATTATAAAACTGGGATGGCTCTTTTAAAGGGTAGGCGAGGGGGCTACAGTAATCGGTACTAGATGAATGGGAACGAATCCGAAAGTGCAGTAGGAGTAGTCTAGCTCACGAAGAAAATATTTTCAGCACACGTGACTTTTAAATAATATTTTCAATCATACTTTTCATCCAAAAGAAGCATCATAAAGACAATTATTGTGAAAAAATAAAACAAAATTTGTTTTTTGGCAGCATCCATCTGATTCTACTGCCTACATGCATATATCACTTTTAGATTACGCTGTAGTAGGTAATTAGCTAAAAACACGATAGATAAATCACCTTCAAATTTTTCAGGCAGTCATATTTATCCTGAGATATGGTTGATACAACCATTTTGGCCCATGGTGGCAGTTTCATCGGTAACCATGACAACTGAAAAGCACCGTCTTCAGGAGAGAGCTGGTCCAGAGAGTCAAGGATAATGACAAGCGGTGTCTCAGCTGTGAAATGTGATTCACTGAGTTTCAACAAATTTACGAATTCATCTTTTGCTTCTTTCACAATCTGCAAAGAATTGGCAAAATGCAGGGAACTTATGAAGAGGAAATCAAGCTTAGACAGTGCACAGGCAATACAGGTAACAAAAACTTTAAAAAATTCCAATGGTGCTGAAACTCTTTCTTTCACATTATGTGAATCACGTATCCCTATGAAATTTGGCTTTGAAAAAAGAAAACATTTCACAACAAACTTAGAGCTTTTTCGTCTGACACTCCTCAGAGTATAACACTTCAAAATATGGATCCAAAAGAACACGATAGAAAGTGTATACCCAGTTGTGGATCGAAATAGGCCAATCAGAAAAATGCTAGCACATGGCCGGCGTAGTTGTCCTGCCAGTGCCGTGTGCATATAGAGAAAATTACTACTGGAGTCCAAGAGAGAAAACGAACTCCTCCTGTCAACACAATGGCGGCTTTATGGTACTGTAGCATTATGAATTGCAATACCTGTCAAAATTCCTTTGAACACCCATTTTTTATTTTCATTTTCACAGTTCAGGGTAAGCTAGACAATGGGTTATATTCTGGTTTAGACTGTAACAAACACTTTCATACCATGACACAAGATACACTGCTTCTTCGTTTGGCCTTGTTTTTTCTCTCGGGTCATCACTTATACCAATATAGATTTATGGCTGTCAAATGAATTCAGAAAAGCCAACTATTACCTTAACTTTGTTCTCATTATATTCTCGATCAAGCAGAAATGAAATCTGCTGGCACAAGCTCATCAAAAGTCTTCGGAGCAATGATGAATCAGGAGTTATACCCAAGAACCTTGTCACAACAGCAGATCCACTATTGAACCATTCCTGGCAACACTTTAATACCATTGATAAGACAGAAGTCTTACCGCTACCTGATTCACCGTAAACAACGAGTGGATACGATTCTGACCCTAGAATTGATTTCGATGAAAATAACTTAGGCCACAGATAATGACATTGGATATTGCTTATATACAGCTTATAGCTTTTAAATAGCTTATCAACAAAAAGGAAGTCGGAAATATAAACATTTGCACAAGTAATGCTTTTTTTCCGTGAGATTCTATCAGGACTACACTGAACACAACATCACAATAAAAAGTCAAAAAGAAAATTTCAGTCTCGAAAAATTACAGTATCTAAAAAAGCACAGCATTTACAATGTATACCTCCAAAATCGAAAAGACACAAAATTTGGGCCTAAATTTGGTCTGCAGAAGATGACGGAGAAACATTCACATACCATTAAGATACTCGTGTATTTTCTCCAGCTGTTGTTGTCGACCATGAAAGAATATACATCTTGATTTGGCAAATGAAATATGCTGCAAAACCTCTTCATAAATGGCTAGATTAGCTTCATTCCTCGATCTTTCATTAATTTTTTCTTCTATTGCCTTTTTCATCGTCTCTGAAACATCTTTACACAGTGAAGCTATATACTTGGAATGTTCTTCGTCCTCAAGACTTACTCCTAAAGGGGATAAAAAACAAACACTTTAACATAAAGTAACGATTACAGACTTACTGATAATTAATAAATATTAATATTGATAAGCAATAAATACTAATAAATATTCTTTTAGCTTTTCTTAAAAAAACAAAGCGAAAAAGCAAAGGAATTTTATAGTGATATGATAAATCACCTTTTTTCTTGCTATTACCCATAATCTGGGAGAAAAGCTAACTTTTCGACTGATATAATGAAATATTTATGGAAACCAGGTCTCTTGAAAATCTTTAGGTTACTTTTTTGGGTATAAAACAGCTCGAGAACAGGGTAAGGCTTGATTTTTTCAAATAATATAATGAAGTAGTTTAATATGATATGCAAAATTCAAGAACGGACCATGAAACATAGAATCAAAAGACAATACAAACATTTCATGTAAAAAATGCAATTATCCGGGCCATAAAAAGCCAACAGACATTCATCAAATAATATTTCTTCCCAATACGTATCTTGCCTTTTGGGTTCCATTTTATATTGTACTGTATTACATTGTCCTCCTTCATTTCATTAAGCATTCGATTTTGAATGTTTGCCAGATACACTTGTGGCTTGTCCTTTTCGTCGTCCGGTTTGTCTAGGTACTTTTCAACCTTTTCATCAGTGGCATCAGAAAGGCCATCTATGTTTCTCTTGAACCAGAAAATACCGCAGGATTTGTCGTTTGATTGAAATACCCCCTTCTCTGTCTCAGCTTCAGTTACTATAAAAATTACATCAATGTATATACAAAATCCTTCACATATAATATCTTAAAGATGGGCTACGATAGTGCGTTCTGATTAAAAAGTCAGAAAATCAACTGCATTGATTATCAAAGATAAAAGCCATTTATCGGTAAATGTTTGGGGTTAACACTTAATGCCTGTTATGGTTTCGTAAACATTGTAATTATCGATGGGTCAAGAAAGTTTTATATTAAAAGATTTCTTCTGCTCTTTTATTACACGAGCATCACGCTGAGAACAACTAATAGCAGCAAACTCTACATCGATTGATTTTGTCTACTGTTTGAATACAACTTCCTTTTGAGGATGCCAATCGATTGTTTATCTTGATCCCATTCTTTGATTTCATTTTTTTTCATATGCTCGAAATTTATCAATATCTAGGAATAGAATTCTTAAGCGCAAAAACTTCTTTTTCATCTAAGCCTCGTTAAAATACTGTATTTTGGAATGTCTTACCAGAAGCAAAGTACTTCCGCCTTTCCTTTCCAAGAAGAACCTTCTCGGCAGCGTTTCTCAGAATTTTAGCCATTTTAGTCATGACATCATACCATTCTTTAACAGCCCTTTTGCGAACTGTTTCATTTGTATAATTGACAAAGTCTGGGATGTGCGATGAAATTGGTTGGAGAACGTAAACTGGAGGTTGATGATTTTCATCTCTTAGGTACCATGACAGAAGAAGCTGGAAATCGTTGTCATCAGATATTTGACTTGCAATGGCCCTGAATTCTTTTTTCGAAATTTTGGAAGGGATAGGGCAAAAACCATACTTCTCACTCAGCAAACTCTGAAATAGATATTAAAAAATTCACCAAATAATAATGTTATTGATCAAGACAGGCAGAAAATTAAGGATCAAGGAACACATCAAAAAGCAAAGAAATGACTATGCATCCTCATTCAATAATTTAAAACAACATTAAACAAGAAATAGACTCTAGAACGGATATTTGTTATTGCCATAGATATCAAAAAATCTGACAAATGCTCTCTATCTATGGCAATCTGATTGCAAATATATAACTGCCATTAAATTTTGAGCCCGCTTTTTATGCAGAGTATATGTGTTAATCAGATAATATACCTTTAGGCAAAGTGCATGGGAACAAAAACTAATCTGAAAATTATAAATCATGTTTAAACAGAAGTTTCAGAGCTTAGAAAAGGCATCAAATGAGCAATTTACAAACCAGAAATGACGGGCCAGTAGATAAGTTCTGACATTTTTCTATCTCCCTGATGCATAATTCCAGTGTCTGGTGGTCATCCAAGGCCTCTGCTCGGATTCCCCATCTCATATCAACAACTTGAAATTCATATCCAAGTTCTTGACAAAATTTCTTGATCTTTGGATAAGCCTCTTGCATGAGGGCATTTCTCTCTACAATTGTATCTAAAAGCAGTAGAAAAGCAATTTTAAGAAATGCTATACTATGCATAAGTGTTTTACAAAAGCACCTTTTATGCTTTGAAGCAAGAATGGGAAAGTGCTTCAGGGTGTTGAAGTCCTCTTGCAGTGCCGTGAAAAAAAACTTGATCATGGCAAATGAGACATTACCAGTTTCAGCTTGCTCTTTGACACTCTATCCTTAACTGTTGAGAAATATGTTAGTCAATCGATGAGAAATATAGCTTACAAAAAAACGTGAATGTCCCTTAAAAGCATCACTGTGAACTTCACCAACAAAGAAAAAAATCGGACTACAATCTTGGCTAAAAGGTTAGTGGACTGGAGAAAAAAAACAATTTAGATTGTAACTTTACCCCAATAATGTTATCAAAACCCCCACCCTTATAGCAATGTTGGTTTTTTGGAAAATACCCAAGTAACAGCAGTCGAAATGAGTAAAATAAGCATATCAACATTGAATGTTGGGGGTGGGGCTGGGGAGTGTATTTTTCAAAAAGGCTACAATTAGCCAACCAGTCCAATTATCTGGCAATTTGGCCAGGAACGTAGTTCAAATCTAGTTAATTATTCTTAGTGGAGTCAATTTTTATCTTTCCTTTATATTTTTATCTTTACGTATAAAATTCCAACGTATAAAAATAAGCCTTTACATTTAAAATAACAAATTTACCTGTGAAGGTCGAGCTGACAAAGACTCGAACAATTTTCGCTTTGAATGCAGAATGACTTTCCAAACTGCCTTGTAAAACTTGCAGGACAACTTTACTTGTCTCTGGATTTAACTTAAAAGCATCTGATTTGCCCTTTGTCTTGCCTTCGTGTGTGTTGACATCTCTGTGATCAAATTTGTTTTGATTTTGGCGACTAATTGTGTGGACAGCAACAAATCTTAATTACAAAGTGACAAATCATTACAGATTAACAGAACCTCTATTTTGGACCACCTTCAAAATGTACTGTTAACCAGGGCCAGAGAATGATCCAAGATTAATAAGGGTGGCAAATATTCTCAAGATACTTGAAAAATACAGCTCATAGCTGAATAAAATCACAAATACTTGACTTGGGATGTATTTTTAAGCCAGTACAAAAAAGAATGCTTACTAGGATTCATACAGAGTCTTAAGCATTCACATCAGACTTACTCCATGAGCCTCTGTTTTGCTACTGCCTCACTTGAAGAACGCTACAACAGAGGTAGCGTCCGTCAAGTGAGGCAGTAGCAAAACAGACGCTCATGGAGTAAGTCTGCATTAACATCATATTACTCAGTAATAGAAGCTAAGCAAAATTTCTCCAGGTTGCTCAAACAGAGTGAACAACAATTAAACAAAATTCAGTTGACCTTAAAAAATATTTTGTCTGATAATCTTTGAAGACCACTACAAAAGTTTCAAAAACATTTCCTTACCAAACTAGTGAATTTGCATTTACTAAATGAGGTTTTAGTAAAGAAAAACTGATTATAAGTTGCACCTTACCTTTGATTTTCATTCAACCCATTGCTACTGACTTTCTTTGCTGACTTCTTTTTTGAGATCAATACACCCATCACTCTTTAATACACTTACACATATCCATCTTGCATGCGCTTAATAAAGCTTATTGTTCCAAATAAATATGTATGGAAGAAATCATACCAGGCACCAAACCTTCATTCAGCTGGCAATTTAGAACATTAGAATTTCTCATGGTAAACAAACTCTGAAGCCTCTATGCCAACAATCACAACTTCCTTTTATTTCAACCAAGTTGTTCATGCTAGACAGGAAATATTGCCAAAAATTAGATAACTTTAAGACCTCAATCGATGAGATGTTTCTAGGCATTAATTTTTTATCAATGGATTGACTTAATATAATCAGCCACCCACTTGAGATATTTCAAGATTTTGATAGATAAATGAAAAAATTGAAAATGCAGCAGCAGGTACAAGTCATTGTGAAGATAAAAATGACCTGCTTTCTATTCAAAAGTTTAAAAAAGTTTCTGAACTTTACAACTTGGAAAAATACACACAGCATAATGGCTTTAATATAATCAGAGTCATGTCAATAAAATTTTACAAAAACATCAATTTGACATTGCAAGAACAATAAATGATTATGAGGAGATGTTAGTGTTAATCTATGTTTGGGGCCCATTTCGAAAATTCACATTTAACAATATCAGGAAATCAACTGAAACATAAAAAAAATATTGTTGGCCTTTTATGTTATTTTTACATAAAAAGGTACAATAATGAATGGCAGCACATGGAAATGTATGAAACAGCCAAATTCTTAGGGATGAAAAACTTTTTATCAATGGCAAGTGCTGCAAAAAATCAGGGTCAAATGATAATGACATGGTAAAATGAGGATCAAAGTTTCATCCTGCCGAGAAAAAAGTGGACAGAGATACGAGCGCTACCAGAATTTTTGTTTTTCAAGACAACTCCCCCAAAAATCTCTAAAAAAATCCTAAGGTAGAATCATAAAGATAGTGATACACCTCAATTGAAACTCCTCTCGTTCGCTGATAGAGTAGTCTTGCGAAAGCCCCTCTACAATTTCGAGTTTCCAGAGATCATCAACACGTTTCTGTCAAGAAGATAACTACATAAGGAAGACAAGACTATACTTTCCAAACGCGGTGTTAATAATTTTTGTTAGACCAATAAACATATACTTATGCTTCTAATTGAAATTAAGGGACCAAGAAAAAGAGTGTGATAATAATCCATACCTAATCTAGATAAAAGACAATGTTATCAGCAACTGCATACGAAAATTTATCTGACACGTCTTGAAGAACATTTAGATTCTTGTCTGATAGAACAGGGCGATCTGAAGGAGACTTTCTGTTCCGCCATATCTGCTCGTGTAGTTGTCAACTACGCTCCACCCCAGCGACATATACGTTATTCGTTACCATGACGAGCCTGCAAGAAGGGAATAATTAGTATGACTTGATTGGCAACTTGTTCCTTTCACGATTCTTCCAGGGGTGTAGTGTTCGGGGGGCTCAAGAGGGCTGATCCCCCTTGTTTATGTCAAAAAGGAGCAAATTTCTACTTTTGCTATTGTTTTAGCAAAACATTTTATAAGAGCTTTGTTATTTTGATAGCGAGACACTCAAGATCTCTGTACATTTTTTGCATCACATTAAAGATCCCAAAGGTTTACTCTGCATATTTCAAGTACTACACCTCATAGAAGGTTCACACCATTAGCCTAAAGCATCATTGTAGAACCTTTTTAAAAAAATTTTAATTAAGAACATTGAACATTCATCAAGTTAAATTGCAAGGCTCTTTTATTGCGACTTGATTCTTGTTTTAGTTATATCACTGCTGAAGACCAACTTTATTGTGTTTCTTCACAGGGCCGGCGAAACCGGGAGGCTTTTCTGCAGAGCTAAAAAAATATTTTAGGCAAAAGTGAAAATAAATATAGTATATGATTCTCCACGTAACTTTGCCTAGTATTCTCTTAGATGTGTCCTTAGTTTTACCTTGGTTGCTATGTCTTTACCATAGAAGACATACATAAAATTGAAAATGGGAATTAGATCGAAGAAACCGGTCATTGTCCAAGTTTCACAACGAGTAACAGCTTGGCTTAGCAAATAGATCGAGAAACCTAGTCCAGAATAACTTAGTGCCAGCACAAATTGACGGAGTTTCGTTTTTTCCATTGCCTAAACTTGGCACACAAGGTCTATTTTTTAACGAATGTTAAATTTCTCAGAAATATTACAAAAAGATAGAAATCAGCTGTTGAAGGAAAGGAAACAGCTGGAAAGAATTTTTCTGAGGATTTGAGAAATAAAGTAAGGGCAGATTTGTTCTTAAAAAGTATCATCAAGAAAACTTCAGATTTTGATCGTTTGGATAATCCATTCCTATTAAGAAAGAGAAAATATCGACGCAATTATGAATTCTATTTAAACTCATTTTGTCAATCCCAGTTTGAAGGTTTTTCAAAGTTTTGTTAAAACACTTAATTTCCGTAAAAGTTAAGATCAGATTTTACAAAGTTATATCTTAACGGTACAAAATTGCTTAACTTTTTACTTTTAGTTGATAGTTCTTCTGTTGATATTTTTCAACGTTAATGTTTTTATCAATCCGTGTTTCATTTATTTTTCTCCCCCATCTTATTTCGGGTACTTTTAAAATCTAAAAAAAGGTTTCATCACGAGCCATATGATAGTGGTTATTCTAAAACTTTGCAAAACTTTTCTGTTTCAAGTCAACATCACAATAGACACGACTATGTGACACCTATGAGACGAAATTTCTCTTGCCACCAACCATGGTGGCGGCCTTTTCTAAGCCCTTTCAAGACTTTGATATTTTGGCCCCTCCACTTTCAAATACGTTTCGCCGGCCCTGCTTCAATTTTACGAACGTCAATGAGCATTGAATCGCTTATAGGCTATATACAACAAGAATGTCTGAAACGATTTGCCTACTAAACCACTGCCTTCCTTTGTTTTTTTAGCTGTATTCAGTTGCATTGAAATTTTTGATACGTGGTGTTTTGCAAAATAGATTGAAGCAATGTTTCCTTACTCCTCCATTCACCCCAGCAGGGTAACCCCACCCATGAGAACAGTTAACCTAAAGGAAAAGGCCTTACATTATTTTCTCAAATACACTTTCAGGCACATAAGAAAGTTTATGCTTTATTCTGTTTTTAAGCTTGTATTTTCTAAGCTAGTTAAGAGGGTCGGCGACGGTCTACGACAGTCTGCGTCAGTCTGCGTTGGTCTCCCGATTTTATGGGAACACTTTCTTCCGATCGTTACTACTGCGCCGACTGTGAATCGTAAGGGATGTGAGTTCAACTTTCTCGACTCTTACGATCAAAGTAAATTTTAATGGGAACATAGCCGGCGCGCAGACGCTAAATATCTACAGTTCTGGTGAGATACTTAGAGTCCGCGCGCAGGCTATTGGAACACGGGTCGCCGACGTCGCCGATCAACTATTGTTAAGAAACAATCACTTGGATGTAATTAACCAGTCAAAGGAAAATGATTTGGCGCGTTTTTGCTTGCTGTTGTTTTGTTGACATGGAAACACTTCTTGTTTGATCGTTATGGAAGATGGAAGATGGGATCGGCGACACGTTCCTGACTTTTACGATTGGGAACCAGGCTTTAGAGTTTACTCAAGGATTGTCACGCATAGATTAGCGTCAACGTGAATGAAAAAGAGGCCATAAAAGTATAATCAACAAAAGACGTATCAATGTTGCTTTTATTAACGCAAACTTTTTTACATTTTCGTTACTCTCATCCTTATTTTCGTATAATAAGGTAACGTAATCTTGCAGCAAAATGTCTACAACAACATGTGCTGATGTTTTGAGAATGATCGATAGTGGTGTTTCATAGTCATGGAGATTTCAACTATTTTATAAGCTATCCAAAATTCTGCTTTTACTCCTGGTTAAGAGACATTGTTTCTCAAAAAGCTTGTTTTCACTATTTCAATATCATTCATGATACAGTGGATCCTTTTTAGGCAACATGTCTTCAATTTTCTCTTCAATTTTTCCAAAAATTAATTGCAATTGCGAATTGAGTCTGCCGGCGGCAGAAGGTAGAAAGGGGTCTAGCTTAGGGTTCCAAGATGATTTTCTTTTACATTTTTCATTATCGTTATTATTTGATCTTGATTTAATCTCTTAAGATTAATTTTTGCGTGAAACCAACAACATGGAAAACTAGTCTAACAAATTGATCACCAACTTCCCTGTTTCCCAGGGAGAGGGCTGAGCCCCCCAAATTTTCTCCAGGAGGGGCTCAAGCCCCGGAGCTTCCTACGTCTGCCCCTACGATTCAAACAGTAGTAAAATGCAAAGAAAGTACGCAAGTACTGGTGGTAAATCAAAGTTATCTGTGTGAGATGTTAGCAAATTAGCCCATGTTGCAGTTTATTGATTTTTTTGAGTAGTAAAAGAATAGACATCACCAGTTGTCACGTGTATAGACGTCAACCACGCAGAAGCTAGTGAGTTTGGATCCCCCTTCCCATTGGAAATTTTTTGGGAGAGCCCAGATTGTTGAAAGCTAAAAACGATACTTTTACAGGTAGAGGTTTTCTACAATACGCACCGGTTTTGATAAGTTCATGTTTGTATTGCTAAAATCGAACACGAAGCTCGACATACCTAAAAATGGAAAGCTACATACGCTTCTAGCACTAACTAGGAACTGATTTAATTTGGGATGCAATCAACGTATGTTTTTCTACTCGATACGATCCATATATAAGATTCTTGCTACATATAGAGTATTTGCATTTACCTCTACCTATGGATATTTTCAAATAAAATGGGCAGCAGTGGGAGAGACAGATAAATCAGTCCGACTTTAATTCTAAAAGTTTGATTAGATTTATTCTAAGCAAGGAAGTATTTAATAAGAGACGTCTACATTAGCTTTTTAACGTCAAATCACTACATGATGATCCAGCGCAACCAACTAACCAATTCTAAACTACAAATAAACAGTTTTTCCCTAAAATACAGCTAATGAAAAAAGAGCACTGACTGTAGAATCCATCATGTATCTGTATATGGCATGCTCATGAATTCAGATTTATTCATTACTTGAAGGGGCGCTAAGTGATGAAGCGGACGAGGCTCGTGTCCTCCACACATGCAGCGCCTTTTTTGAAGCCATTTGGACTCCCAAGACAGAGCACGATGAAGCAGAACGCTGTCTTGTGCATACATTTCCATTAGATTCATCAATCTCGCAGTTTGTTAAGGAGGAATGTCTTCTCAAATAGCCATGGCCTGGGCTGCTCTCAGATACGTTTTCTTTTGTTTCTGCTTCATCACTGAAATTCTCAATCTGCAGCAATGGCTTCAAGATAATGTTTAGTTCAGTTCCTTCTGCCTGTTCACTTCCGTCCATGGAAGACACTTCCATTCCTTTTGAATCTTTGCGAGGCTTTTTATCGGCCATTCAGCACTTTCAGATCTTAATGCTCCTCAAAACAGACCAAGGTAGACGAACCAAAACAATTTACTGACAGGAAATGAGCCTTTATTACTATTTATTGGCAGGTTGAGTTTCCAAAACGCTTATCTCCCTTTTACTAGCAAAATAGTTGCAAGCGATATTTCCTGCTGCCCAGGTAAAATAAGTACCAATTCAACACGGACGTGCTTTGAATCTCAAAATGCGATTTTGTCTTCTAAGCAAGAGCTAGATTGGTAACCTGCTAGTAGCGACGAGATGTAGCCGAATATAAGGCTAGGATACAGCTGGTGTTCACATTTCAGCTGTTACGCTGCGATGGCCTTTCATTAAATAATGAACATGCGTTTAGGTCCAGAGCAAATCTATCAATTCAATGCTTAATCTGGCGACCTAACTGTTTCCCAAAGATCATGCTTTCAAAAATGTTGTTGGATTTGAGACCTCAAAGCTCTTTTAACGATATAACTAAGTTGCAGTTGATAAGACCTAAGCACCTATCAAGAACTGAAAAAACTTTCGGAATCCCTTGAATTTATCACTTTTAGAACTTTTAAGGATAATTTTATTCATAGGTGCCAAGCTATTGCAGATATCTTACTTTGAAGAATCTGCTTACCATTAAGTAAAAAAAGGTTAAAAAAGACAGTTCTGATGCATTGATACCTATTTCAATGAACGGACAGAGGATGATGTGAGGGTACTGGATAGAAAGGCCAAGAAATTGCTGACAATCTATAAGGCAATCCATCGCCTGGGGGTATAAATCAATTGTACACAGTAGGAGCAAAGAAAGATGGTGCCAGCCTAGAAACTATGTTGATGACAATAGCAAGCAGGTGACGAACGCCGAAAAATATAGATATCCTCCACTGAGAGAAGGACACAAAAATACAAATACGGGTATAGAAAGCTGGTATTAGAAAAATAATCTTCATTGCAAAGTCTTTGTTTCAACATATACAGTGAGATAAGTGCAGCTAAAAGTTGGAAATGCCTACGGAACATTGGCCTGAGTAAAAATAAGATAAGAAATGACTGATGATGGCAGCACAGGAGCAAGCACTGAGAACAAGGAAATATAAGGAAAGTCATCGAAAAGAAAGCATTGATTGGAAATGTAGAATGTGCAGTGTAAGAAAAGAAACGGTTGCACGGATAGTTTTGGAATGTCTAAAATTGGTCCCGGTTATTTGGAAACAAAGCAAAGCAGCGAGTTTTTTCTGCAACTGAAAATTTTTACGACCGATTAGAAAATTAAAGAAGAAAAAAACAGAAAAAGATTCACATTTTACCAAAGATGTCGATTTTTAAAACACTTTAACATCGTTAAGATTTTTGAAACAATTTTTTCGAAAGATTTCCAACCAAATCAAGTTGATTAGCAGCTGTTTTTTAAACCACGAGTTTAATTAAGCTTCTGTAAATCTTTGACGTACTTTTAAAAGAAGAATTTTCTCTTTCTTATCCTTATCAGATACGACTGACAACTTCAGTGATAATTTTTAAGGAACGAGATAAATCACTCGTGTCATATTGACGTAGGTTTTGTGGTGATATTTGCTTGCAAAGAGAAATGCATCAGATATATACGCCAGCATTCCTGTCTTGCATACTTCCCAAAGAATATGCAGTTTTAAGAGGTCTGATCCAACGAGGCACTATCAAACTAAAAACCTAGAAAACATTTCCACTTCAATTGTTTACGTCTATTCTAATGGCTGGAAAACGTCTGTCAATCTACCGTATGTTACGATTGTGATTTTTTTAGTGGGGATGTGTTGCTGTCGAAAGTGCAAGGGCGTCCCTTGCAAAAAATGTATCGAAAACCGTTACCCATAAGAAGAAAAGGGCTACTTTTTGCATTTACAAGGGAGCTCAGCCCCTTGATCCCCCAAAGGTATAGACATGGTTTTAAGGACTGGTGACAGAACTGGTGACCGGTTAGTGGGTTTGGTATGAAAAAAGATACATATGGACGTATGTTTTCAATGGAGAGTGGTTTGCAGAATAACTCCAAGACTCTCTTTCCTTAACTCCATAACTTTTATGAAAATTTGATACTTTAAAACGGTATGATACCGTTCCATAACTTATAGAATTCACTTGAATGTGGTTGCTATTAAATTATCGGCCCTAAAAATTTAGAAATTATTTTGTTTCCAACAAACAATCTCTTGTGTTCCAATCATTCTACCGTCTCTAAGTATTGATGCTGTGAGTAATATTTTTCTGTGTAATATATAATTTCCGGATTCTGTGAGCTGCATATCTAAAGTGAGCACAATAGAGCGGGTCGCCAAACAAAAGCCCGGCCTTGTGCTCATCTTTAACATCGTCCGGTTGGCTTTCCAATGAGGATTTCTCATATCCCTGTTCTGATAAGCTGAGACGGGTAGTGTATATTATTGGTTTACAGCAGGGCTACCAAATTGCCCTGGGAAAAGGCGGCAGAACATAAGAATTCATTCAACTGTGGCGAGGGCAGCTTTCATGTTGTACATGAGAATTCGTTTGAAAATGACACAGTAACGTATTTGGAATGGCAAGCTTCATATGAAAATATAAGCAATTAAAAATCCAGGCTTTTGAACAAAAATCTTAAAAGGTTCTAGGATAAAGCATATGAATAGATTACAGGCGGTTACCGACACCGTTGACAATCTGTTTTTTCTTATGTTTTCCTTTGACCACAAACGGTTTACCGGCCATGTTACTGTGGTTTTGTAAGCTATCACTTTATTTCGCTAACAAAATTAAACTAAGCTGGAAAGACAAAAAAAAGACTTCTTCGAAACAATTTACAAGTAAAACAACTATGTATAACAACCTTATTAGTTCAGTACAAATTTAAGAAAATTCATAAACGGGGTATGATTTGCGTCTTCTAAAAATATTTCTGTTTCTTTAATGCCTTTGTACCGTTTATCACCAGGGATTTTTAAGTAAGCATATTTATACATATCAACGTTGTCTTGGATCCAGAAAAAGTTTTTGATACCGGCATTGGTATGAAAGTCAAGTGTGTTGAGCTGATGACAAATAAAAGTAGCGATTCGGCCATCATTTATGATGCATTGCATAGAAACAGGGTCAATTTCCTTCATACCAAGATGATTTTCTGGTTTTGACATTGCATGAGCAAATGCATGCGCAAATGTATACAGCAGGCCTACAAAGAAAAGAAAATTGAGGGTTCCCATGCTAAGATTCATACATCATTCAAAAAATACAATAGACTAGGTTGCTTGAAAAGTTGTGACTAGAGACGGATCTTGAGTTATTAGTTTACATATCGGGTAGAAATTTTATATGATTGTAACAGACAATTTGAATTTAAGAGACGCAAAAATGAAGTCAAGAAATTAAAAAGTGTTCTTAACTTATCTTTCTTTTCAATTATTTCTAGTAACCAGCTCATGGGTAAAATTTTTGTTATAATCAGTTAGACATTTGAATTTGAGATATTTCATTCTGAGATGAATATAAAAAAGTAATTGAAGCCGCTCATCAAATCCGGTCAAAGCATTTTCAAAAGTTTCACTTCCAAAGTCGAAAGTTTCACATCACTTACCATGACCAATAAGTCTCTTCATTTCTGGAGATCTTTTATCAGGTGCAATGAACAGAGTATGAGGACTTTGGAAAGGAGACTTCTCTAGAAATGGCGCCACTATTTTGTTTGGTGCTTTCAAATGCTGAAAATTAAAAACTGGGCTAAACACTTCATCCCAATCAACTTCACAATTAGCTGATGCAGATATCTCATCTTTGGTAGCAAATGGATTGACAGGGTTCTTGGACATCATCAGAAAACTTCTTTTTGGCTTCCCAGAAATTTGTATAGCATATTCATTGCAGCGGTTAACTGTGGTAGTAACATGTTGCTTGTAAAACACTGACTTTTCAAAGTTTGACTTGTAACTAGAAAAGAATGAATTCTAAATAAAAGTCTGGTACCAGAAAAGAACTTAAAACTCTGGAGATCCTAATAGCCAAGCTAAATGTAAAGAGAAAGTTGAAAATAGCCTAATACTATACCTTACATAAAACAAATCACTTTCTGTGGGAAAATTCCTGTGGAATATGGACTTAAATTAGTGGTTTGAACTTCTACAGAGCTAACAAAAGCATAATTTTTTTCTGGTTCTTTGCTACATAATTTTTAAAATCTTCTTTACTCCTTGAACAACTTCTAATATATCTTTTAACAAATGAAGATTACTTGTAAAAGACGCATGATAAGCTGAAGTCTAAAAAATCGTCAAACAAGCTAAGTTAAAAAAAAGCTATTATTGATCTTAATAAAGATCTAGGAGCACAATAAAGAGCCTTTTAGGCCAGAAATGAACATTACATTTTGATAAGCCTTTTGCCAACAAACATGAATTTTTTTGGAATTTAAAGGCTGGGTCATGAATTTTCAGGCAGGTTTGTGGCAAATCATGTGTATATTGCTACAATAGGCATGGTAGGATATAAGCAAAAGAACAAAACCTGCTGAACAAATGTTGTTGTTCTAGGACCCCATTCATTAAGTATCATATCACTTTTGCCTGTGCCACTTTGATCCTGCTATGAAAGGTCCCTTGTTTTGCATTGATCTTTCACACTGTGTAAACTGACCTGCATAAACTTGATATAAATTTGTTGTCATTCTTTGTTTTCATTGCCTTCAAGAACAGGTCTGTCTAACCTTTCTTTTAGGAGGGCTACTTTCAGATTTTAGCAATAACTTGAGGGCCACTTAAATATTTATTAAATATCACTCCAAGATGCTTGCATGTTAGATAGCTGCAAGATGCTTGTCTGTTAGGCCCTGTTCACATGGAAACAATTGCATACCAAGCCATATAGGGAGGGGGGCTGTAGATCTGCCAATCTGTCATTATTTTCCCACCAAATGCCCAATTATCTCATGTAACACCCAATAGCAGACGGTAACCATGGACTGTGTTTATTATTGCAAAAATTAACCAACAATTCTTTATAACCATACAAAAAAAGACAACAATAGCATGTCAATTGTCTGCAGCAATCTTTTAGATCCAGTATCTGCTTGTTTTGCTGAAAAGCCAGTATCCGCTTAACATAATTGTCAAAATCTGACATCTGAAACAATCTTTGGATTTGCCAAACCATACTAAAACAACAACAAATGCATAAATGCATAGAAAAATGCCCTCAATCCACAGTTCTGCAGAGCAATACAACCCCATATCGTTCTGTTTCAAAAGGTGGAATGCTCAGGGGTTGTACTCACACGTGGAACACTCTAAATTGTTCCATTTTAGTGATACAAAAAGTGGTGTTACTCATTGGGGTGAACTGATTTGTCTAAATGCTTGAAATACGGAAATACAGACATGTGAACTGGTAAACTCTCTGTTGAAATTCTAACACAGAAGGGAGAGCAGAGTGATTTTGTTCCCTGGTTAACAGAAGAAAAAATAGGTATATAATTGGTTTGTTTCTGTCTGGAGAATCCATTTATTTGTTCTAAAATTTGAAATTTGATTTTAACATTATGCAATTGTTTCCATGTACACAGGGCTTTAGTCTGCTTCTGTAATAACAGTCCTTTTCGTTTAGCGCGTGCGATCGCACCTGCACACGCCTGCACACGCACATATTAAATCGTGTGTGCTTTCATCACACGAGCAAACAGGTGTTTTTGCAGTTTTCTGTTAACAAGAATTTCCCATGGTCTCATGATTGTTTATCCTTTTCCCTTGTTACTTGATTAGCACTTTTGACCACAATATGATTTTTCCAATTATCGGTGGTTATGTTTGGCTTTTGACTGAATGCTCCTTTCAACTTAGCGTCTCGCCACTCAGCTAAGTTGCCATTAGCATGGTAAGTGTAATAACTGATTTTCTGTCAAAACGTAATTAGGCCCTGAGAGCAAGTAGCTGTTGGAAAAAATTTTTACTTGCTCTTGTAATTCTGGAGAGTGACGACAACTTTTGAAAGATGGCTGCTGAGGGCAACAAAATCTGTTGTGTATTGATTGAATTGAGTTTTGCTCTTGCACATATTCAAGTGGCTTTTACCTTTCTTGCTTCTTTTACAAATTTTATCAATTTTTGCCAACTTCTCAGATGTGATGGGCCTCTTTCATTACCACCTAAATGTGAAATGACCTTGGTCAACATCCTGAGGGTTCCAAAGATGCAAAGATGTGCCTCATACAAGGCACTGTGGAATTGTTTCAGAAAATTTTCACTATGTCTGAAGCCAACTAAAATATCAAATGATAGAAAGAAAGTAGAAAATGTAATGGCGATGGTGAAACCAAAATGCAGACATGATATCATCAAGGAAACAACTGAAAGCTAGATATATTCACTTCAAATCTGGAAAAACTGACAGTTTTGGCACACCTGGCATTTTTGGGTAAATTTTGTGCACCAGCACCTGAGGTGCAAGGCTATTGGCACACCAAAGATCTTGTCAAAATCGGTCATACCCTGCAAACTAACACAGATGGAGTCAGTTATCAATTTGGTTTTTGAAGCAGTCTAGACAGAGGCACAATGAGGCACTAACAACTATATCCTTGTTAAAGTTTCAGTATTAAATGCTCAATTAGAGGCAAGAACCACCAGGCTGGAAAATTTGCATATATTCAACACTGGAGTCTTGTGCTCGCACCTCCAACCTCTAGTGACCCAAAATATCAATGAATCAATGTTTATTATACTATAGTAACATATGTATTAGAATCGTTGCTTGCAGCTCAAAAGCTTCTGCTCACAGATCACAGTTGATACGTGCATTTGGTTGCGGGATGCGTCAGCAAAATCATACATGTTTTCCAGCCTGGAAGAACCAACCTAAGAAACAGGAAGGTGATTCTACCTCAGGTGCACCAGTAACATACTTTACTGGGTTATAATAAAAAAGTTGTGTTGTATCTACCTTTTGGATGTTTCTTTCCATGTAGTCTGTAGCATATTTAAGAATATATTAAGAACTGAATGTTTCTTTCGGTGAAGCTCTTCTTCTCCGTAACAGAACAACATTGAATCTTTAATGTGGCCTTCAAATTTCTCAAAAATTTCCTCAACAAGCTCGTCGTCTAAATTCAGTGGTTTATCAAAGCAAGAAGGAAGACCAGGTTTCAAAATAGATTTTGATATATAGCAAGCTTGTTTCTTCTCATCCTCGATTTTTGAACTATTAGTGTAGATAAACATGTCTTCTACATAACAGTTATTCTCGATTGATGACTTTGGGGCAACTTGAACCGCTTCAGAATTAAATAAACGAACTCTTGAAGGAACTTGCACCCCAAGGTGTTTCAAACGCACAATCTGTCCGGGAAAGCCACTAGCTTGCCAGTTTGTCCGTATATGTGATGAAAAAACAATCTTGAAAGATCTATTTAACGGATAAAGGTGTCTAACAGATCTTCCCACCCAATCCATGACTGTAACTATGCGCATTCACGTCGCACGTTGAGTTTGTGGGTTTGGTTTAGGCCATTAACAAAATCGGCTCGCCAAAAAGAGGCTGGACTTAGAATATAAACTTTCTAAACAGGGGGCAGGGGCTTTTTTCTCTAAAGCAAAATTTTCAATCATGTTTAATTTTTGTTATTGTTGAAGTGGAGTTCAGTTTATCAAGGGGCGGGGGCAGGGGGTTGTTTAGAAATCCATTTAGCCGAAATTCCGCGTCCCAAAAACTGCTTGCCAGAAAAGCCAAGGTTTTGCCAGGTTCTGTTTTGCAAGACGTAGAATCCGCTAATCCATAAAACTTTTTTAAAATTTCACATATTTCGTGTACCATTTCGTGTGCCATTTCGCGTCGGGCTAATGTGGAGAACTCCGTCGTTCCGTCGAAAAATCTATGACTAATTTTCTTCAATTTCCGTTGTTCCGTAAACTTCTATGACCCCCACTTAAGGCAAGCACTCTTGTTGATACATTCCATCCTTGTAATGGTGTAGATTGTTTCAGCGCACACTTGATTTATCATTTTAGAAAGCTCCTAATACGCGAACACTTCTATATGTGAGGCTGCCAGATGACGTCATTTTATGCAGTTTCCCTCACTGCAATCCTTCCAGACGTTTCTTTCATAGCCTCGTATTCATCCCAACGACTTCAGCTTTCTTTTCACTTTAGGTAGGACGGCGGCGAGCCTAGTTAGGAGCAGAAGCGTGAATCTCGCTTGATTTCAAACAAGATGGTAAAAGAAACAAAATATTATGATTTATTAGGGGTACCACCAACTGCCACTAACGAGCAGCTGAAGAAATCTTACAGAAAACTAGCACTGAAGTTTCATCCAGACAAGAATCCAGAAGGCGGCGAAAAATTCAAGGAAATCAGTCAGGCCTATGAAGTTCTCTCCGATGAAAAGAAGAGGAAGATATATGACCAAGGAGGAGAGCAGGCCCTCAAAGAGGGTGGTGGTCCAGGTGATTTCCACTCGCCTTTCGACATATTTGATATGTTTTTTGGTGGTGGAAAAAGACGAAACCCAGGAGAAAAACCTCGTGGTAGGAATGCGATACATCAGTTGAAAGTGACATTAGAGGAACTCTATAGCGGCGCCACTCGACAGCTGTCGATTCAGAAGAACGTTATTTGTGATGGTTGCAATGGGATAGGTGGTAAAGAAGGGTCTGTTGAAAAATGCAAACCTTGTCAAGGCACTGGTATTGTGATAAAATTGCGTCAAATTGGACCTGGAATGGTGCAACAGATCCAGCAGCCTTGTCATGAGTGTGGGCAAACTGGTGAAAAAATCAAAGAAAAAGATAAATGCAAGAAATGCAATGGGAAGAAAATTGTTAAAGAGAAGAATGTACTGGAATGTCATATTTTGCAAGGAATGAGTGATGGGCAAAAAATAACCTTTCCCGGAGAAGCTGATCAAGCCCCTAATACAGAACCAGGTGATGTTGTTATTGTATTAGATGAAAAAGAACACCCTGTTTTCCAAAGAAATGGTAGCAATCTAGTTATGAAAATGACAATCACATTGTCAGAAGCCCTATGTGGATTTAAGAGACTGATACCTACATTAGATGACCGTACTTTGCTTGTAACATCTGAGCCTGGAGAGATAGTTAGGCCAGGTGAGCTAAAGTGCATTGAACATGAAGGAATGCCCACCTACAAAAGGGTGTATAATAAAGGTAGCCTCATCATCAAATTCGATGTTAAGTTTCCTGAGGATAATTGGATAGAGCGGAACAAACTTATGGCCCTAGAAAACTATCTTCCTAAGAGGGAGGAATACATCATATCTGATCTTGCAGAAGCTGTTAATCTCAAAGATTATGACCAAGATGGAAGCAACAGGAACCCATACACGGAAGGATATGATGATGATGAAGAAGAACAAGGGAACCATGGCAGAGGTGTACAATGTCAGACTTCTTAGTGCTTGTAGATAAGAAATGTTTAGAAGCAGCAATGTAGTATGCAGTTTGTCAGAAGTTTATCAAAGTGTTTTCTCTGGTATTTGAGAGAAACATGCTTTACTTCAAATGTGGTTTTCTTCAACTTGGCCTACTTTTAGGTATTCATTGTTCTGGGTGTGCATTCTTTTTGAAGCATTTTCTTTGATGGAAAAGTAGATGGAATATAAATACATACCGTAATGCCTCGAATGAGTGCCTGGGCACTTTTTTCATTTTTGAGGCTCCAGGCTGGGCGCTTATTCAAGGGAGGCACTTAATTGAGGGGGGCGCTTGTTTAAAGAGTAGACTTGGGTGCAAATTATCTTGTTCATTAATCTTTCTTGTTGAATAGTCTTCCAATTATGTTTTCGTTGAAAATTCAAATAAACGCCTGTTTCTGAAGGTTGAAGGATGGGCGCTTATTTGAGGGGTGGGCACTTATTCAAGGGAGGTGCTTATTCAATAACTTCACCTCTAGGGTGGGTCCTTATTTGAGGGGGCTCTTATTTGAGGGGGGTGCTTGTTCAAGGCATTACAGTAACTTTAAAATGGGCTTTGCTCAAAACATCATCAATACACTTGCTCTTTCTTCGTGCAATTTTATCAAAAATTCAAGTTAAATTTTACTTTACCTTTGCTAGTGAAATGCTCAATGCCAGCATTTTATAATAATTTCATGTAAGTTTAATTTTGTTCACCTGCCATTTAATCAGTGTGCTTTTTATTCCTATGTGTGTGGTAGTTTTTTATATGAATATCTTGATGTTTAGATACCGCAAATCCTCCAATAAGCCCCTGGGGGCTTATTTGCAAAAAATGAATTTTTGGGTGGGGGCTTATTCGAGGATTTACGGTATTTAGATGAACAAAGTTATGCTCAGATTGCTTTTTAGAGGATTTGTGAATAACTAATACTTGACAGGAATTGCTATGGATGTGAACCATTTTTAAATGCTGAAGCAAGAAAATTGAATCTAGACGCTTTGGTGTTTATAGCATGGGTGGTATAATTTATTTCAACACCATCACACAATGCAGTAATTTATTTCAACAGACCTCAATTAAGTCTAGGACCTACCTTGTGGCACCAAAGGCATGGTAGCATCCAAAACTATTTAAATATATGTAGAGCAGGTGACATAGCACCTCTAGGCATGCAGTGATGGTGCTAAAGCCAAGGACGGAGAAAAGATTATTTGAGCCACGCCCTTTTAATGTAAGAAAACAATGTTTTACTAACAGGGAACATCAATTTTACAAACAGGAAATGCCAAATACTATGTGTTGTCAACATAAAAACAGTTTCAAAGTTATAGAAGCGCACCACAAAATATACTTTACTTTAATATAATACCCCCCATATTTTTCACTGAACTTGAAGGTAATACCAAATTGATCCTGCCAAAAACGGGGAAACATGTCCCCCCTATAGGTTTGGCATGGCCCAGGTGGTGTCAATATTTGGGGTCTGAGATTTGACAAGTATCAAATTTAGGGATCTGTTAATCAAGACGAAAACATATTATTTGGGATCTTCACGTTTTAAAGGAATACTGTTTGGGGTCTCAACAAATAGGGACTCGATTTTTGGGGCTCCTTAAAACTGTGACACGATATTTGGGCCACAGCAAAAAAAATTGGTGACATGATCCTGGTATAAAAAGGTAGGGTTACCCCCTGGAAACCCAGCCTCTTTTTCAAAAAACGCTTTATCGATTACGCGCGAATTTTGTATTTAACATGGCTACCAAAAAGGAACCAGAAGGGCTCTTGCTGGGTCCATCTGAATTCTCAAGGAAGCTAGTCAAATCAGGAAATAACGATAGCGCTTCAGCATACAATGTGAAGAAGGCGCAGACAATTTCTTCAAAAAATCTAGTGCCTCCTTCAGAGTGGACAGTGAAGAAAGTTGGAACAAATGAACAAGATAAGAAAGTTAGAGAAGACACCAGTATCGGACATCATTTAAAACAACACGATGATAACCAAAAAGAAAATAGTATAGAAAAGAGGCATGCCGCTCTTGCTAAATCGAAAACATGTATACCAATTGATAAAGACAAAAGACAGCTTGAAGATACGACCAAGAAGCTTATGGCAGAAATAAAATCTTGTAAAGAGGACAATCGAAAAATGCACGAAGACTTGGCTGCCCAGCTTCAGCCACTGATAAAAGTTAATAAAGATGCAAGCGAATCAACTGTAGATCAAAATGGACCACCTCAAGATTTTCGACGGCAAGAAGAGCTTGATCATAAAAGAAATGTTCAATTTCAAGAGCTTTTGCAAACGAAAGTTCAGAAACAGACAGATAACATAGACAAAGTCATGAAGCAGTTCTTGGAACATCAATCCGAGATAAATGCCGATAATGAAAAGTTGAGAAGGAAATATTCACGACTTAATGAAGAGTACAAAGATGTCAAAATCCATCTTGAGAAACAGTTAGAGATGAAAGAGAAACAATGCAAAGATTATGTTATAAAATTGCAGGTGCTTGAAGATGAGTTACAGAAGATGGAAAGGCAAAGCCAAACAGAGATCCACCGGTTAAATAATGAATTAAAAATGAAGGAAACGACTGTCACTAATCTTCAGTCAATTAAAGATGCCAGTGAAAAAGTATTTCAACAACTGCAAGCGTCTAGAGATGCAGAAACAAAAACCATCATAACAGAATATGATACAAAACTAGCATCATTAAAACTTCTTTTGTCAAAACATGAAAAGGATTTGCAGCAAGAAGCAGATAAAAAGAAAGACCTAGAAAATACTCTGAAAGAGAAAGAAAAACTTTTTGAGAAAAATTTGCAGTCTAAGGATGACGAAGTAAATGTACTCAAAGATCAGTTAGAAAGTAAAGAAAAAGGATTGGGCAAGTTAACTGAAGAACTGGAACTGAGTAGAAATCAGGTAGAGGAACTGAAGTTTGATATGCAGACCAAACAAGAATTGTACGAAAAAGAATTAGCCGATATGAAGAAAAACCAAGAGAATTGTTTGAAAGGGGAAATCCACAAAGCAAACACAATGAAAGGTAAACTATAAATGTGATTATTCCATTCTAACTATGGCAAAAACATGTCATCAGCTGATCATCTTGTAAACATACAATAGGGTTATAATTTCAGTTGTTTTTATGGGGACTCAGACATTTCCAAAGATAATAAAAACCATTTGCTTCCAAATTAACAATCCCTTTTGTTCCTAGTTTTCTAAAACAAAGGTCTTATGATTCTATCTCCCCTACAATACAAAAATAGACAAATGTAATATAAAACCTTAATTTGTTAAACTTGGAGAGAAACAAATATATACATTACATGTGGCACATATTTTTATTTCAATTGAAAACAGGCACTCTAAGATATTTGCATCAAAATGGGGTGTACCGGATCAGGATTTTCAGAATCCGGCCGGAACCGGATTTACCGGATTTCTTCTTGGAATATCCGGCCGGATTCTACCGGATAATCTGACCATTTATAGAATTTTCAGCAATAAAAAGTTTTGAGCCACTTTGCGAAAAAATGTATAGCGAGAAGATCAAAGAGACCTATTCAGGGTTGCCGGATTGAATTTACAAACGAAGGCTAGACTGGTGAGCAATTTAAGCCAAAATGCTCATAAAAAGGCCAAATCAAAAACTCTCTCAAGAATCCATCGAGCAGGCACTGGTTATATTTCTACGCTTGTACCTGTTAGATAATTTCTTAACTTTGATAAGAATCTTACTTTTTTCCAAAACACTTTGCTAATATCAAGATAATATTTAGGTTAAGTGATAAAATTTGAAATTTGGTTAACACTTTTTAGTTAACTACTAATTATTCTATGAATGTAGTAATTACTTATTAATTTTGGACATCTGCTGAAAAGGCCAACAAGGTCAAATTTAAGTAGTAAGCAAAAAACAATTTTTCCAGGCAATCTAAATCTAAAAACCAAAAATGAAAAATTTGGCCTAAAAAGCCGATCTGGCAACCCTGGACCTTGTTTTATCGTCGATATTGTTTAGTTCTGGAAAATCTATTTTTAATCATTGTATGAAGGGAGTCTGACTTGGTTTTCCAAATTTTCTTAGTTATGATTAAAGTTCTGGAAAATCCGGCTACTGACCGGATTTCGGAAACAAATCCGGCCGGAACCGGATTTTCAAAAAATCAGCGATCCGGCGCCGGATTTCCCGGCCTACCGGATATCCGGTACATCCCTATTATGTAAATTATTTTACATTGGTCACAGTAAGAAAACTAAAATGGAAATGACAATATATGTAAATGTACATATATTGGTTTTTTCTCTAATTTCCTTGAAATAAATGGTGTAGAAGCTAGACCAATCCATTGTATGTGCAAAAATCCTTACTATGAAAATTACTTTCAGCTGGTTTGTTAAGCAGTGTCATATAATATCCTTAGATACCAAAACTATTAATATCAGAAAATTCACTCTTCTTTGCTCCTTGTTTGCTTTGTTTTAGCTGCTCTTGGGAGCAAATCAAGTGAGTTAGAAAATGCAAAGGCAGAAATAAAGCAACTTCATGATTACATTGCTGAAAAACAATCAGAGGAAGAAAATCCCCAAAGCTGGAAGGCAAGGGTTAACACTCTAACAGAGGATAATTCACAGCTGAAAGAGACTTGTGCAAGTTTGGAGTCTGCTGTCCAGTTTCTGAATATCCATGTTTCATCGTTGAACAATGTAATAAAAATACAAGAAACTGAGCTATTGAGAGATGGCACCCTCCTTGGTGGTGAGAGAATTAAAAGGGCTTTATCAACATGGAGAGAAAAAGTTTTTTCATTATTAGTGCAGTTGAAATCTTTGGAAATTTTAGACAGAGATAGTACACAGAAGTTGCAGAATCAGGTTTGTTTATTAAATTGCAAACTAGCCAATTTATTGAAAACATATATTTCTCATCTTTTTAGATTATATTTTTTCATATGATGGTGATATAATGTGAAAGGGGCAGGGCAACAATAACTCAAGGATGGCAACATTAAATTCTCATTCAAGGTAGCACTTGAAAAGACAATGTAAAAATGTCTGAAAATAACCTGTTTATTGTTTTGTAGCTTAAGGACTTCAAGAAACAATCACAGGAGAACAAAACAAAGATTGAACTACTTGAAGCACACCTAGCAGAAAAGAATGCTGATTTAGAGGTCAAATCCAGTCAGATCAGAGCGCTTTCAGTTGAAGTATCATCATTGCAAGAAAAACTTTCCAAGCAGGAACAGAAAAATGAAAAAGCCAGCATTTGTGTAGCAAGCATAAAGAACAAAATAGAAGTATTTGAGAAGTTATTAAGTGAGAAGTTTGAGCCAATTGAAAACAAGCTCATGGGCCTCAGGTCGCTTGCCAATAGAGTAACATTTGCTCACAAACGTCTTGGAGTGATTAAAGGTGAATATATATTGACCCTTACATTTATATTATTATCTTAACTACCAACAAAGCATCCTTCTGATAATTGATCCATGATAATGCAGATCCATGATCTTAAATGATAATGCATGAAAAGAAGATATTACTTTTACAATAAGTTTTAATTTTTAAAACATGCTGTTACAAAGACTGATTTCTCAATTAAAATAATTACTATTTTATCATTCCTTATGTATGCATGCATCGTTAGTTCCAAGATTACCAAAGGAGATCTAATAAGCCTCCCCCCCTTCTATGAAGACATCATCTCTAATAAATTTCCTTTCCGAACAGAAACTCCATATTTCCCAACGAAGGCCTAACAATTTAAGGCAAGGCCTTATCATTCAAATATAGAGTCTTTTTAAAGCTGGACCTCAAGCTACTGTAAAAGCTTTTTAAGACCAAAATTCCAATGTTTCTCAAAACTTTGAATGTTGTTAGTATAGCTTTTGTTGTAAAGATAATTTTTTCCCCATTTTCAGACCTGTTTGACAGAAAAGAAGCACACTTGAAATCAAAATTTGAAAAAATCAAATCCAGTGGCAAAGGTTTGTAACTTATCAAGAATTGTTTAACTTATCCTTTAATAAAATTTAATAAAAGCAAAGTGTCCTGCTTCAAGAGTCAAAAAGAGACAAAAGCCTCTCTAACACTCTGTATAAGAGTGGTCTTATAGACACTAAAAGTGAACAAACAGCTGTTTCAGTTTTTAGAGCAAGGAAGTAGCTAATTAACTACAACTCAAAAGGTAACACAAAGACAACTGGACAGCAGTGTCAGTGCTGATGATTAGGAGACTTTTGACAAAAATTTAGTTTCATATTGATTGAGGGTGTATCAGGCATGGTTGTAAGACTTTTGCCAGGGGGGTCGTAAGACTTTTACCAGGGGATCTGTGAACAGGTCTCCTAGTAGTTTTCAGGTGAGCTATAAGAACGGTTAAACAAAGGAAAAATTGATTTCAAGAAGAGCAAAGTCTCTTTTTAGAATAACTTAGGAGAACAATTTGTAGCTCCCCTTCCGCATTTGCGGATAGCATGGAGAAGAGCAAGAGCTATAATGGCTCTCCTCAAATAGCCAGGCATGTGTATCATAATTTTATCATGTTTTTTTAACTTTCTATTGAATTGTTATTGTCATGATTTTGTTATTACATAGATTAATACAGTTTTGTTTAAATTGCCAACAGAATTTGTTCAAGTTTACTTTCAGGATGCCAATGAAATTTGATAAGAAATTTGGTTGTATTGTAACTAATTGGTAAGTTTCTATTTTATGAGATGATGAAGGTGAAGAAGAGCTTACTGGGTATGACAAGAAAAGTTTACTGGCAGAAATAGAGCATCTAACAAATGACAGAAAGGTATTGACAGATCAAGTCAGAAGAGATACTGAAAAACTGACAACCCTGGAAAAAAAGATGAAGGATGAGTATGAAGTGAAGCTAAAATCCAGAAATGAAGTTATTGAAAGACTGGAAACGGAACTTGAATTAAGCCAAAACAAAAATGAAGAACTAAGATATGAAATTTCAATTATGGACACAGAGCATGCTGAACTCAATAAAGAAATTACAAATTTGAAATTTGATTTAGAAAGAGCAAAGTCAGAGTTTGAAAAAGGTTTGTTATTCAGTGGCAATGATGCCTAGTTCTGCAGTACTTCCTTCTTGGCAACACATATATTTTATTTTCCTTGCCCTTTCTTTTTTAGGTTATCTTTTGAACATTAATTACATCACTTTTCAAATAAATAATATTGGAACGTTTAAGAAACTCCTTAAATTCTTCATTTAGCTGAAGCTAATTAGTTGGTATTTTGAATAATTTGGTATAATCCAACTCATATATGTCTTATTTACTAAAGAGGCCACATGGTATAGCCTACTTGGCTACTTGCATCAAACATGGCCTGGCCAAATCAATTATATTTTATGGGAAGCCTTTTGTCACACAGGACAGCCTTTTTTAAATGAAATTCATAGGTTTTTTCTTGTGGCCATCATACTGAAGCCAATATTATATAGTTGCAAATATTGGTTATCTTTGTTTGTGCTGTATGTTTTGTTTATGTTCAACTTTAGTGCTATTTCTTGACACTACAAGAAAATTTGATGCTGAAAGAAGGAGTTTGAATATCAAGTTAAGCATGTGGTAAATTATGCGACCGTTAACATGCAGTTGCTGGAATGACTTGTCTTTACAAATACTTCAGAGAATAAATTTGGTTTTACACAATCCCCCCTGTTTCATAAAAACTTTTGTTTCATATTTGAATCAGAGATAGATTCTCAACTGGGAAACCAGAGCGAAAAGCACTTTGAAGAATCTTCAAAGATGGAGCGAATGATAAGTGAGACTAAACGAGAGCACACAAAGGCTATTGTGTCTTTGCAGCAGATAGAAAGGCAACTAGAATGGCAGATAAAAAATCATCAAGATATCATGAAAGAGAAAGAGGAAGAATACAATTATGAATTATCAAAATTAATACAAAAATGCCAAGAACTTGAAAAGGAAAGAAATCTTCTGCTTACAACAATAAAACAAGAAAATATCAAATTGCCACTGTTCAAAGACATGACATCCAAGGCAATTTCAGGTAATTATTGACTAGAACATTTGGTAAAACTGATTGAACAATGTGCTTATTAGAACGTGAGCCCTTATTTGAATGTGTGCTAATATATGAAGATAACAAAGGCACAAAATGTAATTTTTTATGCACTACCATAAAACCAATAGAAAAGGGGTCTGAAATAGCAATAGATACATCAAAATATCATGTGTTAGCTGGTAAATGCTTGGGAGGGGAGTAATTAAGGAGGGTAATCTGAAAAGATGTGACCCATAATTTGATGCAAACTATACCCATAATTCCACAAGGAAATAAACATTTTCCAAGTCACACAAAATCATTGTCCTTTGCCCAAAAATCTTACTGATACTGATAATTCCACACTTGTCAAAGAAAAGGTACCCCTAAATACTGGCATATCCCAGTACCTCAAACCTATTAAGGTGCCCCCCCCCAGGGTAAAAGACACCATGAAAAGCTCAGTTTTTCCTTGAGAAATGCTGTTTCTATTTGTAAACACATGGAAATAGTTTGCAAACAGTTCGTTGCTTTTAACCTTTTTTAAAATAAGCACAACACTACTCACGATGAGGGATATGCCCCTAATTGAATGAATGTTGTTATTTCTATACTGTCTGTAAAGGTGTGTGCTTATTTGTGTTTATGCTTAAAAGTACTGTATTGAAAACAACTTCTTTTAATTCATCTGTAGCCTTCGAAATGAACCCTAGATCATTTTTCATTCATACGGTAACTATGGAAAAGGGCTTCAATGAAAGTAAATCAAAGTGCCTTTTTTGTCTCTATGAAAGATTGTTAACACAGACCTTCGCATGATTGACACATCCAACAAAAAGACAAAAAAAATTGTTTTTAATATTTTTATGGATGATTGCTGACAGCAAGAAGAATCTCAAAGCCTTCAGTATTGTTTATGCCATATCAATACTATGTTGTAATAAATCACTTATTATTAACAAAGCCATATTCTTCACTTTTTCTTTAGCATTTCTTCTATACTTTCTTGAAATATGGTGTAAATGAAGAAAGATGTAATATGGTTTTTGTTAAATGTGCAACCTTTTTGTCAAAGAAAAACAACAGCAACAAAACGGCCACATATTCTGGAATTCCACATCTGAACAATGAATGGTGCTTAGTTTTTACATATTTTGTTTGCAGAACATCAAAAGACAATTGAAAAACAAACCCGTGCAAAAAAAAGAAAAAACAAAAACCCAATGGAAGGTGCCAGAGGAACGATTGAAAGGCAACCGAAAAATGGAAATGACCCCAAACTATCTGAAATGTTAAAAGAACTGCAGTCTATTTCTGCATCGCTGTTGCAAGAAGATGACACATTGCTGGGAAATGAACCACAAACAGAAAGTGACAGAAAATCAGATGAACTGTAATTGTCATAGCATAAAAAACATAGCATAACATGAAATTGCATAACAAAATGGCATTTTAAATTGCATATCAACTGCAGTTTAACAGTGAACACTTATACCTTATTTATATGTAACAATTTCAGTAAGCTGGTCCAATGGTCAGCTTGTTTTTTGAAATTCGAACAATTATTGAGTTTGAGTGAATATTGAAATTAAATCTTCGTAAAAATTATAGCAGTGACAATGCTTTGGATGAAACATTCAAAACTATAAATTCCTAGATTTGATAGTAGCTATTCTCTTTTGCAAATATATAAGTTCTTATAATTTTATGAAAGCCTTGACAAATCAAATTCACCATTTTGGATCATGAATTAGGATCAAAGCGTTTGCAAACATCAGGTTTATAAGCAGAAGGTTGGTAAGCAGAGAGGGTTTGCAGGACACAATAGTTCAAATAAGAACAAAATTGATAAGAAACTACTGCACATATGTACTGAACAAACAATACTACAAGTTGAACAAAATACGAAACTAGGCAAGATGTGCTACATAATAAGTATAGGAATAGCGGTACAGTGTACTGACAAAGCTAATGATTTGCTCAAAAAAAAAGTTGAAATAAAAAATTGTTTTCAAGAGTTTCTCTGTCTTGCTGGCTGAGAACTGTTGGCATTCACCCATAAAATATTCTTAAGGTTATGGGAATGTAAGCTTTGTAAAATCCTTTTGCATACTTCTTTCTATCGTCTCGCAAAATACCTCAAATTTCGATCCATACCTGCTGATGCCAAAAAGTCTGCATTTCTTCCAAACTTGACACTAGTAACGACTGCAGTATGATCTATTGACATAAAGAAAGGTTACATTTCTCAGAAAATTACCATATCCATATAAACTATATCACAAGTGACTTAAGAATGTTTAGTTAAGGACTACCAAAATTGATAAGATAGAGAATTGATTGTTTCAAATTCAGTCTTGGCTAACGTTTCTGAGGAAGATATCCGTTTTGTGAAAGCATCCATAAAAGAAGCGCATATAAAACGAGATTTTTCAAAACACAATGGACACGAGGGCACAAAAAAGAGATTGATAATAGCAAAGCTGTCACTTAAGTGATCAAAACTAGGATTTACACTAAAGAATACTGAAAAAACATTAGGTTTCCTATAAACAATTTGGCAACAAAATATGTGAAATAATCTTCCATTTAAAGTTGTAGTTTTCTGTTTCCTAGTTTTTATAGTTATGCTTGAAGATAGCTCTAAAAAGCGGCAACATAACAAAGCGTTTTAAGCCTGACACTCCTCAGTGTATTAGCATCAGATACTGGATGAAGGTAACCTTTGAGAAAATTTATATCCACATGCATTTTGAAAGTAACTTGAGGGGAAGAGTTGCCCATTTGATTGATCCTTTTTCGACCAATCGGTGACTGCTAACATTTTACCTAGCTGAAGAGTCCCAGAGAGAAACGATCTTTCTATGCTTAAACAAGTTGGCATCCTTTGTTTTAAAGATGCCAAAACGCCTAAATGAAAATACTACCTTGCCTGCCTAATCATTCTGAAATTCTGGTCACTATATGTTTAAGTGCACTCTGGATTCTTGAGTAAATGTTGAACTATAGCCCAATAAAAAGTAATTTATTATCCGATGTGTCCACTTTTCCATCGTATTTTCAAATTCCGCGGTACCAAAGGCTTATAGTTACGTCTGTTTCATACACACGTTATTTATGTAATTTTCGAGGGGTAGTATTAAAGTATAGAAGTATTGTTAAGTACATAAGTATAGTTATGTATATAGGTATAGTATTTTAAAGTATATAAGTATTAATCAATGTATTGTTTAAAGTATAAAAAAGCCTTCCATCCATTCAAAAAGATTCCGCTCCTACCACCCCCCTCCCCCAAAGAGTTCCGTGATCTATGAGTTGATGTGCCAGTGCGATTTTGACTATGTTGGGCACAACCAAAAGATTGAGTGATAGAATAAAACAGCATGCCCCTCAAAGAGACAGCCTCCTTGGCCTTGCAGATAAAAAAACAACTAAAACATGCAATTCTGCTATCGGGCAGGATATTACAAAAGACTATAATGGTGACATGTTTCAGATTATTAGTGAAGCCAGATCGTCGTTTCATCTAGCAGTTTTAGAATCTATTTATATTGACATGAAAAAGCCGCTTTTGTGTAGACAGAAGGAGTTTGTTTTTCCTTAAGACTCCATTGATAACACTCAATTAGCAAGCAGCACTGATTGGGCTACCTCACCAGTCACGTGCTCGCGTTTCTGATTGGCCTATTTCGATCCACAACTGGGTATATATATTTCCTGGCATAGAGTTTTCGACCTATGTTCTGACGTTGTATACTCTTTAGAGGGTCAGACGAGAAGCTTAGTTTGCTTCAAAATGTTTACTTTTTCAAAGCCATTTCTATAATTCATTGACAGATATCCGAGTATGAAGAACCATTTCTTGAAATTTCATAATGTGCCAGTTCTGATGAAAATTTTGAGATAGTAGCCACGCTACACGATGAATACATTTATTCTACAGCAGCTTAGAATGTTGACCTCAGTACATGAAAGATAAATCGTTTGGAGAGCTGTTTGACAACCTCAAAAGCGCTATCAACTCAGTTTTTACTAATAATGATTAAGACGGCAACTAAAAATAGGCCTCACCTGTCAACGTAGTAAGAAGATCCCATTGTTTCACCAAGTAAACTCTGCAAAGATTAAGAGAACGAAATGTTATTAAACAGTTTATGTCAGCCACCATATGGTACGAGCACACGCATAAATGGCATTTTAAAAAAACGTAGTTTAATTCCAATCAGGGAAGTCAAATCTTACTGTATGTTTGTGCCTGCAACAGCCATGTATTGTCCGCTCTTGTCAAAGCAAAGAGACTTTATCTGCAAAATGACAAGAAACAAAAGGTTAACCAATTTCGAATTCGAACAAATCAATTTCAAAGTTTTATCGCCACAATGACTGAATATAACAGCACAGCATTGAATTATTGACAGTTAATACGAGGTTGATTTTCTGTTTTGTCTATCAGGTTATTCTGTTGTGTTAAAATTGTCGTGAAATCCAACATTGAAACTTCAAGCTTCAATTTCATTTGATAATAATTAACCATACAAGTCTAAACAATCTAAATAGAATTAAATTCGAAACAATACAAAATTTCACCTCATCAAATAGTTATAGAGTTAAAAACTAAACCAAATGAATTCCATGAAACAAGTCAAGATAACAAGGATGCCAAATCGCAATGTAAATTCAACATATATTTGGATGAAAAGTTTTAGAATATATTTCCTTAGCCTGGAACTAATTGCCCCATACTCTGTAAAGAAGAAATTTTTTTCCAATTTCTAAACTTTTAATATTACGTCCTATTCTTTTTTGGTTAATCTTCTTGCTCTTATATAAAATGAATTTTTGTCCTTATTTCCTTATTCTTTTTTTTCTGACTATACTTTGTAATATTTATTAAAAACTGGCATAATCCCATTAGCTTTGAAGCCGCCTTGATTAATGGCATTACTGGTTTTGCTGTTCTGCAAATACAAACTTGAATCCCGTTGTTAGCATGCAAGTTATGTAGCTGCCGGGACGATTTCATCGAAAGAAACGAAGGAAAGATTGTGTAATGACTTCATCTGTCTTTCGGGGAAGCGAAAATCATCATTGTTTGGAGTCGGGAATCGGTAACAGGCAAATTTTTGTCAGCAGGATTTGGGAATCGATACAAAGGGATTTGGGAGTTGATAACACCAGGATTCGGGAATTTATGGTAAGGAATCGGAAATCAGGCTAAAAGTGTGGCGGGAATTCGGAAACTTGGAGAACTATTGGGTACCCTCGTTTATACTAGGAGTCAAATATATTATCTGACGTCAAAAATGTCAATATGCAACATCTAACATCTAGTAATGAACGTTTTAATGAAAAGGAAGAATGGTTGATTTTATGAGCTTGATTACCTCATCCCTCTCTTCCAAAGTAATCGTCTTGAAATTCTTCAGCTTTCTTAAATCCCAAAGTTTAACAACTGAATCATCAGCAGCAGTTGCTAAGTAATAACTGAAAAATCAAGCTTGTTTGGATTAGCTGGAGAACAAACAAAACAATAAAACGCGTAACGTTTCTTCAAAGCACTGGGTTTTCGGATTATAATAATGGCAATAACTACTCAAACAAATTTAACTCGTCCAGAACTGATCATGCGAGAGCTTTCAACATACGATTGTCATCACAAAGGCAATAATTGGCAGGGATGCAAAAGTGTAATAAACAGATAGGAAAAACGCACCCATTTTCAGAGAAGGAAATGCATGAAATGGGGCCGGAGTGTCCTGGGAAATTAGCAACATTTGCCTTCTCTTTCAAATCCCAAATCTTGATCACACTGTGAAAGAAAAAGAAGAAATTGCCAAGTTTTTTAATTATGTGCTACATTGAAATAAAGTGCCTGCCATTTTTAAAGTAAATAAAATTCAAAGTTAGTGTTTATTCAGATATCTTGCCCTCGGGTCATCGGTGCACAAAAGATGCTTTAATAACCATAGAAAATATCAAAGAATTCCTTTACATTATTAAAAGGCAACTGTTGATAATCTGAAATATCGTAGGCAGGAGACCTGCTACGTTGAACAGTTAGTGTGAAACCTCAGATTTATATGTGCAAGGGTCTCTACTTGTAGCTTCTGAAGCGGGTCTATGGTGCATTATACACATTTCATTTTAAAAGTTTCTACGATAAAGCGGATCATATTTGAAGAAGCAAAATAAAAGATATCAAGTAGCTATAATGTTCTTTCTTTGCCAGCGTTCAAAGCTGTCACTAAATCTATTCTCCAGAAATTACACTATTTTCAATCCAGAAGCCAAGGGGAACATTCGGTGCCAATGACCCTACCTGTATCCAGTAATTAATTTTATGGCATCGCCACTGTGCCCTTTTTTGCCCCCTGTCTATAAGGAAATTAGTGTTCTTATCCTGAAAATTACCTTACCTTACCACATTCACCAGATTTATTCAGGGAGAACTAAAAACTGTTTATTTTCGCTGCCACCCTCCACTGATAAATACTTTCTTCAATAACTTTTGGGGTAGAGTAATAGACCAAATTGGAGACAGAACAAATTCTTGGCAAAAAAGTACCTGTCTGTAGTTCCAGTGCCGAAGATGAGACCATCGGGGTGAAACTGAGCACAAGTTAGTCCTTGAGAAAAAAATTACAACCATCTGTACATGAAGGAGAATATTTCGAATTTGTGAAAAATTATGTTGATAATACATGAAGAGTATGAGTTCTCTCATTGTTCACGATTCCATCACAACCCTTATATAATAGGTCATTTTGCAATAACTTACTGTGTAAATATTGTAAATCATTTATTGTGACTTGGTGCCACTTTATTGTATTGCCACAGTTAAAACTAGCTGCAAACAAAAAGCGTCCGTAGGCAAAAAATGTCAAGACATTACATTAAGCCAAGCAGGAAATGCAAAGCGAGGGAAACTTTGGTATATATTTCAAGACTTTGCATTCTCCAGCAATTATATTATCTTAAACATGTCTGTCATTAAGATTTACCTTACGAGTCCTGCCAGGCTGGTATATGGATAAATGTTTATCTCCTCTTAGAAAAATAACACATTAAGCAAATCAAAGTTGATGTAAGACATATTAAGAATGAAAAATATTTACTGCAAAACACTATTAGAAACTCACCATGGCTTGCATTTGCATCTGAAATGCTTTTACAAAGAACCCGTCCAGTTACAATGTCTGAGAATGCCCAGTGCTAGAATGGAAAAAGCATATAGCAACAAACATTTGGCAAGGAAAATAAAAAAATTTATACAAACAAAGAAATATATACTTTCGTTAAAATCTTCTTTTCATCTATTTGACTGTCTTTTAAAATAAAAGACTATATTAAAATGTAATTGGGACCATGGTGGAACTTTATCTAAATTTTGGTTTAGAATTAGAATATGTTTCATGTGTAAAACACTCACCTCATCAGAAGACGACGTTAGAACATAGTCACCTAACAATATAAAAAAAAATAAAATGAAAATGACAAATATTTATTATAATCATAAAATGGAAAATGACAAAACACTAAACCGATCTTAGGAATATTCATGGAAAGACTGAAAATCTGACAACGTGAACAAAAAACCTAACCGCTCATCGTGCAAACCTAGGATAAAAGAAAATGGCAAATATAGAAAGAATAGTTATGCAGGGTAGGATAGTCATTGTCAGTGTGCTTCATGATGACAACAAAATCATGACAATACCTGTTGCGTGCAAACTGATACCAGTAATGGCTGAAGAGTGGGCCTATAATGAAAAAAGGGGCATACAATTTACGTTGTGGAAGGCATCAACAAAGCCATTTTATGCTCAAATTAGAAAAAGGTAATAGGCATGAATTATTATAATCAAATGATACAATGGACACTACCCTCTAAGAACTAGAAAGTATGAATATTGTTATAAACGATACAAAGCATATATAGATATCAGAAAACGAATTTCTGTATTCGGTTCGCTGTTCGGTTCACTGTTCGGTATTTGGTATGCATTATAGGAGACTGGTTTAGAACAACATCCAAAGTTTGTCAAGGAATAATGAATGCTACTTGAAGTTAATAGAAATTGTAGCATGAAAATAGCAGACAAATCAAGTATCTTAGTGTAGGAAAATACGTTACCTTGATTGTATGGGCACAGGATGCTGAAGAAATGTTCCAAACTCGAATGGTACTGTCAGCAGAGGCAGTAACAGCAATTTCCTGGCAACGATAATAATTAATAAATGATATAATGATTTAACTACATTAAATTTGGTTTAAAGAAATACATTCAAACACATTGAAAAAGAAATTCCTTATGCCACGAGAAATCCTGCAAAGGAACTCATTTCTACGTTCTGGGGGGTTTATTCCAAATTATAGGGTCTATTAAGGTGCAATGGAGGAGGACAATTTTATTTTGATCAATATTAACAACCTTAAACATAAACACAAAACGATATACACATACAACAAAAATGTTTGGCAACTTCAATAAAGCTTAATGAAACCTGCGAAATTTTGAATATATCTTCCTTGCCAATAAAAGTAAACAGATTAAATTTGTGGACAACACTTACCTGGTGTGGATGATATATGACACCAGTGACTTTCTTTGTATGCCCTTTGAGAACAGCAGCGACCTTGAATATTAAGTGAACGATGTTTTTAAGATGAAAAATGATGAATCAGTCACAATTCATACCATTACACATAAAGCCTGCAGTCCAATTGGCCGTGCGGTCCTATTGGTAAAATCAACCTGTGTATTTAAATCAGCAGATTGAGTAAAGCAGAATAAGTAAATTCGGTTGATTGGCAGGTTACTCAACCAACATGCACAATGTCACATGCCAACAAACCAAATCTTTCACTTGCCAAGGGGAGGTCATTCTCATCTTTCATGCTAAAGCAGGTTACATCTTAATAAGATGATAAAATAAATGTTTCTTTCACAAATTCGAATGACTTGATTTGATTCGTTGGAATGTCCTTTAACTGACCACAGTTAGTTAAATCTACAATTCCCCTTACCAAAAGAGCTTATATCAGTTCCATTAAACAGCTTTTCATCCATTGCCTTGTTTATTCTTCTTTGAATGACGGTTTTTAATTGGCCAGAAAATATTCTTAACTAATACTGAAGTGAAAGAGATGTATCAAACATTTTTTGATAGCATACCTGTTCAGTGTCTCTTTGAAAGACAACAGCATTCTTGTCCACACCACCTACAAACAAAAAGGCATAACCTCACAATACGAAAGCAGAAATGGGAGTGCAAAATATAAGCAATCTCCAATAATCTTAAAGTGTGGTGAAGCAAAACCAAGATTCAATCTGTATTATGCTCAAAACAAACAAACAAGGAAAAAGCAAAGAAGGGAGACAAAATGTTGGATTTTGGATAATGCTGCTTGTCAGCTGCTGTATATCACTGCATAAGTTGGGAAGTTGAATTTGTACCTTGCCTAAATAAAAAATTTTTTTGAAAGCTTTGGAAACATACCAGTGATAGCTTTTGATGGGTCTGAATCTTGTAAATCCAAAGCGAGAATACCAGGAACACTTGCACTGTGAAGGCCCTATAAATGAATGGGAGCTTAATGTCTAATGAAGTAATTATTACAAATACATCAAGGGTTATTTTGGTACAAAAAACACACTCTGTTGCACATTCTGCGACATGCTTAAAGCGTGTGGAGATAACATGCTTCGAAAGGCCTAACTTAACCATCCTAAATCTTATTTCTTGGTGTTGTCTCAGGCTAGATTCTTCTGCAACAAAGATTGTTTAATTTGGTAAAAAAAGATGGCCTGCTTACATGCTTCACTAAATGCGTTAAATTTCACAGAACTTACAGGATGAGAAGAAACTTGAGAGAATGCTTTGATTGATTCTACAGGACAAAGATCTTCTGGAGGCTTCTTTCCTCTCTGGAATTAGAAGAAATAAACAATGAATGAAATATTGCGTAGATTTGGCGACGAATGTCAGGTATAAGCATTTCCTAAACAACGGCCTATACAAGATATGTTTGTAACCGATCTATTCTTCAATTTTCAAACTAAGCTAGATAGGCAGACAAGGCTCGATTGAGAAAATACATAAAATCAAAAAAGTTAGAATACTAAATCTATTTTAAGTATGGAAGAGGAAAGATTTTTTCAAGCAACCTTTAGTCAAAAGACACCATTCAAAATTACATTGATTGGTTGGATATAAACATACCTTTCTTCTCTCTGATGTAAGCAACGTGGCCTTGTCTTGGAGCTGAAAGAAAGCACAGCGGAACAAAATTGAACACATCCTTCATGATTTTTAAGCACAACATTCTATTACAACGTCAAAATCATAAAATATTCATCTTTTACTGACATAGAATTAAAATCAAGTTAGCATTTGAAAATATTACGTTAATCGCTGAAAGAAAATATGTTTGGGTACGAAACAGAGCTTGACAAATATTGGCTGACCAGGCAATACACAATTCATGACCTGAGGAAAAAAGACAGAAAGGTTTCGTGGGATTTCGCTGTGCAATGAGTTTGGCATTGCCATGATGCTGATTTTGAAATTTGACTTTCTTGAAAGCAAAGATGTTACCTTTTGCAGGACCTCTTCAGACATTCCAGCTTCTTCAGCCTCCTAGGGATAAAAAAATTGTCAGTAAAATTGTTGCTATTCGCTTTACGCCTGTACAAGTTTACAAAACCTAACATAAAAAAATGTATCAAAAACTGCTCTGCTAGACTGAAACGAAACTACAGTAACTAAGTACCAGGTAAGTATCATTTTATATATTCAACTAGGTTGCAAAAATTCTTTGACTCTTTATTCATTTTAAGAGCAGATTCAAGGATATATTTGCTTCACAGCAAGAAAAGGTAACGCGTGGTAACAGGGATATTTGTGTAATGTAGAAATCAAAATTGAAATACTTTTTATATCTAGTCGCAAAAAAAGAGGTACTCACTTGAGCAATTTCCATTGGCTCTGGCTGAAATAAAAACAAGGCATTCTCAAATCTTTCAAATGACAAAAGCATTGTTGAAATGACATTAATTTTGCTAACATCGAGATAGCATCAAACTGATAAAATGATGTAGCTATGAACGTATAAAACAATTTATATCTAACGGGATATCTGATAAGAATATTCTAAATAGAAGATGGAATCAAGAAGGAAAAGCCAAGTGGCAAAACCAATTGCATATATTTGATTGGACGAATTACTGATAGTGCTAAATGAAGAATACTTTTCAAAGGAGATTTGTGTATTTTGAAATCGATTTATCAATTCATTTGATGCGCCTGTAAACAGTAAGTACACAGTTATGACTAAATAGCTGGATAGTTGTGATGAATCAAACCTTTGAAGGTGCAACTGGTCCGGCTGCTGGGACCTGAGGCGCTGGTGTAGGCAGAGTGGAGATGCCAGCCTGGGGTTTCAGTGTGGCCAGAGCTAAGCAAAAAGAACATTGAAAATGCAACATAACTTAAAAAACAACCTGAAATAACCTCACATCGTGATAAATGCTGATTGTTTAAGCGAGCAATTCATGAAGTTGATGAAAGAATCAAATCTTTCTTTGAGACTAAAGACAGATAGTAAGGCAGTTGTTCCATAAGAAACCTTATTTTGAAAGAATAGGACTCGCATTTTATCTTGAAAGTTTTATTCCAAATATGAAGAGGAGACAAAATAACTTATTAAAAATACATCTAAAGACCTAGTCAAAAGAAGTGAAATTACCTACCTTCACGAGCAGCAGTAGCTTCTTTTGTTAAACGAGCAATGACACGACAAGCAGCATCATGTTGGTATAATGCATGTGAAAGTTCTACACAACAAAAACCACATCAATAATAAAAAGTCTGATAAAACAATAGTGTGATCCAACTTGTCGCATAAAGAAATAGTAAAGTGTAGCTTACACGATACATCAATTTACAAGGGCATTGACATGTAAAAAACATTGAAGTTCTGGATATTTGGTAGATTATTGCAAAACAAGGCCTTGCTATACTATCCAGTTAATTCATAAAAACATTTTTTAATGTACATAGAAAATATACGTTTTTTGTTAAATCTATTAGACGAATCACCCCTTCATCCTGATAAAGTCTGATAAAATATCAAAAAGTCTGATAAAAGAAAGATGTGATCAAACTTGTCAAATAAAGAGATAGGAAGAGCAGGTTTGTTTTTCTATGAGCTAGCTTTCATGACACATAAATTAACAAGGGTACTGGGATGTAGAAGACATATGAGTTCCGGATATTTAGTAAATTGTGGCAGGATAAGGGTTTTATTACAGGATAAGGCTTTCCAACTCAGTTGATTTATAAATTCACATTCTATCGTTCAATTGCATATCTTTTGTTGAGCCTAGCAGACAAAAATTCCCTTTCATCCTCGTATGAATACTGCAAGCTGTTCAAAGGGTAAATCTATAGGCATGAATATAAAAATCAAAACAGCAAAATTTCACAAGCTTCAAAACTAAAAATGAAATTATGGTTCCAGGCATAAGCAACCCTGCCATAGGTTTTATTTCACTGAGCCGTCTGCTCAAGATAGTTGCATGTTATCAATATCCTGTCCAAAAATCTGCCCCAGAAAAATGACCTTCATCGTGAAGTTTGTTTTACCCTTGAATTTGGAAATCTATGTACTTTTGTAAATAGTCAGCAGTATTACTCAGAGCACAAAATGTGATCAAATTTGTCGTGTACATTTAGAGACAATTGTCTTCTCAAAATAAATTATTTGAAGAACAACCAAAGTTGCTTTCGGGTACACGGAATTTCTCACTATGTGATTTATTCTTAGCAGAAATGACATTGGCTTCATGGTATTAACTTCTGCCTCTCAACCCTTGGAGGAGGAATAAAATCCCAAAGAATATGATTTATTACCTTGTCGTGCTGTTTGTAGCTGCTGCCTGAGGGTGAAGCTGTGAAGCATGACTGAATCCTGGAGATTGCAAAATGCAAAGAAACTTCATTACTAATTTTTTCATTAATAATTTCATGTTTGGTTTGCAAAGATAGATTAAATCATACTATCTTTAGATTGAAAAATGTCATTGTCAATGTTTTGAATCTTACTAGAAAATTGTTAATTTAAAATGCCTCTCAGTTTGAGGTACATGATTCTGCGCCAGTGTCATGAACTGCTTCTCACTTTTTGTCTGTCACTCTTCAGAACACACCTGGGTATAAATTTCAGCTTACTTTTGGTCATTACCCAAGGTTTATACTCAGAAGAGTGTCGGACAATTTCTACTTTTGGTGTCTGATGTAAAACTTGATAGACAATAGCTTAATATATATATAATCCTTTGGTACTACAAAGCTTAAAAATCACACTGTCACTTTTTGATGCAATTAACTAGAAGTTATGAATTGGAGGTCTAGATGGAAAATTTTGCTATGAGGTATGGATCAGCGAAGCACCTGCTAAAATCTTACGAAGAGGCCTGATATATTGAATCTTCTCTTGCCTTCTTTTGGCACTAATCATGAATCACAGAAATGCAAGTAAAAAACTCTTCTGTTTTTACAAAGTGTGAGCACTAAATAAAAGACCAGTTGCCTGTAATCTGCAAGAATGTTACTTTACTTGAATATGCTTACCCATTCATCTTGTAATGCTTTCAATATTGCAGGTATACTTGTGGCTGATGGTGGTTTTGGTTTTGTTACTGGGGTAGCTATGAAAAATTCAATAATTTTTCAATAATAAGCTTATCATGATGAAATTTAGGAATAAAATAGTAGTTGAAAGAGTCTAACGAGTATGCAGAATTAGATCATTTTACTAAAGTATTCTTAAAAATTCTTTATATTTTCAGAGTTGTCGAAAAAGGCAAAATTTTAGTTGTTTTCTCTGGGCATATATGATAATACTAGTTTGCCTTTTTAATTAAAAATATTTTTAGATTGGTTTCTTAGGCAAACACTAAATGAAAAAATAAAACTTGGTTTTCATTAAAAAGCTAAACATATGTCGAATTGGACTGGATCACAACAATATAGTAAAGTTGTAATGTAGCTTCATTAGGTTTTTTGGCTGCCGATTCCCTCAAAAATCATAAAAAACCTTTTGTTTTCAAGGAATGGTCTCTTTTATTCCAAATCTCAAACAAAGGTACCCCTTACCAATAATTCTAACCTTCCTAGGGTACTGCCAAAATTCTTGTATAGTATTGTTACAGAAATGGGTCTTGCCCTAAACAATACAAGACAATAAAAATATTGGAGAAATTATGTTTGCTTTGTTTTGAAAACAGGGACCAAAGATATACACAAATGGAAAAGTCCAGCTTTTCAATAAGCTTAAACACTGCAAACTTACATTTAATTTCGATTATCATATCATCTGATAAAGGATCTCCAGTGACTGGATCAGTTCCATGTTCAGCTAAATATTTTTCTATGAGTCTCTTTTCAAAAACTTGCTTTGACACAAGAGACAGCACTGGCTGCTCTGGTACTTCTCCACTAACTAAAAGAGAAAAGTAAAAGACAGCTTCATTTATTTGGTCTATGACCTGCCTGTTTGTTATCTACTGCCTTTGCCTAAGACAGGCTGGAAATAACAATATTTGTTAAATTTACACAAGCAATCAAATATGTGTGATAGAAGATGGGTGCACAAATTACAAAAGTAAAATTGATCCAAGATAAAGAAATGCTTTTTTCAAGATTTTATTTTTACACACTGTTTTTAAGCGTTCTCACTACCAGTTACTCCAAAAAGTCCTGTTGAAGATCAGTGTTGGTAAAAAGAGTGGACAAAGATCTAAGTATTGAACATGGTTGTTGCAAGTCAAACTGCTTTTGTCAAATTGTTTTTCATTCCTTACCTATAAGTATCTTATTTTCTACTGATAACCAAAATCAACATAAAGGTCAAGGGCAGTACTAACTTATCTTTTCATTTTATTTTACATTTCGATTTTGTTCCAAACTGTTCAAAGGATTAATGTGGGGTTTTGTGGCTTGTTTAACCCATTTGTTTAACAAAGAGCCCAGCAGCATGCAGCAAGAGGTATTTAAGGGCCATCTTGAGTACATTTGCTTTACATTTGTGACTGACCACGTAAAGATATTCAGAATTTTGTGGGTAACCATTAGTAAACTCCTTCTTTGAGTCTTTTTTGTATCAATTTTTGGGAACAGAATACTGATGTGAAATTTTACAAGTTTCAAAGCTTGATCAGTACATATGATACTAAGAACACAAGCAACATTCTCCTTCAAAAAAGAGCAAGCAAATCTGAGTAAACAAAGGAGCTGACTAAGAGGTTCTTGGCTCTCCAAGCCATGTGCTGGAAGGGCCCTGTGATGATAATAAAGAGCTGGTAACAAACTGAGCCAGGTACTCTGCAGCGCATGTCTACATCTTTAAAACTTGTGAAGTAGGATACTTGGGGATTCCAAGACTGTAAATTAAGATTAAAACATGCAAGGCTTATTATAAAGACAGCTATGTGTGGGGTTTTGAATATCAGCGCATGTCTTTTTCTGCTTAATAACTTTTATTGTGAGATGAATTCACTGGAAAAAGATAATTTCTCATCAAGGGAAATGTTTGACTTCTTTAAGCAGCCCTTTCTGTTTGATGTGAGCAATCACTCGCAAATGCCTCAGCACCAGTGCAAACCCAACCACCCCAGTGTTTGATCGCTCATGCAAAACGATAAATGTAACAAGTAAATGTCTCATGAACACATTTCTAGTCATCTTTTGTGACCAAAGCAAGTGGCATAGATGATTCAAAGCCAGTATATCATAACACAAGAAATATAAGTAGGCTGAGTTAACCACATCTTAACGGAAAAATGCATTTAGAAACTTTGGAAAAACAAGAAAGCAACATTTCAAAAGCTTTGTGGACAAATTTCAAACTAGCAAATGCTCTCAAATGTGCAAGATAAATGTGTTAAAACAGTAATCAAACAATAATAAGTGTGAACCATCCTTAACATACTTTTGAGATAAGCTTAACTGAGGCATGCAATAAATGTTTCTAGATAACTTCCAGTATAGGAAAGCATGCAAAAGAAGTTGTCTGTCATTTCAAGTAGAGCTCAATAGGAACCTTGTAAACTTATGCATTTTAGAAGACAATTCTGAAAATTGGTTTAAGGCAGGATTAAGGTTTTAGATTGCGCTTTTTGAGTAGGTTGTTGGCAAGTTCAAAACTTATTTTTGCTTGCACCTCACTGCCCATGACTTTTTCCTGTTTTTTAATCTTTCATCAAACAATTACTGAACAGTTTTGATGTGCTTTTCTTTCATTTCGTTCTGTCCAAGCATTCAAAAAATTTATCCTTCTCATATCTGAGCAATGTCATGCAAGGCTAAAAATCCCTTTGGTTTGATTTCATGTTAAAAAGAGTTGTCTAAATGAGGCGTCAAGTGAGCACAGACAGTTGAGCACGAATTGTATAATCTACCCACACAAATGGTAAACTGAAATGAAGCAAAACTAGCCTTATAATTATCCAGAAAAACAGCTTTAATAAATAAGATTATATTACATTTATTGATATTTTACACCTGGATTTCACTGAGCAATAATAAAATGTTCGCTAGAAACAAAAGAAAAATGACAAACAAGCAGACAGAGAGGCTGTGAAAATTCTGACGAATCTTGAAAAACCAATGGGCTTTTATTTGGAACTAGATTTAAAGAATCCAACTTTTTCCTGAAAATTTTACACAGCTTCATGTGGTAGAGATCAACACATTGTGCAAATGTAGCCGAAGGACAATGAAGTCCTGAATAAAAAACAGACAACCGGCACAGGCCTAAATCGCATTTTCTCATTTCCCTTGCCACTTTAACTCGCATTTTTTGTGCATATTTCCATCCAAAATGTTTCTGCTCTAATCTTGCTCATAAATTTAACCTGAATGTATTCATTTATTTAAACTGATGACTGAAATATACGATGTTTTGTGTACTCACTTGCACAGATCAGCGCCATCTTCTCAAACGTGCTTGGTGGTCTCTATTTCGAGTTTGTGGAAAAGAGGCAGACTAGATTGAGATGATTTTCATTTCTTTTCATTCCTTGGCAGTTAACTTAAAATGATACATATAACAGAAGAAAGTACATTGATTAAAAATTGAAATGCGAAAATCAAAAGACAGTCAAGTGTATGTATCTTATAAAATACTTTTACTGTGGAGGATGAGGTGTATTGAAAGAACTCTACAGAGCTTTAAAGCCATGCACCTTCTTAAGACGTGACTTACAATAGAATAAAAAAGAAAAAAACTTATTTTTAATGAAGAAAATATAACAAATATAAGTTATCATAAAAAAAGATAGGCAGTAAAAATAGGAGACGGAAGTAAAATTGAGGAGTTCTGGATAATTAAGGCAGATTTGTGCGCTTTTCAGGGGCACAGTGTCTGGGGGTAGAGAATTACAGCCCTTCTCACAAAAGACTTGTCGGAAAGATAAGAAAATGTTGTTACCATGACGGCAATTCTATACAAAAGATACCTTATTACGCCCCTTACACTTTGGCTTTCGCCCGTGGACATAACCTCCAGTGGTGTGGTGGCTGGGGGCCAGAGGGTCACGTGCCCCTCCAGCGACCAGGAATCAGAAGGCCCCGAAGGCGATCCAACTCTTCAATCAAACGGGCGCTAAAATCATGTAGAAACAAATGTGAACGAAGAAAGTCACTTGACATAGCCGAGCCCTGAAGAGCCACATGTTTCGATATGAAGGTTTCTTTCTCAGCACTCCTGCGTCTTTGCAACCCATTCAAAGTTCTTGGCGCTCTGGAACCCAGGGAAGGGATGGCATCCCAGCATCTCCTGGCAGTCCACTAATAGTTACCAAACATCCATAAGCAACCCATTGACTACCCTGGGTACTAGAGCCACAAAAATTAAAAAATAATATTAAAAAATTATATTATTTTTTAATTTTTGCGGCTCTGGTACCCAAGGTACCCATTGACTTGCTTGACCTCACGGAGGATAAAAAATTTTCTTCCCTCCGACCATGGTGCCGCCCTTCATGAAGGAAACCCCTGAACAATGATTTCATTGTGCCCCATTTTCAACTACATTTCGCCGGCCCTAATAGAGTTGTACCATGGGCATAAAGGTTGATGCCCCCTAGCCAATGTTGAGCCACAACGCCACTGCTACCCTCTATCTAAGAACCGTCTTCAGAAGCTCAGACAAGGGTCTGGGCATTTCATTTGATCACAGGGTTCCTTTTTTGTTATTTATTTCCCCCTTCTGATTTTAAGATTTTGCAGGATTTTCGCTTTTCTTTACCATAAAGAATGACATTGATTTTTTCTCCTCCAAAAATAATGCTGAGCATGGGTTTAGTACTAGGGGGAGGGGGGGTCAGGGGACTGAGCCCTTCTTGTTTATGCCGAAAATTGGCAAATTTCTACTTTCGCTATTGTTTTCTGCAACATTTTTTGCAAGAACTTCCTTGTTATTTTGATAGCACTACACCACTGATCCTGAGTTTATATTTTGTAAACTAGTTGAACTTAGTGAAAGTTGAATTTTTCTTTTCACCTTCATTTCTATGTACGCAATGTCTTTGCCTCTAAATTTTACAAAGCTTTCTAGATAAAGCTATATGTAGAATAAATTCTAGATATATTTAGAAAGATATAAAAAACAATGTGCAATATATATATATATATATATATATCGAAGTAGCTTGGTGTAAAAAAAATATAAAGAATGTTGAGCAGAAAAAAGTTGAAGAAAATGAAGCAGAGCAACGATACTTGCCATTACTTGCTTAAAGAATTTTTTGGGAAAAAATCGGGAGGAAAGACTTAATATGCACCCTTACCCCCAAAACAAGGATCGCAAAAAACATAACTTTGCGAAGTTGGGGGGGGGGGGTGCGAGCAATGGAAAATGTGCAAAAATTTGGTGTATTGTGCGAATTGTTTTGGTAGATCTGTATATTTTTTGGGCGTGTACTTTCCCCTAGGCAACACTCTCACCTTCTTATAATCGACAACAGCAACAACATCAACAATAAATGAGGCTATGTGCAAGATGTCCTCAGTGGTAGGGTTTCCTGCAACCTGATTGTAGCTGAATCTCGCTGGGTTGCAATGTGCTTATTATTGAGCAAGCTCCAGGCACCTATCCAGGCAGCTCTTAGACCTGGCGTATGGCTTCCAGGAATAAGAGCGCTGCATCAACGCTACGAAAGGTAGGTTGGCTTGTTTGTCGTCCTTGTTTTTGGTAACCGAGAATGGGTGCATCACGTGCTTGATGATATGATGTATAAAAAAGGTGTGAAGTCTTCTAATTTTCTACTTTGTCGCCTATCCTGTTGCCTATCCTGCTCTCCCACCTCTCTAGTGCGTTTTTGTTGATTATTTCTTTCATGCTCAAGTTGGCCTACCGTAGTTCCGTTGATTGAGAACCGGGGCGTACACATTAAAAGGCTCATCAATCTAAATGACAAATTTCTTCCGAATTTGCTACATGATGGAATGTATCATGGCACACCATAGTTGGCATTTATTTTCTTATGCTCTTTTTTAGGTGGCAGTCAGGTGAATCTCCATATTTCTGTTTTGACAAAGTTTTATTTGCGCTACAGATTATGGAAACATCAGATCAATTAGAAATCTACAAGGTAAAAGAATAGAAACCATGCTTTTATCAATAGATACTACTAATTTGTAAATCTGTTTTAAATTCCCTCTTGTACCAGTTCAGAGCACCTCTGTCTATAATGCTGGTTGGTGTAACCTATGTTAATATAAACTAAAATGATATTTCATTTTTAAGATAAAAAGCCAAAGAGGAGATTCAAGTAAGACAATTTTCATATTATTGTTTATTCCTTCAGGTTGACAGAGAGCACCTGGCCCTTCAGATTTTCTTCTACACAAAAAACTGCAAATGGTTGGATGTCGTCGAGCTGGAGTTTCAAGCAGCACCAGAATCTGGAACCTTTGTTTCAGCAAGATCATTTTCTTCTGGTTTTCTTCCTGCATGGATTCCTTTTGCATTCCTCCTCAATATGGTATGTGCTACCTATAGATATTGATGCAGTGATTTATTTTTAATGGTACCTAGTCTAGTTCTATTTTTAACATATTTGAACATTTTTTAAAAACTAACATTTGATACCAGATTTGTTGTTCTTATACCATATTTAGAATTTGATAAAATATAATGCTCTCAGACCTTTTAGTTTGGGCTTTTTTTGGCCAAAATATCTGCTAACACCAGTTAAATGGCCATTGCTTATTTTTATTTTAACCTGGGCAATGCCAAGGCATTCTTTTTTCATCAAATATCCATAAATAATTAAAAAGTCAAATTGTCTTGGTGTCAACTGGATACTGGTGAACAAGGCACTTGTTTCAACCTTCCATTATTTACCACACTTGGAGTGCTTTTTACTTTTGACACCAATTTTTTTGTATAATTTTAACTATAGATACCTCACTAATGGTTGAGATAATCAAGTACATCATCACTGTTATCATCATAAAGAAGAGAATTATTTGCATCCCCATTGTACTGGTTTAAACTTGTGATAGCTGCCAAGTTTGAATAAATCTAGACTTAAATGAATGCCAGGTCAGTTTATTTGGAAAAAGAGCATAGCTTTCATGCTGTTGTTGTTCTAGGTCTGCTGTTTCATTCCCTTTTTTGACTTGGGAGAGAATGAATCAAGATTAGAGCGAATACGAGAGGCTGCCGATATTGGAATGACAGTGAATGAATGGGGATCAAATAGCCAGCCAGTGTGAATTCACCTTCAATGTTGTAAATGAAATTTCAGATTTTGCATACATATATAACCCTTAAATAACCCATTGCCTTGATATGAAATTTTTTGCATATCTGACACTTTTGTGAAAACCAATTGTTAGTTGATGAAATAAAATTCCCACACAGATAGTCTTTTGTATTGTAAAGAGGGGCCAGGAATTGTAATTATTGACATTATTTATCTCATATGGTATCATAAAGTAATTTTACCATGATATATTGTTAGGTTTATTGCACTAGAATAATATTGTAAATGTGAACCCCCTTTTTGTTGGCATTTTAGGACATTTATTTTTGATGATCAATGCTCTCTCCTTTAGAAGGTTTCTTATATAAAAGTTTTTAGCAAGATTCTTCATGCAGAAAAGCATAAAATTTCTCAAAAAAATTGTTGAAGTTTGCCATATTAACTTTGCATCTTCAATTACTTTCCAAGAACAGCAATTTGAATTTAAAAAGGCCCTTGATAAATCCACTTTTTTCATTATTAACAGAGCTTTGTACATATTCTTATTTTTCAATTTACTTTTCCAAGATTTGGTGACTCAGTAAGTAGTGTCCTGTCCGCATTTTTTCATTGGTGCAGCTCTTTCTTAAGAAAACTGTATTTACAAAACTGTATTAGTTTGAAAGGAAACTTTTTACTTATGAGTATTTCTCTCTTCAAAGAGCTAATTTTTTAAATTTTTTATTGCTGAAAACTAACTATTGCTTAATACTTTTCATATGCAGAGTTACCCGTCATACTTTTGATTGGTAATCACTTCCAGTTGCATTAGGGATGGTGATAATATTTGCATCCATTTAAGTTGAACTTTTGACTTATAATATGAGAAAGAAATAAACAAAGATAATGAATATGTTTTGTGCTGTCTTTTCTTTTTAATACTTTGATATACACATCAGCTATATTGCTCAATCAAGTGTTGCAATAATTCAGAATTGTAAAAAATTCCCAGAAAAATGGTTCGTCATTTCATTAGCAACAATTTCTCAAATATGAAGAAAGAGTTAGAAGTCAAATAAATTCATGTACAAATTTCAGAATTAAAGCAAAGTAATTGTTCAGTGAAATGTGATTATAGTTTTATGGACATGAAAAAGGCTAAGGGAAATTAAACTTGCTTGTTAAGCAGTGGCCTAGTTTGAATTCTGCGATTTTTTCAGATAAATATTCTAGTAACATTTTCAGGTGATGGGAATTAGCCAGAAATGGAAATGCGACTGTAAAAAGAAACAATGATTTTATCCACAGCATGAATATTCCATACTAACAGCCAATGAGTTTCACGGGTTTAAATAACTTTCATCTGGTCCACCACGACGCGAATTATGAATAAGACCAAAACAATCATGTTTCCTTATAGGGTCAGCTTTCACTCCTTAAATTATTTAAATCAAGTGTAACTACGTAGTTAAGTGCACTTAAGAAATTATTACTGTGTTGGCTACTCAAGAAGAGATTCAAACATTCAAGCGAAATGTCTTGTGTTTAATATGAATAGTCAATGACACTGAAGCTTCACTAATTCCATTTGTTCAGTTCTTCATAGAGCTCTTGTCTGTATTCAGCCTCCTCAGCGTACTCGCTAAAGTTCATTGCACTTCGCATACCAGATGCGACTTCATTATTTCCATAGCTACGCTGAATGATGCCTTCGACAAAGTTGTCTTCAGCAAAGTCATCCTTGCAAAAACCGTTAAGTGACTTGTCAAGCTGTTTAAACTTCTTTGTAATTTCGTCTTCACTCTCGATGAACTTCTTCCAATGTTTGTTCTTGTGATGCAGCTTCTCACAGAGCTTGTCAGAGTCATTCTTCCCTGAATCTGAAGTGTCTTTGGTCTCTAACTCCGACTTGTTCTGAGCACTCGGCTGAATGCCTACGAATCGTTTGAAACGACCAATCATAAAATCGACGATCTCATATTCGTTGGACTGCAACGATACATCGCGTTTCACCTCGGCATACACATCCATGACAATGGTTAAGAAGACATTGAGGATGTACATGACACCGAATATCATCAGAGTTATGAAGTAAAACGGTCCGATGATGGGATGCGCATTTCTGATGTCCTCAAACTCAAAACTGCCTAGCAGTAAGCCTAGGGTGGACTCAATGGAAGTGACGAAATTTCGGAAGTCTTCGAGATAATTGACAAAAATAATGAACCCAAAGACCACATACGCAAAGAAGAAAATGAAGAAGACCGTGGAGAATGCTAATAATGGTTTAGCACTTCCCTTTAGAGTGGAGGCCAGCAATGAGATAGTTTTGTTGAAGGATAGCAGACGAATAGATTTGATGCATGAGAACATAACGAGAATGGAAAGGACACACTGCAACATGTCATCCCACTTGGCCACCTTGTTAAAGCTGACGAACTTCCCAGGATTAGAGTGGATTTTGCCGATGGCGGAGCTGACAAGCATCATACGACTGAAGTATATAGATATTGTAGACAGCACAAGGATGATCATCAGTACCTCGACCCAATTCCAAAATCCTTTGAAGTACTTCTTCTTTTCCTTGTATATCTTCTTACTTTCACGGTAAACAAACAGAGTGAGGAAGAATAGTACAAAGAACTGACAAGCAATGACAAACGATTCCGTACTGCCACCATAGGTGTAAAGCCTGGCAATCTTGATGGAGTAATAGGTTACAATACCATTCGTCGGGAGGAATTCCACTACGAAGTTCGTTATGGCAAACAAATTGACATGGGCGTTGTAGACTGTAGCCTCTAAAACGATAGCTCGCGTTCGCTGATCAAACCATTTGTATTTTACCAAATCGTTGATGAGTTTGTACGCTTTGGACGGGTACTTACCCAGGTCCCCAACATATCCTCCACCACTATAGACTGCCATTTCACCTGATAAAAACAATGAAAACATCAGCTTTGGAAGCTCAAAAATACTGAAATGAAAGAAGTAAAAGAGTAGTAAAATATTTTGGATAAAATATCTAATATCTTTCAAATACTTATTTAAAAAGCATCAGTAGAGAAATGACTTTTCGAACATTTAAATAAACAAAACGCACATTTGATAAAAGCAAAATATCAAATTAACATATTAGAGCAAGTAAAATATGCAAAGCAGTGTCATTCAAGGTTCGAAATTCGTAAGAATTTAGCTTTGCTATGGTCTGATTTTTCGTTAGCTATGGAATCTAATATTAAGAAATAATGGCTTGAAAACATTAGGCTAGTCTGTTATTATTTTGGGCAACTGCTGGATTATTTATCGAAGCTAGTAAAACCAAACGTAAAATAACGCCATATTCATACCGATAAACGGATAGGTTTCCAGTTCATTTGAACCCATGTACTCCCATGAGCGGTAGCTCGCTGGGGGGTTGAATAGCGATTTGTTTCTGATTGGTTGCCAGCTCAGGTCATAATGGCTTGTGTCTTCGTTTTCCCACGAATACCAATCATTGCAGTCTTTGGCAAACGATTTTACTACGTCTGGAAGTTTACATTTATCTGTAATCACAGAAAATTGTCATTTAGCCGTAGGCAGTAAATAAGCAAGAATGAGGCTGCACAGAGCTGCACACAGATAACAACATTTGTTGTAGAGCCTCTTACATATAGAGTTGGCTGAGAGAATGACTACACCATGTAATTGATGGGAGACCATAGAAATTAAAACACCAAAACATAGAAATTGTAGAAACAATATCCCGGATTGATTAGTTAAAATTGTTGGGAAAAATAAAAAGATTCAAGTTTTTCAAGTTTTGTTCTAAACATGCGTGAACCGGCGGCCTTTCGGTATATAAACAGCGCCAAATGTTGAATCATTGATGAGAAAAAAAAAAAAGAAAAAAAAATTGATGGGAGACCTGATCCATCTAACGCCACAATAGACCCTTAAGAAAGGTTAAAACACTTCTCGTTTTCCTTCAAGGATTTGGCGAAGTGATCTTTACTTCAATTAACTATCGACTATGGCTAAGATTACGGAATCTACGAGGAAGGGGGAGGGCTGGATAGATGTGATGAAATACATACTTGGCTTAACACGAAGCTGCCTGATCCTTGCCCCACCAAACAGATTGTTGTACATATCTTGCGTGAAGCCTGGTACGTTTGGGTCACCATTGTACCAATGCGTGGAAAACAATCCGTTGACAGCTGTATCGTTCAGCCATGACCAGAAGTCCTCGCGGGATTGTATCTTAGAGAGAAGATTCATGAGAACGTAAGTCGATTCATGAAGCAAGAATGAGATATGAAAATAGGATACTGGAAATTGTACAAAAAAGCGAAAACATAACAGGTATAAACGTCGAGTTTTATTTCCAGGTGTAAAACGAAAGTAACGGGAAAGAATTGGGAAAAAACTGGGGAATAATTTTATTACGAAAACAAGCAGAAGAAGATCAGACGAAGAAGATAGATCAGAAAAAGAACAAGCAGAAAACTTGCAATGTTCTAATCGCCAACAACAGAAGAAATATCCTAATTGAAAATAGGGCCTTGGCCAAATGAAAAGCGGAAACAAAGTCTTAGCCAGAGCAAAGACAAAGGCGACTAGGAATGTATAAATCTCAAAGAACGTCACGTGCTATATACAAAGTAGCGCCTTGGCTGCATCAATTATTACAAGAGAGAGAATTGGGTATACGTACGGAAGAGAACTCCATGTCACCGCCATACGTGGCCGAGGCTATGTTGTCCTCAATTCCCTTTCTAAGCATGTAGGACCTCGGATCCAAATGGTCATAGCTTACTGTGCAAAGAGCAACGACAAATATTGCGTATATGAAAATGTCTTTCACTATGCCGTACATCTTTATTTCTTTGAGTCTACGAAAATGAATCGAGATGTGTTGAGTAGGCACAAAGAATTAACAAATTGCTTACCTTTCCTTGCTTATACAAAGAACTATTCTACCAAGCGCTACCAAGATGAAAAACATTCAGGAAATATTCACAAAGGCCAGTGTACTGCAACTGTCTAAGCTCATTCCTACCGCCTATCTAAAATCTTTAACACTTAGTTCTTCTACCCTAGAACTCTGTGCTTTAACATTCTACTTGCTTCCGAACATACCATCAATCTTAACTTTTAAGGGTCTTTCTTTACGATAAACAGAACATTGTTATTATAGATCAATATCTTAGAAAATCCAGACGAAGAGCATTGGTGACCAATGATCAACACAAATTCAAAAAGGACCCTCAATAGTTAAAAATACACAAATCCCTAACAACTTTACGGTTGAATTCCATAAAACTGCTCATTACAGATTATTTTTTTACCTTCAATTCTGAATTCCTCGATGTATTCACAGAAATTGCTTATAACAAAGTTATTAAGAAATATAAGATAACTTAATTACTCGCCTCGTTTCTCTTGCAGATTGTATTTTCTCCTTGGGCGGAGGTGTGAATTTTATAATACCCCCTGTCCTTCTTCGACGCTCTCCACCATCCTCATCTGACTTTTCACCAATAAACTCTTCATCATTCTTCTTTTTATTGTCCTCCTCTTCTTCCTCGTTGGGTTTCTTCACGATCAATGCAACGAAAAGACCAAGGAATAGGATCTTTATAGGTTGACTGATGAAGACGTCTTGTACAAAAGATATCATCATAGAAGAGATCCACTGAGCAGATTTATCTTTTCCAAACTGGAATCCATATAATACAACGAAGAACGCTGCAGTAAATGACGTCAAAACGAGCAGAATCCAAGCAAAGTATTTCATCCAGTACGGCAACTTGCGTTTGGGTTTCTTTGGCTTGCTCTTTCCATCACCTTCTTTTTTTCATCGTTTTCAATCTTCAAGCCAATATCACCACTTTCAAGCTGAGCCTCGCTTTTGGCTTCATACCTCGGTTTCACAGCAGCTTTCTTCTTCAGGTCCATCTCAGAATCTGGTACACTGGTGATAATATCCATGAATTCCGATTGAGACTTTTTCTTGTCGCAGCAGTAAAATAATTCAAAAAACCACCAAAATGGCCTTGATTTCTTCTTCGATAGTTCTTCTTTGGATGGTCTAGGTCCCACGCTTCTGAAAACACCTACGATAGCATAAATATAATAGTCTCAATGGTATGTAAATAAAGAACAAAATGATATATAGGACGGGTTTAATGGTGGCAACCCTTATGCAACAAGACTACAGAACAAGCATAGGCCTTTTCAGGTTTTCGACAAAACTATCTTAAGTATCGGAACAAATAACTACTTTACTGACCCACAATGAGCAAGTTGACTGGGAAAATAACCAAGCTACTCATAATTCCAATGCCAATCTGGGCAGGTGAAAATTCGAATGGTCCTATCTTCAAGGTTGTTGATGGGTCAGAAGCCCCTCCAATTTCATAAAACATTGCATTTGTCAACATTGTGCAGTAAATCAAAGTCAGGCAGCATGACAGTCTTTGAACTCTTGTGAATCTTGATTTGGCTGGGCGAATGAACACGCTGAACCAGATATGACTGTCAGTCAAGTTTTTCTGTGTCGTTGAGTAGAACAAGTGGTTGAAGCTTGCGATTTCCTCTGGTCCTGCCACAGGGATAACTTTCTCTATTGATCCGTCTCCTAAGAAATCAATGAAGATTATGGTAACTTATTGTAGAAGGCCTTAATATGCAATATCATTTCACATCATATCACTCAAATAGATAAGCAAATAATAGCAAGAAAAACAAGCGATTCAATTATTAGATGCAAATCAGTATTCCATATTCAGTGTCAATGGTAGCCGAACGTCTCAATACTAGAAACAGCTGAAGTCACTAAATGAGCCTTTACGATCAACAAATAGCTGAAAAGCTAGACTTAAAATGGAGCAGCACTGCAGTAAAGAATCACTGCTTACACTTAAAGTTCATACATACAATTGTATTTCACTCAAGCAGGGGTGTGATGCTAGGGGGGTTGGCTCACTTAGTCTTCTGTCTTGTCTCAATTTTTTACTTCTAGGTATTTTCTTTTGGTGTATTTTTCCGGTGTACTTTTGACCAGACAGATCTTTTCATGTTCAATCTGAATGTAACTAAATGTAAAATAAAAGCAACTAAAACACAAATTTACCCTCTTCAACTGCAAGCCAGGCTTCATTGATAAACAAATACTTCTTGTTTGTGTTCAGATCATGAATGGCTACCTTGCTGAGATACCAAGAGGGCCTTTTTCCAGAGTTGTCATGCCAGACCCGTATATAAGTTAGATCACCTAAAAAGTCTTCAAAGCTAGCAAGGAAAACATCCTGTCCACGTTTGCGGAATGTTTCTCTGTTTTCATCCTTAAGTTCTCTAGGCTCTGATGAGGCGTCCTCACCCGAAAGCTGAATAAAAACTTTAGATGTGGTCCCAGCACTGTTCCCAAAGCCAGTGAAGACTGTTATCTCGTAGAATTGACGATCAGAAGGCTCGTTGTCTTCCAACGGTGTCACACCGGCCTACAAATTGTTTAAAAGTACAAACATGAACAATCAATGAATAATACAATGCAAGGTGGTGGGTCTTGAGAACATTCAAAAACTTACATGACATAGTATAATTGGTAATGATTAAAGAAGACGTTTGAAAAGCTATATACACAATATCATCCAAACCAAGTACACGATTAATATTGAAACGATGTGTTTGATATTATTTTCAATGTCCTCCATTTAAAACAACAGTGTTGTACAGGATAAGCTTAATTATGCTGTACTAAAATGTAGGTACCTTTATGATGTCTTTTCTATCCTCCCTTCTTGCCCAGAAGAGCATCATCAAATAAACCCCAAATATTGCAAGGACGGTTGAGAATGCCACGGGATTTTCAGCCAAATTTGCAAACCCTGCAAATGCTTTGTCAAAGTCAATTGGGTTCGGAGCAACAAAGAAGCCACCGGCAAATGAGACTCTTTTAACTACTTTCTTCACTTTGCGAACTGGTTGTACAGCATACTGACTTCCATAGGACCCAGCCTGTGCGGTGGTAGGTGCAATCGTAGAAATTGGGATCCCCGACTCAGACACTTCTTGCTCAGCATCCAATTTACAGATACACTGTGTGCTATTAAAGGTTGTTTTTGCTCCAACCTGCAGATTCAATTAATAGCTCGAGTATAATCATTGCTGATAACATGGGCCATGGGTCGTAACAGATTAGAACCAGTTTGAGCACCAACTAGAAGCTACTTTTAGAATGGCAACTACAAAGTGACTCTATCGATACCCATACATAGATAAACTCAATTTCTCATTACCACCAACTTTTGCCTGAAAGAAGCTCGTTAAGATTTTAAGAAGATTCATTGCTCTTCGTTGAAGATATAAACCCCACTGTTTGAAAAACTAACCTTACAGCCTTTAGAAGTCCAGACCTTCAGATCATCATCCCAAACTTTGCATTTGGTTTCAAATATCCGAAGTGTGTAATTAAGCGAAGGTGTATACCCAAACGATCCGTATATCTCGAGTCTGTTTAATGGTTTCAGCCCAACGTAGTATTCACCAGTTCTGTTGAGCTCGCCATTTGATACCACGTAAGTGAACGGGTCTGGCAGCTTGGCTTTGCGTTTTAGTCCTTCCTCTTGAGTCATGAATGTATGATTACGTAAGAACTGCGTCACTGTTGGGCGTTTTCCATATGCAATATATAACCTACAAATAAGGAAATCCATTGTAAATATCTACCTTTCAGATTGGAACAGTAAAAGCTATCCCGAAATCAATGTATTTCATTTGTTGTAAGTTACAAAAAGACTACTCTGCATTGGGGAGCCAGGAAACGTATAAACAAATATGCTATTTCTATCATTTTGCAACAAAACTTAATAAATTCAGCAATAAATTCAACTTAATAAAGCCCATTCAACACAACAACCAGGTGACATTTGAAGCTGTGTAATGTGTGCAGTTACAAGGAAATATGAATGTATGAAAAGTTCAGAAACAGTTGTCAAAGACAGTGAGGAAGGCCATTGAAAGCAAAAGTTGTATGGACAGCTTAAGGATATTGATCGAAAAAAGCTGGACAGTTTTCTGCCAACTTAACTTTTGAAGCTTTGATTAATCAGTTCTACCATGGTACTACTTACTTTAAACGAAGCTTGGAATCAACAGGCCTTACTTCAAAGGCCACTCCATTTTCTAGGGTTGAGTAATTGAACTTATGGAATCTCATTGAACCAATTTCATCAAACATGTTCATTTCTGCGGGCATGTCATTGCTTGCATCTCGCTTCACAAACATCTGCAGTTCTTGTCCTGCCAAATCAATCGGTTTTCCATTTCCATCGGTGAGTGCCAAGCCCATCACATTGGATTTAATGTCCGAGGAGCTTGAATCTGAACCGTACGGGTTGTTGGTCATAGACGATACCTAGAAAATAGAAAACCGGCTGATTACATGGAGCTTGCAACTATTTCAATAAACTTATTATTTCTACCGAAGGTAGTTTTTAGGACACTGAAAAGCTATGCATATCGAGCATTGCCCTGGTTCTTCCTCTCAATGGTACCACACCATGTAACTCCTACGCCTGGAATTACTGAGAACTAGCGACTCCCAACACTCTGGACATGTCAGTGACTAGAACCACTGACCCTTAAATCTGCATTCCGTGACATTGACCAATGCTCGCACTTTATCCCACTCTCGCATTACATTTACTTTTCCGTTTGAATTTGATACATATCAGAAATTATTCGCAAAAGAAATTGTTGAACGAGTACAAAGGCAAATAAAGAGAAATGGGAAATTCTCAACGAGACGAGATTCAAAGTAAAAAAGCATGCTGGTTTTGGGAATCAGTTGAAGACACTTCATCCTGATGCAATGTTGCTTAGCTAAGCTTGATGAAGCTATGTAAAGTATTTGCTCTTCTCGTGATATAAAGTAAAAATTTCTGTCAAGCATACCATTGCTCCAACCGACTTTTTGCTTCCATCTGAAGATTGATTGCCCGTTAACGACGTCATACTTGGCAGTTTGAACCCAGCCTCATCTTCATCTGCATCATCAGCAACTTGTGACATCTCCACATCCATGTTGGGAAGGGACATTTTAGTGGGCTTGTCCCCCGCTACCAACTGACGCATCAAAGAACCACCAACCTTGGTCACCGTGTCAAGTATTTTGCTGGTCGCATTGGCTGTGGCAGGATCAACAGTGCTGTTTGCTGTGGAATTTGATGTTCCGTTGTTGCCCTGAATTAAGGAGGAGAAGAAAAGCAAGAATAGAATGGGAAAATATAATGGGCAAAGACGTTAACAACTTCACCAGTTAATTACAAGTAACAATATGTCGGAGTTTTTAGAGAATTCAAATTCACCAGCAGTGTCAGCAACACTACCCATTTGTTGTAGAACAGTATATTTGGATAGAAAAAACACATACACTCATTGGCATGATATAATACTTGTAAAGAGTGCACCCTATTCGTTTTCATGAAAAGCCATATTCGCAAAAGCGTAGCTGATAATGACAAAATCTTAGCAGGCTATCCTTGGAGGGTATAAACACCCTTAAGACTGGTGTTGGTATCCTTTTAATTATCAAATCAGCATAGGTATTATGCAGTGTTAGAGTTACTCACAGCACGATGCATATTGGCTTGCAAAAGTTTTGAAGATCCTTGCAGCATTGTCATTGCAGCTGCTTTAACACTTGGGTCCTGTGGATTTGACTGGAGCATGCAGTCTGACATACCATCCATTGCTGAAGAGCTGGCATCCTGTAAAAGAGAGATTAAAAAACTTTCCATGACTTTCAGAATCTTTAAGGGAAAAATTCGTAACTGTTCGAAAAGAAAATTGTGTCGAATGTATAGAACAAGGATTTCCCTGTGCCGTAGAGTAGCAGAAAAAAATATTGTGATCGCATTAAATAAATAATCATTGTTGAATACGTTCAAATGAGAATAAGCAGGATTGTAGGGCTATCAAAATAACAAGGAAGTGCTGCAAAAGTGCTGCAAAAGTAGATCTTGGCTACAAATCGGCATTAACAAGGGAGACTGATGATAAGTGTATATGCTGAAAATTATTCAAGGCAATATAGAAAGTACTATAACAATATCTTAAATTAACATGGCAGCACAGAAACGTTGAATTGCCTTTGACTTAAGTGGCAAAGTTCTAACCTGTGCATCTTGAGATACTTCATCTGGCTTTCCAGTCATTTCGTTGTAAACATCGCCCATTTGGCGAATTTGGCTGACGTCACATACTTTAACTTGGCTTAAAGACAGCAAAATTTTTGTTCTTGCCTTTGAAAAGAGAGTACATTTCATCAATCCCTTTCGAATTAAGCAAAAACAAGCAGAAAAATTGGCATCATCATCAGAGTTAATATTTAATCAAATGTATTAATCAATATGAATTTATAAAATTTATGAGATAAAATTTCGGTAACCGTTAGAAAAAAAAGCACATTAAATGTAAAATGTAGTAAAATATCTTTTAATGAATTCAGCCAAACATTCAAGGACAGAAGATTGTTCACTTCAGTTGGCTTTGACTAGGTATTAATTTGATAGATCTAATTATTCAATGCTGTTAATTGTACTTGATGCCTATGAGATGAAATACTATGCTAGATGAGGATATTAAGAATACCTCCATGGCTTCGTTTGTTGAATTAGTTGAATTTGTAGGGGAAGCTTTATTCATGACTGATCCAGCAGCCACTGCCTGTTGAGTAAGTGCTTGAACATTGCCAGACGTTGACAACTTGGCAAGGTCATCACTGACAGCATTCATGTCTACGGTCGGAGGCTCTTTTACCTAAAGTGAAATGACATAAAGATTTATTATGTCTTATCATATATGTAGATTTATCATGTCCTTATCAATAGCAAACTGTAATAATCATCTAGGGTTAGAGATACTTGCCCAACTGAAGCTAGAGGAATACGTCCAATAAAATCAAATTAAAGACAAACTTGCCCAATCAAATCCAATTGAAAATCATCCACTTTGGGCCAGAGGAATTCGTCCAATGAAATGAAAAATTCACAAACAAGGGCCAGAATAAGATTGGACAAAACATGGATCTTAAATGAAAAGACAAAACTTTTTTACGCAGACATGCAAAACCATTAAGGAACATTTTGCTTTGATTGATAACAGAAATTAACTCATTTTTCAAAAAGCAAGGAGTTACTAACCTGTACTTTTAAATTATTCCTAGTTGCATATCCATACTTGTCAGAAACCTTTGCAACAATTTCCATTTCAAAGTTATTGGCTTCATTGCCGATAGGCAAAACTGTTTCAACTCTTGTTTCCAGACCATTGTATATATTTGCCAGGTTTCCATCTCTCAGGACGTCTGTAAAATCAATTGAAAAACATCGTTTAATTCCCAGCATACTAATAGAGTTATTCTTAACTCAAATGTAAAAGATCAAAGGTCATATTGCTAACAAATATAGAATATTTTTGATACAGTTGACTTAAGAATGCTTCGACTTTGTAAAATTACGAAATCTGTAAAAATATAAGGTAGCACTGCTAAAAGCAATCGTAAAAATATATTTTCACTCCAGTACGGTTAAACCCTTTCCCTTTCTATTTTGTAACTATAATAAATCGTCCAATTCATGTCGATTCCAAGCATCCAAGAAATCCAAGAATTTTGGGGATACGATTAAGCTGATTTTCATGATATCACATGAAGAACTGGCGATACTGCTGAACAACCTGGGTTTTTTGATGGAATAGTCCATGATATTTTTTAGGTGAAAGACACTGAATTTAGTTGAATTCTCTTCCTTATTCTTCGCAAAAATTCTTTAAAACTTTAAATTAAACGAACCTATTTGATACGTCAAAGGCAAGTCCTCTTCAATCCAGCTGCTACAAACAACTTGAAATTTCGTTGTAAGTGAAAAGCCACTATTTGGTTCAATATTACAAGAGCCACTATGAGGTGGCTTGTTTACTTTGAATCTGTATTCACTGAAGCCAACTCCATCTACAAATTAAAAATGAAAGTTTCGCATCAGTGGTGTTGGATCACGATAAAAAAGCAAATGCTGCATAATAGCTGACCATTGTTTGTAAAGTACGTTGAAACTGTAATTTCCCATCTCTATTGTAAAAATTAACACCATTCGTGTACAGTAGGTTGAAATCTAGAATTTTGACAGATTTCTTGATGGGTTGAACTTTTTGTTCCTTTGAACTCTGCGTATTCATTTTCTCGTATATCGTTTTATTTACATCATTTGTTTACCAGTCATAGATATAAATAGCCGTAAGCAAGCAAAATGCTGACTTCATTTACATGAACGAAGAAAAATGTATTGGCACTAACACCATACCAAAAAAGACTTTTTTGACAAAGCTTTTCATGTTAGAAAACCAACATAACATCATCGCCGACTGAGAAAGCAAAGCCAGTAAAGAACCTGAAGATGAACAGTTTTCCGTGTTGGAAAATTAAACTAGATGCTAAATAAGGTAAATGTCCCCTGACTCACCCTTCTCTCCGCCTGGTTTCCAAGCACTGACCTTGAGGTTGTACTGCTCCCCTGGTGTCAGAACATTTGCAATAATAGCAATGTTTGCTTGGTTTATTCCAGTAGTTGTCTTACTACCAAGGTCAGTGACTTCAGTTTCTGTGCCGGCTACATCCAATTTCAGCAAAGACCATTTAAAAGAGAGCACTGTGCCTGCCTTGCAATCCGTGCACAAACTCTCCACAACCAGACGCTGAGCTGGATTCAGTTTGTCTAAACAATTCATTTTGCACCTGTAACAAGACAGAATTGTTTGTTAACGGTTCAAAGGTTAGGCCGGAGTACCAGTACCAGACGTTAGAATCAGCTATAAAACATTTTAAACCACGCAACGACTAAAAGTTCCTGGTCTTCATGTTCTTTCATATGTGAATTAAGATTTACATTATCTTTGCTCTGTTCTAACCCTGCGCTACTCCAAAAGATGACGCTCTTTACCATTTCATTATCGCTGCGACTTTTGAAAATGCATATGAAGCTTCTCAGACTACTATTAGTAGCTTAACTAGGGTTACAACAGTGCAATTTTTTTAAGCTTCAAGCTATTTATCAATACAGTTGCCAAAGGGCTAGTAAAACTTGGCTATTTCTTGATGTTAAACTGACCTGACCTGACCTGACCTGACCTGACCTGACCTGACCTGACCTGACCTGACCTGACCTGACCTGACCTGACCTGACCTGACCTGTCTGTGACGTGATCAGACCTGATCAGACCTAATCTAACCTAACCTGAAATGACGTATGATTTCACTTGTGACCCATAAGCACAAAAGGCATACCTTAACAATACATGATACCGAACTCAATGCTGCTGACCCAAGACACGCATGACTGTTTTTGTCTCTTAAAATAAACTTACTTGATATCCATAGATGGTGGACTGCCGGGCAGAACTTGGATCTCCTGATCAAACCAGCTAACTCTTGTATCTTTCATAACTACTAGACGGAAAACATACGACTGCATTTGAACAAGCCTTCCAGTGTCAAGCTAAAATAAATAACAAGTAAAAGAATTTGTAAATATGAATAACAATAACACAAAACTTCAAACTACAACTGAATATTCAAATTTTACTTTTTAACTCATCATGTGCCATGAGTTAAAAGGCCTAAGTTAAAAATGTATGTTTTACCGTTGTTTGCATCAAGGATTGGGATGGTTCTGTTAGGTTAAATTGGCCATTGCCAAAGCAGCCGTCAGTCATATTTGCAGCGACATAGTTCTTTGTGAACGACTCTTCCTTCCTCTTGCAATACCAGTAGAACTTCATTCCTGACTTATCGGTTTTGCTACTGTCCGGGTCATATGACTCACCGCCATCAAGAAGGAGTTTCATTTCATATCCAACTGCTCTACGGATACCACCTGTGAAATATATTATTGCCAATAAGAATGTGAACATCTCGGATACACAGAAAGAAACTAATTGATGGCAGCAAATTCAGATACGTAAGTTATTTTTACAATTCCTGATGATCCTTTAGAAATCACATACATGGTTTATAGAAGAAAGCTATATACCAAACTCTCAGTAAAATCTCAAAACCGGCATGCAGATGTTAATGTTCTCATACGTTAATTTTTTCTATTTTAAGCTCATCGCACTCTTACTTGCTATTGAAGGAATTAGTTTCAAATATCTTGCCTTTAATCACAGCTTTCAAAGATGTTGCTACTGTATCCAACCAGACTGCATTTGAACTGAACACATCGGTGACGTCATGAGTTACACTTTCAAATGTAACCTTCAGCTTTGCCACGCTGATTCCGATGTCCAGCGACTTTTCTAATATCTCATATATTGTTGGATCGACACCGCCAGCATCAGATGCAATGCCAAGAGCGACTTTTGTTGTTGTATAGTTCATAAGTCTTGGTTGACCACTGCTGTCTATTGAAGCCTTCAATATACTCCAAGTGTATAAAATGTGACTTGCTTTGTCGCAATCAAAAGTCACATTGGCACGCAAAATGATTCGGTCTGATCGCAAGATGGTACGTGGGGATTGTAGAGATCCCCCACCACTGATGTGGACACTTGGCATTGCACAAGGCTTGTAGATAACCTCTACCTGCTTTGTAAGCTTCTCATAGCTTACTAGGTTTTTGGCTTCAAGAGAAACGTTATAGCTCCCTTTAGCGGCATATGTGTGGTTGTAACTAAAAGCATGGCTGGGGAGAGTTTTGAAAACGTATTTGTTGATAGTGTATATGATCAAATTTTCACATTGAGTATTGTTGAAAACAGTTACGTTGCCATCACCTAAGGAAAGAATATAGCAGGCGGACGAGCCAATGCTTTTTGGATTTATCTTAAATGTAGCAACTGTTTTCAGATGAATGGTAGATGGCACATCAAAATTCATGCCCTGGATGCTTTCTTGCAAAACAATGATCTTCCACAATGTTGTGCGTTTCAAAACATTTTCAATTATGACTGAAACATTATACCTTCCAGGCTGTGGATAGCTGTATGTGACTTTTTCACTTGTGGTATTCGTCGTCTTGCCGTTATCAAAGTTTATAAAATACCATTTATCTTTCAGCTGCTTTGTCACAGACAACTGCAGGTCCTGCTCAAGAGGAAAGACGTTGTTCTTAGGTCCATACCCGGGTACCAAATTCCCAGTTTGGCTGCTTTTGCTGTTGATTGCAAGCGATACAGGTAGCATCTTTTGCACGTCAATTTCCAAATCAAATCCAATGCTGCTTACATTGTTTTCTACTTTGACTTTTGTGATAAAAACCCCAGTAGAATTATACTTATGAGTGGTAATAATTTCTGACAAATTGCTGAAGTTAATTGGAATACGATTCACTGAGTAGCCATCTCCGAAATCCCATGAGATCACCGCATCGGTAGGAACGACAAATCCTGGGCTTTGAAACCAGTGGTACTCAGCAATGCCCGGGCTATATCTTATGGGACTGTTGGTAATAATACGAATCCCTGACACAGGATGCTCCACTTTAATGATATCTTGACAGCTGCTTCTTATAGAGTTGTACTTATTTTTAACAATCACCTGTATACTGTACATGCCTGGGTTGTTGAAAACATGAGATGCTAATAAACTTTGATTCACATTTTCACTAACTGTGATAGCAGGCTCATCCTTGCCAAAGTCAAAAGTGACATCAAGCCGAGATCCAGTCTTAGTAGATGACTTGACTGTAAAAGGCTGTCCAACCTTCATGAATTTATTGGGACATTTTAATTCGTGTCCTGTAATTGGAATTTCCACGGAAACAGTGACATAAGCTGTCTGTGACCCTAAGACATTGGTGCATGTTACTTTCACAATGAAATCACCGACAGCATCATACTTATGGCGAGTCGGCATCGTGTTCAACTTGAAGTCTGTTTTTCTTTGACTGCCATCACCGAATTCCCATTCACACATGTACACCGTGCCAGTTTCCATTTGCAGTGATAACAATGTCTCGTTTCCCAAGGCAGTCGGCTTTGCCTGCACAGCCATATTCTTTATTTCCTGCAGCTCTTGAACGACGATTGTGACACCAAGAGACGCGTGTAAGACTGAAATATCATTCATGCAAGTCACATTGGCTCTGTATTCTCCGACTGCACCATATACATGCTTTACTGTAAGTATGCTTGTCTGATGCTTGACGGTCCCATCTGCAAATTTGTATGTACACAAGGGGTTAGATCCTTGTTCTAATTGTGCATTCATCACAACTTCGTCGTTCTTTGCAATATAAGCATTGTTGTTCACATTAGGGAGATGTGTTACAAATATCAAATTCTTTAGTGGAATCTGGACGACAGCGGTGGTCATTATGATGACTAGAGGGCTGACAATACTGGAAGCTTCAATTGTGATGTTATACCGACCAACTTTCTGGTACTGGTACCGGACAGTCATCTTGCTTTGGAACTTACCACTCATGTCTTGTATCTTCTTAGGGCTACCATCTCCGAGATCTATCACATAGGAAACATTCGTTCCGTGTTCAACTGACCAAGTTGTTACCGTATCTTGTCCTAACGCAACAGCATCTACAGGCATGTCGAATTTCAGTCCAGAAATCTTATCAAGTGCCCTCACAATGCACGTTTTCGTTATCCGCCCAAGTGAATTGTATGCAGCAAAAGAGAATGTGTATATGCCTGGTTTAGGATACACTAAAGAATACTCCCCAATTGTTGTTGTTGTTGCAACGCGATAGTCTCCAGGCAACCACTCGTACGTTGTGTTGCTTCCCGTATGGGCGGGTATCTTAATATCAATGGAGATGTTCGTAGAGGTAAGCGTAGGACATGTGAGTTGCACTCCTGAAATTGGAACATCTGTATAGATGTAGAAGCTTGGCATTATAGTTGACGTCACTAGATAAGCACCCGTGTTAGAAAATGTGTGGTACAAAATGAAGCTCGCTTTAATGCTATAATGAGCACTGATTATATGATGTGAGTTCACTTTTACGCCATTGGCTCGCAAAACCTTACTGCCCACTTGAGTTGTCACTGGATATTGGTATTCAGGAGCATCATTTGAGCCATCAGGGATCATGCCATAGGCTACTGCACCTGATGCTGCGGAGGCCGAATAGCTCCATCCAATCACATCGCCTGGCTTGGTTTGAAACTTTTCGCTGTTTTGCAGTTTAATGACGTGATGGCCAGAGACATCAATATTTACTGTGTGTTGATAAACAAGAGTATAATCAGCTGGTGTGCTAGCGAAATGAAAATCACGTTTGGCCTCACATGTAGACATTGATTGGGCTGTATTGGGGACACAGCGACCACGGTGCAAGCAGTATATCTCAGCACTGCCACATGAATGTTGGCCAACGGGTTCGCAAGGCAAAGTCGCAGAGATACATGAATGATTTGATTGGCAAAACTGTTCACCAGAACCACAGCTAGGCCTAAATATCTAAAAAACAAAGTGAGATCCAATGTAGCAGAATGCAGTGCATTAAGCATTAGCATATTATGCTCAAAGCACCACATCACAAACTAATTTTCACGGCTTTCTCTAGTTACAGCATGTTACCCATTTATTGTGCTGCAAGTTTGTTTCCAGGCTCCTTTTGCCAGAAGATTTGGTGGGCCAACATTTTTATGAAAACAAGTTTAAAATTTTCCAGTGAAGCACCTCTAGATGGCAAAAAGCTCCTTGAAATTGAAATGGAAATTTGTCACACTCCTGACGACCCCTTTTTCAAGAATCAAAACAAAAACTCGACAAAAATCTAATTCGCCGCAAGATGGATCGCAAAAGTAATTAAAATATATTGATTCTCATATCCTTCGATGCAAAAAAATTGCAGATCAAACCTGTAGCAAAATATTCCCAGCAGTCATTGCGTCAACTTCCCAGTGCGTTATTATTTCCTCTTCCGTGAATTCTGCTGATGGCATGATAAATGTTGCTGCTGTTGTCCATTTCGCTGTCTCTAGAGTCTTGAACGTTGGTATTTTGCGACCAACAGAGGCATACTCGGGATCTGAAAGAGATTACATTACAACAACCTTGTGAGTAGAAATACTGTAGAGGTTAGAAGCCTTTTCGTTAACATAACAAATGGTTGCCTGAAAACATGAAAAACTTAAACAAAAAATTAGAGCCAAATCTCCTGTTAGGAAAATTCACGAATCATAGTGAACACAAATAATATTTTACTGCGAAATAGGATGAAACTATGCTTGCAAATTAGATTTACATTTCAAATCCCGTGCAGCAGTAATAGTAGCAATAAAGCAAGACAGTGCATGAAGAGTCCAGATTTACTTGACTATCTTCAGAATGATGGCCGACAAAGTAAATCAACTCACTTATATATAGATTCTCTTTGCTTCCATCACCAAAGTCGATTTCCGTGTTCACCGTTGTTCCACGTGCTACGGTTCCATTGCACTGAACTTGTCTTCCAACAAACGTGGACGTGGGACATTCTATGGAAACTCCCTCGAGGTCATCGAAAACAGAAACTTTCCTTGTGGTTTCCTGCATTCCGGATACATTGTTTTGTGCTTGTAAAATGAGCTCGTATGTCCCTGGTCTGTCGTAGATGTGGGATATATTTGGGGTACTGCTAAATAAGGGTTTCGTTCCATCGCCATCACCAAAATCAAAGTTAAAAGTGGAATCCAAGCCATTGGCAATGCTGGCTCCAAAACTTGTTCTCTCGAAAATTCGAACAGGGCCTGGGTTGAGAATGCGCATCCCTAAAATCCGGTCTTTGATTGAGTAAACACTTATCGTGTTTAAGCCGCCACATTTTGGCTTTGTCTCCCCAATAGGGTAATTTAAAGTTCCCGGACAAACGGATGAACAAAGATCCTCACTGGCCTTGCTTAGCGGAATCTTGTCGGCGCACATGCAAAACTGCCCGTTTTGAATGGCTGCATATTTGAACTTGCGACCGCATACCACCATGCACTGCACTGGGCTGAGTTCATTCACGCGGTAATCCCCGGATGCATGCGAGAAGACGCGGTTTTCTATGCCTTCTAAGAAACAGCCAACATATTCTAAGGAAACACAATGATAAACAATTTAAAACGTATCTACAAGGAAAGATCAACATTCAATTTTTGGCAAGAGAGCTGTTCATTTATAAGACAGTTCGGATGGAACTGAAAAAAATACTAACATTTTCGATAGACTGAAGTTGAAAAAAGCCAAACAATATAAAATTTTCAAAGGAGGTTTGAAGACTTTCTACAAGACTTTCTCACAATTGATTGATTAATTTCTCACAATAAACTCTATATTACTTTTGTTAACAAGCCCATTTGATATTCACTTTAACAGCCCGAATGGCAAGAGTAAACCAGTCTGTCATATAAAATCAATACATTCACAATCCTCTTTTACTTTACATTGAAACCTTTGGATGAATACACATTTTCATAAAACCCTTGTGTGAAGTGTATTGATGTGGCTATTCAGAAAAATATGATGTAATCATTTTGTTTAGGGCCTTCCTTACCCCATCATGTTCAACAAAGAAGATTTTTCTCCCAGGACATTGACATCTAATACAACGTAGTTCAGAATATCGAGAGGATAAACAGTAAACTTTATAACCATAAACAAACACAAAAAGATAAAGGAAATAGTTTAAGCCTACTATGCAAGCTTATTTGCTTTTGAAATTTTGTAATATTACAGTTTAGGACCCTTTTGTTCTAAATCAGTGAGAAAATGTGACATCATTTTACCAAAACAATAGGCTTCCACCTCCCCCAACATTCAACCAAGTGCTTGCCCCTGACTGTAATCTGCTATGTTTCCGCTTTTAAGTGCCATTTTCGAATTTTGCGCTACCTAAGGCTTGTATAGATATCATATGTATAAAGATAAAGATTACCCATCCTGCTGTAAGCCAGGCTGATCATGAACCAGCCTCTATGAAAACGTGCCTTTCAATAAAGTCACAAAAATAATAGTAACAAAGGGGAAACTAAAATTGATGTAGTTGAACTAGTTCAAATTCTAACGGAGGTGGCAAATCTTATCCTAGCAGATATTCTGAACTGTTCGAAGAAACCATTTAGTCTCACAACCCGAACAAGAAATATGAATTCACCTTTCAAGAGCGCTAAATGCGCAAAAGCTTTAAAATTCATAGATAAGTAGAACAAAAAAAACTGAGAAAAAAGAAACTGAAAGAAAAAAAAACTGAGCATTGAAAAGACATTGCGAAACACTTCAGTTAAATTAATATAGCTAACCATCCTTTATCACCATAAAATAATCATTAATATAGCTTTCATAACACTTTCTTCGTTTTAAGATAACATCTGCTTGAGCAACCACCAAGCTTCCCCTTTTTTCAGCACACTACCTTGATCGTTTAAGAAGATCTTCTTTACATGCCCTTATCTGACTATACTTTTTACAAGAATAAGTTTCCCATACACTATAATACTTTCTAGAAGACATTGTCCTCAACTGTCAAAAGTACTTTGGTCCTCCACAAAAGTCCTTGTGAACTAGTTTTCTTTACATATAATTTATTTAAAGCAGCAAATAAATCTTTTGCAAAAAATGGAATTTATTTTTCTGCGTACCTAAGTTGCCCGGTCACCACATTAAAAAAACTTGCCTATTTTCACCGCTGGTCAAGCTTTCTTTCAATTTATCGTTCTATTATTGTTCTCTAAGTTAATTCTTCAAAAACATGTCTGGCTGCTAATGTAAGAAATTTTACTTTTTAGCGTATTCAAATATGAAAAAATTTTCGGATCACATTGAATATTCGTTTTATGCGTTCAGCATAGAATGGAAAAGCTAAGAGAATCACCACATACAAAATATAAGTAATAATAACTAAATGACTCATACAAGAAGAACGTGCAATTTAGGGGATAGAAAAGCCTAGCAACCAGCAAGCAAGCAAACACACAAGGAAGCAAACAAGAAAGTTCGCAAAATTGGAAACAGACGTGAAAAAAACAAGCGATGTTTTGCAAAAATGGAAGCAAGAAAACACCCAATTGACGAAGCATAGATGCAAACATAGAAACAAATATGGAAAGGTACAAACAAGCAAACATAGAAACAAACATGGAAAGCAACAAGAAAGAAAACATGGAAGCAGGCAAACAAGCCAACCTCCAATCATAGAAACCAATATGAAAAGGTACAAACAAGCGAACATAGAAACAAACATGGAAAGCAACAAGAAAGAAAACATGGAAGCAGGCAAACAAGCCAACCTGCAATCATAGAAAAAATATGGAAAGGTACAAACAAGCGAACATAGAAACAAACATGGAAAGCAACAAGAAAGAAAACATGGAAGCAGGCAAACAAGCCAACCTGCAATCATAGAAAAATATGAAAAGGTACAAACAAGCGAACATAGAAACAAACATGGAAAGCAACAAGAAAGAAAACATGGAAGCAGGCAAACAAGCCAACCTCCAATCATAGAAACCAATATGAAAAGGTACAAACAAGCGAACATAGAAACAAACATGGAAAGCAACAAGAAAGAAAACATGGAAGCAGGCAAACAAGCCAACCTGCAATCATAGAAATCAATATGAAAAGGTACAAACAAGCGAACATAGAAACAAACATGGAAAGCAACAAGAAAGAAAACATGGAAGCAGGCAAACAAGCCAACCTCCAATCATAGAACAAATATGTAAAGGTAAAGACAGACAAGCGAACATAGAAGCAAACGTGGAAATCTACAAGAACGAAAACATGGAAGTAAGCAAACAGGCAAGCAAGCAAACATGGGAACAAAAATGGAAAAAAACAAGCAACCAGACATGGAAGCAAGCAAATAAGCAAACAAGCAAATAAGCAAACAGGCAAACAAGCAAACATGGATCACAATGACAGATGAATGAGCAGCACGGATGTTGGGAAATTCTTCACTAACATGGATGTTGGTGAAGAATTTCCCAAAACACTCACATCAGCTGAACCCTTAATATCATCCAGAAAATTTGGGTTTATGAAAAATGTTTATTGATGTCAAATCTCGTTCTTAGATCGTTAGCGAAAAAGAGCGGTTAAATCATGAAGCCATGAAAATACAATTTATGGGAGGGTTGAAAATTCTTATTTTCCATTGAAACAACCTTTTGACATCCATCTTGAAAACATGGATATTTTGCGCACAAACATTCACCAATCCGCGTTTTAAATACCACTCTGCAAAATTAGTAAAAACATAGTAATATAGAAAAGATTGCATTTAACACCCATTTCTAAGACGTAATACCCCCAAAGCAACATTTGGAAAACCATGAATAATAAACAAGCCTGAAAACACGTAACATTTGAAACCATGGAATTAATTATGCATGGAGATAACCAACTTTCGCAGCAAAATGCTAAACAGTCTCTTTAAATTCTGATAAAATAAAGCCCCGCTCTGGTTTTATTGCATAACCAACCGTCGCGTGGCAACAAAGAAACAAAAAATCGTATCCAGTCGAAGCGCCATATCCGGAATGAGACACTTTCGAATTCGATCTAGGTACTTTAGAGGAGCAAATTCGTACGTCCAACATTACCTCTCCCCCAACATTATATATCCATGTGCTATTCAAATCAACCTCTTTCGCAAGAAACTTCCTTTTACTCATACATATAATATACATAGAACCGACGCTTTTTAGCATAAGAAAGTTCAGTAATCTAGTTCACCTATCTACAGTATCTATCAGTTAAAGGTAACCAAAACGTGCCGCACTATACGGCTGATTCTCATAACAACAAGCATTGTAGCACACATTACTTTTTGCTCAATGACTTTTTGTATAGCTTATTGGGAGTTGCCCAGTGATTTTTTGTATTGCTTAATAGAGTTGCCACTCGAATACATTATTTCACGCTTAAAATACTTCAGAATAATAAAAAAGTCCCACTGAATAACGCACCAAACATCATCCAGCAAGGACTGATCATCAGTCAATATCTCTACACAATATAATGGGGTGGCCAAAGTGATTCAACACAAGATTGAGCAAGCATGCTGGTTCCTGCTTAACCGAACACTCAGTTCGTTTGTCTAGGGCTTACGTATACTGCCAGTAATACAATGGCTTCGAAGTTCTGTGTTCCTGGTGGCTTAACTAGGGAAACTTTCCGTGGCAGCGAAAATCAAATCTATGAAGTCATCTACGTAGTCCTCAAAACACCGGGAAGAGATGAGATATACTCCGACAAGGATCGCGATAAATGTTGCGTAACCTAAGATGTTTTGGCTCAAGAAATAGTTTCACGTTTTCAGGTTTGGTAGACGATGGCCATCAATAGCACACAAAAAATGAAAAAATAGTCTGAAAGGTGTTGCACTCCTTTGCGCTGCAAACGTTTCATGAATTTCTACCGATTAAAAGTCATTTCTGCACGGTTGTGTCACAACTTGTCAAAACGTACTCTTAGCCAATGAATTCATTAAAAGGTTAGCCTGCGTTAGTATGAAAAAAGAACTTTATCTAGATCTGCTTAGGAAATGAAAGCCGACGTTAGAGAATAAGGTAAGTGTTTGTAACCAGCCTTAGTTCTATGTATCTTTTCTCTAAAGATAAATTCTAGATTATTTCGTGATATGCGATGAAAGTTTGTAGGCTTACCTTCTGTTTTATCGCGGTCATATATGGATTGCCTTGAAAGAAGTACCTGAAATAATTAAAGGAATAGCATATTACTATATAATAATCCTACGGTAAGAATGAAAAACGCATCATAGTGATCACACCAATACCGATGTGCAAAGTAAATATCTCAGAAAAAGCAAGATAATTTGCACTAATTAGTTTTTAGTAATTTGTTAGCAACTCTCGAGAGTTTCGCTTATATAAGTTATAAATATAAATTTCGAAGATATGTGATCTTTTATCAAGTTCAAAGAGCATGGTTGCTTCACAAAACGGTATATGCTAAAACGCAAACTTTGCGTTGACAAAACAAGGCCAGCATCGATTTCTTTAAAGTCACCTCATCGGCAGCAAAAACTCAACTAGTCAACTAATCTAACTACACATAACTGGAGGTTGACAGAACACACTTGAGTGGAGGGTATCATTCATTAGTCTCTTGGTACAAGGTTGAAAGAGTTTGCTTGGAGTTTAAAGGACCATGCAATCATTGTTTGAAAGTACTTTGTCATGGCTTCATTCGAAGCAAATGTCCTTAAAAATAGTGATCTCACTAATCTAAACGTGTTAAACCCAAGTTTAGGAAAGTCGTTATACTAACCTGCGCAATTAAGATGAACAGGAATGATATATAATTCTTCATATTACTCTTTCTTGCCACTCATCTGGCAATCTGTGTTCCTATCTCCAATTCACAATAACTGAATACTTATCCAAAGGAGTTTCGCATTTGTTAGTAAAAGACGTCACTTTGTGGTTGCGAGGAAGCGCTGCATTGCAATGGAAATAAGGCCCGCATGAATCTGATTGGTCAGATGTTTTCCCAAATTAATACATGAAATTTTCAATACATTTATGGGTAGTTTTCTCTTCTATGAAATTATTTATTCATAAGAATTTGTGTCAGTTTTGTACGAACAGAATACTCTGTGGTGAACGTTTTTTTCAAAATTAGTTAATGAAGCTCGCAGTTTCGACGATTCTGTAAGCTTTTGAATTATCCTAGCTTCTTTTTGAGTGATTTTCACAAGAATCGGAAATAAAGTTTCAACTACTGCTTACGACATAACTTTGGCATAAATTATAATAAATTACGAAATATTCCCTTATGTGATATTGTTTTCACGGTACTGGATAATAATCAGGAAACTACACGAAACAATGAAGTGAATTAGAAGATCTGGGTATTCTTAATAACCACACGTTATACAAAACCGAAGCAATTAAAATTCTCGCTAGGCTTTTTGCATGTATTGAAAAGTCTTGTATTGTATTGAAAAGATATACAGTATTGGATTTAATTGGCATACTTTGATACTGGAAAGCTGGATGAAAGAGCTAGACAGCAAATATCAGACGAAACAGACAAAGCGAACCATTGTAATCGAAATACAACAGGAGCATAAGAATACTTAATTCAGCTGAAATTGCATAATAATTGAAATTGGTTGAAATGAAAACGAAGTTTCAGGCTGTAAAGATAATCGGATGGATTGAAACGCAGAGAGGTTGACATGGGGCCAACAGCTTGAATCGTACCTTGGATAACTTAGCCTTTTACCAAGTTGGACTGATATTCAATTCACATTGGATTTTCCTATTTTACTCAAGTCAAAAGCCTTCCCCCGGATGAGCCGGACATTCGTCAAGTCGGGCCATTTCCTCGTCCCCCTTTTAAGGTTCGACTTAGGGGATACAACTGTATACAAAATATTGGAAAATTGTTATAAAGAGGATTCTTCATAGAAAGGAAAAGAAGGCGATATGGACTGAAAACAACGCGCCATCAAAAAGAGTAAATTAATAACATATGTAAGTGCCAAAATTATCCAAAAACGATAACTTTTAGAAACAATATATAATGGTGACCGCCCATACATTTTTTGTTTGAAATACCCAAACCTTTCCAGAAGTAAACAACACTCTCAGAGAAAAGGCGTAGCACTTTAAAGTAATAAATGGAAACTAGGAAGCCTTAATTTCATAAAAATATCATCACAAAGTACAGACGTGTAGCCATGAAATTATTTGTTGATTTCATCGAATCTACAAAAGTCGAAATGTTTGCGTGGATAAGAAGTACTGTAACTCTAAATCAAATTGTAATATTGTTTAAATTTTGCTTCATTGACCATAAATTCATACATACGCTGCAAGAACGAAGCTACGAAATTCTAAAATTCTTGTCACTTTTTTCCACCACATCCATGTCTGTTTGGAGAATCAATAAGAGTAGCTTACTATGCCTATTTTTCGCCTTGAGTTCAACAGGTGTGAATATTTCAAGAAATGTCTTGGAGGAGCATTCGCATTTTCTGGCTCAAATGGCATCATATATTAGATAATATTGGTAACTTTGCAAAGAATTTGGTAGTAATTAGTCTGTCACCGGGAATGTCTCTCAAACTGATCGATTCCAATCCGCATATGATGAAACCAAAGCATTCAATTCAGAAGGGTTCATCATTCACCTTACACCAGCAAAATAAAACTTTCATCACAGAGCAACTAAAGCCGCACAATAAGCCAATTTTAACTATCGATTAGCCTCCCTTCAGAAATGCACCTCTCTAGCCACTCCAGGGTGACGATCTTTGTCGCTGAAGATACCATCGTGCAGCTTTCCTGAAAAATAAGACAAAGATCTTTGTAAGTTTTATCTTTGTGTTCTTTGGGCAGTGGCGGTTTTGGGGACTGCTGGGCCTGGGACAAAAAACATCTGCGAGGCCCTTGAGGTGTGGGGCCCCTTTTGGCTACCATAAGCGTGAGATGTGGGGCCATGGCGCCCCTGGACTCCCTTAAAACCGCCACTGGCTTTAGGTTAGAGGTTTTGAGAGAGTCTGAATTGAAAAACTTTCAGAACGGGTGACGTAATATATTTTACGTTTCACACAATGGTTTGTCTATGTCTGCATTTTAGATGATTCAGATTTGAAATAATTTAACAGAAGAAACAAAAGTAATATATTAACCAAATCTTCAGGTTCTGATACAACAACAAAAGTTGTTTCCTCCGTAATAAAGCCATCAATATTTCCATCATATCTGGATTCGACATGTTAACAAAACAAAAACAAATGACAACATCTGAGCGGTAAACAATAAGTCCATTCTCAAGATAAAAACTGAGCAAGCGGTATTTTTTCACAGCAAATAACATATATTGTCATCAAAATAAGTACTTCAAGTGTAACCCCTTAGGTAGCAAGTGGGGGTAAAGAGACCAACGAGTATAAGAACCTGGTTATCCCAGGCATGCTTCTGAAAACATTTGGCAAAAGACTGTTATAGCATATTCTCACTTATAACAATATTTCTTAAAAATAGGAAATTTATTGAGCCATATCATATCATCGCACGTCATCATGGCTCTGACAAGGGTCATTACTCACAGCTGTCACCAATTACACAAACTTCTACCTCAGTCAAAAATGTTTAAGTTGAGCCTTGAGACCTCTGAAGAGGTTTCAGTAAAACTGTGAAAATTCGCTGTAAAATACGAAAGGATACGCAATGATGTATCTGGACATTCTCGAGACTTCCTTTTCTGGTAGTTCGTGGAAATAAAACGATTTTCCAGTGAAAATGTCAAGAAGAGCTGAACTGCTGGCATCTTTAGACACTGAAAGGCAAAGGATTACTGAAACATCATTAGAAAGACAAAATGTTACATATAATATTTCCAATAACACGCAAAACAGAGTCATTACTTTAAATCAAAGCGTTTATAGGTGTCAAAAAGGAAACAGCATAAAGACCTGATGAGATGCTGATGCAAACACAATATGCAAACACATTACTTGTCTCGTACGACATGTTGAAGTTGTCACAATTATTTTACCTGTAGATGTTGTAGATGGCTCAGTTGTTGCCGTTGCAATGGGTAAGCTGGATCGATTCTTTCGTGGAAAGTAATATCTTTCATCATTAAGAAAAAATTTACATGAGAATTTCTTCAAAATATCTCTAAAATTGATATAGAAAAAAACAAACCTAAACTGTATCCCACACATCCCCAGCTGTCGTGTATATATCATTGAACATAATTTAGTAAATTATTGAATTATACTTTTTATTGATTTTTATAAAGGATACACAGAGGTCGAAATTCCTCTTGAAGTGAAAAGTTTCTTTAGCAGCCTCTCTGTTCCATACCAGTTGAAATTTGGTGTGTTATAGCCGATACGAGGGAGGTGGAGAGTAGCTATATAAACATGAATGATCACAAAAGCATAGTATTTTGGGTAAACAGTTTAAAGTAAACTAAAGAGCTGACCTAGAACAGGGTAAACTATGCAAACAAGCATCAATTAGCTAAACTACTAGGTAAGAAACATCACTGAGTTAAGTGGTATCAGGTTACTACAAAAATTTGTATACTAGAAAAGTTTACATTAGAAATACTCAAGTTGTATTTCTGTATGGTTTGCTATGTAATTGCGTTGCGAAAATATGAGTATATCAAAATATGAACATATCAACATAGAAACATTGAAAAGATGTCAAAATATTGCCGTGCATTTTACGAAAATAAAATATATGTCTTGCATATAAAAACCCAAAAACCTTTCGTTCTTAAAGCTTCTTTCTGAACCCGCTCCAGTCCCATCGTCAAGGCACTCATCTTAATGGGTGAAAGCTGGTTGTTCCGATCTCGCGTCTGTGAAACAATCAGTGCAACCTAGAACAAATTCAGTTCAGGGTTCAGAATAAAACTGGTAATTGAAGCTTTGAAAAGTATGTTGCTTTATCTTACACATTAAAATGTGACGTTAAATTTGAATTAAAAAACTAGACAAGAAAGTATTGAATCGTTATAAATTACAGGACTGACAATTGTGGCGCTTTGTTTCTTCGGGATTTAGAAGAAAAAGGGCTTAAAAGCCATTTGGAATGGACCTACAATCCCGGACAGTGCTCATATTTGCACCACTTTCTGCCCCTCTTCTAATTCAGTATTGAAAAATCGGTATATGAATATGATTTGCCCCAACTTTGAGTGCGAGATGGAGGAAGATTTGTACCTGCAACCAGGCAGGAACTCATTAGGCGTTCACGTCTCGAATTGTAGATGAAATAAGATCTATCTTAATCTTTGAAATGTAAGTGTCATATAAATCACAATTAAACTGAACAAGCAACTAATATTTACCCAGTCACGTCCACTATCTCTGCATAGCTGATCATCGATTGAAATCAGGTGTGCATCTCCAAGGGTTAGATCTGCGAGACGCGAAAAAAGCTTGCTTTCGTTAAAACTATCAAAGACGACAGTTTAGCATTCTTGATTTTAAGGATTTTAAAGTTCAAATAATGGTGCTTTTTGGCAAAATAGATGCCAGGTCTTTGTAAAGCACTCATCTACCGACTATTTGAAGTCAAACTGCTTTGAAAATTTTAGAGCATCTATAATGACTTTTAACTAATGGGAATTGCCCCAATGGGAGCTGGAATGGATTTTTTTAACAACTATAGAGTGCCATAAGATATCATAGACGAAGAAGACTTTGGATTTCAAAAAGCAAACTGACAGTCGCACGGCAATGAATAAAGCAAGGTACAAATACCTTTCATTTTCCCTGAAAGCTCATACTGATCTTTGGGGTTGCTTGATCGTTTTGATAATGCAGTGAAAAGCCCACCTGATCCCCAACGTCCAGAATCATCTTTGCAAAAAAAGAAATGATCGCAAATTTTGAATGACTCAATAATTGCAAATCAAATAATGACGAAAAATAAGCTAAGCAAATGATAAAATTCATCAGCTAAGCATTGAGTTCATCTATAGAAATGAAGATATGGTTGCTAATTTCAAACGATAAACTTTATACGGAACAAAGAAGAACAAAGTAAAGTGAAGTGATTAAAGTCCAAAAGTTAATATGTAATAGTCTAATATGAAATATATCTCAATATATCTAATACAAAGGAAAATCAAAAAAATTGAATGTGATACAGGTCAAAACAAAATGAAATTATTAATTTAATAAACCGACCCAGTAAATGCTAAAATCTACGTTTTCTTTTTTTGTTGTTTTATTTTACCTTCAGCCTGTTAGGCCACAAATACTGCTATTAGTATATACAGCAAGAGGCATAAACAAATCAAAAGTATTAGCAACTGAAAAATGGAACATTAAACACGTCCGTACCAACACAGTGAATTATAATGGCGTTTTTGCCATCAGAGTTCAAAGGCTGAGTGACATCACCAACAACATACTGGATTTGATTATAGGAATCCTCATCTTCTGCGTCATTATCTGTATCAGCTTCGGATTCATCACTCGACACTTCATCAATAGCTATGTTGCTCGATGTATAGTTGTTATCTTGCCAGAATTTCTCCCTTTAAATATAAACATCATAATACATTGCTATGTAGACAAAAAAATTTTAAAAGAAAAAGTGATTTCATTGTACCACTCAGTTCAAAAAAACTCAACTTAGAAAAACTAGAAACTAAAAGAATTTTTAGGAAGAAAGATCTGTGACCCAACACTAGTAAACACAAGAAAACATGTCAATTTTGACCAAAGTAAACAATTAAGAATAATCAGTAAAGGTTTTTCAAGATGATTCACGGGGAAAGTATTTTCAAAACAAGAAAGTTCAATATTGGAAGCAATTGACTTTTCGTACACTCTAATAAGTGTAATAGAAAAACTCTCGGTATCTAAAAAGAACATAACTCCAGTAGTTAAGACCCACAAAAATATTTGAAATCAAAACCTTTTCTTCTTCTTTTCTAATGCTCGGCGAACTTCGTCGTCCTCTGCTTTTTTGGCTCTTTTTGCTGCGGTTTCGATTCTCTGAATTAAAAAAAGTATCACAGAAACAAATACAGAAAAATACATTAAGATTTATGCATTTTCTAACGTAATAATTATTTCTTCATGATATTGTGCATGCAATTAATTATGTCTCCATTGTAACTGATCCAAAACAGTAATCATTGTATGGGAAAATCTTCGTCATTCTAACAGAAAACTAACACATATCCTGCCCTGGGTTTGACACGTGACGAGTGATGCATTAACTTAAACAGAAATGACTTCCTTTGTTGCTTTTATTCAACAATATTTGCTGGGTTCTTAAAGAAAAATCAAATCAAACCTTCTGCCTTCTTTCTTCCTTTTCATCATCAGTTAGTTCTTTTCTTTTTCTTTTAGGAAGTGGAAGGACACTAATATCAGGAATCTAAAAGGAGGATGGGTTAAATACGGATAACAACGGAAAAGGTACTGAGAATGAAGATCTGATTTGTACAGAACTGCAAAATTCTTGCTTCAGGAAACTGAAACGCTACCGTGAAGTTTCAAACTTCATCGGTCAACAATTATATTTTCATTTAAAGTCAGCTCTCTGCACAGTCAGGTACGACAAATTCAAGCAACTATCTTAAAAACGAGCTTTTTACTCATGTCACCTTCTAAAAAAAGGGTAGGACATTTTTAAAATGTTTATAGCTAAAAATCAAAAAATGTACCGTAAAAATCTTCTTAAACAGTATCTGCATCATCAGCATTGTTAGGCCCATTTTTCATCCATTTTGAGAAGACTCTTAAACTCAACATGAATTTCATGTCATGAAACCTATTGCTATGTAAGTAACTTAATATAATTAACATACAGTCTTATCTCTTCTCGTTGATCTTTCTCCAATTTCAGCCTCTTCCATTACACCTATAATAGAATAGCTATGCTAACGAAACAGCCCACTTCAAGGGAGATATATGAATAATGGAATAAAAAGATGCTAAAGGTATATAGAGCAATGGACTAAATGTCTTATTTCTTATGTGCCATCCTTTCACTCGATTGTAGTGCCGATTCAGGCCATGATTTCTATATCTGCGAGTCTCTGACTGATTCTACTATGAAAGTCTAAATGTAATAAAAGATACTCAAGATGCAGAGAAGTTGATGCCGTATAGAAATAGCGTTCATGCTGTAACTCTTAAAATAGCTTAAAAAAAGTTAACACAAATACATAAAGAACTACAATGAAACGATTAGCAGATTTTAAAGCATAATATTAAAATATTTCCATACAACAAGCAATGAAAATAAATTGAGACTTACTAGTGATCATATTATCAAAAGCTGTCTTGTCCTTTTCGCTGGTTTCCTTAGAGTAATCACGGCCCTCAAACATATACATATTTTCTAGGAAAAAGAGGACGTCAAATTTAACAGGCTTACATGATTACAGACAATGCCTAAATTTAACAGGCTTACATGAAAATTTTTAATACATTGATCGACAACTATATACCATTTCGTAGGACAGTTTTTGTGCAATAAAGGTTTCCTATACTTAGTGCGTTCCTTTCACAAATGGTGGCCATAAAACGGACGACTTCCTCGATGTAGCTTTAAAAAGACATGCCTACTTGCATTCTCTATAAATATAAGCAAACAAATGTTTTTATACAGTTAATGCAAAATCTCGCAGCATTTCAATGTGTACATTCTAGACAAAGATAACCAAAAACAAATATCATCTGCCTGCAAAATCATATCTATAGAAAAAATGGCTTAAAAGCATTCAGCATTTACCTTGGCCCTCTTCCTCAGTTATGGCATCTTCCGGCTCCATTACCTCTTCCAGTAGCCATTCACCATTGACCGTGCCACCAAGAATGCTACAATGTTGACATTGAGTAAAAATAGCAGAAACTGAAACGATTAATACTAAATATTAAACTGAAAATGAGAACCTTCTGTTTACTGGGTATGTTTGGTGAATGGGAACAAAACACAAAAGGAAACTACCAACCTGTTAAAATCTTCATCAAGATTTGAGCTAAAGAGAAAAATGTATAAGTTTAATGAACTGAAGATAATGTTCAAATCAATCCGCAAGTGTCATTTTGCTGCTTGACATCCTATAATGGCTTAGTTTTACAAGTTTAATTTTACCAATATTTCTTCATTACTTTTTCAGCTGATTTTCAGGTGTATAATAGACAGAGCAAAACATACATCCGTGCATACAAATAGAAAAATAATGTTTCATGTATCCATACGAGAACCGCAGAAAGCAAGTAACGTTGAATATGGAGAAAATATTTCCGTACAGTTTATTTTCTTTGTCGCCAAAAGAGATATTCTCAATAGCAACGTAGACAAAATTTATTTCGTTTAAAGGCTGAAAAAGATATCATATTGATTGCTGACCGGTTCAGATGTCAGGGTGATGATGGATAAATACTTGAGAGCAATTTGCATCCCAAATAGCTCGTTATCAATGCAGAAAACATTCGGATTCATTAAAACGGTGGATTTGGAAGCTATTCGGTTTACAAATTTAAAATACTCCTGCCTATTGCCTCCTTGCAGAAAATGCGGGCTTTATATGCTCAAGAATGATATATGCTCACCTTTCGTTGTCGTTCATAAGATTTTCCAATCCGAACTTCAGGATATCTGCGAGCTGAAAAAAAGGTTCAAATCAAGAGGTATTGAAATTTTTTAGAAATTTTTGATACTGAAATATTAATTGGAAAATTGTATGGAGAAAAGAGATGCTACCTCGTATACATTTAATCGAGATTGATAAAATAGTATCCAGACTTAATTATTTATATAGCTACATAAGAAGGCAAGAAAAAACAAAAGGTTGACGTATGCAAGAGCGAGAAATACACTGACCTTGGTTTGTGTGTCACTTAGATTTTGAAGATTCGAAAACTGCAAGGAAAAACAATATTAAAGAAGACTACCGGAATAGCCTATTTACGCATTTTATTCCACAAAATTATGCCTCAGTTTTGAGGAATCGGGTTAGCAAGACTAACACATAATAGTGCGGGGTTGACTGCGCTACATCCCGCGGGTCATTGCGCATGCTTTCTGACGTCATAGGTGATCATCGGGATATCAGATTCAACAAAGCTTAACAGGGTACCCATAACAGAAAAACTAGTTGAAAATTTTGTTACAAGAAATATTGCTGCTGTGTAAACAAATATGCTGAAATTAAGACGTGTATAAGGTAATTCTAGGATAAATACAATATAGTAGAGACAAGAATTAAATTCCACCTGGCCTCCTTCTATAACTACGTCGGTGAGTTTCAATTTCTCTGTTGCCCTCTTCAGAATTATTTCTTCAACTGTATTTTTGGAGACTAGACGGATGACCTTCACTGGTCTGAGAAGTTTTCGAAAGAAGAAAAAACACAAGTAAGGTAAACAACATTGTTTGCAATCAAACTGAAGGTTGTTTTGAAAGTTGTTTAATTTGGCGATAAAAAAAGCAGATTTTCTAGCGAAACTCTATACAGTTTTTTGATGTAAATCATACATCTAGAAATGTGTGTCCTACAAAAATTAGAAAGGAATTATTAAAAACTTGCATGATGGAACAAAGTTAAAAAAGTAAGATCAGAGCATGATGACATCACAAGCAAAAGCGAGCAAATGATGATACGAAATGTCAAAGCAAAGAAAAGTACATAGAGACGTAACAAGACAAGGCAAATCAAGATTTACTAAAATAAACAAAAACGAAAGGAGACGAATCATGTAATAAGACTACTTAAACTGAAGGGATTGAAAGTAAAAAAAGTGAGAGAATGTGACATCGCAACAGTAGTGGCCAAAACAAAATAAAGACAAAACAATAAAATGAATAAAGAAGAAACGAGAATAGGCCTATTCAAACTGACGGGGTTGAAAGTATAAAGAAGTCGAGAGAATATGTGACATCAAGGCGAAACGAAGCAAGGCAAGACTAGACAAGAAGAGACATCAGAACAGAACAAGGTGAAGGTGAAGAATTGAAATTGGAAATTAGTATTACTGAAAAATCAAACCTTGTTTGACCAATACGGTGAGCCCTGGCGGCAGCTTGCAAATCGTTTTGGGGATTGAAGTCATTATCCAAAAATATAACGGTGTCAGCTGTCATTAGATTGAGCCCTTGTCCACCTATAGATTGGCAGAAAGAGCTTAATAAGTAAACCAAAACATAGACCAATCACAGACACACATAGACAAGTTATATATAAATTTTTGGAATTGCAATTGTTAGCCAATTTTATCAGTTTTTCTTTCCCATAAAAACTACAGGAATACAAACATGAGCACAAAAATTATTGCAAAATCTAAGATAAAATTATATCTTTCATGCTCAACCAATAAGGAATAAATAACCTGCTTTGGTGCTTAACAGAAATAAAAATGTTTCATCCGATTCGTTGAAGTTGTTGATTGCAAGATAGCGCTCCTCTCCTCTAACTGAACCATCCAACCTTTCATAGGTGTACCCTAAATAAAGGGACAACAAGGATTTGTTTCTTTACGGGTTTTCTACTATTTTGATAGGTATTGTTTATACGATATTTCTGCACAATGACTTTCTGAAATGAAGCAAAGTTTCTCAAACTGTGTCTTTAACAGTGTAATCTACAATTTATTGTTTACTGTCATGATTAAATCACACCTTCCTGTAGACGCCCCTTGAAATGCTCCTCTCTTGCTATAAAACGCAACATTATCGCGATAATAAGGGACTAAAAAATGTAATTTTTATACCCCCTGACTAAAGATTAGTTTTCCTTTGCATTTTATTATTGTAATAGTCATGCATTTTCTAACTTCCATGGACGAGTTCTACTGTGATAAAATTGGGAACAGCTTTTGTCATTTACCCTGCAGCAAAGACATTTGAAAATAAAGATTATATATATATTTGAAAATATATCAAAACATTAAATATTTATGAACATCAACTTTATACAGGTCTAGCAAAGTCTTTTTTGAATATTTAGATGTGAATGTTTCTAAATATCATAAAACCTGTACATGCAATATATTGAAAAAAGCTGTGCTAAATATTTGTCTATACACATATGCAAATGTACAAATATATTTGTCAAAAACATAGCAAAATTCAACGATAACCAGCATCCGACAGCCTATAAGCTACAAACCTTTATATGTTAAATAATCCTGAACAATGTCAAGCATCATGGTAAACTGGGAAAATACCAAAACTCGATGACCGCTGAAACAAAAAATTTCTGCAACTAAATTAAAGCATTTCTAAAATTTCTACGAAATCTCATTTTCTTCAAATATAGTAAATTCACAATAAATTCTGCAGCATCCTAATGAGTAATGCATTCAAGAAAACTGAACAAAATAATTTTGACAATTTATGTGGCCACTTTAGAGAACATTTTAAGCACTTCTCTGTTAAGATCAAAGCACACAACACCAAAGGCAAATACACAAAAATGCAAGCATGAAAAGTTAGGATACTTATGTAACCATAAGTACATAAAAATGCAAGCATGAAAAGTAAGGATACTTATGTATCCATAAATACATAAAAACGCAAGCATGAAAAGTTTTGATACTTATGTTGCACAATATAGTCTTACTAGTGATTGAAGCAACAGGGCCTTCACGACCTTTATGCATCCATTTAGAGCGTTTTCAAAACTTAAACAAAAAACACAAATCCAATTTTCCTTGAACCTTCAGGGCATAACATTACCATTAATATTATATAATGCTTACATATACCCAAGAATACAGAACCAAATACGACTAAAGTTGCCTTCATTTCTTTGAACGTATCTCTTAACTCGTTACCTGGTGTGGAGGAAAGCCAGCAATTTGTCTAGCAACTTCAATTTTCCTAAAAAATCGAAGATTTTCTTCTTAAAAGTACCAAACTAGAGAATAAATAAAACAGAAATGTTTCAGATGTCCAAGCAGTTGCAAATAGCCTTATCATTTTAGCAATGGTTGCATTGTTATAGGTAATAAATTGCATGATACTGTCAGCTTTAGTCCATCGAGTAGATAAACAAAGAAAGATGTACCACTAGCTTCGATGAGGTGATCGCCAATCTCGAATGGTTCTGGCTCAACACCTAGAAAAATAAAACAAATTATTACACAGATATCTGATGCCATCTGGATGGAAAATGCCCATCAGTTTTCCTGGTATTTAGCTCATCGTTTGTGTTTATCACACATGTAAATGTCAAATAATACACAATTTTTACTTTCTTTCATTTTTCATTTCATTTCATTCATTATCAATCAATCCCAAATACAATTCATACACAAAACTCTACAACTAAGATACATTACAACACTAAAAACTAAAAACTAACAATTTCAAAAACAAATGAAAAAAAAATTACTTTACATGATTGAATTTAAGAAATAAAGGAATAAAGTCATAAGTAACTATATGTTTCCAAATAATGTAGATATATTTGGAAACTTAGAGCTACTTGGAAAAAATATGTTTCAAAATTTTACAAATTAACACTCTTCAACCCGATTTTAACCCTTTCATTGTGTGTAGATGAAAAATTTGGCATTCTGCCCTGACGTCTCGTTCCAATTGAAACGGGAATCACACCTGTCTATAATGTGTCCTCGGTAGTATAGTGGTGAGTATCCCCGCCTGTCACGCGGGAGACCGGGGTTCAATTCCCCGCCGGGGAGCGTTTTTCGCACTTTTTCCCTGATAAATCATAATTATTTTCAGACGGAGTGGGTATTTGCCATCTTCATGAACCTAACTTAAATTTTCAAATTAAAGGATTACTTTGCAGCCAGCTTATTTTGCGACATGTTGAGATTCAAATATGTTGCCATAAAAGTTCGTAATCCGCAAAAAAGGTTCCAGTTTATAGAACTAAATCTAAAAGGTAAAATCTGGCGCATTTTTACAATTAATTTCACGTTTGTTTATTTATAAAAAAATTGGTTTAAAAGAAACTAGTACTAGGATGGCAAAATTTTAAAAAAATTAAGGTTTTAGTTTTAAGAAAAAAATAGTAATTGTTAATTTTAAATTTCTAAAAAAAGAGTCCAAAAGTTTTAATTTTGTTGGTTTTTCTTTGGAAAAAATAGCATAATTTGGATTTTTCTCTGCATGGGTTCTTAATTTCGGGAAGATCTGCTTTTAAGTTCTTCCAATGATGCTCAACTTCAAACAATTCGGCAATTTTAGGTTCCGAGATTAAGAAACTAACTAAGAAACTTTCAGTACTAAAGGGCCAAAATTTGAATGTGAAATCAAGAAACCTTAAAATTTTAGAAATTTAGAAACTGACTCAAGTTCCTTTTAAAAAAACATATTTCAAAGTTAATTTTCTAACTCGGGTTCAGAAGTTACAATACAAGCTGTGAAAACGGAATCAATATCATTTTTCCTAAAATGTAGTACAGAAAAAGAGCAAGCAGTAGCGGAATACCCAATTTTAATTTATTCTTAATTTTATGTAACAAGAAGAGTTCATGCAGTCAAGTTTTAGGAAACCTTTTGGATTTTCCCCCATCTCTGGTAAAACCTAAGAAATAACTCTTAAAGTACAGGCAGTTACTGTCACCTTCCCTAAAGCTATTTCAGTCAGTACTACACAAATTCCCTGAAATCTTCTCAGTAACGAATAATATTTTGTTTTCCTGTGTTCATTAAAACACCAGTAATGGCTATTATTCTTAGGACTAAAAAATAAACTAACCTGGAAATATATATGGATGACTGCAACATTTCCGAAGTTGAAGAAGAACGTTCATTAGACTTGTTTTCTTAGGGCCATCTGATCGAAATGCAGCTAAGATTCAAACAAGACTTGGTCATTAGCCTGTGCAAGGATATCTTGGAAAAAACATGTCAAAATGAATCTGAATGAAAACTACGCTTATAAATCATTAAATGGTGATGAACTTCATTTTGAATACACAAACAAAGCAACCTTACAGTCAAATTAGGGATATCTTAATACCGTTTTCCATAATATTGCATCTTTTATTAAGCAAATCCAATGGCATGTGGTGATCCAAAAATATTCATTGGAAGAACTGCTATTTTCAGCGACCAAAGCTATTTCCTTGGTTTCTAGCTGTGCAATTTCGAAGACAACACCTACCTGTGATCGTATTGGTTACAGTTATAAGTTAAAACATTATAATGGCATTAACAACAGGAATTTTATAATAGATACAACAATGTATTTATAGACATTTGCGTGCGGACAAGACAGTTCTAAGTTGCAGCAGCCTTATTGCTATAATGCTACCAAAAACGTTGGAAAAATTTCTGTCATTCAGATTAGCAGCTTCTCCTCCCCCTTTCAAAGAACTTTGGATTATTCTCCATAGAAATACAGTATTCAAGGGTATCCTACAATTTCAGGAACTGGGATAATCAAGGCGTATTTCCGGCATTGTTTCAGGGGGAAGGGGCCAAATCAGCTAACTACATAGGCTGAATTAAAAACAGAACGAGCTTTGACCGAAACTGGTTAGATGTTCCAACTGCTTTTAGCAAGCATTATAGTCTTCTTGCTCTTTTCTTCTTGTTCTACACGCCGAAAAATGGTTCTTTCAGAGCATTAATGTAATGGCTTTCTTTAGGAACATGAAATTAATGACTATAACTTTATCGAGGCATAACGCTACAAAAAATCATTATCATTGTGTAAAGTTTGATTTAACATTTAGCATTTGATTTAGCATGTTGTTTGACTTCTAATTGTTACAGTCAGAAATTAACATAGAGATCCTTGTAACAAAGTATCTTCATCATGGGCAATTCGATAGAAAGAAAATCAGATTAATACATGAATTAATCTATCGATAGTATAACAGATTAAATCATGAATTATAACTGTTCAAAAAATAATCCTATTCATAAACTGCCTCACCATAGTCTTTAGTCAATATTGCCTTGTACAATTTCTTTTGGATTGACGAAATCCCACTGTAAAGAATCACCTGAAAATTGGAAAGATCACTTCTCAACAAGACACTGAAAACGTAGACAAATGATGTTGAAAAAATTCAACGATGTTTAAAACTTTTTGGTTGTACATAATTACGAAAATGGCTTTGACAAAGGCAAAAATTTCAAGAAATACCAAATATTCATGTCAGAAATACGTTTTTAATGATGTATCTAAACAGAATTTTTTTCACTAGGCAGTTTAATTTAAAGTCGAAACGTTATCTTAATGAAAACATGAACCCTTTTCTCTGACTTAAACATATTCCAGAACACATGTTTCTGCAGAACTTCTGGTTTTAACTGACACAATTTTGAATCAGTTCTCAAATTGAGTAATAGCTAAAGATTTAAAAGTAAAACGGTAAATTGGAATTTTTAAGCCATAACTGGCTACCAAGGAAATAAAACACTGTTTGTAAGACATGTGATAAGCACTCTTGATGAAATGACGTAAAATATTATTTGTGAATATCTGAAACGAAATATCAAAGCAAGATTTCAAAGACCGGGGGAAAAAGTGATATATGCCATGGACATACTTCAGATTTCTTTGGAAGCTCTTTCATCACCTAAAATAATAAATCATTAGACTAAAAAATCTTCTTCTTTATTCATCAGAATTTACCGAAAGTAGCAGGTGGCATTACTAATTCCACAGAATCAAAACAGTAATGATCCTACCCTACTATGAATCAAATTTGAATACTTCAGGGATGCAGAAATGCGGAAGAAAGTTATTGCAACCACTAACAGTCAAGAACGCAATAATTACAAAGCGCTCGATGACGACAATGGGTTGGTTACGTTTTCGTACAAATGGTTTGAAATTTGGTACCCCTCCCCCAATTTTGAAAAATGGAAGGGTTTAAGCTATATTTAGGCATATTACCCGTTATGTCTTTAGATATTTCTCTCAACATGTAGGGCCATTGCTAGCTATTGTGCTCAAGGGGGATGCTCAGGTCCAACTTGCTGATGAAGCACCACTTCATGGCAAAAAAATTCTCGTTTTTGTAACGGATTATTTTTTCAAGGGTGATTATTTTTTCATATAACATCCCACACCCCACCGTAGCGACGGCCCTGTGTCCTGGGGCTGTAAAAGCTGATCAAAGAGGATTTTGTAGAAGTTTATTCATTGACTTAAATATAAACATTAAAAACAAGACAGGTCTGACTAATATGGTTAATGAGCAGCCAATAGGCTCTAAAGTTTCAGATAGCTTTGTAAAAACCTGTGTGATTGATTGAATTTTGTTAAAAAATCTTGATAAGTTGCCAAAAGGAGCCTTCAGAGCAGCCAGGAAACCATACAGAGCGCTGAACAGAATAATTTAATTTAGGAGTTCTATGAAAATTAGGTGGCCTGGATTGGTTGATGAAGTTGATCAAATGATCTGCTGATAAAATACAACATCGACTTGGCTGGGAAACTACATTTTTATTAAGCTGATATTTGGTCTTTCAGCAAGCAAACAGGGCTATCAAAATTATCGTGAAAACGAAAAAGAAACCTCGTTTTTAACTCTTCTTAGAAGAAATGGCTTGAGTAGAGCATGAAGTTCTTCGTTAATGTCATCTGTTTTCTCTACAAACCAAAATAAAGAATGAGCGGCCGTAAGAACTGGGACAAGATATTAAACTTTTGTCCAGATGTGAATATTTCTCCTTATACTGAAGCCTTGATTTCATTTTATGCAAGGTCGCCTATATGAGAACACTGTAACAACATATTACGTACATACATAGAAATATAACAAGGACATACATAAACACTTTGTTCTAAGTATACCAGGCCAAATCGTCAAATGACTCAGTCATGTGCAAAACATAATTTGGCAGCACAGTTAAGATAGGTTCTTCAAATATCATAATAGCAAACATTTCAAAAACAAAGATAGAGAGCTTTCACAGAGGACTTTCACCTTGTCAAGTTTAAGTTTACACAAAAACATGCCACCAAGAATCAATTTTATCGGTTTTCGAAACCTTAAACCAGCTCAAGTAATGCAAAAAATATATTTCCATATTACCTACGATAAAAGAATTTATATAAATATTCGTAAGAAAAATGTTGTAAGAATAAAATTTCGAATAGAGCCAACTGCAAATTCTTCTTAACCTTAAATTCTTTTATAAGAATTCCTTCTTTTCCAAAGGGTTACATTCTTACCTGAAACAATGACGCTGAAATATTTCACAAACTCTTCACTGTCTTCAATATGAAATACATCCGGGTTCAAGAAAGACAGCAGCGAGTAGATCTGCCAAAAAATGTAAAAATAAACTGACAAAATATTATTTGAAAACAAAAACTATTTTCACCACACAGTAAGGAATTTAAGGAATCGTAAAAAAAAGCAAATGCGCGGCTTTGCTTAGAGGGAATTTTTTTTAAAAGTTTGTGTTAAGATGTGAAGGAGATAGAACAACGCATGGGTTGAACAGAAACAAAACGATAACTTTATATTAACTTCAAACGGCCTACACACATAACTGTAATACTGTCAACTATAATCTGAAACTATATAAACATGGGTCACATAAAGTAATGCTCCTGCGCATAGTCAATTAGGTTACTACATCACTCCTCCTTTTAAAGAAGTTTTTTTTTCGTATACTGTTTACAAAGTGTCCAATGGTATTGGTTCACCATATCGTACTGGTGCATAACGTTTTCTAACTAGTCTTTCAGCAGGTCTAGGAACCTCTTGTTCACAAGCGTATGTGGCTCGATTTGATTGATTGGCATCTTCGGAATCCGACATCTGAGCGCGTAATTTTTTAAAAAATGATACGTTGCGAGTTACACGACGATGATTACTGTCTTCTGCAGTTATCTGCGTACCTTTACGGTTTACGACTTTGTATTGCGTTTTGCTGAATCGTGTCGTTAGTTTGTCCCTTTTTTGTTGGCGGACAAGAACAGTATCTCCAACTTGAAGGTTGCTCTTCCTTGCTTTTCTGCGTTTGTTTGCATATGTTTCTTGGTATGATCGACTGCGTTCCTCGTTTATTCTAGCTTCTTTGTGTCGATTTATTACGCGATGCTTCTCTAAAGTAGGGAATTTTCCTTGTACTTTCCTGTTGAATAACAACTCTGATGGCGCAATTTTCGTTGTGCTGTGAGGTGTATTACGATACTGGAACAAGAAACGGTTCAGTTCTTGTTGCCATACCTTACCATCTGCCACTGCGCTTTGTACGGCTTTGATGAGAGGCTGATTAAAGCGTTCGACTTCTCCATTTGCCTGCGGCCAGTAAGGTGTGACAGGTTTATGGTTTATACCGAGGATATTTACATATCGTGCAAACTCTTCACTCGAGAATGGTGGACCGTTATCTGTCTTTAATTCACGTGGTATGCCGTGTACCGAAAATATTTTGTCCAGCTTCGGAATGACAGTTGATGCTTTCGTGGATCGCACAATTTCGGTTTCCGGAAATCGCGAATAACGATCAATGACGACTAAAAGATGATCTCCTGAAGGAAGCGGTCCACAGAAATCGATATGAACAGTTTCCCATGGTCCTTTAGGAAAATCAGTTTGTTGCAGAGGTTCTGGTGGCGATGGTTTGCCGACAATTTGACAAGTCAGGCACGAATCTAGGGTATGCTGAACTAGGTTGTCCATACCTGGGAACCATACTTTTTCTCGTAATAGACTTTTTGTTTTGGAAAGACCTTGGTGAGCTTCATGGGCAATATCTATAGCTCGTTGCTGAAGTGACTCTGGTATAACTAAACGTGTTCCTCTCAAAACAATTCCCTTCGCACCAACAGTGAGCTCATCGTTGATTGCACAATAAGGCTTTAAACGATCAGATGCTTGCCATCTATTTGTTCGTATAGCGGCTCGCAATGCTTGCAATGTCTTGTCAGTGTTGGTAGCACTCGCTATTTCGTCTAGCGACATAGCTTTAGGCACAGAGTGACTCGTAATCATGTTTACGTACTCCTCCGCAATTCTTTCTTGTTTTCGCGATTGTTGACTGGAGGGGTGTCTGGATAGATAATCAGCAGAGTTCTCGCTTCCTGCCTTGTACTGCACTTTAAACGAATAAGGTTGTAGTCGCAAAACCCATCGCTCAATCCTCGCGGACGGCTTAGAGGTTGAACTGCCGTAAATGGTTTCCAAAGATTTGTGATCTGTAATCAAAGTAAATTCGTTGCCATATAGGAACAAATGAAAATGTTCTACGGCCCAAACGATGGCTAGAGCCTCTTTTTCCGTTTGCGAGTATCGTTTCTCAGTATCGGACAGTCCACGACTGGCGTAAGCAACAACCTTGTAATCATCACTGTTCTTGGTTGCTTGACTCAAAATTGCGGACACACCTACGGGACTTGCGTCCACCGTAACGAAAGTTTCTTTATTGGTATCGAAATACGATATAACGGGAGCTTCAGACAGAGCCAATTTTATGTTTTCAAATGCTTTCTGTTGAACTGCTTGCCATACGAATGGTGTATTCTTTTTTGTCAACTCTCGAAGTGGTGCAGTGAGCGTCGCAAAATCTTGGATGTACTTAGCACTATAGTTTGCCATTCCGAGCAGGCTTCGTACCTCTTTGATGCTGGTAGGTATTGGTGCATTCTGAAGATCGCTTATGCGTGCTGGATCTGGCTGCGTACCATGTTCTGTGAAAATTTGTCCATAAAACTGAATTGATTTCTGTAGAAAGTTACATTTCTTGAGATTTAGCGTAAGGCATTTTGAATGCAGACGTTGCAAACAATTTTGCAAAGCTAAATCGTGTTCCTTGCGAGTTTTGCCAAAAACTACGATGTCATCTGCGATGTTCAGCACTCCATTTATACCTTGTAAAGATTCTTGTAAAACATGCTGGAAAATTTCCATAGCAGCATTTGTCCCATAATTGAGACAAGTGTATCGATAAAGTCCTACGTGTGTGCTGAAGGTAGTGATAAAACGACTGTCTATGTGTAATGGTAGCTGGTGGTAAGCTTGGTTTAGATCCAATTTACTGAAATATTTGGCACCATTGAGTTGAATGCTGATATCATTCAATGTAGGGATCGGATAACGTACACGTTTTATTGCAGTATTTGGCACACGCATATCTACGCAAAGACGAACAGATCCATCCTTTTTCGGTACTACGACGATTGGAGATACCCACTGCGAAGGCGCGTTTTCTGGTACAGCTTCAATGATCCCCTCTTTTTCCAGCTGGGTGACAGCTTCTTTAACTTTCTTTCTCAAATGAAAAGGAATTCTCCTTTGCGGTTGTGCACGTGGTATTGCCTTTTCGTCGATGTTTAGCTTCACCGAGTACCCCTTCAGTTTACCAGTTCCTTCAAAGACTTTGTTGAAACGTTGAATTATGGCATCAATTTGCGGATCAATATGTTTTGTAGGGGTTGCTGAAACTGAAAGTTTGTTCAATTTCAGCGTTATGACTCCAAGTTCTTGTGCTGTATTGGCTGAAAGTAAACAACCAGCATTACGATCTTTTAGGACATAAAATGTTGCAACTCCATAGCGAGATTTTGTTGTGATCATCGATTCAAATTTTCCTATAAAACAAACTGGTTTCGAAGAGTTGAATGGAAAAGCTTTTATTTTGGTTTGTTGTAACTTGACTCCGTGCATCTTTTCGAAAGTATTTCTATCGATAACGTTGATTGTGGATCCGGTGTCCAATATCATGTTGAACTTGTGACCCTCGACCACAACATTAACCACAGGGCTGCGTTTTGATAATTTGTCGTTGCCATTCGAGACCGTATACAGGTATTCCTCGTCACTAGAATTATCCTCATGCTGCAAAGGTCTCACCGCTGCATGTGATTTGCGAGAATGTGCAGGACGTCTTTGTTTCTGCTTCGAGAATTTTGAGCTCCTACAAACTGATTGAAAGTGGTTCGGTTTGTTGCACTTGCGACATGTTTTCCCTTGTGCGGGGCATTGATTTTTGTGCGGCCATTCTCCTCCACAATTGTTGCAAGTCTTGTTATCAGACTTCGATTGCAAACGGTTCGTTGTTTCTGTGTGTACGTGGGTTGTTTCTATATCTCGGGCTTGATACGAACTGGTTTCATCCCGTCTTCCATCGATTAGCATGTCTTTGAGGGTATACGTAGGGTCACGCAAAGCTCGGCATCTTATACGGGAAGATCGACCCCCTATAATTATTTGTTCCCCGATTTCAAAGTCTACATCTTCGAATTCGCATGTACTGGATATCTGCCTGAGTCGTGTATGAAAAGTATCGAGCGATTCTTGATCTCCCTGACGAGTTTCACGAAAACGATAAACTTCATACCGTCGATTTTTCTGAGGCTCGAAGTACTCAATGAGCTTGGCTTTTGTTGTCGCAAAGTTGTCTTCATCCCCTTCTCCGTTGACATCACTCAACTGGTTAAAAATTTCTCGAACTTTGGGTCCAGCTTGGTAAAGTAACAAAGCTTTCTGGCGCTTAGCGTCTCGAATTCCGCTAGCCACAAGAAAAGTATCAAAATCACGTAGCCAAAGTTTCCATCTGGCAGCAACACTCGCTCCAAGTTCTGCATTCGGGTCGAACGGTGGTAATGGATTGAGTTGTACAGACATTCTCGTCGCCAATGTTAAGATGTGAAGGAGATAGAACAACGCATGGGTTGAACAGAAACAAAACGATAACTTTATATTAACTTCAAACGGCCTACACACATAACTGTAATACTGTCAACTATAATCTGAAACTATATAAACATGGGTCACATAAAGTAATGCTCCTGCGCATAGTCAATTAGGTTACTACAGTTTGTACCTCACGCAGATTATTTTGAACAGGTGTGCCAGTTAGAAGCAGCTTGAAGTTAATGTCGAACTGCAAAAGAATTACAAATTAGTTACAGATTGTTGAAATAATGGTAAAAAAGTTAAAGGGACGGTATAAAAACAGATAGAAGTAAGTTCTTCATTATTAAAGATTTCTTGATTTATTAGTAAATTGATAATGCTATTCATGAATTCATTCACTCATTAGTTCATTTATTAAATCATCCGCTCGTTTATTCACTCCTTCATGGATGTGCTCAATGGCTCATTAATCAATCAATTAATTAATTAATTCATTCAATCATTTAATCATTCATTAATTTGTTTGTCGATTCATTCATTCATTCATTCATTGATGCATTAGTTACCACATCTGCTATTCACCCAGCAGCTAAAATCTTCTTGGTTCAGAAAAACTCGCAGTTGTTGGGAAGATTCTCTGTAACAAACTTAACCATTCCGTGATTTTCCATGATTTAAAAATAATGGAAAATCTTTCTTAATCTATAATAAACCAACAAGAAAGCATAAAAAGATAGCATAGGGGAAAAATGCATGACGCTGGTCATGGCGGCACGGAATCGCGGGCGCAAATACTCCACATGGCTTCAATATATGCAGTAAAAACTTCAAAGTCAAAGTATAAAAGTTAATTGTTTTCGGAAATCTAGTAGACATACTATTGGAAGAAACTTATAAAACAGAAATGCTTAATCAAGGTATATCAAGCAAGAACTTTTAATCATTATTTCAAAACAACAAACAAAATTGCAGGTAAATGTCGAAATATCTACATTTATATAAAATTACAATATTGAGATGAAACATTGTCGCGATAAAAAGGGTAACTTACAGAAAAATCTAGATTTTGCTACAAAACGAAACTATTGACAAAGTAATTGCCAAACATCAAGGTTTTTGCTGGTTATTACTATTTGTTGTGAATGTATTGCCTTTTCATGTAAAATGGAAGAAACTGACCGCTACTTTTGATTATTATGAATGTGACTTCGTGGTCGATAAGGAATATGAAAAGGCTGAATTGTCGCGAGAGATAGTGTAGCCTACAGAAAAATCTAGATTTTGCTACAAAACGAAACTATTGACAAAGTAATTGCCAAGCATCAAGGTTTTTGCTGGTTATTACCATTTGTTGTGAATGTATTGCCTTTTCATGGAAATGGAAGAAACTGACCGCTACTTTTGATCATTATGAATGTGACTTCGTGGTCGATAAGGAATATGAAAAGGCTGAATTGTCGCGAGAGATAGTGTAGCCTACAAAAAAATCTAGATTTTGCTACAAAACGAAACTATTGACAAAGTAATTGCCAAGCATCAAGGTTTTTGCTGGTTATTACCATTTGTTGTGAATGTATTGCCTTTTCATGGAAAATGGAAGAAACTGACCGCTACTTTTGATCATTATGAATGTGACTTCGTGGTCGATAAGGAATATGAAAAGGCTGAATTGTCGCGAGAGATAGTGTAGCCTACAGAAAAATCTAGATTTTGCTACAAAACGAAACTATTGACAAAGTAATTGCCAAGCATCAAGGTTTTTGCTGGTTATTACCATTTGTTGTGAATGTATTGCCTTTTCATGGAAAATGGAAGAAACTGACCGCTACTTTTGATTATTATGAATGTGACTTCGTGGTCGATAAGGAATATGAAAAGGCCTGAATTGTCGCGAGAAATAGTGTAGCCTACAGAAAAATCTAGATTTTGCTACAAAACGAAACTATTGACAAAGTAATTGCCAAGCATCAAGATTTTTGCTTGTTATTACCATTTGTTGTGAATGTATTGCCTTTTCATGTAAAATGGAAGAAACTGGCCGCTACTTTTGATTATTATGAATGTGACTTCGTGGTCGATAAGGAATATGAAAAGGCTGAATTGTCGCGAGAAAAAGGGTTACCTACAGAAAAATCTAGATTTTGCTACAAAACGAAACTATTGACAAAGTAATTGCCAAGCATCAAGGTTTTTGCTGGTTATTACCATTTGTTGTGAATGTATTGCCTTTTCATGTAAAATGGAAGAAACTGACCGCTACTTTTGATTATTATGAATGTGACTTCGTGGTCGATAAGGAATATGAAAAGGCTGAATTGTCGCGAGAGATAGTGTAGCCTACAGAAAAATCTAGATTTTGCTACAAAACGAAACTATTGACAAAGTAATTGCCAAGCATCAAGGTTTTTGCTGGTTATTACCATTTGTTGTGAATGTATTGCCTTTTCATGTAAAATGGAAGAAACTGACCGCTACTTTTGATTATTATGAATGTGACTTCGTGGTCGATAAGGAATATGAAAAGGCTGAATTGTCGCGAGAGATAGTGTAGCCTACAGAAAAATCTAGATTTTGCTACAAAACGAAACTATTGACAAAGTAATTGCCAAGCATCAAGGTTTTTGCTGGTTATTATCATTTCTTTTGATTGTATTGCCTATTCATGGAAATTTTTCATGGAAATGGAAGAAACTGACCGCTATTTTTGATATTATGAATGTGACTTCGTGGTCGATAAGGAATATGAAAAGGCTGAATTGTCGCGAGAGATAGTGTAGCCTACAGAAAAATCTAGATTTTGCTACAAAACGAAACTATTGACAAAGAAATTGCCAAGCATCAAGGTTTTTGCTGGTTATTACATTTGTGTGAATGTATTGCCTTTTTCATGGAATGGAAGAAACTGACCGCTACTTTTGATCATTATGAATGTGACTTCGTGGTCGATAAGGAATATGAAAAGGCTGAATTGTCGCGAGAGATAGTGTAGCCTACAGAAAAATCTAGATTTGCTACAAAACGAAACTATTGACAAAGTAATTGCCAAGCATCAAGGTTTTTGCTGGTTATTACCATTTGTTGTGAATGTATTGCCTTTTCATGAAAAATGGAAGAAACTGACCGCTATTTTTGATATTATAAATGTGACTTCGTGTCGATAAGGAATATGAAAAGGCTGAATTGTCGCGAGAGATAGTGTAGCCTACAGAAAAATCTAGATTTTGCTACAAAACGAAACTATTGACAAAGTAATTGCCAAGCATCAAGGTTTTTGCTGGTTATTACCATTTGTTGTGAATGTATTGCCTTTTCATGGAAAATGGAAGAAACTGACCGCTACTTTTTGAATCATTATGAATGTGACTTCGGGTCGATAAGGAATATGAAAAGGCTGAATTGTCGCGAGAGATAGTGTAGCCTACAGAAAAATCTAGATTTTGCTAAAAAACGAAACTATTGACAAAGTAATTGCCAAGCATCAAGGTTTTTGCTGGTTATTACCATTTGTTGTGAATGTATTGCCTTTTCATGAAAATGGAAGAAACTGACCGCTACTTTTGATCATTATGAATGTGACTTCGTGGTCGATAAGGAATATGAAAGGCTGAATTGTCGCGAGAGATAGTGTAGCCTACAGAAAAATCTAGATTTTGCTACAAAACGAAACATTGACAAAGTAATTGCCAAGCATCAAGGTTTTGCTGGTTATTACCATTTGTTGTGAATGTATTGCCTTTTCATGTAAAATGGAAGAAACTGACCGCTACTTTTGATATTATGAATGGTACCTCAATATGAAAAGGCTGAATTGTCGCGAGAAAAAGGGTTACCTACAGAAAAATCTAGATTTTGCTACAAAACGAACTATTGACAAAGTAATTGCCAAGCATCAAGGTTTTTGCTGGTTATTACCATTTGTTGTGAATGTATTGCCTTTTCATGTAAAATGGAAGAAACTGACCGCTACTTTTGATTATTATGAATGTGACTTCGTGGTCGATAAGGAATATGAAAAGGCTGAATTGTCGCGAGAGATAGTGTAGCCTACAGAAAAATCTAGATTTTGCTACAAAACGAAACTATTGACAAAGTAATTGCCAAGCATCAAGGAAAGTTGCCATTAATTTTGAACATGAACGAACACGAAGTCACATTTACGACCAAAAGTAACGGCAACTTCCCTCCTTTTTCCATGAATAGGCAATACATTCAAAAGAAACGATAATAGCCAGCAAAAACCTTGTTGTTTGACAATTACTTTGGCAATAGTTTCTTTTTGTAGCAAAATCTAGATTTTTCTCTAGGCTACACTATTTCTCGCGACAATTTAGCCTTTTCATATTCCTTATCAATCACGAATTCACATTTACGACCAAAAGTAACGGCAACTTCCTTCATTTTTTCATGAAAAAGGCAATACAATCAAAAGAAATGATAATAACCAGGGAAAACCTTGATGCTTGGCATTTACTTTGGCAATAGTTTCGTTTTGTAGCAAAAGCTAGATTTTTCTGTAAGTTACCCTTTTTCTCGCGACAATTTCTTTAAAATCATTTCTTATCGATTACAAAGTTACTTGGCTAATCTAAATTTTTAGACTGATTTAATGGTTTGCATCTAAAACTGTGGGCTTTTAATTCTCAATCACTAATTTTTAACTTTATAATAGCATTGCATTGAGTGGCTTCCTCTTTTGGGAAAGTCAATTTAAAGCCAAGTGTAAAATTTTGACGATTTTGTTCAGTGGTTGTTGGAATGGTTTCTGAAGACATGTTGTGTAGTGCGCGTGTTTAGCACAAGTCGCATTTTTATTTATCTTCGGTCAAGGGAGATGTCTTTTTCGGAACCTCTTCTCTGACAATTTTTGTTCAAGAATTGTACCACTCTAGTGCTTGACAATTTTCAAGTGATTTTCATTGCCTAACAAAACAGCTTTTGGACGTATCATTTCCTATCATTAATGGGGAAAACGTGTAAATTTTCCTGGATTCTTCAAACTCTGGTTGCAAAATGTCCTCAACTTTCTAAAGGTTGGTGTCTTTTCGCCCTTTTCTGCTTGTTGCATCTAAATTATGTATTTTATTTTATTCTTTTGTGGTGTGTGAAAACATGTACTTGTATGCAAATGCATTTCCAGATTGGAATTTGCATCAGTTTTAATGGAAATTTTAATCGAGACATACTTAATGCCTATTTTTTAAAGTGTCATCTATGTTATGGCAATAGAACTAGTTACATTTGTTGCTAGAACAATCATGCAAGTTTTGTGCTGCCTTTGTTTTGAATATGTCAATCTATCGACGAATCTTTAATCATTCAAAACAATGTGGTGTATTCGTCCTGAAATGTTGCGGGAGCAGTGTTGACATTTGCTGTAACCCCTGTGATTCATCGCGCGCATGGCAAGTACATTTTTCCCCTATGCTTAAAAAGATAACCTTTAAGTTATGAAAAAGAGGCTAACCTGTAATAGCTCTTGATATAACAATGACTTGTGGTTTTTCAATCTATGGCCCTCATCAACAACAAGTAGGCTCCATTTAAACCTGGAAGGACAATTATTCATATACAACAATCATTAGAAAAGAATGTAACTTCAGAGAGTATTGCTTACCCAGTTCTTTCAAAACAAAAATAGACATATACCTTCGGATGAAAATTATATGTTAATTAAAAATATAAAAGTGACTTAACCATAGATTATTCTACTTGTTTTGAAAGCTGCGAGGAATATATGATAGCTACCTTTGCAAAAAGCTGGAATCTTTCAAACAGAGCTAAGAAATAAAATGTGGCAAAATTAATATCTATAATATTTTGCTATTATTGAGAGTTTCTGTAAACTTTTAATAAACATTTGCCATTCGTCTGATCATATTCATACAAATATTATATTAACATAAGAAAGTCTTTTGCCATCTGCCATAAATATGGCTAGAATGTTTTCAAATTATATAATTTAGTTGCTAACAATCATTGATAAAAATAATCTCTAAATCATAACACCAATTTTCATGATATTGATACTTCAAAGAGTGCCAGATAACAAATTCTTTAGAGTCCAGGTTTCCACTTTCTAAAAATTATTTCAGAATTTGTTAGGTCAGTTTAAAATTTTTGTGGGTCAGACATTTCAAACGAAAGGTAAAAATAACCTTATTTCCTTTTGTTATTCTGGGAATCGAAAGAATGTTTTACTATACCTACTTTAATGGCCAATTTAGCTTACTCATAAGTGGAAAAATCCTATAAAATATTTTGGTCATCATCTTATAGTTTATGCTCTAATAAGCAGAGAAAAAATGAAAGAATCAGCTTTTATATGCCATCCTGGATTTTAGAATCCGTTTAAAGAAGATTAACCAGAGGGCAAAAATTCAAAAAAACTTTACAAAAAAGCTTCACATTGTAAATTATATGCAAGTCAGTCACTAACCTCATACGAAGTGATCAGAACATCAAATGGTATCTTTTTGTTTTTCCATGTTGATGGCTTACAACAAAACATAATAATTATAGTTTCTGTGTAAGTCATCTTTATTTGAGGCAACAATTCTCCTCCCAACATATCATGAAGTTTCATCAAAATTCAATAGGTTTGCTACCATTTACAAACTAAAAAAATTTGTAACTTGTAGCTATAGATGCAAAGCTATCATAATTGATGTACAACATAATTTAAATCCTAATTTAAATAGTAAATCCTAGAAGAGTTCTTAAGCTTAAGATTGCTTTGTACCTTGACAAATATGCTAGTGTTGGTACTTCACCTTGTCATTTAGAGCATCTTGAATAGAATTCCTTTTCTTTTCCCTTGCTTCCTTATCTCCAGTATAAATGTTTAACTTTACTGATGGTGCCCATCTAAAGAAAGCAAAAATGATCATGTTTTATGGCATGTGTATATAAGGAATGATATTAATAATAACAACTACATCAAAAATTGATAGGGGAAGATGAATATAAACACAAAAAACAAAAAGAAAACATTTAAGCACAGTAACAAATTTAAAGAACTCTGAAAAGCACAACATCCCCTCCCACAATATTTTTGTGTCATTCAGTAAAATTTTTTACAATAAAACCTTTGATACAATAAAATAATTTTTGGTAGTCAGTAATAATGAAATAGTGCAAATAGTATTCATCGCTTATCTGTGATTTAGAAAGCAAGATAAGCGACATAATTTAGTAAAACAAAAAATTGACGTTTTCATCATTTTCTAGGCACCTGGAGAGGGTGTAGCTCCAAAATCCAATTATTATACATATATATAAAAGAGCATAAATAAGGAAACAGTGAATACCTCTCAAATTCAGATTTCCAGTTTTGAAGCACAGAAAGGGGGGCAATTATCAAGCAAGGATGATTCATTTTACCAGCTTGGACCGAGTAGAGTACAAAGGAAAGTGTCTGTAAAATAAATTGTAACTCAACATATGTCATTTCATTATAATGTCAAAAAACTGAGACATTTGACAATAAATTGTCCAGTTTAGCCTTTGTAATTATTCAGAAAAAAATTCAATCCTACCTTGCAGAAGAACATCACAGACCAAGGACCGCGGAGCTTATTACAGATTGGGGGGCCAAAAAAGTTGGGTCGGCTAAAAATGCTAAAAGCCAAATGCAGGGCGACTTTTTTGCACACTTTGAACATTTTGCAAATTATTAGGGGGGCTAAAACCCCCTCAGCTCCCTCACCCTTCTGCGGTCCCTGTCACCGATACATACAGCGCAGCAGGGACAACGTAAATTTTAGGATTCCTGGGCATAAATTCATTATATTCATAAATTAAATTCGCCATAAATTATATTCATAAATTCAATTCAAAATATATCGGCATAAATTGAATATTCCTGTACCCTAGGTGTGCAGTATTGGTCAATAGACCAAACGGTGATTTTCTGATTTAGTTGTTTACCTGTACTGTTTTCCCAAGCCCCATTTCATCTCCCAAGATACACCCATGTTGGCCACTTGTACCTAAACAAGACAGCAACCAATTTACGCCAGCAATTTGGTAATCCCGGAGAACAACACCACTTAGGCCTACTGCAGTCAATTCATCTTGCGTTGTCGTGTTGGTGCCTAGAGCTCTAAGGCTTCTAATTTTGGCCTTCCATTTATGCATCGTTCAAACCACGTTACCATGCCAGGAAATATTTCACTTTCTTGGAAAATTAATGTTTCTGATTGACTACAAGTGGTTGTTGTTGCTCTTTTTACCGCCAGTTGTCCCCTCCCGTTTTTGTGGCTCCTCCACAGATGACCAAAGTCCTTTTAACTACAAAAAGCCTCATTGAGGAAAGTTCGAAATACAATATTACCCATCGCTTCACACCCAATGATAATCGGCTGATTGTATTAGCGAACAATCCCACAAAAAAATTGCACGGTTAACAAATACCAGGCCAAAATTGTGCAAATTGAAGGACATTGGACCCCTTATAATTTACCTACGTTTAGCTTAATCCGTTACAAAGTGCACACGTGTCTCTGTCACCAGAGATATCTCCAATATTTTCAGTACCCTGTCGAAGTTACCAGTGTGCTTCGTGTCTATGAAAATAAATTTAATAGCTTCTAGGCGAACATATGCCTCTCCTAGAACACTCTTTCCTTTCAACCTGAAATGGGCCTTGTGAATTTATGACACAATTGCTTGTTGATCGAACAACCAATAAGACTTTTATTTGGAAAGCAAAATGCTATAAATGCCCAGCAAACATATGTAACACTTTCACTTTTGTATGGTGCAAAGAGCTGTAATTATGTATGTTTGCTTCTTGATGGGGAAAACAGAAGTGAAAAGAATGATGATCCTTCCCAGAATAAAAGTTTTACCATTCTGTGACCATATATAGACGTTCATTGTGAGGCTGACTGAAGTTGCAGTTCTGTGACATCAACTTAGGTGCTGTATATAGCAGAAATTACACGGCGCCAAATGTCAAATATGACCCCAAAGGAAGAAGAACATACAAGAATCAGACACACGGCTCCTAACCTTTACATCAACCATACTATGTATCAACCATTCCAAAACGCTATTACTCTTTTGCAGCACACGATAATTTTATGTATGCCACTAATAACAGTACTATGTTTTTACAATGAAGACAGATTTTGAAAAAACTTGTTTCAACCAAATGGTATAAAACATATTTTATAGGAATCTATAGGCTTTTTTATTGATTGTTATTTTTGAATTGTCTTGTTACACTGAGGTATGCTGTAGATAGCGCTTTTCTGGAGCTGAAATGTCGAGGCTGGATATATTCTTCTTTTAATGCACATGTTTTTGCACATTTTTCGTATTTCTCAAAAGTTAAGAATTTAAAACCCCACTGCCTGTTTCTAGAGAAACTAAGTTAGAGATACAGGCCTTATGAGAAATCAAGTATAGGTAAGTGGAACTTGAAGATTCAGAATGATTTTGACGTTCGATTTTAGGCGGTGGGGGGGGGGGTAAAAAGAGAGGGTTAGAGGGGACAAAAAGCCCTTGTAATGCGAAACTGCTATTTTCTCCGAAAATTTCTGATCTTGTCGGAAATATGAAAAACAGTGGAATCCCGATGTAACGAACTCTGAAAGGAACCAGAAAATGGTTCGTTATATCGGGAGTTCGTTAAACCGGGTGAAACGTTGTTTAAGTCTTTTCGCAGCTCATTTCGTTGTTTAGGACTTGGGTGGGCTTGTTTAGGCTATTGTGCACATTGGACTCCAAAAAACCAAGCTGAGTTCAAATAATGCTACTAGTTGGTCACTCAAACTGAAAATCTTTATGTTCCTCTTATTATTTGAGACCAAGAGATTGGCAAAGCTGATACCGCTTAATTTCTAGTTGGCGGCTGAATGATATCTTCGATTACTTTACAGTCTTGTTTGTCTTCTTCTGCTTCTCCGTCTAGGTCTCTCAATAAAATTCTGTCGTCGCTTATTGCCAATGTCTCATATGAAAGAAGTTATTTGTTAGCGTCAGTGTACTCATTCGCAAAAATTGCTGACGCAATCAAACTTTCATCTCGTGCTCTGAGTCTATCATCCAGTGCTTGAATTGTATCATCAGCATGTTTTGCCGATTACAAAATGATTTTCTTTAAGATAAAGTGATAAATGAACACAGGAAAAAAATAAATAGAAAAAAGATGAAAAATTTATGAAAAGCTCGTGATATCGAGGGTAATTATAATGAAGGGACCTAAAATTTTGTTCGCAATAACGAGGGTTCGTTATACCGGAAAGTTCGTTACATCGAGATTCCATTGTAATTTTTTATTTTTTATCTCAGTGCTACATTTCGAGAGAAAAGACTTTAAAGCTGATTATAACATAAGAATGTCTTAATATATCAAATAATTTTTTTTCAGTCCTGATGTCGTTATGTTATGTTCAAATTGATAAACAAAAATGCTTATAAGCAAAGTTTTCTAAATCTAAGTTTCTCATCCATGCTATGAATTTTTCTATGTACGCCACTAATTTTAGTTTAGCGTTTTTTCGAGAAAATCGTACGATTTCCTTACCCTAAAATAAATTATCAAGGCTTCCGTAAAGCAAGCAGTAGATTCGAAGGAGGCATCTTGTAATTTCGGCATCATAAAATAGGAACTTTAATCGGCTGAAAATTCTGTAAAAGAAAGCATTGTGTGCACCACAAAAACCAATAGGCTTTGAAAATATAAACAATGTAATATAAGCCACAGTTAAAACATAACATTACAAGCAAAATTGCTTTATCTAATTTAATGAATTTGAATAACGTTGACAAATATTTTTACTTTGTCTGCCGCACATATACCAGTTGACATTAAATGTCAACTGAGCTGCGTACAAGCTCTTAGAAACAGAAGTGGCTTGTGTTTTTAATTTGGAAAAGTCTTTCTAGTATACATTAAATGTGTGAAAGATTCATACGAAGGATTGCAATTACCAATTCAAAGTGACTAATTAAGTACAGCCTTCTTTGTGCTGATAAAGAAAAGCTGTCAAAGGTGTTTGTTCTCTTTTAAAGGAACTTTCAGATTAACCTGGCAGCAAAATGTCGTTTGTTACAGTGAAGTTTGGAAGTAAGTGGAATCACTTTAGTTCGTTGGTATTCTTTATGGTTTTATCACCGTATGTTTAAAACTGTGTTTAATTTGAGTAATGTGTTCTTTAGCATAATCAAAATGTTTTAAATCCTTAAAATTCGTTGAAAACAACGCAATATTTTGCTTTTCTTTGTAAAGTTTTCTCTTACAAGAGAAAATGTTGGTGGGACCAGTTGCTTTGAGCACAATCTTAGCAATGCCTGTACACTAATTTAGAATAACGCTTGCAATAGAAACAGTAGTTATTAACGCAGTCATATGCAAACCCCTTTTGTTTAAAAAAAAACAATAATAAGTCCTATTGCAATAATGTGAGCAATTGTTTCAAAGTTTACCCTTCAAATAGTACGACAGGTATCATAATGTGTTAGAAAACATGGCCTATGTGTGTTCTTTTTTCAGTTTTATTATGAAATTGGCCTATTTTCCTTTCCATTAGCGCTGTTTGTTCTCCAAACTATTCATCCTGTTTCAGCTCCATTTATCTTTCGATTTTTTTGCTCCATTTCCCCTACAGCTGCTCTGTCAGACGTGCCTTTTTGCAGATCCGAGTATTTCATTTTCAAGGTATTATTGTAGTTTATCGAACAACTGAAAAAAGTATCACATCATTTCAACCTGTGACAGGATTGACACATAAGTCAAATTTTTAAAGCCTTTGGGTTCAACCAGGACAGTAATTCGGGAGCCCGTAATATCATGTTCTGAAATCTCTATTCGTTGCCAATAAAGGGGCCTACATTCATTGGTTGCCTTGGGGCCTGGACTCGCTTTCGGCGGCCTTGGCTGTAGTGACACTAAAAATTTTTCGTGCGTTTTTAAAAAAAATGCTAAGAATCGTCACTCTCTAGAAATCCTTCGCCAAGAAACCTCTGAAAATACACTTCATTATTCAAACTATATTGCCTTTATTGTAATTAATAATTATGAACCTTGTTTGTGCCTACTAGATAACCAGTACGCCCTGTTCAACCCAAACTGCAAGACGGCTGTGCTGCTTGATGACATAAAAAAGCGATGCAAGTGTCACGATGCTTGTACGTATCTACGCTTTAAGGCATTTTAAAGAACATTTCATACAGTATTTCAATATATCAAAACTAGGAAAATATTTGCAACCACTATCCGGCTACAATCTGTGTGCTTATTCAACAGAAGTTAAGCCACAAATCATGTTTTTAGGTATATATAAAAGTTGAAAGTTCGTGAACGTTTTTAACTCATCTATCTTCAATCTGTCTTCAAATTTCAGCGATTCTAGACGTAAGTGATGAAAAGGGTGAAATCAAACATCTCCAGGACCACACTCATGAATATGCGACGAAATTACTGAAGGGCAGAGAGATTTTGATTCTTCTGGAATTAAAGAGTAAGTTTTATGAGCTCTGCATAACAAAATTTTTTAAGTGTAGTGTCGTCTTAGAATAGGAAATTTGATTATTCCTTTTGAAAATTTCTTGCAGCAAATAAAGAAACAAAGGAAGTCACATACCTACCATTGTTGAAAAATATGAAAAAACTGTATCCAAACGTGATTGGTAAGTTTTTTAACCATATTTGACTGCTTTTATCATCCAGTTCTGGAGATAATTGTTACAAATTGTATTTGATTCTACATAGCAACCATAGTTGATTTTAGGACACTGTAGTCCGTGACACTGAACACTGAACCATTTTCATACCGTAAATCTTTCGAATTAGCCCCCTGAAGGCTTATTGATTTTGACAATCTTTAGATGGGGGCTGATTCAAAAATCTTTAGATGGGGGCTGATTCAAAAGGGGCCTATTCGAGGGGGGGCTTACAAAAATCAGCTACAAGTTGCCATATAATGTTTCGTTTCATAGCTTTCTCCTTATTTCAAGATAATATTATTTGCAGTTGTTCTTAATAAACCTTCCTGAGATATCATATTGAAGTAGAAATCAAAGCACAAAAAGGTATTTTAGTCCAAAATACTGATATTTCAAATTACTACCTGAATTTGTATAAGACTTATGATTATAAGAAAATATGAAGGTAAACCATTCAGGGATGGATAAAGATTGGATTGCATTATTATCGACTTCAATGTTTTGCTAAATGAACACGCACGCTGTTTTCGTTAGAACGCCTATCAAAGTCGACCAATAAAACTGAAGATCAAGGACATGATGTGAATCAGAAGACAGTGATTAAAACACCAAGGCAGAGGAATGCTTCACAAAGTAACAGTAACAGTTTACATCTTCAGCAGAGAGGAAAAAGGCAAAGTTTGGAACAACCGAGGCGAAGAGCATGTTCTGATAAATCCACTTTCAAGGCTTGAAAAACTTTCAAGGCTCAAGAAAATTGAAGGTGTAATAGCATAACGACACATTGAAGGTGCATCATTGCTTCTGCATTGCTATGAGATACAGCAGTACAGTCAGGTATGATAAAAAACACCTGATAAATAGCTCCTAAGAGGACGGTATCTTCTCTAAAACAGCATCTAGACTTCTAGGCTTATAATAAGCTTAGCCAAATAAAGTTTTTCAAGAACATGATCAGAAAGTTTACCAAATTGATGACATCACAAAATCTAAAGTCTATGAGCCAGGCCAATAATTCTACAATCTGTGAACCAAGCCAAATAACTGTAAGCCATTGGCAAAACTCGGCTCTTTCACTAGCTATATCTCAGTCATAATCTGGCACATTTCACTTATTTTGCGCGGAAATAGTTAATTTTCGGTGCTTTTTTATCTTATTAAGGTCACACATTTGGTTATTTGGTCAATTTTACGAGGTCACACTTTGAAAATCTATTGAAATGCTAGAATGAAATGCTCTCAGTGATTGGAATAATGTTAACTCTGTATTGATAAAGCAATGAGAAAGGACAGAAACAAGAATGATGCCACCAAAGATGGAGTAGACAAGGGTAACTTTAATACTTAACTTTTATATAAAATTTTGTAATTGCTGGGGAGAAAAAGATGTGAAATTTTTCTAACAAATGACTTATGCCCCATCTTTGCAGACAGAGCATACTTTTCTGCTGCGCATGTTTTCTGACTGCATGGACGGGGGAAGACTTGCCTGCCCAACAGGTTCCAGTAGTTTTGAAATCACAGCGTCGTTGTTTATACTTCAATGTAGTTAATACTATCAACGTAGCTGTTAAGTCGTGTACAAAACATTTAATTCAACAACATTTCAAGACGAACAATGCAATTCTATTTACTGCATGAATGTTTGTTTCTATGTCGCCTCGGCTTCAAAATGTGCGAAGTTGCAGTCTACATCAGGCAAAATACAACCATTAGGATGATGAAAATGAAACCAACATGTTTTCGTCTTATAATTGTTCCTTTGTGTTGCTTTCGCGCTTTTTTTCTTCCGTGTGCTCCCATTATCGCACTGGTCTTTATAATTTCTCAAGGAAACTTCGCCTTTTACAACTGAAAGAGGACAGTGTATGTTTTGAAATATATATATAAACCGGTCTTTTTAAAAGGGGTGCCAATTCGAACTTTCATAATAACTAAGTATACTATAAATCCTTTTTGCTGAAAATATATCTTTAAAACTACAATAGTGAAAAATTAAAAAAAAAGCGAGATGAAAATGCGGGAATTTAGAAAATTTGTCATTTTCTATCAAGATCTTTGAGATCTCTAAAGTTGTCATTTGAAACACTGAACTTTTTGCTCTACTAGTTAATTGTTGAATGATGTCGGCATACATGAAATTTGATCAAGTACAGATGGGGTGTTATCGTAAAAATGGAGGTTTTGATGTTTATCAAAAAGAATATTATTGTTCTCGACAGTGGGATTGGCTTTGACATGAGAGAAACAGTTAGTAGTTAGCTACCTACACTAGCAATGAACTAATGTGAATTTGACAGGGCGTCAGCTTCACAAGCAATAAACATGAATTGATTCGTTGGGTCTTAGGTAAATAGGGCCTAAATTTGCATAAAACTCGAAGTAAAACCTTTAAAGATATGCCCGTGGTTCTTTAGCAAAGTTTGAAGACCTCCACATTGGCACTTGAGTTCTTTAAGACAGTCTTTTCCAAATAAAGACGTGATTTGTCCGATCGCCAGTGAACCTAAAAATGGAAGTCGTTTTCTTTAAACTCATAAACTCATGAACTCCGAATTCATAGATATAACAAAAACATCCTTATAAAACGGCATGGCAGGAGCATTGCAAAATACAAATGGTTAGAGGTAAACAATTTCTATTTATTCCGGCCGTTGCATTAAAACTTTAACAGTTTGCATTTCAACATTATCACAAACACTAATCCATTTATTATTAAACTTTACATACTTAACAGCTATATGTAAATAAACAAATAAATTACTAAATAAGAGAATTTGACTGTTGGTTCTTGGGATCTTACTTTTGTGAAATTTCTTTTACTAGCTCAATAAAAATCTTTTCGAAAATTTTCAATTAATCAACCTTTCAAGTGGTTTGACGTTCTCAGGAATGGAGTTCCGGATTTTGAAAATTACAGCAGTATAATTTTTGACTAAAACAAAGTCTCATTCTACAGTAATTGGAAATTCACGCAATGCATCAAATCATGCCGCAATGTATCATGTCATTTGAAATGTAAAACGCCATATGAAATTTGAAATGCCATACAAAATTAAACACCACTCGAAGTATAAAGGTGCGAGGATAGCACAGTTGTTAGAGGCGCTGACTACAGATCCAAGGGTCCGTGGTTCGAGTCCCTGGCATGACCAAACTTTCATACAGAGTGAGGACAGTCGCCAGCTCTCTGTAATTCCAGGCGTAGGAATCACGAGGTGTGGTCACATCGAGAGTAAGGACCAGGAAACTGCTCGATAAGCATAGCTTCTCAGTGTCCTAAAAACTACCTTCGGATGCTAGGTAGCAACAAATACAAATACAAAGCCATTTGGCAGAATGAATAAGCAGTGGGAATATGATATGTTATTGAGAATTTTGAAGGCCACATGAAATGTTAGACTGACATAATGCCGTAGAATAACATAATGTCATTAGAATTTAGTTAAACACCATGTAAATTAGGGTGAATGACATGTGAAATCATTGAGCACTCTACAAAAAGTACAATTGTACCATAGATACAAACGACGCTCTATAGGCTTTTACTAGTTCCAATCAGTTTGTTTTTTATGTTATGTGATGCTCATAAATGGCCTACTTTAAAAGAAAAAAGTTCATAGTTAAGTTACGTTATACATTGTTTTGATTGTGCAGAAATATAATATTTGGCCGAAAAAGCCAGTCTGATGGGGCTCTTTTCAGCCGATGTTTGCCTAGCACTGGACTGTGCTAACTGCAAATGCTCAAGAATATGCATGGATACTGTTAAGATATCACTAATGTACGTACAAATCATAATAAAATCTAAGTAAAACAAATGGATTGCAAAGCAACCAGACCTCCACAATTCCAGCTTGCAACAGGAACTCCCTTAGATGTCATATTTCCATGGTCCGTTCCATGCCGATTTTCAGTTTCAAGTAACTTGTTAAAAACAGCTGTTACGATATGGCTTTTAACATCTTTATTTATTTGTGTGCAGTTTCTGACTCTTTCTTGGGCAACCCTCGGTTGAAACCCGTTTTTATCTTCTGTCTCATTTCTGTCGTTGGATGTTGATTGATTCATGGAGCTCTCCGAATTTTTAGAATTGTCTTCATTAAAGTCCATATCAAGCTTCAGACGGCAGTTTCTTGAATTTAGCAAGTTTTGAAGCCTGTCATCAATTGAGGTTTGTTCAGTTTCAGAGTAGGTCCTTTTCCTTGCTATATGGCACACCTAGAACAGAATAAGAAGATTAAGAGCCCCTTTTTACACATGCTGTGTGTATGTAAAGATGTGTGTAAAGATTTTGTACCAAAATCTAAGATATTCCTGCAACCTTGGCATTGCAAAATTTGTTTCGTTAGAGAAAAACAATTTTACGAAATTTCAAAACATCTGTCTCTATAAAGCTGTATTGTGAATTGAAACTTTAAGGCAAAGCCTTTATAATCTTGCAGAAGAACATAACTTATAATAGAGAAAAACCTCACTCTTTTAGTTGAAGGAATTCGCTGAATGTCGTGTTCGATCGCAAATCCACAGTCTTTTCCGATTTGAGCAACGTAGTCAAGATAGATTTGATATTGCGAGGAGTCGTGGCAGTTTTGTTTGAACTAAAATTTAATAAGATAATGTTAGAAGACCCGCAAAACCCATGCTTATTTGCATGCACATCGAACAGATTGCCCAGCTACAGACAAAAGACACTTGAACAGAAAATACTTTGCAATGATGATGGTTAGAGATTGTGGGAAAAAGTGGCCGCTAGCCCCTGACCCTTGCTTTCTTCTTGACCTTTCCTTTTTATTTACATGCTATCTTTTATTGAGTTGAATCTTTTCGTATGATTTTGATTAACGCTGCATGGTTTTTTAAATCGAACGTGATCCAGGAGTGAAAGGTATCATGAAATATGAACAGAGTTGAATCGAAACAAATTCAAGAAATCGAAGCAAATTCAAGGAATCGAAGCAAAGATTAGAAAGAACTCTCAGTTGATAGAAATTTTGAACTCATAGTTCCTATGAACGATTAACTTACCTATGAACCCTGAAGGGCGAACAAGGAAGAAATTATGAAATTTGTGTTTTAATTTGCTTTATCTTTATGAGTTAATATATACAGTCCTATTGAATTTAATATTCCTTTTTGTTTTATTGAATCTTCGGAACATTTTGAACCCATTGGCAATTTTAATCCTTCAGCCAGAGGGGCGTATCTAGTACCTCTGGCCCCGAAATTGAACCTAAGAAGGATAATTTCTACAGAGATTCTGATCATAGATATTAACGTCAAGTTCAAACAAAACTTTAGGTTTTTTAACACTTGCTGTTTTTACACTATGGTTTTCATCCATGCAAACATTGGATTTTTCCATTACCGTAATATACTTTTGAGGCTTCTTTTCAGTGACAGTTGTGCTGGTAAAAGCTTTACATTTCAGAAACAGATTCTCAAAATTTTCTAAAAAAATCCCTGCTGACTTTTGTTATTGCTTAGGGTAGCACTTCAACACTACTTTTATTATTTTCGCTCTGCCATCAACACAAAAAGCAAAAAAGAGAAAATCATGCCTAAATTAAAAAAATTAATGATAAATTTGTCACCTTTCCATCAAAATCGTGAAAACAGCACGGCAGCAAAAAGTACTTCGTTTTGTATGAAGACCTAAAATGAGGAAAAAGCAAGTTCACAGAAATCAAAAGCAAGAAAAATTTCTTCTCATGGTCTGACAATTCTTTCAATAGAACTTTGAACAACTACCAATTGCCTTATTTCATAATCACATTCCTCCGCATATTTGTTTTTTGAAAGGCAAAGTCATGTAATGGAGAATACCTTGCAGCAATCACTGGAATCCAAGGTGTTAGCTCATCAGAATGATTTCCAATTATCCAGTCAACATCACTAAATTTGCATTGATTAGGGTGCAAAGATTGTTCCTGCAAAATAAGACAGTTTGTCCTGCTGTGTATCCAACTGTTTAAGGAAATATTCATTTTACATAACTTCACTTTACAAAGCATATGCACATGAAATGGATTTGAAATTGGACTCTGCTGCAATAGACAAATTAGATTAACTCTAAATTGATGACTCAACCCTAGTCTGGTGTGGCTGATAAATTCTTTCATTCATTTAGGGACCTCTTTAAGGCCCTTTAAGTAGTATCAAGAAGTTCCGTATGTCTGGCTAAAGATATAAGGATGAGAAAACGGCCCTAAAATTGTAAAAAACCCATCTGAAAAACAACCATGGCTGTTTTGGCAAACCACATTTTGCTCTGTGATATATGAACACTGCACATACTTTATTTGCCTTGTGACTGTAACTCATGATATCTGAGTACCACATAACTCTTGATGATGATTCCAGAACTGTTCTCCTGGTAAAACTTTTGCATACATTCCAGTCATTATCTATGGCAAATACTTTCCAGGCAGCCCACTGAGTATGCCAACTATCTCTATTGTCGAGTCTTTTTGAATCACTATGATGCCAGGTCAAAAAACTCCAAACCTACAGTAGTTGAGCTTTGTCTTCCCTACCAATAATTATTTTTATTCTCTGAATGAACTGAAAACATATTTCTTTTAAAAATACACTTTTTTACTTTTATCTAGATTGACACAGAAGCACATCAAGAATTCTGAATTAAAACATGCAGCAACGCTTTACATATTTTATGAAATTAATAGTCAGGAATGCACAGCCAAACATATTATCAACAGTTGTGTTTCAATAACATATTGCAAAATGTTTTTAAATGGAATTTCAAAATTCAGAGTTACCATTAATTTAGTAGTATCTCCATATTGCTCCCAAATCTTTCTGCTTCTGATATCAATGCCACAGCCACTATACTAAAAAATAACCAGTAAAAGCACTATAAGAATATCTTTCCTGATAATGAGAATTACTGTTTACTGATCTGACAAAAGGTTGCCTGATAATGCAATGGCATTCAGAATGAAGCTTGGAATATTTTTCTTGGTATGTTCTTGCAGAGAGCATTTGCGACCCTATTACTATAATTTACATGCCATAACTCTAAAATTGTTTAATTCAGGATTTCAAGAAAGCTGCAAAAACCAAGCATTTTCTTAGCAAGATATGGCATCAGATTCAACAAATAAAGAACAAATGAAATCAGATCATAAACTGACCCCTTCACTCGTAAGCAGGTAAACCAACAAGCCATTACCACAACCAAGATCTATAAATGTCTGTTTTTGAGAATGTCTGTTTTCTTTTTGCTCTTCTTCCCATAGCACCTACAACCCACAAATAAAGATTTGATTTTTCCATGATGAAAATACATGGCTCCAGTCCAGACACAAGAATTTTTCTAAACTATTAAAAATTATTTCACTTACAGTGAGGTATGATGCGATTGATATATCTTCAAAAACGAACTTCTGAGGGTCAGTGTTTTCTTGCCATGACTAAAAGATATATTAATTTATTAAGAAAACAAACTCATCCATTTACTGGCATTGATTAATGAAACATTAAAGAGAACCACAAAATTTAAAAGAAAAGATCAGCTATAGCATCAGTAATTGAAGGGCCTTTAAAATAATACATTCGCCCACGCATGCCTCCACGCTCGCCTCAGTTAAGTGCTCGCCTCAATGTCAGTTCGCACGTTAACTGCCCGCCTTGGTCTTTCTTCCATTTCTCGACACCTCTTGAAGTAAAACTAAAATATTGATAGGAACTTGATCCCCTTTGTTCTGACTTAGAAATAACGTTTTAATCTCTCAGGAAGTCATCTACTCCTGTAAACTTGTTAACTACTTAACAAGTCACGCAAAAAACAAACAAAGCATTTTTAAATGCAATATGGACAAGAAAATCCTTTGAATGGTTTCATTTCAACCAGAATGCTATTTCGAAGGCCAATTGAGTATTCCTAACACGTGAAAGGATCGACTGTTGAGCTAAGAACTTTCGAAACATACGACAACGGGGGCGGTTCTTGGAAGAAAAATTGAGGAGATAGATGGAAAGAAGATGGTGACGTTCGTTTGGTGCAAACTTTGCGCTAAAGAAAAAGCTTCTATTTTCTTGAACCCGCTTTGCAAAGGCAGTGCAAAGACTAAAAATCGCTTGCCTGCCTGACTTTACCAAGGAGAGCGATGTACAGTGCGCCTGCTAAAATGCCAGGCCTGTATTCATTTTCTATCAAACAAGATACACTAAATGAAAGTTTCCTAGAGCCATTCAGAATAAAGAACAGAAGACATCAAATAAAATAAATTGTTACCTCAATCAGAGACTTTGCATACTTTGTTTTCAGTTCATTGTACTTTCTTGAATACTCTTCAACATTAACCAGTGACAGTGAATGTAGTTTATTCTCAGAAGTAGCAAGATCATCGATGCTGAATGTTTCAGACCAGTTTTTCAATTTAGGTAGCAGAGTTTCCTTTAACCAATCAAGATTTGCACAAAGTGTTCCCACAGGCACAATTCCTTGTTCAAATAAGTTGGTTGTGACAAGCTCTAATCTACAAATAATTTTTTCTTGGAATAAAATTAATACACAAGCTTAGCACAAAGCTCAAATGCCAAGAGATATTAATTCATATTGAAATGATACAATGACCTTGGTATATGATTATGTATGAGAACAAATACCAAAAATGTAAATGCACTAGTTCAATCCATTGCTACTTACTTTAGTGCAAGATGAAGTTCAATATAGGGATAGGTTTACAACAATTTACTTCAATCTTTTGCAAAAGACTTCTAAAATACATCCAAAAATTTGTTGTTTAAGATTAACATTGCAAGCCTAATAAAATTTATGTTTATCTCTTGAAAAAATATTAACATTTATGCCTTTTTGCAAGCATCTAAATAATAACCTTAATGTAAGATTACCTTCCTTTTTTAACTCCTTCTTGGAAATAATTCAATCCATAAGAGAAGTAAGGTAATTGATCTCCATCTGTGTGACTGACGCCATCCAGCAATTTTAAAGGAATAAACCATGTGGTAAAAGAGTGACTACTACCTTAAAAAGAAAAGTTAGTCATGATAATATTTAAAATCTTGGTTAACAGAACAAAAGATTCATAAACTTTTTCTAATGTCATCATTTTAACCAAGTGCATTGTTTTTTACTGTTTAAATCTAACATTGTTGATAGCAACCTATTTGATGAGTTGCTTTTTCAAGGCCATTTAAAGGTCAGACAAATCACAAATAGTCTGCCATCTCTGCAATACCACACATTACCAGAAATTTTCTCATTTTAATTTTTGCTCAAGATCTTATAAAGGGCAATTGACTTTTGGAATTAAAAAAACTATTGCATGAAGTTAACTTTCTCTCCCAACATTTAAGTGATGCCTAACACCTTTACATGCTGAGTGGAGCATTGACAATTTTTTGAGGATTTGAGAAAAAATCCAGTTTTGTCCAGAGTGCAAGAGTTTTATAGCTTTGCGTGCGAAACACACAAAAACCTGAGTGTACCCCAAAGATCTTTGGGCCTAAGTGTATGGAATGCACCCTGGAGTTTTATGTGCATTAGTAAGTCTAATTAAGCTGTAAAACCCTCAGCACTTTAAGTCAACCTGAACTTAAAGATGAACTTGATTAACTTTCAAAATCTAAATATTCATCCTTTTCTTGAGTTTTACTCATATGTTGATGGAATAAAAATATATACTAAACAGGGCTGCCAGATGCTTTGAATGGTTGACGGCCAAATTTGGCCAACCAAACAAAATATACAAAAAAGCTATATTGTTGCTGATTTTCTGCTATCTCTTATTTTGTTTCTTGATTCTTTATTTGCAACTTTGAGATTATTTTAACAACATGTTGAATATTTTCTATGCTAAAGTTGTCGTTTTCTTTGTATTTTTGTGGCTTTCAACATGCGGCTAAAATTCGGCCAACTTTCATTTTATCGGCCAAATTTATTTTTGACGGCCAACAACATTGAAAAACGGCCAGAATGGAACAATTTGGCCGTCAAAACGGCCAAATGGCAACCCTGCTACTAAACACCAAAAAATAATTCAAAAGATTTTAACCTGGGTCACTATTTTTAACAAGAAAAGTGACAACTATTTCCAGAGTAATCCTGAACTTTTTTAATGACCTTGGTAGCAATTTTCTCAAGCACAAGTGTATTTCCCAGTTATCTCCCACAAGTAAATCTCCTCTGCTGTCATTGTTTGGGCAGAACCTCATCTCAAAGCTGCACCAAATAGAGTTTAATATACTGGAAAGGCAGTCCAGGTCTTTGTGGTTCGAATCTGGGAATAGGTTGCTTACTTTTTCAATGATTGTACTTGTAAAGATAGTTTCTTTCGGTAATTTAGAGTCAACTGATTTATGCCCATTTGCCGGTATTTTTGCACTCCATACTTCACAACAACCACAAAGTCGTCTATTTACAACATTTGGCCTCTTTTTCCAAACCCTCAAAGCTTCTGTAGCTGTTTCCCATGAAGAAGTGGTTACCCTTTCAGCCACTTTCGTAACACTAGGAAGCATGTTTGCGATGCAAATAATCCTCACTTCTCTATGTTAGGCCAAATGGTCTCTTAATGGTTACGAGATCGGGGTTTGAAAAAATTGAAACATTACAAAAGGTGGAACGGGAACAAGGGAAAAAAAATATGGGAATACGGAAACATTCTTACGTGCATCAGGATACTGATTCACCCGAGGGGGTACGGGTATGGTGTGATTCACAGTCAGTGGCGGTTCCAGCTACATTAATGTACAACAATCTTTGGCGTGACTAACTTTCGGAGAAATTCTTGTTTGAAATATAAAGCAATCCGAAAGTTTTTCACGCCGAAATTTTTGTATGAGCCACACATAAAAAAGGATATGCTGATGATTGATCCCCAAATTTTCTACGTGGGAGATCAGCCGATACTTGCATAATGCATTCTTAGGGATTTGCAATGTGCATGTACGGTCAAGGTAATAAGCTGGAACCAAGCTCATTAGAATTGGTTTTGTTGTCGAGTTTAGAGGAGTGGCAAGGAATTTGGTTTTCCAGTGCAGTTTTATAGTAGAAGATCCTATTCTATTTTCAATTTTTCCCACTTTCGATTTCGCGTGGCTCAACATGACTATGGCCAAGACGATAAAAAGAAGAAACTGTCCGTGAGGGAGCAACTTCAGAACAATGCAATACATGTTATCTCTAAATTTTCATTCAATTAAGATTTTATGTAAGCTGACATTTTCCCTACCAAATGGTTCTCTATCTCGATAAATTACCTTAAGTAATCTTTTATTAACCAGTATTACTCATTGGAGGCAATCTGCCTTTTCGATGCAGGCATTGCTCTATCACATTTAACCGAAAATCTGCTTAAGAGGGCCATTCTGTGACACTCATTCGAAATGTTCCCAATCAGAAGTAGAGTCACGTCGCCCCTCATGGAACGATTTCAGTAAAGATTGTTTTCTCAGCTTTTTGGTACTTCCTAATAAAATAAAAGTACTACAAGCACATTCTTTGCTGAATAATCTACATGCTTGTGTAAAGACGGTCTTGTCGGCTTTTCTCTCTTTCTGCACGAGCAACATTACTACAGGCTATTTTACTTCGTGAAAAACTTAGGCCATCGCCCCTTATGGAACGAACTTAGGCATGCAGTAAAGTGCACAATGGAGAAAAACCGGGAATTAATATCTGCCTTCTTTCCTTCTACCTTTATCATTCGTCAGTATCAAATCAGACGTTCATTGAGCCATATGTTTTCAAATTCAGAGTAAAGAAAAAAAAGTTATCGCCCAGTTTGGTTTTCTTACTTGAACTAGACTTTATCACGTGTCACACGTTCAGCCACTCGTGAATTGCTCCTGATAAAAAATCCCGGTGAATGAAAACATTCGTATTTGGGAGATGAAGAAACATGTTGTAGGGGTTGGTTTTGTTTTAGCTAAAAAACCGACCGAGGGAATGACCAAGAAAGTTGAGGTGCAGGAAAAAAAGAAGGGTCGAAGGTCTAATGACAACTTTTTCCTTTACATTCCGCTTACTTTTAAAAGACTTCTAGCTTTTAAGAACAAAATGAAACAACGATAACTAGCAAAGAGTTCAGGTAATGTCGTCAGCAAAATAATTTCGCGCGTTTTTTGAAGATAAACAAACCCAAACTCCTTCATATTTATTTCTATCATTACACAATCAGAATTCATGAAAAAATCGAATCGTTCCATAAGGGGCGACGTGACTCTATCAAAGTTAACATCGATTTTAAAAGACATATATGAAACAACTTCATTATTTTTTTTACAAGTAAAGACCATACGTATTCAAAGTTTGAAAACAAAAAATATAACATTATATTAATATACAATTTTATGATTGACTGAACACAACAAATGGAGTAGGGACCATCCATGTTTAACTACAAGTCGAATCACCACAAAAATAAATGCTTCCAACAGCTTAAATTATTCTTTCAAATATTGTGATCATAAGAAAAACTCAAATGACATTTAAGGTTTTTACAAAAGTCTTAAAAAATATACTAAGAAGAGTTCATTATGCCAATAAATGCTTAATTTTGAATTCATTAGAATATTACTTTTAAAAGAATATGAAACCTGCCAGACAAGTGTTAAGCTTTGTCTGCAGGAATTATCTCATCAACTTTCATGATTTGAAGTGGCAGCTACCCAGCCGGATGGTCATAGTAGCCAAGCTGTTAGCACTAGGATAAACATCCAAGTTACAAAATGCTATCTGGCCATTGAAAATGTTGAAACATTTACAGTTCATTGTTTCCTTTTAAGGCTTTCAAGCAAACATCTGCAAATTCTGCAAACAATGGGATTTGCATTGCTTGTTCCAGTTGCTGTCCAGGATTTGCTGAAGCATCAATGGATAACAGCATATTGCGTAAATGTTCATTTCGAAGTTCATCTAGTAGCTCTTTCGAGTTACCTAGAAAAAATGTCCATACAGATTGATGTAGGGAGATGAAGGTAAACAAATTTAGTTTAAAGAACTAGATGGCTAAATTTTCATGATATAGTCATGGATTAAGTACCTTTATAATAGTATTTTCATTGATAATCACTTCCATCAATGAAATGGTTTGGGATGTGCCAGGGCGACTGCTTTCTGGCTAATAATCAGACAAGCCAATCGTTTTATAAATAAAAAATTTTCCATTTCCTATTTGATGAGCAATAATATTGTCTTAAAAATAATTGGGGCCAGAGAGAGAAAGTTTGCTATGATTTTTAAAAAGAGCTGGATTTGAAATTATCAGTTCCAAGATTGAAAAGTGATTGAACAGTTAATATGCAAACTTACATTTGGAAATGTTGCTTGGTTCCATCATAGAATTTCCAACATTTAAGCGATACTAACTGATAATTGTAAGTTTGCACGATAAAAGCCTGTGTACACAAGGGGAGGCATAAGAACAATAAACAAGACTTTGGTTGTTAAGAAGCTTACTAACAATAAAAATATCATAATGTACATACCTAAAAGTAAAAGCTTTTCGGGAGGTACCATGTCTTCATTGTCATCTTGCACCAAATCTTTCTTTGATTTTGATGTATTTACTAAAAACAAGCATTCATGTTTTTATATGGAATTATGAACTTGAAAACAAAGAAATCACATAATAAAGTAAAAAGTGGTTCAAATTACAAAAATGAAGCAGAGTTCATATAATATTTAGACAAAGAATATTTAGTCATAAAGGACCTTTCCTGCCATTTACTTTTTCAATTGAAAACTTACCCAATCTTTCTGCTATAGCACTTTCATTTGAAGTTGTCTCTTCGTTATTATCTTCAGGTTCATTGTGATTATTTCCACACTGTGTGGCTAAAATTCAATAATCAATAAATTATCATTAGACTAGCAAACTATTGCCATGAACATCCAAAAACTGGGATTCTATAGCTTATGCTAGCTTAAAACAGTGGCTGAGAGGAACAACATAGAGGATAACAACCTCTAGACAGGAAACTTTAAGGACAAATTCAAAATAATAATGTTTTGCTTATAATTATATGTGGAAGAGTTCTGTTGGAAACGTTGTACTTAACTTTCATTTGTGTACAAAGTTGTTATTAATTTTTGCTCGTTACTTGATGAAAACACCCTCAACAAAATTGATTATAATCATGAAGTCTGTAAAATATCATAAAGAGTGTGTATAAGTGCAAAATTATTCAAAACTTGGTCTATATCGGAAGCAGAAACAGAGAAAATTGATAAGAAACAAACAAGAAACATAAGAAGATCTCACCTTTGTGATTTTTGTAGCATCCAAGGGAACAACTAAAATCATACAAAGAAAAGTAAGAGAAAAATGAAAACCTATAAGAACTATAAAAAAAGATTGACTAATTGAAGGAACAACAGGTACTGTTTAGGAATAACCAAGAACAAGCAGAAACAGCTCTTTTCCCAAAAATACATATTTAATCAAAATATTATTTGGATTCAACTTACAACTTGCCTTAGGTTGGCAAAAATTCACCATTAGTATGAAAAGAAAGTGCCTTGCAATCCTTGTACTTGAAATATCAAAATAAGCTGTTTTTATCAGGCACTGAATTAGAGAACAGCCATATAACCAACCAATCATTGATGCGTAAGATAATTTCAACAATATATTGAGTATTCAAGACAGCATTTCCGCATAGTACAGGATTGTAACAACTGTTGTCTTTTGAAGAAAAGAGCTCATGCCTCTCTAAAAAGTATGAAAACCCTTTGTTTCAAAAACTGATATTTTTTGTTTCTTTGCTCTCAAACAACAGGGCCCCCAAATAATGCTTATCCTTACAGTCCTACTGTGGCATTCTTTAGGCCTTCCCCAGAGATGTGGTCTATAGCCCGTGCCCGTGCAAACCCCACACAACAAAGTTTTGCAAGGGTTTTTTCCGCCCATGCAGTTGTTTGTAACAATGCCTTCATTGAGTCCACTTAGTCTCACTCTCTAATGTTTTAACTACCTACCGCTATATATCAGGGTGTTCATAAATAACGTCGTGTCAAAGAGATATATGGTTTTTATAAATATTGTTATAAAGAGGAAATATCTGTTTCTTCTGACAACAAATGTTAACAAACTAAAGTTTTACCTGTTACAACTAGCAATGGAATAGGAAATGGCTGTGCAGGAAAGGAACAACAGATAGAGTAAAATAGCAAGAATAAGAATTGTTACACAACACTGTCAAGTACGAAATTTGTGTTACAAATACATTTATTTTTTATAAGAAACACGCTATAAGAAACAACAACTGGGCAATCGGAAAAAAATTTAAAAGTTTCAGAAATAATTCGTTTTTACTCTTTGACTCTTCAACAAGGTGAGAGATAAGCGGTTGGGTTTGTCAAAAACATAGAACCAATCATTCACCCTTTTTTAACTCTCTTGTTACCTTTGATCCGGTTTTCTGCTTCCCTTTGTGCTTTGGGGTTTATGCATAATATGTTATTCGCCGATTTTTATCATGTTATTTTATCGCTCTTCCGTGCTGTTTTCAGATTAAGAAGCTCTTAATAAAGAATGAGTATTTGAATTTCCTATATACCGTTAAGAAACTGGAGAACTCAAAATCGACCTTCATTTCTTATGGAAAAAAGTGTATTTCAGTTACTCTTTCTTGAATATGCAATCATTTCCATATATTTTCTGATTCCTTTGAGCTGACCTTTGTGTTTTAAAGAAACCCTAAAGAGGAATTAAAGAGCAATGTTGCTAAACAAATTGACTACTTTTGATACCGGAACATTTTGTTTATGGAAGCACCCCTGACATACAATCAGTAGTCATATATCATCAAAAAAGTTATTAATTATTTAAACTGATTAAAGAATAACCTATCTATTCTAATCTGTTTAATGTATCACAGGTTATCACTGTCATTTTGGACTCAAAAGTTGAACAGTACATTCAACTTGTAGAATTAAATTTTTGCAATTTTTAGAATTATGCATATCATGGTCAAGTTATGTTGATAGTGAATGCCCTGTTTTGGCTTGGTCAGCACAGAAAAGATACCTAGTAGCTATATGGAAAATCCTCAAATTTGACCCCTGAAGGCTTTAAGCATGTGGATTGCAGCCTGGAATATGGATTAAATTCTGGTCTACCTTGATTAGGAAATAGATTTGGAGAGATAATTTACATGCACTACAAGGAATGGAGCTTGGGGTCAGGGTGGGAGGGGGTTTTTGGGAGGAAAATATGAGGAGTTATTGCTTCGTTTAAAAAATACCTTGGTTTTGACTAAAATACTTGGCTGAATGGAAATCTTTAGTTTAAACCAGAAACTAAATATTTGCTCCTCCGCAGGGATCAACAAGATTTGTTACCAGTTTTCCATTTTACCAAGTTTTTCGTCATCACAGTCATTCCAGGAAATTTTTTTGAGAAAAAGCCTTAATTCTTGAGTATGTGCAGCGGTGATGATATGTAATAGCAACCAAGTCCACGGCCTCTTTTGAATTATTCCCCAATCATTGATCAACATAACATTAAATAGAGCAACGCACGTGTGGCGCGAAATGACACAAATCGTCGCTATTTAGAAATACACAGATGCAATAGCAACTGACAAAAAAAGTTAAAATATTCTTCTACTTACTAAAGAATTTTACAGGATGGACATCTGTATCTGGAATCCGCACTGCAACAAATTTCACATTTTCCTTTCATGTTTTCCTCGTTGGCTTCCCATGAACAGTGAGAGTCAAACCTCAATATTAAGACGAGGCTACTACTAATCACCTTGGCTTCCTGAACAATTAAACTGACTACAGACAATTCAATCGAAGCGTTTAAAATAAAAAATAACAGCAGGTTTGAGAAGTTTGAGATCTGTGAAGATGGTAAGGGAGGGTGACAAGCGAGGTTGAAATGAGATATCTCGGATAGCTTTTTCTGGAACCTGAAAAATATGATGCATATGTTTCTTATTCCAAGTTACAATGAAAATTACACAAGAAGTAGATCAAAAAGCACTGAAAAGCACACCTGAATGAAACACCCAATGGTAGTAGATCTTGAATTTTGAAATGGTACTTCCTGTTCAGATGCCTACCTAAGAAAAAACCCAAGAACAAGAAATTTTTCTCTTTTAATAAAATTTCCCCCTATTTTGATAACAGCATCAGTAAGTACAGTCGAGCTGCAACATCGTCCTGATAGCACAGCTTCAAAGCTGCTAATTATTATAGCGAACATTTATTATATAGCGATGGGTCGATAGTGATATTCTTGGTGAAAGCCTCAAAGAATTTTATCGCAATAAAAAATGCTGTCGAAAAATGCCTATTTGAAATTTTCTTTTCTATAAATGCTTCAGCTAAATCTTCACCGGCCAAATCTGACTTCTTATTGTAGAAGAAACAAAACAATACTACCCTTAAAATAAAATATTTTTAACTTTTTAAGCTAAGAGTTGCATTACTCCGTCCTCCAACCTCTTTGTATTGTTTTACGTGTTGTACTTCGGGCTTGCCTTTTCATTTACCTTTTCACGTAAAATATATTTTGTTGTTTGTCTCTATATACACATAAAAAAATATCGTGCATTTGGAAAAACAAAGTTGCATTATGAAGATAAAGCAAAGTTCTGCTATGAAACGTTAATTTCTACAAAAATATGGCCTAGTCTTGATTTAATTTACAAAACGATAAGGGCCTACTGTGATCTCATAATTTTTTAACAATTTCGATACCTTCTAATTGTAACCTGAATATGATCCGGAAAGATTGAGATATGGATAATATTGTCATTGCTGCAATCCTTGTATTTCGCTTTTTAATTTTTCTGCAAAGATAAAGTATGGCCTAAGAGAAACACTCTGAATGAAATGAAAAAACGAAACGAAATGAAACGAAATGAAGTCTAACATTAACCTTTAAATGACACTAGCGCAACTTTTTTTGACATGAAAATATCATTTGTCATTTTTTTCTTGGCTTTGTTATTGTTCTGTTAACATAATTGTTTTATATCTTTCCAACAAGAGCTTTGGTGGCTTCCAGAAATATTGGTACTTGTAGAGAAGGCACAAATCACGCAAAGAATTTCACCTGGTAATGGTATGTTAGTGTCTGGATAATAGTGCAGGGCCACCTAAAGGAAGATCGGTCAAGGGGGACAAGATGAATAAAAGGGCATTGCATCTTTTTTCCATAACATTGGTTATTGGTAAAAATGTTAGTGCACTTACCGAGAAACATCTTCACTAGAGGGCAGACATGACTATATGCTCCATTTAGGAGCCACGTACTCTTGAGTATACTTAATTCTATTGAAGTTTTTCTTTGTGTAAATCTTTCTTCCATGTATGCTTTGTATTTTCTTTATAATAAGTTGTACTTACTTTCCTTTTTAATTTTCATTGTAAGTGGAGGTGAACCCGGTTAAGCGCCAGGCACACATCCTTCCCAAAAATTGGGACAGGTGCATTATACGTAGCAAATATTCAGATTAACTACAACATAACACAGGTTTTTAATTTGTTATTTTTATATTTACGCATTTTAGTAGATTGCCTAGTAACCAGTGAATATCAAGTATACTGTCTCTTGCACTACATAATGGAATGATATTCAACTATATTCTTCATTATTCCGCCAAGCCAAAAAATCTTTGTTTGATCTATTGGAAACATCCAACATCAGATGAATGGCATAATTCATGGTCCACCAGCCGGATGCTTGAAGACCTTGTTTGTATTAGCACTCTTTCAATCCTTTCCGCCTTTTTAAGTTATATTCAATAGATTGGGCTGAGGATCTGCAAATTCAACGTCTCAAGGGCTAGCTTTCTCGCAGTTTTTCTTCTGTAAGAGAAGATGTATCGGATTTTGGAGAAAAACATCGACTGATTGCTCAGAACTTCAAAAAACCTGTAATTTTTAAAGCCTTTAACAGCAATTACAGTACTTAAATAACTTTGGAAATATAACGGTTGGTTTCAACTCTGGATAATGTGGAGTGGTTGGTAACTTTGATTCGAGAACGTAATTTTTTGCCCCTATACCAATTATGATAAAAAACCTGGTAAACTGCTGGACTGCGCAAGCATTCACTGCACACGAGAAGCAAAAGGCCACGAGTTAACGTTTGATACTAATTTATTGCCACCAATGACTAATTTCTCACAAACTAGCCGCAGCAGACGGAAACAGAAGCAAAATGTCAATTGTGGCATTTGGCTCATCGAAATGCTCTAGTAAGGGGCGGAGGGGGCTTAAGAACAACTCAAATGACAAAATGTGCTTCACTTAAATTCATTTATTTTTTTCAGAAACATTCTTAGTGGGAGAGTTTCTCAAATTTTTTAGGACCAATCCTAAGGTAATGAAAGAAATTTTATTTCTATGAAAGAACATAGTAAGCCAGTCTTCTCTAAAGTATATTCTTTCTGTGCATGGTTGATGGTAAGACATTTCATATGCTAGGTATCACAAAATAACAGTGATGCCTGGTTGTTGAAAACAGCCGAAAAAATCAGAAGGTCAATTGAATAGACGCTCAAAAATGACTTCCACGTCGTTTAAAGGTCTGTCGTGAACGACAAAGACCTATAATTTTACGAAATCTGTGCTTAAGACGAATGAACATATCTTGAACATAACGATAAAGCGTACAAAGTGACCAATATTCAAAGACAACAACGATGCCTTAACTGACTGCTATAAGGTATCTAAGCAAAATTGCATTAGCCAATGAGCGGCCACATCAACCTTAAACATCTATAGATATTGACTTCATTTGCAGAACTAAGAAGAACGCAGACTAGGGTCGCATTAAAAGAGGGATCCTGCCCCTTCTGACACAATTTTTAGAACAGTAGGTTCAACAGAAATTCCGTGGCTTGGTATAACGTGAAGAGAGAATGAAACGACCTACTTTTCAAAAGAAACCAACAAACAGGCACATAATATTTTGTGCTTGGTCTCATGCAGGCTAAGGCTGATGAAAAAGGCAGCGAGTCAATGACAGTGCAATAATAATAAATGAATCTGAATAAGCATAGCACTCTTAAAACTAAATGCTACTTCCTGAAACAAATGCAAACAAACTGATGTTACATATTGGATATAATATGTAAGATATAAAACTATATTGAGACAGTGTAAACTTTATTTTCATGGCCTGATGAATGTGTTTCGCCAGCTAGCTGCTGAGTTTCTTCCAGTTTGGCCAAACTCGCAATAACACCTCTTCTGCGTAGCAGCATCAACAGTTGCTCCATTGGCTAACTTGCCATTCTTCTTCCTTGAAGAACATTTCGCCACGCATTCAGCTGCATTGGTTACTTTTCCAATATTTACTTCACTGCCACCGGTACCATCACCTCTCTCCCATTTGATAGCAGAGCCTAGCAAGTATTAGATCGATTAAGGTTTAAGAGCAACTTTGGCTGTTACTCATATATTTTGAAAGGACTGTTTTCTTTTTGAAAGAAGAAAAGGCAATTGAGGATAAATGCAAGTTGCAAAACATAAACTTTAGACGTTGTATGATTGCAGTGTCAAAAGATAAGGCCAAATATCAAAACATACGTTATAGATTGACCGGTATTAAATCCTCCTAATTTGTCAATTTCTTCTAAGCGAATGGAGCTGTTAAATCTTGTTCAAAAGCGAGTAATTGATAAACGTTTCGAAAGGCTATTTTTAAGCAATAAACAAAGTCATTTTGTCTTTTTCGCTAAGCAGAAAGCAGGTCAGTTTAGGAAGATATTAACACCAAACCTTACTTGGGCAGGCAAAGGTATTGCAAGGAGCACTTTCTGTGGCTGGGCCTAAACGGGAGCAGCTCTTTCCACCCATTAATGGCGATGGATTATTACATGGACGACTTCTAGACTTGGTTCCTCCACCACATGTTTTGCTACATGATCCGAAGTTTGACCACGATCCGTAGCCACCATCAACTAAAATTATTGAAATTCAATTTAAGTATCTGTTGCAGAAAATACTTTAAAGAATATCTTATAGACATAAATTGACGTCATTATGTCTATCAAGTCAGCAATAGCTTCCTCTAAAAAACAACAAAGTCTAACAAATATTTGTTCACTGGCCTAAAAGTGATAAAAACGATGCCATGAAAATTATTTAAAATATCAATGTTGAGGGAATTCATTAATTTGTTATCAAGAATGGAAACAGAATCATTTATCAAGTATTATCCAAAATACTCAACACATACAGTATTTGTAAACAATTTAACTCCAGACGATTTCTGGTAAGTTTAACTTCTACCCATTCCAAGACATTTATATGCAGTGATGTACTTTAATTTTGTTACGACGAAAGCTTCTTGGAGTTATTTTTATACGTATTAGCTAAACATCGTTGCTGTATTTTCCACAGCTTATGATAGACCACACACATGAGACTACCTTATTATGGAAGTGGTTGAATTATAATAACTAAATTCAAGGTGCAGAATTGCTTAAATATAAAAGTTTCTAGGTAAATGATTTACAATTACGAAATCTTCTTCAAGGTGTAAATATTGTAATATTTGTTGGCGTCATCTGCTTATTTGACGCTATGGATGTTGGCACAATTAAGATGAATTAATTCATTGAAGCGTCAAAATATTCTACTAAAACTTTTTTTAGATCTTGGTTGCTTTTACAGCAATTGTTTACAGCTATTGATAGGAAAGAGATACTGAAGGATAATGATTGTATACATATTAAAAACAATTGGTTATGGTCTCTTCATAGCGACAGGCCTTTTACATTTGTCTTTCAAACTTTTATAAAATATTGCAAATCCACGGCAATTTCAAATACACGGCGTTTTTCCTGATTAAACCCTTTCCCAGCCAAGATATTAGCCATTTTTTCCTAAAACAAGTCGAATGAAATGTTCTGAGTATCTGTTTTTCAGAAGAATTTCCCCGATTTTGTCGAGCTAATGACCAAATAAAGGTTTGGGAAAAATCATCAAAGCCCAATTGCCAATGATTTAATTTTCCTTTTTCCTTTAAAAGGAAAATTTTCCTTTTTCTGGACCAAAGAATTCCAGCAAATATATTACCAGAAAATGTTGCATTCTAGAAACACCGGGTGCGCAAAAAGGGGACTGGATCTCTGACATCTTCCTATCCCTTTCTCCTAAACAAACTTTGATTGCACGTGTTCTTTTAATATAATTTTTAAAGCATTTTGCCACCACTCTGCCACCTTGCAATGTTGTAGGTCAAACACTTTCATTCGAAGAAGGGAGGTCGGTTATAATACATCTCTTTAAAAATCGTAGCTCTAATGCGTAGGGTTAAATGGTAAGGTAACTTGCTTTCTATGAAAGATAAAAGCCTAAATATATCCACGAAAGAAGAGCCAAAATATAAACAGTTTGTTGTCAAATGTAGTTGCTGTTGAAGACGCTGTACTTTAATGGCTTAGCATGATGGGATGCTTCAGTTGTGTTCGAGAAATTACCCCGCTACGTCTTTCATCCCTAACGGAAGGACAATTGATCTCGCAACTTCAACCGTAATCATGAATTCTCCCGAAAATGTTTTTAAATAATTCAGGAAAAATATTAAAAAAAGAGCAACCCGAAGAAGATTTTGAAGGGAATAGATCACTTACGTGGTCTGATAAATGTGTTTTGCCAGCTAGCTGCTGAGTTTCTTCCAGTTTGGCCAAACTCGCAATAACACCTCTTCTGCGTAGCAGCATCAACAGTTGCCCCATTGGCTAACTTGCCATTCTTCTTCCTTGAAGAACATTTCGCCACGCATTCAGCTGCATTGGTTACTTTTCCAATATTTACTTCACTGCCGCCGGTACCATCGCCTCTTTCCCATTTGATAGCAGAGCCTAGTATGTATGAGATTGATTAAGATTTAAGAGCAACTTTGGTTGTTACAAATATATTTTTTAAAGAACCTTTTTCTTTTTGAAAGAGGGAAGGGCAATAGATAGGTAGATTGTAGCTTGCAAATGCAAGTTGCAAAACAGAAACTTTAGACGTTGTATGATTGCAGTTTCAAAGGATCAGGCCAAATTTCAAAACACAAGTCATCGATTGACCGGTATAAAATCCTCCTATGAAATATATTTCAAATGTTTCTAAGCCAATGGAAGTGTTAAATTTTAATCCAAAACTTGTAGTTGATAAAAGTATCGAAAGATTATTTGTAAGCAACAAACGAATTTACTTTGTCTATTTCTCTAAGCAGAAAGCAGGTCAGTTTAGAAAGACATAAAGAGCAATCCTTACTTGGACAGGCAAAAGTGTTGCAAGAAGCACTTTCTGTGGCTGAGCCTAGACGGGAGCAATCCTTTCCACCCATTAACGGCGCTGGATTATTACATGGACGACTTCTAGACTTGGTTCCTCCACCACATGTTTTGCTACATGATCCGAAGTTTGACCACGATCCGTAGCCACCATCAACTAAAATTATAGCAAATTTATTCGAAAACTTTGTCGCACTAAAAATCATAATAAACGCATATACGATTACATATAAATGGTCTTTTTCTAACAAAGTCAACATCATTTTTGTTCAAATTTTCAAAGCTGGAAACATATTTCTTCCATACAGCATAATTTCAAAAAGCATAATTGTGTAAAAATTACACAGGGCCATTATTTGTAGTTGGTAAGGGAATCTCAAGATTTTGGCTAGAATAGGAGTAGAAAATAAAAGGCTCTTTATAGAGTTCAATAGAAACTTCACAACGAAGTTAAGAAACATGAACAGATTTTGTCTTCCCCTTTAATATGATACAAACCTGAACATTTCTTTTATTTTAATGCCAAAGTTGATACATTTGTGTTGTTTTTGTAATGTTCTCTTAGTTAAAAACGCTGCACATGGAACAATCGACAATGGTCAATTGTGTTTCATAAAACGAGTAATTCCTGCTTTTATATGGAGCAGAAATTGAAATTTGCGTTGCTTGTTCAACCGTAATCGTGAAGTCTCCCCAAAAAAATGTATCGGACTTCGGCTCAAAATGTACATAAAGCAATACAGCTAGAAAGAGTTTTTGAAGCAACTAAATCATTTACGTGGCCTGATGAATGTGTTTCGCCAGCTAGCTGCTGAGTTTCTTCCAGTTTGGCCAAACTCGCAATAACACCTCTTCTGCGTAGCAGCATCAACAGTTGCCCCATTGGCTAACTTGCCATTCTTCTTCCTTGAAGAACATTTCGCCACGCATTCAGCTGCATTGGTTACTTTTCCAATATTTACTTCACTGCCGCCGGTACCATCGCCTCTTTCCCATTTGATAGCAGAGCCTAGTATGTATGAGATTGATTAAGATTTAAGAGCAACTTTGGTTGTTACAAATATATTTTTTAAAGAACCTTTTTCTTTTTGAAAGAGGGAAGGGCAATAGATAGGTAGATTGTAGCTTGCAAATGCAAGTTGCAAAACAGAAACTTTAGACGTTGTATGATTGCAGTTTCAAAGGATCAGGCCAAATTTCAAAACACAAGTCATCGATTGACCGGTATAAAATCCTCCTATGAAATATATTTCAAATGTTTCTAAGCCAATGGAAGTGTTAAATTTTAATCCAAAACTTGTAGTTGATAAAAGTATCGAAAGATTATTTGTAAGCAACAAACGAATTTACTTTGTCTATTTCTCTAAGCAAAAAGCAGGTCAGTTTAGAAAGACATAAAGAGCAATCCTTACTTGGGCAGGCAAAAGTGTTGCAAGGAGCACTTTCTGTGGCTGAGCCTAGACGGGAGCAATCCTTTCCACCCATTAATGGCGCTGGATTATTACATGGACGACTTCTAGACTTGGTTCCTCCACCACATGTTTTGCTACATGATCCGAAGTTTGACCACGATCCGTAGCCACCATCAACTAAAATTATAGCAAATTTATTCAAAAACTTTGCTGCACTAAAAATCATAATAAACGCATATACGATTACATATAAATGTTCTTTATCTAACAAAGTCAACATCATTTTTGTTCAAATTTCCAAAGCTGGAAACATATTTTTTCCATACAGCATATTTTCAAAAAGCATAGTTGCGTTAAAAGTACACAAAGCCATTTTTGGTAGTTGGTAAGAGAATCTCAAGATTTTGGATAGAATAGGAGTAGAAAACAAAAGGCTCTTTATTGAGTTCAATAGAAACTTCACAACGAAGTTAAGAAACATGAACAGATTTTGTCTTCTCGTTTAACATGATAAAAACCTGAGCATTTCTTTTATTTTAATGCCAAAGTTGATACAGTTATATTGTTTTTGCAATGTTCTCTTAGTTAAAAACGCTGTACATGGAACAATCGACAATGGTCAATTGTGTTTCATGTTCTCGTGTTTCAATCGAGTAATTCCTGCTTTAATATGGAGCAGAAATTGAAATTTGCGTTGCTTTTTCAACCATAATCGTGAAGTCTCCCCAAAAAACTTTCTCGGACTTCGGCTCAAAATGTACAAAAAGGAATACAGCTAGAAAGAGTTTTTGAAGCAACTAAATCATTTACGTGGCCTGATGAATGTGTTTCGCCAGCTAGCTGCTGAGTTTCTTCCAGTTTGGCCAAACTCGCAATAACACCTCTTCTGCGTAGCAGCATCAACAGTTGCCCCATTGGCTAACTTGCCATTCTTCTTCCTTGAAGAACATTTCGCCACGCATTCAGCTGCATTGGTTACTTTTCCAATATTTACTTCACTGCCACCGGTACCATCACCTCTCTCCCATTTGATAGCAGAACCTAGCAAGTATGAGATCGATTAAGGTTTAAGAGCAACTTTGGTTGTTACAAATATATTTTTTAAAAAAAAAATTTCTTTTTGAAAGAGGAAAAGGCAATAGATGGTCTACTTATAGTTAAAGGTAGATTGTAGCTTGCAAATGCACAGTTGCAAAACATAAACTTTAGAAGTGTCAAAAGATTGCAGTGTCAAAAGGTCAGGCCAAATTTCAAAACAAAAGTTATCGATTGACCGGTATAAAATCCTCCTAAGAATTATATTTCAAACCTTCTTAAGCCAATGGAACTGTTAAATCTTGTTCTCCAAAAATAGTAGTTGATAAAAGTCTACAATGACTATTGAAGTAGCAAATATAGTTATACTGTCTAATTCACCTAGCACAAAAAGGCCAGGCTAGGGAAATATAAACGCCAATCCTTACTTGGGCAGGCAAAGGTATTGCAAGAAGCACTTTCTGTGGCTGAGCCTAGACGGGAGCAACTCTCTCCACCCATTAATGGCGCTGGATTATTACATGGACGACTTCTAGACTTGGTTCCTCCACCACATGTTTTGCTACACGATCCGAATTTTGACCAGGATCCATACCCACCATCAACTAAGTAAATTCAAAATTTTTAACTTGGTTTTAAATGTTTCCATTTATTGGTTTTATGAATGATGTTATTTTCTACAAACAATTGCCTTTCCTAACACTATCTATGTGACCCATTTTATAACTGTACAAGTTTACTTCTTTTAAAACGTATCTGTTGCAAGAGGGAAAAGTCTTCGATGATTAGCTGCAGTTTTCTTTAATATGAAGTTGAAACATAGCTATGAAATTGTATATCAATTGCAACTAAAACTATGCATAACTTCTTCTAAGGACTTTTACAACGGACAAGCCTTTGGTGTCCTCAAAAGAGAGCAAACGTTCCAAACAAGGAAACGAATGCAAGGGCGTTTCCCCTAGCTCTTAGGTTAAAAAGCCTTGCTGCTAAAGGAATGTTCTTTTAAGTAACAGTGCTGCCAAAATGATCAGTTTGAAAATGCAAATAATTTGATACGCATGCTTGATATGCAAATAAATCATTGATAATAATTTTAAAGATAAAGCGGTGACAAATCAGGTAAGTTCTGAAAGAACTAACTTGGCCTGATGAAAGTATTTTTCCAGCTAGAAGCACTGTTTCTTCCAGTTTGGCCATATTCACAATAGCAGGATTTCTCTGTCGCAGCATCCACAGTGGCTCCGTTGGCTGGTTTGCCATTACGAGACTTTTTCAAACATTTTGCAATGCATTCTTCCTTGTTCGATACCTTGCCAATATTTTCCTCAGGTCCACCAGTTCCGTCTCCTCTGCTCCAGGATGGTGTCGTAACTAAATGATATCAAAAAATACAACCCTAAACATCGAATTAGTTAAATTATATATCTGAATATATCTGAAAATCAAAATTTGCTTTTCTTAAAAAGGCAGAAACAAAAGTCGTTTTTACCATAAGGAGAATCTTTGAAATGACAACACTGGATTTTAACCTGCTTAGTGCAAAAAATTTCACAGTTTTTACGCAAAAAGAATATCTAGAAGTGTATAGGAAAAGATTAAAAGAGGGCCCAAAATCCGCTTTATCACGTAGAAAATATTCTTATAAAAGAACTCATACTTCCACAGGGCTTGCTGCTGCATTCTGCACTTTGTCTTGCAGGGCCGAGCTTTGAACAGTCCGTTCCGTTATAAGCTGGAAGTGGGCTGTTGCAAGATCTTGTTCTCGTCTTTGTTCCCGTTCCACATGACACACTGCACGATCCATAACTGCTCCATGGTCCATAGCCTCCATCAACTATGACAAAGTTGGATTTTATTTGGCTTGATTATTTGGAGAAAAGTACTTGGCAACATGACACATTCCATAAGCACAAAAGACAGCAGTAAGGGAAAAAGGTGAAACCATATGACCATATGCAGGAAAACCTCGTGTAAGCAAATCATCTCTTATCAGTAATCATCCGAAACTTATATACTTAGAGGAGGCTGGGTAGAATGCCTTTATAGGTAAGTTGGCTTACAAATTAGCATGTTTTTAGGGGGCATGGCTGCCTGGGTGAAAGCACTGCCTTAAATTAAAGGGATGTTTTCGAAAACAAATCATTCACTTATTTGTGTTGCTTAATCTAATTTAATTTAACTTGAGTAGTTTGGAAATTCAAAAATAAAGACGAAATTCTCTATTAAAGGGGCTAGGTCACGTGTAAGGCTGCGGGACAATGTTGTTATGACGATGCTTTTGGATGGGGTGAACCCACCACAGCAACTGAAGTGAGATATGGTAGGACAGAGAATCGCAGCGCATTGAGATAATTCTAACGTCCTTTGATACTAAAAAATTAATTTGTCATTTATTTCAAACGTATATTTCAACATTGCTTCTTTGATCAGTTCTGCAGCGTTTGTACTGCAGCGGGAACACAAGACGTAAACGCCATAACGGACTGTTTGGCCGAAGAGACAGCACAGAGGCATCTGTATGTGGAAGTCTAGGTTCACAAACAGTAAACATTACTGAAAGCCAATGGTTTAAGAAAGATTTAGATTTGGAAGCACTGCTGCAAGCGTCTGTGCAAGACACTGCGCTTTGACGATTGGTAAACAAAATCATCTTGCACGCATACTGTCCCGTGCAAAATGTTTGTTTACAGTTACGTGGCCCGGCCCTTTTAAGTAGGGCTCTGCAGAAACGTGGTAGATAGTACAATGCATTGGCAAAGCAAATTGAGTCCATCAAAAAGTCTTCTCGGGGTCTGAGCCCCAATTTTCACACCCTGACGAGGGTTAAATTATCTTTCGAGCCAAATCTCACCAGACTTAATCATTCTTTACAGATTCGAAGTTGGAAGGGCTGTGGTCCTCTTCAAAGCAATCAGCTAAAAGAGCTCTGTCTCCCCCTAACACTCCGTAAGAATTGTCTGAGTATACTAAATTCGCAACAACAAAATCTTACCTTGTACGACATGTTAATATGAACAACAGTAAAGACCTCAAGTGATGACTCGAAAACTAAATTAAGCACATACCTTACTTGGCCGTACACTGTGAAATTTTGGCGAATAAAAGCTTTCTTATTTACCTGGACAGGGTTTCAAATTGCAGGCTACAGTTTGATTTGTTTCTCCCAACTTTGAACAATCTTTGCCTCCATGAGCAGGCTTTGGGTTCTCACACCTTCTAATTATCAGTTTCTCCCCTCTGCCACACGACTTACTGCATGTGCCAATAGGCTCCCATGGGCCATATCCACCATCAACTACAAAAGATAATGCCAAATTAGTCTTGACAAATAAAGACGGACAAAATAAACTTATATCTTAGAAAAAGAGTCTCTAAGACCTGCCTGGACATTCTTTAACTTGACATTTTTCTCTTTCCGACAAAGGCCCAAGATCAGAGCAGTCCTTTCCTTCTCCTTTAGGTTCAGGGTTATCACAGTTTCGTTCCCTGACTCGCCACCCTTGACCGCACTCTTTGTCGCATTTTGTCCATGGTTGCCACTGTCCAAGCCCTCCGTCTACACCTGCAAATGGATAATTACGAAGATGATTCTTCATTTAATAAAGATATTTTAGCCGACAATAACTTCCAAATATACTGGTATGGGATATAACATTTTTTGGGGATACCATTTTTGAAGTGGAAAACAAATTTTGGGGTATCAATTTTGGAAAAATCAAACATGATCATAAACTTTGGGATTCATTTTCAGCATAACCATAACCTTAAATTCTGGAGTTTCATTTTTAAAAGGTAATATATTTTAATTAACACGATTCAGTTGTTGGATTTTTGCAAATTTGAATTAACTTCAAGGGGACGCATTTCATTTTGTATCTGAGTTTTGGGGTGAGGTTTTTGAAAATTTATAAAGCTTAGGGTATGTTCTCACATTTCAAAATGGTACACCCCCATCCTTTGTATATTGAAGCTACCATCCCGGGCTGAAGTATAGAGACTTTTACTGCTATGACAGGTTCAAGTAATTTCTTCTTTACTGTATGTTGCTAGAGTGCAGATTTAGAAACACTTGATCTATGGAAACAGCATTTGTAGCGCTATTTGCGAATCATGAAACAGTGTGGAAGAATTTCTTGTCATCAAGGATTCAGAGACCAGATTTACGTCCACTCTTACTATATTAGGAACGTCTTGTTTTGCAATTTTTTATTGCCGTACCCTCTAAAAATGTTATTAATATATATCAAGAATATGTGTATTTTAGAAAAATGTAAAGCTCTGAATTGGGCCTTTGTCGGAAAGAGAAAAATGTCAAGTTAAAGAATGTCCAAGCAGGTCTTAGAGACTCTTTTTCTAAGATATTTTCTTTATCTTAGAAGACTCGATAGGTTATTTTTCTAAAATGTAAAGATAATATATTTAAAAAGAGCAGGTAATTACTAGTCCCCCCTACCCCCTATGCACAGCCACTGAACTAATCAAAACCAATTTCAAAAAGCTTCAAGAAGTAGTAGAATAAGCTTAGAAAAGTCAATTTTCTTACTTTTTTCTTCAGGACTCTTAAACTTGAAAACACCCTCTGCGAATTCTTTTCCGGTGCAATGTTCATGCTTTCCTTTGTCACAATGAGTATACTTCTGGTCACCAACGCACAAATTCTGCTGATGACTTCTTGACTCGAGTTCCTCTAGTTGCTCTTTTGTCTTACCATGGCACTCACCGTAAAACATCAATGAAAAGCCTGCGTAATTGGCCTCCTTCGCTCTTTTGCCACATTGGCATGCCAATCTAAATGACAGGAACACTTTCAAAATGATCCAATGGGTAGTAAGTTTGACAGTGGAAAAGAAACACGATAGAAAATCCCCGTGCATAGATATCTATTTCATAGAATAAGTTTGAGGACGTTAACTGAAAAGTAAACTGATATAAATCTGATCGCCGGCTACTAGAAGTTCAAAACATAATCTTCAATTTAGGAAGCAAACAGAGATTGACCTTAATCTGGTACAAGTCAAAACTTATAAAGTTGTGTCGAATGTGAACTGCACCTTGAAATGCAAGCGTAATTTTCATAAGGAGATATTTATTGGGATGCGACTTCATGGCATCAACAAAAAATTCAAATGCTATTTACCAATTGCTGATCTATTTAGTTGATTGCAAACCCAGAGATGTGTAAAACACTTTTAAAATTGTGGCTATGCGTTTCGAGGTAATTTTAAGCCGAAGCTCCGCACGAGTGTAAAAAAGTGTTTTTACAATTTTTGAAGATAGGCTTATATACTGAAGCTTCCGTTTTATACTTAAGTTGACTTCAGATAGTGACTGCTGACTCAATCTTACACGTTTTACATGGTGTGAGCTTGCTACTACAGTAGACCCAATATATTTAACATTGTTGATCAAGGTTTTTATGGAAATAAAAGATATTGCCTCGAAATGCGCAACACAAACAATCTTCCTTCTACCTAGATGATAGTTTCTTCGACTAGTCAATGCTTGGGCTAAGTAGAATTTCCGAATGAAAGATTCGAAAAGTAATGTCAAATATAGATCAGTAAATTGCAAAAGATGAATTAACAGAGTGTATACTTATGCATGTATTTCTCAATATTGCCCCAGTTAATGTTGCTTCTATCACTGAATATCATGCTGTTTCCTTGGGTTGACTGGTAACAACCAAGCATTGCAAAGCTTTTCTTGTCACCTGATGGACAATCATCTGCCCCTGAGAAGATCACATATGCATTAATAGCTAACAACAAGATACTGAAAAAACAGGCATGCCTGTAAGTAGACTTAAGGCAGATATGTCAGTTTTCAAGGTGAAATCCAGCCATTTTCATCTCCGCAAGGGAGCAATGGTTTACTTTAGAACGGTGTATGAGTATTTTCATTTGCGCTATTTGTATGATGTCCGTCTAAACATGGTCTAAAATATCTACATCATATTAAGGAAAAAAGGGGCGGAAGTAGTTACATTTATCGTAAAAGAAATGAAAGAAATAAAATACAATGAAAATTGCCGGCTGTTCCGAGAATTGTTGGCAGGCATTATAGGCAACTTGAAAGCAATTTGAAACGTTCTTAACACAGCTCGTAAGTTAATGGAATTGGGCATTTTTGAATATATATATAGGATAACTTTCTTCTCGGATATGTCTTATATAGGATAACTTTCGGTTTCGTATATAATAAAGTCATCAAGATAAAATCCGAGAAGAACTTTTTAGCAGGATATGTCACAGAAGAAAATACCATAACCGGAAACGACGTTGATGACAGTTACCTGCAACAACTGAAACTGCTACCAAGAATATTCCAAGAAGTCTCATTTTGCAGCTTTCTGAAAGATCGAGGCAAAGGCAAAGTACAAATCGCTGAAATTGCTGAGTATGTTATGTCGTAAAAAAGAAAAATAAGTTACATTGTTTTTATGAATATCACAAAAATACTTGAGCGGAGCATGGAGCTACTCTGAAAAAATAGAATGAAACTTTAGCTTAATACTCACAGTAGTCGAACGCACTGTTGATCTTGGCTAATGAAAGATTTTCAGTATCTTGACAACATAAAAGCTGTCTTTGTGAACTAACGGTTCTATATATATGCAACAGAACTGCAAATAAAGATTTGAAATAAAAATTGCTCAATAAAAACAAGCATCTTGTCATTGCACATTTTCCAAAAAAGTTTCAAATTCACCTAGCAACTCTCGTAAGGTTTTCATTAATTCTATATAAAAACATAATAATAATTGCGGCGTATTGGAAAAATTATCCCATATGCAGCAATACAACACAAACATTATTTGCTTTCTCTTAAAAGAAATACTTTTCCAAGATTACCTAGTTTCCATGCTAACTGAAATAACTAAAAGGATTGCGCTGAAATTTGAGCTATTTATAATTGAAAAACACATTTTTGGTGCCTTACAGCATCATGCGGGGTTTTTAGATCTAGGGTGAACTAATTAAAAATCGGCATAAAATATTATCAGATAATGTATACACTTGGTCTCACGCTTGATCAATAAGCTTTACCAGAGATGAGGTCCCAGACTTCTGGAAGCGCTTGATCGTAAATGTTTTTCAATGGTTTGTCCAGGTTATTAAGCCTCGTTAAAAGATGTTTGACAATCATTTTTGCATAATATTTAACAAACGTTCGAATCTTTTACCAAGGCCTTTAAAAGAAAAAAGAATTCAGAAAAAATTTCACAGTCCCTAGCTCTATAGCCGTACGTAATTTTTTCTTTGAAGCTAATGCTACTACTTTTAACTTATTAACTTTTAACTATCCACTTATTTGGCACGCAAGACTTCCCGATCAGGATACTTTTAAATTTTTTTAGATACTTGGATCATATTTGATTTGATTTGTTTCTACCTAGCATCCGAAGGTAGTTTTAGGACACTAAGAAGCTGTGCTTATCGAGCAGTGTCCTGGTCCTTCCTCTCGATGTGACCACACCTCGTGATTCCTACGCCTGGAATTAAAGAGAGCTGGCGACTCTCCCCACTCGGGTGAAAGTTTGGTCATGACGGGGACTCGAACCACGGACCCTCGCGTCTGTAGTCAGCGACCCTAACCACTGAGCCATCTTCTCACCTATCGTAGTACTAAGCCTAACTGATTGCACTAGTAGCCACTACCCAAGTTTGTCCTTTATATTTTTCTAATTTTTCATCGCATCAATCACATCGAATTTTCACCTATTTTTAGCTTGGTTTGGGCTGCAGCTTTCGACAAAGAAAAAACGAGTAAAATCAAATACTTCTGACGGTGCAACAAGAAAATAGCTTCGTCCATGAATGCCTCTATGAATATAAATGTTTTTAACCTTCACATCTTAATTCGTAATAGATAGGTAAAAATGTCTGCGAGGAAGCAACTTTGGTGACAAAGCAGTGTTTTAAAAGCTGAAGCCAACAGTGACAAGCCATCTCGCAAATAATATGACAGGAGCTGAAATGATGCAGAAAACTGCCCTTGTTGCCCTGAGATCATTCTAATAGAAGACGTTTTGTAATGAGTTCCATATTGTAATATCAAATTCAAGTTCAACTATTGTAAATGCTTTATCAGCATTGCAACTTAGAGTATGTATGATAGTAACAACGCTAGAAAATGTTGTCCTGTATATCCAGTGGCGAAGCCAAAGGTCGTGCCCGTCGTGCCCGGCACGACCATAAACTTCCAAAAGTAAGGTTTTCACATATTGGCAAAAAAATTTTTTTGCTCCGCGAAAAGTTTTCAAATATAGACAATAATTAGTCGTAAAATCGACAAATCGATCAAGCTTATCCCGCAGACATAAGTGAATTCTACTCGAATCGCCCAGGGCCCCTGGAATTATTTCAGGAGCGGAGTAGAAATCCACAGGGTTTCATATTGGTCGTGCCCAAAATCTGGTACCTTGTGATTTGGTCGTGCCCAACAATAGAAGCTTCAATTGGACAGCCTATGTTTGGTCGTGCCCAACAATAGAGAAAAACAATGCTAGTCGTGCCCTCAGAAATGAGCACGACCTCGTCATAATAATAATAATAGTTGAGGTACGATTTCCAGCATTTGATTGGCTGAAGCTGGAGGAAATCAATCACGAGGTCGTGCCCGTTTCTGAAGGCAAGACTATCTGCACCCTGTTTCATTGGGGCCTACTTGTCAATACTGCAGGCGTTTGTGGATGTTGGTGTGATATCAGGGTGATTTGAATGGTGCATGTAAATGTTCCAGTCCAATAAACCGTTGTAATTTATCAGGAAACTGGTTAACGACTGTGGAGGGATTGTTTCATAGTTATTTTGACTCAGCCTATACGGAATCAATCCAATGGATCTCTTCGGTAGGCGAACAAGTTCTCATTCACCTAAACAGAATCAAGATCTTCAAATGTGCAAGATGCTATCTTATCTAGAAAATGGACAATAATTTGAATATCATCTGGATGTTTTTAACGTGATCAGAATGGAAAATATGGCAGTTTTTCGCTCGGATTTGTACCAGAGAGACGCACACTGAAAGGGATAAACTCAATTAATCAATCAATAAAATAATCAATATTTATTTCGACAACAGTATACTTAGATGTTCAAGACGAAAGTATTATGAACATTTGGGGCAAAATGTACATAAATATCTATTCATTTTACATTAGTTATGAGGTGTTTGATGTATTTTTGGACTAGAATCTTCCCAGTAAAAAGTTCTGAATTTTGAAAGTATTTATAGTAGAAAACCTCTTTGCAAATTAGCTCTACTGGAGTTTTACCCTCCTTAAAACACGTGAAAGGGAAAAATGAAATAGCATTGATCAACCTGTTGATGATTTTGTTTACGTTTCTGATGATATGTTTTCAAGCTCAGCCTAGTGATTTTCTGATTTTTTCCCTTGCTTTCCATGTAATTTGGTTGTGTGCAGTTTCCTTGGGTGTGCATATATTTTCCTTAATATAGGTAACTTTCTCCATGAATTAGTCAGTTTGTCTTTAATAAGCAGGGTGAAATAATCTTTAAGCTATTACACATACCCCCCTTAATTTTTTGCTCAAGAAACACTGTTGTCTGCAAATAACTCTCAGGCTCATGATTATTCTGTATTAAATTTGTGACCCCAGTCATCTGATCTCAGTATTTCCACCTAGCTGGACACTGAAGAAATTTATTGAACATTCTTCATTTGTGTATGCTGCCCTGTTTATTCATAAATTGTCATGATCTGTTTTTCAATGATTAATTTAATGCTGCTTTTCAATTGGAATTTTATTCAAACCTTATAATGGTTATTTCATCTTATGCAACTTTCAAATACATGGTGTAGTTTATCATTATCTCATAAGGCATAACCTTAAATTAAGTATCTAATTGATTGGTGAATATCTGTGAGTGGTTTGGTTCAGCTTAACAAAGTGGCTACCTATAAATCTTTATGCAACAAACCTGATGAAAAAACAGGTCTCAAGGATTTTAAAGAAATATTGCCTTCATTCTGCCACTCACTATTTAGTGCTTTTTAACTGTGGCTAGATCAATAATGCTGCATGACAGTACTGTCTTCAGCAAATATTCTAATGTTTCTGTTTCATCTGTTTCATTTGTCATCTAATTCTTGATACATGTCTTGCACTTCACAGTCAAGTTTGCCTTTAAAGCCAAACTTTTGTCTATTTTTTGAATGAAATTCTAAATTTTATGTGTGCAAAACAAATAGTGCTTGCAATTATTATACATTTGAAATCTGAGTCCACAGGTGTGTATTTTGGTCCCATTGTTGCAATAATTTGATAAAATTTTAGAAAAAGTTTGTTGTTCAAGCTTTATTATCCTGTGAACTGATATTTGGGTAAATAATACCAAAAATAAAAAAAGTTTCCAGGAACCTCCATCACACTTTGGGAAGAAAATGAATTTTGAGTATCAGCTAGAGGCAGGGGAGACACAAAAGCAGCTTTTATACTTTTAATTTTAGTTTGTTTCTATCTTGTCAGAAAAGTAATGCAGTGCCATGCAATTGCTATATAAGCTCCTTAGATCACTGAAATATTTGTTTGATAATATTGCGGAGGCACATTTCTGTCGCGCAGAGGCCAATGGGCACGACCATCCATGGGAGTCCAGCTTCGCCACTGTGTATATCTAATACTATCAAGGACTTTAAGAAATGCATGCCAGTTGAAACATTTAAAAATGAATATGATTTCGAATTCAAATGATGCATGCCTTAAGAAACAATCACTAAAGAGAACAAAAATTAAAACTGCACTTCTATTAGAAGTTGCAAAGCAATCTATTTTGCAAGTGCAGCACCAAAAACCGAGTCTGCATCTTTTTTCACAATGCAAGGAAATCCTGAAATGCATTCAATGGCTTGCTTCAGATAACAGTTATCTTCAAATAAGCTTCCAGTGCATGCAATTTGACATGTTCCAAAATGCTTCAGACATTCTACTGGCATCATGTTGAACAAATTCTGAACAATGCCAATGTGTAGCTGTTTAACAATAGTCCTCAAAGAAATGTTGTCACCCTGTATATTATGCACACTTGCTTTCTGATCAGGGCAATGTCTTTCTCCATGCAATGTTGGAATAACTGTTAAACTACATTCTGAATAGGTGCTGCCTTCTTTGCAGAATTCCTTGAACTTTTTGTGTATGCTAGTCAAGTCCACTTCTGGTATCCCAAGGTCATGAATCCATGATTTAAGTGTTATAGCAAACACCTCCAAGACATTTCCACCTATTCATAAACAATTATAAGAAACATTTAAGAAAACCTGTAATACTTGGAAAATTGTATAGATTTTAGTAACAGTCAGCATCAAATTATTGAGACTGTTTCTTAAAAAAATCAAAAATCTATAGGTTAAATTTAGTTAATATCAACTAGATGTCATATGAAAATTTTGTTCAGGTGGGCTTCAAAGCATGGATTTTAGATAGAAACAAAAAACGACCAGCTTACTAGCATTGAGACTAGCGAATTTCATAGTTTCCAACTGCATAGCTACTAGCTCTGCCTCCCATGAGTCCACCTAGAAAAACTCACAATTAGCGTTTTTGAACACTTGGATTATGAAACCTGGACTCTAGTCATTGAATATCATATTTTATTTCACCAAAGTTAAATAAAAGATAGGTGTCACTTACCATTTAATGAAGCAGCAACAGCTAACTGATGACCATTGAAAAAAGGAAAGAGCTGCAGTGCAGGATATTTATCTTTTATCTCTTCAGTATCAGCATTTTCAGGCAATAGGACAGCAAGCTGAGAGGATGTTCCAATATTCATGACTTCAAAAAAATACACAGACCATTGGAATTTGAACTCACTGTTTGAATTTAGCAACAAATGAATAAAGCAAGTTTCTTGTAATAGGGCAATGCTTGACACAGAAAATTTCTCACCTGCTGTTGTTGTATCAGAACAGCTAGAAAAAACAGCACATTGGAAATCCCCCATAGCTACCTTCACATCTGTTCCAACTTCAATGCCATGCCAATTTCCTGCCAACATGCCAGCACTTGTGCCAGCCATACATATATTTGGGAGAAGTGACACTGGAAAATCTCTTGATGCAAGACTAAAAATACAAAATCCAAACTATTAGGCACAGACCAGAGTGCAAAGTATTTTTTGTGCACAGGGAATTATTTTATGTAGCTTATGCTTACACTGGAACAAATCATGTTGCAAAATGACAGGTTAAAAGCTGCTGGATTTCATTTTTAAATAGACCTTTTAGGGCTCGAGACATGAAAGTCCATGTTCCAATTGCTCGGATCAATCTAAATTTGCAAAAATGCATGGACGGGATTTGAGCAAAAAAATTATTGTGCAGGGAACGCGTTTCCCACGCATACCCAAACTTTGCAGTCTGGGGCACAGATTAAGCCTCAATAAAACCAAGTAGATTCTTAGATTTGGCTTGGTTTTGAAGCTAGAGCTGTTTTGCTCTGCATATACAAAACAATTGGAACTTTCAACTACAAAAAATGACAAAATTTCACTATCAGTTTAAAATAATAGATCATGTATGTAATTTCATGGCTGATGCAATAAGATATCCTGTCAATGTTTCAAACTCTCAAATGCTCTATATTTGACTTCATTGTTTTCTCCATAACAGCAAACAATCCAACCTGTAGAGGTTATTTAATCAAACTTATAAAGACTCAGGGATGTTATAAAGGAGTCATTCATTCCAAAAAGCAAAGAGCCAATATACTGTAACGACAAGAAGGTGTTAAAAATTGATACAGCACAAACAGCAAGCCAGAAATCCAGTGTGGAATCCATGTAGCTTATGCCGGAAATATCTGGCGTAGACTAACGATTTCCCATTGTCTTTCTATTGTTTATTGGCATATATCCGGCGTGAGTTTCACATGGATTCTACCCTGGCCAGAAAGTACTCAAGCACAACATACAGCAAATATTCACTTTGCAGCAGTGTAACTTACAGATCTGACTGCCATGACATGGAATCATGATCATAATATCCCCAACTATGTGCAACCTGATCGGACACTATTGGAGATTTCAGGGCACAAATATACCACACTAACAAATCCATTATGCTGCCAGCATATTGTGACGATTTCACGGTATCCTTATCTTTTTTATTGAGCCAAAACAATGTTGCACATCCGTAGCCTGAATGAAGGGGTGATTTTGAAGCAGGGATTGACCTCAAAAATTCACTGTCGCATCTTTTGTCTTCCCACGTTATCAAATTGCTTCGAAATGTCACTTCTTTATCGATGCTCTTAAATTCAAGGAAATCATGTGCCGTAGTACGTTTTTCAAAACGAGAATCTAAATCTGACCATAGCACAACACCATGCATCTGTCCTGATACTCTAACAGATGTAATACATCTTATCATTGACATATCGATATCACGAAGGCAAAGAGCTACACACTCGTCGACCTTTCTTAGAATGACGAATGGATCTTGTTCCGAAAACGTAACATTTTCTCTATTGATTTGACTCTCTATGCTATGATTCAATTTGCTTGTAAATACAGATTTACGTTGCTCAATATCCATGAGTGTTACTTTGACTGAAGTAGTTCCGACATCAATTCCAAGCGACATTTCCGCAGCCGCCATATTGAACAAGGAAGTAAATTTTCCAACTCGAGGCAACGGACTTTTTGGACGTATTGTTGAGAGGCAGGGTTAAAAGGACAAGATTGGAGTTCAAATTCAATTCCAGAAATGGAGGAAGATGAAGATTTTCACGGGGATGAGCAGTACGTAAGTACAGAGCACGCCCACCAAAGCTGTTGCAATGGCCAAAGCAGTAAGTATTTTATTACCGATTGCGCCTTAGTTAATAAGGGAATGCATTGCATCACGGCGTTATAAAACTTTTGTTAAAGCCAACTCAACTTTTCAGTGCCTGCCTAAAACTCTTCAGAGTATAAATGTCCAAAAACGACCAAAAGAAGGCAAAAAAGTGCTTCAGCTTGCTATGTTTCTGCTATTTTGTGCCATCTTCAAAGTTTAAGGTACCAAAAAGTCATTTAGGCTATGTTTAGTTTGTGAGCAGAATGAGTGTTTTCCTATTTCACTCCCTTCCCTCTAATTTTATTTTGGTGGAATGAAAATATTATGCAAGGCACTTATTTTCAAGGGGTGGAACCAGAAAGATAACTGATGTATGTAAGATAGGAGGTAGGGGATTTTTGGGGCACTCCCCCTTTATAGGAAAATTTTTATTTAGGGAGCATACCATTTTATATTACCGTAGAATTGCCCTTGGGGTCATTTCATATCTCAATGCTTCAAAATGCTGTAACCCCATGATAAATTATATTGTGTTGTCAAAATTTTGTGAAATGCCCAAAACAAAGCACTTTTGCAGGAAAAAACTTACACACATGACGAGGGCCATTCTTGGGGTGAAATTTGCCTGTTAGAAGCTTACTGTACACATTTAACTGGAATTTAATAGTTTGCACACATTGCACACTTTGTTAGCACTCTTGCACACATGCACATATTTTTGTTGGCTCTTGCACACAGGATCTTGTTGACACTGCTCTACAGACTTAAGTAGTATGTTTTGTGCCACAGCAGGCCCAGACAAAAACATTTTTAATACAATTTATTCTGATGAACATAACTGGTAAAAGCAATATTTTTAGCCACTACAATTTTAATCATCTTCATAAAACCACTTCCCTTGTTAGTTTGTACTAGAATCAGTTTCAAGTTTCACCTTTCATGTGCCGATAACTTTTGATCTAGTATTACACTTTTGTTTTTTTTCTTTTGCCTGGAGTGTAACTCCCTTGAATATTATCAGTTTGGGGTACAAGCCACAGGTCCAGTATTCCTTATCCATTGCCACTTTTTTAAATTCATTATTAAACTAAGCATTCTGCTCCTTTTGTAGTCTATAACCTATAACTGATTGCTATTTGCTGTTTCAGAGGCAGGTTGTAGATTTATTTTGCATCTATATAGATACATATTTATTCTAGTAAATATCATTCATTTTGGTTGCATTGCATTTTTGTCTTGTTTGCCATTTTTTTAGAATACTTTAGATTCATTATTCTGGTTTGCAACTGTTTGCTTACATTTGGACCTTACTTCTGTTTTGATATGCCAAGGTGAGTAAAACAAGATGTTTGTATGCTAATATATTTTATTTCCTTTTTAAATTTTGATGGCTTTGAGAGGGCACCTTTTCAAAGGGGGGGGGTGCATGTTAGAGCTTTCAAATTTTTTTTCATTTTACTTGGTTAGTTTGTCATCAAAAAACTATTTAAAGGCTGAACAAGGTTGAACAGGGAAATGTAAGCATGAAAATTGTCTAGCTGTTTCTGGAAAGTTTGAAACTATTGTGATGGATGCGAGACAAGCAAACATTTTAAATGATGAACTGCTAAAACCAAAAACTGAATTCACGCATTTTGAGTTTATGTATAAAAAGAACCCATATTCATTTAAAGTTTTAGTATTAAATTACAAAATAGTATTATTCTTATTATGTTTTTCCAGTCCTTTTTTAGGGAATTTGGATATTTTGTTTTCAGGGGGAGGTGCCTTTTTGAGGGGGTGCCTTTTCTAGGGTGGGCGCTTTTTGGATGAAATACAATAATGGTATTGTTGAAGTAGAGAAGATTTTGAGTCACATGTAGCATGAACCTTTGTTTGTTTTTATGGCAGGAATGACTAAAGAGTCCAGTAGTAGGACAAGTCTGTTCCAATTGGTTTGTTCCAGTCCACTTTTGGATCAAAAACCAGTGGCAGAAAAAAGCCTCCATTCTGTGAAAGTGTATATCACTTCTCTGTCATGCAGAAGTGCATGTTATAACTACCTGATTTTGATCATTCTCTTTTTGAACCACCAGAGCTACATTGTTTTTGGAAATCCAAAATTCAAAGTCACTGAAATTCAACTATCAATCTAAAAAGACTGCATATTTTCCTGCTTATTTACCAAGATAAATACAAAAAGTCCTAATAATGTGATATGAAATATTCTCCTTGTGGTTAATATTTAACATCCCTCATTTTCTTGCCATGCTGTTTTTTCAGAGCCTTGTTTTTGCTCCCTGAAAGCACTGTGATGGCACTATTTTAACACTGTTTTTATTAAAACACCATCAGTTTCTATGATAATTTTTTCATTCTTTAATTTTTATTTTCATTTATTGTTTTCATATCTATTTTAGCGTATTGCAAGACAGAATTGTTGCTGTGAGTGTAAATTTCATATTTCATATTAATCTTAAAACACATTTCAAAGCTTTCTTGATCAACAGCTTCTTGTTTAGATTTTGATGACAACAAAATCATTTAGAATAGGTTCTGGCAGACTTTTTGGCACACTTCTATTGCACTTTTGCTATATTGACAACAAAGGAGAATTGACTTGTTAGCAGCCAATTGGTTTATATCATATTTCTAGTAATATATTTGCAAATAGGTTTTGAATTAGAAAAGTAGTCTTTTTGTTTTCAGTTCTAATCTCAGTATGCCTATTGACAAGATTTAAGGTGCTTTAGCACTTGCTCTGGGGAATGTTAAATAGAAATATTACATAAATTGTTAAATATATGAAAGCTGGGGTTAGAGAAGACTAGCATGGTGCAGATTTCTCTTGGCTTCAGAAAATGGAAAATTTGTTAAATGTTTAAGTTGGATCTCAGTAAATTTGAGATGTGATGTGTCATATGTTAACAAATTTTGTGATATAAAGCAAAATGCTTCTTCAGCTATTTTTTGTGAAATAAATGCTGCACTCATATGTATTATTTTATTTTCTGCCCCATCTATATAAAACTGCACACTATTGAAAACCATCAATTAGAGTACAATATATTGTTCCTCAATCATAGCCCCTCAATAACTGTACAGTAAAAAACAACAAGACAGTCTGCATTGAAGGGCTTGGCTTGTCTCAGACCCAGTATAACCTTCTGTATACTGTGTATGCTTTTATGTAAGTAGTTTTTGTCTTTGTCTGTAGTTTTTGTCAAGCAGATATAAACATCTCTATGTCTACATAAATATTCATTTAACTCCTGAGCTCTGAGTATCCTCTTATTCACATTTATGTATAAAAATATTTGACATTATCACTGTTTATCCAAGCAATTTAGGTAGCAGTTAGACATTCAAAGTATCACTTTGCATTAGGGTACTCTGCTTTGTTGTATAGCAAATTGATAGTTAATCTCTATTTCTGAAAATAATTTTTACTCTGTAAAGGCTAAAATATTTTCAATATTTTTAGTAAAATATAGTAAAATATTTTTGGTGCAGGGAAATAGCATCTTGTGCAACAAAGACATTTTAACAACATTTAACAATGCTCTGATTTCTCCATTTATGATGATATCACTTAAATTTTACTTAGAATGATATTATGCTACGTTTAGCTTTTTCCATTTTCTTTCAGGAATGCATTAATTGTAGTTGCATCTGGATTTCTTCTTGATAAACTTGGAAATAGAGGTTGTCATTAAAATTTTTGTTATCCTTCCCTTGTTATTTTTTCACTGTGCATAATGTCAATAAGTGAATTTTTTTAGGATCATAAGTTTGAATTCTAAAAAATTTGGTGTTTTGAAACATACATGCAGTTAAAGTAGCTAAATGACTAATGGTTTTTTGGGGAAACATTTTGGCAATCACTTCTCAGCAGTAATCATTTTGTTCGTGTTTTGACAACTTTTGGATTTTTTTAATGATTCATGAAAATGAAGAATGCTTCCTTGTCTCCATTCATTAAGTTTTTGACTGCTGAAATGATCCATCATCAGCATAAATTCATATATTTAACCATAGTTTTCTCATCATTGGCGTGGTCAGTGCTAAACGTTAAGGGGCATAGTATGGATCTTGCTCGAATATTATTACTTCATTGAGGCAGAACTGCGGAATCGAGCCTAAAATGTAAAAATTTTGTCTGGTTAGGGGGTTATTCGAGCAATACGGTAAGAGAAGTTCACATTTAGCCCTTTCTTACCGCTTAAGCTTTTTTCAAAATCTTCCTGTCATTCATTCACTTTATTGGCTGGTAAGGTAAAGAACTGTTGTGCCGTCTTTTTCAGATGTGATGCAGTTTCCAATTAAGGGCCTTATCTGCAAGATGCAGCTAGAAAAATGGAATGACTTTTTATATGAATCATTCCTTTGCATCAAATCGCAACTCACAAAACTCTTTAGCTTTCTAGGTACTGATAAATGAACAACGTATTTTTGCAGTTGCAATCTTGCTGTTTTCAACACTCTGTGTCCTTGGATCATCAACGTTTGCTGCAGGATATTTCTTGAAAAATAACACTAACCATATGTTTGCCGTGTTTATGGTTGGACGCCTGTTGTTTGGGTAAAAAACCTTTTGTTTTAATTTACCTAGATTTAATTTCTAATGCTGTGCAATTAATCGTCAAAACATTCAAGTTAGGGATCGTTTTCACCTATTTTTACCTTTTACCAATGTTGGAAAACCCATTTTTAGTTTTTTTAAAGCAAAAATGTCATGGTAGTTATTTTGTTTCAATGTTGTAAAGTTCCATTTAAAACACTTCAAATTTTTTACAGGGCTGGTAATGGCTCTTTAACAAGTAAGTATTTTTGTATTGGCCTAGGCTTATTTGGATCTCTTCATTATTCCACTTTATATTTGTTAGGGGGGGGGGGCTTTGATTGAAAAAACAGCCTTCAGGAACATTTTTTGTTGTCGCTTTTGCGTAATTTATCCATTATTGTTGCCTTATTTTTAGAGGTCCTACAAATATCCTTTTGAATGTTTCTTTAAATTAGTTTACTGAGTATTCAATTTTTGGTAGATCTTTTCTCATGTGAATATCTTTTTAGTTTTCCAAACCCTTCAGCAATAATTTGATTTGCAAAATATCAGCCCATTTGTCGGATATTTCTTGAAAGCCAATTAAATAAAGGCAGACATACTGCTGCAATTCCTGGCCAACATCCAGAAATATTTCAATGAATATCTTTTATACGTTGATAATTCTACTCAATCGAGACATTACTTTATATATGGATTTTGTCAAAATGTTGCTGAGCCATTTGATTCCATTAGTCACAGTAACTTGTTTTGTAAACCCAGTCGTTCCCGTGTTCAAGTTGCTTGATAGTTGACAGTTATAAATCTAAAACAACTGCTGGATGATCGATTAAGCATATGTCAGAATAGCAATTTAGAACCGACTAGTTTTGTTTTACGCACCAAAGCATAAACCTAGTATTATGATACAAGCGAAAGCCCAAAATCTCCGTATATTTTTGTTATGAACACCATGTCATTAAATATGCTGTACCTCAATGAACCGTGCTAGGTTCTTTCTTATTTCTTTGTATTAATGACATGATGTTATTTCTAAAATGTCTGAATTTCATCTATTTGTTGGTGATACCGTAGTCACTAAAATCTTATAGCCAACAGTACACGCGAAAAGTACATTTTTCAACATGTAAACAAAGATTTTGAACTGCATTTTGTTATACATCCTGAGAAACTTTAATGCTCACTTCATTATCGTTTTTTCAAAATAATACCCATCTTAAATTTTTTATTCACTAGTCGTTCAAAATCGAATATCAGCATTTTGGTTCGAGGGCAAAGAGCTGGCATTTGCTTTTGGTTGCACCCTTGCGTTCTCCCGCCTGGTAACTTCAATATATGTATAAATGAAAACGTAACGATTTTTCTCTGATGCTATACCTTTGATTTAATATTTTTGCTCGAAATAGTGCGAGCATTGTAACACATGTAACTGCTATATTCCAGTATCATTTTTTAGATATCTTGTGACTTCATAATTCCAATATATTTGAAGTGCTTTTTAAATTATTTAACGTAATTCTTTAAGCATTAAAGTATGTTCCTTAAGCTTCTTTATAGAACCACAAGAATTATTAAAGCATTATTTTGTACAAAATCTTTTTTGACCCATTTCAGGGAAGTGTTCTTAATTTTTTGCTGACTGAATCATTCAATGAGCGCCATGGTTTTAAAGCTACCTTATGGGGAGGTATTTATTTCTCATCATATTTCATTATCTGAATCTCGTCATTTTTCATTATCTAAATCTCATCATATTTCATTTCACAAAACAAGGTTGCAATTGTTAGTTGCTACCTAATGAAAATCAATCCTCGATATCTTGATTTTTAAAAAAAAGATCTTAAAATATCTGCAAAAATTTTGTAAAAAATGTGCAAAATCGATTGTCAAAGTAACGAAGTCTTTAACTTAACTATGTCGAGCAAAATAAATCAATTCTATCTTCTACTTAACGTTATAGCAAACTAGAAATGAGATGCATCAACAATTCAAATATATACTGTGATTACTCTGCCTTTCTATGTTATAGCATAAAAAACTTGCTTAAATAGTATTCACCCAGTTTGAGGAGACATAAAACTGTTTGTTTTTATATTTGTAGCTTTGTTGTATGCACTCGAAATCTGTCATTTTCTGAGTTATCTTCTTTCCAGGCGCGGTATTATGTGCTGCTAGTTTTCTGGCTGGCCTTATTGTCATCTCGCTTGACAGAAGAGGCGTCAAAGACTTGAATCAGGTAAAAACGTCATTTTCCACAGTAGGCAGAATGTATTATATAGGTACATTTCACCGTGGCAAGGGGATATATGACTGAATTTCAAAATGTTAGAATGGTAGTTTCGGAGCTGCCATTTTTATTTATTGTGCTAATTCTTTTGTCACGTAAGTGTATATAGGTACATATCAAAATGGCTACTAGAGGGTATACGGGTAGGGACAAACTAACAATTGAAGCTTCGTTTACATTTTTTCCTATGTCCTTTTGCCTGCACCAATTTTTATATAACATGAAACACTCTTCAACGGATTAATTAGCAGCAGTCTTCATTGAGCTTCTTTCTGTTGATTTAAATGACATGGAAATGTCAGACTCGGACAGTGCAATTGTTAAGGCAAGCTATCTTTTGAATTCATCTACTTCTCAACCGTACTTACTTGGCTTTTAGGAAGAAGATATAAAGCGCAATTCCAAGAAGATGGTAAGTGATCGTTGTAGTATGTTACAGAGCAGTGGAGGACACTTGGGGGGCGAGGGGGGCCGCCCCCCAATACTTTGGAGGACAATGGTCTTTTGTTCTAAAACAATGGGAAATGTGACGTCATCTTATTAAAACATAGGCTTGCCCCCCCCCCCAATATTTGATCAAGTGTCCGCCCCTGTTACAGAGTAAATATATCTTCAATATCTCATATCAATTGCGTTCGATATACATTGCAATCCTCGGATAGTCCAATCAATTAAAGTATAAACTGCACGTGTTTAAGTGGAATAGTTTCCTTTCAGTTAATTGTTTAAACATGTTTTGCTTTGCAGCGATTCAGTGACATCAAATACTTTCGGCTTCAATTTTGGCTGCTCGCATTTGCAACAATGTTCTTCTATAATGGTGTCTTTCCGTTTGTTGCAGATGCAAGGTCAGTACCAACTTTTTTTAATCTCAAAGACAATCCCAAAATCTCCCTATGCAATTGACCGTACAATGGGAACGAGAAGGACATTTTTTAAAAACTTTTTGATTAAATGCACTGTAGAGGGATTAGATTCTTCCGACATCATATGTTGTATATCGAGTATATTTCGATATAAAAATTAGATTCTTTGAATAAACATTGAAGTTTCATTAAAGAAAGATATTTTGCTTGAGGTTTAAGAAAATAATCCTTGTGTAGTATCAGATTTCAAAACTGCGCGAATGAGCGTCACCATTTAATTGCAATATAAATATCCGATATAAATATGTCCTCATATTAGAAATACCAGAAGCTCTCCCCTAGCAAGGGCTTTGTTACTGTAAGCTTAAATTAACATCCAGGTGCGGATAAACAAGCATAAGAGTAGGAGTTTTGTTTTTTCTTTTAAACTAATCGTTGCCTTCTAACCCCTCACTTGGTTAAGAGTCAGAGTGGAGAAAAGACCTCCTTCTCCTTTGTTTGTTATGGAATATTTGTTAAGCCTTTTTTTAAACGCTCTTTACATTTCCTTCGACTACTCTCGATTTTTTTAGCATTGTCGACCAGTGTTGGGTGTTGTCGAGTAGGGGTGTTCAAATGCTCTCGACTTTTCAATCTATTTCCGTTCCCAATGAAACTCTAACTTTCATCGTATCAATGTTGCAATTCGCTGAAGCAAAATGAAACAAGAAAGCTTTGTTTAATCATAATCAGCAATATTAGCGTCATGATTATACAGTTCAGCTCACAACGAATCTGTAACCTTCTCAGATTAATCCACGTCTTACTGTTTCGTATCTACAATCACTGCCACACAATTGTATAGAGCACCCAGCACTTAGCAATTTGCTTTTCAGTTTTTCATTTGTTCTTTTGTGTTCCCCAAAAACAATGTTGTAGAAAAATATCATATAAACCACAAAAACATACTCCATAACCTGTTTTATTTATAGTAGATCAACATTTTTTCCTAGGGGATGAGGTGGTTGGCTGAATTTGCCTTTGAAAACTGATGTTAATGTTCAAGACTTTTGGTAGTGATTATAGCTTTGTGCAAGCCAGCCACCTTTGGTACAAGTACAGTGGATCACAATTCATTGCATTCACATTACAACATAGACTTTAATTTTCTTTTTAAGCGATTTCATGCAAGAGAAGTATGGTTATAACAAAGAACGAGCTGCTTACATAGCTGGAGCTGTTTATGACGTATCAATGGTGCTCTCCCCTGGCATGGGCTTTGTCATTGTAAGCTAAGAACCTCATTGTCTAAGGTTAAAACGTTTTAGTCAGGAAACCAGTTGCAAAGTTCAAAGGTTATATGACTGAACATGCTGTTAATCAAGCATTTTTTTGATAAGAAAATTTGCAATTGACTTATTATTCCCTATTGTTCATCAAAAGACTTTGTCTGCAGACTGCAAATATTTAGTTACTGGACATCTCATTAAGGCCCATTCAGCCAGACAAAATAGTTTACCATTTCATTTATAGTGTGTCGTTCTTCTTTAACTATTGTTATTTATATTTTTTGTAAAAACTTTCTTCTTAGGAAGTCCCCAAGTTAATACCCTTCTTTCACAATTATTATTTTCAAGCTCTTTTGTAATTCAAAGACCATCTCTTGTAATCCGTAGACAATGTCTTCCATTGCTGACATTTTTTGGTGTGTACAAAATTAAATCATTATCAGCCTGGTTTGAATTGTAAAAAATATCCCTTTTTATTTAACAGGACCATTTTGGCATGCGTGGTGCTTTAGCAACTGGATGTTCTGTCTTGACAATACCTGTCTTTGGAATATTGTCTTTCACTAATAAGGTTAATCCACTCATTGCCATGCTTTGGCTTGGATTTACCTATTCTGTTGCTGCGGTAAGTCCCCAGTATTTTTTCTATTGATATTTTAAGTGATATAGTTGTGCTCCACAATTGTCATATTTTGCTTCACCAATCTGAACTGGTAACAACTTAACTTCTGTTTGGATTTCTCATGACAGACCTCTTTGTTTTTCGCATGTTTGAATTTTTTACTAGCAGCATTGTGCTTGTTCCCCCTTTTATCCTCTCTTGGTGTAGCATGTTTTGAAAGCTTGACAATCAATCTCTGTTTTGCGAAAGAATTTCTTCAATTTTAATAGGTATAAGTAAATTGTAATATAAGAACTTAACTGTTCATCAGAGATTCAAATTTTTTTGTTCCTTTACTGTTTTGCAGGCAAGCCTGTGGCCTTCTGTGCCTCTAGTAGTTGACCAGGCTTCATTGGGAACGGCATTAGGAATCATGACATCAATTCAAATGATTGGCATTGGCTTGTGCAATTTTGCCATAGGTGGCATCCTTGACAAATGGAAGTATGAAAAAATCAATTTTGCTACTCTCAATCAACTTTTTTGTTTGATTGTGTTACTTAAACTAAATGTGTTTTAGCTAGTTTTCACTTTTCTGTCAAGAATGTAATCCCGAAATTATGAGTTACTCGTTTGAAGAGGTGATTCATGGTTCTGAAGATTTCAAGAATGACAGCCCGATTGCAATGTCATGATAGTTGGGGGTTATACAGGGCTGCTTGTTTCGTCCACTTCTGTTGGCTTTTTCTAAATTGTGGTAAAACTTGAATAATGGATATGCATGAATGCAAATGCAAGCCATGCGTAAAATCTGAAATTAGAATAAATTGGAAACTCTGAGATAAGGAAAAACAATATGTGAAACATATAGTTTGGTGTAACTATCTAGTATAATGAACATATTGAATTGATAAAGCATAAGACACAAAAAGCTACCTCTTTCTTTTAGCAAAAAGCAGAGACTGGGGAGATTTTCAGGCTAATTTCTTCCTGTCTATTTGATCATACTTTAATGCCACAAAGGACTTTTCCTTTAATAAAACTATTTCTATTAGTTAACACATTGAAAGTGAATTCCACATTCAGCTTAACCTTGTAAAGTGACCCTGCAAGTTATATCCTAAATAATTTCCTTGCTGTTAAGTTTTATTTTGTATAAAAAAAAGTTTTATTGTTTGTCTTTAAAAATGAGTATATATTGTATGAAGTTATATAATTAGGGGTCATCTCTGTAACCCTTTTCCCCTTTGCTTTTTAATTGTGTTTCCATTTAGACTGATAGCCACTCTCCACCACCATCTTAAACCCTTTTTTTCTTTTTAGGCATAGTCCCCATCGTTGGAAGTTTGTCATGCTTTTCCTGCTGGCCAACACACTATTGTGTGTTATTTTGTCTATAAGTTTGAATCTTGTCGACTGGAAAAGAGTATGTTTATTGGAATTCAAGTCTTATTCATTGTTTATCAATTCAAATTCTATTCATCTCAACTTTTTGAAGAAAATTTTGCAGTCATCAGGCAAATTTGATCATCTAGTAATGCTGACTTAGATATGAAACCATGACATCATAGAATAGTAATTATATTAAAACTGCTTTGGCATAGGCCACTTCTCTAACTTTAAGGGAATGTTTTATTCCCTTAACAAGGCATGCGTAACAAACTGGAAAATATTTAACATTGCTTTAGAATAGTCAGAAAAGGTCTTCCTATTCCATCTGGCTTGATTCTGTTATTTCATCTTCGTAAAATTTGTATATCTGTATAGTTAAGGGTTAGTCATCTGAGATCTATGGGCATGCCAGCCCTTAGGGGGATTTTTTCTTTCCATCCTTCAAGCGGACTGCTAATATCAGTCTTACATCAACTTTTACCTATCTGTCAAAGGATCTGCCCTTGTCTGTAAAACATTCCTTGTATGACAACTTGTCATGGTGCATTTTATTCCTTAAACATCGCCATTGCTGGTTTCCAACAGACTTTTTCTAAAAAGCTCCTTACTAATAATGAAGCCCCCTGCTAATAATGTTTGTCTATTTGAAAGCAGATCTTTACCAAAACTGTATTTGCCAGTCTACTAAAATTTCATTATCAATAGCGTGTTTTCCAAATTATCTTAAAGAGAGAGCACACTCCACTTTTACTAATCACACTTGATTTCAGAGAGCAGATTAGGAAATAATGCACCACCCCCTTGAATACTTTTCATTTTCAAATCTTATTTTGATTTGATTTTGTATTTAAATAATGAAGGCTGCAGAATTTTAAATTGGTATAAAAGCAAATGTCAGGAAGTAACCAAAACCAAAGCAGAAATTTATATGCAGGCTCAAAGAGTAAGGACCATGAATAGCTCTTCACATAATTTCCATTGGAAAGGACCAGCAACATCCAACATAAGCACAAGTTCAATTTGTTGTCAACCTTTTTCTTTGCAATTTTCCAGCTGAAGCAACTTTCAATTTTTTCAAGTAAAAATTTTAACAAGATGTTTCACTTTCAGGGTGGCATATTGAACAAGACTTCAAAACGAAAGCGTAAACTTTCAAAAAAGAAAGCGCAAACAAATGTAGCTGGACATGTGAGTGAATCAGAATCACTCATCCGTGCGGAATACCAGGAAAGATTTAGCTCATCTTCATCACTAAACCAAGGAATTAACTGAAAGGTTGAAGTACCTTGTCAATGAGCAAAAGGATATTTTGAATTTGTTGAGACAGTTGTTTAGCTCAATCAATAAAAGATAATTTTAATAAACACATTTGTTACTTATGTGCTATTCATGCTTTGTTATTTCCGTAGCCTATGAGCTTGTTATTGTTTTGTATGTCGTGTAATTTTACAAAAGTATGTGTAAAATGACTCTCTCTTTTATATCATCAAGATCAGCATATCTTTAAGTACAACCCCTTCAAATCTAAACATTAAAAAACTTTTTCTGATTGTAAATCAGTGTCAAATTGATGTAATTATTTGTTTTTGATGATTATTTGTACCAAATTCTAACAGCTTTCAGCAACTCTGATATGTAATTAAATGAATGCAGTAGAAATAAAATTGTTGCTACAAAGAAAAAACTCTTTAATGCTTTTTGAATGATGAGGTTTATTTACATTACATTATAAACAACAATTTACTTGAAAAATAGCACTATTCATTCAGCTATTATAGCTGGATGGTTCTTATTCATTCAGCATCATTGAGTGCCGAGATATTTTACCAATCTTCTTCTAAAGCATAATCTCCAACATGGATGAATGGGTTTTAAAATGGCATGGATTTCAGACATTCCCCTGTGTTCCATCTGCCCCTTTCTAGAAAAGTTAAAAATTTTCAAAGTTAATAGGATTCAAAACAGATGCCAATAATGAACAGTTAATTTCTAAACTACATTTACTGATTTCAAGTCAGTTTTGATAAAACGTTTACATGGCTAACTCTGCAGCTGGTGCAAACATTTCAAAATATCTGCATCTTTGATTTCTCATTTGATCAAGACATGACAAATTGCATAGTGTATCTTTTTTCTATGGCGGCCTTTGCTCTATCTTAAAAAAAAATAAACAGCATTATAAATTCTGAAATGTTATTTTGCCAAGATAAATGGGGAAACATCTTTTGCCTTGTCATTTTAAAGGGCTGATATTAAAGTGACAAATATTTGAAACATGCACACTAATCATACAATAATTATGTTAAGAGGAATTTTGAGAGAAATATATTTAATCAAAGAATGCATTTTACCAGAAAAAGAGCAAAATGACAAATAATATCACTTTGCTATGCAACTGCTTCAAGACTATATATTTTTCGGAGACAAAAAATTTTAGCGTTGAAGTGTGATGTTGCCATGTGAACAGAAGTGAAGCCAGTATATAGTGAAAATCTGGTATCGTGTGAAAGGGGCTAAGTTTTCTGATGAATTCTTGATAGTTTCCTGATTTCATAGCAGTTGCCTGTTGTTAACAGTATGTCTGAAACTCAAAGAAGCAACTTATTACCATCCTGTTCTACAAAGTAAATTGTAAATTGAAGTACAAAACTATTTACTTTTTTCTTCTTCTTGTCTTTCTTCTTCTTCTTTTTGTCGCCCTCTTCTTTCTTTTTCTATGAAAATTGTATATAGGCATAAGTAAGTATACAGTAAAACCCCGCAATAGGAAAATAAGACTGATTTTGTGGAAAATAACACCCAATGATCAGAACCAAAAACAGACTGATTTCTTTCCATGTTCTTATAAGATTGTACATCATATTAAATAAAACATGAAATTCTCAAAGTCTGAAAGTATAGATTTCAAGTTGTCACTGTGGTTTGATTAATTGATATTCAGAGCCATGTCATTTTATTTTATTGTGATTGAATTGGTTTCTCCCCAACAAAATACCATATCCTCTACAATTTGAAATTCAGTTTCAAGCCATTCTCAAATCTAGTTTCTTTTATCTATAGTTGTTATTGTCCTTGCGATAAGAACCACACTCTGTAAATATCATAAGTACCACATTGAAAAGAACCTAGTCAGTCTGTTCTTTAGATAAGTAGGTTCTTGTTTGCAGGGTTTTACTGTATTTTGATATTCAGATTAAATGCAACTATTTTTTGGAAAAAAATTTATTCTACCTTTTTATGCTTTCTTTCAGCTGGGTCACCTGTAACAGTGTTAAATATTGATCATTACTTCTAACATACAATCAAGATAAAATAAGGAACTAAGAAAGTCTAACTAAAACCCCTTGATTTACCTCCCTTTTCGCATCCAAATTTTCGGTGGAATGAGCTTAGTTGTCTGAAACAAGACCACCTTTGACAAGAACAAGCCTTGACAAGGTAAATGAGCTGTTGCTCATACATTTCTATTATGTTTTTGGTACGGTTTCTAGCCATTTCTGCTTTGCCAACTTTTGTGTTCTGTATTCCATTTTCAAAGGCAAAGTGACCATTTTATCAATTTTCAAACTATTGTTAAAGAGCGCAATCAATAGGTCCTATCGACATGCATAGCTGAGAACAATCAAATTTGATGCCAAAAATAGATCATGAATAGATCAAAATTGTCACTTTGCCTTGGGAAAGGGCTCATCACTTTGTTTTCAATTAGGTTTGGTCCACATTTGCTTTCAGTTTCCAGCAAAAGGCAATAATTATCCCTTATTATAATTATCATCAGAAAGTGCATGTTCATTATGCAGTACCTCTCTCCAACACACGGTGTCCTAAAAAATATGGATAAATGACCAAATGCCCAATGTGTAAAAAATTGTCCCAGCTAATAAGGTTTGAACAAACATTAACAGGTTGCCAAAATTTCAACATACCAAAAACTTATACCTAAGATGCAGGCCTGGCCGTTTGTATTTTTATAGGTGAGCTGTGAATCGCTCCCCTCATTTGCTGAGGCGAGCTAAATCAGTAACACATAGAATGTACTTTAAAGAAAATCGACAGATGACTTAATAAGCCCCTTTAGTATCTGTCGGTTGCCTTAATGTAATAGCCTCAGTCAGAAGTGTGCTGTTTTACTTCTTTCAATTTGTATTTGCTTTAACCGTGACTTAGGCACCCCCTTTAATTGAAGTATTTAAAAGAACAGACTCTTTCAGTTTCATGTAAAGCTGGCACAACACAAAAACAACAATTATCTTGCAAAACAATCTTTTTGTTGTACAGAATTTGAAAATGGCTTTGAAAAAAAAAATTTAAAACAAGCTGAAGTTATACGTCTAGCACTCTTCAGAGAATAAAACGTCAGAACAAAGGTGGAAAACTTTACGCTAAAATACCCAGTTTTAGATCGAAATAGGCCAATCAGAAAGCCCGAGCACATGACTGTTGAGGTTGTCCAATCAGTGCCGCTTTCCTATTGAAAATGTTACCAACGGAGTCCTAAGGTGAAAACGAACTCACTTATGTCTAAACAAAAGCGGTTGGTCATGTTTATATAGTAGATAGATTCACAAACTGCTAGATGGAACGATGATCAGGCTTTGCCAATTATGCCAAACATGTTGCCGTTATAGTTTTCACCCAATTATGGGTTTTTCAGTAAATGCCGCTGGATAGTTGAATTCCATGTTTTGGTTGTCGTTTTTGATCTGCAAGACAGAGTACCTTGTTCTCTTTGAGGGATAGTTTTGTTTCTATTGCTGGAAGGGACCTGCTGTCTTAATATATCCCCAATCTACAATTCCTGCCAATTTCTTCGACTTTCCTTCCAAAAATATTCCTGTTTTATTAAGATTGAAAGGTTCTAACCGCTACAAACGTACTTTCCCGTTAACTATCCTTTTCAGAATAGATTGAAGTTTATGCCTATCATAAAAAACCGCCCAACAAGCAAAAAGTTAATTGCAATAAATGCAATGACAGGAGAAATCACTGTTACAAAAATAAACCAATTAACCCTCGTGCGTTTTCATAATTCTCTGAATAGGAAATTTTAGGGGAGCGATTCTTCCTTCATGTTCTGTTTAGGAGAGCAATTCATAGCTCGCCTCAGGTTGCGAGGGGAGCGTGGAGGCGAGCGCGAGCTATCGCTCGCCTCAAACGGCCAGGCCTGAAGATGTATACCTAAGATGATTTGAAAGAGTTCTTTTAAACATATTAAGCAACCTGGTAATTTTCTAAAGGTGGTTATTATAAACATAAATTAGAAACGCAGAAAAGACTGAAGTAAATAGCATAAAAATTTAACCTGAATTTATTTCACCCCCTTCCTCTTGTATTTTATGTTTCTTGTGTTTTTTCTTCTTTTCAGGTGGATGATTCATAAATTTAAACTTTTCTGGTACCTTGTGAAAAAAACTTCAAATTCAATAATGACAAAATAATAATGTAATATATTTCCAGGAAGTAGCTAATCGATGCTTTGCAATGAGAAGTTTAGAATGTGTGGATAGCTTTAAACAAGAACTTAACACATAGTAACTGAATTTACCCCAGCTAATCTAATCCCCCCTGGCAATTTTATAGTACAATAATAAAAGGCAGGTCAACTAAGTTACTGGTAATTGAGAAGGCATTGTCATTCAAACCGATCATAGGCATTGTCAAACTTACAGATCCTGGCATAAGCCTGAAACTCATAAGAGATGAATCCGATAGAGGGGCCAGCTCTCTTCCACCAATTGGGGGTTTTTCTATCAGTCCATACAAGCTATAAATAAATATGACTGTTAAATTGTTTGATATGATGAAAAATGATGAAAATCAAAATCAACAAGAGACTATAAAATTTACACAATAATGCATTAAATATGTCCAAGTTACAAAGCTTCCATATGCATCATATCTATTAGAATTTTGAAAAAGGTACATAGATGGGGTATCTCGGTAGCGTAATTTTGTAGCTGGCAAATGTGGAAACAAGATAAACAACTATGATAAAGCTGCTTCACAAGCTGTTACATCCAGCAAAATTTGAAAAACTGAAAAACTGTCTTTACCTATCACTAGTTGTTCCTGGTGCGTCAATGTAACCTAAAAGATAAATATAATTAGCTTTTGACTGCAAAATTGTTGAAATGTAACCAAAAATGCTAAACTTTAGACATAATGCTAAAACCTTTTTATATCATATTATTCAATTACAGAAAAAACAGTCTTAAGAAAGGTGTATTTTTGAATAAAAGCCAAAGAAAACAAAGCCTTATTGGCATTTATTTGTACAATGGCACAAATATACAATCAAAGTGGTGTACACCTTGATGCAAAGTAAACCCACAAACCTGGTAAATGCGGAAGGAAACTGCTTAATCTCTCTTGCAGCTCCTCATTATTTGTTTTTCCATATACGCTCTCTAGCCCCCTAACAACATTTTTGTTATCTCTCATATCTTGTGATGCTTGAAGAGAAATGTATCATAAAATTTTTTAAAACATAAAGTATGTATAATTGATAAAGTACAAGACAATTGGACTACAAAAATAAATTAAGTTGGAGAGATCATTAAAAGATGTAAAAAACAGCAAATTCAACTATGGTGCCTCTAGCTCAAACAATAAGATTTCAAAATTCCTGAAATCTTTTGTGTATGGTAAAAATGGCAAAATGGGGAAAATATGTTCTTAGATAGGCAGTCTATGCTAAAAAATTTCTATGCTCCGAACTGGACAGATTTATAGGCCAGGCTTGAAGCCATGTATGCTATGCCATAGACCTCTGATGGGCATAGCAATTTTAAAGGGACTTCAGCTGGGGAATCAAACTTCCACTATCATGAAAATGGGAAAAACAGTCTGTGTTTTAAGCTAAAGAAAGGTGACCAGCTAGAGAGACAATCTTCCCTAGTTAGTATAGATAAGTAGACTGGCAAATCCCCTGCGTGGAGAAACCCTCCCCAGTCTATACAGGACTTGAACTGGACACTGTACACAATTCTTGCCTATATACTTGTTGGATGAAAATGTTTGGACCAAAAATAAATTTGTTGAAACTGTGAAAATAATCTGGGGAAAAATGCTGGCCTTACAAATTATACTCCAAATAAACAATTACGCTATAATAAGATCTGTAGAACAAAATGCATGCAACACACTCGGATAAAATGACCTTGAAAGTGCGAGATCCCGTCCAGAGTTGCCATACTCTTCTGCAGAATTGCACTGTGTTGAACTAGACGTTAGGTTTCGACACAAAATACCGTTAACGCAAAAACATTACTTCTTACTGATCAGGGTTTCAAACATTTCAGAATATCAACGAAAGAAAACTTTCCTGCGTTGGCAAAAATCATCACTAAAACTGTTACTTCTTAATGAGATTAATTCGACCTCCGCCACTGAGCGCATGCAATAAGCTACAAGATTCCTACGTTCCGTCTCACTACATATATCATTAAATATAATGCATTATAAACGCACTGCTTTGCAATCGATGTCTTCTTAGTAAATGAAAAGGAACTCCGTGGTCTCCTGGTGTATGTCTCATCTGATTCATGACTTCTCTTTTGTTTCTCCATTGGCCATTTTCACAGATACCTTCACAGCGCAATTACCAACCTACCACTTTTCCGCCATTCATTTTCTCAAGTAAACACTGCCCTCGCTTCTGTAATTAATAAATCTCAAATCGAGAATGGCTGCAGAATGTGCCATGTGCCCATGCGCAAACCAACACCGTTCTTTCTCGGAATTCTTGCAAAGCAAACACACAAGACATAGGCGGGAAACTCTCCATCATGAAACAAAACGGCGTCAATGAGGCTGGCGCAACAAATCCGACTTCGTCGAGCTCATCAAGTAGTGATCAGACTGGTAGTAGCAGTGGCAGCAGCTTGACACCGAGCTCAGGTACGTCAGCTACTGGAGAGAGCTATCATAGCAGCGGTGTCACTAGCAGCAGTAGCGGCAGTGGAAGCAGTTCTTATACCGAAGCAAGCAGCACAGTTTCAACTCTACCTCCAGTTACAGAAGACGAAGATGGTGATGAACCTGACGGTCCCCCAAGGTCTAAAAACTGGGGATTGCTTTTATCAGCTAATGAAAGGCTGTTCGATAATTTTGGTTAGTAAAAATGTTATACTTTCGCTACAGTTGCACCTATGATACCAGTTTTATCGATGGGATGTACTCCATTCCATCCCATAATTATGACAAAAATAGCGAAACTAATAAACTGATAGCCTCTAAAAAGTCTAAAGGTTCCTTGATGCAATGCCTCCTTATGGATCATTTAAGCTATAAAACAGCTTATTTACCAATTTTAGTTGATTACGTTGAAACATATCCTGTTTCTTTGAAATATCCACTGCAGTGGAAAACAAATTTGAGTGCTGGGCGGAAACTGTATTAATCTTACTTCTGATCTGAGTTAATTTTCCTTGTTATTTCTTAAATGCTCCAGATTGGTTGTAAAGCCTTTAGGAGTTAACAATGGAAGATTTAAAAGAATCTTCAAGCTGGCCTGGTACCAACTACAGTTTATGTGTTTGACCCCTTACTCTACAAAAATGTGCCAAAAATTAGCAGTGCAGCAAAACTCTCTAGCTGTGACAACAGATGCAAAAAGAGGGGCTGAGTGGATTTGCCCCTCCCCGAGTAATTATAGAAGTTTACTTAAAACCATACAAAGCCTCACTTGAACTTGCTTTGTTGAATGTTCTGCCCCCCCCCCCTCCCCTCAAAAATCCATCTTAGAAATACCTCCCCCCCAGTCAGCACTACTAGATATTCCGCTAATTTTTTTGTGTGTTTGTATCATTTTTTCCACATAATTTTATGACAACCTAAATGACAACAACATAGAAATTCAATTGCATAACAAGTGCAACATCCATCTTGTATCATAGCTTTCCTCCATTAAACCTATTCTCTTTTTTGTCTATTAACTTGCATTGTTGACACTTTATCTTTCCCATTTATTTTGAAATATATCTTTGTTAACAGGACTGCAGCAAGATCAATACTTGTTTGGTAGAGCAAGGACATCAGATTATGTGTTTGAGTTGCTGAGGTTTCCAGGCCAGGGCTACTTCAAGAGCTTGAGTAACAACCATTTCAAAATATTTAGGGTATGTAAAACAGTGATATCCAAGTTGATGTTTTGTCAACTATTAGATAAAATTACCAAGTCTAAATCAAGGCACAAAATATGTTTTTTTTTCAATTTATGATCTAGGTTTCCCACCTGCTCTAATACTCTGCATCTACTTATCTAGTATTGGTCTCAGTCTCACAATGCTTATTATTTGCAGAAAGAGTCCATCCAAGACATACCGTAAATCCTCCAATAAGCCCCCGGAGGCTTTTTTGCAAAAATGAAATTTTGGGTGGGGGCTTATTTGAATGGGGGGGGTTCAAAGTTTAGTATTTTCCTCAAAGGTCAACATAAAAACGACAAAATTTCTTTTATGAAATAAATGGAAAAATTACAAAAAGTGTGAAGATCTAACAAATATTACAACTTTTTATCATCACAAAAGTAGCTATTATCATGTGGGGGCTTTCATGAAATAATATATTATTCCGCAATTATGCTTCCCTTGAATAAGCCCCCATGGGGGTTTATTTGAGGGGGGCCTTGTTTGCAAAAAATGATTTTTTAGATGGGGGCTTATTTGAGCGTGGGGGCTTATTCGAGGATTTACAGTAATTATTCTAGCCCTCCTTATTTTCTATGTCAAAGCAGGTCAGGTCTGTGACTTCTGCTCATCTATGGCTTCTTTGTCAGTTTTCCAAAGATTGCAAGAATGAAGCCAAACCGAAAAATTCTAGAAGCTATGGAACAAGTTGTAGACAGCAATGCAATGAGACAATTTTTGTTCCAACTATATCAGGCATGTTGAGTCTGCATGAAATGGTACATGAAAATGTGTTAGGCAGGGAATCTATGAGGAACCAGTCGGTTTTGAATTGAAAAACTTGAGTCTTATTATCCAGACATTCTTGCATGGTTTAGAATGTCACTTATTACTGGGTAAAAGTTTTACTTTTGGAATTTATTATAGATTCTGCTGAACTTTTTCTACAGTTGATTTGTAACAATTCAAAGTTTTTGCAAAAGAGAGTAATCTTTCCTCATGATTGAAGAACCAAGGGGTTTTATTTGAAGAAATCATGAAAACACTTATAAGAAAATAATTTGATTGAATATCAAAATGCACCTTAAACAGCTTCTTCCATAAGAAATGTTGCTGTTTGTTTTCAGCCAATGCTTCCTTCCTGTATTAAGATATTATTGCTCTTCATCTTTGTAACTGGTGTATTGGTTTGGCAGGTAAACAATAACTTGTAAAAAAATCTTGATTAAGCTACCTACTGCCTAAATGTTATTACAATTTTTGCAATTTTGCTCAGTTAGGTTAGGATAGGATCAAGTATGAAGATGGGATGTTTTTCTAAGAGAAAACAGATGATACGAGAATGACTGCATTTGCATTTGCATTTATAATCTTACATATTTTATAAATAAGAATATTTCTTTCTAGGAACTGCACTCAGCGGGGGATAAAAATGATTACACAGTGTTTTTAGAAGATCTTAGGTTGGTTTTGATCTGTTAATATGGCTTTTTTATTTTTTTGGGTTTTTTGTACAACAGAAATATCAGTATGAGTCTTATTGAAGCCTGTCAATGGATTATTTCATAGTAGAGAATTAGTTTCAATTAGTGTACATCGGAATGTTAGTTTTATCTAATCATTGGTGATTTCCTTATTTCTAGTGCAAATGGTACTGCCATTAATGGTACAATTGTAGGTAAGCTTTAATTTGTCATTGTACTTGTTTGCTATCAATATCTACCAGAGGGCCATGCCAGTAACATATCAAAGGATGTTTCAGTCAGCAAGCCAGTTATGAGTTGCAAATCAAATTCTAACAAGCCACATGTCAAATTTTTAAAACTACATTTGTGAATACTTATTCTCAACCATATGTCAATCAATGATGTCCCTATTTCTTTTTTGGTGTTAAACTTTATAAAGCCCATTACATATGTCATTTTTTGCTAAGATAGAATTTCCATGCATGATTTCTACTATTTGAAATGGATGTTATGTGTGTCATTTTCAAATTGTTGAAGCAAACATATGTGAATGTATACATGTTTTATTTAAAAAAGCCCATTTACATTGACACCAGTTTTAAGCTCATTTTTTGAATTTTATATAGGGCAGAAGAAAACAAGAATTTTAAACTCAGGGGATGAAATCTCACTTGTATATAAGAAAGGTGAGCTGATTTTTAAAGTTTTATGTGAAATGCATATGTACCTACATTGGCCTGTTTTCTTTATTTTTATTCAAACCAAGCTCACTTTGTAACTTGGATACAAGACACACTTAGGACACAAGGCAGTATTATTTCATTTGGTGCATAAGAATGTCATTCTGTGTCTTGATTTTAGTTCAACCGCTGCCTCCTTATTTAAGATGTGCCCAGTATTCTCCCAGAAGAACATCAAAATCTGAAGAACACGCTTTTGGTCTATAGAGCAGGAACCGTTTGTTGTTACTCAAGCATCAAGCCTAATCCGTGTGTCTAATGCCTGGTGATACAAATGCCTGATGATAGCATTAAGCATGATACTCAGAGTTCAATCAACTTAATGGACCTGTTCTGTTCATCAAATGCATGTAAAGCTCTGCCTTTACTGCATTAAGTACTTCATGGCAGTCCAGTAAAACAATCATTTTCAGATGTGAAGAGCTATGAGTGGTTCTCAATCTGAAAATAGACAAGCTGTTTCAAAATGCTTTTGCATTGATCCTAAGACCCCAAACAGACCCCAAAATAGACCCCAAATTGGTAGCAAACAATAGCTTGTATGAGCGAAACAGCTAGTCTTTGCCTTTCACGAGCCTCCTCAGTACTGCTAAGTACTAAGATGGTACCCCAATAGCTTAATTCAACAGAGCCAATTTTTTCAGTTTGTTCCACCTGTGATTTTAAAACATTGATATTTAGATAGTAAATTACTGTTTTCTTGTATCTAAATAAATATCAAGTCATCAGACAATGAAAAATAAACTTTATAAAACCTAGCTAACATTGAATTTGAATTAACGTTTCATCAGTCTACTGACATTAACTTCAACTAATGTCAACTTAAAACTTTTTGTTGCAGCCTTTATTTTTCATGATATTGGAGAAACTGAAGCACAACAGGACAAATATCCAAAGGTATTCAGTTATTTATTGAAGCCTATGCTATAAACCAGGGGTCGGCAACCCGCAGCCTGCAAGGTACTTTTGTGTGGCCCGAAACCCCTGTTAACCTGTAAATAATGTGGCCCAATGCACGAGTGTCAGCTCGATATTGATTCAGTGATCTTAGATTCTTGCCTAGATTAGCATTCCTCGTTAACATTACTAGTCACTCGAACAAGCTGAAGAAGAAGCTTCAAGGCCATTGTCATTTTGTGAATGTCATGTATGAACATGTCATGTTCCTGCTTATGCTACATCTTTGGAAAACTCAGCTGAATCAATGGAACCTGGTTCAATTTCCATCTTCAAATGGAGTTGATCGAGCTGCAGGGTACCAGTGAATTGAAACAGAAATACAAGGAAACTCAGATAATCCCGTTTTATATGGAGTATCTCCATGGTGGATGATGGTTCATATCAAGGTCTGGTGCAGCATGCCAAAAAGATGTGTTGCATGTTTGGAAGTACTTCTCTCCTTTGCGAAAGTCTCTTCTCAAAGATGAAGCTTGCGAAGAGTCGACTGCGATCTCGCATGACTGATCAGCACCTTGAAGGCAACTTGCGGCTGCCAACATCAACAATTCTGCCAAATATTGAGAAGTTGGCCAAGGACGTGCAGCACCAAGTTGCCCATTAGCTTCTTGTAATACACTGAACAGTGAACATGTACTTTACATCTATGTTTGTATTTACGTACAGCTTCCACGTTACAGTACATTTTCCGATAAATACATTTTTATTGATTAGATTAGTAGTTAGGTAGAATTGGTATAAATTCAAATTATACTGTATTTTGAGTTGCGGCCCTCGTATGCATTTCAAAAATCAAATTTGGCCCCCTGTTTTATTAAGGTTGCCGACCCCTGCTATAAACCCTTATAGAGACAAAGAACCTCTCTCGTTTCAAGCTTAAATATATCTTTTAACTTTGTTGGCAGGTTTGTTTTCTCAGGCAGGATAGGCAGTAGTGTTTGAAACTATTTAGAAAAATGTGTTCTCACTTTTCTTATTAAACATTTACGTTCTTTTTCCTTTTTCTCTTCTAGGAACTTACAGAAAAATACACAATAGCAAAAATACTAGGACAGTAAGCATTCTTATTAAAACATTATGTTACAATGCAAATATTTTTTGACCTTACAGTTTTTCACTTTAACTGCCAATGTACTTTGTTCATTTAGATGCAGTCGATCTTCTCCCTCTTTTAAGCTTCTCCTGAATCCGATGTTTGAGTTTCTCTGCTATGTCCCTTCTGCTGCCTTTAGCTTCGATCCTTGCCCATACATCGTCTGCTCTTTCTTTGTTGATGAGGCATTGAATATCATCAGAATCACAGTCATCTTCGTCTCCTATTTCCCTGTTCTCGTGGTACTCTGTTTTGACTTGGTTGAAAGCAAAGGGTGGCCGTATCAGCAAACCTCTGACCATTGTCTCTGAAAACAGTACCAAGAAGAATGCACCAATCAGTAACTGGTGTTTCATTTTAATGCACGATGTAATCCTGAACAAAGAGGGAACCTTTGCTATCTGAACAACTGGTTAATGCAATTTATCTGTTTTGTGATGACGATCATATCGATTTCAGATACCTGTAGCATTATTTAAGGATTTGTTTATTTTTGTATTACCTAAGACAAACTAACCCTGCCTGGTTTGCACAGCTGCCAGGTCCAAATACCGAATCACAAGATTTATTTAGCAACCTCATCCGTGTTCCGTGGACATTGAATGAAAAAGTTTGAGTGGATTAATGTTTTTTGTGCATACACCGGCTTAATTTTTTTGATAGTTATTGTTTCGTGTGTTTAATTTGATGCCATCACTTAGCCTCCTAAAGTTAATTTTATTTGTGTGTAGTTTTATTTGTTTAATTTTCAAAGAACATACTCTCACGATGTAGCTTTCTGTGAACTATTGCAACAAAATCTCTTTCAATTATGCCAACTGGCTTGGCCTTTGGTTTTTAACAAACATTGGAAGCATGCTATTATTGCTCCTGGAGATAGTTGCTGTTTTAGATTCATAACGAGAATAAATACTGAATCAGACATGTAAAGAGGACAATTTTTTATATAGGTCGAATGGCTCCAATCTCAATTTATAGATAAACAAGCACAATCGTAATACACTCCCCAGTTTCGTCATGACCGTTGAATGCTTGAAACTTGCGTTGATAGAATTTTAAGTAGTATTCTATTTGTTGTGCAGCTTTTTTCTTGTTTAATGGCAAAACCACGTGAAGATGATTATCCCGATTTTGTTTGGCGATTGGGTGATTGTGTTTTGGGAGTGGTGTTTTTTGTTTTGAAAAACGTTTATCAGTATTAATTACTATTGGACTGTCACGATTTCTCACGTCTAGTTTTTTTTCTCTTGTGTTTCTACTTATCTCAGGATAGTACAACATGAGTCACATCAATTATCTTCTCAGTAACTCTGTGAATGTTGTAACCATGCATTCAAAACCAACGCCTTTTCTTGGGCATGTATACAAACCTCAATTATATCTTTCGTCAATGTATAGGGGTGCATGTGGCGAGGTTAGATTGGCGTATCAGCAAATCTCCCGCAAGCAGTATGCAGTTAAAATTATACAAAAGAAAAGGTTTTCCGTTGGGGTGAGTTTTCTTTATACTCCTTCTATTTAATGAACCTGCTACCTTTTACAACTATGTCAATGAGATCTCTCAAGCCATCCTCTTACAAGTCCTCATAAATTCGCCCACTTCCCCATGCTGCAATTCAATAAGAAACTTTTTTCTCCATTGATACTGACGTGTTTCTTCTCGTTACTAAAACAGCTGTGTGTCTTTGTAATCAACAGCCTTTAGGGCCTTTTTTGCTTACCGTCGTTATCCCACTGTCTGTTTGAACTGCATGACAATATTTGATCATTCAGTCGATATTTCATAAGGCTCGCTTGTCTTATGCAGATATCACCCAAAAGCATATCTTGTTATTTTACACCTAAGTAAGCAAATCGCCACGAGAATCATAATATTTCGGATTTTATTTTCCTTTCTTGTGAGAGTCTTACTTGAGTAACATTGCGTTGAATTTCAGCAAACTATTCCTTTAGTACTTTTATTTTTTGCATAAAATTCTACCTAGCATAGCTTTTCATTAGTCCAGTAGGCTCAATATTATCTGAAACTGATCACGTTTTCAAGTAAGATTCTTCTTTGTTTTGTAATTCTAAGGTCACGATGTCCAAATCCATGATGGATGAAGTCAATATTCTGCGGACACTTGATCACGTGAGTTGTTTTATACCGTTGCCTGGCACACGTCAAAATGGCAGCATTCAACCAAACATTACCTTTACTGTATTAGAATTACCGATATCTACAATCTTCAACTAAATTAATTTTTATCTAACGAGAAACAGTTTATTAATGTGCTACCTTATGGGCTATTTGCTTTTCTGTGATTTCACCTTACATCTTTGTCAAACAATCAGAAATTTGCTAAAATTCTATTGCTTTAGTTTTTCTAGCTGATTTCAAAAAAGTCCCGAAGAGCTATTCTCGTCTTGGAGAATGCTTTTTCTTTTTGGGCTTAGTCTCCTGACAGCATAACATTCAGAGTATGTTAGATGTCTATAAAACACAAAATTTTCAAATCAGAGTATGTTAGATGTCCATAAAATGCAAAGATAAGTCGACTTTGCAGCTGGAAGTTAACCGAGATATTATGGCCTCCTTGTCTTGAGATTGGACAAATATCTACATGCAGAGAAAATTCCTTTCTTATGACAAGCATTAAACACTTATAGATATGAAATTACGTGCTTGCTAACATTAGTATTGTCATTAATCATTCCATTGACAATGTGAGTGAAAAGCCAAGAGCTTTTGCATTATCAGGTAACTCTGGATTTCTGAGCTACAAATGAAAAATATCTGGTAGTTCTAGTTCCATCATTTTCCTAATTTTTGTGGTGCAACCTGTCACTCCTGTTCTGTCGTTTATCGAGCAATCTATTTGTAAACAGAAAACATTTCTAAAAAGCTTATCCTATGGAATCTCCAGGCATGCGGGTTTAGCCAAAGGCAATATTAATATGCAAGCCAAGGCAATACTTAAATGTAGGCCATTCCTCGTTGCTGAAATTAGCGTTTCTTTCGGTTTTTGTCTTGCATTTGACTTACAAAACGAACTTACCAAACTTCAAAACTTTAACTGTTAACAGTCTGCTTGTATTTCTCTTTTTGCTTGCTCTTGCAAAGGTTTGCCCCACTTTATGTTCATAAACACAAGAGTTTCTTCAGAGAGTTTATTCCTTGCTACTTCATTCCTTTCTTATTCCTCTTTTTCACTTAAAATGTGTCCAACTAATTAAAATGATTTATTCCTTAATGTTTCAGCCAGGCGTCATCAAAATTGAAGATTTCTTTGATGCTGAAGACACTTTGTTTATTGTTTTGGAGTTGTAAGTATCATCTTAATAGCAAACACCGATTCACTTTTAAAAATTAAGTTTTAAAAGCAGAGAATCGCTGCAGATGGTGATAAGGCTAAGCTGCATATGATTATTATTTGTATTAATGATAAGTTGTATTTTATGTCTTGTTAGAGTCCGTGGTGGTGAGTTATTCGACAGAGTTGTGAAAATGGGGAAGTTCACAGAGACGATTTCAAAGCTTCTTTTCTACCAGATGCTTTGCGCTGTTGATGTGAGTTGAATGTTGATCTTTCTTGCTTATTACCTTTTATATGTTATAAATAAAAGATGATTTTTTATGCCTGTGATTTTTTCTCTCACCCCATTCTTTTGCAATATCACCACAGGCAGTTACAGGCATGTCAATAATGTTTCTCTTGGTCTCTCATTCTTTGCCACTTCCTGTCATCTCATTCAGTGGCCAATTTAGGGGGGAGGGCAACCAGAGGCAGGTGCCTCTTCCTCGCCGAGTTGATGCAAGTCTGGCGCCCGTTTTTGGAAATTAAGCGCCCCTTTTTAAGAATGAGAATTAGGTGAAAAAGTTTCTGAGACTTATAGATTAATTTGCTTCAAGGATTACCTCAAAGTACACAACAATTTTTGTGAAAATTTCTTTACAAAATGAATAAAGAGCCTTCTGTCAGTAGTTAGGGTCTGAAAGTGTTGTATACAGCATACACTCGTCATCAATTTCTGAAAATCTTTCAGCGCCCCCACTACAAGCTGCCCCACCTTCAAATTTGCTCTGGATCCGCCCCTGACTCCTTGGCCCCCAATGTGTTAATTTTTCATTCATTTTAAAATATTTATACAGGTTATAAGTTTCATATCAAAATGTGTTTTTCAAACTTACCTGTTTAAAGGAAAACACTAAAGTAAGAACAAAAGAAATGTTTTCTCCTATTCTGTTGCTAACTTGACCATGTGGATACAGATTTGATCACCATTGAAGAAATATGTTATTATGTATGTTTTGACTTTAAGAAATATAGCCTTTTATACTATGCCGCTGTTAACTTTTTCTTGATATTTGATTTCTAGTACTTGCATTCGAATAAAATCACCCACAGAGATTTAAAGGTACGACATATCTTCGTGTTTTAGTTACTGCTCTGCTTTTTCGCATGAAGCCTTCAGTTCCATTCTGTTTTCAAGGAAATTTGGTTCACAAGACAACCAGTTCTTTTTGACATAACCGTCAAAACATCAGCTTTTCGCACAGACTGCTCATGTCCTTATCCAGAATTTTTTCTGTTTACATTGTTTGGATCTTTTAATAAGCTTTGAGAGTGAGAATGAAAAAGATCTGTCTCTGAAATGAAGAAAGTCTTATCATTATAAGTTTTAACATTTGTACGTAAAGAAGCTTCAAGAGCTGGTCCTCGTCTACGTCTGTTGATTGTATTCATTGATATAGGTTATCATATCTTGAGTCATCAGTTTATCTCACATTGTCCCATTTACTGTTCCTTTCGTGTGTGCATTTTTTGCTCTAAATTGTTTCCAGCCAGAGAACGTCCTGCTCCAAACAGATGACAAAGAAACAGCTGTTAAGGTATGCCTTCCATTCAGAAATATCAACGGTGTTCTGGTTTGTTTTGAAAATTGTTGCTGACCGTTGGCTAGTCTTTTGTTAAGTGCAAAAAGTCATACAGACTACGTCTTATTATAAACAAGGCTCCGTGGCACTATCGTTATCTGCAAGGCTTGTTCATATACAGTTTTTTGGGTCGTTTAAAATCTTGCCAACATAGTCAAGATACCAAGCATGTTTTTGTCTGGTGGAAAAGCTTTAAGTGGGATTGATTTAACCCTCTTTTCCTAGATTACAGATTTTGGTCTTTCCCGAATCGTTGGTGAAAACTCATTGATGAGAACTCTTTGTGGTACACCTAACTACCTTGCTCCAGAGGTTATCAAAACTGGCGGAACTGGTGGTTACAGCAAAGCAGTCGATTGCTGGAGTCTAGGGTGTATCCTGTTTATCTGGTAATCACAACGCCATTAATTACTTGCAATGAGATATTCTTCCTGTCACGTTGCGTTTAGAATTCCATAATAAGTAGATGTATGTGTATGCAGGCCTATCCATAAGATAGCAGGGGAGTAGTAAACAGATCTCCTAGAAATTTCTGGGCGAGTTTTTCATAGATATGAAAAAAAGAAATGAAGGAAAGGTTGTTTTCAAGGAGGACAATTTTGAACAGTCTAGGAGAGCAATTAGCAGCTCTCCTCGAGCACTTGAGGGAAGCAAGAGCTATGACTCTGCTCAAATGGCCAGGTCTGGGTATGTTTTGGTATATCCCTAGCCTTTATCGCAAATATATTTTTCACCTAGCAGTTGAATAGACTGTCAACGGATAGTAAAGAATTCTTTTCTTTTATATCATTTTGCTCGATAATTCTGAACTATCAAGTCTAATAATAGAAGTAAAAAACAAGCAGAAACATCAATAGTCTGAAAAGAGTAATTTTTCTAAATATTTGTAGCGATTCTTTCACTCTGTAACAAATCAAATTTGCCATTTACAACTTTCTTTGCTCTGATACACAGTCTTGGTGGATACCCCCCGTTTTCGTCCGAGCATCCAACAATGTCACTTTATGAGCAAATTCTACAAGGGTTTTATTCGTTTCCTGATGAACACTGGAGATCAATATCACAAGAAGGTATTTACGATAATACATTGTAACCTGCTTGATATTGCATAAAGGTGTTTATGATATTACACTGTAACTCATTTGATATCACAAGAAGATACTTGTCGCATTACATTACATTGTAAACTACTTGATATCACAAGCAGGCATTTATAATATTACACTGTGACCTAGTGAATATCACAAGAAGGTATTTATGATATTAAACTGTGACCTAGTGAATATCACAAGAAGGTATTTATAATATTACACTGTGACCTAGTGAATATCACAAGAAGGTATTTACGATAATACATTGTAACCTGCTTGATATTGCATAAAGGTGTTTATGATATTACACTGTAACTCATTTGATATCACAAGAAGATACTTGTCGCATTACATTACATTGTAAACTACTTGATATCACAAGCAGGCATTTATAATATTACACTGTGACCTAGTGAATATCACAAGAAGGTATTTATGATATTAAACTGTGACCTAGTGAATATCACAAGAAGGTATTTATAATATTACACTGTGACCTAGTGAATATCACAAGAAGGTATTTACGATAATACATTGTAACCTGCTTGATATTGCATAAAGGTGTTTATGATATTACACTGTAACTCATTTGATATCACAAGAAGATACTTGTCGCATTACATTACATTGTAAACTACTTGATATCACAAGCAGGCATTTATAATATTACACTGTGACCTAGTGAATATCACAAGAAGGTATTTATGATATTAAACTGTGACCTAGTGAATATCACAAGAAGGTATTTATAATATTACACTGTGACCTAGTGAATATCACAAGAAGGTATTTACGATAATACATTGTAACCTGCTTGATATTGCATAAAGGTGTTTATGATATTACACTGTAACTCATTTGATATCACAAGAAGATACTTGTCGCATTACATTACATTGTAAACTACTTGATATCACAAGCAGGCATTTATAATATTACACTGTGACCTAGTGAATATCACAAGAAGGTATTTATGATATTAAACTGTGACCTAGTGAATATCACAAGAAGGTATTTATAATATTACACTGTGACCTAGTGAATATCACAAGAAGGTATTTACGATAATACATTGTAACCTGCTTGATATTGCATAAAGGTGTTTATGATATTACACTGTAACTCATTTGATATCACAAGAAGATACTTGTCGCATTACATTACATTGTAAACTACTTGATATCACAAGCAGGCAATTATAATATTACACTGTAACCTAGTGAATATCACAAGAAGGTACTTATGATATTAAATTGTATCCTACTTAATTTGGATTACCCAGTAATAGTACCCTTTTAATTTGATCTTTATAGCTCTCAGTTATTAGCAAAATTGATATTTCGCATATTTGCTCTTGTTTTATTATTATTTTAAGAAATTTTTCGTTGAACTGATGAGTTGTGACATTGCTGTTAGCAATGGCAGAAGCTATACAGTAGAAAATCACTCCGCATTTCCAATAAAGCTTTTATGTGTATTGTGGTTACTTACATTTTTACTTTCTAATACTTAATTCTTCAATCCTAATTGTTTCACGAGCCTGACTTGCAGTTAGAAATGACTTTCCTGTGTTACAGCTAAAGATTTAATCAAGAAACTTCTAACTGTTGATGAGAAGGAACGAATATCAGTCTCAGATGCTTTGAGGCATCCTTGGCTCGAGGTAAGTGAGAGCATCAGTTTCCAATTGTCATGGTGAATTTGATGTTTTGAGAAAAATCATTTGTATGTGCAGTTTTAGAGAAGCATGAACATTTGTTGAGCCTTGCTTTTAAAAGAAATTTGTTCAAAGTCTATTTATTACTTTCTATGGCAAATTTGACGAAATTCAGAGAGCGCATTTTCTTGATCTGCGTGAAATTTATTTGGGTGCCAATTTGAGACGGCAAAAATGAGCTGGTGTTTTCAACTCGTCATCCAAACCATCACAATTGCCATTTATGGGGCATCATTAGCGATCAGATATCATCTTCACTCAATCGTAATAATCTTAATGCTTCATCGGTCACCCGACAGTCATTATTCGCATCACCCTTTTTAGTTTCACAATCATAATCACTATTTACGAGTTATCATTAGCGATTAGATACCATCAATCAACCAATCACTCATGAAGATAATCGTAACACTTCATCAGACGCTACCAATCGTTATTCTCGATAATACCATTTATACTGTTTATAACTTGAAATGTCTCCATCATTTATCCTTCTCTAATCTACCGTGCGACAATATTTTATTTGATATTTTGACATTTAGTCGAGATGTTAATCGGATTTTACCGATGCATCTGTGTGATGTGCTATTTTTGTAAAGCAGGATGAAGGAATGAGGTCGAAAGCGCGATCTTTGATGTATCCAGAGGGAGAACCGATGCCTCCTCCTGCCGTCGTTCCAGCGGTATGAGTTTTTTTTATAAAAATCGAATTATTATGTAGTAATTTATCGTTATTCTTTAAAAAACATTTTATTTCATTTTAGTACATATTCTTATGGCACCTGAAGACGCAGGTTTTTATTCAGTTTAACCTTTTTACAAGGACTTTTTTCATTTTCACTCGGTGCATTCCGAATGCTCGAAATGGTATGACATCTGGGCTTGGAGCTCCTCACCTTACCTCCTACTCACCCTACCCCAACTTCTCACAAGGGCTTCTCAAGCCCTGCATTGAAACTCTAGGCCCTTAGTGGAGCAGTTGGACCCCTCCTTCCTCTTTCTGGAAAAATTTACAACCCTCATACTACGTAACAAGGAACAATGATTTTGGCTGCTGCAATAAAAAAGCTGCGTGGCTCAGATTTGTTACGTTGTTTCAAAACGAGTCAAGAAAAATATAAGAGAATCAAGCGTAATTCAATATCAAATGTAGATGCTGTTCCATAATAACTGCTAAATTTGTACCCCAAGTATAAGTCAAACCCTAATTGCTGGATCATGGTGGACGTTTCATTTTCAAATGATTCGGCTGACTGCAAATGAATTATAAATCAGCAATGCCTTAGGAGTATAACTTCACTGTCGAAGAGGTTTTAGCTTGTACTGCCCAAAACATTAGGAAACCTAGCTTCATTATAAAGTCAGATTTGCCATTAGGCCTGTAAACTTGAGATTTTTGTTGTGAAACTCGAAACTGTTCGTGGCCGTCTGCTGCTGCACCACTTGATAGGTTTTTTTAAATTTTTTGCTAACCAGATTTTTTAAGAAATTTTACCAAAAAATCATGAAACAATTATTCGATATCTAAGATTGCAGGTTCTCGGCAGGATCACGATTCTTGTGTATGTCGTTTACATAAAATGAAGAGATGAATATTTCTCTGTTTGGGTTGTTTATTAGAATGCAATATATAGGTCTTTAATGGCAGTTTTCTTGCATCAAGGGGGTTCAAAATTTAGCTTTATATGCTCGTATGTCCAAATGTTTCACAGATAGTCGAATAAAATTGCAGACCCTTGACCTACACTGTGACATAATGTGACAAATGAGTTAGAATAGAATGAATATTTTTGATAAAATCAAAACGCACCTTTCACTTGTCTGTTGAAGAAGGATTATCTGTTTTGATTAATTAGCCGAGTAAGAATGGAATGTTGCTTTTTTGTCGGTAAACCCAAATCCCATTTGGCAAGGCTGGAATCAAAATAATGTCAGAAATAAGTCTTTATCACTCTTTATAGAATAAATATTTTATTCATGATAATTTTTCAAGCTAACTTTGCTTCTTTTTGGTTTGACCTTCTGCTATTCCTGTGCCTTATGCCTCTATGTTTAGCAATAATTGCCATATTTTATTAATGTTGTTTATGTTTTGTGAAACTTTAACGACCTAAAAATAGTTTTTTACTGGACCATTGCAGGTGAGAAAGTCGTCATCATCTGACGAAGGCCAACCAGAAGCCAAAAGGCCTAGAATTTCGTCGGAGAAGGCCGAGGAATAATAATCTTCTTGGTGCTGAACTTGCAAAATCGTTTTAGATTTATTATGAGATGATGTGGCGAACTTATTATATTCGATTCACAATTTTATGTCTTTTATAAAGAAAAACTGAACGTTTTTAGATAAAGTTACCTTAAGCATAAATTAACGTTTCTATTTTGTGTGTCACTTATTTTTTTAAACAGGAAATGTTATTTAACTTAATTAAAGATTTTGCCATTTTGTGGCAATAGGAGAATATGGTTTTTTACTTTATGAAACTGTGATAATTTCTCAGTTTGGTTTATAATTCATACTATATTTAATGTGATGTGATGACTATGTTCAGTTGTGATTTCTATCTAAATTCATATTTGTCTAAGTTTGAAAGATTTTTGATTAAATTTTTTGACGATAAACTTTTGGCAATGGTTGAAATCGAAGCAAAAATTATCACTAACCAGTGTTAAATACTTAATTAATAATTTTATGGGTTTATTGAAGATTTTACTATACATAATGTTCTTGTTGTTTCTATGAGCTTACCAAGTCTGTCTCTAATTTTCTAATGAAAGATGTATTTATGAGCTTAGAGATAAAACAGACAGATTATTTGGGAAATATGTCTTTTATTTTTGCGCATCTTTTTTCCTAGTATTGTAATTTCGTTCTTTAGTTGAAAAGTATTATGAGATTCTGACTTTTTGCTATTACATTTGGGCCCCTCTTTTACTATTTCAATTGTTGGTTAAATATACTACGCTAAAGATAAAGCTAGTGAATACCTGGACACAGGGTTACGCCCAGTTACCTCATCTTAATTTCTGTAACATTAAAACCAATGCTATTATTCATATCTGATACAAAAAATCACTATTTAATCTCTCGAATTAACGTGTGTAAAGACGGTTTGAAAGTTTTGTTTCTCGCTTTTGCCATCTGGCTGTCCATGATTATATTGCATTCATTTCTTCTGCTCTCAAAAAGACCCACTGGATCGAGAATATCCTTGAAAATAATTGACTTTCCTTCGTGGCGATTTTTTAATATAGTATATTTGTTTCATATTATCACTTTGATAACTATTATGATGGGTTTATTTCGGTTTTTATAGATTTTGGCACTAATGTTCGATAGAAGATATCGAGTGGGGAGATCATCGACCGACGATATCTTACGTTGTAGTTGTGTTTTTTTATCACAAAAATCGTTAATCGAGCTATGCCATGTATTTAATCATAGGCTATTTAATCATGACAACAACAAATACTGAGAAAAGTCTTCTGAAGAATCAGTAAAATGGTCCGTACGGCCCCCCCCCTCCCCCACCCTCTATTGAATTCCTGGACACTGCGCTGCCCTGCAAGCTCAACATTTATCAACCTGAGGTCTTAGGCCAATGTTGCACTCTGACCCCTTCGCTTTTTATACTCTCAGTTGCATCACCGTAAATTAAATGCACCTTTGCACTGAATTACCACAAGTTGAATCGAATTTGCTGAAAATATTTCCTGTTCTTTCCTTTCCCGCCAAATTATCCCTTTAAAACACGATCAGCGCTCCCAAGTCCACTCCTCAAGCCTCACACTGCAGGCTGATCACGAGGCTGGGTAAAAAGTGGTCTTTCCTTCTTTCTCGAAGTTGGAGGTGGCCAGACGTAATAACGCAAGATTACAGTCATGCATTCATTGAGAAGAATTGTGCCTAATGGGCAAATAATCTCAAAAGCATTTTCAACAGCTAATGCGGTATGTATCGGGCAAGTTTTGCTTTCCATTCTGCTCCTCTGCATTTGTTTTTCGTCGACAACCCACCCCACGCTTGTTACGTACCTATGAATAGGTCCGCATCACGGATACCACCCACTTTCAGAAACAAAACTTACTTTTTAAATCTTTAGTGATGACAGTTAGGTTTAACTTAATCAAAAACATTGTGCAATGTTGCAAAAATTCCTGAAAAAGTTTAGATTTTGAAATTTTGGGACGACTAACAAAAAAATTTATCAAAGGCTCATTTTATCACCACCTGGTGGCTGTTGCAGTTATGCAATTATTACTAACTATGAATAATTTCAAACATTTTCCATGCTTGTATCTGAGGATAAAGAGCAATGAATTGTCCACCTCTTCTTGTAGATTTTCAAATCATATTTTACAATCCTTTTTGAATAAATTGCACCAAACTTTTGCAAGAGACTGTCTGGAAACTGTTAGAAGACTCCTTTCGCAAGGTACTTTTGCACTGCTTTCGCAAGGTACCTTTGCAAAAGAGCCTTTTCAATGAAAAGCAAATAGGTTTAAGCTGTCTTACATAAATTTTAATTTGTTAATAAACCAAATAAGTAAAGGCTTTGTTAGATGTTGATGACAAAATAAATTCATTATCAAAATCAGGGGACATGGCTCCCTCTCCCCCAGTTCTTGGTGGGATCAGTTTTGCAATTCATCTAAAGCTGATGAGAAAATATTTGAAGAGTGTACAGTTTTGATGAATTTTCCGATATGATTCTATGCTTTCAAATCTGCTACTATGTGCAAAGATTTGTCATGGGATTGGTAGGAAAGGAAATTTTCAAACATTAATAAGCCTAGAAATTTTTCTTTCTCCTTGAAAATCCAAGACCCAACCAACACACATGGCTATCGCCCTTGCTGTTTTGGATAATAGACATTTAAAACTTCACATCTGAACCTTACAGAAGTATTTCTTTTTAAATCCATCTTGTAAAACTGTTGTTATATTTTTTTAAAACGATTCTCAAATGCATGCAAAAAAACACACAGAAACTTGCCCACACATATACGCAAAAACAACAACATTTCAGGCTCACACCGAAAACAATAACACTAATAGACAACAAAAACGTACAGTATTCCCTGAGGGGCAGACAACAAACAATGTCAACAAAGACAACAAGCAACAACACAAAACTCACAAACAACAACAAAACAACAGGCTGACTCTCCATTCACACAACAAAAACCATATAAAGCATTATATTGTTTATTTGCTGACAATGTATCCTGTTATTTTCCTAGAGTAACAATAAAGTTGCTGTCCTTGGTGCTGCTGGAGGCATTGGACAGCCACTTGCTCTTCTGCTAAAACATTCACCACTCATCAATCACTTAGCTTTATATGATATTGTTAACACACCAGGTAAGCTAACCTTTCTAGAAGTGAAGTAATGTTTGGTTTTTGGATAACAGCAATTTGATATTTAGCATCATTTATATGCAAAGTATGCAAGAGGTTGTTGATACAATCATTCCTTACCACTTGTGTGGTTACAACTCACATCACCTTAGCAACAAATGTGTGTAAGAATAGCAATAAGAAAAATCTTATGAAAAATGGTGCAGACCTTTGATGATGAGGATTTAGGCCTAAAACTTCTTTTCATCATACAGTGAGAGCAATTACTATTAAATAACTTATATTTGTTTTGGAGTTGACAATTCTATAGTGTTTCAACTGGAAGCATTTCTTTTTACAAAAACTCAACAGTTAGGTTTAAGAAGAAAACTGTAGTTGAAAGGAGAGAGGATCAACAAATTTTAAGAAATAGATGGTTGATGAATTTGAAAAGTATTCTCATTTATTATTTAAGCACTCCTGCTGATCAGAAAATTGTTATTTTGAATGCCAAGCACTGTGAATGAGAAAAATCAAGTGCATTATATGTTTGATTAAAGATGATAATTTTCTCAAAAAACTCTCCACTAAGGCATTGTTATCATCCTCAATTTGAATTGATAAATTTGACAATTTGAATCCCCAAGTAATTGTGCTACATAGCTTCAAATGTTCAGCATTTTCAGTTACAGATGATTTTATTACAACTCTGACCTTTTTGAGCTGTACATATTGTCAATTGATACAACTTCACCTCAAATTCTCTTCTGGCAAGACATGTTTTTCAAGATCAATGGTGTTTCTTTGCTAATTATTTTGTAAATTTTGGCTTGTGATGGGGGCAATCACATTTAAGCATTTGTTGTGTCTTGAGCTTTTTTCATGAGCAAATTCTTAAAGTGCCTATGAAATGAAATTTGACAAGTTTAGATAAAGACACACTTTTCATAAGCAAAATTTGCTGATTTCAAAGATATATGTTGAGGTGATTTTTTTCTTGCGGAAACATCTAAAAATTTAGGTTGAATATCCTATTTTCACGTTTTCGACTGTGACAAAGCGCCATTATCTATGACGTCACAAAGTTTGCAAACACGGAAGCAGTTGATGTTTAGTACACGGAGGTTGTTAATTGAACTACCGTTAAAATAGCCGTATGGGGCAATTTTAAGTCAGGATACATATCCAATCTTTTTTAGCGCATCAAACTGTCCTTTTTTGCAAAGTTTCATACTGCTGTACCAAAATACGGCAAAACGATAATACCGTTAATTAAGATCTTAGGCGGTATACCCCAGTCTAAAAATAGAACAAGGGAGCAATTTTCAGATGGAGTTTTTATCCTACCATTTCCTGCGTATCAGATTGCCGTCTATTGCAATGTTTCCTGCTATTGTACCTACTTTCGGCAGAGATATCAAAATCAATTCGTTTGGGGAGTCATGTGGAAAAATACCCCAGTCTAAAAATAGCCCAAGGGGGCAATTTTCTGTCGGGGCCTATATCCTATCTTTTTCAGCGTATCAAACTGTCCTATTTGGCAAAGTCTAGCGCTGTAGTACTAAAGTATGATCGAGATGCAATCAAACTGTCTTTATAAGTCTGTAGCAAAGAACCCCAGTCTAAAAATAGAAAAGGGGGCAATTTTCAGTTATGTTCTTTATCCTATCTACCCTTTTTTGCAAATTTTCATGCTGGTATCACAATTTGCACAATTGTTTGACTAACAGCCCTGACTAAGTGGTATGGTGTGTTTACTGCAAGTCGGAATCAACTGCAAACCTTGTGACGTCACTGATTCTTATGCTTTGTCACTCGCACTCGTTGTTTTTGAGACCCCAAAAGCAAACTTTCCCGTGCAAATTTTCGAGTTAATTTTCGTTTTATATTGCAACGACATGTAGAAGTTTCAGTTTCTTACAAAAAAACTATGTGTGAAATTTTGTTTCATAGGCACTTTGAGAATATGAATTCCTCCCTTCCATAGCCTGATTAAAATAAATTTAAATCAAATAGATATCTTCTGTATTCTCAACACATTGAAAATCATTCCAGGTGTTGCAGCAGATTTGAGCCATATCGAAACAGGTAGTAAAGTATCTGCCCATCAAGGACAAGAACAATTAGAAGATGCTGTAAGAGACTGTAATCTTGTTTTGATCCCAGCTGGAATGCCAAGAAAACCGGGTAGGAATTTTTGGAAGCATAACTTTAAGCAATGGTTCAATTATTTCAAGATATTATATATTACATTTGTTAGTTTTATTTGCCTTTCTGTTTATTCTGATTTTCCCCCATTTCAGCACTTGTTGCATATACAGAGTTTTCTTTTTGAACTTCTGTTTCCTAAATGTCTGAAGATTTAGTCCCAAAGTATATCAGATTGGAATTGTCCTAAAGCCATTTTTAGAAGTATCCCTTTTCTCCTACAATTTTTTTTCCCTGATATGTTTTATTCAACACAGTAGAAGACTTGTTATGGTTGAGAAATTGGCATATATATATCTTGTATTGTACACAAAAATACCATTTTGTTTTTTGTACAAAAAAGCAAAACTGATTTATTTGACCCAAAAAGTTGTCATGTTTCTCTCTAAGCTCTTTCTCAGCACATTATTTCAAATTTCAATTGGCCTTTTTGTTTGTTTGTTTGTTTGTTTGTTTGTTTGTTTGTTTGTTTGTTTGTTTGTTTGCTTGTTTAATTTTTCCTTAGCCTTTCCCCAGTTATTAAAATGCCAGTACAGTTCAATTCCAAGAACCTAATTTTTTCTCAGGAATGACAAGAGATGACTTGTTCAATACAAATGCTTCAATTGTGAAAAATCTTGTTGAGGCATGTGCCAAGTGAGTAGTTCAAAGGTCAAAAATTTGATTTTAATATCAATCGCTAATGCAAATTGACACTTCTTGAACCTTAGAAAAACAATATTAAGCATTTTGCTTTTAGCACATTCATTATTATCATTAAACTTTTAAGAGAGAACAGACTAGGTCCATTTGCAATTCTGAGTTTTGCTCTTAATGAAATCATTTTTGTGATTCAGTTACAACTCAGAACAATCCTGTTCTGTACATCTAAAGAACATACAGCTTAGCATTCACAACATCAAGCACTTTATGACTGCCCTTTTAAACAAGATTTTTAACATTAATACTAAATGAATTCATAAAGGTAATAACTGAAGATTGCCAGAACATTAAGATTTGAAGTGTCTTGCGAAGTTAGCATATTTTATGATTTTACATATATATTTATGCTTTGTATGTACCAGACATTTTTCCTCGTTTTTATTATCTTATTTTGTCTGATTTCTCTCCAAGGGCTGCACCAAAAGCAATTCTGGGAATTATCACAAATCCTGTAAGTTTGAAATTACATAAAAACTTGCTTATTGTTATCTATTGAAATTCATTTTATCAAATCTCATCAAATTATATGTAAATGATATGATGTTATTTGTTAAAACATTTGATAAAACCTTCTTTTGTTTTGTTTATTTTGTATATACATTATTCTCAATTTTTTTAAAATGTATTGATTAATTGAAGTTCTTTTTCATTGAAAAATTTAAGTTTTGCCTTTGATAGATTCTAATACTTTGGATAAACTGCTCTGATCTTAATCCTGTGTTTGAAAACTCCTTTTTACATTTTAGGTTAACTCTACTGTTCCCATTGCATCTGAAGTGTACAAAAAGCATGGAGTGTATGACCCTGCAAGGTATTGTAAATTTTGTTTTGAAATATAATTTACATAATTTTGCTGTATGTGTGATAGGCAAAAAGTTTTCAATCATCAGTGGGAAATGCATTATAGCACTCTGCTAACCCCGATTTTGCAAGTTTCCTTTTAGTGTCATTTTCAGGTTTTGATTGCCCTGGGAATACAGCCATCTCCATGCTCTGAACATTAGTTTGTGCTAAATTTGTCCCTTTTCCTAAATATATTATTTGTCTCCATTTCTCAGAATTGTCGGACTTTTTCTGCAAGGGAATAATGCCAATTATTATTGCAGAAAGTAGTATTAAAGCACTTCTCTAAAGCTTTCTTGATATAGTCAAAGAAACCTTGGGTACAAAACCCTTAACTCAAGACCAAATCATAACTGACTTACTTACAGTATTTTCCCTGTTGCCTGCCATCCTTATGTTAAATTTTATGTTAGATAGTTGTCTTAAATGTTTTGTGCTTGCAAAAACATTTATTGCCAGCGAATATTTTTGCTACCCTGGAACAGTAAATTTATGAATAAGTAAGTTTCTTGAATTTCAACATGTTTTCCTCTCATTGCAGAATATTTGGAGTTACAACTTTGGATGTTGTTCGTTCTAACACTTTTATTTCAGAGTTGAAGGTATGCCTCATTCATTAAAAGTCCTTAGTTTTAGAGCACTTCTAATTTCTTAACTTTTCAATGCATTCCTTTTGATTTGTTTCTTATTTGAAAATGTTCTTTGGTATGCATATTTTAATGAAAAATATTGCTGACTTCTATAAAAACTGCTATTAAGACACTTAAAATTCCATTATTTTCCAGAATCTAGATGTCAGTAAAACAAACATCCCAGTTGTTGGAGGACACTCTGGCATCACTATATTGCCCTTGTTGTCACAGGTTGTTGCCATTTTTCTTATTTTGCTCTCCATTACTACAAAGTTTTACATTAAAAAGAAAAATATTCACCTTTAAGACAGCCTCAGATTTTGGACAATACATTAAAATGCCATAACATAACATAACCAAAAGCCAGCCTGCCTTCCCTGGAAATCTTACCTTTGGAGTAATCTTGCTTTTGTCACATCATTTAACAGTTTCTGGTCCTTTACATTTTTTTTTAATATTTCCCTGGATTTTTTCCATCTTGATAAGCTGGTATAATAATGCCTGATGTTAGGGAAGGAGATGCTACAGAATTTGACGCTGAGTTAAAAGGTGTTTGATAAGAGATCTGCACATGAAGAATTGGCTTTGAATACAAGGTTTCTCTCTAGTAATTGCAGTGGCTAGTGGTGAATATTTATGGCCACCAAACTCTTTTAAAAGCCACAAAGAAGCAGAATATGTTGCTCTCTGGTCAATCTTGCATAGAGTACCTATAGTTTGACCAGTTTTCACCTAGTATAGTTTGCAAGGATACTAAAAGGTGCCATAATTTGTACAAAAGAAAGATTTCAAATTCTTTAGAATAGATATGAATCATGTAGGAATTTTTGCAGAGATATTGCCGTCTCGATTGTCATTATCTATATATAAATATATGATTTCAAATTTTGTATTGGTATTCTCTCCTTGCTGACAGGTTACACCCAAAGTTCAGTTCTCAAATGAAGAACTTGAAGCATTGACAGAGAGAATCCAGAACGCTGGTACCGAAGTTGTAAATGCAAAAGCTGGAGCTGTAAGCCTAACTCTTTTTCTCTGAAACCAAGAATACAAATACATTTAAATATATCATTTCCAGCATTCTTAATCTTCGTATACCCTTCTAGATATTCCTTTAAATGTTTTATTTACATTTCAGGGATCTGCAACTTTATCAATGGCTTTTGCTGGAGCGCGATTTGCTTTTTCAGTGAGTAGCAAATGCTTTGTTTGATTTATTTAAACATCTGTTTAATTTTTGAAATCATTTCTTAAGTAATTCTGATGCTGATTTTCACTAGCATTTGAGCTGACATTTTCGATATTTTGAAGCGACATTGAAAAACAATGTCATACTGATTAAAAGTAGTTTGTCAGCAACACATACATATAAAATATTTATCATCGAGCAGCCCACTTCCTGCATGTTGAAGTCTTTCTTGTAACTTTTCCATTCGATAAAGTGCTTATTTTCTACCAAATTTTAATCATTTCATTCTTAAACTAATCGTTTTCTCCTTCATCAGGTCTTAGATGCTTTGGCTGGCAAAAAGGGTGTTGTTGAGTGTGCTTACGTGAAGTCTGACGTCACTGCTGCTACTTATTTTGCAACACCACTGCTTCTTGGGGTAAGGATCGTTGCTTTTCAGCTTTTAAATATTCCTACTGCATGCAAATCCAACAATATGCTTCCATACAGTTTATTTATATGATTTGTAAATAATGGAAAGTCCACAGTAGCAAACTGTGTGACGAACTCCACTAGAATACCTGTGGCGCAAAGTCGCTTAAATATTGAGTTTATTTTTTTTGGCGTCTATGCTTGGTGCTTTGCGGTGTTTCTTATTTTTGACTAATTAATGATACAATTATTGAAATCACTGTTAAAATGTATTGAGTTGCTTTTTGTGTGTATTACCAATAGGTATTTCATGATCCTAGCAGAAGTTATAAACTCTTGGGTTTTTATTAGCGATTTTGTATTCAGGGCTATCTCTAAGCGCTCATTGATTTAGATCTATATCCCAAGCTCTAGAAACTTTTAGCAATAAGAACTTTTCAATGATTTTATTACAAATTGTTTTGATAATGCAAGTTTCCTGAATGATGCAGCTTGATTGAAAATATTGAGTATTGAGCATTTTGATTGGAATTATTGAGAAAGATGCAATTTTAATGGCACATTCCGTTTGCAACTTTTGAAACAAGTAATAGTGTTCACAGCAAGCCAGATCGCTGTTTTATAAGCTGCGCACGTTGTGCTTGAATCTAAAGAGGACAACTTTTTCACTTAGGCTATTTATTTTTATATTTTTTTAAATTCATATTTCTACAAAATATTCTGTCAGAGATTCAAGTACGAGTTATGAATAAATAAAACGCTAACAATGAAAGACAGAATTTAAAAATTTGGTTCAAACTAAGATCGCACTTAAGCAGACGTCTGATCTTCCTGGGAGTCGTGTTTTATTCAGGGTATACTGAGCTCTTCAAAAGTTTTTTTTAATTTTTTGTTTGAATACAAGAGATGTATCTTAATTCTGGAGGTATTACATTCAAAGACTTGAGCTCAGAAAGGTGGAATCTTTTTTGTACACTCAAGCTTAAACTTGAAGATGCATGGTTCTTAACGGCAGTTTATCTGTATCAGCTGCAGTTGTTTTCAATATACTTATAACTGCTGATAAAAGCCTGACATTAATCCGAAGTTCTCTTACTTGATTGGTTTAGACCAGTCTATTTGTACGTTGATTGGTTTATACCAAGTTACACGAAACAATGCCAGTTACACGAAACAACACACTACATTTAAAGAGAACGATAGCATAGCACAGCAAGGCATAATCAGGAAATAGCGTTTCTTCCACAATTCAGCCACCTCTTCTACAAAAATTTGCCCCATTTACTCTGCAGATGCCCCATATGCGGAGCCATTATGTTTGTTCGTCTGTTTTTATTTTCTCTGATATATTCGGTTTACAAGACAATTTTTCGTGGCGTTGGAGTGTTCTTTGTCGTTCCGCGTTGTTCCTGTTAGTCGCCTTAGTATATAACCTTCCTATGACGGGCCTTATTGCAACGTGTCTCTCTCTTTATGCCAATTACTTTTGTGACACTGTCAAGAAAATGACGTTTCTTTGAGGTATTTTTCTGTAAGTATAAAATTCTTAACAGAAGTGTGGTGATTTCCTGATTCGCTCGTCGTAACTAAAAATCCTCAAATTTTGCAGCCTAATGGATTGGATAAGAACTTGGGCATGGGTGACCTGTCAGAATTTGAAAAGAAAAAACTGGAAGAGGTTAGTGTCTCGTACATTTGTTTTGCTAACGAGTAAGAATCGCCTTCCCAACCCTACGTTTCCTCTGAGAAGTAATCTCTGGTTTTTTGCAAGAGAATGAGGAAACTTGTGAATTCTTTTTGAAATTTATCATTTACTCTAATGCATATTATCTATGTCCAAAAAGCTATTAAGTAAAGTAAAGTCCATGCAAAACCTTGGTTGTCGTACACCGTTTCTGTCATGACCTCTTAGATGTGCCAGAAGCTTCATTGTAATCCTCAAGACGCTTGTGTTTGGATATTCTTTACATTTATCAGAGCTTTGGGATCTAAAAAAAGCAACAATGAGGCAAAAACAGAGCCAGTTCATATCTAACAACGATACATATGATTCGTTCACCGATCATAATTCTGCTTTGTCACCTCATTTATAACTTCTTTTTTCTTTCTTCGATGTTTTGTATAGTAACAGATGATTTGTATTCTTCAAGAACTGACTATTCGTCTAAAATAGATTCTATTCAATTTACTTTTGTTTCTTAAAGGCTCTTCCTGAGTTGCAGAAGAACATCGCCAAAGGAGAAGAATTTGTAAAAAACAATCCATGAACTCGACCTTTTGGTTAACTGTTTTATTGTAAGTTAGCGCTGCGTACATAGAGTGATTTTTTCTCTAACAACTGACTGACCTGGCTGCCTGTACATGAAATTAATTCATATTTCTTGCTTTTGCTTATTTTGAAACAATGCTTCGCTGGTTCAAATTTGTTGTCGTGGTTTTCACAATCTTCTAAACACGGGTCAGATGGACAAGTCTGTTTTTTCCACCTGCCTCGTGGCTGAAACAGTGCATTTATAGCCATAACGTTATTTTACACTGCTGAGACTGTTTAAGAGATTAGATTGTGGTTGAAATCGCCCTACTGAATGTTCTAATGTCTTACAGGTCAATGGAAAAACGGGCTTGTACAAGTCAAGGCTGACCGTTGTTATGGCAAGACTGCTTTGCCAATCAGATTTCCTTCGAAGTGCCTTGCAGTTAATGCTCTGTTTGTGAAAATTAGTGATCTTTTCAGTTGAAGATAAAGTTATTTTTCCTAGTCCGTTTTTGACTGCAGAGCATGTTGTCGTTGCCGTGTGACAGGACTAAATTGTCCAACTGTAAACTCTTAGCAAATAACACCAGAATTTTATAGCAATCAATATTTTTCAAAGGGGACATGAAATCGAAAATAGTTCATACCCAGCGCTGTCTAAATTGGAGCAGTTTTTTATCTGCAAAATGAGGATGTAATTGCAAAAGCAAAGATCCAGTATAGTGTCCCAAGACTTCTGCAAGTATATTACGCTATTTAAAAGTCAATGCTCTACAATGTGATAAACAAGTTTGGCCATATCGCACTTCAGAGAGATTCCTGGCTTCATTTCCTATTTAAATTAGATGACTGCTTCATCATGAATTTAAGCAGTCACAACGACGGATCAACTGCCACTAAATATTCCACAAATCTCGAACAGCTGCTTTTGCGGTATGTCGCTGTGCTATTGCGTTGAGACCACATAAAACACACTGAAGTCGGATGCAAAAATGCTTTGCAAGCAGCAGCTTTTTTTGTTATCCTTTAGGATGGCATTGATAAGGTATCAGCAGGGCAACCGGCATGTCAGTTGACCAGAAAGTTTGTTTGGCCCATAACCAGGTTTCACTCGCTTGTCATACTTTATCTTACTGGAAATTTTAATGGGAATTTTCAAACGATCTTATACGGTAGTTATCTTGGTTTTCTGTCAAATAAACACGTTTGGCATTTCATCCCTTCATATTTATGTGCATAAACAGATATGAAGGCGTTGATTCAAGCGGAAACCAGACACCGCGCAAAGATATTCTGAATATTTCAGAATATTTTTGTTTTGTTGAAGCAGATGCCGTCCTCCGATCTACTGAAAACCAGAATTCCTATTTTTGCGAGCATCAGGAACTAAACAAAACAGAGCGTTTTGTTTTGATATTTTTAGTCCATTAAGCCAATATTGCAATGGATTATAGTAAATGGATAACAACGTTTATGAAGAAATCAAATGCTTAAAGTCTTTGAAGTCTTCCCTTTTCTTCCACTTGATATTGTTTATTAGGTTAAAAAGCTATAAAGTTCCATATGATTGCAAAATTGGTGATTATGTCTTCGACAAAGAAGGTCCTCTGCTACATCCAAACCACAGAATTTCCTAGGACAATTACTCTAAAAAGCAAGGGCCTACCTTTTATCAGACGTCTTTTTTTCTATTAAACACTTTCTGGCACGCAATTTTCCGATTATTTTCCGTCATAATGAATTCGTTCTGATCCACTTTAAAATTTGCAAAGAAGCACAGCTTTGCAGAACGAAGAAGAATTAACACACTTTTTACCTTTTCAATTGAATGCAGAGCACAAGCAGAACACAAGCTTTACTGCGGGAGAATCCAAAAGCATGTATTTCATGATTCCGTATTACGATAATCAGTGACAAAAAGAGCGAGAGTCAAAAGGCCGAAATGAACTCTGCTGGGAATGCTAAATTGATCGAATGTCATTAAAGCCTATGTCAGTACCAACGTAGCTTGTCTGTACACTCTCCTGTTTTCAATACCCACTTTGATATAAGAATGGGATTTTTAAGAATTTTAAGGCCCAATTTGATTGTAGTTCAAAAATTGATTAAGAATGTAACCCAGGCTCGAATTTCATTGAAAATTTCAATTTTTGAACATTTGAGCAAACAGGACAAGTAACACTTTCAACCAAAAGTCTTGAGGAATTCTCATTAAGCTCGTATTGTATATTCTACCATGTTTCCTTCATCATTTTGTTTTCGAGGCTCAGCAGAAATTAAAGTACACTTTTGAAAAGGTATCCAGTGTATACAATAATACTATGGGATACAATTGCTTTCTCCAATATACCTTTCTCGGTTATCATCTTTTTAATTATAACCCAATAACACAGTGCGTCGATTCAATAGTACACAACCCTGCCACCATTACAAAAAGTCATTGCAGAAAATAGTATTTAATAGAATTCTTCAGAAAGAAAGAACAGTCTAATGCACCACAATGTAATACCACAAGCCAAATATCTCTTTCGACCTACAGTCTTCACTTTGCCCCCTTAATCCTGGGATTCCTCTCACGTTATTTTTTATACTTTAACACTTTGCTCCCTCCGTGTTCCACTCTCTTATCTTCAAGTCTTATAAACACCCCAAATTTTCACTAAAGTGTGCTATTAACATAGAACATGTATGTTGCTTTCCTTCAAACGCTTCTCTTAAGAATGAGTATATACCTGAGAGCGCCTTAATAATTATGCTATCACTTAAAGCTTAGTCAACTCTTCAAACCTTACTTCAAGATTTCTGCACGCGTGAAAATTCTCTAATTTTTTTTCATTTGAATATGTTAAGGCGTGGGCCCAGTGTTTTTTTCAAAATAAGTATCTTAGAACACCTGCTGCCGTTAAAAATTAGGTTTTTCAATAGTCCGTGGATTGCAGATGGTTTCGAAAATGCATGTTATTATAACTGATATCAATTCAGGCCGTAGTTAAACAATTTGATGCTGGATAAACCACTAAATGGCGGCCCATTTCTTTATTCCTTTGAAATAAGAAGTTCTAGTCACAAATGCAAATACTGCGAAAATGGCATTAGTTGAGACTGAATGTAAACCATTTCATGAAATGTTCGGATTGTGTGATTCATTAAGGTACACAAAGATCTATACATTATTGATAGTTTGACTGACTATTTACAACTTCTTTGCATTGTTAGACAAGATTGTAGGAAACGGGGTTTCTGTTTCTACCACGAAAGCCTGAGGCACAATGTGCTCAGTCTGAACTGAAGCAATAATACTCCAGAAAAGATTGAGCCAATAAACCATGCTTTTTCGAAATATACATACCGCAAATCCTCGAATTGGCCCTCCTCGAAAAAGCCCCCACCCTAGAACTACAAATTTTCAATAAGCCCAACCTCGAATAAGCCCCCACTGCTACCGTAAATTCTCAAATTGGACCCCTCAATTTTATGATTTTTGCTATCTGAGGTTGCCTATGGCGTTTTATTGAATTACCACAACAAATTCATAATTTTGGTAGTAATTGATTAAATGCTCATAAAGAAATTTCTACTAAAATAAACAAGGTCTTTTGATAATGTCTTCTTAATGTCTACAATAATTTTGTATGCCCCCCTTCCTCGTATAAGCCCCCCTCGAAAAAGCCCCCATCCAAAAATATCAAAATAAATTAGCCCCCAGGGGGCTAATTCGGGGATGTACGGTAGCTCGCGGTTGCAAAGGAGATTTGTGGAATAGTTCTGAATTATGCGCGAAGTGCATTTGTTCAATGTTCTTAATGGACATATGTTAAATTGAACATTTGTTCTAAGCCATTATGTCAATTAATCTTAGTTAGAACTATCAATTGCAAGGATATTTTTCTGGAAAAGACTGTCCTTTCGTTAGAAAAATCAATCCAACCATTTTTAAGATATATTCAAGATGTTTAAGCCTGCATACGAGTTGTCACACCTGGCTATGAAGATATTTTCCTCACACTATATTACAAGCAGATTCTTATTTGCTTCCAATGCCATTCTGGCCTGTTTAAGAACGTCTATAAATCAAATTACCTTCAGCTAAGCACATTTTAAACTCCATGTTTATTTTTTATGATAACTTGTTTAATTCATTCGATTTCATTTCATGAGCAGGTTTGATGACCATAAGATAATTGGTGGCATTCCGTAGTTCAAGCTTTTTTATTGCATTGACTTAATAGATCTTTGCAGTTCAAAGTTTTCTAATCTTCTTAGCTTTGATTCTAAACACTGTTCGGTAAAACCATAAGAATCGTAATTAATCGTTGAATCTACTCAATGTTATCTTGATGGCAATCCTTTCTAAGCTCGTCTTGCTTCTCAACATGGCCATGCATAACGCTCCTGTTTATTGATGTCGCTTGTTCAACAACACTCTTTACTGCTGGGACAGTTTTACTTGCTTTATTTGTGACTGTATAAACGGTAAGTGTTGTGGGAGCCTTGTTATGTCAATTGCTTGATTAAACGTTTATTATCAAAGTAAAATGAGAATAGAGGACAACGCCATATTTATGATAAAATTTTCTCCCAAGTCATAATGATCTCCTCTATATGCAGCATGTATACTGTAGGTGCAAGGAATTTCCCTTATTCATAATAGTAATGTTCTATGATGTGTAATTAATTGACATAGTCTTGCATTCGATCATTACATTCATCACGTTGGCCTTAATTAATTTCAAGCTACTGCGGGTATAATGTGAAATATGCATTAATTATTTAAGCAGGCAAGTTTTGTGGGTTGATCGTGCACAGAAAACCAGTAGTAATTTGGTTATACGCAAGTTCTCAAGAGAAATTAACTTGCTTCTAATCAGTAAAAAAGATAAGCACTGATGTAAGTAGTTGATAATGCATTACGTGAATCTTCGCTTACAGCCTCATGTATTTATTCTTAAAGCCAACGCCTTTATGGCACTTTGAAAAAAATATGAAAATTGCTAATCCAACTTCACTGCTTCATATGCAACATCACCTGAAAGTTCATCTTTCGTCGGCTGTTTCATGAACATTTACTTTTCAGTTTACGCTCCTGAATTTTGGTAGCTGAGGTTCAACTGAACTAAAACATAGCATGGAAATGAATGGAGGAGATTTCATGTTTCCCTTTCGTGGGCGATTATTTAGAAGATTAGAGTTAGGAAGTCCGGGTGCAATTTTAGCGACTGCTTCTTCATGCGACGATAACACTATTGCTACATGTTCAACGGACACCAAAGTTTTGCTTTGGGATTTGTCGTCGGGCAAAAGAATCAACTGCCTTCAAGGTCACACGGCAGAAGTCACAACCTGCTGTTTTGGGGACGAGTTACTAGCGACAGGCTCAAGAGACGGAGTTGTGATTCTTTGGAAATATAAATCAGGAAAACGTGTGTCTAGAATATGTAAGTACAGTTGTGCACTATACTAATACTATAATTGAACTGATAAGAAATATCTATATTCGTACATATCTAAATTCACTCAAACTCTAAATCATCTTCTAAATATTCATGTTCTATTTTCAGTAGTATGTATATTTATTCATTTGAAACCTTGGCTATTTGAAAATCGGTCACCATATTGCCCAACTTGCTCACGTGTGACATCAGCAACCAATCGTCTTAAACAAAGGCTTATCCTTCCAATCCTTGCATTTCTGTCAGTATGTTCCTGCTGCTTTGTTTCTTTGAGGGGTTAGCGTTAAATTATGCAAAGCCTTCAGGATTATCTTTCTGAATCTTTCAATATTCAAGTCCTTGGCCTTTTCACAACGATGTATCAAAAACTCTTAGATTTGGATGAATCATCAAAAGCCCATTAGACATAAACGAAGTTACAATAATGAACAATCTTTTGTATTTAGTACAAGAGATAGAAGCCTTTTCTTTAAAAAAGGTGCAAGTTATATTCCGCTTGTAACGCAACTTATAATTATTGCAACATTCAGATCAATTTTAGAACTATCTTTAAATTGATTGTAATGTTATTTAAAAAATTTTGTGACCACGACCTTTGAATTAGCTTAAATTGCATTTCAGAAAATTTCTGACAGTCATTTTCTTGCAATCTTTCAATTTTTCAGCACACTTTTGTTATGTTTGATTCAATTCTTGAAGTGGAATTTATTGTTTTATGAGTCCCCTAGACCTTGAAGCCCTGGGGCAATTTGTTCCCCGCCCCCTATCGAAACCTGGGAATGTAAGCAACATATAAAATGACCAAACAAGATAACTGCTTGTAAACAGTCTTCTTACTGCTGAAGTAGCCCCTGAAAATAAAGTATTTTAAAATTAAATGGTATCATGTAAGTAAGGGCAGTTCTTCTTGAAGCTTTATCGTGAAGTACTTCTCAAATAACAGTCCTTGCATATTCATTGAACGGGCACCAAACGAAACACTAGAAGTCTGGAGCATGAGAAATATGCAGCTGAACATGAGCTTCATATGTAGTAGAATCTAAAGTAACATAACGCGAATTCATCAATTATTAACCATTTGGTAAAGTAAAGAACAAAAACCAAACCGTTATGAACTTGCTATGCATAGAACTTCCCAAAGAAAAAATTGAATGCCAACAGTTGGTTACTTGGCTTTCTCATTGTAGTGTTCTCAAAGAAACCCAGCATCAAATGACGGGCTGTGAAAGATATCTGAGTTTCTCTGTTCTCAGATTTAGGTGCCCAAGCTTGTTCTCTTTCGAGTGATCTATAGTTTTGGCTAGAGTTATTCTCCGCTTGCTAAAACACCTACCCTTCTACAGACCTCGCCCCGTTATCTCCATTTTAAGAGTGATTTGCAAATGATTACCTATACCTAACATTTGCAAATGATAGGGCTTGCTGTTCTTCTTTATGTGAAGCATTGTTGTAGATGGTGTGAGACAAGTTTTAGTTTAAATGTATCCATTTAAACAATTGGAGCTGTTGAAAATCTAGGGAAGCTTATTAAACTAGCCCTAATCTGAAAGCTACCGAGGAAAGTTTTTAGTAAGATTCTCTGCTATGATAACTCTCAAAAGACAAGCATTTAGACCCTGGTTATTCATCCCTTCTTGTAACCATGTTGCCTGACTACACATAGATTTGGTAAAGGAGAACAAGGCCTTGTGATGTGAAAGATTAAGAATTTGGTAAATTATGGTCGACAGCTGGATCCTCTTCATCCTGTTGCCTCAACAAAATTAAGCGGTTTTGCATTGCAGCATACGTTTAGATTAAGCCAGCAAATTTTCCAGTCGCTGTGCGAAAAAATTCTTTTCTCATGTTTTTCGGCAAAAAAAGGATAGCTCACCTTCTTGTCGATAGCCGAAGGCTTGTGTTTGAGAGACCATCAAATGTAGATACACAAGAATTAAATACAATTTTGATTATATTTTTAACAAAGTGCTCGTTGCCTTAAACAGTAGTGCGAATTGGGCTATCTGAGTGACAAAACAGCCACAGTGGTGTTCCGAGTTTTTTGATAGAGCGGCGTTTTCTCTTTCATCGCCTATAAACAATTAACCGAGCCATAGCAAATTGAAGGGGGAGTTGCCCCCTACAACCATTCCCCCGTACCCTAACCTCGCAATTTCAACTACTGGCTAAAAATATAGATCTGTAAAAGTGTACATGGGCTCCGACGCAGGTTGGAAAGTAAATTGGCCAAGGGAAAACTTAACAATCATAACAAAGTGATTTTGAAAATGCTCCATTGTTTTGCAAAAAAGCCCCCCTTCGTCGGAAAACATCTCAACTTGTCATGTCTTAGCTTCCTGTCATTTATAGGTGTCTGTACATGCTGTGAAATTCTTTATAAACTAACCCTTGTATAAATTGATTCGAGTAAATTTGAAATTGTACGTTTGGAAGGTGTAAACATACCGGGAAAGGAGTAAACATTATCTTTTGCATTAAACTAGAAACTATGCATTCTTTTGCATTGATAGGACGTTACTTTGAGGAAAGGAAGATTGAGCATAGATTGAATAATTTTTCAAGTCAATAGAGAAAAATTGAAAGAAAACTTTTCATTTGATGATCAATTTTTCAACAAAGTAAAACGAGTAAGAAAGAAAGAGAAATGTCAATAAACAATAAACATGCAAGAAAATGAGCTAGCACTGTATTTCATCCATTCAATTGCCATAAAATTTTTCGCTTGTATTTTTACAGCTTTTCACCAAGGCTCGATACAAGCTGCAGTGATTTCTCCCGATGGTCAATTTCTGGCAAGTGCAGGCGATGACGGGCAAGCAGTTGTGTACCGAATTCAAAGTGGTGAAGGAGCATATATCTGTGGCTCAGAGAATAGGCAAGTTAAGGGCCATGAAGACGCTGTAAATGATGTCTGTTTCTCGGCAGATAACTGTCATTTCTTAACGTGCTCTAGTGACGGATCGATTCAGTTATGGGACACGGAAACAGGCCAAAATAGATTGAAGATAGATACGAAACATGGAAAATTGATTAACACAAGGTTTACACCAAATGGCAAAAGGGCAGTCACACTTAGTACTAGCCACGTGTCTGTATGGGACTTAACCAATGGAAAATTGGAATGGGAAATGAGAGACGAGGAAGGTCGCAATTATCAGGTAGCATTTCAATACCTTGATGCCAATTAATTGAAGAAATTAGGTATTTTCCTGCTTCAATTTCTTCCTTTAGATAACTTCAAGATAACTTTCTCTAAAGATAAACAAAAGGTATTTTTAGGGAATAATGCTTTCTAAAGACATTTCCCTTCAACCATTATCTATTTTTAAAGCGAATCCATCTCATAAATTGTCCGCGATAAAAGCATCCTGTATAAGCTAATGTATGTATGTTACTTTATGGTTTTATGAAAAGTAGACTTACATTTTTGTATATATCTTCTTTATTTTGAAATGCATCTAAAAATACAATAACATACTTTTAGGAAGAAAAGAGTTTAGAAAGTCATTTTAAAACAAAAGTCCTTGCAAACTAGCTTTTATCTGAAGATTTCTAAGTCATCAGAAACTGTTCTAGAAACCAAGACCTTCTGTTTAATCATTCTTTTTGACTTTATATACTTCTTATCAAAGGTGTCATGCTATGAAAAGAACAGGGGGTGCTCTCGCGAGAAATCGTGTAAAAAAACAACAGCACAACACAACAGTTTGAGGAGAGCTCATCTCCTTGGGACCCCCAGCTCTACACCCCTACATTTAGTAATCATTGGCTTTCTGGAATTCCTCTCTTTGCTTCAACTGCTTGCATTTTTCATCATTGGTGTTGATAAAATAGGAGAATTGAAATGCAATTTTTGGTTCCTTGCAGGCTCTGTCTGTCCACCCATTCCAAGATTTGATCACCCTAGTGGCAATGGATAGCACTTTAACTTATCAAAGTCTCCATGAAAAAGAAAGGAAAATTGTAAAGTAAGTTTACTGCTTCATGCGATTGTTATGTCTTTTGTTGATGAATGTTATTATATCCTTTTTGTGCCTTTAGCTTACAAATTCGAGAACCGAGGGATAAATTTGAAAGTGTGTTCATAAAATTAGCCAATTTTTGTTAGCTTTTGTTGTTACACTGCAGTTTATCATTTATCTCATAAACGATAACAAACAGCACAAACGTTCTTATTTTAGAGGGACGGACCACAAAGGACCAATTCTGTCTTGCAGCTTCTCACCATCCGGACGCATTGGAATGACTGGTGGAATCGATGGCAAAACTTTAGTTTGGATGTGATAGCTTAGTTTACAGAATTTTTCAGTCTTGAACAGTGTCCTTCTGTATGAATCGTCGAAATGATTGCTTTCCTTATAAATTGTTTTTCTGACTGATGTTTGATCGATTATAATCATTATAACATTAGTCATTCTCATTACCACGTGGCTATGGATTACGGCTTCTTCTTTGATTACCTTTCCTCTAATGGCAGCAAACAACTGCGGCTGCACAGGAGGACTAGAAGAAGCATATCTCTTACCTACTGCCATCATCAATTACGTATATCTTTCAAAACTGATTGGCAATGCTCTTGGTCTTCCTTCAATAAAAGTGTTTATGCAGCACAATTGTTGTTTGTTTTGATTTTGACAATTTTTTCAAATAAGGAAGGTAAGTTAAAGAGCAAAGATTTACAGAAATGAAAGAAAGAAAGAAAGAAAGAAAGAACGAAAGAAAGAAAGAAAGAAAGAAAGAAAGAAAGAAAGAAAGAAAGAAAGAAAGAAAGAAAGAAAGAAAGAAAGAAAGAAAGAAAGAAAGAAAGAAAGAAAGAAAGAAAGAAAGAAAGAAAGAAGAAAAGAAAGAAAGAAAGAAAGAAAGAAAGAAAGAAAGAAAGAACTGTTCACTTAGTGACTCTTTAAACTGATTTAATTTAGGTATTACTTGAAGGTTATAATTTTGCAAGTTTTTTTGATTGCTAACATTTGAATTGCTAAGAACATTCATTTAATGATATTTTCTGTTCATCTACAGCATTAGATCTATTTTTTCATAGATAATGAGATATATAACTCAATTTTTTGGAAACAGATCATGAAATAACTAACAATTCTTATCATCAAGGCTTTGAAACTCTATATTTTTGTCTCATTATATATGCTTTATAAAGAAATCATTATATCAATCTTTCTCCAAAACAATACCTTATCATATCTATAATCGAGATGACCAGTCTCTTGACTTAGTATTTTTTGAAGCTAACAATTTTTGTTTGGCATTCAATAACCCGGAAGCATACTGTGGATCAAAAACCATTTATTAAAAATTGTACTATGTGAAACATTGTACGATAATCAAAATTTAACCAATAAAAGAGAAAAACATGTGCAAGGACTATTTGTGGAAAATTTAACTATCTTGACATGCCTTGTGCCTAGCTTGCAGACCGTTCCTTGAAGTCACGCCCATTATACGCTAGTCGCACAATCTTTCCTTAAGGTTATTCAATCAGTTAACAAATAAAATAAATCGATTAATGCAGAGTGGGTGTAAAGAAAAAGTTATCATGCGATTTCATCACAACAATGCTATGCACATCTCCGCTGCTGTTAAAAGCTCTCTGCTTCTCCCCAGTGCCGCAGAGAGGATTTATTGGCCCCGGGTCAGGACAAAAAGTAAATAGCAAAAGCTACCCCCCCCCCTACCTAAGATAGACACAAAGGTACGGGGGCAATGCTTCCCCGGAAAAGGATCGATGCATTAGTTGCTCTGGTGGCTATTTTGGTTACTAGCATTGCTATATTGGTTAAATGCCCTATTGGCTTTAACTTCTGTTGGCTATTTCAATATCATTTAAACATAGCTGAGAATTCTCATGTAGCTGAGGATCTAAATTTTTCTATAAGAATTGAAACCAAAGAAAAATTAGTCAAATTAATATCTGTCTGATAATAAATATCAGGAAAAGGCACTTGGTGATTTCAAGATCAATGTCTACATTGCTATTTGATCGTTTTAAAGCAAATATATGAAGGCGAATCAATTCCATATGCGAGAGGTTCAGTTTACTTTAGCTATACTAAAGAATGAAGGAAGACCACTAAAGTAACAAATTGCATAAAAAGGATGGCGTATCTCCTGACATCACTGAGGAGTCACTTTTTCAAAGGAGCATCACCCATTGGAGCTGTTGAAAAAGCTCGAGCATTTGAATTTGCAAAGCTTATTTCCTCATTTTTTCATTACATGTAGGTTGTTTCTGACTTTTCCTGATAGTGCTGCATCAGCTGAAAGTTCATTCAGTAAGCTCAGATTCATAAGGAATTACTTTCGTCAAACCATTTGTCAAAACAGGCTTAGCTCACTGAACCCATTGTCCATAGAAACTGGTATTGCCGAAAAACTTGACGATAGCTCCATAATTGATCATTTTGCAGACGTAGAGGCCAGAAAGACATTTCTTGAATAAATATACTGATAGACAGAAATTTACTAGAAAATTACCTAAAGCTGCTAGCTCTCTTTGAGACAAAATAATGGGGTTAACTCTGTTTCTGCTTCTACCTTATTTCATTAATAGACTCAAGTTATTATTGTTACTATTATTAACAGTTTGTGATAAATGGAGAGGCTGGTTTATTGCCTGATTTTAAGCGTGCATTCAGGGATGCTTTTAAGAAATTATGGAAGCTAAATAGATTCATTACATCTTTAAACAAGGATGAAAAATGTTTTGAGCCAGTCAGACTGTTTGTTTACAATTTGAACCAGCCAATGGTATAGCGTCAAAGACAATAGAAATCTGGAGAGAAAATAGCATCGAATCAGCCGCAACAGTAACGCTCGCACCTCCTATACAAAGCTGTGGGGAAAAACCGGCGCCACAGAAAGTTAACGCTGAACGCGAAAATTGTCATTATTGAAGTGCTTCATACAATTATGCATAGCAAAGGAGTATATCTAAAACTTTGCCGTCCCCATTTTTGAAATTCGGTCGTTAACCAGAGATAAGCGATGAAACGTTTAGCCCATTATTGCCCTGATTGAATCTGCTTACGTTGGTTATGGTTGGTTGTACTCCAAGAAAACGGCATCATGTCATTTTATTGAAAAACAGGTCATTTTGAAATCTTTTTACAGGTTGTTGATAAAATTTAAGCAAAAAATAAACCTTGAAAAATTGTGCACATTTTACTTGTTATTTCAAAAATTGCTTGTTTAAAAATTTGTAAAGTAAAATTTGAAACCTCTGCATGACCTGCAAAAGTTTGAATCAAACCTTCAACTGAAAAAGCTATTGAGATATAACAAGCTACATTTTTTGAGTTCTCATTATCTTATTGGAATACAACGATCAGGGTCATTATTGAGCTTATATTTTGTAAAGTGGTACATTCTCCAACTCTTTTTAATGAAACTTTGCAAAAATATTTGAATATATTGACATGCAAAGTTGGGAAACCTTGAACCTTTCACTCAACAAAGACGCTCTACATTTTACAGTAAAGAAGAATACAATTCTTGAACCCTCAAGCACTTCGTAAGTACTTCTGAGTTTTTTCTTAAATGAATCCGTACTTAAGTCACTAAAAAAACCAGGGGATTTATTTCAGTGGAGACAGATAGCGTGGGCCGTTGCGTGCTAACGTTTTGAAGCCTTTATAACAATTCGTGTCCAGAAAATTCGTTGACAAATCGTCCTAAAAAACTTTGCCATGAGAAGAACCATCGCTTGCACCTACAAAAATACCAAAATCAGGAATAGGCATATGATTTTGGAATAAATATTTGCAACAATGCCGCTATTTTCTCAAGATATGCATTTCTTCTATACGCAACACTCTAGAACGCACTCAATGAAAGAAAGTTGACGGACTGTCTTAGGGTTAAGAACATGCAAGAAAAAGGCAGAATGAAGAAAAAAAAACCCGAGTTTGATAATTATCTCTCCGTCTTACTTTAGAATATACGACGTACATACTTTGTAAGTAAAAAATGACCCGTTTTTCAATAAAATGACATGATGCCGTTTTCTTGGAGTACAACCAACCATAACCAATGTAAGCAGATTCAATCAGGGCAATAATGGGCTAAACGTTTCATCGCTTATCTCTGGTTAACGACCGAATTTCAAAAATGGGGACGGCAAAGTTTTAGATATACTCCTTTGCTATGCATAATTGTATGAAGCACTTCAATAATGACAATTTTCGCGTTCAGCGTTAACTTTTTGTGGCGCTGGTTTTTCCCCACAGCTTTGTATAGGAGGTGCGAGCGTTACAGTTGCGGCTGATTCGATGCTAGTTTCTCTTCAGATTTCTATTGTCTTTGACGCTATACCATTGGCTGGTTCAAATTGTAAACAAACAGTCTGATTGGCTCAAAACATTTTTCATCCTTGTTACATCTTTATCGATTTTTTGTCCCTGGATTACAACAGGATGACAAAAGCAAATTTTTTGAAAATATACTGCTCTGTCGGGATATTTTGTAGCAACGAAATTCTGCAGTTAGTGCATAATTCTGCAGTTCAAGTGCATTGATTTTTTAGAAAAAGGGTCACTCTGCAACTTTTTCTGAAGTTGTTAAGTTAAATCTTGGGGACATGTGTTGTGCACCAGATCGAACGAACCATTGTAGGCTATAATTTAAATATTTAGCAAATACTTTATTTCCGTTGTTAATTATCTATGTTTCTTTTGGTTGTAGGTCTTACGTGTTTTTAGCTGATTGGTTGTTATTAATACTTGTAAAATGCTTGTATATATAAATACGCTGTAGTAGTTTTAAGAATTAGGCTATTTGGGAGAAGCATCTTGCTGTTCGTTCAAAGTGCTGACGGAAGAAGTCGTTGTCTCTCTGCTCCTTTCTGCCACAAGTCGAGTAAAAAAGGGCCGTGAGTTATTTTATATATACTTGGTTGCACTGTAGTTAAAGTGTAGTATAACACATGCCAGTAAACTCCAGGGCCTTCTCCAGTGACAGCAAGCACATCTGCTTAATTTTGAATTCGCTCAAATCTAGTTCACTATGAAACCTTTACAAAATCTTTGTAGCTATTAACTTTAGGAGAGGTTATCGTGAATACAGGATTCTTCAGATTTCTTTTATCTGGCCATCTGACGTACGAAAAATGTACAAAATCGTTATCGCTTTATCAGGAAATGTATGCGATAAGGGACAGCCTCTTTCTGAAGACTTGTAAAAAGTACGAGATTGCGAGACGAGACCACTTCCTATTCTGTGACGCGATGAAACATGATGAAACAGAGAAGGAAGAAAGTGCAACTATGTGCTGCAAGTGAGCCAGCTGTTTAAATCTTGATTAAACCTTAAAGGAAGATGATCCGAAAGAGCCATGAAGATTCATGTGAGCAAGAGAACCTTATTGACCCCAGCATGTACGATAGCAGCTCCATGTTACAATCGCATCCTAGGTCACAACACAATGTCAATGGTGCTCAAAGAGTCGATGATGTGTTGTTGCCACCAAAGATATCAACATGTCAAGCTGCTGTGTCCTTAGCGTTACTTGTATTTATAAATCTTCTTAATTACATGGACAGACTGACAATAGCAGGTAAGTTTAGATGTACTTTGGTAAAAACGAGTTCCATTTAATGTCTCGAGCTTCCCCCCTGTACGCAATCCGGTACAAGCGACTTTAGTTACAACTTCCTTCACTCCACGAGATTTGAGAAATCACACGGCACACGTAGAAAGGTTTTCTATTATGTCGGAGTTTCTTGAATTCACGTATAGATTCCTAGCGGCAATTCAATATACTTGCAAAAACGTGTAAAAAAGTGCATATTTGATTCTAAAGCTTATTTGTATTCAAGACTAAAGAGCATCCACGTAGCTGCAGGGGGCACGGGGGCTGAGCCCCCCAGATTAAAATTTTGACAACAACTTGCCTCCTCTGGCTACACATTTTCCAAAAGATATTTCGAAAAGCCAGCATAATTATAATTCTGTGAGCCTGATTTAGTCCAGATATATCTATTTGTTATATATTATCTGCATTCTTGTTTTAAAGCCTGCCCCTCCCCCCTCCCTCAGGTATGGTTCTTACTCGAGTTTGCCCACCCTAGCTGACATCTACAGCTACATGGCTGCTAGAGAGCAACCTCTAACATTCTTCAGAATCTAAACTGTGGAGACAATCCTAATATCCCTTGGAAACATTGAACCCTTTATCTTAGCTGCTCTTTTATCATTTTCAGGAGTTTTACCACAGATTAAATCATATTATGGCCTAGATAACACGATGGCTGGCTTACTGCAAACTGTTTTTACCTGCAGCTACATGCTGTTTGCTCCTTTCTTTGGTTATTTGGGGGACCGTTGTCCGAGGAAATATGTGATAGCATTTGGCATGGTTATTTGGAGCATGATGACATTAGCTGGGTCTTTTGTACAAAGTAAAGTAAGTCTGACAGGATTTTTTAATTTCTTTGAAGTCATCTTCTTGGAATATTCATTTGTGAAGCAAAGGACCTTATGAATCATTTTCAAAGCAACAGTTCAGCATCTCTTCTCACTGATGATCTGACAGTAATTGAGAGGTGGGGTAAAGCATAGCCTTTTGTTAACATATAAACTAGGTGCCATTTTTGCCACCCAGTGAAACAGTTTTGCTGCCCCGTGATCTGAAAATAAACCTTACTGGTTTGATTAGTTGTGTTGGCACACATTTTGTCTTTGTTTCTTATGGATTTTGTCAGAATCTGAAGTAAGTCCATGCAATTATGTTGCATAAGGTAACTTGTATAACAAGGACACCAGAATATTTATTGAGACCATAAAATTGCTTTAGCCTGTGGAAATGAGTTTAAAAGTTAAGTTACATTAGCAAAAATTACTTGAAAGATTGCATTTTCCAGCTATCTGGAAGCATTAAGATTAAAAATTTTTCATTTCCTTCTGCAGCAACCATGGTGCTACCTCTGGTAGTAACTATATCCTGTGTATGTACTGATCCATAAGGTTTGATATAGGGTCAAATTGACAAAACGTATTGCTAAGGTTTGTGTCAGCAACTACAGAATTTCAGGTAATGTTTTTAACCAGGTAAATGCATAGTCCATACCCCTCTCCCTTCATATAAATTGTCATTTCAAGCAAAGGCAACCCTGACTTTCCCCCTGTTTCCATGAATGGTGCTGATTTGGACATTTCTACTTTTTTTCCCAACTAGGCTCTCACATTTCTTCTACTGCTAAACATATATCTCAAAAATTTGTGCTCCTCTCTAGAGCACATGGATTCTTCTCACCATCAAAACCCTTAGCATTTTATAAGTCACGAATCTGTCCTACCTTGAAGAACTGCTCTCAGTTTTGGATGGTACTCCTAATCTTCCCTGTGCCTCTCTGTAGCATCACAAACTAAGAAAAAGGTTTTACTTTTTCATTATGTGACTTTGTGAGCAATATGCACTTTTCACTACCATTCCATTTTTTGGGAGTTAAAATTGGATGGAAATAAGTTCATATAAAATTAACAAAAAGTATACAAACTTTGAACTTTGTTGAAAAGCTATACCACAGAATATTTATTAGAGCCTTTGTTAAGCTCCAATGATCAAAATCCTCAAAGAATCCTATAGTAGTCTTTGTACATACCCAATCTTAACGGGAGGAAGGAACAAGGACAATCTGTGGGAGTTAAGGCCCCAGAAAATTTTTTATGACCATCTGAATAATCTTAAAATGGTTCCTTCTTGGGGTTTTGGTACATGCTTAAAAGCAATTTGCAGCCATGTTCTAAGTATTTTGATCTTACTTAACCTGTCTTTTGTTTTCCTTTTTCTTGCAAAAAGAGAACGGAAATATTTTCTTTGATGATAAAGATGCATATACCTTTCGTAGATGTCATAGAGGACCAGCAATTGTGAATATTGCGAACATAGAAGACTAACTTTTTTGCTACCTTTTTGTTTCACCAAATATTATGCTTAATTTTGATGTTCTCCTTTGAAACAATTTATCTACTGTGAATATTTTTTCCTTTCTAAGCACTTCAAATATGATTTAGAATCTCTTTTGCAGGATGTTACATGGTTTTTTGTCATAAGGGGTCTTGTTGGCATTGGAGAAGCCAGCTATTCAACTGTATCTCCAACTTTGATAGCAGATATGTTCGTTGGTGAAAGTAGAACAAAAGCATTGTCACTTTTTTATTTTGCAATACCTTGTGGCAGGTTAGCATTTTAATTATTTGAAAAAAATACAGCCAGTTATTTAAACACGTGAAAAATTATGTTATGCTTTGAAACGTTTACTTTGCATACCTCTTTTTCTTATCTTTATTAATATACAGAGGTATTCCTTTGACTTTCTAAGGTGCATGTTTTCAAGAAATTCTTGAATCAGAATGTTCACGAACATCTATAATGAAAAGATTTCCCCTGCTTGTTTTGACTGAAATTTATTTGTCTAGTGGGCTTGGTTACATTGTTGGTGCAAAGGCTTCAAAGTTGCTTCACGGATGGCAATGGGCACTAAGGGTATGTTTTTTCAAAGATAATTTACCTTCCATTATAGACCTTTGGTAAATACCAGCTGAAAGCTCATTTATGTTCCTTGCTATCAAGATAGAAATATCATATATAATTCCACTGGAGAAAATTGTGTATTTATAGCGAAACTGCAAGACTTTGACAGATTTTAACAACTTGTGTTGTTAAGAATATTGATGTCTAGGGCAAACCAATGTAGTTCAAAGTCAAGCGCAAGAGATTTGCTTGTTTACTTAATGTTGCTTTTTGTTTTACTAAACCTTTAAATTACACAGCAGCATAACATGAAGATACAAGCAAGGTAGGGTAACCCTTGTTATGTAAACATATGTAATGTTAAATGTAAACAAATGGATTAGGTAGATATTTTATCACCACATTTTTATATTTTATCCTCCCTTATTGTTCAAAGTTAGGATTACATGATAAAATCAGAATCATATTCACGCTATATTTTTCCTCAAAAAGTATGATGGTCATCTGTAACTTGTTAAAACTTCACATCATATTCAACTTTTAGCCCTAGAATTCTCCTCAAAGTTAAAAAAAGACAACAGAAAGTCTTTGCTTCTCCTTTGCATGACACTCCAAATGACTTGAATGTTCAGGCTTTTGAAACCAATCTGTTATTGCAAATTTAACCTGGGTATCCTGCCACTCGAAGGATTTTTGTTTAACTTTCTAACCTCCTTTTGTTGTTCCTCTCCCATCATGCAGTCATCAATCTAGTCTACCGGTCTGCTCCTTTGAAAAATATGTTAAGAGAGAGTTTTAGTGCTAAAAGTTGAATTTGACTTGAATTTTAGCATGTTCACACAGCAATAGATGACCATCATATATTCTTTTGGCTAAAAATATGATGAGAATATTACTGCAATTTGATCATATAATAGAAAAACTATTACATGAAGTCAAGAATCAAATTTATGATATCCTTTTGATTTTCTTAATGTCAATTACGTCTTTTCCCTCATTAACGTCATCTCCATAATTGTCTTTATCGTAGGCATCATCATCATCATCATCATTGTCAGTTCTTTAACGAACTTCGTTTTCACCATCGTTCGATATATAAGTTTTAACTCAGTGGCGTAACAAGAGGGAGTAAAGAGGGGGCGGACGCCACCCTCAATAGTGAAAATCTTTTTGAATAAAGGGCGTTTACTTGGGTCCAAAAGGTTGTGGACCCAATTTTCTTTGCTCAACTCGCCTTTGCCCAACAACGCCCCCCCCCCACAATCTTAACACCCTGGCGACGCTGCTGTTCTAACTGTGTTTTGTCGCCGGTTTCAAAGGATTCCACCACTGTCTTTTTATACTCAACTGTATTATTTCTTTTATTCGTTCATGGTATTTACACTTTTCAATCCAAATTTTGAACTCTACAGAAAGTACAGTTTTCAAACCAACTTTTCCTATGGGAGATGGTCTTATGCTTTCCGAATCTTAAACTTATATTTTTGCATATCCTTTTAATTAAACTCTCTTTATAAACTTTCCTACCATATGGTTAGTGTATAGACTCTTGAATGCTAAAAGCATCTCTTTTGACCCCACCTTTGCATAAATTGAAAAAATATGCCGCTTTTATTTAATTTTCCTGAAATGTTGTTCTGTGTTTAAAAGCTGCCTTGGGGGTTGAACCAAATTCCAAACGGGTGCTCAAGCCAAGCCCCCATGTCTCCACGAAGCCGGTACCTATGGGATAGAATAGCGAACAACCTGTATAGTTCTGCCTCCTAAGATTTTGGTAATATGCTGCTATCTTTGTGTTAAAAATCAACGACGAAATTTCGTCACGACGAAATTCTGAAAAGTTGTCCGAAATTTTTTCCGACGAAGTTTATCCGCAAATAATTTATCTGACGAAATTTTTGGTTGTTAATGTGTGTGATGATGTTTTAGATAACTCCTGGATTTGGTTTGCTATGTGCCTTTTTGGTGGTTGCCATTCTTAAAGAGCCAGAACGTGGAGCTGTAGAGATAAAAGCTATTAAAGGAGATGTAAAATCTCATGGACCAAAAGCAACTAAATATTGTGATGATTTAATGTATCTCTTAAAAGTGTAAGTTATCTAATATTTGTTATTTATAATTTTATATGTCTTTTACTTATATATATCAATTTTTGCAATGAATTGCTCAAATTTGATTGTAAACAATCTTTTGATGGTACAAATTTGAGAATGGCTTTGAAAAATGCCAACAGCTTTTCGTTTGACACTCTTCAGAGTTTAAAACGTCACAACATAGTTCGAAAACTCTACGCTAGGAAATATATATATACCCAGTTGTGGATCGAAGTAGGCCAACCAGAAAGGCGAGAACATGACTGTTGAGGTTGCCCATTCAGTGCCGTTTGCCCATAGAGAATGTTACCCATGAAGTCTTTCGAGTAAATGCTGCCCGATAGCAGAATCGCATGGGTTTTGTTTCTAATACTAGATGGAACATGCTGTTTTATTCTATCCTCCAATCTCGAAAACCATTACTGGAAAGCCCATTTTGTGCAAAAAAAATATAATGGTGACATGTTTCGTATTATTGGTAAAGCCCGATCGTCATTTCATCTAGCAGTTTTGGAATCTATCTACATTAGCACGAAAAAAAACCCGCTATTGTGTAGACAAAAGGAGTTCGTTTTCACCTTCGGACTCCATTGAGCAACCTCAATGGTCATGTGCTCACGTTTCTGATTGGCCTATTTTGATCCCAACTGGGTATGAATATTTCCTAGCGTAGAGTTTTCGATCTATGTTCTGACGTTTTAAAATTTGAAGAGTGTCAGACGAAAAGCTTTAGTTTTCTCAAATTTTCTGCTTTTTTCAAAGCCATTTTCAATTTGATTTGTACAATTTGTACATTATACAATATCAAACCACCCAGAACTGTTACCTTCTTCTCCTGGTAATTTCCAAGCCCTTCAAAATGCTTATCAAACAACAAGCGAATTTCTGTCTCACACCATTCGTTTGCAGTAACAAAACCAGTTTGTCTTCTAGTTGTGTTATTAAGCTTACACTTTACACTTTGATTTCAATTTAGTATGCAAATTTTTTATATGTGGTTATGTTTTCAATTGCTTGTTTGCTAGAAAGAGCTTCTTATGGGCAACAGTTGGTACTACTCTTGTGTCATTTGTAGTTGGTGGGTTGGCATTCTGGGCGCCAACTTTCATTCAAGAGTCCCAAAAAAAGATGGGGAAAGATGTTTCATTGGACCAGTAAGTCTTTAGATACTTAAAATATGTCTTGATTTTGGTTTTGTCCTATAAACGATTATGCAGCTGTCATTGCCTATCAAATTCCTTTTTGTCTTGCTATGATATTCCTTTTTGCTGCAGCTTTGTTTTGTAACTTATTGCAGCTGTCAAGAAAGACAGTTGCAGCAGTGCCCATCTTTCCTTCAAGCATTGCCCTTACACCTGAAAACTTCCTCAAAAAACAATAAAATCAGGAGGAATTTAGGTGTGGTACTTCATTCGTCTTGCTGAAATCGTTGTCCATGTGACAGGCACTTAACAATGTGACAGGTTGGCCATTTAACTTTGTGCAGAATTCGCAATTTTATGTTTATTTTGGGTGATATATACGCTTCATTTTTAATTTGGCCACTTTCATCAATCTGAAGTATAATGCAAATTACTAGAGTAGAGAAGCCATCTGAATTTCAAATTTTGCAAAACAACAAAGTGGTACAACAGAGATTAAGGAATGTATCTTTTTCATTGACGTCGGACAGCGAATAATTAGTAAATTAACCTTTATATCATATGTTGAAAATGCAATATCAAGTAAATGGCTAATATTGTATCTCTGGTCTAGATATGTTACAAAATCTGTTCTATTTGTAAAATATTTTGCTTAAAAATCTTTCTAAATTTTTCTCACAGAGTTAGCTTTTTGGTTGGCGTGATTACATTTATTGCTGGTCTTACTGGTGTCTTGGCAGGTGCCGAAATTTCCAGGAGACTCAAAAATTATTACAATAACAGAGAAGCACTTGTCTGTGCGTATGGTATTCTTTGTGGTGGACCATTTTTATACGGTACACTGTATGTAGCAGACAAGCATGTTACGCTATCCTGGGTAAGACCAAACATAGTATCTGGAAATTGGCAGAATGATTTTCTTTTCCTTTTCGCAATTAGTCTTTTTAATGTCATGAGATCATATGGAATAGCTTTCAGTTTTCGTGAGAAAGATTATGTCCTATTACTCAAGTTTAGATTTGAGTTCAGATTTTAGATTTAGACATGAGTACATGCTGGACAATGTTCAGATTATTATAAGAGGTTAGGTTGGTTGTTCTTACAGCATGAAGAAAAGTTTTGATCGAATTTATAGGTTTAGTAGGAACTTTTTTATTGTAAAGTGAGTATGTGCCTTGTCCGAGATCTTGATAGTTCTGTCAAGAGGAGGTCTAGTTAGATCGTTATATTGCTTGATCTGTAAGACAAATGGACTTTCTACAAGTCTCTCTCTATCCATTTAGTTATCTAAAGTCTCTCCCTCTGAAAAATAAAGAAAGGGAAAAAAGAAAAAATGGGAGGTAACGAGCTACAAGTCTCTCTCCTTCCCTTTTCTTTTTTTTCCTTTTCTTTATTTTTCAGATTACTAAATGGATAGAGAGAGACTTGTAGCAAGTCCATAAGTCAAATAGAGAAGGTTGTTCGCGAGTATACCGCCCCCTGTCTGGATAAGAAGATGGCGAGGAGCTTAAATCTATAATGACATCAACGATTATGATTCTTTGTACCTGTCGCTCTTGGTAGGGCGTGGACTATTAAGAAGGTTGCTCAAATTTGTCGAGTGTAAGCTGATTTTGAGGGTTAGTCTGGCTATAACGTGTTAGTCAAGCTAGAACGTTGAAGTGCGTTCTGGTTTAAAACTTAAAACTAACAGTGCTGCAAGGAAATTTTATTCTAAAACAAGACGTTGATGGATTTATGTTAGCAAAACAGGCGGTGATGGGTTCATGTTTACACTAAGTCACAAGAAGTATTTTGCTGTATGCCCAAAGAGACTCTGTGTTTTCTTTCATTCTAAGTAGTGTGATGTGGTATTCTCGAAGTTTTTTGTTGCAGTTGTGGACAAAATGAGGTAATTGGGGACTTTGACATAAAGCGTGGTTTTTATGATTGATTAGCTTCTACCTTTTTACCTAACTTATAGATTGTGCCTAGATAAAAAATCGACCGACGATATGAACTTAACTTTCTTGTGAATCAACATTCTTACAATCGATATTTCGTAATTCCATGCGTCGCTTCTTAAGAACCAAAACATTACCTAATCTACATTGGCTATCAAATGAAAAGTTACAAAATTATTTTTTTTAGATTTTAGTATTCATAGCTGAAGTATCTCTCTGCATGTACTGGGTGCCAAATGCTGATCTACGGCTGGTGAGCTTTTTTCTAGAATTGCAAAAGCTATTACACTATTTTTACGGTCCTTTCATTCGCTCTGCTGCCCACCCCCCTCCCCCCTCCCCCAATTGACATGACAGATTTACGGCCCTTGTCTATTCTCAGCAAAAGCGTCATCCTTCCAGTCAATTTACTTTCGATCCACTCTGAATATGAATTTAGGCTTACTACCGACTTTTACATCCTGAGGAATGAATTTACTATGTATTGTGTTTTTACTTTTTCATGCACTTTTCAATGTACCAACAAACAAAGCAACCAAGTCGTAGAGAATTATTATTGAGACCGCCATATCTCCCTCATTCCCTTATATATACAAATTAAATAACAAATTATTTTTACTAATTAGGAGTTCTCTTGGATAGATTTTAGCTAGACAGTTGTACCCAGAATAAGCTCTCAGATCAGCAGTGTTTGTCCTTGAGATGCCGCGTGAGAACCCAATTCTCGGATTAGAACTTTCTCATGTTCAGAATAAATTTAACGCTTAAATTGTTTGAAGAAGGTAGCAATCATCTCTATTAACGTGCAGTTCCAGTTATCGTCCAATCTCTCCCTAGGCCGTGATCGTTCCAAACCGACGCTCAACAGCTGAAGCAATGCAAATTTTAATGCAACATCTTCTTGGGGATGCCTCAAGTCCTTTTATAATCGGAGCCGTAAGTAACATAATATTTTTTTTGTTTTCCCACATTTATATCATCATGAACACTTGATCTTGTAAACGCGTATGGAATGAGAATTTTAATAAGAAAGAGCTTGAAAAAAGAGAGAGGGAGAGAGAGGGAGAGAGAGGGGGAGAGAGAGGGGGCAGAGAGAGGGGAGGAGAGAGAGGGGGGAGAGAGTGAGAGAGCGTTCGTGGCTTGAATTTGTTGTTAGTCTGCTTTTTCTAATTAACATGGTTTTTGGTTGCCATTTGTTTTTGTTATCGAAAGTACTTACCCTGCCGGGCTAATGGACCAAAATGGTATTCTACTCTACATTAGCAATTTGGAGCTTAAAATTCACTTAAGTTCTTGATTAGTTGCTTTTTTTATTAAAGTACGTATGTTTTTGTTTCTTCTTTCGTTATTGATAAGTTTTTTACGTCACACTGTTATCATCTTTGGTAACCCAAACCAGCATTTCAATATATATTTCAGCTGCACCTAATATTTGTGTTGTTTCTTCAATACCATTCTTATGTTTTATACTATATCTGAATTTTACTAAAGAAGATCTGATCTAGACATCTACATCTTTTCAAGTGATCATTGTGTGCAATGTCATTCAATGAAATAGTGCATTGTTTCCTTTCTAATATGAGGCATCTCACTACTCTAACTTTTATTCACAGGCAAATTGTAATCCAATAGCTAGATTTTATTGTAATGAAGAATTTCCTGCTTAGATTTCAGACAGTGTCAAACATGTTGGCTTTGATGACCAAGAGGCTCTGTTAAACGCACTCTACATAACTCCATTTTTAGCAATCATAGGGGGAGCTGCATACCTTTTCTGCAGTCTGACTTTACAGCAAGACAAGGAAAAAGAGCAACGGGATGTGGCTGCAAATGAGGACGAATTCGTTGACGCAAACACGCATCCAAACCCATCTCACTCACACGTAATCCATACGTAAAATGAGCATTTTCACCGTCGTTATTTCTAAGAACGTTTTTGTAAAATTTTATAAGTTAACCATTTACATGCATGATTTATAGATGATTTATAAATTAATTTCAGAAGTTTTTTGTTACTTTCAAAGTCGTTGAATAATGATCACAATGAATATTTAAGATAATGAAAATACATGACAGTGTTTTACCTTTTGTTTCTGTGTTCATTTTTCGTAAAAAAAGTTCACAAATCAAGGGTTTTATATGCATATGCTTTTATATGCATGGATCAGTTGCTACATATCCCCCCAATTCATGCTTCTCCTTATAAATACGTAGGTATTTCAAAGTTCATTCGTGAATAATAAAGAGCAAGGATATTATCATTGGAGCAAATGACCTTGTGACATAACACGTAGGCACTGCGCTTCCGTTGCAGTCAGATTTGTCTATCGATTTGTAAGAAGGAGAGTAAGAGGGAAAAGAACCTGGGTATCAGACAGGATAAGACCGCGTACAGGCCACGCAATAATAAAGTGAGAGGAAAGTGGCTAGACAGTGATGTATGCGATCTGTTGTCTGATTATGTCCCTACTTCTTTACGGTATTGGGATCGCAGAATAAAGATGCAAGCTTTCCTTTACAGTAAGGGGAGTGGCCAGCTTTCTGTAATTCCAGGCGTGGGAATCGCGAGGAGTGGTCACGTCGGGAAGAAGGACCAGGACACGTTCATTGTTTCCTAATTTCCACCTCGGGATGGGGGGGGGAGTAGTTGCAAGAACCCACCTCGCCAAGGATATTTTCTTTTCTAAAAGGTGAAAGCTGCGTGTGCCACATTCTGGACATTTCTTTGTGGCATACATATCTTCTATTCCAGGGCTGGAAATCCTGGGGGGAAGGGAGGTCCGGCCCCCCGACAAAATCTGGAGCAAAGCGTGTGAGAAATTATCGTCCAACAGATTCTATAAGCTTTAAGTGCCTAGTCTATCGTCATTTTTTAGAGAAAGGATTCCAAGTTTTTATGTGTTATTGCAACAAACCTCAGCCACTATGTAATGGTGTCAAGTGCAAGTTCACTATTGTTGATGGCTGTTGTTTATGTTTGCAGAGTGGTCTTGAGTCGGTGACGTTGCCCATGGGGGGATTAGCCCCAAAAATCTTATCCTCCGGTCACCCCTTGAATAAATCTAAAAAAACAGGTAAGAAAAGAATCATTTAAGTCGCCATAAATCTCGACAAACCCACATTACACATATTTTCAGTACACGCCTTTTTATAAACATCCTAACTCAAAACCTAGGTCCTAAAGTTCCTAATTTCTGAACCTCTATAAAAGAATTGCGGTATCAAGATCTTCATAATAGCTCCTTAATTTTAACTGCACATTTAGTGACATGAAAATAGCATAGACAAAAAAGAAATTTTAAGTCTTGCTTCTAACTGTAGCTAAGAACAAGACCAAAAGACAAAGAGGGCAAGAAATAGATTACTTTGCGTCAAAGTATGACGTCAATAGAGAAGTACCTTTGCATTTAATATAGAGAGAAGCAATGACTAAACTCTTTATCATAAGAATACAATGAACTTTGCCTAGCCTCCATCTATTTAAGAAAATATTCTTTTTGAGACCGAATATGTTTTCATTATTATTATTATTATTCTCGAATATTTATACAGGATAATACTTCAGTAGTGATATGCATATATACATATTTACACTGTTTTCCCAGTAGTCCTGTTAAATGAAAACAATAAACAAAATAAGATTAAAAAATTAGTTTACAATCGGCATTTATAAAATATAATTTGAAAGCGAAAAATTAATCCGGACAAGGGGAATGAAGTTGAATAGAATAAAAGATAGTTATAAGGTTGAGAGTTTACGTTAAAGTATAAAAGCTCTTCAATTTATTTTTGAAGGAAATAAAATCACTTTCTGTTTGAACTTCTTTCGGAAGTTTGTTGAATAATGAGGCACCTTGGTAGTAAAAGGATGCTCTTGCATTTTCCAGATTAATCCTCGGGATGTTTATCGTTGTGCCATTGTTTCTGGTGTTTACATTGGAGTTTTTCATTGTAAAATAGCTGTCAAAGATAGTGCCTGCGTTATTAGAAAGGAGGCATTTGTGCACATATGTACATATCCGTTTTATTGTGATTATTTCATTTCTCTGAACTTGTTGAACGATGATTTTTTCTGCGCGGCTTTCTATGCATTCTATCCTTTGTTTTAAATATGGGGGTGTTCCAACATATAGCGAGAATGAACAGTACGTCAGAAGAGGAGTTCTGTCCATGAAGGCTCGCATTTTTTTCAGTAGGTGTAGTCTAGCAGAAGCCTTTTTAATAGATTCATTTAAGTGATAAGACATGTTGAGATTGCATGTTAGATTGAGACCTAGATATTTGTAGGTCTTGATGTTATGTATTTCTTTGTTTCTGTGCAATGTTATGTATAAACTAGGTGTCTCCTAGTTTTTGGCTAGTACCAAACATCATAACCTCTTTTTTGCCTTTCTTGGTGTTTATGCCAAGCCCGTTTTTGTCAAGCCAGCCGGCAAATGATTGAAAGTCTGCATTTAAATGTTTTTGGATTTCACCTACATCTTTTCCAGAACAAAACAAGACTGTATCATCGGCATACATCAGCATTGTGCATTGTGATAGCGTTTTGATTGCACTGTTGAAATACAAGATAAACAGAAGCGGTCCGAGTATTGGCCCTTGAGGGACGCCACAAAATATTGTTTCCCCAGATGATTGTTTACCTTGAAACGAGACCTGTTGTGATCTTGAGAACAGGTAATCGCACAACCATTCCTGAGTCATCCCTGAGATGCCATATTCAGGTAGAGTGTCGACCAGGATAGCATGACTGATGGTATCAAAAGCTTTACTTAGGTCTATGTAAACTGCACCTGTGTAATGGCCGTTGTCCATTGCCTTTTGGATTTGATCAGTGAAGTTAGCTGTAGCGATTTCAGTCGGTAGGTATTTGCGAAATCCAAATTGGTTTTCCGACAGCAATTTGTTGCTTTCTAGGTGGTTCGTAATTTGGGCGTGTACGCACTTTTCGAAGACTTTGAAAATCACTGGCAGAACACTTATTGGTCTGTAATTGTCGAATATATTTTTGGCACCGGATTTGTATATGGGGGTAACCCTCGCTTTCTTTAGGTCTGTTGGAAAAGTCCCCGATTGAAGCGATAGGTTGATAACATGTGTCAGTGGTTTTGCCAGGACATATGCAATGTCCTTCAGGTAGCACGACGGCAGGTTATCCAATCCCGTTGCACATTTTCGTTTAAGTTTTTTAAATGTTTTAGGACCTCCGGTTCGAAAACTTTATCGAATTTGAATTCAGTGACATTTGGCTCCGATGGTTAGTTCACTAATGGGAACGATGCTTTTTTAATAGTTGTTGCAACATTTGCAAAAAATTTACAGAACCCTTCTGAAACGATGTTTTTGTCCGTAACAGTCTTTTCATCGATTTTGAATTACTTATATTTGCAGATATTTGCTGACTTTTTTACAGGAAAAACTTCCTTAACTATTTTCCAAAACTTGTCAGGCTTGGACCGGTTCTCTTCTAGTTTATTCTTGAAAAAGATACATCCTTATTTTTTTTCGAATCCGGTTTGGTTTCAGGAAAAAATCGCTTGCTCTCGATTAGAAAACACACATTTGGAAAAGCGAAAAATGTCAGCATAGCCGCTCTCTGTTGCGAATGTTGCAAAAAAGCAACTGCTGAAAATGTGCCCTCTACGCCTTTCTTTCTTTCCCCAACGTCTGTCACTAGAGTTTCAGCATGACTCTTCCCCTCCCCAATTTCTCCCAGAAACAATAATCTGTATTTTTCTGAGTAACTTCGATTTGTCTATCCTGAAAGGTGTAGTATTTTGTTAAACTTCGTCTGGGAGATGCTTTTTTAGTCTTTCTAGAAGGTATGATTTCAAACATTTTCTTTTGCGACGGACCCAACAATGGTGTCGGTCCTCCTACGTCAATAAACATGATTCTCAGCCCACCCAGGTTTCAGTTTCTTCTCGCTGTCTCTGAAAAATGTTATCAATTCAATTATAAAAAAGTCAACGTACTAAGAAATATCTGAGATTACCTTCTATAGAGCTGGAAAAATCTCACTAAATCTAAAAATCGTGATTTTTGTTTTTTTAATTTTGCCCCTCAAACTGTTTCCACACCACACACCATAAATTATACTTGGTGGTGCCATGACCCACTGCACACTTGATATTAATTCCCTCTGCTGCCCCCCCCCACCCCCCAATTGACATGACAGATTTACCGCCCCGGTCTATTCTCAGCAAAAGTATCATCCTTCCACTCAATTTACTTTCGATCCAGTCTGAATATAACTTTAGGCTTACTACCAACTTTTATACCCTGAGGACTAAATTTACTCTAATATATTGTGTTTTTACTTTTTCATGCACTTTTCAATGTGCCAACAAACAAAGGAACTAAGTCGTAGAGAATTATTATTGAGACGGCCACATCTCCCTCCTTCCCTTCACCCATAGACAGGCCCTTTTGTTTTCAGACGAGCACTTTGTTTTCAGAGGATTAAAATGAACTAGTGGCAGCTCTCAATCTAATCAAGTTGTTAAATAAGTGTTCTTTTAATGTGAAAACTTCGCAGTTTTCTAGAAGGTGGATTGTTCTTCGAATGTGGTAGAGTCACTCTTTAAGAGTTCGCGGAAAGTGTACATGTTATCAAACGAAGATGCTACAGAGATCTTAAGTGTGACGTCACTTTGAACTCTATTTCTCAGAATCGATTTATCATGTGACTTTATTTTACATGAAGCACTTGATATGAAAGAGTTTTTCTCTTCGGTATGGCGTCAAGTGCAACTGGAAATTAAGTGAAATTTGGCGAGGAGAATACTGAGAAAAATGCTGTTTAGAAGAAGTAAACAGGCTACATAGTTCACTTATTCTCACCTTAAAGCTGTTTAACTGTGTGCAATTTCCCATTTTGCAGTCACTTGACTGCTTTTTTACTGCTATAGACAGCTGCCTGCTAATGCTAGGCCAGTAGAAAAGGTTGCTAATCGAGCGTTGAAAGGCCATCACAAAACGGAGACTTTTCAGTTACAAAACAAAATGAGTAGTTCTCGTCTAGAGCATTCTAGGAGAGAGGAGGAATTGTCAGATGAAAGTGATACTGGTGAAGCTGAGGACTCTAGATCTGAGCAAGAGGATCAGGATGGTGAGGAGTCACATGTGGTGGGATATTCACAATGTAATGAACATGATGCGCCTGTACCAAAGAGCAAGTTAACAGTACGATCAGCAATAACCTTGGGAGTTTTGGTTTTTATCAATCTTCTAAATTATATGGACAGGTTTACAGTCGCAGGTAGCTATTATGTGTAATTGTTTTGCTTCAATTTAGTTTCGTTTTGTTCCAGATCGCCACACCTTGAATTTCAGAGAATTATGTTGTTATGTTGAGTTTAAAAAGATATACAGCCTAGTATTATTAGGCAAGATATGTTTAGGTTCACAAAATAAATGGTTGCTTCTGAAGAGAGTTAGTTAGAATTACATTTAAGGACATTCCTGTTTTAAATGCCTGTTATTTAAAATTTGAGCTGGTTTGTTTGAGTTATAGCCCTAGAGTTATTTCTTGCTCACATCAGGGGCGGGTCCAGAAAATATTCTGACTGATGCACACAAGTGTCTGTTCGGAAATATTATTTGTGGAAACACTATAGTCTCTCCCCCCTCCCTTTCAGTAGTGTGCAACATGCACATTGAATTCTTGCCTTTTTAAAGCCTGGTCAAACTACAGTATATTCTCCTTCTGGGCTGGAGCCCTATTAGCTTCAGAGGAACACCCAAGTGAACATTCCCTGGAAATGCCTGAAACCAGAAAAGAATTGAAAATCCATGTTGCAAAGATTTACTCTGAAAGTTTTGTTCATTGAAAATGTCACTGTGCCAAAATCCTTAATATAATTTCTTGGCGAGAGCCAAATCACAGGTATTGCCTTATGTCAGTTTGATTGACATTAGTAGGCCCTCAATCCTTGGAGGAAGTAATAAATATTGAAACTTGAATCCCTTGTTTAATGTTACTGAAAATCTAGCGACCTTTGTCTTCCCAATTGCCACATTTTATGCATTCATTTTACATGTGGCCTGTTGATTCCATAACACATTCCCTCGCCAGGCATCAACAAGCTAAAGACACTCTGTACAAAAAACCACACTCATTATAGAATAAATCTTTGCTCAGTGGTGTGACCTTCCTAAAAAACATACTGTGCACCAAAGTTGGCACTATCTAGCGATTTGATTGGCTGAATAATTACAAACAAAAGCTTTGTGAATTGGTACTATTAACAGGCCTGGTCATTTGAGGCAAGCGATAGCTCGCGCTCGCCTCCACGCTCCCCTCGCAACCTGAGGCGAGCTATGAATTGCTCTCCTAAACAGAAAATGAAGGGAGAATCGCTCCCCTAAAATTTCCATTCATTTGCCTTTTTCCTATGCAGAGAACCCTGAAAACGTATAAGGGTTAATTGGTTTATTTTTGTAACAGCGATTTCTCCCGTCATTGCATTTTTTTGCAATTAACTTTTTGCTTGTTGGGCGGTTTTTGTTATGATAGGCATAATCTATTTGGAAAAGGATATTTAACCGAAAGGTACGTTTGTGGTGATTAGAACCTTTCAATCTTAAGAAAACAGGAATATTTTTGGAAGGAAAGTCAAAGAAATTGGTAGGAATTGTAGATTGGGGATATAATAAGACAGCAGGTCCCTCCCAGGAATAGAAACAAAACTATCCCTCAAAGAGAACAAGGTACTCTGTCTTGCAGATCAAAAACGACAACCAAAACATGGAATTCTACTATCCAGCGGCATTTACTGAAAAACCCAGATTGGGTGAAAACTATAGCGGCAACATGTTTGGCATTATTGGCAAAGCCTGATCATCGTTCCATCTAGCAGTTTGTGAATCTATCTACTATATAAACATGACTAACCGCTTTTGTGTAGACATAAGTGAGTTCGCTTTCACCTTAGGACTCCGGTGGTAACATTTTCAATAGGAAAGCGGCACTGATCGGACAACCTCAACAGTCATGTGCTCGCGTTTTCTGATTAGCCTATTTCGATCCAAAACTGGGTATTTTAGCTTAGAGATTTCCATCTATCTTCTGACGTTTTATTCTCTGAAAAGTGCTAGACGTATAACTTAAGTTTGTTTCAAAATTTGTTTTTCAAAGCCATTTTCAAATTCTGTGCAACAAAAAGGTTGTTTTGCAAGAGAATTGCTGTTTTTGTGTTGTGCCAGCTTTACATAAAACGGAAAGAGTCTGTTTTATGTAACTTCTTCAAGTAAAGGGGGTGCCTGAGTCACCCTTAAAGCAAATACAAATTGAAAGAAATAAAACAGCATACTCCTGACTGAGGCTATTGAAAGCAACCGACAGATACTAAAGGGGCTTATTAAGTCATCTGTCGATTGTCTTTAAAGTACATTCTATGTGTTACTGATTTAGCTCGCCTCAGCAAATGAGGGGAGCGATTCACAGCTCACCTATAAAAATACAAACGGCCAGGCCTGTATTAAGCATACTGTGCACTGAACCCCCTAATCTAACTACATTGGTACCCTGTTCTTTTTTAGTCAGGATGCTTAGAGATATGAATCAGATTGAATCAAGATCTAGTATAGATTTAGGGATCATGTAATATTTGGCTATGGCCAGTTGGAATCATTCATGATTAAGACCCTGGATCTCCTGCCCATGCAAGGTGGTCGGTTGTTAGATATTGCTAAAGAATAATTCCCAAGCAAATGCAACCAAAACACAAATGGAAAATTTACCAATGAGCACTAAACTTGGAGAAAGTTGATGTTCTGGGACCTCCTTTGAGACTCATTGCTAATGCCTTAGTTGTATGTGTGAATGGTGTGAACGTCTAGATCCACCCCCGGATCACATGTCTAAGGCTCTTTAGAACTATTTAGAGGCATTCAAATTCAATGATATACTTATATCATGCATTAAATATATTCATACCCCTAAAAAGTAATGTCAGAAGCCATTTAATTGTTATTTCTTCTCAGAAGCACTTTGTCTAAGCAGTGAGGTTAAGAAGTGTACCATGGATGGTACTATAATGGCCCTTTCGCCAAAGCTTATTTCAGAATTAAGCTTAGATGAAGAGAACTCAAAATGGTTTCTTGCACTTATTAAATACATTTGCAACTGAATGAAGAATTGTGATTTTACTGGAAGGAGAGCAGCAAAGCCACCAGAAATTTGTGAAGTGAAAGAGGTCTATATATTCAAAAGGGAGCTCAAATCAAGATTTAAGTTGGCAAAGTTCTATATATTGATAGTATATAAAGAGCTAGATTTCAAGACATTTTTGGCGTTTGTGGTTCAGCCTCTGTATTGAATTCATATTGAATCACCCAAAAGTTGCTAGCAAATGGCAAATGAATTGGTTTTAACAAAGATTAATTAGACTCCTTGTTTTTTATAATATTTCAAATCAGAAGGATTTCAAAAAACTTAGAACCCAGGTAATATCCCTCACTTTCTCTTGTGTACTTTCTCAGCCACCATATCAGATTCCAACCGCATCCTCGCCATACCTTTGTAGGAGCTCTACTTGCATCAGTCATAAAGGTGTCCTGTAAAAAAGAAGCAATCCATGCCAACCTTAAAAATTGTTGAGTGTAAGAGTTGTTCCTGAGGGTGTAGCCCATGTTCCAGTCAGACCTTTTTCTGGACCCATGCCTAAGATGCCCTAGAATTTTTTATTCAACTTCCCCATACAGAACTCAAGGAATGCAGACTGAGTAAGGGGCTCAACCCAGGCAATAATGCAACTTTACACTGAAATAATGATATTTTGACTGAAATATAACAGTAACAGGTGGTTTCCTTTAAAGTTGATTTTAGTTCTCACGATAAGTTTTGGTTGACTCTCATTTTTAATGATTCATTTTTATAACCAAGCTTATAGGAATTAAACTTAAATCTAACTTACCTTTGGGGTTTGTGTCTTTCAGGTGTCCTCACCCAGATTCAAAAATATTTTGACATTGAATATAAGACTGCTGGACTCCTTCAGACTGTCTTCACCTGCAGTTACATGGTTTTTGCACCTTTGTTTGGATATCTTGGAGATCGGTATTCAAGAAAGTATGTCATGGCTGCTGGAATCCTGATCTGGAGTGTTACAACCTTCCTTGGTTCCCTAGTAAACAGTGAGGTATGTTTTCCAGTTATTTGTCAGTCTGTTGGTCTGTTAAATTGACAATGATTGGCCTGTTGATGCAGTCCATGTCATATGAAAGGACTGTCTCTAAATGGTTCTAGTTTGCAGATTTCATTGAGTAAAAAGATAAAATTATCATGGCGACGTTTATACAAAAATGTGTAAGTAGCTTGAAATGTGTTTGCTGTTTTGTTAACTGTCACATCAAGAGAAAATACTGTATTTGCTGTGTATAAGACGCATCCTTGCATAAGACACACCCTTATTTCCATGTTTGAATTCTAAAAAAATAGTTTTTACCATGTCTTACTGTTTTTAAGACACACCCCCTTTTCTCAGTTCTTGTAAACAAGTATGTTCCTGTGAAAGAATAAACTTGAGAATACTATCGACACAAACTCTGTGGAGGAAGATTCGTTCAAAGCACAGTTTTTCAAATATTGTATTATGTTAAATTACTATGTTTAAAACTATTAGGTAGAAAGTTCAACATCATGAAATAATCCGAATCATCATGCAGGTTACAAGAATCCATAAAGCTCTTGTTTGTCATCCTTTTCATTCACAACATTCACAACGATTACAGGGATATGCCCTCTTATTTAGAGAATGCAGGGTACAACCTTTGGAAGAATTTTGAGGTTTTTACTAAATTTCCGGTAAAAGTGAGATTATCCAAATTAAGAGAACAGTTGCACCAAACGATTTTGGCTATATAATGACACTTTGCCTTCAAAAGGAAATGATGGGACAGTCAATGTTATCATTTATAGGAAACACTCTCAAAAAAAGCCACAAATAATTCGAAAAAGGTGTGTCTCCTACATGGCAAAATAGGGTAACCATTTCTATTTTGGCAGTACCAGTCTGCATTGAAAAATCAATTTCAAGTGCAATGTTGAGAATTTTTTCCTGTGTTAAAATTTTTCTTTTTTTAAATCTATCATTTTTAATTATGAGGAAAGCTAATTTGATTTTTTTTAAATTTTAGCAACTTGTTTGGTTTTTTGTTATACGTGGCCTTGTTGGTATAGGAGAAGCCAGCTACTCAACTGTAGCACCAACCATCATAGCAGATATGTTTCTAGGTGATAGCAGAACAAAAGCACTATCATTGTTCTATTTTGCAATACCCTGTGGCAGGTAGGTTGATTTTTGTCATCCCTTTATTACTCTGTTATGCATGCTATGTAAGTTAACAGTTGGTCTATTTCAAGTGAAGTATTGTCATAAAACAATTACTTGATGCTTATGCATGTTTTTTATTCCACTTCTAAGACAGTTACCTGATCAATGTATTATGTGCCAAACTCATAGTTGTAGGCTACAACTATCCTCTTCTATACACCAATGCAACTTCTGAGTCATTTTCTAAATGAAATACAAATCAAGCAATTACATTTTGCTTCTGCGTAATGCAATTTAGTTGTCACTTTGGATCAGCAAGAACTTTGCAAACAAATTATTTGTACAGAATGACCAAGAATAAGAATTCCAAAACAATGGTGATGATCTGGAGCTAACAATAATGCTTATTCCTTCACTTGCTTGCATCTTTCAAAAATATCAACATAAATGAATTTTTTTATTTCAGTGGTTTAGGCTACATTGTTGGATCAAAGGTTGCTGAAGCAGCTGGTGATGACTGGCACTGGGCTTTTCGTGTGACACCTGGACTTGGTGTGCTCTGTGTCATTCTCTGTATGTTTGTTGTCCATGAGCCAAAACGGGGTGCAGTTGAAAGTGAATCACCCGATCTTAAAGATGTGTCTGCTTCACTGCACCATGAGTCATCCAGCTATCTTGATGATATTAAATCCATTTTCAAGGTGTAAGTTTCCAATTATGGGCTTGGAGTGGATGTGTTCTGGCATTTCTTTCTGTGCAAATATTTTATCTTCCTTTGAGATTGCACACACCAATTCAGTATACCAAATTTATTCTGTTTAAATATAAATTTATATAAGCTGTCCTTGTTTATAAGCAGCACCCACAAGACCATGCAGAGATACTTGGTTTGAAATGACAGATGTAAAAACTTGGGAAACTTTCTTGCCAAGGCTTCGCATACTTGTGGCTTGCTTCGGTTTTTAAGTTTGTTGCCATAAATGTAAGGGACTAACTGCTACATCCCCACCCCCTAATGACTTCTTAAAATGAAAAACCAATCGGTCAAAAAGATCACTTATACACTGGCAATAGTTTTGAAAACACAACACAATTGCCTCATTTTCCATTGCGTATATCCCTATGTTATTCAATCATTCCTTCATCTTTATTCTAGGAAAAGCTTTGTCCATGCAACTGTCGGTTTTACTTGTGTCTCTTTTGTGGTTGGGAGTTTAGCATTTTGGGCACCATCATTTGTTCTGTACTCAGAGCAAGCAAGAGGGAAAGATGTTAAAATTGATGAGTGAGTGTTCTGTTTTTCTGCCCCCTTTAAACTAAAACATTCATTAATAAGGCAAATCTTTTCGCATTCCTTTTTAGACTTATTGTCTCCGTCATAAACATGGTTTGTCACTTTCGAGATTAAAGGGGCTTTAGTCCCTTTGTTAACGTCATTAATAACCCGCTAAGTTGTTAATTTTTTTCTAATTTGAACGATTTATATTTTATTGGTGGCATCGACCACTCAGCCTACGCGTCTTCAGGTTTCTAGCTGTTTAATCTCATGAAATTTTCTCTACCCTCTAAGAAAAACAAAATCTGCATTTTCCTATAACTTTTTGAAAGCAAAACCTATAAAGTGACGTATATTAGGCTCGAAACAGTGACAAAAATGGCTTTACGGCGGCCTTAATGAAATAATTGCTCTAGTTAAAGATATTATCTGTTCCTAGCTATCTATCGATAGTAAATTTATTGTTCTTTTAAATCTATCATTATTGAAGAAGTATCGTTAAAGGCATTGCTCACTTAATTTTCGAAACCTAGCCTTTCCAGACAGGGCATAACTTAGTTTTACAGGTTAAAAATCTCCTACATCCTCCCAAAGAAGACATAAAAGCTATGCTCTTTAATGTTGCTTACATCCAGCACACACCCTTCATGTGTACATAAGGTTGTATGCAAGCTTTTTGCCGGTCTGTATTGCAATAATAAAGTAGACGGATTTGCAATGAAAAGTTTTTTAAGCTGATATTTGTTACAGTAAGGCAAAGTTATGCAAAAGTATTAGCCGCTGCTCTATTTTAATCCAAGAACGTCTATACTATCTGACGTTTGTTTTTTTACTTTGGCTTGTTTTTATTCATATTAGAAAATGTACCAAAATCTACGGAAATTGTATCATATAGTGCATTAGAAACTAATACCTATCTCAAAAATGAGATAGATCATTACAAATCAATCTTTACAAACTGGCGTTGAGTCTCTTACATCACAACCATAAATCTCGCAAAATCATATCATGTGATTTCATTTTGTGTACTGTCGCACGTTTTTCTACATTTGTATCGTATAACTACGTTATCAAATGGTCTACTTCGATTGTCAAGTTTTATAGCCTTCTTTTAAGTTCTCTGTATTAATTATAGTGTCAGCTACATATTTGGCATTATCACCTTTCTTACTGGAGTAATTGGTGTCTGGACAGGCTCTGAAATTTCACGAAGATACAGAAAGAAAAACAAGAAATCAGATGCAATTGTTTGTGGATTGGGTATCTTTGCATCGATTCCATTCTTGTACTTTTCTTTATACCTCGCCGACAAGATGATTTACTTAACCTGGGTATGTAGCCCACGATTTTCTTGTACATTTCCAGGCAATTAATAAAATAATATACAATCAATACTTTTTGTTAAATGCAACTAGGGCTATGCTCATGGAAAAGAAAGTCTTGTGGTGCGTCGATTATGTTCGAACCGAAAGTGCCAAGCGTTTAGTCGTAATATTTTATCTGCAATCCAAAGAGGCAGGGCCCTTTTAATACGATTGGATAATAATGCTTTTTTTAGGTATCCGCCCTTTTTTCTATATTTAGATTTAAATCTGGTATTTCCAGTCTACATGTTTTTTTCTGTGGCCATTTTCAGCGTATGCAACCCATCTTTCATTCATTCGCAGGTTCTTATAGCGCTTGGTGAGATTCTGCTTTGCCTCAACTGGGCACCAAACGCAGACCTACTTTTGGTAGGTTTACTTTACAAGACAAGAGCTATATTGACTCATTTACAAAGTTTTTTGCCTTCACTCGATGTCTTAATTTGTGACATGGTTCACTTTTGGCGATTTGCTTACCAGAAACTGCCTCATTTTTCCCACTTTGGTTCTACCCATAAGATATTTTTTTGGAAAAAACTTCATTTGTTGCTTGCAGTCAAAACATCACCTGTTTTCAATTCTCCTCTGGTGCAAACAATAAATTGTGGTGATTTCTTCTTCATGACCATGTAATCATATTTAGCTTTTTTCGGCTGTTAATTGTCATTATTTTTAGTTCATTGACGAGACAATTCTTATTCTTGTTGGTTGACCAAAACTGCTACGATACATCAAATTCGATAAATCTGGTCATGTGACCTTGACTTCAGTTAAGTATTCCTTGATCTTCTTTTAGTATGTCATTGTGCCAAGCAGAAGGTCCACCGCAGAGGCTGTGCAAATTCTATTGATCCATTTATTTGGTGATGCAACGAGCCCATTTATTGTTGGTAATGTAAGTCACTTTATTAAATATTAACGCATTTATTTTCCTTTACAATCAAAGAAAAATTCCAGAAAATGCTTGCCAAATTGAAACGAAAATATTTTTGTCGTGAACGTGGTTTCTATTATATTTGCTCTTTGCATAAATCTATTGCTATCATTTCACTATCGAACCGAAGATGGACGAAGACCCCATATTTGTTTTCTAAGTCCATTTCTATCAATCATTTTTGGATTGAAAACATACCAGAAAAATACAGGAAAATGCTCATCCTTGATCCAACAAACGTTTGATGCCGTGTTTTGCCTTAAAATTATTTTGAAATAGTAGAGTTGCTACGCCTTTATGCTACTAAAGCCTGGTCTCCATAAAGTCGTTGAGAGTCGTTCTTTATGAGTCGTTCTTTATGAGTCGTTGAAAGTTGGAATCTGAGATGTGTTTTCATATGGTCGCTGAGGGTCGTTGAGAGTCTATGGCAGTCTTTTTGAGTCAGAGTTTGGTGTTTGAATCATTCCATTCTTTCTCGGTGGTTATGGGTTGCTGGGATAGAACTGTGGCTCGCTGAAATGTTTTTATGATGTCTCTATATAGTCGTTGACAGTTTTCAGTTATCAACGAGCCTCAAAGACCGTCAACGACCCTTAATGACTGTATAGAAACCAGGCTTAACAGCACTTAGATTTATTATCTAGCAATACCACCAAGCATATTGAACTATTATTGAGTTGCCAGAACAATGTTTGAATTTTTCCTTTGCATCCTCTGGTATAAAAAGAAGCATTGTTCCGTAAACAGATCATACTCTAAGTTTTTCTTGCCAGAGGCCGCTCTGTGTTGTCATCCCTGTTTCTCCAAACTTGCAAAAAGTCCGTTCTATTTGCAGTTGGCTCATTTTCACAATATTTGGTATCAAAGTTGTTTGAACTTTAGATGCTTTCCTGTTACAATGCAACTTTGAACTTCAAATAAAATTGCACGTAGAATAAAAGAGCGAATTTTCTAACATTGTGAATAATGATTTTGTTAATATAATTCGCTCTTTCGTTTTCAATATTTCATTCTTGAGTATTTTACAAACAAGGTATAGTTGAAATGATTGTGTATATTTTAGTGGTATCAATAAACATTCACAAATTTATGTGGCTATGATACTCAGGCAGGGCCCACGCCACGAAGTTTAACGTGGGGGCGGGGGCAAGGCTAACAAAGGGGAAGTGTCAAGCAAGGCATATTTACCTTTTATTGCAGTTTTGAAATCATTTGCTTCGCAAAAAAGTGGGGAGGCCATGGTCACCCTATTTGCGTAGTATGGGAGCAACCTCGCAGAGTTATATGTAATGTTTCTGTAAAAGCAATGTACTATGATGTTATAGCGTGCCTAGAAAGGACTAAATTTGAGTTGAATATAATGAGATATGCCGTCATCCTTTTTCACAGGACTGACAAAAAAGCACTAGGAGATACAATAGGAGATACAATATGAATCTAATTCATAAATTGCAAAAAAGAAAATGCAAAGTCAAGAATACAAATAATGTCATTTAAAAGTTGTTTTTTAAAAAACAACAGAGGTCGGTGGAAGTCACCAGGGCCCAAAACTACTGGGGAAATTCTGTGATTTTGGCTCTTACTACTGGGGAAAGCATTGGGCCTACTGGGGAATCTGGCTCTTACACTGTTAAAAAATGCCCTGCACGTTGTAGAAAGTAGATGGTGCTCTGTTAACTCCAAGAGGAGAGCGCCCCATTTGATTCGCTCTGGTCGTGCGATCCATGTTTAATTGCACTAGAAAACGCAATTGAACTACTGAATGAAAGGATTTGCCAATTCGCTTTTTATTTGCGTTAGTCCACTCTTGTCAAATTCGCACCTAGACTAATGCGGATACCCACCGTTACTAGGACTGGTCCATTTGAGGCAGTGACTCTTAAACGAGGACTTGTTTACTAGGGTGATTAGAAAAGACCTTGATAGAAAGATATTGATTGAACTATAGATTGCTGATGCTGTGCAGGGAAACGACCAGTCGGCTTTTGCCAAGCAAAAAGCATTGCTGTACGCTCTGCTCATAACACCATTTGTCAGTTTGCTTGGCGCGATTGCATACTACTTCTGTGCGAAGCATTTGGTTCATGACAGAGAGGTAGCTGAGAAAACAACAAAGAAGGCTTCTGAAGAGGAGAACCAAAAGTACTTGGAATCGATGCCGCCGTCAAATGGTGATCAAGAAGACCCCGCAGCGACAGTGTGTGTGAGGCAGGGACAAGAAGGCATTGACTATGGGCAGAGTGATGAAATTGCCAGTGACAAAGAGCAACTGATTCCAGCAGTCAGTTTCAGAGACTAAAGGGAAAGACAGAAGCGTCAAGGTTGATATAGCATATTTGACTAATTGTTTAGAAATTCACAAAAACGAATTTTGTAATGCTAGGTAAGTGTTGAGTGTAAGGAGAGTGTTGCAATTGATTATTGTAAATCGACTTAGATTTTTTATGTTTTGCCAAGAGATCATGCAATAAATTTAGGCTATTTGAACATACTGATTAAGTTATTAACATATTTGTATAATTATTTTGCAACAAGTGATAGCACAGCCAGATTTTCCCATCCCAATCTTTCAAGGCACAATTTCTTAGCCTGCCTAAGACCTTACTGACTAAACTTAGTGAATTTGAAAACAGAATGAACTTTTCCATATTTCGTTTTTTTATTGACAATGATTATAAAAAACTAGCCACATATTCGTATTTTGTAAAGAATAGATTGATTGCTTTTTACCTGAGGTAGTGCTAACTCTGATGTTTGCGCCTGTGCCTAGAAATTTCTCATGTTGATCTTTAGTCAATGGGTGAGTGCCTCGAATTGATGAATGTGTTAGTGCCTCGAGTTGGTAAATTTCTGTTGCAGCGTCTGTTAAGTGAGGCTGTAGCGAAACAGGCTCATGGGGTAAGTCCACCCAATCGGTTAATATTTACCAGCATTTTTTGGTATACCCATGTAAAGCTATGAAACACAACGATTCTCATAGCTTGGGTATTAAACAATAGTTTTTGTATAGATTTTTGGGGTAGCACTAAAATGCATACGTTTTCAATAGAAACTGTTAACATTGCAGAGATACGTCGGTAAGGTTTATTGAAATGAAGCTTAAGACTACCTATCATGGTTTCTCTTTGGTATCAGTACTATCAATCGCAATAGATCTTTGTATATGATAATGTAGGTATGTTATAGACAACGGGACGCACGTCCTTTCCAGCAACGAAGAACTGTTTTGCTAGAGTCTATCAACTGAAGTACGAAACAATGTTTTATGAAAAATATTAATGGTGGCCTGATGCCAGAGTTGGGGTACTATGATTAAAGCCGGGGCCCTCGCTGGATGTTCTTCAGATCATCATGAACATGAAAGACGTGAAAATTGATCGGTTTTCATATAAACAAGAGAACTGATCTTTCACTTTTCCTTAGCACTTTACCCCTGTATGTATTTCGTAGTACTATCTATCTGTAATACCTTGGTTTTGCCACTAAAAACATCATACAAACAAGTATTAGTATATAGGAAATAATATGTACAAATCTGAAAAGTGATCTTTAGGGCAATCTTGCTATTGTAAGTAAAAGTACGCTTTGCAATTCTTGGTAATTTTAGAATTAAGCGAATTGGTATTCAGAATTTTCACTTCAGCATATTTTACGGGCCAGGTAAATTTTCATGAAACTTTTTACCTGGTTAACCTACCACCTGAATGATGGCCCCATTTTAATACAAACGAATGATTGTTACAACTATTTATAATAATATTGTTAGAATGCCAATTAAGACTGTTAAATGTTTAAAGAACATCTCGAAGTAATTTGTAGTTATATTAGCAATGTTTTTATGAAATGAATTCAGTTGTCCGACTTTATGTGCTGATATCATTCTGGTGTACTCCGAAATTCTTCGTTCATAAAGAGTAGATTTTTAGACACACAGTGGATAAACTAAAGTAAGGTGGACGTCACTTCTGGAAGGATGGACATAAGATTCACTTTGTTAAAATTCTAATCTACCTTACGAAACAATGCGTTGTAAAGGCAATCGACAGATGCAAAAGGGGCTTAGGCCATTCAGGCCCAGGCCAAAAAATTGACCAATCAGTGAGTTTGATTCCATTCACACGCTAATTGATTGGCTAATATTGATTGACAGCAGTTTCATTGTAGCCTTTTTTATGTGTCACAAAAATCTGAGCAAAACATTTTTTGGGACAATTTGCCCAATCTTTTGCCAAAAATCTTTGGTTCTTTACAAATTACTTTGTTTGGTTCAAAATCCTGGCGTTTTCTAAATTGGCGTATTCGAAAACTTAGTCACAGTTTTTTATTCATTTAAATTCAGTGTACTTAATCAATGTACTCAAATACGGAGTGAGGACCATATTCAACTGCTAGTGTTTTTTATACACTTGTTGTAAGCTTTTGATCTAAACACTGACGTCGGAGCGACAGAAAGTATGGGAGGCAGGATTATCTTTTTCCTGAAATGTTTCTGCTCCAAATCGCTACCAACATTGCAGAAATATCACACGCATTGTTTGTTTCTCAAGATTTCCCCACATTGTTTGACAAGGTGCTGTTTCTCAAGATTTTCAGCATATTTGCCTTTTCAGCATCTTGCACTGATAATATCAATGTGCTAATAAGCTAGACAGTTTTTGATGAAATATTGTTCGATAATTTGCCCTGCGAATACGTTAATTATAAAACCAAAACTGATACAGCTACAAGATTTTATAGGATTTAGGAACATAGCTGTTTACGTGTGGTAATAAAGATAGTAAGTGAATGTTTTTGAACTTGAGATGATTCTCATTCAATCCTCGTATAACCCCCTCGTCTCAGGATAATAAACCTCCAGAGGGTTATTCGAAGACTTGCGGCGATATCCGCATCTTTTCGATTTTCTTTGTTTTAGAATAATTTTGTCTTTACAATCCACTTCACATTCCACCACAACACCACGCCCTACAAGCAAGTTCAACTATACCTTTACTATTTCGCATATATTTGTTATTGTAAAAGCTGCACGAGAAGCCTAGCTATTAATAAATGATTTGCGTTGTCTCTCGAGCCCGTGATTACTGCATAGCTTGTATAAAAAGAAAAGCATTAATAAGATTCTGGTCTGCTTTTGTAGTTTCAGACTCCGAAATAGCAGGATATTTACCTAATGTTTAGAAACATTGATAATGCTTCTTTATAAATTCGTACATTAAAGATGTCTGTTTCTCCACATTTTCACACCAAATTGCGCCAACTAGAATGATTCCTTCTTACTGTCTTCCTTTCTTGTCGTATATTCAACCCATCGAACTCCAATGCTTAGATTTGTTAAAGTTTCCCTCTTCATGTCAGCTGTTTAAAGACATTGTTACCTATTAGATTTGTTAAAGGTACGATATTTGTCTTTCTTCAGCTACCAAGGTTTTTTTTGTAAGAAATGTTGTAAAACATTTGAAAATAGCACGGAAAAGCGGAAACATGTTATACTGAAGTACTTTTCATCCGGCATTCGTCTTTCTTTAAATTTACTTCAGTTTCAGTTTTTCATTTTAAAATTCACACAACATACAAGTTCCAATAAAAAATACATCAAATACAATAATATAGATATAAAACAAGCGATAAGCAATAAAAATTAAACTAAGAAAGAAACATATGAAACCTGAATGTGGGGAATTCCTTAAAGGAGGAGATCTCTCAGTAGATAGGCTAATCGAGGAGAGAGCACCCCCTATGTTAAAAGATCGATTTTTTCAGTATTTTATGATGCGTTATGTGCAAGAGACCTAGAATCACCGCAGTGACCAATGGAGCCCACTCCAAGCAAACCTGCTTGGAGTGGGCCAATGGAGCCCACTCCAAGCAAACCCTACTGCTTACCTTTGGACATTGTCCGACGTTTATACTCTGACAAGTGTCAAACAAAAAGTGCTTTAGTATGGTATGCTTTCGCTTTTCCATGCTCAGATTTTGCGGTACCAAAGGTTAATTGCTAAGACATTTGTAAAAGTTTTCAATCAAATATTTGTAAGTCTACTTGAAGCATAAGCTTCTCTCTACCAGGTTCATGCTGAAAGCTTTTTGTGTAAATTAATTAAATCTCTTTTGATTTCATAATAGAATCTTCAGCTTCAAGATTCGATGCTTAACCAAACCTGGACTCTTGCAGCTAAATGACGCTGAAATTTTTTGTTTTGTAGAAGATCATTGGTAAGCCATGATTACTCGCCTAAATATGTGCTTTTTGGCGTGCCATTTTCGCCTTTTTTGCCAAAGCTTGAGACGTATATTCTGACCGGTTTATCCTTGAAGTTTTGAAAGGCTTATTTGACCCAGTTTGAGAAAATGTCACATATTCTTCGATGCTGTTCTTACGTTTGTGACAGTTTTTGAAGCATCAGGTCACAGCTAGGAAACCTCAGTTATTCACGTCAACAGGTATGTATCCCACGCCTTATGTTGCAAGGTCACTAAGAGAACTGATAGAAAACGAGCTAAGTTTTGTTTATAACTGACGTTTTGCATTGGATATACCGAGACTAAGCAAGCAAAGATGGAAGAGTGCGTGGCATCGAGAAATTGTCAAGAACGGTAACAGATGTTAACAAGTATTGAAATGAATTTAATAGAAAAAGCAAAAAAGAAAACATCGAATAAGGTTAATTGCAAAGATGAAGTAAATATACGGAAGTGATTGTTAAAGAAAGAATGGCCGGCCTTTCGTGTGTACACCTATAGCTGAATAATTAATGATAATTTACAACATCAAAATGCTGAAATGCAGGAATTTTGCTTTGCATCGCCGTTCAATCTAAACGATGTATACATTTTTGAATGAGTAATGACTGGGCGACAACAATAGGCTTGCATGTCACACATGTATCCTGTCTTTAGTGAAGGAGGTCTATATAAGGATCTGTAGTGTCTTGAAAGATCAGAGCACAGGTTTGCACTGAATTATAATTATCTGAAGGGAGAACTGATTGTCGAGAAAACATTCACTTGACACCATGCAGCCACTGGTAATATTCATGACATTTCTTATATTCGAAATCAGTGATGGCCTTGCTGGACCATTGGGCTCCGATAGGATTGTATTAGATTTGCTTACAAATGATGCAGAATCAGTGACATCAGAGAAAACCTATAAAAGGGACAAGCTGAATGAAAAGGAAAGTCGTGACGCAGCTAAGGCTGCTCAAAGCAAAAAACCAACAATTCTTGGTGATGAAAGTGCTGAGTACAAAAGAAACTCCGCCATTGAAAAGCGGCGAAGTATGGACGATCTTTTCGCAAATCTGCTGAAGGTCGAAAGTGACGAAAGTGCAACCAATAAAGTTGTGCGCATGATTGAGAAAACAGAGACAGGAATTCGGAAGCAGTTGGAAGATCTCGCTGAAATGAAACGTTCTGTTGCAAGGAGGGCAAAACGCTTCCCGCAAACATTTGAAAGCTTGTTTGGGAAACTGTCGCGCCAGATTGAGGAGGGAAAAGATACAGGGATGATTTCAAAACCGAAAATGAAGAAGGAAGAGCTCTTGCGATTGGCCGAGGAGCTCGAAGATCTTGATTTATTCAGTTTTGGAAAGCGAAGGAAAGCGAAAGAAGAAAGTGACGAGAACAGGCCACCTAGGCCAGGTTAAAAACAATCAAGTACTGGCTAGGTGTCTTTGAACATTTATTTGCATTAAATACACTGTAGAAACGTGTGAAATAAAACTTGCCCTGTACAAACATTAGCCATGTTGCTTTTCATCTCTTTGATCTCTTAAATTTAATGCACAGATTGCTATGAAATGACATCTTTTAGACCCGGCTCGTGATTTAGTGAATTTTGTATTGAGAAGGTCATTCGAATATGTTCAATGACTGATCCATATAAGACTTTCATGTAGTAAAGATCGGCTTCCACTGTCTTTGGTGACTTTTCTTAGCTGCATTCACCACCAAAGTTTTTATTCGATTCGGTGAATCATTTCCCTACATTCTACCAATCGGGAATCCTTTATTATTTACGTTTCTGGCATTTTCATTAAACAGCGGCGTTATTGGGAATTTGATAGAGATCATTACACATTTCCACTACCTGTTTCAACCGAGATGAAGCGT